GACTGGTTATTCCTTAACTGACATTTTGGGAATTCAGTTGTTGTTCTCATATCTATTGCTCTTCGAAAGATTTCCACAACCTCACAAAAGTCGTGGCTGGAAGCTACACAACGAAGAGTAGCTATAACATCTATGGTTCTCTCCAACATCAAGCCGATCAAAATGATGGGATTGACGGACAGTGTAGGTAAAATTCTACAAAATCTGCGCGTCAGTGAGATCAAAGTTGCGGGCAAGTTCCGAACTATGCTCACTGTTTCTCTCCTGATTGCTACCACGTCCTTGGCTCTCATCCCATTCTTTACTCTCACTACCTACGCATTGATGATGCGAGCCAAGGGCGACATTATCAAGTTGAGCCCCGTGGTGGCATTCACGACATTGTCCCTTGTAAGCCTTCTGGCCACTCCGATCAGATACTTTGTCAAGGGAATCCCCAAGGTTGCTGCTGCTTTCGGGTGCTTTCAACGAATCCAGAAATACCTCTCAATGTCTCGGATAATTCCTGAGATGGAGTCTGGCGACAGAAATGCGTTGGTTAGCCATGATGACAAAATAGAACTTCAAGGGCTGGCTGTCTCAAGGGATAAAAGCGCAACTGGAGTCCCTCTCCTCTCTATCGACAAAGCGGATTTCATATTACCGGCAACAACTACCCCAATTCTCCGCAATATCAGTCTTTCCATCACATCCGGCACGTGGACTATTTTGGCAGGGCCTATCGGTTGCGGGAAGAGTTTGCTTCTTTTGGCAATCATAAACGAACTCCGGCATATCAGAGGAACTGTATCCCGTTCGCCTTCTTTGGAGATTGGCTATTGTTCTCAAGACCCATGGCTACCCAACTTGAGTATCAAGAAACTTATTGTTGCGCACTCACCATGGAACGAGGAGGTCTACTCGTCGGTCCTCGATGCGTGTTTGCTACGTCGCGACCTACAAGAGCTGCCTCAAGGAGATCAGCAGGTGATTGGTAGCAAAGGACTCAGTCTAAGTGGTGGACAAAAACAAAGGCTGAGCCTGGCGAGAGCGCTATATTCTCGTAAACAGCTTCTGGTTCTCGACGACATCCTGGGAGGCCTCGATCCAAAAACCGAACAAAGCCTTGTGAATAACGTGTTTGGTAATGAGGGCTTCCTTCGTAAGCATTCAATGACTGCTTTGCTGGCCACACATTCAAGTAAGTGATTTAGTCTCTTCAGTGTTTCGGAAGACACCCACTGACTGAATATCAGTTCGCCATGTTCGCCACGCGGATCGTGTGATAATCATGGCCCAAGGAGGGTCTATTGTTGAGCAAGGCGCGCCCAGCGATATCCACGCCATTAAGCATTCTGCGGATGACGAAATCATCAGCCCGGAAGGCCTCGGCAGGAAAACACCATCCCTCATAGAGGAGCCGATTTCATTCCAGGTCCAGCATGAATCCCAAGGAGAGCCGGTGAATCAAGATATGGAGTCCGATCTTGCTCGTCGCACCGGCGACTTCCGGTTATATCTCTACTATTTCAAAGCCATAGGATGGGCTACCTCATCCATTGCACTTGGAAGTGTGATCTTAATGGCTGTGTTCTTGAAGTTAACCACACTTTGGGTCCAATGGTGGTCTGAATCGGAACAAACTAATCCAGGGGAGCAGACAAACATGCATATCGGAGTATGGGGTCTGATCTGCGCCCTGGCTATCATATCCACGGCATTTGGACTTATCAGCCTTCTGCACTTTGCAATGCCGCATACATCCATTGGTTTGCATCAGAGGCTCGTCGATACAGTGATGAGAGCGCCTTACTGGTTCCTAGTCTCCACAGACACTGGGAACCTGGTGAATCGTTTCAGCCAGGACATGTCCCTCATTTGTTTACAACTACCATTTGCCTTGGAAGATACCATGTTGAATTTCAGTTTCTGTGTCCTGGGTCTGATTCTTATCACATTGGCATCTAAGTGGTCGATGACCATGTATCCACCGCTCATCGTGGTTCTCTACTTCTTACAAAGGTTTTACCTCATGACATCTCGACAGTTACGTCTTTTAGATTTAGAAGCAAAATCACCTCTCTACTCAGATTTCATCCAGACACTTCAGGGAGTGGTCACGATCAGGGCATTCGGCTGGCAGCATGCGTCAACCGCAAAGAGCGCCACCCTTCTTGACCAATCACAAAGGCCATTTTACCTCATGTACAGTATTCAGAGATGGCTTAATCTCGTACTGGACTTACTCGTCGCAGCAGTCGCCACTATGATCGTGGCTCTCGCAACTCAACTCAATGACTCGTCGGCCGGAGCCCTTGGTGTCGCTCTGTTGAACATTCTTAGGTTTAGTTCGGATCTTGTTGATCTGATCCGGACTTGGACAGAACTAGAGACGTCTTTGGGCGCTATATCGCGTATTCGGGCGTTTGAAAACGAGAGCCCCTCGGAACGCTTGCCAGGGGAAAGAGTTGATCCCCCTGCACAGTGGCCATTCCAAGGGTTGATCCAGATCGAAAACCTGTCGTCAAGCTATATGTAGGTTTGAAAAGCTAACTTGATACCATGTGAATGATGTAACTAACTCATAAATAGGCCCGATTCTGAGCCCATCCTAAAGAATATCTGCTTAGAGATCGAGCCAGGAAGCAAGGTTGGTGTATGCGGCCGAACAGGAAGGTGAGGCATGAGACGCCCTTCAATCATGTGAATAATTCACTGACACAAATTCTAGTGGCAAGAGCACATTTCTTCTGACGATGCTGCGGATGGCGGAGGTCCAGAGCGGAGACATCTTGATTGATGGCATATCAGTGAAATCTATGCCACGCAATGTAGCGCGTCGTCGCATCATCACAATGCCCCAAGAGGCACTCTTCCTCCCAGGGTCCGTCCGCTCGAACGTCGATCCACTAAACGAACACCCCGACGAGGCGATCTTTTCTGCATTGAATGAGGTGGGAATACTCGACATCATCATCGCGCGGGGAGGCTTGAGCGCCAATATGGAGGCCATGGCTCTGTCCCATGGGCAACAACAACTCTTCTGTCTCACTCGCGTCATTCTTAGCTCGTCTAAGATCGTGCTCCTCGACGAGATTACGTCCAGCGTTGACGCAGTTACCGAAGCCAAGATGATGGAGGTGGTAGAGAGGACATTCCACGATCGGACCGTTGTTGCCATCGCCCACCACCTGCATACAATCCGGAATTTCGACAAGATTATTGTGCTAGACAAAGGATGCGTGGTGGAGGTAGGCTCGCCTGATGAACTGTTAGGAAACCCGCTCAGTGTTTTCCGGGAGCTCTGGGAACGAAATCATTAGACACTCGCGACGCGACGGGGTTCTGGAAGAGGCGTGGTTATTGATTACATATCGATCCTCACGAAGTTTCAATTAAGGTTAGAAATGGAATCATGCCATGCTTCATTCCATTTTGCCATGCTTGAGTTTCACCAGCAAGCTCCAGTGTCGTGATGCCTCCTGCTACCTAGCAGGACTCCGCAGCTGCCACGACCGAGATCACTCACCAGAGACCAAGTAATTGAGCTAGAAACTAAGACATATCGAAGTGAACTAACTATTCATGATTTTCCCCCTTGTATCTCATTCCCATTTTGACTACTCTTACCGTCATTGGACATCTTAGGCATTAATGAATGAGCCCTCTTATGATCTCATAACGTCCGGTGCTCGTATTCGCCAATCCATCTCGTACCCTGAATCACGTAGCGGAGTCTCTTTGGCCAATAATCCGCCAGCAGCATGAGTGTTTTCTTTTTCTCCCCACACGAAATCTCTCGTTGTGGGCCAAGTCAGGTGAAAAAAGAGTAAAAGCTGGGAGATCCAAATGTACATACCCACCACTTTGGTTTCATCACCATACGGGAAATCTAGGTACACGAATAATTGTTGTGATGGAGCTACCGGTAGATGTTAGGTGTTTGTCCTGGACATTCATCTGCTTTTGATACTTCATGTTAAAACAACTTAATGGCCCCCAGGTAGTGCTGTAACAAAGATGCTTGAGCAGGGTACCGTACCTTCTCACCGACGTGAGGTCTTGTCCTCAGCCCCCTGCTTTTCTGATTTAGGCATCGCTTAATGATCCAGATTGATAAGATAAAACGGGTCGGGTCTTTATGATCCAGCTCTAGCGGTCAACAGCATTTACTCAGGGGTGGTGAGTCAAAGAAGGTAGCTGCTTTGCCTTTTCTGCGTAGCAGCAAGAGTTTAATCCGCCCCCCACTCAACCTGTCTTCTTCATCTTTTGGAGACGCTCTGTTCACGAATCTCAAATACCCCTTTAAGCCTGACTGCACTACAGTCAGTCCTCTATCATGATGATCACCATTCGCCGCGCCACACGCAGCCAGATCCCAGAGATCGTCAGCTATGTTATGGCCTCACGGGCCAAGACCATCCCTGGCCAGGACCAGGCCATTCTTCCAGATCTCGCCCGCTTCCAGGAGACGTACATTGAAAACCCAGATGGGTGCTTCCTGACAGCCCACAACGAAGACGGCCAGATTGTAGCAGCAATTGGTTATTTAGCCTACGACCCACGTTTCCCACAGCTGGATTTAGGCCACGAGCGCGTGGTAGAAGTGGTGCGACTGTACGTCGATCCCTCGTGGCGGCGTGCTGGTCTGGCCTCCAGGCTGTTTGCTGAATTGATGCGACACGCGCATGAAGCGGGCATTGGGCGGCTTTATCTGCACACTCACCCCCATCTCCCCGGGGCCATTCGTTTCTGGGAGAGACAAGGATTCGTCATCCTCGATGTCCAAGAGACGGCTGGTTGGGGGAGCGTGGTGCATATGAGCAGGTCCTCTAGCCCTTCTCCATCCGTCTCCCTGGAGGTGGACTATGTTCCAAATGCCGGCGCTCCTAAGCTGAACGGCTCCTTTGCTGCAAACCATCAACAGATCCGGAGCTTCTAAGCCATTTGGAAGGTATCTCTCTGCCTGCAGATTTAAACGCAGAGTTGGATCAATGTGGCAGCCGGGACTGTTCTATGCAGGTGGTTTAATATTTCTCGTCAAAATAAACTTGGCAATGGCTCTTTCAGGTTAAAAAGTTTGACCGAACCTGATCGATGCAAAAAGAAAAGTTCTCCGGTACTGGGAATCGAACCCAGGGCTGCTCGGTGAGAGCGAGCGATGTTAGCCACTACACCATACCGGATTTGCTTGTGAAAGAGGTGACGCTATTATTGTAAATGAGCTCAGCCTCCCCAAGCGCATCTCCAAACAGGTTCCATTGAAAGTGTTCTACCAGTCCTACCTTTGCAGTGATTCTCTTTATGCTATAATAGATTCTTCGAGAGTACATACTTTACTTTTTCTGCCATTATATAATATTCATTCCCATCATCGTCTCATTTGTTTAAAAAGAATTTGCTCTAGTTGGTGCGAAAGACTGAAAGGAACTGGTTCTCCTGCTCCCTCAGCCAGAAATTATGCTCGGAACTTGAACGCTATGCAAGGGCGCCTGCAGTCCACTTCCTCTCATGGGACGATTCATGCTTTGGACATATGTCGTCACCGCGCGCTTCGGACTTCCATAGATCCACCAATCTCGAAGGTTCGCAATAGAAGCTCCCGCTCCGGTCCCGACAATTTGACCCATTACATCCACCACAATCGTTGTGTTATTCAAGTGTCTTGGCCTAATAGTAGGGATACTCAGGTGTGATCGTAGCGTAACCAATTATAAAAGAGACGAATAAATCGCTTAATTCGTGTGAAATCGGGTCCTCGTCTTTGGCTTCCGATTGGGCCTGATACGAGCCATAGGATGCTCTTCCATGTAGACCACGCCGTTCTTTCCCGGTTATCCTGCAGCAAGTCGAAGTCAGTAACACCGCTTTTCCATTAACGAGAGATGCCACGCCGTGTAAGGGGATTTCTTTGGCCAAGGTCTCCAATTTGGCTTCAAATACGCAGGAAAGGCTCCCTGGAAGTGCAGGATGCATGTGGTCAGTATTTATTGGGAAGGAGATGCCTGTTATACTTATGCAACAACCTGCCAAGCATACAAAGGACCTTCCGCAACTAGAAGTGGCAACTCAAGGCCCTTGTGTTGTAGAACATTTACAAGGGTGGCTTGGTTAGATATTTTAGAAATATAAGGGCTATGCCCAGTCCAACCAGTTAAGTTTGTCTAGTTGTGTTGAGACTAAGCAGTTATACCTAGAAATTTCTGGATTCGATTTGAGGAATTTTGTCAAGATGCGTTCTTCACTTCTTCTCGCTCTCCTACCAGCTGCATTATGTTCACCAACTCAGCCTTCTAAGCCTGCTCCTCTACTACAGCGCAGAGATCAAACTGGCGTTCTTCCGAACAAGTATATTGTCAAGTTCAAGGACACCAGCGTGCTTACCAGAGCTGAGAGCATCCTGAGTACTCTCGCCGTTACCCCTGAGCATACGTTTGAGCATGTATTCAAAGGGTTCTCTGGAGAGCTTAACCAAGAGACACTAGAGGCTCTCCGTAACCACCCTGATGTGAGTTTACACTCATGAAAAATCTCATACTATCTCACACGTTAGACAGGTTGAATACATTGAAGAGGATTCTATTGCTGGTATCGATGCCTATGTTGACCAGCAAAGCCCTACCTGGGGTCTTCGCCGAATTTCTCACAAGGTTCGGGGCTCCGTTCCGACTTACAGATACGACGACAGTGCCGGCGATGGTACATGCGCTTATGTTATTGACACTGGAATAGATGCCACGCACCCAGTACGTCATCGAGTCAAGGTTCGATCTCTCTAGCTAATGCCAGTTTTCCACAGGACTTTGAAGGCCGTGCTACATTTGCTGCCAACTTTGCAGATACATCTGACACTGATGGTCATGGCCACGGTACCCACGTTGCTGGCACTATTGGCTCCAAAACCTACGGTGTGGCTAAGAAAACGCTGCTCTATGGTGTTAAGGTTATCGATGACGATGGCAAAGGAACTACTTCCAGCATGATCAAGGGTCTTGATTTTGTTGTTGCCGATGCCCCCAAGCGTAACTGCCCCAAGGGTGTGGTTGCTAATATGTCTCTGCGTGATAACGTCTCTGTTGCTCTCAACGCAGCTGCAGCAGCGCTTACCACTAATGATATCTTCCTCGCGGTGTCTGCAGGAAACCAATCCCAGGACGCCTCCACTCAATCTCCAGCGTCAGAGCCCACTGTGTGCACAATCGGAGCCTCGGGCATTACCGACCAACTCTCATATTATTCGAACTTTGGAGCAGTAGTTGATGTTTTTGCCCCTGGCGACGGCATTGACTCTCTCGCTCCAGGTGGAAAAACCGTAAGACTTCTTGGCTTTGTCTCTATATTTTGTAAGAGATTCGGGGCTAAGACTTTTATTAGGTTGCTATGTCTGGCACTTCTATGGCCTCCCCTCATGCAGCGGGTCTCGCCGCATATTTCGCAGCCCTTCATGGCTGGCCAGGTGCTTCAGCTCTCTGTGAGCTCCTCAAGAGCTATGCTCAAAACGATGCCGTCAAGAACATACCTGCCGGCACTGTTAATAAGCTGATTTACAACGGCAACCCTGATGCCTAATCGTAGGCCAGAGCGAGTCACATTATGTCTCTCGCTAGAGATCAATGGGATAGCTAATCAGCCTGAACTTTATGCTATGACGAGAAATTAGTTCTAGCAAAGATATTGTCTCACAAAATAACCCATTTTTATAAAACATTGGATCCTTATTCTCATACACATCTTGATTATTCTCTTCAGCAAGCTTGTAGTCCGGTTCCGTTATCTCAACATGCGTACTTCGCGTTAACTCTATCGCAGACTACTCTCGGTCAAACCACTTAATACTATACAGAGAGCCACCAGTCCTTCTATTCTCTCGGCGTTTGTTTTTCCGCATCTTAGTTGGTGACTACTCTACTCAGGTTCGAGAAAGGGACGCTAAGATTCAGCATGATGAGAGAAACGCGCTGCGTGAGCCGGAGATTTATAAGAGTTGAACCATCTACTCATCATCGGGGCTTAGGGTGGGTTTTGGTTTTGCATCTACCCTGATTGTGCTTGCTGCTACTGTCGAGCGGTATTCGCCTTGAGTACCTGGTATGCGTGGTCTTGGTAGAACAGGATGAGAGGATCCTTGCCCTGGCTTTGTATCTCCTGGATCTCGGCCATAGAAAACTTTTGGTGAAGTACCTCTCTGGCAACATTCTTCTGTTCCTCTGACGAACTCTGCATCATTTTAATAGCAATTTCTTGAACTTTTTGCTTATCAGCGGGTGACAGCCTCTGCAATTCACTGGCTGCAGAAGCTGGATGATTTTGGCCTTGTCCCACGGCTGCAACTGAGGAGCTGAGAAATTGAATAGCGTTCCTTAGACTCTCGACGGCATTCAGTCCATCTCTCTCCGCACTCTCCACATTTATATTGCCAGCTCTCGTATCAAAGCCGTGTTCCGCATCTGCCGGGAATTCTTCTACCACCTCGACACCCGCAGCTCGAAGCTTCTCGGCTGCCTTCTCACTGCACGAGACGGGGACAGCTGAGTCATTCACTCCATGAAGTAAGTATGTCTTTGGAATCCCAGCTAGGTTCGCAAACGTCAAGGGGAAGAGATGGCGATCTCGGTCTGCAATAGCTTCCGCTCCTTGTGTCGAAATAGCACGAGCCAGTCCAGCCACGCCTGTCATATAGTCTACGAAAATCCCATCAACATGGAGGGCTGAGACGAGGGACGATCTTGTATCGGCGGCCATGTCAGGAGGCATTTTGTACGCGGAGAGTTTCTTTCTGCCGTCGCCTTCTTTCGTTATTGGGAATTCGCGCAAGATTGGCCCTGTCTCGATTGTGGGCTGCCCAAAGATGTTGGGTCCGGGGGTCGTATAGGTAGGTCCAGCCGCGTCTAGCATTCCATATACCAACAACAGAGCGTCCGGTTTCTCTTCCACAATTGTAGTGGTGGTCAGGGCAAGATAACCACCAGCGCTTGATCCAGCAACCAGTACCGAGCCGATGGGGCGTTCAAGCAGGCCCGATAGCGAGGATCTCACCCATTTATAGGCATCCACTGCGTCCTCAACTGAGGCATGGGCTGTTGATTCCGGGATGAGGCGGTACTCTGGTGTCACAAAAATCCAGTTCCGAGCGACGGATGCATGGACAAGCCAGTACGGGAGGAAGCTGTACCGGTCACCAAACACCTAGATCATTACAGTAAGCCAGGATCCTGCCACAAGACGCTTTTCCAACAGTCAGTATTTACCAAGAATCCGCCGTGGAAATGAATAAGGACGGTGCTCGGTGAGTCTGCCGCCTGAGTAGGGTAAACCACGTCTGTATGGATGGGATTGCCATCAGGATCCGTCTTGAAGACGAACGTCTTGGACGTGTATCCATCAAATCCGTCAAGGGGAAAGGTTGCCATTGTAAAGAGAATGAGCGATGGGGGACTAATCGGTTGAGGATTCAATGTTCTGAAAATGAGATGTTACTGATGATTTGTAACGCTTAATGAGGAGAAGCTGGGCTGATTTCCTCGGTTGAAGCTCGGTGTTCGCCCTCCGATTGGATGTAATGATCCCTAATCCACAGTTCATGCTTTACTCCGCACATCCTTTCTCCCTTGGATTCATTCCCTCGTTCGATTCGATTCGATTTGCCTTGTACGGGACACAGTGCCACCAGAGCTCTAATGCTAAAACGTAGCGACGTAGCATTCGCCCTTGCCCCTTGTTGACCCTGCTTCCTCCTTGTCTTGTTCGTTTGATATCATCACGAATGCCAGGAATCCCAAAAACAAAGGGCTGCTCCGTTTGCAAGGCCAAAAAAATCAAGGTACTTGGATTGAGAATCCCATGGTATTTGCTGATGAGAGATATAATTGGTCCTTTTGTCAAATAGCTCAACCAACAGGCTAACTATTGTCGGATGATCGCCAAGACAGTGTGACGAGAAGTGGCCAACTTGCACGGCCTGCCAATACTCCAAACTGGAATGCCCTGGGCCATCACCACTTGTGACCTATGCATACAGATCTCAGGAACCATTCAATGAGAACTTCAACAACACAAAGCTGCGTTTTCCCAACCTGCTCGCATCGACGTGGGTTGAAGATTCACTACCACCAGAGCAGAGATCATGCTACAATCACAAACACCAATCGAAGAGATACAAACCCATCAGACCTCGACTTCCTACCAAGTCGCGCGTTCTCTCGAGCCATGGCCCACCTCGTGCCAATCCAACAACACGACTGAGCCAACTGGCAGCCAATCTTGTCTCTGTGCTCAACACATCCACGGATCTTGGAGATGCAGCTCACCTTAGCATACTATCATTTGTCCCTCCGCGTCTTCAAGAAAGCCAATGCTTATCTGATAGCGTGGCATTCTGGTGCAGTTCGCAAACGGATGATCGTCGCTGCCTGATGAAGCCAAGCGTCAACACACTGCGATACTATAGCGCGGCTCTCCAGAGTCTTCGGCAAGCCTTGAGAAGTAAGCAAGCTTACTGCGCTGAGACATTAGCAACAGTAGTGATCCTCCAAAGAGCCGGTAAATCCTTTGAAAGAGCAGTAAAGCTGGATTCGGTTGCCCATGCAAAGGGGATGTCAGAATTGATCGTGCAGAGAGGGCCGCCCCGCCTGGATGATGATTTGGACGCCTCACTGGCAAGTGAACTGGGCTCAAGTCTGGTAAGTACTCCTACGCCCTTCGTCAGGCTTCCTACGTAGCCTATCTGATCAAAATATTCAGTTTTGCTGGTGTGATAAACTTGGCGGCCAGGGGGGTCGCAAGATTGAGCCCGCCGAAGAAGTCAAGCTCGACGGGCCTCTAATATCAGCGTCGGAGGAAGCTCTGATCCAAGGCACATTTGCTAAGATGGCTGATTACATGACCCATGTTGGATTGGTTCACAACAACCCAAATCCTGAAAATATGAAAGTCCTGGCTTCAGAACTCCTTGAGCAACTTCAGCTTTGGAACCGAGGCTTTTCCCTGGCTATCAAGCATATTGAGGAACGCTTCACCAAACAGGGACTGATGGAAGTTATCCCCGACAAAGACTTCTTCTTAAAGGAAAAATACCATTTGAGGTCCATTGCTGCCACGCAGTTCCTCCTCGAAGTTTTGGTGCTCCAGATCATTATTGCCAAAGTTCTTCACAGCTTCAGTTCGTTCTGTGCCTCCCCAGGCGATACCGCCCTTTACTTTGAAAAATATCGCGAACTCTCGATCAAGTACTGGATGCTTATTCCTCACCTTAAGAAATCACATATAAAGGCTTCGCAGATTGTCTCGTGCACTTTCAGTCTTACCTTTGAGGCTGCTGAGAGCGATCTAGAGAGGGATCAAGTCCTGGATGCTGTCATGACTTTCGACCAGTACATGGGGAAGCTTAAACGCCACCGCAAACTCTTAGAAGCCCGAGTGCTTCAGACCGCTAAGCAGCTTACCGGTCGTGGAGGGGTTCTGCCTATTCAAGTTTGGATCAGTGGTCAAAGAGAGTCCAAGACACGGAAAAAGGCAAAGAAAGTCTCATCCAATCCACGTTGGGTCACGAATTCTAGCCACATTCTACATGGCTGTTTATTCTTTGAGAGATTGCTAGATTGTTAGAAATGCTCGGCGGTGAGCGACCCTCGCTGGGTCAAGGTGTTCGTCTATTTTATGAATCATTATCCATACTTGCGTGATCACTACTAAAATTCTATATGCTATGCTTGAAATAACAGGGAAATGCTTGTGTAGCCAACCTAGTGAATGTTTATAACCTATCTCAAGACCTAGTAAACGTATATATGATCGACAGCATTGTCCGGGAAAATACTCTTGCTAAATTCTCTGTAAGTCTCTGGCTAGTATAAAGCTTGCTCATAACTTAACACGAACAGCCTCGAGGCCCGGCAATTTCAGTAACCTTCTCTTTCTGTAGATGGTGGTTGAGTCCTCACTGAAAGGCATACCTGGTCATACTTAGGGTTGACACATTTTTAAGATGGCTTACACCGCACTTGACTGACGAGACATTTGAACGGAAGAGAGTTCGAGTGTAAAGTGAAACAACAATATAAGATGGCAGATCCGACATCTCAACACAATGAATGCGAAAAGTTAAAAAAAAAAGCTTCATTAGCCTAAGGCTGCATTCATGCGGAAGAAAAAGTCTGTAAACCTTCATGACGATGGCTCACTTGCCGTCAGGATGAGCCGCTCGCCGAATGACTATTTAACCTACGGTGTTTCGCCTGGCTTCTCGTCTTACACCAATCCAAACACTTCAACACACCAAGCTCGAGGATACCAGCCATCAACGGGACATTGACCATTTTCTTTGTGGAGTGCTTGACTGTAATCAAGAATTCAGAACCGCAATAGGCCCAGAGCTATACACAAGCATACGTCTTTGCCTAATTCCTGTCGCTACATGCTATTTGGACGCCACATTGCGGCGGTGAAAATGTTTGAGCTTTTACAAGGACATCAATCATGGAAGGTTAATATCGAAAGAAATTGAGCGATATGGAGTATCAAGTCTTATTATAGCAAATTGTATTTATTAATCAGTAGAAAATAATGAAATTCTTAATTTTTATGATATATTCGATTCACTCAGAAGTCCGTTGATGAGCGGCCCCCTGACGCCCCGGTCGATCTGCCTGCGGATTCATGAGGTGGCTTTGGCGTTCTTAACTTATGCCTGTTGGCAAAACAGAGATCGTGTTCTAGAGAAACGAGTCCACCTCAGGGCTCAGTGTTGCCAAGAAGAGGTATCGGATGGCTCAAAAAGGGTCGACGAGTGAACAGATCAATTGGATGGGTACTGGATACGGCTCAGACGAAGTGATTAAAAGGCTGATTATATTGCAAGTGAAGTGATGTATTAATTTCAATTGGTGCCAAGGTACTTTTCGAAATAAACGCTGATATGATTGTGCTAAATAAAGATGTAACGAGAACGATAAGGAGAATAAGAAAAGACAAATAACATAGTAGGGCAAGTTTGATTACCATGAAGCTGAGTTGGAAGAGTTTGTAGCGAGTGTAGAGAAGCATAATATGGGTGGAAAAAAAGGAAAATCATGTCTGGATTAGAGACAGCATTGACAAAATGCCTCTTGAAACACTCCCGTAAGGCCGTAAAGACATAAAGACGTTAAAGGCGCGCGCGACTTCTATTTGGAAGGAAGAACGATGGATGTCATCACCATTGTCGTGGCAACAAGGTTGCTGGCCACCGCGACAGGGGTTACCAAGACCGCCCTGATGTTTTCGAAACCGACAGTGGCCTGTGGTTTCACATGTTGCCCCTTCATTAGTTCCATGAGGGAAAACAGCTCGATGGCGGTAACAACCATGACTGAGTAGACTTCAGGAGAGGTGAAGATGGTCTTGAAAACACGGGCGAGACGCTTCGCCAGAGTAGGCGGGCCAGAAGGAACCATGGTCCGGGTTGACGACTTTGCTGCCGCGTCCTTCCTGGAGGAGGGGATGACGATGTAGCTGGAGATGCGGGAGAAGAGGGCAACGGCCAGCGATGCCCAGAGGATCCATTGTTCCCGCTCCTTGCGCAGTTCACCGCAGACGGCGGCAAAAGCAAGCACATTCTGTCCGACAGCCAAGGCCAGCTTGAGGGAGGCGAAGGTACGGTAAGGGCTGCCCCCAACCATGATATCACGGATACCTCCTTTGCTGTACTGAGACATCATCTCATCAAGGACCTGAACGAGACCATGGGTGAAGAACAGAGTGTAGCTCTTCTCGAGTGTGGTGAAATGGTTAGGAAGGAACAGGCCAGCAGTGATAATGGCAATGTCGACCCAGACCATGCGCAACTGGCGTGCCGCGATAGCATGATCGGCAGCGGCTCTTGATGGCTTCTGGGGGGCGACAGCCTTCCCGTCCTTGGCGTCGGCGGACTCGTCTCCCTGCTCTCCCCTGGCTTCTTCTCCGACAGACATCCAGATGGCAAGGCGGACGTAGAGGTCCCATCCCAGGAATGTGAAAACAATCGCGGTGGACAGAGCTTGGCTGGAGAGTCCCACGGTCCTTGCCATCAGATTGCCGGTGTTGCGGCCATGGATCATGACTGCGGTCAAAAACGCACCCAGGCGAAGGAACAGCTCGCCCCTCTTGACGGACCGATAACCCTCAGACAGGACCTGCTCGCCGTTCAAGAAGCGCTTCCAGAGCATCGTGCTGAGGCTGATGAGCAGGTACAGTGCGGTGACGGAGGTGGCGCTTTCAATCCAGACTCGGGCATGCTCGTGTGCGCCAATGGGGCGGCTCAGGTTGTTGGCGTAAAGCAGGACTTTGACGACGATGGCGGCTGCTACAGACGCGGCCAGCGCGAAGTTGTAGCGAGAAATGAAGACGCCCGAGCGCGGAAACAGGAGCCCGACTGGTCCCTTGGGAGGCTGGATGCCGACCCTCATGTAGTAGAAGCTAACGATCTGCGTACGGATGCTATAGCCAGTGAGGAACAGCAGACAGGCAGCCCGGATCAGGTCCCACATGCCGTTTGGTGTCTGTACGATCCGACCCAAAGCGTAAAACATGAAGGGAATCTTAATGGTACAGACCGTACCCATCTGGAAGAGCTTGTTAACGTAGAGAACGCGGGAAGTCTGTTGCCTGTGGCCCAAACTCCTAAAGACTTTGTTGACGGTCAAGCCGATGTCGCCAAGCTGGGTGGCCGTATGAACGTAGAGAGGCTTGATCATATGGAGGCTAGGCATCGCAACGGTGTTGAAGTAGAGGAGGGTGCAGAAAACGTGGTGCAGGTAGAGCTCAGTCGAGGTCTCGTACCAGACGAGAAGCTCACTAGCCCAGGGAACAATCTGGGAGATGACACATACGTGGCCAGCCGTCGTAATAGTCTGTCCGGTCTCCCATTTCGCCTCGCGAGCTGCCATAACACACGCCGGGAAAGTAACAAGCGTGCCATTGACAGAGCGGATAAGCATTACCATCACTGGGAAGAGCACCTTGTATCGAAGCTCTCCCGACTTGTGCTTCTCATACCATTCTGGCTGGGCAATTTTCACCAGTCGCTCAACGATTGGGAAAATAACCCAGTATCCGCCCAGCGCCAGGATGAATGAGGCGAGGAACAGCTGGTGCTGGGCCACGTCCATAGTGGACTGGTTAGACATGATGATGGTCAGAATCGAACAGAAAAAGGAAAAGATAAACAAACAAAAGAAAACAAACAGAAAAAACTGGAGACGAAACTTATTAAAGAAAGGGTGAAACAGTGGTTTTTGTAGGAGAAGGAAGCACAGGAACCTTCCAACGCAGGACTTCAGTCCATAGGGCGAGTATAAGAGTCGGCCGAGATGTTGGGACGATCAGGGGTCAGGCCATCTGGGACCCTGGTCAGCATCCAGGTCCCTGGCATGAACCTGGTCTTAGGTGAGCAGTTGGTGGAGGTGCGTGATATATTTAGACGCCGGAAATTTATATATAGCCACACCACGTAATACCGCACCCCAATCAGGCACGCAGCTTTTCCTTTTTTCACGGTTTTGCACGGAAAAGGACCACATCTAGGTCGTATTTATGCTTAACAAGGCTGCAAGCAGGTTTCTGACTTATATACGGGCGTGTCCGCGATATCGCCTTGGAGGAAATCGTGTTGCGCGACCGTCCCAAACCAGCCAGGCTTTCCCAATCGGGACGCTCATAATGGGTCAGGTAAGCTGGGTGTGTTTGCTATAACTCCGGCCGCCACCGGCTCTCTCCCCCCAAGATGAACGAGTGTTGTCTCTCTGACCGCTCTATCTACCGCCAAGACGGGCGACAGCTGCTGCCCAGACCGCCCAGTGTGCTACAAAGACAGCCAACAACTGCCGAGCCGACTTGGCTGCTCGCCAAGACGCGTGACTGATGTGAAGCTGACCCGACTCTCTTCGGTAAAGATAAGCGTTACGGTAGGGCTACTTAGCCTGCAGATAGCCACTTCAGGTCTGCAGCAATCGCTTATCTCCTGAAGAGGCAGCTGAGCCAGATCAATAGCATCGCTCTGATCAAGCGACAGCCAAGTCAGCTCTACAGCTACCATCCCTCTCAACAAGAGACAACCAGGTAAGACATACAGTGATCACTCGCGTTGCCATGCGCCAGCCAGGTTCGGCTTCCAGCTACATCCTATTTTCGGAGAAGGACTGAGACATCATATCTTGACAAGAAACAGCCAGGTCAGACGACAGCAATTAGATTCAAGTCTTGTCAAGGGACAGATAGGCCATCGCAATTACTCGCCTTGACGAGAGACATCTAGGTCAGGCCTGCTGTAATTAATCATTCCGAGATATATCAATCGCTCTTTCTTATGGCAAATGATTGAATTAAGACTGTCGTGATCGCTGCTCTGAAGTTAATGAGAGAATAAAGTTATGTGTAGTTCCGCAAGGTCGGGGATGTTGTGTTGTTTGATGTTCGACCCAATCAACTTGGGATGTGGAATTAAAACCGAGGGCTGTGCGAGACAAGTAATAGAGGTAAAAACCTAAGCGAGATGATATCTAATGCATTACAAATGTAACTTCTTATATTAAACGAGTGAAAACATATCAAGTCTAAGGAAATAGGGCTCTCCTGTTATTGATCCTGGGAGGTATAGGGTGGCTCAGTTGAACCAACAAGTATCTTATCCTCGGTGGAATCAAATTCGGTATCATCATGTAATACCGGAGTATTTGTAAAAAAGAAAAAGAAGAAAAACAACCACACATGCAGCGGCGGTATGATTTGCTCATTCATTCCATTATTTAAAGTCACTTTGTCCCTGAATTGAGCATCGCCTCTCACCATGAAATCACCATTGCTCAGTTGGGAAGGTTGCCCGAAACCTGCTACCGGAACGGATATACCTGTATCCGCCCCAACATCACACTCTGCACTGTCCTCTCAACAAGTCAGCTCTTCAATGCATTGTAAGATGAGTCCCCACTACAGCCTCGGCATTGTGCGGGTGCCATGTTGCTGCCGTCGCGCGACGGACGCACGCAGTCACACGACTGCACTTAGAGCCCATGTTTTCAGGTGGCTGGTGGCGATGGTGCCTGGCTTATCTTTCACTCGAAACAGCTGGAACCCACGTGGCGAGCAGCCATTACTTTCCTTCCGTGGGTTCATCCTTCTACCATATTTTCTCAAATCATTCGCCCTTTTTTTTGCCGCTGTTTCACGTGGGGAACGCAAATATGATTGGTTTCATACAGAAATGCGGGTCTTTAAAGTGGGGTGAGGCAGGACGAAATTTTGGTCAGAAAACTGAGGTACCCTATAGCATCCATCCTCAGAACTGAGGATTTTCCCAAATCAGTTGGGAACGAATCCCAGCCTCGATTCTCTTGTTTAGTGTTGCTTGATTTTTTATCCAACTTTGTAATCATAGAATAGAGTCATTATACTATTTTTGATCTCGGTTATCAAAATGTTGCATTTCCTTGCAATTGTCCAGGGAGGGTCTGAATAAAGGCTGGGGTGGATCGGTTATGTGCCAAGTTTAAAAATAAGAGTTCCATGACTCTTTGATGGAGGAGATGTGTGACTTTGTTGATAACCCTAAGAACCACTCGAATACTGAAGTGTATGGCGAATCAGGACCGACGGCCTGTCGCTGGGCTTCAACAGCAGTCTCCTTTGAGCCCGCTAGCTGACGATATTCTCGACGTGGAACCGAGATTCGCCTGATATCATTGAGCAGAGCGATGAAGCCTTTTGATGGATGGATCATGCCTCTACAAAAAAGCTGAACAAGATCCCGAAAATGAGATCCGGCATGGAACAAGCAGCGATGGCACATCCGTAGATGGAAATCAGGAAAGCGATAGATACTCCTCGACGACTACATGCACTCTTTCGAATTCATCTCCGACTCGATTAAGAACTGTGGTTGCGGACGATTCACCCAGAGCAAGATTGCAAGAGACAACAACCGCTTTCAAAATGAAGTAACACGCTCTTCGCTATGAGCAGGTATTTATTAAGTTCTAATGGTCATAAGTCTGATGGTCATAATACAAAATGCTAAATCTGAAAATGCAATGCAATCCTACTCCGATGAATTACTTTGATTGTTGGGATAATCTGGGGGACGTTAGCATAGGATTTTGGATTCGGGGGTGATAGAGGCAGCAGAACTTACAAAAAGCACAGGTGCCGATGATTGAATATAAGCAGATCAACAGGAAGCCCTCCAGCCAATGACTCTTGCCATCGGCAATGAGGTAATTGACTAGGAGGACCGCAACAAACATGACTGCCACCTGGAACAGGTCGAAGCTGAGATTCATCTCATCCAGTCCCAGACCCCAGCCGATGATAATGAGGAGCGGGAAGAGGAGCAGCGCAACCTGCATGCTGGACCCGACGGCAACACCAATTGCCAGATCCATCTTGTCCTTGATGGCGACGGTGACGGCCGTGGCGTGCTCGGCCGCATTGCCCACGATCGGGAGAAGAATCAGACCGACGAATTCCTTCTTGAGACTGCTGTTCTCCGTCACCGAGTCGATCGAGTCCACCATGTAGTCGGCGCACAGGGCGATGATGACGGTGGAAAAGACGAGAGTGCCGAGCGCGACGAAGAAGTGCAGCTGGGGTTCCTCCTCCTCATCTTCCTCTTCCCCATCGCTACCAGCCTGCTTGAAAACGGCCGAGTTCTCGTTACCATCAGAAACCCCGCCACTCATGAGAGCACCAGGCAGCGCGATACCTCGCCCCACGGCGCCCTCATCGAGGGAACTTCTGGTCCAGGGCTTGGCGGCGACCTTTTGGCTCTCCTCGGAGAAGATCGTCTTGTGGGTCTTGAGCTGGAAGAGGAGATAGGCGCTGTAGACGACGAGCAGAATCACAGAGGTGCCGCGCGAGAGACCGGCGATGTCCTTGACCGGGTTGTCCGTGGTGTAGTCGAAAACTGTGGGAATGATGACGGCGGCGATGGCGAGCGCGAGGAGAGACGTTGCCGTCTGCGCGGCTGTCTCATTGAAGTACTGTTGCGGGCGTCTCAGACCGCCGAAGAAGAAACAGCAGCCCATGACGAGCAGTAGATTCGAGAGGATGGACCCAATGAGGGAAGTCCTCACGATGACGTACTCGTGCTTCACCAGAGCCAAGATGGCGACTATGAGTTCCACGGCGTTTCCGAAAGTTGCGTTGATCAGTCCGCCCCAGACTTCGCCGGTCCGTAGAGCGATTTCCTCCGTCGCAAAACCCAGCATGGCCGCCAGGGGAATGATGGCGATGAAGTTGACTACGAAGACGGCAACTCGGCTGATTGAGGAGACATAGTTGATCGCGATGCCGGCAGGCGCTGCCAGGAGGAGGATGTTGATCCACGAACTGAGCAGTGTGCGCTGGATCTGGTTGGCGGCCGTGAAAGGTTGGTGCTTTCCCAGTGATTTGCTCTGAGCATCATCTTCATCCTCCCGTTTCCGTCCAGACTCACCCGAGGCGCCATCGCGGGAAAAGTTGCGGCTCCAGTTGATCTGACGAAAGACATTCCATGACTGTTCAGTGCTTGTTCGGCTAAGAGAGTGGGCCCGCCGTTTGAGCTTGAATGAATTGAATCTCATGACGGTGAGAGTGCTGCTAGTAGTTCGTTACGGTGAAAATACAAAAGAAGACGCGAGAGTCAACAAGAAGATGAGAACTTGGATGGAAGGACTCCCGAAAAAGGGGCCAAGCGCGGTGGTGATCAACCCGTTTAATGCTCCCATCTCCTGCGAAACCGTCCTCACAATCAAACCAATCCTTGAGGGGCACCCAATCTTGCGCGCCCCTGTTAGGCTGAATTGCACAGCGCATCCAAGGTCCAGTCAGTCCATGACGTTGAACTGGTGGCTGCCACTGAGGCGTCATGACGCTGCGCCCCAGGTCCAAAGCACATCTTGCGTGCCGGCAGGCCGAGACCTCACACATAAAGAGCACGCTAATGCCAAGCCAGGGGCCATGGGCCTGGCTTAGATAGATTGCTTCTCGGATACAACGTGCCGAGTCTCCATCGTGGCACGACCTTGTTGGCCCTTTGATTCGTCACACACGGGTTTTGTAACAGCACTCGCCGTAAATCCTGGCTACTTTGTTATTGCACACGTCAAGTTGGGAAGCTAGCGGTCCTGGTGTTACGTCCCCTCCCAGGAAGCTCCAAAACTTGGAAATAAGCCCGTCGGGCACTAGATCATATCTTCCCCGCGGACGGGAGGTGAAGAATGATGGCGTATTGCGGCTTCCGCCACTTCCCGCGCTCGTGAGTTCTGCCACAACTTACGAATACTGAGGCTGACTTCCGAGGAGGAGTGTATGGTGACGAGGGTTCGTGGAAGTCATGTGGATCTTTTGGTCAGATTAGCCCGGTATTACACATACAAGGAGTTAAAATGGAAGCTGAGAGTTGACTCTATTCCAACTGAGGGATTCAAACCGACTACTGCCCTGTGCCTATTGTTTTTGCTCCTCCGCACATCTTTTATGTGCGTGTTGCGCCGTGACTTCCAGCTACGACCGTCGGTCAGCGTCGTACTCTGAGAATGCTGCTATCACGGTACCTGTACTTCTCATACACGCCTATAGTATATGAAACCCCTGTCTCCTGCAGATATAGCTAGTTGTGCACGGGCGAAATTGCTGTCTGTGAGCTCACTTAGCTCAGCTGCGGTGAAGCGAACCAGTAGCAACAACTGATGAAGTTATAGACAGGCTCGTTAACAATTTATGTTTGGGATGTTTGCATCATTTGATCGGGTCAGATAGGCTTATGGGACGCTCAAAAGTACATGCCATAATGTCTGAGAGACGTAAGGGCATTAGGTATGAGTTTTGAGGCTGGCTGTGGTTCTTGGATTGGCCGATGGAGGTAGGCAACGTCGTGCAATCCTCAATATCTCTACCTAATTCGATTACTGAAGCCTGATCATGTCCCGAGGCTAAGATGGTAATATGAATTACCTTGCCTTCGTCGGTATTGTGTGGCTTCGAACTTAAATTGATGGCTGACTGAGGCTGCAAGATGTGTCGGTTGATATCTCCTTTTCACCACACGGTGGATCTCATATAGCATTACGAATAAAGAAATGAGACGATATGGGAATGGGAGTAAATTACGAGTTGAGTGAATCTTCTACATATGTTTGCCTCTGTAAGCGCAAGCCAGTTTCCTTATTGATCCTTTGAGAGACCCTGGAGCCAGCGCTGCCGAAGCGCCTTTGCATCCTCGATGTTTTTCTTCGACCGCTGCCGAGAATCGCGAGCTCTCCGATCAAGCCACTCCTCGCGATCCTTGACAAAGGCCTCGAGGCGGTCCTGACGCTGCTCTACCAGAGACTTGCGTAGCGGGTCAAGGGCCTCAATCTTAGGTGGTGATGGGTGATCGCCAGCAGGGATCTCGGGCTTGCATGCGACTCGCTTCTCGGCAGGTAAAATATCCAGCTTTGGGCCTGGGAGCATCGGGTACCAGTACGCCGTCGTCGACCAGTCGTCGCGGAGGTGATTGGCGTGGCCCGTCTCCAGCGTGACCTTGATCTTCTTGCTGAACCGGACGGGGTCGACTAGATGCCAGTGGTAAGAGACTTGATGGTTTGGGGCGTCCTCCTCGTGAATGATGCTCCCGCAGAATGGGTACGCATTCTTCTGCATGCCCCATCCCTGACCGAAGTAGTCCTCGCCACCTGTGCCATGCATGGAAGGAGGCCAAGTGTCATCGTCGATGAAAATCATATCATCGCCCTCTCCCCACCAGGTGCCCTGGAAGTGTGCCACACTATGATTGCAGCCAATGTACTGGCCGGCCCCTTCTGTTTCGAGAATAACGTAGTTATCTTTTCCATCGAGATTGGGTACCTGCGTTTCCAAACTATTTGTCTGAAGGTCCTGTGGCGCCCAGCCGTTGGTTGGGTTCTCTCGTCGCCAATGGGCATGGAAGTACAAGGTATCCTTGCTCAGTGGCTCTGGATGGAGCTCATAGTCAATGTAGAAGTATTGGAAGTAGGCCTCCTGGCCCTGGTTCTCTACTTCGATACGAGCTCGCTTGTTGAATGGCATGGAAGATAGCAGTTGAAGGCAGCGGCGCCTCCAAACTTCTTTTCCTCCGACGGCTTCACAGAGACAGTGAAGGGCAGAGACTGGAAGTTGGCGGCCATGGAGTGTCCCAAACAGAAGAAGTCTCCGATGGGCGCAATGACGTTTGGGGTCTCCGAGTCATCCCAGTACATCTTGATGATGACGTTTCGATAGTAATCGGGATCGCTAACCTCGAAACTAAGTCCAAGGGCATTGTGAACCTCCATCATGGCCACACCCGATTTGGAGTAAGGGATCAGTCCAGGTCCGACTATGCGGCGGCACGTTTGGACGAACCACAAGTGTGTGATGGTGCCTGGACCCTCGATGTCGGCGAGGATAGCGCTCTCGCCGGGCTGGATAACCCAGGCATCCTCGTTCTTGCCACTGTGATCCCAACTGGCAAGGCGTGCAGTTCGAGCAGTCTTGAGTCTTGCGGCATTGGAAAGCAGATCTCCACGGAGAGGAAAGCTTGAAGTGGCCATGTTTGTTTCTGATTACGTTGAATCGCACGCGTTTCGTTTCTGGGCTGTTGTCAAAGTTGAGACTGACACATGCAGGGTCACATGCCGTTCCTTCGGCATCATATTTATGGTCGATATTGATATTAGAGGGATGACAACTCTATTCGAAGCAGATTCAGTGCCGTTACTGCAGTCCAATAGACTCGTGACAATTGGGCGTCTTCATACCGCCGTTCAGTCTCACGTACCCGCGGAGTGTCGGAAGTGTATACCGATGAGACCCAGTCTCAAGGCTGGCAGTAGCCAAAGAACGAATCAACGCTCTTGGCCCATATGTTCCGAGCTATTGACCCCAGTATTACCCCAGTTTATCCCTCCATGTGACCATCTCCACCTGTTCGCGGATGCGTATTTACCATTCCGATCCCCGATCCTGTTCCCTTGAACCTTTCAGCTACACGGTACGAAGCCAGATGATACCGGATCTCTTTGAGCGCGCTGAAAGGGCCTTGTGTTTGCGTTCATGGCAGACTATCCCAGGAAAAGAGCATCCATTGCATGCGAAATCTGCGAGCACGGCGCACGAGATGCAATGGCCAGCAGCCTCGCTGTGGATTCTGTATTACACACGATGCGGACTGCATCTACCGCCAGGCCGCGGAGCCTCCCCCGTCTAAGTAAGTACATCTTGGTCGTTTCTGGATCGCCCGATGACACGACCTTGGCTTCAAAATTATAGCATCTAGAGGACTGATGTAAAGATAATCAAGACCGGAAAGCGAGGTTGCAACCATCCGACAGCAACTTGACCAGGTTCTTGAGATACTTGCAGAGAGAAATGGACCGGTCCCGGACCGGCCGATATCTATCCCAACGCATGTATCTACCAATCCTGAGGGCATGTCTACACATACGGACCAGAGCAACCCTGCTACCGACATAATTGACGACTCCACCTTCCCCGTAATGACTATTCAGCGGCAGTCCATGATGGAGGTTCTCCATCTCGATCCGGATACAGGCCCCTGGTTGATTGGTTTGGAAAGACAGCCGCGCGACGGGTCTCACAAACCACGTATGGCTGCATCCAAAATGTTCATGCTGCGGAACGAGCGTGTTGGATCCGCGCTGGGTGCATTCGCTGACAGTATCCACTGCTGGTACCCAGTTCTCTCCTTCGAGTTTCCCACAAACTTCTTCAGCTTCCTCAGTGGGCATGTCTCCAGCCTAGTGGACACATGTCTTGCCGTGTTGGCCCTGGCCATTGGCTCACTGGCCGAGAAGGGGAACATCGCTGAGGCTTTGCATGAGAGGCCAGATGCGCCGTATTATGATGAAGCCGCTGGGATGTTGCAAGACGTTCTCTGTGACTACACGTTGGATGGCCTTTAATGCCTGATTCTGTTTAGTATTTACTCCATGTGTCGCCTAAAACCATGCCAGGCCCACGACTACATCCTCATGGCGTCTTTCAAGGCACAAAACATGCTCAAGAGCCGCACCTTCTCGGATGACAACTCCCGGTCTGAGTCTCTCCAGCGTGCGTACTGGGCTGTTCTCCTCATAGAAAGTGAGCTGGCTGTCCAGCTGGACCTGGCCGAAAGTGGAATATGGAAGTATGACGATAATGTCCCACTACCAGCTGGAGACCACATCTGGCAACATCCAAGAGAAACCAACTTGTCTCCAGACTCAGGCATGGACCATCTATCGCCCCAGGATTCATCAGACTTGACGCGATCGTACTTCATGGCCGAGATAGCCATGCGGAGGATGCTCCAGCGCTGCACAACCTCCGCGAGCAAGTCGGCCGGCGGGCACCTCCGGTACGCGCCGCTGGTAGCTGCCGAGCTCGAGCTTTAGCTGAACGAATGGTACGATTATCTTCCTCCGCTCCTACGTTTCCAGAAGAACCCCTCCAAAGTCAGTGAGCTGGCCATACTTCCCACCACGCTCTTCCTACAGACGCAATACTCGGCGTGCAAGATCTCAATCTTTGGCCCGCGATATACCAGGCGATTGAGACTGGAACTGCCAACGATGAATTGCTGCACTATTGTGAGAAATTCCTCGACGAATACGTGTGATTTGTTCTAGCTGCCTCCGCCTCTCTGAAAAGCTGTCTGCCGAATGCTTGGACGCTTGCTGCAAGGTATTACGTGAAACTCTTTTTCTTCTACGAATATGACATGGTAGTTATATCAGACTACAAGGAAGAAAGATGGACTAGGAGTTCATTACGAAATAATATTAAATTCAATATGACTGTGGAGCGCGATTAGGGCACTCTCGGTAGATTGTATACGTGAACTAAGGCATGAGCAACTGTACCATTACATCCATGTTGCTTTGGAGGCTGTGGGTGAGGTCAGGCTGTTTAGTCCTTCGCTCATGGCTCTACATGGAATCCTTAGAAACGCCGTAGACTCCATCAACTCATCACCAGGCTGACTCCGCAAATTCAGGTAATGAAAGCATTGAATTGGATGGACGGAAGCCTATAATGCATCATTTATATTGATCCTCGTAGATGGTTCCCAGTTGCGTCCAAAATTCTGTTCTCTTGAACGTGGCGGCACCATCTACACCCTGGGCAATAATCGACCTTTCCGCTTTCTGGCATGATATCGGATGCACCTCCGACACTCCGCATATGCCTCAAAAACCCTCGCTCCTCCATGTCTTAGCGCTCGCGGAGTTCATCTCTGGTTCCGCTGTGTGGGTCATCGAACCGTCTTCTGCCACAGAGCCTGTGGACAATCAAAGCTGCTTCCAGTTCACTCCATGTCACCCGTTCATACTCCCCAGCTCAGACGACAATGGCATGACAGCAACTAAGTAAAGCGCTAATTTACTCCATATGGGGAACTCCGTATTGACGACCACACACCTGGATTCATAGCGTGCTGGGGAGATTGCCACAAGGGGGTTTGCTCCATTCAGTTTCTCTGTACATTGCATGGTAAAACCTGCTTTGTATACTAACTCAAGGCATATAAATACTCTATGACTTCTCTAATAATCAGCTAAAACATCTGGTAACATCATTCAATATCATTTTGGTCTCCCACATCAACCCTCAACAATACTCCAGCTATGCATAAAAAGTATAATACTCCTATTCAAAGCTGGACTCTTATAGAGCAAAAAAACTGATGAGAACTCTCTTAGTATCGACTACACAACTGTCGATGGTACCCAGAAATGGGCCATCCTTCGAGAGCATTGGAAATATGGCCTGTGGGGTAGGTAGATAGCCTTGTTGGCCTCTCTCGTCAAGCGAAGATTAACGCGGACAGCCCTTTAGTCTTCTATCGGTTCCATGATGCTGGGTTGGGACTATGTCGCTGGAGGCCAGCTCGCCGCACTTCCAGAGTTTAGAAAGCAATTCGGAGTTCGTCAAGAAGATGGCTCCATGCTTCTCCCAGCCCACTACCTTGCTGCCTGGGCTGCAGTTGGCCTGGCATGTGACATAGTTGCGGCTCTTATTTCAGCACCGTTCCTGGAAAAGTACGGTCGAAAATATCAGATAATCATCGCGTCGGTCATCTCTGTCGTTGGTGTATTGCTGCAACAGCTTGCCACAGAGTGGAAGATGCACCTAGCTGGTCGGGCAGTAAATGATAAGCCATCGTGTCCCTTTATGCCCATCTACTACCGTTGCTAAAGATAACGCAGGTGCTGCCGTAGGCATGATGTTCACTATTTCGCCTCTCTGGATAGGAGAAACCTGCAGGCCAGAACTGCGAGGCTTGTTTCTCTGCTTATTCAACGCAAGCATCGTCCTTGGACAGTTTCTCATGTGTGTGACCATGAAGTAATTCAACGCTGAAGTCCTAACATATCTAACATGATACAGTGTAGTCATTGGTTACGGGGCTAGTAACATTGACGGCTGGTGTATGGGGCCTCATCATGCAATTCACCGTACCTTAGATGATCAATACGGATGTGGGGAACCTTGGTGGTAAAACAGGGCTCATCTTCTTCGGCACTGGTATCCTCACAGCTATTTCAGGGTATTTTCTCTTTCCTGAGACAAAGGTATGCAGTTCAGTGTTACCTTGACGAGCTGCTCTGTCTTGCTTTACTAAAGCTGACGATATCTTTACCTAGGGCCTTTCTTTTGAACGCATTGACGAACTTTACAACAAGGGTACTGCTCCCAGACATTTCAAAAAGAAATCGATCGAGATGGATCTTTCAATGGTATCTAGACAGGGAGTAAAAGATGGAGAGGATATTGCGAATGTGGTTGAGATTTCAAAGGTGTGAAGGAAGCCTTAGGAACCCCCCGAAAAGCCAGTCTAACTTTCTGTTCTATTCATTGTGTTGAGATGTTGGGTCTGGCATCTGCTATGGTTACTTAACTTTATACTAGAGCTCCCTTATGTAACTTTCTGTGCAAAGGCTGCAACGCTTGAATCTGCCTATTCAAACTACGATAGCCGTCGAATCAAGTTATGTCTAATAAAGTCTCTGTCCTTAGCCATAGTTACCGGGGAACCAAAAAAACGCGTACATGCTTCACTCTTTCTAAGTAGAACCGTCAACATTTTTCCTATCTATAAAAGTTAGTCGATTTAGCTCTGACTTTATAGAATACGTTCGCAGGCGATAAAAAGTGTAATAGCATTTTTGATACATAGAAGAAGAATATATGTAGATCTCTTAATCATCTATAATTCCTTCCAATAATCCTTATTCCAACCCTGAGGCCACCCCTAGGCCTCCTGATTGGTACCGTATGAGTCATTTATCCTAGACATCAATTCAGGTGGCTTTTGATACCATTTTACGGTTTGAAGGTCGGCTAGGCCGGCAAATAAGAGGAGTCTAACATGAACGCCTAACTCGATATGTTGTGGTCGGTGTCCTGTAGCCCTGCGGCTTTTTTTCTCGTTAGTTGTAAGTTTTTTTTTCATTAGTGAATTAGGCCCCCTGCCTCTCATTAAAAGCAGAGTTTGTGTGTACTTACGTCCTTCTCTGCACGTAGTCCGCCACGAATCTATGCAACGAAGTTATAAGACCGACTTGGATCACAAACGCGGGTACCCCGAATGGAAACCCAGCTTCATAAACGGCGAGTAGACCGCCTATGAAAATGGCGTGTGCGTATACGGCGGGGCCCGTGAAAACACGGTCCAACTTCAGAACGCGGTAAGAAAAGATGATCAGCCTCACATAGATGAAACCGTTGACCAGCTTGACGGAACCGCGGTGGAGCTGCTCGTTATTTGTATAGAGAGCAGCCAACGTTAGGAAAGGGCGAGTTAGACCCGAAACTTGATACGTTGGACGGGTCGTTTGGTCTCCTCGGATCAAGGTTTTCGCTAGATGCAGTGTGGTTGCTGATTGAAGCAAGCAAAGTACAAGATCCAAGAGGTCCGGGGACGGTTGATCTGTCAAGACGGTAATGTGATAGCGAATGATCTCGGCAGCTCCAGCAACCATATGTATGTATAACGGAGTATTGCTGGCTTTGCGAAACTTGGCAGCATAGAGTGGTACACTTTTGCGCGTATGGTAGACCAATACCGCAAAAAAGGTACAGAGTAAGAGGATTGGCTCCATAGAGCCGGGTTTGAATGATGAAGATATATCGATGTAGGTTGCTTCCTTTGGTTGCGGGGTTTGGATTCGAGTGCGGAGGGCTATCAGCATCTTTTAGTGCCCACGGAGACTCCCGCGATTTAATAACGTTGATGCCGCTATAGTGTCATAGCCCCGGAGCGGTCTTCGGAGCGAGATGACCGGCCTATGAGCGGATTGTCAATTTACGTGACTGAGGCATTCCACTGAGTCTCAGTGGTACATGGGGCGAATCGCGTTATGCCGAACCCTGCGAATTGTCATCATTGTTATTATAACTGCATCGTGCCGCCGGCAGCTAGATAGTTATAGGAAGTGTATCTCCCATACGGTTTGCGATCTGCGAGTGGTCTAGTCATAGTCAAGACACTAAAGGGGCGGCACATTTCGGTTACGGTCCGACTTCGCCCTCTTAGATCCGATTTCACCCTTTGGATCGTTGGCCCCAGATTCGAGCAAAAGGGGGCAGAGTTTTGAGAAGTTTTACTACACACGTCTGCGCGTGTCGCATACTTTCCCGCCGTCATGAATAGAAAGGGTGTACATAAAAGACGCATTTTGTACGACGTTGAAATCTTTATCATAGCATCGAGACTTGTCATTTATGCAGGATCCGATAATGAAACAGGAATTTTCCTGGTTCCAACGCCCCTGATGTGCCCTTACCATCGACCCGCCATAGGTTGGTATAGAGATGACGTCTGATGTGATAGCCTGCCGGCGACGATGAAACAGTCTTATCATCGTCCTATGGGAGCGCTCTGATAGCCCAGTCGGACGTTGGAGTTGTCTCGTGAGGCGTATGAAACAGTTTCTAACGAAAGAGTTCTATCGCCACTACACTGCTCCAAAAGCCATGTCTGTCTTGCCAGGCAGGAAAAGCTTGACCATAGTGGTGTGTATCGATATCAAGGGCCATGTGGTGGAAAAGTGCCTCTCCTAACGACATCGGCGGTGTGCTAAGACTAACCACTTTGTTGTAATACCATTTCCCACTTGTTTCGACATGTTAGCACGCTGGTAACTACCGGCTCAGAGCCGATAGCCGAGTGGTGAAGGGTGACCATCTCCACCACCCCAAGTTAGCCGGGGAAGAGGGAGGACCGTGGGGGAAACTCATTATATTCTGCGGTCTTCGCAAATGGTATACTGGATTTCATTTGGCATATTTGTCAAGATACGGCACCACTAAGGATTCTGGGCCTCAGACTGCTGGTTGATCTGTCTCAGGGCGCGACTTAATCATGCTTGAGTCCGCTGCGACATACACCAGGGTATCATATCTATGCATCGCTTTGGAAAGCCTGGATTTCGCCTGATTCTTCCAAAACCCCGCAAGTATCTAGTACCTAATGTCAGACGGGCTGATCTGCCCTGTGCTAAACGTCTTGCAACCTACCACATGGCAGCGCAGGACCTTTTGACAGAGCTAGTAACATGCTCACGTCAGGCAATCACAAGCTGGCACAATGAAATTGCCACCTTAGATGCATTGTTTTTAAAACTATGCAGTCGGGGTAGTTCAACCCAGACGAAGTAGAAGAAATTAAATTGTAATCTATCCCATTCAATTATAACTAGTCTTGGCCTTGAACAAGGCAATAATATCGAGATACCGTAAGCGAGCGCTTGGGATCAAAATCAAATAGGAAGAGTAGAGGAGATGCTAGTAGCGCAACGAGGTATGAATGACAGGCGAGCCTCCCGAGATAAGATGAGAGGCGACAGGTGATATTCTGAGAGGCTTAGGCGGCCTTCTTCCAAGTAGCCTTTAGGTTCTTCTTGATCTCTTTGCTCATCGCCTTGGCTTCGGCCTTCATGGCCTTCCTCTCCTGCTTGGTGAGCTGGCCTGACTTCTTGGCTGCCTTGAGGTCCCTTGTATACCCGGACAGGACACTGGTGACGGCCTCGACGGTGCATCGGGTGCAGCCCTGGCCATCCAGCGCGGTGGTGCCTGGAGCGAGGGCTTGCAGCCTGTCGTTGACGTGGAACTGGCGCAGGTGCTTGTCAATCGTGGGCGTCGTGGATGCGCCGTGGCGGGGGCAGATTCTAACAGCGGCCGTCAGATTAGATAGGCATTCAAGAGGGAAATAATTTTAGAGAGACCTACTGCTGCTGCTTTTCGGTGACATCTGGGACACCCGAGGCGGCATCGTAGACTGGGGGGGCTGTTGCTGACGGGAGGACTGTTTGTGTCATGGTGGATGATCTGGTGAGGTTGTGTAAAAGACGAAGTTGTTGATAGTATGTAAATTGACAGTTGATGAAATAACAGTGCTGATGATGCCGAATCTCCAAATTCCATCTGGACCATTGTGTCTTTATATTGTGATATGGCATTGCCTGGCTGAGACACTCGGGCAATTCCGAGCCCCGGCCGTGGTCATCAAGCCCGTCTGACACGGGGAATCTGTACCCATTAGAAGGCGGCCACGCTCTCGGCATATTCGGCGACCGAGCGCAGCCAAAGTCTCCATCCGGGACGCATAACCGAGAGCCAGAGGCAGCAATCACGGTGCGAGTTCGTCGACAGGACACGCACTGCATTGCGCAGCCCTACACCAACTCGGATATCGTCTAATAATGAAGCACGGTCTTGTGCCAGGTGCGTTTTACTATTCCGAAACCAATAATTGGCAGGTTCAGAAATTTGCCTCCCGCTCACAAGTAACAGTCATAGCCAAAGCAAAGCTCCGAGCTGCCTAGGACGAGGCGGAGTTATGCCCGAGAAATGGACTAGTTCAACTGTGCCTGTCCATCAACTACGCAAACTTCAAGCAAGATGCCTTATCATTGTATAGAGAGCGTGACGTAGCTTTCCATAGAGCGGTCGCGAAGAAGTGTTCCCTGATGAATTCTTTATTTAGGACACACCTAAGCGGAGGCTTTCAGTTGACCCAAGCCCCGAAAAAAGCTTTCAGATCTCAATCTATTTCATAGCCCTTGGCGTAGGTTGGCTTTTCGTCATTACCGATGATGCGGGCTGGTGGATTAGTTGTATGCAAAGCGTGTTTCTGCCTGACGTTTTGATGAAATCAGTCACTGACACCATAGGCTACAAGTAGATTTATTAACAACCGTAGCGAGGAGTAGGCTACAGCTTTCCTAATATTAGGATTGTGGTCTCGACAAGTATGTTCTAGCACCAACAGTTTAGACATAGTGATGCAGCCACCAATGAGCCACTCCGTGGAAAGCAAATACTGACAAAAATGCCGAATCAATGAGATCTCATCTTTCCAGTAAACAATTCATTATCGACTATATCCCATTTTACTGAGACTTTATTTCGTCTGTGGTAGGTCATTTCTAAATGGAACGCTAATGATTAATTATATACCCGAAGTACGAACCAGAAACTAAGCTGTCGTTCTCCCTCTAAATGAGAGATTCTTTTCCACCCAGCGCAAAAGTGCTCTTCTATTCTAAGTCTAAGCCCAATTCCAAAGGTGTATTCCTCTAACGCAACAAATCTGTACATCTAAAGTGTGTAATCGCTCAAACAATATGCTTCGCTCGTTTCATACGTAGCTCTTTTCCTTGGTCGGACCAGGGGAAATGGATAACAGGAACGCTGAAAAAGGAATTACTACATTCAATTTTCAATTAGCTTATGATCGTCTTTTGGAGAATGATGAACGGCAGTAGATGATGTGATAACTAACCTGCTGTCTTGGATACCAGCCAAAGCATTGTACCAAGCTAAGAACGCGGCAAGGAACCCAAAAAAGCCGCCGGCTTTCTTGAGAGCAGCAGCGGCGTCTGCATTGCCCATATCATGAGCATAGTTCTCGACAGAAAGGCAGAGGAAGGCGATGTCGAGGACGAAAAACAATGAGAAGAATGCCACCGTGGATCTCAGAGTGCACAGCAGCAAGATAGTGGTGAAGATGAACCAGCCAGTCAGGAAGAATCCAACCGGATTGGCTGTCTCCCCATTGTAAGGACCATCCGCTTGCGTGATACCCCAGGTGGGTGTTTGGAGGAGACCGTAGGCGATCCAGAATCCTCCGTATGAAGATAGAGCTGTCGCGCCAAAAGTGTTCCCGACAGCCATTTCCCTAAACGATCACGAGTTAGTATGGTTTGGAGAACGAGTTATAGAACAAAGCATACCACATGCCAGCCAAGAGCTGTACTACACCACCATATGCAAAAGCCAGTGGCACAACAATTGTCGGGGCTGTGACCCCACGAACCTCCATGTTCACACACGAGAGGACGAACGTGGTCAAGGCAAAGGCACTCAACCCCAGAGGGGCAGGGTTGGCGAACTTGCGGTGTTCTAGCGGCCTCCACAGGCCAGGGTGCAACCGACCACCAGAGGGCAGAGCCATACCGTTCGGGAGGAAGAGGTTTCCATTGGGGAGATACTGAGATTCATCAGGATTGAAGTGATGCTCGGAGGTATTTGAGAGCACCGGATGGAACCCGTTCTCCTTGGGGAGGCCCTGTTGCAGTTGTTGTTGTTTTGGGTCCGGGTCAACCATCGTGATCGTTTGGAATTTTTTTTTCTCAAACGAATTATCGGGTGATGTTTTCACAACAAGGAGAATAAATTACTTGAAAGGACAGGATTCAGTCGCTCTGGATTGGATACACTGATGATGATAGAATTCGTAAAGGGGTGATCGGGGATATTCATGGGCCAGATATTCTTTATATTCCAGGTGGTGGGGTGATTTTGAGCCAAGACACGAGATTTGCTCTAGGGTCCGAGTCTAGAGATAGAGCCGCCGTGGAGTGACCGAAGAGCGGGTTCGGGGCCTTGATCAAGAACTTTTCCTCGGAGTGAGACGAGATGAGAAAGGTGAGAATGGTGCCACGGCAGAGCTAGGTTTCAGCGCCCTGTTGGTACTGTCGCACTCCAAGCTGCCCACGTTCTCGTGATGCGGACATCTCATCGCTACAGTCGTGACAGGGGCATGCGGGTTTTTGGGAGGCACCTAGTGGAAGAGGTACCGTAAGGCACTTGTCCAAGTATACCCAATCCGCATCAGAGCTGCTCGGAGAATCAGACTTGACATCGGGCCGCCAGACCCAGTGGAAGCACGCGGATGCGTTCCCTGGCTCGTGAAATTACGGACGACCGACAGAAACCTGTTTCGATGATCGCCAGACTGACGGACGCCCCTGAGCGAGCGTAGCATCGACATCGACAGCAACAGGGGCTATATGCACAGCCAACATCCTCAATCCAGACCCCAGCAGAATACTGACTCATTTATGGCATGTACGTGCTATTATCTTAGCCATTGCTATCGCGGCTTGCGCGGGTCATTTCACCATCACGACAGTCGCCTAACAAGCATTCCTCCTCCCCACCAGTTAAGCTTGTTCCAAAGTTTGTTGCCAGCCAGCTCCACAGTCATATTGAATTTAATATTATTTCGTAATTTCCAGCTATTCCAGCTTTCCTCCTTGTATTCTAATCTTGACTACCTGATGTCGCTGTGGCTGTCGGGTCATGTCGGCTCGTTAGTCGACATCCCAGCTCGCTGATTCAGTGCTGAATTTTCCGATTGATCATTCTGCGCATCCCTGACACCTGGCGACATACCGGTAAATTATGTCGCCTGAGGTGACATACTTGATGACTGGACGCGCACCGACTGACTGGCGAAAATAATGCGGAAAGTCGGTCAGCGTTCCGGGATTCACCGTTAGGGGTGAAGTGAGGACTTGGCTGTGCCCTTGGAGGGAACAATATTCTGCACTCCTTCACTAATAATAACTGACCGGCATCTGCCCACGAAGCCCCTATCGAGATTGGCAGTGCCAATACATGGACCCTTTTTTCTTACGTCAACGGTGAACGTTGCAGGCTGCGGATGGGAGATGCACCAGTCACGACACGAGCGATCAACACATCACGTTACTATGATTCTCCAATCCGAGTGATCGAAAATGTACGTTGATTGAATGTCAACGGCAAAATAATATGTCCAAGATATATACAAGGAAAAGAAGACTCCTTGCAGAGGAGTTATCGAAGAAAAGAAGAAGAAAAGAAAAAGATGAAGAAGAAAAGAAAAAGATGAAGAAGAAAAGAAAAGAAAATAGAAGAAGAAAATGGAGAAAAGGAAAAGAAAGACAGCCTAGGAGGTTGTCGCAATGGTAGCTTTCCAAGCAAAGAAGCTCCCCAGAGCAGCACTGATCAAGAAGAAATAGGTCGCCGCCATCCCGCTCATCAGTCCGACAAACACATGGTTCGTCAACCATCGTGCTGCCGATCCGCAAACGATGGCCATCCACACGACAAAGAATCCGTTCTCCCACCAAGCCTTCCAGACCCCGTCCTTCTTGGCCTTCTCGCTGCTCGACCTCATCGTCGTGCCCCATCCATCTGCCGTCAGCGTGATCAAGCTCCAGAAGTACACTGCCGGCATCGGAACGTGGTAGAAGATCAAGCCAGGGAGCAGCCATTTCCACGTCCCCGGCGTCAGCCGATGTGTGTTGCGGAGATAGTTGTACGACCACCCAACGATGCATCGGATTGCGAGATCTTCCAATGGCAAAGTGACCAGCGCCTTGCCCGTGAAGAAATAGATCAGGGTGGCGAGGAGACTGCCGATGGGGACGAATTCGCGCTTGATCATGCCGCAGAACAAGAGCGGGTGGTTCACCGCGTACACGCTCGGCTCGAGGAGTGATTCGATATGGGTTCCTCGAGACCAGCGGATCTGCTGCTTGAGCCAACCTGCCAGATTAGTAGGCGTATCGGTCGCCGTGAGGACATCAGAGGCGAAAGCGACGCCCCATCCGCGTTTGAGTAGGTTTGTTGTCAAGTGACGGTCCTCGTTGATGATCTGTACGATTTCACTGTCAGCTCTGCAACATGAATGTCAGTTCTTTGAGTCTTACCATCCGCTTGCCCATGATCGTTTGCAAGTACCACGGGATAAGGATATGCGGCAGCGCAGAGAGGCGAAACATGGTGCTTGGCCCGCACTGACAGTCGCTCGACAACGTTGAACCAGCCATGGATCTATTGACGTAGAGTTCTCCCCAGTACACCGTCTCGGCCATTCGGGCGACGGCTGACTCGGTGCTGTTGTGTAGGAACAATCCAGAACTCGCTCCTCCGATCGAAGGGTCCGTTGCCATCGTATCGACCGTGCCGCTGATCGAATTACTCGAGACGATGGAGTCGGAGTCGGAGCTCCAGATAAATTCGATGCCCAGAATATCCGCGATGGCCAGGGAGAAGATGTATGATGTAAACATGATACCCTTCTTGTGCATGTGTCGCTGGCGAATGCATAAATAGCGGATGTGGTTTGGGCCACTGAAGACGATCTTCGCGTTGGTGAGCATTTCCCGCGCAAGGAGGAGACACTTTCGTATGGCAATCTCGTGGATCTCGGTATAATCGATCGGCAGACCGGCCTTTTCTCTCGATAATATCTCTTGATCGTAGATTTGATGCGCAACCTCGCCCAGTGGCTCCGGAACATGAATGACGTGCGAATGTGTTGGGAAGACCTACACAACAGCCATGTATTAGAGATGAAAGAGATATCATGAATGCACATATCACTTCACTTACCTCGTTGAAGACCTGAACCATCTCCATATCTTCCTCGGCATCTCCATCTATTCCGGCGATGACAAACCCACAACTTTGGGCGTCTTTGTAGCTCGTCAGCGCCCTGGTGAACAGGGCAGGGTCCTCCCGCCAACCCACAATGGCAGCGATACACTCCTTCTTCCCCGAGGTCGACCAGTCTATAGCACCCTTTTCCAGATTAACCTCCGTGTCGTCCTTCTCCGTGAGGGCGGCCTTCTCCTGGTCTTGATCGCCGCTATCCCCACTGTCCTTGTAATACTCCATCCGGCGACTTTCGTTGAGGAATCGGTTGAGCTCTGTGAGGCCAATGGAAACGAATAAATCGAGCGTTACTGGCCACCGGCAGCCCGAAATGATCATCCAGTATATCGCGAAGAAGACCACACATCCAACAATGTTAATTACTTTGCGAAAGGAAGATACCTGGCGTGGGCTAGCCACCGCCGGCGCCCCGAACCCGTCGGGGTGAAATGCCTCCATTATCAAGTTGCTCTGTCAAAGAGTCAACATATGCAAGAAAGGGACAAAAAAGTAAGTAAATAAAAGAGCACAGAAGAAAAGAATCGAATACAGCACCCAGCGCTGGCAGAACGAAGAGAAAGGAACCGGCCGCTCGTCAAGCAAGTCAAGCAAGCCAGACGTGGAGAAGCCATGATCCAAGGCACCAGGCGTATTTATTCATCCTCCCCGGCATTCGAAGCCCCACGCACCGGAGCATTCCCATATATGGAACGTTTCCTGTCTAATTAATGCACGTTAGTTTCGCTAAGGTCTCCAGACACTTCCGAAGAGCCCCTAGAGGGGGATTCCGCAGTTGATCGGGAGGGGACCCTTGCCTCGGCCACATCCATATTAGCGGCTGCCTCAGCAAACACCCCTGTTCGTCTAGGGGACGGTACCTGCTTTACCGGTGCTTACTAGAGTCAGGTTGGCCATTCTTAGCGTAAGTTGCTTGTCATTCGTCTTCTATCGCCGAAAGCTCGTTGGTGAGAGGGAGATTTAGTTGGGTTTCCCAATAACAGGACGAGAGAAGCGGCTGTTGTGACAACTTCGGCGTGAGTTAGGTCTTTAGGAGACGACAGTCTACCAAGCAAACCTCGACAGACCTATATCTAAGACCCCAGCACATTACAGCCTACAGGTGAGCCGTGAACCCGTGGCTAGCCTTGGCCCCATCGCTGGACGGGAATCCAATCAACCCATACCCACTCGTCGCCAGTTGATGAATCAATTGACTCCTTTTGCGACCAGAAAGAGCAGGCAGCCTGTCGAGGGTATTTTTAACTGAGATAAGATGCTACGTCACATCAAGGCTTGTCGCAGCACTTGCTTGTCTCACTCGCCAAATACCCACGTCGTCACTCATTGTTAACCCAACCAACTTCACGCTTCATTGGAGCTCTAAATCCAGGCCCATTCTGCGAAACTCCGTCGGTAATATTAATTTAACATCAAACACCGCCAGCCGTTGCCTTTCGGGTCGCTGTGGTCACATATTCAAACCGATCACACTATTTGCATTTCTATTTACCCTTTCTAGCTTTCTTCCTCATCATCTTATCTTGTCTTCCTTTTTCCTAAAGTCATCTTTCAATTCCAGTCTCCAGCCAGCAGCATTATGGCTGCCACTTATCGCAACAACCGGCAGGCTCCGGTCCTGATCATGATCTTCTGCATTTTCATCATTCTATGGATGCTTAATCCATCATTCACGCGCTACAGGCAGATTGCTTCGCATGCTGTCCACAAAGCTACCTGCCACTATCATTACATGAAGTCTCACCTCGCGACGATGATCTCTTACGAGCCCAAGAACGGATTAGAGACGCCAATGTAGGGTCATCTATCAACCACATCCTATCATTTTTGCTATCCAAGATCGGGATATCCTTTTAGGGGGTGTCTATGTGACAATCTGGTTTTTTTTGGCTCTTGAAATTATGGCGTTTTATTCACGTGGAAGGGCAAAGGGGACATGGAAGGCGTCAGCGGGTTGGCATTTACTTGATTATAACTTCTTCTTCTACGATATATTTTTTTATTTTCATCTTTTACGAAATCCAATACGATTCATTGAAACCTTCTCGTGAGGTTGATGCCATTTGTGATGAGGCTGACTTCAAATGCTTGTTTACGGAGGAAAAACTCACCATTAATCCTCTAAGCCCACATAGGTAGGCACAGGGATGAACAACATGTCCTAAAATAAAATATTCAGACCAGGATACGCTCATGAATTCCCTTGTCTCATTTAAAATCGACATCAGATAGCGTGAGACAAACACTATGGATGGGAACAAATCCGAAGATTTTCTTCAGGAGCCTAAGGTACAGGGTAGCTCATCATTGCACAGTCCGAAAAGTAACAACTCGGCGGTTGACCTTGAATAGCGAAGGCTTGCAACGAACCGGATTCGGCTCTTGTTTGAGACGTGCGAGGTTCATTTTTGCTGCTCCTGATTAAGGGAATATCTCACGAATTTATTAATATCTCTGAGCATCCGTGTTGAGTTTCCAAACAACTGCATCACGCGCACAGTCTGATACAATCGGCCCCGTGTCTCGACGCGTCTTGGCGTGTAGCAGCAAACGGTTAAGCGGCCAGAAGCACACCACCTCATGCGCCATCGAGAGATGGTGTTAGAATCCGGAGATGATGTGCCTATTACTGTTCGATCGAGTTCCTCTGGCATTGCACGTCATCCGGTTAGTTCCCGGCGGTGCATCTGTGGCAGACAATCTGGCTATGATTAGCGGATATGATCTCACTGTTGGTCCACCGAGGCCATCGGCACCGAATCGGCAGAAGACTGCCTAGTGCTGCAAGACTTCATTTGAGGAGAGAAATGTTGACGAAATGCTTGGATTAATTCCGTATCTCCTTTGAAAAAATGCCGAATAAAATGACTATTTAGACTACGCATTCCGACAGTGAGCACTCTTTGCTTCTCCAATGTGTTCGCGCCGAGTAAAACCACAAGATGACCCTTTCCGCCGATGATGAAAAGCCTCAAGAGCCTTCCTCAACCCTCCCTCAAGAAGAGGCCACAGGACGACAATCAGGAGTTCAGAATCATCACAAAGATGGGACACCAGCTGGCTTCTCGACAACTTCTCCGTCTCAGGACCAAGAAGCACAACAGCCGCCCGTCCACTCCGTCTTCTCCTCGCGAATGAAGGTCTTCGTTGTCTTGATGACCGTGTTCAGCACCCTATTCTCCCCCTTCTCGTCTTTCATTTATATACCCGCTCTAACTCCCATTGCGGAATCATACCACCGCTCTGTCGCCGAGCTCAACTTCACCGTCACCGTGTACCAAATCATGCAGGCAGTGGCACCACTCTTCTTTGGAGACTTGAGTGACCAGATTGGCCGCCGCCCCGTGTACGTGCTCACATTTGCCATATATCTCGGATCCAATATTGGGCTGGCGCTGCAGAACAAATTTGCCGCCCTGATGGTCCTCCGGGCTCTTCAGAGCACGGGAAGCAGCGCGACTGTCGCCATTGGCAGTGCAGTGATGGCCGATCTGACGACCAGCGCAGAGAGAGGCGGATATATCACCGCGGTGCAGGCGAGTGTCATGTTTGCCCCCGCGCTCGCTCCTGTCCTGGGTGGTATCATGACACAGTTCTTGGGTTGGCGATCAACCTTTTGGTTTCTCGTCATCTCGGCGGCGGTTTTTGTTGTCATCTATGTCCCCTTTGTTCCGGAGGTAGGTCTGCCTATAGTATTTGCATATCTAAAACTTAACTAACAGAATGGAATATATAGACTGCACGAAGCATCGTTGGGAATGGATCCATTCCTCCCCCAAGGCTCAATTGGTCTCTTGCATCGTCGAGGCAGTGGCGCCAGAAGAAACAAGAGGTCGAGTCTGCCACTCCCGCGATAGACACACCCCAGCCGGTGAAGAAGCCATTCAGAATCCCGGTTCCAAACATCTTCGCGGCAGTGCGTATAATATTCGAAAAAGATGTCGGTCCCTTGATGCTCTTCATGTCGCTCTTCGTCATGGCCAACTATGCAATGTTGGTCCCGCTGCAGGATGTGATTCGCAGGCAGTACGGATTCAATGATCTCCAGGTGGGACTGTGCTACATCCCCTTTGCCATTGGATCGGTTTTCGGGGCTGTTATTGTTGGACGCATGCTCAACTGGAACTATGCCAGGGTGGCTAAGAGCATTGGTGTCTCGGCGGATAGGAAGCGAGGCGATGACCTCCGCAAGTTTCCTATTGAGAAGGCGAGGCTGGACCTAATGTGGCCCCCGACGATACTTGCCATCATCACTATCGTGGTATGGGGATGGGTCGTTGACTCTGGCACCAGCCTTGCAGCGCCGATGGTTGTGCTCTTTTTTGCCGGGATGGGGCTCTCCGGGCCCGTCTCCATCCTCAACACTCTTCTGGTGGACTTGTATCCTATGAATCCTGGCAGGGTATCCTCGTCCTTTAATCTTACAAGAGCAACTCTGAGCGCTGTTGGGACGGCTGTTGTTCAGTACATCATCGATGCCTGGGGATATGGGTGGACCTATGTCTTTATGGGGCTGGTCGTATTGGCAGCTAGCCCTAGCATAATAATTGTCAGGAGATGGGGACCCAAGTGGAGGGAGGAGAGATACTGCAGATTCGAAAAAGCTTAGAGATGGAATCAAATATAAACATAGATGGCTAACTGGAGAGGGAAGGCTACCGGGTGTATTTGATAGTTTGGGGTTACCAAGAGGTCCGTCCATGTCATCGAGTCACCCAATAACATACATGTACGGTGATTTCGATTGCTCATTTAAGTGATATAAAAAAGAAGCCTGAAGGCAAAAAACATACAACAGCCGGTATTCGCTGGTCGTCACCGACCCAACTACTAATCGGCCCCTTACCAGCTTAACGCTCGGAGAGCAGACGGGATCCAGTGCTTCCTGGTAGGTATGGTCGTATGTGATAGGAAGGGGAGGTGATTTGGTTCATAAATCGTCCGGGGCTTGGCTGGGAAGTGCTTGCGAAGTTGCTGTTGTTGTATATCCTCATGGAGCACCATCAGCGGAAACAAGACCGTTATGGGGACTGGAGGCCTCACTTGGAGTCCCTGTTTCAAGTGGGAACAAGTGCAATGTAGAAAAAGAAACTCTAGAACGAGCACGAGGCTGGGCCAACTTGGCTGTTGACAGATATCTTCAATTTTATCCCCAAGACGTGAGTTGAACGGGCCCCACCCCCATTGCCCCATTGCTCGTTGTGACATGAAGACATAAGAAAGGGAGAGATGGTGGAAAACTGCTACTTTCACACCAGCCTTAATATCAATAACTACATTTGATTTGTAATAGACATGACCTGATCATCTCGGGCGGTGGCGTAGTGAAGATCAGTGGCAGGGTATGAGATTTACATGACCACGCACATCAACTTCCATATCCGCCATTGTGTCTCCTTGTTCTGGATTTACCACATAACCTCCTTGATAGCTGAAGTTAAGATGGCAGCCATTTTCTCATGCTCAGCTGCGTTTGGATGATAGTCACATCCCACCTCTGAACCCTGCGTCGGGAAATCGACAACATGCGCCTTGCTACCGAGCTTCTCCGCAGCTGCCCTCAAAGCATTCACATGAGTCGTGTGCTGTGCGTCTTCTGCGGTGGGATATGTGTCACTGAGCATCGGGCTCGAGGTCAGGAAAAGCTCTGCTTTGGGGTAATGGCTGCGTATCGTCTCTGCGTATGCAATCATGCCGTCGGTGAGCATTGTTGCATTGACCGGGTCACGGACGCCAAGGTACGAGAAGTCGTTGGTGCCCAGATTAATAACAACAATGTCCGGGGTCTCAGCCCTGGGGAACGTGTAGCTGTTGTCTGCGTCATTGGTGCCGTAGCGAGTCCATAACTGCGGCATGAGCACGGGATCGCTGGAGCCGATGGTGTTTCGTATCAACCCTATCCCGGACCAGGCAAGAATATCATACTCAGCCGACAGGCTTTTGGCCGTTAGAGCGCCGTAGGTTTTGGGTGCGTTCTCGAGAAACGCGGAATTGGTACAAGGATAAGTCCCATCTAAACCATAGCCTACAGAGATGGAATCCCCGATGATTTGGATCCGTCGCCGTGAAACGGAGTCGGCGCCGAGCGAGCCACGGAATATTTTCACATCGCCAAGGGCAAAGGTACCGTAAACAGTTTCCGACCTTTTGCGAATCTGAACGGTGTGTTGACCTCGCACAAGGGAGGGCGTACTGATGCTCGTTCCGTTCACGTTTTCGATAATGATCGGAGTGCCTCCATCGATAAGTACCTCGACACTATTAGTGCCTGAAATCGAGTTTACCGCCACACTTGCTGAAGTTCCCGTAAATGAGAAGGAAAGGCCAGTAGCAGGCCAAGTCAATTCCCGTGTTGCTGGATTTACCCGCCCGAGAAACCTAACAGCTTGGGAAGTTCCCAAGATGGCAAAGGCTGAAATTAGGGTTGACATGCGGGCCATCTTGATAGTTTTTGGGATTAGTAGAAGTAGAAGTTTTGGTTTGGCGGTTGATTCTTCAAAAAGGGAGTAAACGGTATATATCTTTGCTGGCATGCATGCAACCTGTCCCATTCCTTTCAAAGGTATAGGTGGACGCATCGGCTAGACGGCAATAAGTCTCCAGCTTCATATTGAATTTCGGTACTAGGATTCAAAGAGGCCATGGGGATGCACATTCCGACACGGAAGATTGTGAATTTATCCGGTGAGAAGAGCCTGTAAAGAACAGCCGTTTCGGGCAATTGGACTGACTTGTTCGGGCTGCATATGAATAGGTGACGATCATGCAATGCTACTATGATTGAATGGAAAGGAACCGAAGTTTAGCTGGGAAAAAACCAGGTTATTAGTTGTGGCTCCCGTGTAGACCATGGTAGAATTATAGAGTTTGTCTCGTATAGTGTTATCAAAATTTGAACGGACTGGTTCCAAAAATAAAGATAATATTTGAAGGAACTAGACTCATTGTCGCCTTGCGGGTCTTTCTCACTCGTCAAGCTTCAATCCAAGAACCCACCTTGCCCACTAATCAACATGTTCAAAAGCAGGGGAGTCCTTTTTCGCATTTTGTTCGTCCTCCAGTCGAGATACTCGTGAGGGGACAAACTTGCCCCTAACTGACCCAAAGGCAAAAAGCTCGTCCATATCCTCGAGAGCAAGACCTAAGAGAATCAATATTAGCATTAAAAATAACGATGAAAGTGCCGAGCCCTTCTCACCTTTGGTTTCTGGCACAAAGAACCAAGCAAACACAACCATGGTGAAACAGAAAGACCCATATAAAAAGTATGTTCCGAATCCGTGGGAACCCATAGTAGCGAACATGCTCAATGTACCCTTGGCTACCACAAAATTGAATAGCCATTGGCTCGCAGTAGCCATACCCATCTGGAGGGCACGCATGCGAGCTGCCGGGATTTCCTGAAAGTTGTGTCAGAATTGCGAAAGTTTGAGAATTGTAGGATAGCGAAATTCTCTAGTGATACGTACTGAGCAGTAGATCCATACGACAGGCCCCCAACCAAACTGGTACACTGCGGCAAAGATGTAGATGGCAACAAGAGCCACGTAACCGGCGGCTGTAGGGCCAGCGTCCGCCTTGGGAGGGTCGAATCGGATATAGAATCCTACGTAGAATAGTGCAATTCCCTGTCATGTCCGGATTAGTATGGGAGTTTGATCGATGACATGGTATAGCGTACCTGGACAATACCTGTCCAAAGAAGACTCTTTCGGCGGCCCAAACTATCAGCAACAAAGAGGATAAAGATGGCACAAGAAACCATTTTGACAATTCCATAGATGCCAGTCGCAAAAAGACCAGATTCGGAGGAAGACAAGCCGACGCTCTTGAAAATCTCGGGGCTATAATATGTCATGGCATTGGTTCCAGTCAAGTTGCTCCACATCATCAACGTGATGCAAAGGAACGAGCGTTTCCTGTTTGATGGAACTGTGAAGGCTTCCTTGACTAATGTCCAGCCTGAGCTATTCGCTGCCAGAGCCCGCTCCTCTTCTAACTGCATAGAAATGCCATTCATTTCTTGTTGGATATAAGGATGATCGGTCGGTAGGCCTCGAAGCTTAGCCAAGACGAGAAGGGCCTTTTCGGGAGATTGCTGGGCAATAAAGCGAGGCGACTCGTTGGCAAGGAGCATTCCGATGAAAAGAATGACGGCTGGCAGTGCTTGGAGGGCCAAGGGGAGGATGTACTGTATGTCTCCCTTCAAGTGTAGGAGAGAGCCGTAGTTGATCCAAAAAGCAAGCTGCTCAATTCTATCAGCAAAGACCGTATTCCATTCATCGATACAAAGGCCTTCTACATACCGTGAGGCCAGTAACAATTGACAGTTGGTAGCAACCAGTGAGCAATCCTCTGATTCCACGTGGAGCATTTTCCGATACATACAACGGATTCACCGTTGAAGCAATGCCGATAGCGATACCCGCGATAAATCTGGATAATCAGCTCGATGTTCAACCTTAGATGACAGATTGTTCTACTTACCGCCCGATATACATAGCTGCAAGGTGGCCGCTGGCACCGGCCTGCAATGCAACACCGATAAACACAAATAGCGAAGCTGTCACGAGGGACATCCGTCGACCGATCTTATTCGCTAACCACATGGAGAACAGGCAGCCCAGGAATGCACCAGCCTGGATGACGGAGACGATGTTGGATGAAAGGTCTGCCAACACGACAGTCGGCTTCCCGGTGAGATCATATTTGCTGTAATTTGTTAGAATGCAGAGATACGCCTGGGAAGAGGATGTATCTCGTACTCTTTGAAAGTGGCCATGGTGAGAACACCACCGATGATTCCCATGTCCATACCAAAGAGCAATGCACCACCGCAAGCCTACGTAAACGATAACCGTTAGAGAAGAATGTGCCAGATACTCAATAGAAAACCTACCACCACACAGACTACCACCGTCCGAAAGTTGTAAATTTCGGGAGGATCTGATTCGATGGCATCATTTTTGATGACTTTCTTGAGGATTTGGTAGAACATGATGCTATAACACAGCTAGTTGTGCTGGAATACAAGTGAGAATTTGATGCAGAGATAGCGCCAGCATGTTCGTTTACTAAGGGGAAGTCTGCCTCGTTATAAACTTTCTTGTTAGCATGAGCACTATCCTCACTATAGTTAGCTATGGGGTAATGGGCCATTAGCTGTTTTGGCGTAGCACCCTATCGTCTGAGTATATCGACGGCAATAGACGGAGTAGGAGCGGTTAGTGAGGAAATGGGAGGGGTACGCCTAGTCGTTAGAGAGATCTTGCATTTTCCCCAGCTTCCCCGCGTATTGGTCAGCTCTGAAGCTGGGGAATGAGCTTGAGGAGTGGGGATATCACATGGGGAAGAATGACGCTTGAGACCATTCTCTAGGCGCTTTGTGGACGGAACTTCATTATCGCCTAGGATGCCTTCGGCTAAGGGAGGAAAAGATCAGCGCATGACGACTAACGGCAATAGACGGCTTCCGTGGCGAAAGGTCTATTGATATGGTAACCACCATGCTCCATGGTGGCGGAATATTCCCAGCCCATGTTTTGACATGGAAACAATATGAATTATCCACCAATCCCTGGTGTCTGTTGGTAAGTAGATCGTGAAGAATTGCTATGTGATTAGGCTTGGCGATGTCTAGTCATTCGTACTATTCACAAGCATATTGTATGCCAACCTTGCATTACTAGCTACGTAACCCCCAGAACATTCCATAACACCATGAGAGATGAATGCATAAGTAAGCTCTAGTTATGAGCGCACAAAATTCACGCCATATCAACTCCAAGTGGATAGATAAGAGCTGCCCCTCGTGGACATAGCGCTATATACTGGAGCTATGTACTGGTAACTGAGGTCATCTTAAGCGTATTAACTACAATGTTACTTGATTCAGCAGATGTTGAACGACTGGCTCGTGAGAGGTCTTAAATGCAATTGCTAATTGGTGCCATCGGGAATGCTCCTCGATGTCTAACTACTAATGTATGAGATATCTACGGTTTCTGAAAAGTACACTGCCAATCAGCTGCATCCCCATATGCACACGAAAGTAATGATACAGAATTGTGAGATTTGTAGATTGTTTCTAGCCTAAATGGTTATCTCTTTCTGAATCCCGCAAGGCCGTCCACACACTTGGATTCGGCTATGGTTTACAATCCGTCAAGAGGTCGGTACACCTTCATCCAACGCTGTGTTTCAGTTAGCTTTACCATACGAGTCAGCTTGAAATGATTGAGTTTGCTTACCTTGTCATACGGCTTTTCGGGGTCAACGAAGCGAACATCAGTGGCTAGACGGATCTTGTTCTCCGGATCCTTGTTCTTGCAGCTTGCGTGGACCATGAAGGGGTTATGGAAGATAACGTCGCCTGCTTCGTACTCGGCAATCAACCACTTGCGCTTGGTTTCCTTTCCGTATGCCACGGTGTCACGGCTGAGGAAGCCGCCGTCGTTCATATTCTTGTTGAAGGCGCTTATCCTCTCTTCGTCGGTTAGGTTGTGTGCATTATCAGCAAAGTCTTGCTCAGTCTTCATCCCAATATCCGTGGACCTCTCGAGATACATTAGACCGCCGCCTTGGAGTGAGACATCGCCGATTGGAACCCAAGCCGTCAGACTTGTGGGCGGACCTGCACGCAGATACATTTGGTCAAAGTGCACAGGGGTCAGTTCGCTGTTGGGCACAAAAGCTCTCAGCATGGTGCGCTGCAGCATCTGAGGGTTCTTCCAGCCCATGAAACGGCTCACAAACTGTCGAAGCTCTGGGCATTGACAGAAGTCGACGTAGAAAGGCGCCTCGTGGGCTGAGACCATGAGCTCGACGTATTTATCGCTTTCGGGGTCGTCCTTTAAGCCAAATAAACGACGTAAATTGCCAGGCGGCATGTACTTTCGAGTATCGGCGCCAGAGAAAATTCCTTCTACGGCGTCAGTGCCTGGTTTCAGCAGGCCGCTGGGAGCCATGTGCTCGAAGTAGGCACGGCGACAGGCGAGTGACGTCTCTTTAGGGATGCACTTCTTGACCTAAAGCCCACAATGGTGTAAGTATTCTACCATGATTGGACATCTGGATTTTGATGAGCTGCACTCACAAACAGGTAGCCATCGCGTTCAAAACGCTCGTGCATAATCTCAAGAGGAGTATCGATGGACGTTGGCTGGAGGTATCCCACTGAACCGGGCTCCATGGGGCCAAAGTTGGACTGTAGGTCGAGCGTATCCGGATCAACTGGATGGTAGCTGCCATAGCCATCGTCTACAATAGACTTGAGATCCTTGCTCGGTGGAATTACCGAGGATTGTGTTTGGAGCGTATCGATACGGCTGGGGGCCATCTTGTGTTTGGCGCAAGCTCGATAGTTCAGGTAAATATCAGCGAAAAACTGGAGAGATCGTAACTTTTGTGCTTCAACAAGACTCGAGAGATTTTTGATGGCCAGGAGAACTAATGTATTTATGAACTACGATGGGGGCTGGCGGTATTCATGCCGATCAAGGCAAAAAATCGTACGGCCGAGCAGTATTCATCACGGCCCACTACATAATAGCTAACATCGAATCGAGGAAGCAATACGAGACGATTGACGAATAGAAACAACCGGTATTCAGTTTATTGGTGTCAAGCTGCATCATGTCGCCTCTGACTCGCGGCGGAAGAGTGGTGCCGTCAAGGTTTGGCCGTCTACAGCCGTCTATAACCATCGTGCGGGGTCACAGATCGTCTCTCTCCACAATCTCCAGATTCTCCCATCTATAACCGTCTACTACCGGAATCTTTTGGCGTCCCGGCTTTCCTTTCCTCCAAGTTCATTCTATCCGGTGACCGGCAGTACCATGACCAACCCCGGCTTCCCCATACTCGTGTGAATAGCATTGCTCCACTGATTGAGTTCTGTGAGAAGACCGAGAGATGACTAAAGGTCTCGGCCTGCGCCAGTATTGTGCGTGTGTCCGATGCCGAGGGCGCAAAATCAAGTGTGATCTGTGAGTACCCTTTACACAGTCAATGTAACCTTGTATCGCGGAGAGGCTGCTAGTTGTAACTGACGTTTGACTCCTCTTCAGTCAGAGTGTAGGGGAACCGGGTAAGCCGCCCTGCGCCAAGTGTGCGCGTGAGGGCGCAGAGTGTGTTCTCGCTCAGTCCCGACGGGGTGGTAACTATTCCCACCTTCGTGGATCACGCCAAAAAGCACCAAACAAATCTGTACCGGAACCTACGGCCTTCACACCATCAAGTGACCACGTCTCACCGCATCAGCACAAACCTGGTGATCATGATAGTTTACAGAACCCTTCTGATGCCCTACTTATCCTCGCTCATGCAGCCGAACAGCCAGATGAACAGATTGGAGGCGAGACTGCCGCAATTGAAGCAACTTACCTTGGCGAAGTCCTATCATCGGCATCTCAACCATCTGCTAGGGCTGGGAGAGCAGCCAGAAACACTAAACAGGTTGCGACCTTATCAACATTAAATGAGCCAGATCATTCCACCGCTGAGCATTATGGCCCTATCCAAGACGGCTCTCTGGACCTGGCAACAATTGCGAAGCTTGTTCGGCAGTAAGCAAATACCCAAGCCCCAGGTTCCATCAATGACTGATGAATTCTAGTTATGCAGGAAATTACCACCAATTTCTCCCCATCTGCCCAGTGTCCACTTTACGAATTGAAAACCTCCTTCATACAATTGAGCATGAACCTTTCCTTTTAACTGCCATTCTTGTGGTAGCCTCGCAGAGTCAACTGGACTTTGCGAGTGTACATGAGTCAATCTGGAAGTATATGAAACAGCTGATCTTGGATGTGGTCCTTGGAGCGGCTGGTGCACGCAGTGTTGGATGTGTCGAAGGTCTGTTGCTTCTTGGAGAGTGGACAATGCAGGATCAGACCAAAGATGGTGGAGAAGGGGCTGCTTGGTCAGTTCTAGGGCTGGCTGTACGGACAGCATATCTCCTTCGATTGGAAGATAGCTCTTTCAAGACTCCCGGAGAAGAGAATGACGCCAGCCTTTTGCGGAACCGCCTGGCTTGGACGTGTATGTACATCCCGTGATCACAAGGTAAATCTGTACTGATTTTATTTAGTCACATATCTTTCTGACCGTCAAATATCAATCCGGATGGGACAGGCATTCTGGTGCAGAGGGCCAGCTCTCTCCACAAGATTCACAGCCCAAGACTTCCCGACCCTCCAGGCCAAACAAGCCGGCGACGAAGACTTCGCTTCCTTGGTACAGGCTCAGGTAGAGCTAACCACGTTGTTTGGCAATGCGCACGACATTTTGTTTGCTTCAAGGTCACGCACTGCTGAATTGATGATGCGCGGGGACTACTCCAAATACGTTGATGACACTGCTCGAGCAATGGCGGCGTGGCAACGCATTTGGGGGTCAATATCAGTCTCGTCTCATCTCACTAGCTGCCTGTCCTTGACGTATGAATACCTTCGCCTCTACGTCAATGCGTTCGCTTTCCAAGCTGTCCTGTATCGCACATCAGTGATGAGAAGCCCTGATCAACAGACCACCACAGATTCTTCACGCGCGTCGATGATGTTTCCAGACTCAACAATGGCATCTCCGGATGCGAGACCGATATACGAGGCGATTGATGCTGCGGAGAAAATGCTCAAAATTGTGACCGAGGAAATAAACCCTGAGAAACACCTTCGCTACATGCCAGCACGTTTCTATCTGTAGGTCTACCTCCCATAATATTGACCCTCATCTTACTCAACTTTGACAGATATGAGATCCACTCTTCTGTATTCCTATATAAAGCCCATGCTGTTGGCGCCATTCCGACCGAGAAATTCAGCGAAATGACAGAGCTCATGTGTAAATTTATTACTACCCTCAAGTCTGTGGCCATTGATGAGGAACATATCGCCTCAAAATTCGCAAAGCTGTTGGATCGGCTTTGGTTTCGTCGAGTCAACACCTCTGCGCCGGGGAGCCATTTGCAGTCCGCCATTGTAAACGATCGACTAAATGGGGCGGATATACCTGGCTTAATGGGTTCAGATCTTGCCGGCGGGCAAATCCTTCAATACGACGAGCTGGTCTTGCCAGAATTCGATTGTGCAGACCCTATAGATGCTCTTTTTGCTATGCCTCCAGTGTTCCCAATGGACCAAGCCGGCTTCTTCGGGTATGGAACCTAGAGTAGACAAGACAATGCCGTGATAATTGTATCGTTAATATACAGCCTACTAATTCTACCTTATATCATAAGCACTTATCTACGGCTGTAAAAGACACTCCATTCTGAAGCCAAAGTGATGCCCATTACAGTCCTCTAAGTCTGTTCACAAAGCGGGCTATGTATCTAAGTGGAATAGGCCAACCAGCTCAGCTACCTACACAGTTGCTCACTAACCAGCAGATGCGACGACTTCGGCCCAGACTTAGTTCAGCTGAGCTTGAAACATGCTGGCCGGGATGTTACCAGACTGCCTGCTCTGGTAGGTATCATTAGGTTGCTAGGCATGGTACTCAAGTAGTGATCGCCACTCGGTCTCGGGTTCGGGTTCATGCGTCATGCCTCGTTATCCTCTCAGCATCCAAGAACAGAAGCCCATTAACCGTGCCGTGATCCGTTAGGGGAGATCAGATCTGCAGAGTGGAATCTTCCGCAGAGGTGTATGACATGGGGATGTCGGACTCGGAAGTCTCCCGCGTATGGTAGCAGGGGGAAGTAATATTGCCGACGTCATTGTATGTTGCATGCAGCTCCTTTTTATTATGATGAGCGGTGTATTTTCTGCAGATTATTTTTCGAGAGAAAATTCCAACGCGAGCCTTTTTGTCGTTACCTGAGCTTGCAGCTTTGTAATTCGCTCAGTAACACCTCTTTTCAACATGTTTGGCGGAAACCAACGATGCTTGACGGCGGCCCTTATGTTTCACCTCGCAGTCACTGCTCAGTCTTACTCGTATCAAGCTGTAAAGGACATATGTGCCGCCTTGGAAACCGACTTCTCAGCTCTAACCCTGTTCCCGGGCGAGTCTTTATACAACTACATCAATGAAGGTGAGACAAGCTTAGTCGATGCTACGTCTTAGCAGATAGTTTCCCGACATCGAAGCCCGCATCTCACTCCAAGACCATTTGCTAAACGCTGCAGATTACTTCAGTGCCGAGGAATGGCTTGGCCCGGCGTGCATCTGCCCCCACCAGCTCCGAACACATGGCACATGCTGTGGCGCAGCTCAAAGATTCAGATGCTCCCTTTGCCGTTCGCGGTGGTGGATGGATGCCGGTCCCAGGCGCGGCAAACATCGACTCGACCGGCATTCTCCTGGCAACAACGAATCTGACGGGCTTGCAACTGTCGTCGGACCTTTCAACAGTCTCAGTCGCCTCCGGCCATGACTGGGCAGAGGTTGTCGACTACCTATCGCCGCACGACCTGGTCGTGGTCGGCAGCCGCATTGGAGTCGTCGGAGTTCCTGGGTTCTTGTTGGGCGGAGGCATGTCATTCTTGAGCAACCAATACGGATGGGCCTCAGTGAATGTTGTCGGGTACGAGGTTTGTGATGTTTCGGGTTTCAACATACAGGCAGCACATACTAACTTCTATGGCAGGCGGTCCTAGCATGCGGATCAATCGTCTTCGCAACGGCAGACAATGAGTATTCTGACCTCTTTTGGGCCCTTCGAGGCGGCGGCAACAACTTTGCGATCGTCACCAAATTCGAGCTTAAAACCTTCAACATACCATCTGTTGCCGTCGGCCAAGTTGCATACGGCTCAGGGCAGCGGGACTCTTTTATCAAAAACCTCTACGACTTCAGCCAGACTGGCGTTTTGGACGAGCGTGCCTTTGTCCTCCCGACCATATCCTTCGTCCCAGCAGCCAGCCCAAATATCACCTACTCTGCCATCCTGTTCTACAACGGCAACAACACCTCTCCGTCTGCGCTGAAGAGCTTTCTCCCTCCAGTCGCAAGCCCACGAAGCCGCACTTTCTCCGTGCGCACCATGGCCAACTGGACTGCGGAGGCCGGTGAGGGCTTCGACAAAGTGCACGGTCAGAACTTCCGCTTCCTCGGCTTTTCGATGCTCGCGGATCTGGACGCCATGTACGCAGTTCATGACATTTCTTCCGGCACACGCAGGAGAGCGGGCCTGCCATCGAGGGTTTCATCTCCACGCTGGCAATGAACGCCGTCTCCAAGTCGTACATCACCAACAACCGCAGCGCGGACCCCGCGGACGACCCCATGGGCATCGACGCGGACAAGGCGCCGTATTTCCTCTGCGAGGAAACCTTTTCGTGGTCCAAGAAGAACAACACCGGACGCATTGCAGCTCATGGCGGACATCAATGAGGAGCTACGAGCCAAGCTGGGGGAGACTATTGTCCCGTTCCTATATCTCAATAATGCGGGTGGCGGACAGGACGTGTTTCGGGGATACCATCCGGCGAACACCGCTAGGATGAGAGCAATCAGGGACAAGTACGATGAGTCTGGACTTCTGACAAATCAGCTCATTGGGGGTTTCAAACTGGGCTAAGGTTGAGCTTGATTATGTTGGGGTCCTTGGCGGCCGAGTAGATAGGCGACTGACCTGCCGTCTTGGAATATCATTGAGTATATATATTGATAGCTAGGAGAGTTTTCAGCCGTAATATATATCTAATTAGAGCGACATTATTGTTGTCCAAGCAAGGAATATGATATAGTTCAGATTACCTCAGCCCACGCGGAAAGTTCGAGTATAAAGATGAACAACAATAGAAGGTGCTAGACCCGACATCTCAACACAATGAATAAATTCCGCTCACAATAATACGGGACTTTCTTTACTAAGCCCGGAGGATGACATATATATAGTACTGACGGCTAAATCGAGACCGGGTACGAGTACTGTCTTGCAAACGTGACATGTCTGCTTTGCATAAGATGAAGATCATAGCCTCGGCATGACACTCGGAACCAAACCTAAGCACATAAAGCCCCGGGGATCTTTGTTCCTGGTACTTATTAGTGGGAGGATCCGTCTGGGCATTTCACAATTGCCGGGTATTCGGCATCTACATTCTACGGAACACGACGCATCCGATATGCAGAGACCGCCATAAACCGACTCCATAATCCCACTGCAACATGCCAGATTTACCAGCTGGTCAGAGACCAAATTAATGACGCATTTTCCTATTCTCGGCCGCATTTATGAGAATATGGCAGTAGAGCGAGAGCGGGAGCGGACACGAGTTCCTGTTGTTAGATTGCAAAGCGTTACACTCCGTCCAACTATGCCGATCACTACCTACAAAAGCGCCAGCATGGCTTTCAACAGCGGGCGATAGCAAGTATATAAAGGCGACCATAGACCTTGTAGAGCTAGAAAATCATCATCATCCTTCACTCGAACCCAAACGGACTGCACACACATGGCCAAATTCCGTATCCTCTACGCAGCTCTGTCTGCTCTCCTTCTGGGCTCCCAGTCGTGTCTGGCGGCCAACGCACCGCAAGGCTGCAAAAAGCTGCATACTGACGATGACTGGCCCTCGCTCGAAGAGTGGCAGAGTGCGATCCTCGGAGTGGTCGAGGAGGATAACAGTGACAGCCATGGAAGTCTGCCTGACTGCCGCATCCGTGCAAAGAGCTATGCCGATGTTCAATCTGCCGTCAAGTTTTCTGCAGAGCACAATATCCGGCTGACGGTACTCACGACCGGCCATGACGAGGTCGGGCGCAATACCGCAGGATCAGGTCTGATCATCGACATTTCACTCTTGAAGAGTGCGAGAGTATCGACGTCTTACAGTGCCACGACGGACGGTGTGCCCAGCCTCGAAGCCGACGAGGAACCGCAAGTTATTGAGCCATTGCCTGGCGCTCAAGCTGTTGTCACATTTAATCCGGCTTTCAATGGACTAGAGCTGAACAAAGCCCTTGCGCAGTCCGGCTTGTTTTACGTGGGAGGTACTTGGGGTGAGTTAGCAGACCTTCTTGCACGAGTCTAACAGGAGCTGACCCATATAGCTGGCGTATCAGCAGCAGGAGGTTTCGGCCAGGCCGGCGGATATGGACCTCTCACTGCTCAGTACGGCCTGGGCGTTGATCAGTGGCTCGAGGCTAAGATCGTGACTCCGGATGGTGAGCTCCTAATCGCAAATGAAGTCTCTAATCCCGATCTCTTTTGGGCTATTAGAAGCGGGGGCGGAGGCACTTTCGGCATTGTGGTTGAAGCCACATTCAAAACATATCCAACGATACCTATACTCTCCTTTCATTGGTATATTAACTCGACTTTAACTGTCAACGCGACAAACTCGGATGGCCGCACACCAACCAGTGAAGCCATGGAATATCTAGTCTCAGAGTTGCCAGACCTCCACAGCAGAGGGATCTCGGCCTATTTCTTTGTCTTCCCCAACAACATCAGGTGCCACGCCATACATCCGGATCACTTGGCCAATGCTACCGACGCGAACGAGATCTGGGGCCCCATACTTACCAAAATGCAATCTTTCGAGGGCATGACTCCGTTCCAGAGCAAGCATTACCACTACTCCAACTTCAAGGACTTCTATGAGACTACCTATGGACCATCGAACGATCCCCCTATCCCCACGAGCCGCGGCAATGTTCCGTTTGACAGATCGCTTGTTGGGTCCAGACCACTTGCGGAGCCCTGACCTCACCAGTACCCTCAGTGGAACAGGGGGGTCGTACGGTGTATTGATGGCTGGGCCAGGGATGGCCGTTGGTGATGGAAAGGATACATCTGCGAACCCCGGCTGGAGGAAGGCCACCATCCTAATCAATGCTTTCAAAAGCAACACCACAAACGCCGACGGGCTACGAGAATTGGCGCCTGAAATGGGGACGTACATCAATGAGGTTCGTAAAATTCAGCCCTTTCTTTAGACATCCAGCAAACCTAACTAACCACTCATCGATTAGGCTAGCATTTACGAACCAGACTGGAGCAAGTCTTTCTGGGGTGATAATTACCCGCGCTTATCTACTATCAAAGAGGAGATTGACCCAGACATGGTGTTCTGGGTAAGCCCGGGCATCAACGCCAACTACGTGGAGGTAGTCGATGGCAGAGTCTGTCGCGTCCAACCTACTCCGCAGGAGCCATCTAAATACGCGCCAAGCATGGATAGAGTTGTCGAGGCCGATCTGGAGAATGATACTGAGTTTCTGTTTGGAAACCAGGAATTGACTGGCATTCAGTTTCCGGCACCTGGGGAGCTTGTTGGGCTACAGCCATAGGCTTGCCCAGTGGCCTTGACTAGTGATGAGGATTCGCGGATCATAGTCGCACTGCATGTTTATTGAAAGATGCTCGGCCAGTTAGGTTACCTCTCAGTTATGATAGTCAAGACAAAATGCAGCATATACAATATTTAACTCGATATTACGATTCAAGTGCAACAGTTATCCTAGGTCTCGTTTCACGGTTAGAATTACCATTAATTTGCCATTTGGTAACAAGCTGGTTGGCCGCGTAACTATCCCAACATCAGTCTCAAACGCTCATATCATGTGTCATCGCCGGGCATAGCCTTTGGATTTAAATCTTATATACGGCTGGGTACAGCCATTGTTTGAACCTTATGTACGGCCGGACGCAGGCCTCGTCGGGGAAAAAGACTGAAGTTTAATGAGTTGTGATACTGGGTATGGTATCAAGTTATTAATTCTTGGTGTTTGGGAATTTTCTCTTTTTTTTCAGCCTCTGCCGCATAATTGCATAGCTCTCTCACTTACTTACTACTATCATGTGTCTGTGTTGGCTTATTTCACGGAAGCATCTTTTAATAAACCCGGAACCCTCTGTGTTGTAGTATTAATAAAGTGATTCGATATAAAAATAATCCACAATGTCGAATTCAACACCCAATGCCCCCTCAGAACGTCCAGGCTCACTACCCATCTAGTAAACATCACCACCCAGAGCTTCAGTATCTATATAAGACGTCTCGCCAACTGCCCGCTTAAGAAGCGCTATGAGCTCATCTATAGTTCCAAGAAATCGCACAAACGCATACATGGCTGCCATCCAGTGCCTTCCCTCTTGACCAGCCAAGAAGTCTTTGGCGTTGCCGTCTGCCTGCAGCTCTCCCCGCAGCTTCTTGAACTGCATCGCCCTGCCCACCAACGGTGTTGGCAGAATCGCTGGTAGAGGGTCTCCGGAGGCCAAAGAATGCTGAGCAAGTGTCAGGGTTGACATGATATCCGCAATCAGATTCTCATCTCCGGCACTAAGCTGACGCATGAACAGTGTCCGAGCTGGAAGCGGCAGTTTCGTGACTGTCAAGGTGAGCTGCGTGATGTAGATGTTGAGATTGTTGCAGAGATGGTTTGAGAGGCTCAGAGTTTTGGTGTCGATGTTGGACGTTGAGAACTCGAATCTTGTCTTCTCAATCGGCTGAGCAATCGAGTTGAGGAGTTCTTCAGCTACGGTTGACTCTTTTTCAACAACTTCGACAAGATCCTCTGGAGGCGATCGCCATGTCGAAATGAGCAAAGCGTAACGGTCCCTGACGCTGGAAATTTGGCTGGACAAGATCTGTCGATAATGTCGATTCCCGGAAAGAGGCCGTGGCAAAAGCGCGATCAATACCGCCGCGCCGAATCCAATAAGCACAAGGAGGATCCTTCGCCAAAGGACATCGTATCCCACCCCAGGATTGCCATAGCTGGGAATATGTGTGTCAACCCAGCTGTATGCCACGACCATGTACATTGTCGAAGTGAGCATAATGCCTGCTGCCATATGCTCGGGCGGAGCGAACAACCTCCACCACATCATTCCGACGATGGCAACAGCCATGATAGCAGCCAATCCGTAGGGGTTTCCAGGGCCGTTGCCAGCGCCGATATACCAGCACACGAGACCAAGCACGCCTCCGGCCACGGTGCCGAGAGTACGGATGACAATGCCTGAGACGAAGTCGGACATGAAGGGTTCAAGTGCCATCTGCGCCATGATCAGCGCCCACATTCCCTTCTCGCGGTAGTAGAAGCCTGCGGACGAGGGTATGACGGCAGGGACGGCCAGAGCAATTGTCAAAACCAGAGTGCGCAAAGCATGCAGGCCCTCGACGCTGGTGAAGAAGTTGATCAAGGCGAGGAAAGCCACACTCGGTGTCCGACGTTGGCAGCCGGCCGGTCGTTGCATGCTTTCCAGGAGCGTGGCTGCGTTTTTGTTGTCCACTTCTGCCTCGGTCTTCTCCTTCGACCGGCTAAAGAATCGCTTCTTCTTCTCTGGTTTAGATATCGCTGACATTGTCCGGGTAAGATCCAGGGCACCAGGAGTGGTAGAGGGAGGCTGATCCTGGGACAGACCCAAAGACACAATTCGACTGAGGCCCTTGGGGAGCCATACGCGCTTTGTTCTTCTGACCCGTTCAATCTCAACCACTCGTTCCAGAATCGCCATGATATCGTTGGAAATGTTGATTATCCGCTCTTGGTACAATAAGCCCGACATCAAGCCAAGGAACGGAGGCGTACGATTATCGGTGTATATGACTTTACCATTGGCATCGAAAAGGTGGGAGTGGGGAGCGATGAGATGCTCCGCGGCCAATTCTTGGAAATCTTCTAGCGCCTCTTGCAACAAGCCGCCGGCTCGTTCGTGTTCAAGTATCGTGTCGTCCCGAGGAACCGTAGATAATGCCTCAACGATGGCGCCAATGCCTTGACTCAGAGCGTGCAACAAAGGCGTGGCACACGATGCCAGCGCTTCAGTCGACTTGGCCACCATCTCTTCCGTATCAGGATGTCTCGTGGCATCGCGCAAGTCGGCTGCTTTGGCGATGTGATAGGCTAGCGGTTGCTGTTTGCCGTCGGAATCCTCCAGCGCTGCGGCAGCTTTCGTGAGGGCCTCGTCCTTGGCAGCGAGCTCTTGCCGAGATATCGAAAGCTGTAACAAATCTACCAAAGAAACCAAGGCTTGTCGTAGAGGTTTCTGGAGACTGTCAATGTCGTCGGGGCTCCATCTGCGATATGAGCAATCCAGTTGCAGGAACTTGCCGGCTGATTCGATGCTCTTGTAGACCAGCGTCAAGTCACCCTTGTACTTTTGCAGGCGTGCCACATCGAAATTGGCCCTTGCCTTGAAATGCCAGCATTGAGCTTTGATGTAACTGTCCATTTGACGCAAGAGACTGGCCATGTCGCCGAGCATGATTTGCGAAGTCGACTGTGGGAAGAGAAGCAGGTTGCACACCGCGCCAATTCCAACCGCAATCGCGGTTGGGAGGATCAACGTTTTGGGTATTGTTCCTTGGAAAGTCGGGATGAGCGGCGCCGTGGTAAAGTATATGTCTGCAACCACCATGGAAAACAATGTTACGAGAGCCAGATTCGGGGCGGCTACTTTGACGCGAGCCTATAGAGTCGTATTGTTAAGGCAAGGGAAGAATCCAGACGACGAGAGGGAGACCTTACCATGAAGTACACAAACAATCCTAGCATACAAAAGTACGTGACTGACACCCGAGTATCGAGCATGAAGCCTTCGTAAATGGCGATCTGCATGTACGTCCCTTGACCAGAAGCTTGCTCGGCATTGGTGGTGTTTTGTGGCGTTGATTGCTGCAACTCCTGGTATCGAGCTTGCAAGTCAGCTTGAGGCCTCGTCGCGAGAGCGGCTTTCATGCAGATGACGCCCCAGACCCAGCCAAGGGCGATTCCGACGCAAATCATGAGGCCGGCCATGACGTGAATGAAGACAACGCCGGATGGCGGCATGATAAATAAGACGATGCTGCAGCGACGGTGAGTGTCTGACCGTGAAAGCTGGGGAAAGAGTCTATCACCATCCAAAAAATGCGGCCTGGCCGAGCAGTCGAAGCGTATCGTCAATGAAGATGAAAAGCGTCAGGATCCAGACAGCCAGGGAGCATTTGAAGAGGATCTTCAGGTCCTTCGTATTGAAGTGATCCAACCAAGCAGGGAGTTTCTTGGGGTTGTTGAAGGCGAGGAAAGATGCCTCTTCATCGTCTGCGGCATCGAGCTCTTTCGAGCTCTGCCAAAGACGCAGCATCTTTGGCTGTTCGGCGATGAGTTGGCTATCACGGTATTGCGTCTGCGATGGTGTTTTTGGGCGAGGGAACCCCTGGAGAATGGGCCAAGGGCATGACCGATGCCTTGTCGATCAGCAGCGACATCCAGCTCATTAGAAGGGCATCTTTGCGGTTAGACTAATGCACAGGTCTGCATAAATCATTTTATTTGCATAAACGGCGGGTCGGAAGGTAGAGCTGCCGGGCATAAAACCGGCGCCGTCCGTTGAGCTACATATGTGTAGTCGCTCTCGCTATCGACATCGTTCAAATCGGGTTCATGTAAAACTCCGAGCCCGATCCCTCGAAGCGGGTTTGGGCAGCTTTGTATCGAGTATTTAGAACATGCGAGTCAGCTCCGAATGCCCAGTAGGATTGTGCCTTTTCAAAGGCTTCTAGGCAGGAGTTAGAGAGTCCAGCGAGCATGAATGAAACCGGGCCTTAATTCTTCCGGCGGCGGATGAGTCCTAATCTATTTTGGCATGGCTAAAGTCCTAGCCAAACAATCTATTTATAAATCACGCCCAAGGCAGTCAGTGCCACACTGATGACTGGCTTCTCTCACCTTTGATTGTCAATGACTCAATGCCACCGGCTCTCTCTCTCTGTCCCTTATAACTAGCTAAATATTATGTCGTGGCCGCCTCCAAAAAAAAACCCTCTGGAGATCGTTTTAGAGGCAGCACTAACGGCGGTCGCATGCTGCGTTATCACCCCTTTAGTGGTACCTATTCTCGCAGTGAAAGGCGCCAACAGCTGGAGGAAGCAGTGGCTCAAGAAGAGAGAGAAACAGCGAAGCCAACGAGAGATCAAGCAGAAATGCTTTCAGCCTTTGGACCGCCCTCGGACCAAGAAGATTTCCGAGGGCACCGGGCCCCTTTTCACCCGGCTTCCCCCCGAAATCAGGCGTCGCATTCTTATCCAAGCATTTGGCGAGCGGACCCTCCACCTTGACCTTGCGTTTATAAGAGCCGGCGGCCCATCTGCAAAGTGGAGGTGGTATAGCTGTGTCTGCCATAGCGATGAACCTGGCCTGCATCACGGAGAAAGGCTCGCAAGGGGGAAAACACCCTGTGGTTACCATGGATCGCCCTACGAGAGGGACCTGAGAAACCCGTTGGCATGTCCCAGGTCGGGTCCAACACTTCCGGCTCATGCGGGGCCATGCCCTGATAATTGCCGCGTCGGGGCGTCTGGCTGGCTCTTGACATGTCGGCAGGCGTAAGTACTATTTCCTATTTGCATAGAGAAGCAGCATTTTTATTTCAGTTAAAGAGGGATGACTTAACTAACATATATCTCAACGACAGAAATCTTGAAGGGCTTGAGGTCCTCTATGGGACCAACACCATTCATATTGACACACGCATTCTTCTGCTTGCTCTCCATGAAATCCTATCACCGGAAAAGTTACGCTTAATGAAGGATCTCGAAATCAACGTATCTAGAATCATTGACGTTTCTTCTTACTTCAAAGGGCTCTCCAACGAGACTCCAGCTGGAAACGGCTCAGTTTTGTTTCCATCTCTACGCCGATTGCGGTTCACCGTTTCCGGCATGGACTACTTTCCCCAGGAGGAAGTAGACAAACTAGCACAAAGAATACTATTACCTAGCACAGAAGTCATAGTGTCCCACGATGATGGCTCACACTGGTATGATGAGGGGAATATAGAATCTAGATCAGACGGTATGTTCATGTTACTTACTGCGTTTTCAAAAATTAACCCAACTGACATATACCCAGTCCTATGAATTTTTGTCATCCATTTTCTCCTTCTAGCTATCATTGGTCTCTACAAGGGCCTAAAACTACTATGGATTGTTTCGGAAGATGAAATTCATGATAGGCCAAGGCCCCGTTCATAGAGGCAAAGAACCTCGAGTCCTCAACTCTAGAATGGCCCCTTGGTCAAGAACCTGACGGGTGGATTGCACCTTGTTGAAGAATTATTGGTATTAGATCTTGTCCTAGGTGTTGGACCATGATCAGCTCTGTCGAAATCTTTTTTTTTCTCCACACTAGCAATTCATTGCTCTTATTTTACATGCATGAATGACTGCGATATATTCCCTCAAGGGCCACCACATATTCCTCGCCAGAATTCTATGATATACACTGACAGTTTCAAGTTCCTTCTCTTATCCCAGGTAAGAAACATCTCGTTATTTCCATTAACGATTTGACGTGCTACACATCAGTCCGAGTGGCAGCTGTGTTTGACAAGGATCCCTCGAGCTCAAGTGGAGCTGATACCTCGAGCTCGGGCTGTGGCGTGTAAGGCTCAGAGAGGGGGCTGGCCATCCCAGATCCAAGCTCTGACCGCACTGCCCCGTCAAGCTCACCCGTAGAAGGCTTTGCATGACCTCCAAGCTGGTAGCTGGGCTTCGTCTTATGTTGCTCATGTTGCTGGTTGGTCGGGGACACTGGGAAATTTTCTGGAGCGCGGCGGCGTTTGAGAAACCATAAACCGGCGACTAGCAAGACTAGGAATGCCACGCCTCCAACGGCACCTCCCACGATTGGTCCAATATTGCGTGATTTATCAGTATCCGAATCGTTCTTTGGCGAGTCTGTCATCGTAGGAGCGGGCATGGTTTGAGTAGTGTCCGTGCTCGATTCTTGGGTGATCAGCCTCCCATTCACAAACTGACGTGACGAGACGCTTTACTCACTTTTGTTGAATAAGGCTTCCAGTTGGGGGCTGGCCCAAGCCACTTGCTGACGATCCCTGAAAACGTGAGACGCACACAACATCCTAGAGATAGAGAACACTCACTTTTTAGCGTACCACTCTTGGACAATTTGCGGTGATTCATAAGGCTTGGCGTCAGGGTCATACTCCTCCTTCCACTTTAACTCAGTGAGGTCGAATATACCGATGCCATTGGGCCATGTGTCTGGCGACTTCCAGGTTTCGTTTCCTATATACCACTCCCCAACCCCACCAACTGATACCATCTGCCGATTTCCTATGCGGGCGCAGCTATGACGTGTTCGAATATCCAAGTCGACTCCAAACTGCTTTGGACAGAACCAATAGAATCCAGGGAGGGAGAGGATGCAAATCTTCTCAACCCCGGAGTATGGGCCATTGCCTCCAAAGATAAAACTAGAAAAAGGTCACCATTAGCAAAATTCCTAAGACCCGTAGAAAGGGTCCCTCGCGAGCCGCCATCAGAGTGATGTGAGAGACAGTGGAGTCGAGACTTGCATTTCGTACGTCCCAGTCTGGCTTTTTGCTCCAACAGCACAGAAATCATTCCGGTTCAGTGGTTCGGCACCTATTGTTTGCTGGGCATACCACATGTCGTTGACAGGGTCGTATAAAGTTACCTGAGAAAAGTAGTTCGGTCGAGCAATGCCGCTCTCGTTTTTCCAGGCGCCGCCAAGTACCAACGCCAAGGGGCTATCAAGTAACCCTTCTATGCATACTGCTTCCCCCATCTCATGTCTTCGACCGCGCAGATCCATGGTATTGTTGATGCTTCTTCTCCACGTGGATTCTGACATATTGTATACCAGCACGCCCTCGAATATAATGTAGTCTCTGTTGTCCTTGACTGTATTCTCGGTCGTGTAGCCGCCGAAATAGAGGCCCAGGCCATCGCAAGACGTAGGTGCTCCATCTTTGCCTGGGGGGTGTGCTTGGTCGTTTGCGGAAGTGATCTTCCATTGCATACCCTCCTTCCCAGCGGCTGCCAATACGCCCATGCTGTTATCTACTCTGTCTTTTATCGAATAACCGCGGGACGGTCCTCCTGCCCATCTATATAGTTCGTTCTTGTCTCGGTTCGTCCATAGGATGTGGTCTCGGGCCGGCTGGATTTCGGCGGGATACTCGGCATATCGGTAAAGGTTGTGCACATTACTAGGTGTCCATTTCGAGTTCAACGGGATTAAGGTTGTGTTTTTGACTTCTGTTGTCAGCTTAAAGTCAGATTAAAACATTGGACCTTAGTTGACATACCAGCCTCAGAAACGTTCCTCCCTGAGTCCTTTACACCATCGATATATTCCGAAATATCTCCGCCGTCGACAAAAAGGTAATCACCCAGAATTGCGACTGTAGAAATTTAGCTCACTGGTATGGAAAAACTAAGACGGGATACTGTACTAGCATGATATACTCGCCGCCGATACAACGGGCCACCATCGGCGGCCACAAGGCCACAGAGGAGAAAAAACAGCGGCAGGAATTTAGACCACATTGCTGCAAAAATCCATGACAGGAACTTAAAAATTCGTTTTGAGAAATGCGACTGAAGTTTGGGGAATTATGAAGTGTCTGTCGGCGCATGCTATCCCTTATGGCCAACATGCAAAAGCCGTACTCAGCCGCACCCAGCCCCCAACTTAGGATTTCCAAAGTTCTTCTCATTCCTTGTTTTATGGTGGTACTGCAGCCTTGCGTGCATTAATTGTCTTTACTGAGAATGCCACTGTGGCATAGCATCGGCGCGTGATGAAACAAACATCCGTCTAGGTACGTAAAATTGCTTCCAGGTACAACACAAGCAACAACGCAATCGCTACTGATCTTCTTTTTCTTCAAGGACATATGACAATCGTCAAGAAACAGTGTTGTCCGTCTTCAACATGACATCTGGCGGGCATTTCACCCCAGTAGCAACCAAGCAGCACCCGAACATTGTCTCAAAGATCTAATACACCTGAGACACTGTCTCAGAAATCCAATACATTTCGGGACAGGCTCTCAAAAGTCCAATGCGTTTACAGCTGAATGGTCACACCCATTACAGCGAGTAACACGAAACTTTACTGAAATCCCTTCAATCTTACAACCTGCAGACCATTGAACGTAAGCTCGGAAATTACATTAGCCACACGTTAAGTGGACAAAAAAAAACGAGTTGGACAGTGATGAATATCATAGAAGATATGTGCAGATTTCTAAGATTTCACCGAGAGCATTTTCTTTGTTGTCTCCAAGTTCCTTGGTACCAATCTGACATGCGTGAATGCTGGTGCAGCCTGGTGATTTCCCTTGGATAACAATCCTTCCAAAGGATCCCACGTAGTTGGGTTACACACATCGCCAGCAGGCAAGACGCGAAAATGTGCCACTAGGTGGAGAAACACGGTGTAGAGAGCCTTGGATGCAACATGGCTTGCCACACACATCCGACCACCCATACCGAACGCAAATTGATGCCGATGAACATCCTCACCCTCAAGCCATCTCTCGGGGTCGAAGACGTCTGCATCCGCAAACACGTCCGTATCTTTCAAATTTTCCGTCAGCTGAAATGTATTCTTGCCTATGTTCTTGTGCTCTTACCTCGAGAACAGGCCCAGGTGTTTAAAAACAGAAGGGTTTTGGGTGGAATATTGGCGCCGCTCCAGTTGACATGTCCATGAGTAGCTTTTGGCAGGGCAAGCCTCAGGACCACAAAGAACCGCCCGATTTCTTTGGTTAAAGCTTCCATGTAATCAATTCGAGTGTGTGCAACGTCAGGTGCCGACACGATGTTGTCTCCAGCTTCGATGATTGATTGATACGCCTTCTGTTGGATGTCTTGCCTGTTTGCTAGCAACTGCATGCCCCAGAGCAGGGATCGCTTCGTGGTGTCTGATCCGGCCATCATGCTCATGCTGATACTCAGGAGTTCTCCCTCTGTCAAACCCTTGCTGTCGGGATCTTTCAGGACATTGCCTTGAATACTTTTGAGCTCGTCAGCACAATGCTTCGACATTAATATAATGTCATACTCACCATGGTTTATCAACCCCCAAATCAATCTCTCCTCGTAAATTCTTTTGTAAGAGAGCATGATAAGCATAACGCCGCTTTCCAATGTCGGCCATGATCTTTTCGCCCTTGGAAATTCCAAGGAGCTCGGCAGCCGAACTAAAAGGGCGCAGCAATGGGATGTAGTTGAGGTAGTTCCCAGAAACGTCGCGATATTTAGTAATCATCTCCTCAATATATAGTATTTCGGAGAGAAGGATGTTGTTATGTAGATCCTTGACGTCCTCGACCCTTTGCTTACGTTAGGAACGTACTCTCAGGTTGGCGACTAGCAGAACATACCGTGTGCCATAGCTCAGGGTCAAGCTGAGATTCAGAGCAAACTTCTGGCATATATCAAGCACATTGGTGGAACTCTGAGCTCCTCCTTTTGAGGCCGCGAGCAAATCGTTAAGAAATGCTCGAGATTCAAGGTTCAAAATCTATCATCATCAGTCCAGTGCCCGATTTTGCAACAAGTAAATGCAAAGAAGTATCATACCGGCAGGTAGCTCTCGACGCTTGTTTTATTAAGTGCTGTGGCGGCAACCTTCCGTCGCCTTTTGCAGCTGTGGTCCCATTCGCTTGTTCCAATGCTGGTCACAGCGTTCCCTTTCTGGACTTTGTTATGCAAAACATAGAAACGGGGACGGCCGTTTGTTGCGTTGCGTTGCGATATGAAGAAATCTCTAGCCGCAGCTGCGCTATTGACCACAACAGTTGTCGTGTTGCCCAATTGGAGCTGAAAAACATCGCCATAGCGTTTCCCCCATTGACGGTATTCTTCAGCCGGGATCTTGCCACGCAGCGATGGAAGGCTTCCAAGCAATGGGTAACCTCGGGGACCTGGCAAGTTCGGGATACGAGTGGAATAACGAACGAACTCATTGACTAGGATATAAATGAACAGGAAGGAGGTCGGAATCAACAATAACAGAAGAGCAGATCCGTGCCCCAAGCCCAGAGCGCGAAGGGCATGATGGAATTGTGAAGCAAGAGACATAATGTAGATTCAGGCAGTCTGAAACAATCGTATCATGTGTAGGCGCCGCCAAGATCTCAACGTCGAGGCTGCTTTGGGGTCTTCAGAGAAGCGTTGTATTACTTGCTGACCACAACAATGATCATTCATTGACTAGCTAAAACCCCTCACATTTTGTTGAAAAACTTTATATCACGATACACAGAAACCCATGCCTCAGCTGTCAGGCACGGGTTGTATTTATAAGCCCTAAGGCTCGAGGTTTGTGAATCCCTGCTCTGCGTGGGGTCTTCTGTGCTGCGTCAAATATACTGGACCTGATAGGATCATGGCCTAGTGGAAGTAAGGCGGATATATGGGTTATAATCACGCAATCGCCGGCTTCGTAGTTCAACTTCCATCTTAGGATTTAGATCGATTGTGGCACCCTGTCTGAATTATCCATGCCAAGGTGACCGAAGTCGGATCTCTGTGAAGAAAAGTGTTGATGAGGAGCTTCCGCCATAGTCCATATGAGATCCAATCTTCTCGGACGCATTGCATTCGTTTTCTCTCTGCTATCTGGTACAATCACGGAGACCAGAGACAGATTTAGAGATGTCATCTGAATCCGAAAGACCGGGCCAGGCTGAAGCCCTTCGCCCTGAGACTTCAGAGCCACAGGCACCCACAGTCCAGGGACAGCAAGATCAAGCTGTTATTCTACGACCGCGACAACGCTCTGGTCTCTTTTCCTGGTCATACGCTCTCGCTGCCGTAGGGTTCGCTATTCTTTCAACGCCGTTTGCTTGGTTACTTTCGGCCGAAACATCAATCGATCCAACAAACTATGCTTTACGAACCAAGACTGTCCTCCAAACAACCCCTCTTATCGATGGACACAACGACCTGCCATGGCTCTTGCGAGTTGAACTCCATAACCGCATCCGCGACGACAGATTTGACCCACGGCAAAAACTCCTCGGGCATACGGACATCTCTCGCATGAGACAGGGCCAAATGGGTGGCCAATTCTGGAGCGTATATGTCCATTGCGATGCTGCGCAAAAGCACTTTGACGACCCTTCCGTAAGTTCCAATCAATAGCTTCATAATATACCTCCGGTTGATTAACTTATTTATCCTCCAGTGGGTCGTTCGAGATACGCTTGAGCAAATCGATGTAGCGAAGCGATTCATTTCGGAATATCCTGACGTCTTCCAGTATTGCACCACGCCATCATGTGTGCGCCAGGCTTTCGCCAAAGGACGCATTGCCAGCATGCTTGGCATCGAGGGAGGGCACCAACTTGGAGGCTCAATCGCAGCAATTCGGCAAGCATATGACCTTGGTGTGAGATATATCACGACAACTCACAACTGCGATAATGCGTGGGCAACCGCGGCATCGACAGTAGCTGCCAAGGGAGCTGGGGCAGATCGAGGATTGACTCCGTTCGGTGCAGCTTACGTCAAGGAGATGAACCGTTTAGGCATGCTTCTGGATCTCTCACATGTGTCTCATCAAACGATGAGGGACGTGCTGTCACTCACACGTGCACCCATCATCTTCTCCCACTCCGGCGCGTACTCTGTATCCCCCCATCTTCGTAATGTGCCCGACGATGTACTGCGCAGCGTGCGCCAAAACGGGGGAATAGTCATGGCGGTATTTGTCAATCGCTTTTTGAAAATGAAGAATCCAGACTCTGCTACCATTCACGACGTTGTTGATCATATCTGGCATATTGCTGAAGTCGCTGGATGGGAGCATGTAGGCATTGGGTCTGACTTTAGCGGAACTCCGTTCACTCCAATAGGACTTGAGGTAAGATGATGAGCTTGTGCCATGAAAACAAAGGAAGCCGCTAATGACCCATGTCTAGGACGTATCAAAGTTCCCGAATCTCATTGAGCTTCTCATGGCGCGGGGAGCTACAGACGATCAAATTAGACTTTTGGTAGGAGAAAATTTGCTCAGGGTTTGGGCAAACATTGAGCAAAGGGCCAAGGAAATCCAAGCAGAGGAGCCACCTGTCGAAGAAGAATGGGAGGGGAGGAAGTGGCAGCATGGGTACAAGAGCTCGCCGTACATGTTTCGTGAAACACGTGAAATTGCGATCAAGGAAGATTGGGGGCAGCCTCACCAGTTCAATGTCGCCACCAAAGGAAGTAATGACGGGCAGAGCAAGGAGTAGGCCTAGTTTCGAGTGGAGAGGTTTCATAACCATTCTTAGCCGTGTTATGATGACAATCCAATGGCGAGTTGAACATGTCGAATCTTCGATTACGAATCCGAATCTGATGAGCCATGGGACCCAGGGATCTGGTAACTGGTACTATTCTTAGTTTAATTTGTTCCCCGCAAGTTGATTTGGCCAAGAAGCGATATCGGTCCAAAGAACGTGTCTGCTCCTGGTTTTTCCTGATAACTGGTCATATGAAGATCCACAAACCTCCTGTCATCCCCGGGAATAACACGAGGCGAGATAAGAAACTGTGGGAACGTAGTAACGCTACCGCTGTCATGGGTAGTTGTCTCATTATTGTCCGGATGATGCAATTTAGAGTTTACCAATCGAGTGTTCCGTTCGTGATTGCGACATAGAACCCCAGCAAGAAGTGATTGAAATTGCAGGGGTGCTCTGGTTATACAAAACCCAGGCCTCATCCCTCAGGCACGGGTTTCGATTCTCCCTCCAAGGAGTATTCAACAAGTTGCTGGGCCATCTAATCGAGTGTTGTGGGGAAGTAAGGGTGGGTGGTATTTAAGCGGTTTTCGTCCCCGGAGGTGGGAGACAAATCCGTGATGCTGAAAACAACCATATCTTTACTTATCATTCTATATACTGCAATTTCACCAAAGTTTTCATTTTTATGATGTCTGATAGTGGCCACGACGAGAAAACTCCGCCCCAGGCTGATAAAAATGGGGCTTCCCAAGTCGCCACCCCCTTGGAGGCTACAGAAAGCTCAGAGCAGGCTCTCTTACGGCGTCTGCTTCGAAAGACTGATTTGTTGGTAATGCCCGGCCTATGCTTGGCTTACTTTACAAACACTCTGGACAGAAGCAACCTGGGGAATGCTAAGACCGATACTATTGTGGAGGATCTGCACCTAGGCACCAACGAGTTCTCCTTGATGCTGGTGGTGTTTTATATTCCATATGCCCTTCTCAATATCCCATGGTCGCTTCTTGCCAAGAAGTTCAACCCAGCCGTTATCATCCCTCTTGCTGTCTGTCTTTGGGGCATCGTAACTATCGCATCTGTGGCTTCAAAGAACGGAGGGCACTTGATGGCATGCAGAGTTCTCGTGGGTGCGATTGAGGCAAGCTATAAGCCTTGCGAAGTGTTCTACCTGAGTCTATTCTATACCAGGAAAGAAATGAGCTTTCGTGTTGGTATGGTTGGTCAATTTGGATTCATCGCAGGTGCTGTGAGCGGGCTAATCAGCTGGGGTGTCTTTCAATGGAACGGGAGTCTTCGGGTGAGCATATATCTACATCGTGGCGATTACAAAGGTTTATCTAACAAAGAGCAACTCAGGGATGGCAATACCTATTCATTATTGAGGGTGCCATTACAGTTCTTGTTGCTGCATGGCTTTTCGTCTGGGCTCCAAGAAGTCCTCAAAAATGTCGATTCTTCAGCGCCGAGGAGAAGGCATTGGCTCAATCTCGACTTGAGCTTGACTCACAAGACCAAGACAAATACTTTCGTTGGGATGAAGCAATTGCGCAACTCAAGATGTGGCAGACTTGGGTCTTTGCTTTCATGGCTTTGCTCTATGGAATTGGTGTGGCCAGTAGCTCGAACTTCTTACCGGTAAATAGGCTTTAATCGTCTACATATTACCACCATAATGGCTAACAGATTTATACTAGACCATGGTCAAAAGACTCACAAAGAACACGGTTCAAGCCAATCTCTACACAGTCGGTCCGAACCTCGTGGCTTCCGCCGTGCAGTTGACCATAACGTGGCTCTCTGACCGCTACCAACAGCGAGCCTACTTCTCCTGCGGCAGCGTTGTCGTATCAATCTTGGGATGGATTCTCCTAGGCACGCTTGACCTGGTGAAGAGCCCCAAGGCCGGTTACTTCCTCACCTATCTTGTCCCATGTGTGACCTTCATCCCCAGCAATCTAGTTCCTGTTTGGCTTTCCTCCAATACGCCCACCACGACTGGCCGAGCAGTGTCCCTGGGTCTCAACTATACCTTCATGAACCTGGCCGGAGTCTTATCGTCTGTATCATTCCGCGATAACGAGGCGCCTGTTCACAAAACAGCCTTGATCCTAGCAGGGGCGACCCAAGCTGGGTTCGCAGTGACAGCTCTGGTCATGAGGTATTACTATGTCCAGATGAATAACAAGCTGGACAAGGGGGTGATCCCGTATGCACCAGGGATGTCACGCCGCCCCGAATACCGCTACGCTGTGTAGAGATCGCGTGCAATCAATATTCTTAGCGGCCCAAGTTGGTGAGTATTAGCGGTGGCTCAGTTTTTGTTCCCTACAGGAGCGGGTTGATAGGACAAGGAACACTTCAGTCAGAATGGAAATATAAAGGTTGATATACGGAATATTAAAGAGTTGTATCTTCGCACTGTACCCGTCTCTTCTCTCGATGTATCCTTCTCTGGTTCGTTCAAGCGCTGAATAAGCCATGACGCGTCAAGACGCGTCTCATTGTTTATGCGCCCTTTGGGTAAAACAAACTGGAGCAAATTCGACATGGTAGTTCCTAAACTTCAGCCACCCTATAGTTCGATCAGTAATTGTCGAAATGACGTATTTGGCTTTCACCAGTCAATAGGAAAGTGCATTTATAGAAACTTTCTATACCCACTCGTCGAGAAACAATTTCCTAAAACTCTCTCCTATAAACTGTCCTTTTCTATATGGTGGTTGAATGAATATAAATTGCGATGTTGGTAGCCCCGTTGAGATTCAGTGTCGAGTGTTCTCGAGTACAAGGTGTTAGCAGTGACATTTAACACAACAAGCCACATTGCCGTGAATACCTATGAAATAAAACGCGCGAGATGAGAGATGATAACCATTTACTTGACTTGGCCAGCATTTGAATAATTGAGTATTGGTTTCCAGGCACGTCAACAGAAGGGGCGTATCACGTGATAAACTCATGGCTGTTGCTTGCGTAGACTTTCTTAGTGCTGTGTTTTAGTGGAGCAGTGCTGGAAATTAGGTAATTGCCTCCTGAGTTCTGAACTAAACCTTTGACCACGCTTCTTTTCTTCCTTGGATTCACCATCCATTGGAAACCGATCCGGCGAGTGTCTGCCTTGAATCTATTGAATCTAGACAACTCCCTTGATAACAAAACAATGTAATGTCTTAATGGATCAAGACCAATTCGTCTCCTCACGTTTCCCAAATCGCCGCCGGGCTACCCAGGCATGTGTTCCTTGCCGAACAAGGAAGACAAGATGTGACGCTGCACAGCCGAAATGCGGCTACTGTGCCCAGCACAACGTGGAGTGTGTATACCGTGAAGCTCAACAGCCACGTATCGACCACGGTACTCAGGTTATCCTGGAAAGAATTCAGCTCCTGGAGGACCGCCTGACCTCTGTACAACTTGTGGATGCTACCCCAGCAGCGTCCGTTCTGCTGTCTCGCCCGACCCAGGCTCAACCTCCCCAAAATTCTGAAGCAGAGCCAGAGGGACAGATAGCCTCATCTCATACCGCAAATGCGAATCATGTTCATGACTGGCCAGTCGTCCGGCAGCTCCTGTCTGAGGTCCCCGGGCTTGAACGTCAGCTTGCTGGAGGTGCCACAGACATTTTCTTTGAACCTTCAACTCAGACGCGGCCTCCCCCCTCGTCGTGGAGGCTCTTCGAACAATTCTCCTCCGCTTCTAATTTAGATTATCAGCGCCTCATTGAGATCTATTTTGCAGAGGTTAACGTTATTTTCCCATTGCTCTCTTCTGACGACCTCTACCTGATCTATGGCCAAGTGGTAACAGAAGACACCACTGAGTGGCAGGAAACAAAAGCCTCTGTTCCTGTTGGCGAATATGCTTTACTTTTGCTTGTGCTCACAATGGCTACATATGTCTCCAAGGGTTGTAACAAGGTCATGCTGTCACTGAATCCGATGCCGGATGACCCCCAAGAGGATTTGCTGTGGAGTAAGGCGGTACTCCTCCTTGGACCTGTCTCTTCGGAGATGTCAATCATAGCTGCCCAATGCCTCATGTTGGCCAGGTGCGTTCTGGCGAATTCGTGTTGATTTTCTCCGCTCTCCACTCTCCGCCCGACCTTCGCCTTGGCCTTTACTAATTTTAAACAGCTTATACCGAGGCGCGAAGGGTCGTGTAGCTGAATCTTTTCACTGGAGTCATTTAGCTGCCGTGAAGTGTGACGCACTGGCTCACTCTTACGTACATGTCAAACATATGCGTCCGCCAGATGAGTTCGCCCGCTTGTTTTGGGTTGCTTATATCTACGAGAGTGATTTCGTATCCGAGGTTTCACTCAATCAGCCTTCAGGGATCGCTCGCTACGAGGATCTGATTCCGTATCCCACTGTCAAAGAGCTAGCTGGCGGTAGAGCATCTGCCGAGTCTGTAGCTATCGCTCGACAGGAGGAGCTCGTTGCATTCCAAATCACCACCAACGCCTCCATTAGACGCTTTCTGAACCGTGTCAACAGTACGGTCTACAGCCCTACGGAAAATCTGCATCACCAGGGGTCCGATTACGCTGCTTGGCTTCTGCGGTTGACCGCAGATCTCTGGTCCCATCATGCGGCTGTCTACAACAATCTGCCCGAATTTCTGCTGACGACTTATCAAAGTGATGCGCCCATCGCAGACTCGCCCACGGCACACATCGAGGGACTCCTACCGAGAGGCAACAATCCCTGGAACATCGTTCGATTGAAAGGTCGTTACTATGCCGGTCAATACATAATCCATCGGCCCTTTGTAGAGTATGCATTGCTCAATGCGGATCGGCTCGAATCGCATCCTGCAAAAGACTCCATTCTGAATGGCTGCATGATGTGCATTGAGGGCTGCGCGGGATTCATTCGTGTCTTCAACGTCGACCCTGCCAACAGTATTACTGGTCTTTTCGCTGGTGGAATGGTGTAGGTCATAGCCCTGATAATCACAAACCGATTTTGAAAGCACACTGACCAGCGCTCAGAACATTCACAATGATTACCATTTTGATGGTTTCGACTATCACGCCGGCAATGAGTAGCATAGTCCCGCATGACGTCGAGGAGTCCATCATCACTGGAGTCCACAACCTTCGCCGCTTCAGCAACAGTGTTAAGGAGTTCTCATGGCATTTGAAAATTTTGGAACGTTTGGATATTGCACGGAAGGCCAGACTGGCAGGTAGTAACGTATGACTGCAGAGAACTTGAGTTAGGAGTTGTCTGCCTGGCTTTTTGATTGCCGTAAATGATTACAGGATGACAATGTTATTGAATTGCGATCTTATGCTGCTACGGGTACAGGTTGCTGGCTTTCGATTGCCTTCTTTTTCTCTTCTGGAGAGAGCTCAAATACACCAACACCAGACACAGACTTGTCTGCGCTGGTCACGGCGGACTCTGACGTCTTCTCAGCTTTGATAACCTTGCCCTCGAGCCTCTTATCTTCTGATGTCATGGGCGCATAAGTGCCCATGAGCTCATTCAATCTCTCTCTCTGATGGCAATTCTCGTACTTCCAGCTCGCGGCCAGCTCATCCAGTTCTTCAAAAGTCTTGTCCTTGAAGTAATCAGCCCATTCGGGGACTAGGTATTCTGCGAGAAGGATACCTCTGATCGGCCGGAAGACCTGCATGTGCATGCGCCATTGCCACGGGTACTTTTTGTTGTAAGGTGGCTGTACATTATCCTCGAACCATTTGTGGAGTGGCCCGAAGAGGCCGTCTTGGAGGTGGGCGTCGTCGTATGCCCATGAGTCGACAGCCAGATCCCTCTTCTTTTGGATGATGGGGTCGAGGAGCTTGAACCAGGCTGAGTCAGGGGCCAGATACATCAGTCCCATGACGTTGATGTCCTTGTATGACCAGATGGACCATGCTACTGCGAGTTAGCTGAGTGTCTCTAATCTGTGCAAATCTTAACTAACCAATGCTTTCATCGCTGTAAATGGCGAGTTGCCTCTCGAGCATATCGTAGCGCTCATTGTTGTGGAGTTCCCAGTCAGGATTGTTCTCCTTTCGCTCGTATATAGGGCCGAATTCACCTTCCACACAGTTAGAATAATTTCGCCCGGGGGGTTTTCGCGGTCCTGGTCCTACCATTCCAGATGGGAACATTGTGCTCCTTCATGAAGGCAACCTTGCGATCGTACATCCTTCGAATATACTGTTCTTGGTCTGCTTGGCCTTGGAATCTGCCGATTCTATTCGGGAATCCGAAACCGCAGTAATCGTGAACTGCGTACACTGAGTTAGGGAAGACCTTGTCGAAGCCGGTGAAGTCCATGCTGAAACTGATGGAATTGGTTAGCCTGGATGTCTCAGTAACAAACGGGTACTGATGCCCTGCTACTTACGTATTGCCTTCGAGGAAGAGGATGTGCTCGGGGTCGACCTTGCGGATGGCGGGGACGATGCGGTCGTAAAAGTTCAGCAGGCGAGTCCATTCTGAGTCTGCAGGCTCATTCATGGGATTGTAACCAGCCACCCAGGCATTCCCACGGTAGCGCTTGGCAATGTGCTCCCAGAGATTGACTGCACGATCTTGGAAATGGATATGGTCCCAGAATGCGGCGTGACCGGTCGGGTTGTCGCAGTGCCAGTCCTGATTCTGGCCACCAGGGAGAGCGTGCATGTCGATGATCGTGTAAATTCCGTGTTTGGCACACTTTCAGTTGTCAGCTGGAGTCCACGTATCGTGCTTAAGAGAAGGAACACCTACAATGTCGATTACACGATCGACGTGTTTGAAGCCTTCCTCTTTGATCTTGAAGGGCTTCATGTCATCTTCGAAGTGGTGATAGTTCAGACACAGGCGAACGCAATTGAAGCCTATGGATTTTAAGAAGGCGGCATCCTTGTCTGTGAAGAAATATTCGAGAAATTTGTCGAAGAAGAACTCCGTCTTTTCCTCACCAAGCACCTTTTTCAATGCGTGTCGGATCTGGTGCTCACGGCCTGGAAATCCGTTCATGAAGTTTTCCATCATCATCCATCCGCCGAGGGCAGCCTGAGCGATTCTTCATGTTAGTGCTTTCTATTGGGTCCAGAAAAAGGGGAAAAGAAGGTCGTACTCCTCTGAGAAGAACTGGGTTCCCCTGCGCATCGATGATGCGAGCACCATCAGTTCGGAGTAGTCCGTTCATGGTGCAATTGTGGTCTGAATTTCTTGACGATGTAGGCAAGAGAAAAGCTGATTACGAGCAACTTACAAGGCTGATGTCTAGCCTTTCTATATACCTGGCCCCTGTGACGTACTATTGCATGTCCAACTGCTTGCTTGACCCAGGTAATGTTTTTACGAATTGAAATTGACCAATCGGGTAAACCGGACCTCAAGATGAATGGATTCAACTCGGGCAATCCAGGTCTCATCGGCATCACGAGACATGCTGACTCGAGGCAACTCATACCTTTGAATCTTCGACCCACCTTCGGGGCATCTAAATCACTGCCCCGACATACGACTTTAGCCGAGACCAAGACTTTGGCTGGGGAATATCGGGGCTTCATTTTAGTTCCCCCGACACATCTTCTGATTCGCTGCCCTCATGGGTCCCCGTTTCCCATTGCCGTTATGGCGCCCTAGAGTTTGAACTACTGAGTGGAAAATGGGAAGACTTTGTTGCCTCCCCCCGGAGATGTCATGCAAAAATCTCCTCACTATTGTCCCCAGACGATGGAAATCCCCGCATGAAAGCTCTCGTCTCCGCAATTGAGCTCCAGCTGGTGAGTGTGTGGGGATGTTCATTTGGTTCGCGTGAGTCGAGCATCCTTGTACCCGATTTGTCGGGATGGCCCATGGCTCTGGGAACTCTCTGCTTCAGCTCGTGACAAACAGCCGGTCGAATAGATGCGCTCAAACTCACTCGATCTATTGGAATAGCCGCAAGCCCTTACGCATACCGGTCGTCTATAAGATCTCACCCCTTGCCGCAACGTCCTGCAACGACGATCACTCTACAGAGGCTTCCTAGGAAACAACAGAAACACTTTGCGTCTGAGTGAACCTCGATTGTGTTCTTCTACCTTCCTGCCACGTCTCGCTTTTCTGATACTTTGAGACTACTCGCTATTGGGATCTGAAATATGGCCCTCACAGCTCTTCGCAACCGCCTCCCGGCGCCTCGATATGACCAGCTTGCTCGACAGGCGAAACGCCAGGCAAGTGAAGCCACAACCGAAGCACAGGCAACCGCCCAAGAGCCATCACCAATCAATGAGCTGGCATCCAAGGCACCGGCCTGGTATGCGTCTTCCTCCCGTCGAAAGCTATACTTCCTTCTCTTCCCTGCCTGCGTCGTGTCGTACGCAACGTCCGGCTACGATGGCAGCATGATGAACAGCCTACAGACCGTCTCGTACTGGGACGACTTCTTCGGCAACCCCCGCGGCTCGTCCCTCGGCCTCATGAGTGCCATCATGGCGCTCGGCAGTGTCTGCTCAACTCCAATCGCCCCCTGGGTTGCCGACAAGTACGGCCGCCGGTGGGGTATCACCGTCGGCAGTATCATCATGATTGCAGGTGCCATTCTGCAATGCGAGAGCTCATCGTACCCGATGTTTGTGGGCAGCCGTTTTGTTCTTGGATTCGGATTGTCCTTTGCCACCACTGCTTCGCCTAGCATGGTGTCTGAGTTGTCTCACCCCAAGGACAGAGTGACGATAACAGCCATTTGCAATACATGGTAAGCCTTCAAGGGAGGAGGTTTCTCGATATGATTTTTTCAGGTGCTAATTCTTTCTGCAGCTGGTATCTCGGTAGTATCGCGGCTGCGTGGATCACGTACGGAACGAGAAACATCCCCAACACCTGGTCTTGGCGTCTTCCGTCTCTTCTCCAGATGGCTCCCAGTATCGTTCAACTTAGCGCTATCTGGTTTCTTCCCGAATCCCCTCGGTGGCTCATTGCCAACGGCAGAGGAGACGAAGCTTTGACGGCTTTGGCTAAATACCACGGCGATGGGGAGGAATCCGAGTTAGTAAAGCTTGAATATGCCGAGATTCAGGTGGCTATCGAGTATGAGAAGGGTATGTCTGGAGACGCCCCTTGCTGCTCCGAGTATAGAGAGCTAACTATGATGAAAGCATCGAGCAATACGACATGGAAATCAATGGTCAGCACCTCAGGCAACCGTTACCGAATGTTTCTGGTTTTGTGTATGGGCCTGTTTAGTCAGTGGTCTGGAAACGGCTTGATCGCTTACTGTAGGTCCCCTAAATACCGTGGAGTAGATCGATAACTGACAAAAATAGACCTTTCCCGTGTGATGGACTCGATCGGCATCAAAGATAAAAACACTCAGGCTCTCGTCAACGGCCTCATCAATATTTGGAACTGGCTCATCGCCCTCACCACCGCCTTCTTCGTCGAACGAATCGGACGCCGGCCTTTATTCCGTATATCTACCATTGGCATGCTTATCATGTTCACAGCTTGGACCATTGCATCGGAGCGCTTCGCAGTGACAAGGCTCAAGGCCGCTGGGACAGCTGTACTGGCCCTCATCTTCGTGTACCAGTTCTTCTACTGCATCGCATTCTCCCCGCTTCCGGTTGCATACTCTGTAGAGGTCCTGCCTTATTCCATTCGCGCCAAGGGCATGGCAACATATGTCTTTTCTACGAAGATAGCCGTATTCGTCAACCAGTATGTCAATCCTGTCGGGCTCTCCAACATTGGATGGAAGTTCTACATTGTCTATGTGGCGGTTCTGGCTGTGGAGTCTGTCGTGGCTTATGGATGGTTCATTGAGACAAAAGGAAAGGCTCTTGAAGAAATTGCCGTAATCTTTGATGGGGAGGCTGGGGAGATTCTTCAAAACACTATCGGTGCAAAGTTGGGGGATGAAGAGCCAACATCATTGCAGACAGAGGACCGCACAAAGACGGTTTCCAACTAGATGCAGATAAGTAGACCACGAGGATCAGGGCAAATCATCATCGTCAGAGAGTCAGTTTCCCGCTGCTAAGTAGTTTTAACAATAAACTCAGGCAATGTGTTATTTTTAAGAGGAAGAGCCTGCTTGTGTGGCCCGACAAATCAAAGTAGGCGTGAAGGGAATCCTCATAGCCTTTTCTTCTATGAATGAAGCCTCCAATCTAGAAGGAAAGGGACCGAAGACAAAGGCTACGAATGTAGGTAATCCTGCCTTAGAGCTTGGGGCGCACTTCATCCACACTAGCTTGTGAATTGGATGAGCTGCTATATATCTTGTTAAACTGCCCCTCTGCATCGTGTTCATTTAGCCAGACTGGATCACCCTTTGAAGCTAGTCTCTTCCTAAATGAGGCGTCTGACTCTGGAACACCCTCCTCCCGGATCTTTGCAAATCGGGCAGCTTGGCCCTTCCGGCTGATGTGCACTTCCTTCAACACTCTTTCCAGATGGGGGCGGCGAGTTGCTTCATAAAGGGCAAGTGCTTCTCCAATGCGTGTAGTTGATAGTTTCTCCTGTTCTTGATCTCCTCCCTGAAGTATGGTTCGTAGCGAAAGGTAGAGCACGTATGCGTCATCAACTGCTAATGACGCCCCTGCTGCATACGCACCACCATGCGTATGGGCTGCATCACCGATCAAGGCAACGCGATTTCCAAAGGTCCAGTGAGAAAGGGCTTCGCCAGCCACATTCGTGTACCTTCTCAAAGTACCTTCGGGGATTCTATCAATGATTGAGGGGATCGGAGAGTAAAAGTCCTGGAGGATATTGATTAGCCTCATGGAGAGCAGCCACGAAGGTTCGGTTCCTTACTTTGAATACATTGCGGATATCATCCACGGTGGCCGGAGCGTTCCAAGTTGTGTCTGAAAATTTCGAGCTTGAATCGTTTTCATAAACGTGAAAACTGCAAGTCACACCGAATTGATCCGATCCTAATTGAAAAGATTAGTGATCGAAAACATTGATATGATCGTGTAGGGGCCATCTACCTAGTCTTGTTCCGAAAAACCATGAAGTTGGGCTTTGCTGGAACTTTATCAGCTGAAGGTAATCATGTTACCAGATGTCTTACTCACATAATGAGTTGAGTTCTGCTCAAGTCCAGGGAGATCTGACACTAAGTCGTAAGGAAATGTGGTTCGGAAGATCGCGTCGCCCGAGGAGCTAAGCTTGTGGTTTTTGATGAAAGATTCTCGAACTTTCTAAAGAGGTCTAAGAAGAATGGTCAACGGAATGTAGTGAGTTCATACACTTACCGATTTGATTCCATCGGCCCCGATTACGAGGTCAGCTGTCACGGAGGTACCATCTTCAAAGTCGACTGTAGCACCATCATCATTGGTCCTCACTATGAATACTTTTTTACCGGTGTGAAGAATGCTTGGTGGAAGATTCTTCAAAAGGGCCTTTTGGAGACTAGCACGGTGCATTCGAGCAAATTGATGGCGTCTATCTGGCACGTTATGATTGTAGTCGATGCTTAACACATCGCCTGTCTTGAAGTGTCTTGATGCCATTAGTCTTTATTTATCCAAACTATTTTCTGAGATCTTGGAGAGACATCTGTTAGTCAAGGAAAAAAAGGCGGACACTCTTACTTGAAGCACATAGGAACTCCATTCGGGCTTCTCCAACCAACTTCGTCCGTAAGAACATCTTCCACCCCTAACTTCTCCAAAGTTCTCAGTCCATTAGGAGCTAGTCCGATAAGAGCACCCAGTTCTTTGAACTCTTTAGCTCTTTCGTACACTTGAATATCGACACCAGGAAGCTGCCTGAGAGCAATAGCCACACTGAGCCCGGCGATGCCGCCCCCAATGATTGCAACTGTGAGGACCATTTTGCAAAAGTCAGAAGGAATATCTTGGGAGGTTCAGTAATATAAGGTCAAGGAAAGGTGTACTCCAATGGCTCGATGTATGTTTAATTAAATCCACCAGTCTGTCTGGCGAGAAACCAATTGCTTCGTGGCAACCGATGTCGGATGCTCCACCATCAATGGGGTCTATCTAGGCTTGCGCTATGCAAGGATACACCCGCCGTTTATTCTTTCTCCGAGGGCTTGGGGCCTGCCCAATTTTGAATGGCATCACTCTCATGGGTGATCGCGCGATCTAAACCCGGACTGTCGGAATGGACCCTCTAGATATCCCGGCAGATCTAACGGCGAATAAGAGCTCGCTAAGTCACCCCAATTTGGTGTTCAACTTGGGCAGAAGTGACTGGAATCATTATACGTTTGTCGAAAACCTGAACTTCAGAGATGGCGGAAACGCCGAGTGAATCGGATACCACTGCCGTTGGTGTTGTTAAACCAGGGGTCGAACACATTCTCACAGAAGTCCATCCAAACGCTGAAGATGAGTCTTCTCATGCTGACAGGGCTGCATTTCTCTCAACTTTCAGCCCTGAGGAGGAGAAGGCCATTATCCGAAAGGTCGATTATCGTCTCTTGGCTTTGTTCGGAGTGATCTACATGGTAAAGCAGGTATGTCACTTGGATTATACTACTGTTATGGTTAATCATGTCACTCATCTCATCGCCGAACAGATCGATGTCAACAACGCTGCAGCTGTGAAAGTTCTTGCTGTAGGCAAGCCAACAAACATTCTAACTCAGCTAGAGATGACATCAGATGAGTACAACTGGGTTCAGTCTATATACTACGTAGGTTTATAGTACTCAGGCTGTGATGATCAAGCAGAAACTAATTTGATTGTAGATCTCGTACATCATTTTCGAACTCCCAAGCAACCTTTTACTCAAAAAATGGACCCCGAGAATCTTCCAGGCACGAATCATGTTTCTATGGGGGCTGGTACTTGCATGCCACGCTGCCGTTAACAACAAAGCTGGCATCCTGACTGCACGCTTCTTTCTTGGACTTATGGAAGCCGGTCTCTTTCCTGCAATCATGACTCAGCTTTGCAGCTGGTATCGCTCTGATGAGATGGGAAAGCCAATTGCATGGCTCTTTGGCATTTTCAATCTTGCTGGAGTGATTGGATCGTTGATCGTCTATGGAATAGCATTCCTTGACGGTAGGCAAGGTCTCAGTTCTTGGCAATGGTAAATTCTTTGTCCTCCTTATTTGAATATCCAAGCTGCTCGCTAAGATTGAAATGATAGGGTATTTCTACTTCAGGGTGTGGCCACAATGGCTTTCGCTTTCTTGGTCTGGTTCCTCTGCCCAGACTATCCTCGCTCAGAGCGCACAGGCAAATGGCTCACCCCAAGAGAACAGAAGTTTGTGGAATATAGACTAACATCAAATGCTCCTGTGACTTCCGACGCCGCATTCTCCGGCAAAGAATCCTTGGAGACCTTGAAAGATCCACGCCTATGGGCCTTTATGCTTACCCAGGTACTGATGAACACAGGTGGATTTGGGCTAAGTTGGTTCTTGGTAGGTGAATCTTCTAAACTTCTTATAAACTCAGTGCTAATCATTTCCTGTTCAGCCTACAATTATCACCAATCTTGGATTTGTCGGATTGCCTCGAAATATTTTGCTCCTGATTGTAAGTGAATAGCCCCTATGTTTGCCCGGGAATTTATTCTAATATTCTGTGCTTAGCCAACAGCTACGGTTGCGATTTTGGCCATTGCTGCCGCGGCGTATATTCTGCACAAAGCCTGGATTCCCAGGCCCATTTTCACCATCTCAAGTATGTAGCATGTTTTTCCAAAGCATGGATTAAACCTAACACCTTGCAGTTGTCGTACTCGAAGTGGCGGTCTTTGCAATTTTCATCGCCACAAGAGAGCGTGGCGCAATTTATGCTGCCTGCATCCTGGGTACATTGTTCTCAGCCGCTTTTGCGATCCCGTTCTGGTCATGTAAGGAGCCTCCTCTGTGTTTGTCACTGGCACTTCAGCATAATGGAACGCTAACCATGTTCAATATAGGGCGAACATCCAGTCTCAAGGGCACCACAGGCACTGCCTTCGCTTTTGGACTACAGAGTGGCGTGGGCCAACTGGGCGGTGTTATTGGCCCACAGATATTCCAGTCCCGCTATGCAGCTGATGGATACCGGGTTCCTTACTCTATCTGTACGGCCACAATAGGCGGTGGGCTTCTTGGCTGCCTTCTATGTTGGTATCTGACCCAGAAGCTGGAGCAAGACGTGAGACGGGTCCAAAAGGAGCGTATTCAAGCAGAGCAGAGAGGGCAGCTATACACTGGGCCAGATGTGGATATACACGCTTGAGTTGGTTCTAAAAGTTTAGATTCTGGTTTGTAGTCCAGATGTCAAGACTAGCTAGAAGCTGGTGCAGCAGTCGTAATAATTCTTAGGTCATGTATGAGAAGGCTGAAAGATCAACGGCTCATTCTTATCTACTAGCTACTATTTCATCGGTTGTGCTACGAATGTCGTCATTTGCCTTGATAATGTCGTTCATGGACCCCTTCTCAAGAAACGAGGGTCCCAACTCCAGATTTCGGAAATAACACTAGAATAACGAAACAGTCAGTGATAGCTCCTCATAGCCCGGATCACATCATTGACCCTATTTTAACGCAAGTAGCAGTATCATCAATACAAGGTGATTTTGCTGCGTTACCGGAGGTGATGGTTTGTAATCCTCTCTCCCCTGCCCTGAAAGCCTACCGACAGCTTGGGTTAGGATTGTGATTAGCTTCCACCCCCAGCCACGTTGATGGTCGAACAAATCAAATTATCGAATTCCACCGCTCACTCTGCTAGCCGAGACGATCCCTCTCCGAGGAACCAAACTATGCCAGTCTCTGAGAATGGAACAGGGGTGGTTGATGGTGCTCCGAATGGGTCAGGGCCGCCGCCTCCTCACTCAAGCTATCCTAGAACGCATTTTCAGCCAGAAGACCACCCCGTGGACGAGAGAAGGCGCCTCCGAGTAAATACAATTTGAAAACACGTAACAACCTCATATCTAACATCATATAGGTTGGGGTTATTGGAGCTGGCATAGCCGGTATTACGGCGGGCATTCTCCTCCCTGCAAAGGTTCCAGAGGTAGACTTGACAATCTACGAGCAAAAGAAAGACGTGGTGAGTGAAAAATTCAATAGAGCTTGGATTTGAGGAGTAGTAGCGCTGAAGTTGAATGACAATATCATATAGGGAGGCGTCTGGTACGATAATATCTACCCTGGCGTGCGGTGCGACGTGCCAGCTCACGTCTATCAGAGTTCAATAGAGCCCAACTCGCAGTGGTCAGAAGTCTATGCCCAAGGAGCAGAGATCTTGGCGTACTGGAAAGACGTAGCCCGCAAGCGCGATGTTTACAAATACTGCAAATTTGAGACAGAGGTCACCGAAGCCCGTTGGAGTGATGACGATGCGGTCTGGAGGGTGAAAGTGAGACATGCCGCCACGGGCGAGAGGACTGATGAATTTGATGTGCTTTTGACAGCTCATGGTAGATTCACTGCTTGGCGTCTACCGGATTACCCTGGGTTGGATACTTTTAAGGGATTTGTGCGACATACTTCTAACTGGGATGCCTCCTTCGACTTCAAGGGCAAGAGGGTCGCGGTAATAGGCAATGGTGCGAGTGGTCTACAAGTTGTGCCAAATATACAGCCGCATGTAGCCCGATTAGACCATTACGCACGTAACAAGACGTGGATTGCCGGCGCCTACACGGGAGACAACGAACGCAAATTGGAGGCGCAGCCCATCCCATCCGATCTCCGAGAATCATTCAAGGATGATGCCGACAAGTATCTTGCCTACAGGAAAGGCGAGGAGGATCAGTATTGGCGCAGATTTGATGCTCTGTTCAGGAACTCTGATACCAATTCGAAAGCCAAGCAACAGTATCTCGAAGTTATGAGAAAAAGGGTGGCGAAGAAACCAGAGCTTCTCGATTCGCTTATTCCAGACTTTGCACCACATTGCCGAAGACTGACGCCTGCCCCTGGCTACTTAGAAGCTCTTTGTGAAGAGAACGTGGACTTTATCCAAACACCAATTAAAAGGTTCACAGAAGCGGGAATCGAAACCGTCGATGGGAAACAACGGGATGTTGACGCTATATTTTGTGCAACTGGTGCCAACGTGGAATCTGCAACGCCTTTCTCAGTCATCGCTAGAGGCGTCGATCTTCGCGAGGCCTGGAAACCCGACGGCCTATTTGGCTGGCCATACTCATACATGGGCGTGGGGACACCGGGGTTCCCCAACCTGTTCTTTATATTTGGGCCACACAGCGCTGGTGTTTCGGGGACAGTCCCATCAACGGCAGAAAACTACGTCACGTACATTGCGAAGGTGTTGCGCAAGATCTCCAGCCAGGGCATTCGGACCATCACGCCGAGCCGACAGGCCGCAAACGACTTTGTTGAATATTCGGACGCCTTCTTCCCCAAAACCTATCTCACGGATCACTGCAGCGCTTGGCATAATAGCGGACGACCCGGTTCACGGATTCATGCTCACTGGCCAGGAAGTGCTTCGCATGAGAGACATGTCAGATTTGATCCGCGGTGGGAGGATTTCGAATATACATATCTCTCCAGGTCGGGTAATCGCTTCGCTTGGCTAGGCAACGGATGGAGTAAGAAGGAGAAGAACAAGGATGAAGATCTTACGTGGTACCTCCGAAAGCCAGAGGAAGTGAATCTCAAGAGTTGGTATGAGAATTGGTATGAAGTGTGGTAAATGCTTGTGGCTCTACCATTTGCCAATTGAATTATCTTTTATTCGTATCGTTGGCTAGGCCCAGAGAAGAAAAAAGTGCTGCAACTCGCATGACTTGTACTCTCTCAATAGGTTTAATTGCTAGCTGTGATACGAGCATAAACAGTGAGATATACGACAGAGATAGTTGTTAGTCTAGAAGGACATTATGCAAGCTAATTTCTGCCCATTTATTTTGTCTCATACCGGGACTAATTGAGGTGGATTCGTTTAATTTACCATGATACCCCTTGCGCACGAATCTCTGCTTAGTGAAGATGCAATTGCCAACGTTTTTGATAGCTAAGTCTAGCAGATCTTGCGAGAACCTACGAGTCGTACTCATGGAAAACGAGAAGTTAAATTATGAAATTTTGAGGGGTCTAAAATGTTATCCTACAAAGACCGCGTGTGGATAGATGGAGCGACTGTATACAATACGACAAGGGAGGTACTCAGCCCTACAAAGCCCAGCTGGAGTTGTTAGAAATACATATATCCCACAACCGTGAGCAACTGTCGTCATATATCTTGGCGCATACTGCTTGATTTGCCTCTTGATGCGCAATAGTATGGTTTTAGCTACCTCTGTCAGCCGTGGTGGGTGAGATCAAAGCGGATGGCACGTGATGCTGACAGACATCAGGGGAAGGCTTGGCTTCTTTGTGAAATTGTGGCCACTGGATGGATCCTTGCTTCATCAATTCCTTACAGGCTTGATGCCTAGGGGAACAACTTCAACCACAGCGTGACCAGACCTTTCTAGCTCTATCAGCTTCATGCCCTGATGACCGTACAAGGTATTTTCCCCTTTCCAATATCGATTCGTGTCTAGGACCTAATGACTAATGCCATACTCCTAGAACACGCCCTGGAGGCGCAGCAGTGGGAGCAAGGCCTGGTCATTCTTGGGGGCCGTGACCCTGGCAGAGACAAGGAAAAACGCTCTCGCACAAGCACGCACAAAGTCCGCACTGGCTGCATCACCTGCAAGAAGCGCCGAGTGAAATGCGACGAAGGCAAACCATCTTGTCGCAACTGCACCAGGTCCCACCGCCAATGTGGAGGATATACCGCCCAGCAGCCCAAAGGCCCTGCCCTCGTTTGTTGGAACTCCAAGACCAGGCCTACACGCGCCTCTCCTTCAAGCCCAGCAGCTCTACAGGTGCGACTGGACCCTGATACACTTGGTATCCAGGACGACCAGGGCGTGCGGTACTTTCGAGAGTTTATCACACTGGCACAAGGGTCATGGACCAACTCTGCCTTCAACAACGAGCTGTGGGAGGTCACACTACCGCAGCTTGCCCATCACAGCGCTCCTCTCCGCCATGCGGCGATGGCTATTGGAGCACTGAGCTTCTGGCACCGTGAAGCCGCACATGAGTCGTTGAGAGCGGCGAAGCGGCGACCAGACCTTCTCACCGTAGACAGAGACTCGCATTACTTTCACGCCCTCTCCCACTACGGCAAGTCGTTGAGAGTCCAGCGGGAGCAGCCCTCTGTACAAGACGCATTATTCTTGTCGCTGCTGCTGATTTTCTTCGAGACGCTCCAAGACAACAGAAAAACCGCTCTGAGCCACCTCAACCATGGCTCGTGTCTTTTGCTGAATTGGATAAGCGGAAAGGATGGATATCAGTTTCTGAATATGCTTGGGCCTAATCCAAAGTCTGTGCTTGGGTCCATCGCAGATATCTTCCGCCGCCTGGCGTTGCAAGCCTACTCGATCCTCTTCTCGCGTATTAGTGACGGCCCGTCTCTGCCGAATCTAGTAACTGGGCTCAAAACTCTAGAGTCAAACGTCGAGACTTTCATGCTGCGGCTGGGGCTGCTAACACACCCGACCTTGAGTCTCGACAATATCCCGGAGGTCTTCCACACTCTTGATGAATTTGAAGAGTACATCTCGGCATTATGGGTCACGCATACCAATTTAGGGCAGATTATGAAGGACGCAATGAAAGGCCAGGACTTCTTGAACACGCCGGTCGAAGGCATCATCACCGACATTATAGACAAGATCCTGCGTAACAACCAAATCCAGGAGTTTTCCAGCAACACATCACAGAATATGGACAAGATCGACCGAGCATCACGTCCTCTCTTCGACCGACTGGTCATGTCGGACAAACAATCACCCTCCTACATCAGAGCCATCCACCTCCGCCTCCAACTACTGTCATTCAGCGTCCAATTCGTCAACGACCCAGCCATCTATCTCGACGTCGATGCCCTCGCCACAAAGCAGACTCCAATCTACCGAGAGTACTTGTCCTTGTGCAACATTGCCGTGCGCGCCTTCACCGAGCAGTCCAAAACCCCGGCGCAGCAGCTCTCGTTGCAGTGCGATATGGCGTGGCATCTGCTCGTGATTTCCTTCTTTTGCCGCGACCCGCTTACGCGTGACGAGGCGGTTTGGATGCTGCGAGATTACCCTGGCCAGGATGGGCTCTGGAATACACGGGCACTCTACCACTTGGCTGAGAGGAACAGGACGATGGAGCTTCGTAATGCCTCCGAGGGGAGTTTTGAAGAGCAATGGAAGCGGCTCTGGCGGCGGGAGTTCTTGTTCGAAGATGGCGGTGACCGTATCGTGTTTCGTTTCATGGACAAGGACGACACGACGGGAGAGTGGTCCAAGGTCGAGGAAGTGGCTGAAGTTGGATATGGTTTTCTGGAGGTGAAATGGAAGAGGCAACCCATCACTGGGTCTGGAGGGTTCTTAGCTGGCGAGTTGTATGCAACTAGCTACATAGCAGAGTATTAAAGATGGCAATCTACAGCTTATTAAATCATGAATTTGGTGAATTACGTGAGAAAGGAATGTTCTATTATGTGTCTACTGATATCATGAGATGGGTGTTGTTATATGAAACTAGAATTACACAAAGCTCAATGATGGCATATATGGCCTCCCTTCACGATACTAACGATCCAATGCCTGGCTTTCACACTGTGAGACAGACGAGTTAGCACGAAACAAAGAAACGAGCTGGGGGGGCGATGAGTACATACCATTGTGAAATAAATCCCTCTCTTCTTCATCAGTTCAAAGTGTGTTCCCTTCTCAACGATCTGGCCTTGGTCTAAAACGAATATCACATCCGCGTCTTGAATCGTAGAGAGGCGATGAGCTATCGCGATCATGCTTCTTCCTTTTCTTGCCTTCTCGAAAGCAGTTTGGACAATCTTCTCGGACTCTGAGTCGAGCGCGGATGTGGCTTCGTCCAGCAACAGAACCTTTGGATTGCGAATCAAAGCCCGTGCGATGGCAATCCGCTGCTTCTGCCCACCCGACATGGACACGCCCTTTTGTCCCACGTCGGTGTCATAGCCCTCCGGCAAGGAGACGATGAAGTCGTGGATGAATGCGTCTTTGCAGACATCATGGATCGTCTCATTCGAGATTGACTCTGGATCAGCAATGCCGAACAGAATGTTGTCTCTGATACTTCCTTGAAGCATCGTCGGCTCCTGGGGTACAAGCGAAAGCATGCTCCGATACTTGCTAAGACTGAGATCTTTGATATCCACGCCATTGCAAAGAATTTGACCTCCACCCTGATCAGGCTCGTAGAACCGTTCAAGGAGAGAAATGATACTCGTCTTTCCGGACCCAGATGGTCCGACGAAAGCCACATATTGTTCTTTCTCAATGCAAAGATTGAGATGATCGAAGACAGGAATATTTCGGGTAGGATATTTGAAAGACACATCTTTCACTTCAAGCTGAACGTTTCCACTGAGGTCTTCACTTCGCCTAGAGCCGCTCTCGAACATTCTTTCATTGAGAACTGCTGATTCGTGCACGCTTCGGATGCGGTTCGCCGCTGCTATCGCCTGTGCGAAGTCGGGCGAGACTGAGAGAATCTGACTCGATGACTCTGAACCCTGCATAATGGCCATGAAGCAGACGAAGAAAGCATCCATAGAGAGCTCGCCTTTTGATAAGAGGCTGCCTCCGTACCAAAAGACCAGCGCTTGACATCCCAAGCTCACGCTATCGGCAAACCCGTACACAGGTGCCGTCCACTGGGCCTTACGGAGCGCTGTCTGAACATGCTCGCTGAGGAGCTTGGCATATCGGGTGTTGATGACTCGCTCCATCCCAAGCGAGGATACTGTCCGAATCGAGCCGATCGCCTCAGTGGCGAACAGTGAACTCTCCTTGAACACGGAAGAGTTCATCTCATCAAACTGAACCTCGTGGCGGTACCTCCACAACCCGGCGCCAACCATGAATGGCATCGTGGCGAAGGCGGCAACAAGCCCCAGCCTCCAACTGAAAATAAGTGCAATAATGATGCATCCGGTGAAGGTAAATATACCAGTCAGGGCAGCAGCCAGGTTAAGCCCAAACAGCTCCTCCAACTGCTTTGCGTCGCTCGAGATGCGGTAACTCAGTGTACCATGGGCATTGTCTTCCTCGTCATGAAAGGAAAGTCTCTGCTGCAGCATATCGCGAAAGTACTGCTGCTTGTAGGCAGCGCTGATTCCGTACTGTAGATGTACACTGTTCCAAGTCTGGGAAAACCAGGCGATGCCAAACCCGCCAGCCAATGCAAGCCACATGAGCCCCCAAAAGTTGCTCTTCGCTCGCAACTCATCCCCTTCTAGAATGAACACCGCTATCGCCTTGGCAAAGAGCCAGGCTTGGAGAGGGGTGCCGGCAGCAACTGCCATCGCTGAGATGACCAGGTTCGTCATATTCAGCCACTGCGCTCGCTGCTCGCTTAGCATTAATGCCAAGCTGTAGACAAAACCACGATCTCGTTGAGCAGGGTCACTCCTCTGACTGGTTTCGACCTGGACTGTATGAAGCGCCTTTTCAGGTAAGTTGTCAGTTTTCTCGCTGGGAGCAACCTTGGTTTCTGTCAATGAGCTCTCATCCTCGCCCTCACGAGAGCCCAAAAGAGCTTGTGCTCGGACCAGGGCGCTATAAACCCCGCCTTCAGTACTCAAGAGTTCCTGATGTGTGCCTTCCTCGACAGCCTGACCGCGCTTCAGCACAACAATGTGATCAGCTTTCTTGATAGTTGATAGTCTGTGGGCGATGGTGATTGTTGTGTGGTTCTTAACAAGGCGTTCAAGAGCTTCTTGGACATGTTTCTCGCTTTGGACATCGATTGCACTGGTTGCTTCGTCGAGAATGATGATTTTTGGCTTCTTGATAATGCTCCTGGCGATGGCGATTCTTTGTTTTTGCCCGCCACTTAATTTGGCACCGCCGTCTCCCACTCGAGTATAGTATCCCTATGTAGAAGTTAGTATTGATTTATCCAATAGAACTCAGGTAACGTGACGAGGTAGAAGGGGTGCCGAAGCAACTCGTATACATACATCTGGTAACCGGTCGATAAACTCGTGAGCACATGCTTCATTGCAAGCATCCCGAACTAGCTTTCGCTTCCGACTCTCGGGCTCATCCTCATACTCGGTTCCAATGAGGCCATTCGCAACATTTTTGAAGATGGTTTCGTTGAAGAGGAAGGGCTCTTGTTGAACGAGGCCGATCTGAGACCTCCACCACTTAAGATCAATGTCCTCGAGATCAATGGTGCCAAAGGAAATGGATCCTGAAAGAGCCGCACCAGAAGCTGTCTCGGAATCACTTGCCCCACGGTCTCCTTTTTCGTCTTCCGATGATTCTGTCTGAACCTGGCCCACTGCCACCTTTGGTAGAGCATAATGCGATCGCAGGCTGTACCAACGTTCCAGGAGAGCGACGGCAGTACTCTTACCAGAGCCGGAAGGGCCGACGAGAGCCGTGTTTTTACCGGAGCGAATGCGAAGGTTCAATCCATCAAGAGCCTTTACTCCCGGCCGACTGGGATATTCAAAGACTACGTTGTTAAAGATGAGGTCCTCTGAAGTATTTTCGGGGATGAGACTGCCCAAAGGGGGTCGCGGAGCATCGATGACAGTGAACAGTTCGCAAGCAGCTACCATGGCCTTGCTCACAGCAATCAAAGGTGTCGAGATGCGCTCCACAGAGTTGAATATCAGCATGACCGACATGAGGACGACAACGACGACTCCAGCGTTGCTGATGTGTCCAGAGGCGTATCTCTGAGTTCCGTACCAGAAGGCCAAGCCGAATGCTCCAAAGACCCCGAAGAACTAAGCGAGACACAAGTTAAGAAGTGCACTTATGGGCGGGAGACACTGGTGGAATACAATGAATTTTGAACTTACCATACCACCAACCTGCATGCCTATGACGGGAGCAGTTTTCTGTCCTTCTTTCTTTGCTTTGATGACCCAGCCCTGATAACGGGAGTAGATGCGAGATTGCGCACCGCAGGACATGACCAATCGCATCACTCCGAGCGCCTCACTAGCAACCGAGTTTCCCTGGGCATCTGACTTAAGAGTGGCGGCTTGTCCTTTGATAAGGATGGGCATGAAGATGCATAGCAGTACTATCAGGTAGATGAGCAAGGACGATGTCACAAGTGTCAGGTCCCAACTCCAGGTGAACGAGATGACCAGTGCTGAGATGATTGTGCTCATGTATTGCAGAAACACACCGAGTCTATCCGAGACACCAATTTGCAGCGTATTCGAAGTCCCTGTGATGGCAGTGGCGGGTGCGCCGGCTGGAAGCGAGTCGATCACGTGGATGGGCTGCGCGAAGAGCGACTCGAGGTAGTGCAGGCGGATAGCAGACGACAGACGAATGCCGATCATTCTGAAGCAAAATTTGTTGATGGCACTCAGGGCCCATCGCACAAAGAATAGCGCCATGATGTAGAGAGCTTGCTTGTTGAGGATTTGCTTGAAGTCGTTTTGAGATATGGATGATGTGTCTCGGAAGAAGTCGGTGAACTGGCCAACGAGCTGGCCAAAGATGATATTCATCAGAGGCATCGTGATGCCAGCTCCGATGGAGGCTAACGACGCAACGGTGTAGAAGAAGTAATCTGGCTTGGTGGCGTAAGTGAAGACTCTGAGGTAGTCTGAGAACGCAGGTTTTCGTTCAGAAGGCTTCGGTTTGGTTTCGGGCGTCAGCTCGGACGCTGACTTTGAATCTTCTGCCATGATCTGTTGCTGTTCTCCGTAGCTGGTAGCTGGAGCTTAGATAAAGGAGGAGAATTAGGTAGGAAAATATTAATGCTGAGAGCTTGTGATATAGAGGAGAAACAGAATACTCCGCCCTTGAGAATACAAAACACCAAACCGACTATGAAATTGTTAGGATAAGGAAAATCAACGAAGGGAATAATGTCTGTAGAATCATGAGAGCAAGTCAGAGGTTATCGATGTCTACCTACCCATCTCGATTTAAATGAAGGATGATGGTATACAGAAAGCTCGTGTGTTTCCTCTTTGAGACAGGTACGGCAGATCCCTGATGTGTCCACTTTTACTCGACTGTTGCCTCAGGAGCGGCGAAGCTCTGGTTAGTCACTCTCGTATGTTTCCTCTTTGGGCAAGATACGAGGTAGTTTGGGGGCCAGATTGCGACGACACATGCACAGCAATTTCCACCTCCCCACAAGGGTTGTAAGAAAAGTATTAGGTATAATACAAGACAGCACAGCGATTTCTAACTCTCCAAAAGGGTTGTAAGAGCGCAATATTTGTGACATAGAGAAGGCAGCACAGCAATTTCTACCTCCCCGCAGGATTGTCAGAGAAGCACCATGTTTGCGAGGTGGTCGGCTGAGAAAGTCCGTGCACAGCAGTTCCTATCCTCCCCTAAGCCTGGTATAACCATCCGCCGGAGTAGCTTGAGGTTGCTGTTTCTGACACCTACCCACTCCAAACACTGGACCACTGTTATGGACAGCAATGATGTTTTCCACTCTACTTTATGAGACTCTGAAGTAGAGGCAAACGCCGACGGAGCAAGCTACATTATGTCTACGATGCTGCCTTTCTGCCAGAGATACACCTCGTTAATATACATGTACTCAGCGACACTTATCCTGATTTGAATTGATTGAGACTGACAGAAGTTTTTTATTGTACAATAGTATATGCGACGGAGGGAATGAATTTGGGTATAGGCTGTATTGAGAGCAGAGCGGTCTTGAATAGCAATCTGCTGATAAGATCTTGTCACTTGGCTTCGGTATTAACACTGATAGTTTGTCGGCTCTGAATCAGGCTGCGGAACGGTTCGTCTATTGATATTCTATTTGATTTAGCAAATTTCGGTGCAGCATTTCTTCCGTCATTTGAGCAGGGAGTCAATTGAGCATTCCTTTCGCAGCCGAGTATTTCATAATGTAGGTAGACGTATCTGCTATTGAGGCCAGCTACGTTGTAACCTCCCAGGAATCTTTCAGGTTCAGTCTTGACTTCCCATGTGTTGTATTTCCCGCGTCTTCTACAGCAAGTAGTCTCCTTCAGTGTTCAAGAACCTGAATTATTGATTAGAACCTTCCTTAAGAATTGTTGAATCCCTAATCGGATATTCTGTTATAATGAGACGCTGTCTGTCTCAAAACTCGCCTGGTGACTGAAGATGCACTCGCTGTTAGGGCTAGTATTTTCAGCCGCATCTATGAGGGTAATTTGCGTTCGCTTCGCCTACTGCCAGATTATGTGGTAAGTGACTTAGCTAACTAAAGTGCAAAATCTTGACTGGCGTTAACAGCTGATCCTGTCTTTGAACAGCCAATGATATAGTAGCACGTATCTAGCTTATCATTTATGACACACATTTGTTAGACTGCGCAGCAACCGGATCCGCTGCTTACTGCATGAGCTGAGCTATGCAATGTAAGCCTAAAGCCCACGGATCGATTCTGTTGGCCCAGATCTACGGGATATTAAGCCGCCAGGTTTCAAACAGCCACCAGTGGCGTGATAAAGGAGTTGGCGCAAACGAAAAAGCCGCAGCCTTGTGAGCTGAGAAGCTATTGACCAGCTGGCCACATGGCCGTATAATAGGTCAGCATGCCTCTTCCTAGGTAATCTGAGGTATCATTCTACCTACCTTGTATAGTCTCGACATATCCTATTCCAAAAAATCGAACATTGCAGCATGACATACATCAAGCCAGATCCCGATGTGGCCGGGATTGGTGTTGTCAGCTCCGCCATCGCTGTTGGGGCCTTATTAATGGTATTGAGTGCTATTAAAATAATGCGCGAACTTTGGGAAGATTTCAATTTGACCGATTTATTCCGTCCACGGGCCGCCTTAGCGCCAAATTCAGGCCAGTGGGTGACTGTCAAAGACGCCAAAGATCACCTAGGCTTACACAAAGATGTCAAAGAGCGCGTTTCGATCTTAGATTTGACCATCTTCAGCCTTGCTGATATCCAACTATCGGTTGGTATTGCGACGGCTGTAGCTGCTATAGCCAAACATGATATTCTCGTATATCATTACTGGGTTAGTTATGAGATATGCTGGCTTGTCTTCTTAGCCTCTACCGCAGGTTTTACCATAACTACAAATCCCTTCATGGTTTCAAACCTAGAGAGAAACATTGTCCGGACCGCCTTTATTTGGTGCCTTTTGATGTTGACGCTCTATCTATTCTTCAGAATAGACGATACCTTGGCACTCGATGAGAAGGCGTACTCTCAACCAGGGCATTGGTCTAAAGAGCTACCAACATTCGCAGTAGACATCGCACTACTAATACACAACATGGTTTGTCAGGTTCTCCAAACTCTATGGTTGAGCCGGGAAAATCTCTTACTGGTTGACTATTACATCATAGCACCACTCAACCACATCAGTCGTTTCTTGAATCAATCCTGGAGTCGCCTTAACACGACAAAGGATGAAATGCGTTCTTCCAGTACTCAAAATTGCTGTTCGATAGTGTTGAGATGTCTACGAATATTATGTCTTCTTTTTCTTCAAACCATTGGCTGTGTTGCTTGGTGTTTCTTTCTTTTAGTATACTGGCTCTTTGCAGTGCCGCCTATTACTCACTCGCTTTCAATATTTTTCTTCATTTGGGAAACTTCCGCGATCTTTTCAATTAGGAGCGATGCGGTCGAACTTATGGCACCAGAAGACCAGGATGGGGAAGAGCAGCTCGGTTTCGGCCAAACAGTTGCTTTGACATTACTCATTGGGCCCGTCATTGCTAACGCCGAAAAGTGGTTCGGTAAGTAATCTCCTTAATCTACCTAAGGCTCTTGCCTATTATGAAACAGCTGACCCGTCGTTTGAAGAAGCCTTCAGGAATTGGTTAAACCCGGCGCGGCCATCGCAACCCGAAGAAAGCAGGCAAGGTATTGGAGAAAGCCAAGCAACACGGGAGACGATTGTAGCTTTGCAAGGTGCTGTGCAGAAATAATATATGGCTAACCTAAAGGAAATTGCGGCCCGGTGATTTCCATCAAGTCATAGTATGCCGTTTCATTCGCGTATTAACTCTGCCCAGAACAGTAATAAGAGAATAGTTTGGATACAGTTCGCCACAATAGGTAGTGAAAATCCAACAGGCATTCGATTCATTTCACAACCTTTCCTATAAGGAGATACATGGAAGTGATGAATAGGCGAAACTTTAGAACAAAAGAATATACAATTTATGCACTGGTTTTCTAAAGATCGCACCAAGTTCTAAAGACAGCAGAGAGTATGATTAAAATGGCAAAGTTAAATTGAAGTCGTATATCAATGGCATGTACGTATCATTAAAGGATTGTATTCAATTGCTTGACTCAAATATATGTCTATATCTTCTGTAATTCCGTAAATCATTAGGCTGATGCTATGATGCGATGCAAACACAAAACTCCATGCTCAGAAATTCAAACAATGCCCCGTGCGATTAGGTGTCCATTCCGCTAGGTCGGTCGGATTTATCGATCAATGCTTGTTATGCTTCTTGTTGCGGTACCTTTCACCAAGGGTTAGCTCGCTCGTCTTGGACAGCTGCTCAGGGCCGCCAGAGCACTTACTTCTTCAACTTGTTCTCAAGCACATTGGCGCCGATGGCACCAGCAGCGGCACTGGCCAGACTGCCAAGCATGCCTGAACCAGCCTTGTGGGCAGCCCAGCCAGCAGCGCCTCCGCCTACAACTGTAGCACCAAGCCCACGCTCCCCATCAGGACCAACCGTTTCTTGGTGACCATTGTACTGCGGAGCAGGAGCACGGTAGTAGTCGGCTTGCTGGTGGTAAGGGGGGATGTATCCTCCCTGGCCGTGGCTGTAGGGGTTGTTTCCCAGGTGTCGTGGTGAGTATTGTGGTTGCTGGTACTGGGACTGCTGAGGGTAGGCGTGGCTGTTGGAGTAACCGTAGTAGCTCTGGTTCGACATGGTAATGGTTGGTCGGATGTGTTGTGAGATGGTAGAGTAATGTGATGCTGATATTGACTTTGATGGGATAGTGGTTCTTTCAATGCTGCAGAGGAGAGCCAATTTAGTTATATAAAAGCAAGTTGTTTATTTATGGCAACAAAAGATTGCCATTCTTACCTTCAATCGTTATCGTTCCCCGGATATCACGGACCATTCGGCTTGTGGAAGTGTCTGTCGTGTTCGCTGGTGGCGCAGTGACCACCATGTGGATTCCAATGCCCCATGATCAGCATAACATGGCGGTATTGGTTGCGTGGCACAGGGCTTGCTCTCCACACGAAGCCAGTAGAAGCCGACTGAACCTTAGTAATTATGACCCAAAGCGTCCTTATTAGCAATGCCTATAAGAGGCGTTGCGGCTGATCACCTACTCAGCAACCTCCAGCCCCCATGAGGTTACGTGGGCCATACTTGCATAGAATGGGAGTATTGGCCACACTCATTCCAATCCGAGGCTCTGCTGTTAGCCTTTATGCGTGTGCCGTTCATACGTCATCCTATGGAGTACAACAGAAGTTGTGTCTCAGAGTTTGGAATTTCCATCATTGACCACATCCTAACGATTTCTTGAATGAGCATTCATGTTTTCCGGCAATAAAATGGAAGATTAGATTTGGGCTATGATGAATTCTTAGAGTCTGAGCTACATGTAATCAACGCCGCAAATCTAAAGCCTTTTATTGGCATAAGTTCGGGTTTAGGGTAGGCTGAGCTGTCTGATCTCCCTGTCGCTTTTGAACATTATATGATCTGGGATGAATGGAAATGATGGTTTTCACCGGCAAGAAAAAGGTTCATGTATATCAAGATTTCAGAAAAGCATATTTACCAGGCCTCTTTGCAAGATGATAAGAGGCACCTGGCGACCCGTTGCCGCTAACTGTTCTAGTGAGCAGCGTGCTTGAAGTTGGCTTATGTACAATATGCCAGAGATCTTGATTGACCAAATACCAATATATCACTTGTTCCTGGTACCCACTAGATAGCGATAGTTTTCAAACCTTTAATAGGTGATACCGCATCATGCAGCAGATATGAAAAGGCAGGCTCTATCTAAGTATGGCAATCTAGAAGAACTGCCAACCACTGTTCGCCGACAGAATCATCTTGGGGTTGCATATCTTCTTTTGGTAAGAAGCGGATTTTTGGTCGGTCAAGTTTTAGTGTTCTAAAAGGGGGTTGGGAGGTTGATTTTTGTTGCAGTTGCATTCTGAATGGACTATTACGGCAGGTCGGTGCGAACCTACACACACCCTGGTCTCCACAGCAGGGACCTATTATGCTGTCAGATTGCGACCCCTGCTCTATGAATATTAATTTACATAAAGGAGACTTCTCTTTAGTTTACTAAACGTTTTGATCCTAGATTCTTCCTCTTCCATGGATCATATTTGTTCACACTCGACCCACGTATTAGTTCTGTTCCCTTGACCCTTTGACCGAAGTATATCGCGTACAGGAATCCCTTCACCGACGATTTTTAGCACAATTATTATTTCAATGAAGAGCAAGTCACAGTCCCGGCTGGCTGAGTCGGCCTACTGCTCCCCGTACACTCGTGCGGGGGCCCCTCAACCTGGGCCACACGCTGATCCGTATGCCTCTCTACGCGAGAAGGCACTTAATACACTCGAGAAAATGGGATATGACCCAAAAACCATGATCGAACATGGAGTTCTCTGGGCGGAACACCAGGATCCATTTGGGCATGTCAAGCAGTCGCAGTACATGGCCTTTCTAGGCACCTGCTTCCATCGGGTCATGGAGAGCTATGATGAATTTCTTAGCGAGGAAGAATATAATGGCATGGTAAATGGAAAGACTGTCATCCCAGCTGTAAGAAAGTATGACTTGGATATACGGAGGCAGGTCAAGTACCCAGACTCGGTTAGTTAATTGTGCAGTACCTTTTTCTCTGCGCTTTATTTCACGTTGCCTATAAAGTCTTGCTCTGACATCTGCCCTCCTTGCAAAAAAAAATCTATATCCCACTCATCTCTCTCGCTTGCCCGATAGTAACTTCGCTAACACGGATGCAAGTTGATCGCCGCATACCGCCAAGAACGGATAGAACCCACACGCAACCACGGCGTTACCTCTCTGTTCTCTCTGCAGCAACAAGCCATTGTTGCAGAAGTCAAGGGGTATGTGACATATGTAGATGTCAAGACAGGGCGTCCTATCGATATAAACACTCTTGGTGGCAACTGGCCTCTCCTGTATGAAGGTTTTAGCCAGAAATCTGCAGATGCTATGGCACGTAAGAAGAAGTGGGACGAGGAGAGGGAGCCTCGAGCCTCCAAAATTTGAATGATGAGTAGCTAGTTTTCTTTCAATGGTCTTCACCTCAAATCAAGTTCAAACTTACCACTGACAGTTACGTTAAAATGTGATATAGATTTAATGCTTGCTAATCATGGCTGCTTCAGCACTTGCTACCCAGAATTTTCATTCTCCTCGATGGTCTTTCAGTAGGTTACGAGAAGCTAAAGGTTAAGATGATGAGTCGGACTAAGTCGGGCGCAGAGAGCTCCAGTATTGGGAACTACCTAGATCAAGCCCCAAGTCATGTGTGCCCGTATTGCATCAAAAGGGCACATGGGCAGGCGGCAGGCACTTAAATTACGTCGTTTAGTTAAGCCCGCCCGCCCTAACGCGAAACCACTCCCATTTCCTCATAATAAACAAAAGCATCATCCGTGTTAAGGGAAAATACAAACAGAAGACTACACCCGCCTTTGAAGTCATCATGGGCAAAAACGAAAGAGGACAAATCGTACGTGATGGCTTTGTTTACTCACATGGAAAGTTTCGTGCAGGCCACGTGGACCGTATGGAAGGATCTGAGCTACGTGCTATGTTTCTTCCCAATTTATCTCTCGAAGGGCGCCGGGTCTTAGCTAAGGGAGGCGAGGCTTTTGTTCGCGGCCAGCTCCTTCACTACGGAGTCGCGTTTCGTGAGGATGAATGTTTAGGCTGCGGTGCGTTACTCATGAAAATATTTTTACGGACGGGAAAACGGGACAAGGTGCCTGACCACATTCTCTTCCTACGCGCGGAGATGCACGCCGAGTGGCTCGATTCCCTCACTCCCGACCAGTTATCAAGCTATCCTGAATTCGCGATGGAGAAATATTTTCTTACCGCGGAGCGTCCAGACAAAGCCAAGACAACAACCCCAGTTGGGATCCCCTTCGACCGATATAGTTCATCTCGAACAAAAAACATGCGCGAGGCAGCTCAAAAGGTCGAGGGCCTTCACTGCGCGAAAGGAATGGGGCCCAAGACACAAACAATTTTCATGGGCTGGGATGAAGAGGCTGTGCGGCAAGCAGCCTTAAGCCATGCAGGTAAAGAAGCGGCGGAGACTCAAGTAGCAGAGAAACAGCGCGAAGAAAAGCGTGACAAGCTACATCAGGAGTACCTTGAATCTTTTCAAGGCAAAGGAAGACAGATGTCAGATGACTTATTCACCTGTTGGTCACTACATTGTCGACTGTGAAGAAATTGAACAGGGCTGGGATGATGTCAAGGACCTGAATCTTGATATTAATGAAACTGATCAAGATGGAATCTTCAGGGTTGTGTTTGATTTTGGGATTTTGGTGGGCGTTATGCTTATCTGCGCAGACAAAAGGAAGCTAAATGCGCATGTTTCTTACCTCGGCGCTGAGTATGAGTCTGATGAAAGGGACACAGAGGAGTCTGAGTCAGACGAGGAGGAACATGCGGAAGATGAAAATCAGGGTGAAATTGATGATATGAGTGAGGAGGCTAATCGAGGGTCCGGGACGAGAGGCAGGAAAAGGAAATCCCAAGCTTCGGCGCCGCCCCATAAACGGAGGAAGAAATCCAGGATGGTTGGGGTACAACCATTTCAATATTTCATCAAGTTTCGATGCAGAGAGACTGGTGAAGGCGAGCTCTACCCAGAACCGGAGGACGGAACCCTTCGATTCAAGGACAAGAGAATGGCGGCATTCTTGGGCAAAGTCGACATGCCATGTGTGGGCGGCCAGATACCATTTGCTGCGCGAAAGATTTCGAACTTGCCAAGGCCCAATGGAAAATCATGGTCGGACTATTCCGACAGTGAGTATGAATATGCGTGAGTGAATTGGTGACGTAAATTACCCTTGAATATGAAGTTGGGCAGGGAGAGCTTGGAGACACGCATTTTCTGATGCCAACATTTTTCAATTATTAGTCTTTTAATATGTGCTTGTGATGGACCGCCATTCTCAATCTACTGGTGATGCTCAGCGATATTCAACCTGTCGGAAGTTGCCAAAGTGATAAGCATCTTCATATAGGAAATTAGTCTTGGGGTTGAAGCAGAACATACGGTGGATCATTGCATTGCTTCAATCCAAGAACTATTCTTTAAACAAGATCACATCGAGCATGGCGAAATAGTCAGAGCTTAAAGTGCCTTGATCGTCTTTGAATGCAATTATTAAAGTCAATAGGGTATTCTAAAAACTAGAGCGTGTGTATAACATCTGGCCGGCACTGCCTAGGCCTCGCCGGTTATCGTGATTCGAAAGATGTCTCTCTTGAGCTTCAAATTGTGAATACATGATTGTTTTGAGTTGGGGTTGGAGAGTTACCTGCACAGAGTATCGCTCTGGGTAGTACTGGTCTAGATACAACTTCAACTGGCTGGAGCTGACGTTCGACGCCGAGACAGAGGTAATCTTTTTGCCGTTCTCCATGTCCCGCCAATAGACATCTTTGGCAACTGAAGGTCGTGAAGATGGATGAATTTGTGGCATAGCTTCTATACTTGTAGATGAACCGCACGATTGATGCAATAGATAGCTATAGGCTAACTTGCTAGTTGCATTGATATTTGATAGCATTAACTGCCCACCTGTTAGTATCTTGAGGTAATGAAACCACGGGAAACTTACAGACTTAGTTGATTGCGGAGAGGAGTTGAAGCTTCTCTGATGAGATTAAGAAAGGGCCCGCCTCTCTTTATTCTCGGCTAGCAGCCAGCCTCTTGTAAAATACGACTAATACATGCCCATTATGCCAACAAGAATGCCAAATATCATCTACTTCACATTGGTGTATAAGATAGGCACTTTGCCCATGCCGTGTCTATTATTGCGAATGATTGGCCCGGGTTCTCGCTCACTTTTCACATCCTCCAGCCCCCGCGGCCGCCTTTTCGGCGCCTTGCCCAATCCCCCCCAATAATACTACACATGTTAGCTGATAGAGGCTTGAAATATTGGGATAATGCCTTTGGAAGAACCAATTACAGTCCGCCGATGGGCGTGAGCAGCCCATGAATGTGCATCTACCATGCACAGCCACCTCCGTGCGCCCTGCGCCGCAACAAGAGACGGTCAAATTACAACCGCCTGTGCATGTGAGAAGCTTAGAGCTATTTCTCGTACCGTCTCGCTATTGATGCCTTTATGATTGGTTACTGAAACAAGTGGTATCTTTGGTCAATAAACACTTAGATGGCCCCTTACGAAGATCATTTGCAGTGAGTTTCGTGATAGCCAACCGCTGAACATGGATTTCTGTGTCCTCGAGGTTGCAACCCACGACTACCCCCACGGATGTGCGTGCGGGGCTCACATTCAGGATGAGGTGGTCGGACATCGCCTCATTACAACACACCTCGCATATGGTGCGAACCAGCTACGGGTCGCCCGCCTTGATGCAGCCCTTACGGCACGAAAACGGTTGTCACCTGAGGCTGAAAAGGACTGCTGACAGGCTGCCGTTATCAGAACTGCAAGGCAAAATTCGCCTTACCATGTCGGTGTGTTTCTTTAAGGCTCGATGATATAATCGGGAGGTGGTTGTGTTACCTTGAGGCTTCAAAGTGCGGCTCGATGGCCGTATGAGCAAATAAAATTTTAACAACTGGCGCCTGTGATAAACTTAAAGCACCTCCTACCGCAATGTGATGCTAAGGTTTCGTAAACAATAATTAAGCTTATGCGATTCTCAGCTTTTCAGCCTATCGAGTGCCTCTTCGGTAATCTCTTCGCAGTTTTCTGATTGATTGATTCATCTTTTGGCCCATAATTTCTCGGCGAAGGCTGCAGAGGTCATTCGCTTGTGTCGCGATTACGTGTGACACAGCATTTCGACTTCCGTCTGTGAGACCGTCAGGTTAGTTTCACAGGTCGTGATCAAGTGATCGTCATATCACACCGGTCTTCATGCCACAGTGTAGTCGATGCTTGTGAGAAGCTATAATTGTTACACAATACTGCAACTGACTCGACTCGCGGAATTTCACGGCTTCAATGAGTCCAAAAGAAGCAGGGACCGGTACTAAGCGGTCGTACCACCCGGACCGAGTACGGCATATCAGAGATAATGGCGAATACTTCTGTTATGAAGATAATACCCCTACTTGTCGTCATATCATGGAACCTAACGGCACTACTACGGCGGCAAAGATTCGACCCGCGAAGAAGACGCGGCAAGAACTCGAGAAGGCTCAAGTTCGTTACCAATTTGATCCTGATAAGAAGTTCATCCCAAGAAGGCAATATGCGAATATTATGACCCCCGAGCGGGTCCTTGAGATTATCTACGACCTGCCATGTTTCCACAGTCAAACTCCTGAATGGAAGCAGACTCTAGCTCAGAATATCTGCTTCGGGTCAGACGGCCAACGCCCCGCTCTTAAAACCTTCGGCGCGCTCATTATGAGCAATTTGGAGCTCGAACACGACATAAGCGAGCATTTAAACAGTGGGCTCAATGACAGTTGCCTGCCTTTGAGAGCAGACACTAGCGACGGCGCTGACAAACTTTACTGTGCATGCAAAAAGGAGAACCACATAAAAACCATGAATAGCGACGAATACTCGCTTAGTGAGCGAGAAGGTTTCTTAAGATGGGTCCGTCGTCTTACAGCACCGTATGTTGCCTACCAACCGAAGCAACATTCTCACTATGTGCTAGATCCTGGAAATTGCATCCCAATCTCGGATACCACAACCAGGATCTTTTCGCCTGAACATAAGAACTCTCGCACTAAGAAGAACCCTGACAACCCGGGCGATAATCCTGTAAAGGGGGGCTATGGAGGATTCAGCGAAGTACACAGAGTACAGCTTCATGATTGTCACTGCCGATTGCCGGACACTGGGGTAAGTCTCTCATGAGTCGAGAAATGGGTAGTGGCTAACTCATATATCCAGCTGAGACACTCTCGTGGTTTCTATGCCCTAAAAAAACTTACATCTCACAACCCCCTCGATTTTGAATTAGAACTGGCTTCTCTGCTCTTCTCTGCCGACCGAAATGGTGGCAAGAGACACATGATACAAGTTCTAGCGACATTTGAAGAGCGACTTGTTAACCAGTCAACTTTCTACTTCTTGTTTGATTGTGCTGAGGGACCTCTGGAGTATTTCTGGCGGCAGCATGAATACCTGGTAGGAGACATGTCACATTGCCGGTCAATGTCTGAGCAATTCCTAGGTCTGGGACAGACACTGGAGGCTATTCATAACGACCGCTTGGATTTCCCCTTGCCCGACGATGTGCCAGAGTTGAAGAATATACCAAACTTTGAGAATATATACGGCAGACATGGGGACATTAAGCCTAGCAACATACTGTACTTCCAGCCTTCGCAGGGAGAACCGAGGCTTGTCTTGGCCGACTTCGGGCTAGGCAGGCTACACACGAAGGTTTCTAGATCAAATCAAGACCCGAAACTTCTGAGTCGAACTGAAACCTATCGCTCGCCGGAATTTGATCTCCCAGATGGGCTCGTGGGCCCAAGAGCAGACGTCTATAGTCTTGGTTGTGTTTTTCTCGAGCACATCGGGTGGTTTCTTCTCGGCGCCGACTTTCCCGATAAGTTTTCCGATGACAGACTAATGAAGGATATGTACGGCTTCGAGGTAGATACCTTCTTCATGCTCACTGACCGGAAAGTGGCTGTGATCAAGCCTGCCGTGAAAAAGTGGATAACGGATCTAAAGGAAAACAAAGCTTGTAGTTGGTTTCTATTTCAGATGCTAGAGCTGATCGAAGATCAGATGTTGGCATGTGACAAAGAGAGCAGAATCAGGGCCAGGCCTCTCGTGACGAAGCTCAAAGCTCTTCAGAGAGCGTGCCAGAGTTCGAAAACATTTTACATGAAAACATGGAAGGACTGTGAGTGCCCTGTCATCCCTGAATCAGGCCGATAATTCGAAGTGCGGGGAGTAGGTGTCATCTGACAACGCGTTGCCAGGCGATCCTCCAGCTGAATGGCCATGGCCATGTTTGACATTGGTGGCTGCTGAGGCAGCCCGCTATATACGTGTTGTGAATTTATTCGCGGCAAGTAATGTAAGGATCAGCGGGAAATTCTGGGATGGATTTTGCCAACGTCAAGCGATCTTGGTGGGCTCTTTCATAGGAGGCTTTGTTATGATTATTGCCTTGGTCCCGTTTTTATACACGCCCCTTTCCTAGTATTGTCATGATAAATAATCAAATGATTGAACTACACGTCATGTATAAAAGCGTTTTGCTATCATCAGGCAAGATTGATGCGGACCGCGTCGATTTTTGGTTGTGGCATGAAATCTTACTCAGATTTATTCTAATTTTCTAAAGAAGTTACACGTTTTATACATAATGCATGATGATGAGGAGGGCTACTCTGACGCACCCTGTCCGGAGTCTATCAGTCACAAGGCTACCTAAGTTGAATTTGAATTGGGCAGAGGTACCTATACTTACTGTAAGTTACTCCCGTCCGTCACAACCAGTACAGCCTCAGTGGTCTAATGGTTAGTCGCACTAGAGTCTCCCCACAAGTTTCTTCATTAACAAATTCGTTCAGGTTAGGATTGTCGCCTTCCAAGCGATAGGTTCGGGTTCAATTCCCGACTGAACAGGTTGGGATGCCATGTAATTGTCGCAGCCGATCGATACGTGTCTGGTGGGGATCAGGGTGAGAAATAGTATATATGGTGCAAATAACTGCGTACATCCAACAACTAGGGAAGCGTAATTAGTCTAGTGGTTAGTCGCACCAGAAGTCTCAATCCACCAATTTCCTTACTAACGAGTTCTCAGGTTAGGATTGTCGCCTTCCAAGCGATAGGGCTGGGTTCGATTCCCAGATTACGCATTACTTTTTCTTCTTGCAATTCTTTTTTTTTTTTTTTCATGATTAATTGCTTTCCTATTCGATTGGTTCATTTTTTACATCATGAGGGTGTTTCCATTGTTTTTTGGTCCATCTGTTGATTCGACAGACATGTCGCGATCAAAGGCAAAACCATGCTACCCTATACTTAGCAGTCACCAATGGTGCCTTCGATGCAGCAGCACTTTCCTGATTTGATTGATATTTGTCGCATGACTTCCTTTTACCGGTGAGCTATGAGGCTTCGCCTGGAAATGGTTGGGGCTATGCTCAGTCTTAAGCAGGAATCATCAATCACGTGCGAAAGCAAGTGGTGAAAGAATGCACGCTGGAAGTATTGCTTAGGACCTCAATGGCAGAAAATGCATTTCGCCTTATTGTTTGCCTTGGCAGTGCGAGTTCGACCTACATGGCCATTCGTAATGGAAAATGATGCACATTCATGTGGATGATGTAGCTATGCATTGCAACCCGACTCTCTTCTCCGACATCACATTACAGGCGAATCACGTCAGCCCACGTATCGAGGCGTTTTTTGTGCATTTCCGGCCACCAGCTGCTGCAGCCATTTCCGAGAACATGCACTTGCAGCGAGTCTCACCTGTTGATTGCACAGCCACGCTGAAGGGTTCGATTGACCATCCCCAACTTCCTGGCTGATGCGTTGAGTCTCCATGTCTAAAAGGCCAAACATCGCGGACGTCGTTGTGAGCCGCTTTTGGGTCAAAAACTCCTTGGCTCTTAATAGTTTTATTTCATCGTGTGCTCCAAGCCGAGAATATGGATTGGATGCCGGCTGACCCGACATTTTTACCGAATGACTGGAGGATTTTTGGGTACAAAGAAGAAGGTGCCCAAGATGCCAGAGCCATCCGGAAATTACGGAAAGATGAGGTTCGCTTCGCTGTCCTTCATTATTGCACCCTCATGCTGATGGTTTAATAGATCCCCGTAGTAGAGGCGTTATCAACAGATGAGAGTTGGGAAAGATGGTTTGCTAACGTATGTCTCCCCAACTGTATATGTTGATTGGACTCTAAAATAAAAATTAGGCAATTGGAGTATCGCCTCTCGATACAGAGAGGGAAGGGTTGCATCTGTTGTAGGTTTATCGTCCAGCCAAATTGAGATCCTGGTAAGCTAAGATGATGTTGTAGATTATGCAGCAGAGCACCCGAAGTGTTCGAGGGAGATCCCTCACCACCTAGCTATTTACCTTTTACACTACCCATATGGGAGCTACTGGTGCCTAGTTGGCATGTGCACAGAGGAATCACTCGCGTGATTTCCAGAAGGGTTGCTTGCTTCTCGGCAACGAAATATCTTAACGGCAACAACCAGTTTGAGTTTTGTGAGTGCGGGCCACGTGTGACCATTTATTGAGGCTTGATCTCAGTATTGACGGATTGCATTTATTCAGCTTATCTAGCACGGATGTCAGCTGGTCTACCCGATGATCTTGCTTTGTCGACTACTTACATACCGGCTACGAAATCGCAGTTTTGCATTGTATATGGGTGCAATAAATCGCAGATGCAGAAAATCCAACGACGCATATCATTAGCGGGTGATGGATTACATCATCCACTGACTACCGTGGGAATCTTTGCGGAGATAGAAAGGGAGAGGCTTGTTAATGCCGTGGACGATTTGGTGGACCAGTTCTCTCTTCGTGCTGAAGTATTGGACATGAAGTACTGGAACACAGATATCCCCGTCGACAACCGAAAAACGAGGGAAAATCTCGCAATTTGCCTTCGGAGTCGCGAATTGGCCGATCAGATACGGTCGACCAAGAGACAAGTCTCAAAATTCATATCCGACGTTGATCGTTTCAATGAATGGATGATTGGAACAAATTCCGAGGGAACAAATAATGCCGTGGACTTTAAAGAGAGGATGAAGCTCAGAGAGACCGGAGAAAGAATAAAGGGGAGATTGCAGGATATCCTTCATGAGTACGACGATAAAATCGATGAATGCAAGATGATGTCCGAGAGCTTATCGCTCATTATGCAGACAGTGAGTAATCATAAAACTTCTGTTCTATATTCGCATCATCTGAGATAACCTTTCATAGCAATGGAATCAAATTGCCCAGAAGGATTCGACAACCAACACAAAAATCGCAAGGGTCAACAATATGATTGCAATTGAAACCAAGACCGAGAGTATCCAAATGAAGTCAATCGCTCTTCTGACAATGATATACATACCGCTCTCTTGTGTAGCCGTATGAGTATTTCTACCCCCTGGAGAAAAACTAGCTTGGCTAACTTATAGCAGTCCGTATTTTCCACTTCCTTATTTAATTTTCCATCAGATGGACAGTCAATCGTATCAAAATACATTTGGGTGTTTGTTGTTTGCTCCCTTGTACTTACATTGGTCACGGTTGCTACGTGGCATTACACTACGAATTGGTATGGAAAACAGAAACAGAAGCGAAGTAACAGTTTCAAGTTTATGGAAGCCGATAATCTGGTTTAGGTTTCAATGGGCAAGCATATCGCTTAAGCCTGTGATAATCTAGTCATTTCTGTTGCTGGCGGAGCAGAGTTGGCTTTGTACTTTTCATTTTTCCAAGAATAATTTGATGTAGTCTACCTATATTGAGTCGATCATGCCTGCACCCCAAGCTGATAAGGAAATTGGCAGCTCACTAGTATCACAACTCAAATGGCTGGAGGGGTCATGAGAGTCACAATGTTGAAAAGACTATATCCACACTGAAGAGGATCTTATCAAAAGATGTTGCATGAATAAGTTTCATGAACTGTCCAGCAAAAGGCTGGGATCTTAGAGGAGCACTTCGGTATTTAACGAAAGCAGCGGCTGAAGAAAACATGATGACATTTGAAAAAAAAAACTTAGGCGTGAAAGACTCTCCATTAAAGGTAGCACAAGCAGTGGGCAAGCTCATATGAAACTAAAACAGTTTATAGGTCTACCTGGGCAGGCGCTGCCTTAATACTTTCAAGACACTAAGGTTGCTGCGCCTCCACATCCATCTCGTCTACATGTTCGTCAAATCCAAAGGTGGCAAGCTGTTTCTTCCGTTGCTGCTGCTTTCTCATGTCCTGTCTGCGGTTAGCACCATGGGTGATAGAGAGGATGTATATGACAACAAACCTCTTCAACCGTGTGTCGGATGATATATCTCATGACTTGGACCTCGCTCTTTTGGCCAAATCGGATGGCGCGGGCGATGGCCTGGTATTCAACACTGGGGTTCCATTGTAGCTCGACGATGAAGATTCGGTTGGCACATGTTAGGTTGAGACTAGGAAAAAATGTCAACATTGGGGGTGGGAAGTGTGACAGGTTTTACATACCCGAAAGCGCCGGTACCCGTTGTCATGAGAAGGACGGGCTTTTCATTGCTCTTCTCAAATATTTCAAGGTTCTCCTGCCGCTTTTGAAGGGGACAGTTCCCATCAATACACAGGAAAGGGATGTTCTCTTCACGTAGGTATCTTGACACCAAATGCAGCGTCCGTGTCCAACACGAAAAGATGATACTTGGTGGATTAGCTTGCGTGTCAGAATAATCACCGATCAGTGTGGACTGCGTACCTTTTCGTCTCCAAAAGATTGGTTCTCACGTCTTCAACCAACTTCTTCATTTTTGTGGAATGTCCTTGCGAGCTGAAGTAATAGTCATGGTCGTCACCAAACGAGGTCCTCCTCACAAGGGCATCTGTCATTTCAACATCCCCGGATTCATGGGGCCTTCGCCATTCTACACACACAGGACAGCGACGCACCTGCAGCCCAGAGCCCGGCATGGTCGACTCTTCGATGCACTCGGAACACAGTACATGCGAACAGTGGTCTTCAAACATATCTCCCAAATAGCTTGACCCGATAAGTGGCATGGGCTGTTGGCAAACAGAGCACTTGATTTCCTCGTCTCTTCCGAGTGCGCATCCTTTCGCCTCCCTCTCATCCTGGTAAATACGCCGCTGCCATGAAAATGGCTTCTGGTACGTTCCGTGGTTGCAAAGAATGCGTAGCTGCAAATTTGCTTGGAACAGTCCGAACTTGGAGCCCTTTTCCGTCTCTCCAACGCGCTGTTTGATTGAACGCATCAAGATTCGTTGCGTGCTGTCATACTGCGTGCGCTCCTCGGGGCTAAGATCTAGCCAGCGGATGTCTTGCCGCAAGTTGGGCAATTCTAGAACATCCTTTGTCCGCCGCAAGCAGAACGCTTCGAGAAGCATCACCAAGCGGTCCTTAACTTGCTTTGGGTCGTCTGCATTATGCTCAAACGCGATGTCGATCCACTTGCGGAAGGTTGCGGCCTTGTTGAAGGGTTCGGCGCGGATGAAGGAGAAGAGTGTCCCGATATCGGCTAGTTTGTTTTGAATGGGTGTTCCAGTAAGGCACCAGCGAGAATGAGCGCTCAGCTCACTGCAGGAGTGATAAAAAGTTCCGGAAGGGCGGCGGATGATGTGAGCTATAACTGTTAGTGAGTAGGTAATAGAACTTGGGGTCACACAACTCACCCTCGTCCAGAACTACTCGATACCATCCAATGAGATGTAAGATAGAAGGCTCAACTTTCTTCCTTTGATATTCCACCGCAAGTGTGCTGTAGGTGGTCAAGACAATATCTGAGTCTTGTATCTTGTCTACATCCTTCTCCCTTCGTCGACCATGGTATACGATTACCTTGAGGCCTGCTTGTAGATGACTAAAGAGCATTAGAACTGTGATCCAATGCAAGGAAAGTGGGAATCTTTACTTTCTTATTTCAGTCTCCCAGTTGGTGATCAATACTGCAGAGCGTCAGCTTTGAATTGCGAGGTGTGTTAAGATCATGGAGCTTACAGCCAGATGATACAACGATAAGTGTTGAACGAGAATGCTTAATCGGCTTCTTTCCCACAGGTCCAACATTCAACTCGTCAGCCCATTCTTGGCCATCGTCGAGCGTCTTCATGGCCAACGCTAGAATGGAAAGCGACTTCCCCATGCCCATTTCGTCAGCCAAGATGCCACCTCCTGACTCCTCTGGCTGAATTAATCTCCTAGCCTTGGTGATCTTATGTTGATACCTACATAGTCAGTAACCACGGGGCTCATTGAATGTCGAAGTCGAACTCACTGTACTTTTCCTTCCAGAGAAACCTCCCGCCAAAGCCTGTATCTCTCCGCAATGTGACCGGATTCTCGCTCTAGCATGAAAGCTAAAGCTTCTTGCTGGTGTCTGCATGATATATTAGCGACAAAAAGACTTTAGCATGTCTGTTCCCAAGGTTATAATACCTGAGTAACTGTTGGGTGACCCTTGCTCCCCCGTCAACCCTTTCTAGCTCGCGGCTGTTGTCGACTGATTGATATACTTCCTCCACCAATTTTCGAAGCTGCTCTTCCCTAACGTTTCTCCTTGGTGCTGTATGACCCACAACATGCTCTATTGGTAGCAGAGTTCTCTCCCGATTGCCGTTGATCTTGAGCTTCAAGAAATGTGGGTTCTCATAAATAATCCCTTCTCTAGTATAATCTGGTCTCTGCAACCATAGCTTGCCGCGGGATAGTGCATCACTCACGCGTGACGACTCTTGTCGCGGCCCGTACACATTGATGTCTAGTTTTACCATTGCATCTGCCGGCTTGTGCGCGCGCCCGATGACCTCTCGAAGAGCCGCCTTGAGGGCAATAGGTTCGAAGGTTACGTTGTGGGAAAGCACCTGTGAGATTGTCTTGGTCTCGCCCGAGCGTAGGTATCCGAATTTCTCTTTATTCTCGGGGAAGCGTATGCTGATTTGATCCTGTTCGTTCGAGAGTTCAAAACGCTGATATATCGAGTCGGCTGCGCGGAGCCTCACGTCGATGACCGACATGTCACCAACTAGTTTGATATCGATTGAGTGCAGCTGAGCCAGATTGATATCAGTTAGAGAGTTGTATATCATGAAACCTCCATCGATAACTGCTAAATTACTTACCATCCCATAACATACAACGGTATTTATGTCGTCCACCTGTGCGACGGATTGTGTGGCATATTGATCTGGCAGAGGCGAAAGTGATGGAGCCTGGGATATCTGTTGAGACGCAAATGAAGGCTGAGGCCAATCAAAATCATGTTGAAGATTTTCTTGTAGTAAAACTGTGTTTCCCCACTCCAATAGATCGGCGTCCAAGCTGTACTCAGTTTCGCTGCCCAACGTGGTGGTATCTGACAGCTGGTTGAATCCGGGATCAACCATTGTCGAGCTAGAAGTATCGGAAAGAAGATCCCCTTGGAAAATAGGTACATCACTATAATATTTAGTCTGGTCACAAGGCATGGCTCCAAATTTACGAAGGGATCGTGATTGAGAAGAATATGGCCGCTTACTTCAAAAACTCTCCGCCATAGTTATTTCCAGCGCCAAAATCAGCATGGTTGATGGCCACATTATTCATAAAGCCATTTGGACGGAAAGCTCCATGGATCGTTGGATCATCCTCACCATCAACTGGGTTTAGAAGCTGTTGTAGAGCTCGAGACATGATGGCCCGCTGATGGATAGATGGAAGTTTGCACACAACTGTGTCGAGTCTTCCATTGACTTGTCGACGAGGAAGTTCGGGTCATCCCTCTCCCAAGCGGCACCTTTCACTGATGAGAGGCTGAGGAGGAGCCGTCCGTTGACCGCCCAAACACTGCCCCCTGCAGTGGCTGAGGCTGTTGACGTTGCGGTAGTACCAACGCAGCGCCAAGAGTGCATTTCAGGCATTCTCCGTGGTTCGCGAACCACATACAGCCATTTACGGTCAAGAATGAGACATTTTTGTGCAAGACGAACTTAGCACAGCAATTTCAAGCACCTCAGAAGGGCTGTCGCCGTGGGGAGTCTCTCCTTGCTACCAGGACACCTTGAAATGGAGGGATCAACACTCCGGTGCAAAATATGCCGAGTGCCACACCACAAGTCGTAGGATGTCATTTTGCGCAAACAAATCTAGCCTAACCTCCTATTCAGCTCAAAAAAAGAAAGCTGAACATGCGGCCGGGGCTGGATATTGCCTACTTCTCTACCATGGATCTTCATCGTTTCCTTTTTTACCTCGATGCCACCAGTACAACTTAGGCAGACATGCTTCCTTTTTACTGCCATCTAAATGCTCACGATTTCCCAGATAAAATATTTGACGAGCGCCTGCTTGGAAGAATCTAGCAAACATCGAACTTGCTCTGCTACCATTTAGCACGGTTGGTGCATCGAAAGGCCGCAAGAGTGGTTCGCGGACCATCTGCTACGCCGAATCAGACACTCGTGGTGGCGGTGCTTGTGTTCAGGCTTACGGGAGGTGTGATTATGCTTAGAAAACTGCCCAATCACCTGATAGGGCATCAGAAGTGCCATTTGCTGCGCAATTTGCTGTGCAGGAGGGGCTGGATCCCAAGCGCAGGTGGCTGAAATCCTGTTGGTGGTGGCAATGCTGCAGAAAGGCACTTTTGAAACATATCAGGGGGTTGGATAGAGAAGAAGACACCAGAATTTTCTCTGATCTTTGCTGAGGCCAAAACATCAACTAAAATTACGCACAACTCTGGCTGGAGAATGCGGCCGCGAATCCAATCCATTCCATCAAGCCCCAGACTGGACATTGTAGGTATAGCACGGCTACACGAACGCAAACATGGACAGGCTGGCCGAAATAGCTGAGAAGTTCGGGGACAGCCTGAAGCCCCATCACAAGGAGCAATTTGAAACCAGCACACTGGAAGACATGCAAACTGAACTCAGCGACATACAGTCAAAGCAGGACCAAACAAAAACCTTGATGAACATGAATAGGATTGAAAAGTTTCTATCCGGGATGGAAGATCTCTCAAAGGCTCTCACGGCGGTAAATAATCGCGACGTAGGGCACGCCATGGCATACGTCTGGGGCTCGATACGCTTCTTGCTTAGAGTATGTGCCATGAGTCTCAATCGCGATTCACGTCTCAATACCACTGTGGAGTGAGACTAACTGTTCCCCGTCAGGTTACTAGCCCAACAGAGAAACCCTTTGACAGCGTCCTCGATGTTTACGAACAGCTTGGTGTACACCTCCCACAGTTGCAAAATTTTGAGAAGCTGTTTCGCACGTTTCCCGGCTTCGAACAATGCCTGGTGAACATTTACGACGACGTTCAGAGGTTCCACAAGTTGGCATACAAGCTCTTTTCGCTCCGCACAAAATGTGAGATAATCCCCTACCCTGGCAGTCGGTTCGGACGCTGACATCCTACTTCTCAGTATGGCAACGACTTCACAAGTCCGTTTGGAAGGACCTGAACCACACGTTCAAGCAGCTTGCAAAGTCTCTAGACACACACCGAAAATTTATTCAAATGCACAGCGCTGGCCTTATAGACAAACCTCATGGTTCCGGCAACAGCCATTATAATATCGATAATGGGCTTAATACTGTATATCCACAGAATTGGGATCCTATAAACGATGATTTCAACCGATACCGCTACGGTGCAAAAGAATTCTGGAGAGAGTTTGAGGAAAGTGAGGTTGAAAGAAAGAGGAAACAAAGGACAGCAATCAAAGCTTGGATCTCATCATCGAACAAAGTTGAAGAAATGCACAAGAGATTTCAAACCATAAGAAATACATGTCCCAAAAGTGGACGGTGGCTTTTCAGGAGTTACGCCGAGGTCTCTGACTGGATGAAAGAGGATGAGCCACCAGAGTCTGCTATTTGGCTTCATGGGAGCAAAGGATTCGGTAAGGATAGCCAAGACATCATTTTGGGCAACACCTACAGCAGCGTGCTTATAAATCATCAGGGAAAACAATTCTTGCGTCACTCATTGTGGATGAGTTGAAATCTCTTAGCACATCAGAAACGAAGAACGTCATTCCTTCCGATAGCAGCATATATTATTTCTACTGCCAAGAAGACGATAATGAGCAACGAACCTATCTCGACATCCTCAAAGGAGTCTTACACCAAATGATCTATGCGGACGAATACATTCTACCTCTTTGCGATGACAGGAGGCATCAAGGCGTAGAGGACAACTTGTCCAACGCAGAAACAGCGCAGACGCTCATCGAGGCCTTTATTGAGCATGCACCCCGACAGTACATAATCATTGATGGATTGGATGAGTGTGAACCAAATGAGGCACGCCAAACCGCACATTTTTTCATGCAACAGGTTTCCAAATGCGACAACGATGTAAAGCTTGGCCAACTGAGGGTATTATTCACCAGCCAAACGATGCCAGAATTAAGCAAACAAATGCCCGAGGGCGACGCCAGCATCACTCTTAAGCTTGACGATAACGCCGAAGATATTCGCACCTATGTGCAAAAGAGGATGGTTGAGTTCTCAGCGTCAAATGAATTCAGCCGTGGTTTTAACCTCTCGGATGCCGATAAACAACAGATGGAGAGCATCGTCTGTCATCAGAGTCAAGGTAAATTTCTCTACTCGCTTAAGCAGTCTCATATTTGATGCTAAACTAACGTCTACACCTAGGCATGTTTCTCTATGCTCATCTCACTATGGAGTACTTGCTCCAACAACAGACAAAGGGGGAACTACTCGAAAAAATCAAGCAAGAAATGCTCCCTAAAAAGCTTGAACACATGTATGACCCGTAATTAGTCAACAGCAAGAGAGATACTGACGACCGGTTCTAGATATGAAAAGCTCCTCGGTTCTATCGAGGCAAAGCTCAAAGGGTTAGAAGGGGGCAATTCTCAGTGGGAAAAGGCAAAGATCCTGTTAGGATGGTTGGTTTGCGCGAAGAGACCCCTCAAATGGCACGAGATTCAGTCCATCTTATCATTCGACACGGTTAAAGAGGTGGTTGATTTCGACAATCGGATGCTACGGCACAACGTACGAAAATACTTGGGGTCTTTGGTACATGTATTAGAGGGAGGCCATATTCGGCTAATCCACTCAACAGCGCGTCGGTATGCATGCTCTTACTTTGCAATCTATCCCGCAATCACTCAATGGCACAGCTGACGAATCAGATACATTATCGACAACAATCGTATAAGTGAGAATGAGGTACAATGTAGACTAACAGCACTCTGTCTCAGGTATCTATCTCTGCCTTGCTTTGTAAATGGCTACCAAGACATACAGCGCAAGGAGAATGCCAGGCAGGGCTGGTTCTCATTTCAAGATTATGCCTGTTCCCATTGGCATAGCCACATCAACACTGTCATCAGAAGTTGTAACGACATCATAGTTCTTGACGATAATATCCAGACACAGGCTGTGCAGGCTCAATGGGAGTTCGCGACTGCCCTGGACCTTTTCATCGAGACACATGGCCACCAGTTGGCTTCCGAGATCCATGCGGAGCTAGAAGAGGATCCAATAGACAGATTCCAAGGCTTCCCTGAAAAGTTCCACGAGAACCTCCGCATCATCTGGAACCATATCTTCACTCACCAGAAGGGTGATTTTGATTGCCGTAATACTGTCGGCATTACCCAGATTGATGACGCCCTCCGTATAAACCGGACCTGCCTCGAGGAACATTTTGCGCCCACCGACAGCGCTATTAACTCTGATACCATCGAAGACTACTACGGCCCCAATCTCTTTAAATGTCAGCGAACCCTCTGCCGCTTCTTTTACGTCGGGTACAACAGCGCCAAGGCGCGCGATAACCACCACGCCCGGCATGACAGGCCGTTCACTTGTCCTGTCGCGTGTAACTTGGCGCCTATAGGATTTTCGAACAAGAAGGATAGAGACCGGCATGTGCGACTTTACCATCGTGAGGAGAGTGACAGACCTTCCAGGTTCGAGGCACCGACCCGTAAGAAAGGACGTTTCAAGTGCTCGATATGCGAGGACACCTTCACAAGAAAAACTAATCTCAGGGGGCACGAGCGGAGCCATTTCGGGGATCGACCTTATTCATGTTCTACTTGTGGTAAAGCATTCGGCAGACAGAGTGATTGCCGTAGGCACGAGAAGATTCACGCCAGGAGAGGTGCATGAGACCGGACACAAACGGGACTCCGTCGTCAATAGATGTATATATATTGTTATCTCCATGTAGAGAGCTGGTGTGATTGGAGCTTTAGACAGAACATTATTTCCTATTCAAAGGCAACTTCTTGTAGCTTAACACCTTGCCAAATGCTCATGTCTTTGAAAGTGACCAAGCCAACTCTCCGATACTGCTGCCGAGCCCTTTTCAAGACAAGTAATCCCATCCCCTTTTCGCGGCCGTTACTGTTCTGCGTCTTACCGAGGAGCATATAGTCGTAATCGTTGTTGCCAAATTCCCTCCTCGCGGCGGAGTCTACAAAATCAGGCCTCTCTTGCACCGTATCTATCTTGTCTAGTTCAACTTTATCAGAACTCAGAATTCGACAGCAAAGTACCACTTTCGACATTGTTAGCGTCTTAACCTTGGCATCCTCAATCGTCAAGGGTTCCTCGTAGCATATGCCGCCATCAACCGAGGCCCAGGACCAGCTTGGGGCCCGTTTAAGGTGCCGCTTCTTTACTCTGTCGACATCAGGCTTGTACCATGCCAACAGCTGCACGAACCACTTGCTCCAATGTCCGTGGATGTTTTGGTCGCGCCAGAGCATCTCCAATTCTGTAATTATGCCCATCACAGCCCTTAGACGATCCTCCTGGTCTGTCAAGTCCCTATCGGTGTACTGGTGAATGATTGTCTTCCAGAGATAAACCTTGTCAGCATCGAGGGATCCAAAGTAAGGCTCCGCATCGTCGTCAAACACAGCCCATGGCAAGGACTCTAGCGGTTGAAGATACTCCAGACCGCCCTGGGTGCCGGTAACGCTCTGTAGAGCGATTTCCTTGCACTGCCAGAGGAGCTCGTAATCGGAGAATATCAGCATGCGAGACGAAAGCATGAACTCTTGGAGCGCCCAGCCCCGTTTGTCGAGCGGATGCTCAGGTTCATACTGATGGGCAGATAGGTAAATGGTCCCAGTTTGTTCGTTTGATATAGGGATAGTGAGCATGCATTCGGGGAGATGGGTCGCCTTGTTGCCCCGGCTTTGGAGAAACCCCTGCGATGCCTTCTCTGCAACGCTGGCGGCCACGGTGATGGCGGCGTTCTTGTAGATGGTCGACATTTTGGAAATTTCATGTGCTTTGTCCTCTCCATGGTCTTGGATAATACAGAGAGCGTCGACCCATAGGTATCTAAAGCCAAGCTTGCGGGTGACGATGATAGCGTCTTGAATGGACTGCGGCAAGCTATTAAGCTTGATTTCGCGCATGAGCTGCTGAATATTATCCTTTTGTAGACGCACAGGTTGGGTTTCTGCCTTTGAGTCCGGCTTACCCCAGCAGTAGCTCAAAGCCAGGTAAGACCCATGAGTTTCCGTTTCGTTGACCTGCAGACACAGAGTCTGAGAAGGAATCTTCGGGTCACCAAGATCCAGAACACGAGTGGGGAGTACAGTATCCCGAGAGTAGCGACATTGCTGGTGTCCCTTGTTCTGGGAGTCGTTTGATCCCATGCAAGAACTGATGAGTTTCTTGGCTGCAGAGAATACCGAACCACTCTGGACATTTCGACGCAGCGGTCTTCGACCTACCAAGGTCCCGGCCGGGTCGGCTAATACAAGTCAGACAGATGCTCTTGTTTCCTGATATAACAAACGAGGGGTTGAGAGAATCATACAAGCTTTAGCAAATGGGTAAATCTTTATCATATCAGGCCTGCCTTCAAGGCTTCCCTCAAGCACGTCTATATCGGATGCTGGCAACCCGGTAACCGAGTGGCGGTTCCGAAACACCATACGATCATCTGATCCCCAGACATCGTCATGCGTCCAAGATACAAGTTCAAAAATGAGTTGGCACAGCATACAGCCCCCATCTTTTGATGCAATACACTCGTTGTATGTGTGGTGGGTGAAGCCATCCTGAGAATTGAGTCTCCTCAGGCCCCCTTCCGAGAACATCAGGGCGCACAAATCACACGAGGCGTCCAGCTCCCCTATGCGGGATCTCTTGTGCGAGGGTGAGCCCAACTCGTCCAGCTCAGCCGGAGAATGTGAGCGCCGACTGCGTCGTAAGGCGATCTCGTATTGCGTCATAAGTTTGTTGTTTCTGCAATATCGTATATAGGTAGATGTAGATATTCCTCACTAAAGAGGATCTTGTTGCGCTCTGCTAGACAATAAAGTTTCCAGAGAGTCAACACTAGACTTCCTTCTCGCTGTTACCCGCTGAGCTTCGTTGGCAAATGGAGTAGGCTGACTTCAGCACTGCCCCAACAGCGGATTTCAATGCTCCCCAACATATGCAATATTATCAATACCAGACCACCCCAATTTCAATATGTACTTCGGCCATGTTTCAATTGGCACTAGAGTTTACGGAAATTGATCTATGTCATTTTGAAGCTACCTTTCAGTAGTGGTCAATGGCTCAGACGCATGGAGAGGAAGTAAACCTCAGTAAGTGCACTGACCTGAGTCCGGGTCAAATTTTTAGGTTGGGCAGCACCACAGGTGTGTGTGGCACAGCCATTGGGACGGAAAGAAGGCAGTGCTTTCGTATCACCTGGGCTTATATGCATCATGCAAGGCGTCCAACAGCCCCTGTTTACCTGCTTTCACACCAGCAGATTCTAGAGGGCGAAGGCAGTCCTAAACATGACATAGCTTTTGCAAAATAGTATGTATTGATTCAATTGTTTCATAAGCTATATCTGAAAATCTAAGGTTGCATCAGAGGCGGCATCGGGGTGGATTAGAATTTCTTAAATGTTGCCTTTCGCCGCTGCAGATGTGTCAGCGTAAGTGCTCTGGCCAAGGGGCTAGTGGTACTCACTGGGTTGGTTGGTATCTGAAAAGATTTGCGCTTGGTTGGAGTGTGTGGATTAGCGTGATACAAGACAAGAAGCCAGGTGAAAGAGATGGCTTTAATAGTCATTCGACGAGCCGCTGTCCTGACGACAAGTGAGTTATCCGTACGAAGGTTCATAGAATTTTCCTGCTATATAACTACATCTTGGGCGGACTAGGAAAGGCTATATTTTCAAGCTTTCGTATTTATTATATTGAGTTATCAGGCCCTGGCAGCTTTATTATTATTAAACTCTATTCTCTTTCTCTTCTATAGTACTTAGCTTATCTCAGCGATTTATAAGTAAGTTTCTATATCCTAATACTAAAACTAAATAAAGCTAACTATTTATATATAGTAAGAATAAGCAGATTATTAATTATAAATAGACTTAAGCTATATAGTTTATTCAGAACTAGAGAAGAGATAGTAGTTTCTAAATAGATAAAAAGATAGTATCTTAAGATTTATAAAAGAAGTTATATTAATAAAAGAATTATTATTAGATATAGTCTTTAAATTTAAATCTTATATATAGCTAGATATAATTATTATTAGTATTAAGTCTTATATATAGCTAGATAAAAAAACTAAATGGCACCCATGACAATGGATAATGTTACCAGCACAATGCCAACACACAGCCCAATCCAGTGAATCTGGTGCGCGGCACCAACGCCATAGAGAATACACCCAGCTGGGTGAAGTATCAAAGGAACAAGGGCCGCCCAAAGTCGAGCCTCGGGCTCCTTGACACCATTGTTTCTTCGCGCTGCCCAGGTAGCGAGATTGTCATTCGGCCATCCAGCAATGAAGCAACCCAGACTAGTGCCGATCACGCAAGCAAGGTAGGTGAAGCCGATCATGTTTGCGCTGAAATGATACGGAGCGCCGCCAAACACGGAGGTCATTGTACCCAGGAGCACATTGTACCAGGCTAGAACACTGCCCACAAGTAGACCAGAGAACACAATGCTTGGATATCTCAGTAGATAGATGGGGATAAACATGAATTTGAAGAAATTGTTTGGCTGTCGAGGGTCTCGGTGGCTCCAGAGCTTGAGTCGTTCGAGGTAGCTACGCTTAACGTAAGTCTCGCCCATGTTTGTTTCAGAATGACTGGGTGTTGTATTGTCGGTCTCTTTCTTGATGCCTTCTTTCGGGGAAGTCATGGTGGTGCCATGCACTTGAGCATCTCGGAACTCGTCAACGGTGTCGTGGCGGTAGAACATGGTCTCTTCGAAACCAAAAAGATGCCAATAGTGACCACAATAGCCACGATAAAGTACATCCTGTTGATCCAGCGCCATCCAAACGCATCCGCCAAGAAGCCAGCTGGGATTGGAGCCAAAATGCACCGCCAAACAGAGACCAAGTGTAAAAGCCCATATGGAAGCCTCGTTCGTGCGTAAACTTCGTATCGGTAACGCAGAGTTCGATGAGAGATTCGATGGTTGAAAAGACGATGCCGATCAAGATACGATTTGCGTACCACTCGGCGACTGTGTTCATGAAGGAGGCCCAAAGCACCAGGAAGCAGGTGATGGAGAATTAGATGACAGCAGCAGGGCAACGACCAAAGTTTAGTGCAAAAGGTTGTGTAAGGAGAGTTCCAAACCCAAAGAAGAGATACATCAAGCCATTTCCAGTGTTGAGATCACCAATCGGGATTCCAGTCTCCTCTTGAATCAAGAGGTACGCAGGTGTAAGTCCGCTGATGACCATGGCGGCAAAGAAGGTCCAAATTTGCTGCCATACACTGCTGTTGAGCTTTCGCATGGGCGACCAATTGAGAGGATCATTGGGGTCGTTCGTCGGCTGGGGAACCAGAATAATGTCATGTTCGCTTTTTCCATGTTGCAAAGTAGATGTGCCCGTGGCATCGACCAGCTGCACGGTGCCAGGAACTGGTATGTCTGCCATCTTGAGAGGCAGTTGCGCCTTGAGAGAGGAAAATTAATGTTGGTAAAAGTGTTATGATTGTATGAGCAACCACAAGATCGGATGCTAGAGTCAGATATAAAGCAAATATTGCCAAACCTAGCTGAATAGGCTTATCTTCAAGTTTCATTGAAGCTTCATTAGTTCGGTCATCCCCAGATCACAATCTGGACGTCTTCTCAGTGCTCCAGGTTGGGGAAATTGGCTGTCTTGCCATTGGTGCTGATAACGACGGCTAACCAATGCTACACTATCCGCTCAAGGGTGCTTCACGTTCCAGGCTGTGGGGAACAACATCAAAGCCAGAGTTGTTTATCTTCAGCCGCTAGCATACAATTGGGTAATGTTTTCCACATACCCAAGCTAGAAACTGGAGTCGAGACCTGTCCAAAGTAGGCAGGGCGACTACAATTGCCATCTACGGCCATAGCTTGAATGGTGGAGCAACCATCGGGTCGTCTTCCGTTGGATCCCAGATGATTGGCACATGTCATGAACGGATCGATTGTAAAGACCGAAGCTGGGGTACTTTCTAGTCATGAGACTGCCTCCAATTAGCCGTGGAAGGTTCTTACGGAGACTACCAAGCCTCATTATCAGCTAGGGTCTGTTACAACCCAAGATTGCCCGTGAAGTTGAAGCTTCCACTGGGTTGGTTTATCGAAATTTAGTCTCTCGTGGTGTTCAGGTGCTTTCTGTGCGGATGGATGCCCTACCCTTGCAAACTCGAGGTCTTGTGACCGAGGCTTCAAAGGCTGGCTACAAGCTCATGCCCGTGATTCTCGATGATATGCGCCCAGACGAACTGTTGGTGGAGATGAAGTATTCCGGCATATGCCATACCGTAAGTGTGAAAATAATGAGATTATGCCTATACTAGTCGACTCCTCTTGACTGTATCATATCGCTGTTGATCATTTCTAACACTATTAGGATCTCATCGGTGCGAATGGTGCATATGATTATGTCCTCGATTTCCCTGCTGTGCTCGGACACGAAGGCGCTGGGATAATTCGAGAAGTAGGATCGTCAGTGAAGGATACGAATCCAAAAGTCGGGACCAGTGTCATTCTGTCTTTCAACCATTGTGGAAGCTGCAATAACTGCAATTCTCAACACCCCGCATGTTGCGTAAATTTTGAAGCACTCAATCTGGGAGCTAGACGGCTCACTGACAAGACCACTTCAGCTCGTTTACTGGATGGACGGCGGGGGGTGAGCCAGTTCTTTGGGCAATCGTCGTTTCTTAACCATTCGGTGGTGAGCAAGTATCCAGTGATCCCTTGTCCCTATCCTGAGGACCTTGCAGTGTATTCAGCTTTGGGTTGCGGTTTTCAAACAGGGGCTGGTACGGTTCTGAACAGCCTTCAACCGACGGCCGACGATTCTCTCGTTGTTTTTGGTGCGGGTACAGTTGGAATTGCTGCGATAATGGCGGCAAAATATCTTGGCCTTCGGCAAATCATTGCAATTGACCAGATAGGGGAGAGGCTCACAATATCCAAAGAGCAAGGTGCCACGCACACGATCAATACCCAGAATACTCCAGATTTCATACACGAGATTCATTCCATCACAGGTGGCGGCGCTCGCTATGCATTAGAATGCACTGGTGTTTCTCTATTCATGGAGAAAATGTTGGAGTGTGTGTGCTGCGGCGGTTGTGCAGTTGTGGTGGGTGTACCGAAGCCCGATTTTATGTTAAAAATAGACCCAATGAAACTACTACATGAGAATAAAACGATCCGTGGGATATGTCAAGGAGATTCTATTACAAAGGCAAGTTCAAACCGAACAATCCACTAGGAAGATTCACAGCTGCTAACCATAAGGGAGAAATCAGTTTATACCTGAAATGATAGAGCTTCACAGATCTGGAAACTTTCCATTGGAAAAGCTTTGCACATTCTATGACGTTTCCAAATTCGAAGAGTGTATTCAAGACACTCGAGAAGGCAAGGTAGTTTCGTGGCCTCCTTTTCTGCATTCATTTTCCTAATTCATAGACACAGATAATAAAGCCTATCCTAAGGTGGTAGTGGGATATTTGATCGAGACTTCTGAAAATGATGGTCGATAAGTCATGTTTGGAATAGGGAGAGTGAGGGAATGTTGGGAACAAGTTTAGAGCATAGTAATCGAATCCAATCCATGATTTAGTGTCAGCAGTTTGAAGACACGATTTAGTGTATTCAGCTGCCAATGGTTCAGGAGAAGAGGCGAATTCTATACTGTAACTCCGTAAGAATTCCTTGCCACCACTCCAACCAAATCTGAATATACTCAACAGACACAGAATACATCGGAACAAAGCCGGTCCTATCTCTCCCACACCGAAGTGCCCACCATACACTCCATGATACCCCGCACATACAACGGGGCAAGCCAAGCAAGCCATACTCTTACAGTACTAGGAGGATGATAAGTGAGAGTTAAGGATCCACTGCCATGATAACGGATGACGATGCGCCAGTTCTCGGGCCCCCAGTGAACGCCGCACTCATCATCCAGCTCCATCTGCCTCTGCCGACCTTACCAGAGTCCGATACGTCCTTCCTTTTAGAACCTCCGCTCAAGCATTCAACCCTAACAGAGAGCGAGGAGTCAGAAGCGATCACAGATTGTGGGGACATTTGCCCTGCTCTGCCTCTTGCGATTAAGAACCAACGATGGAACCCGTTAACCAAGGCCTACGGTCTCGCTCTGGTTCGTCTAGTGCCCCAAATTTGGATTTCAAAGTCTCAGTAGGGATTTTCTAATATGGGTTTCATTAAGGTTGCATGACCTGCCGCCGGAAGCACAGGAAATGCGATGAGGGTCAGCCTAAATGCCAGGCTTGCCAGATACGCGGTCTTGAATGCGACTACAGTATCCCCTTGAGATGGACAACAGTTAGCAGTACGTCAAAGCTCCACAAGGATGCGAAAGGCTCCAGGGTTGTGAAGCGAGGCGGTCGACCTGGGGCGAGTTCTGCTCACACTCGGTCTCGACTGCCTGTCCCCGACGCTGCATCACCGGCAAGTCTACCTCAATCGTCCGAGTCGACACTTTGTCTGGATTCACAGCCTGTTTCGCCTCCGTGGAGAGCCATAAATCCAAGATCGAATCATAGCCCTGAGACATCGCATTCGCATCCACATGACGTCGTACAACATCCTAAACAATCAAGACGCGGTTCTGACTATATTATTGAGGATGTTATTTCGCCTCTAGACGTACACAGCGAGGAATATTCCCTAACACCCCATGATACATTGCCTGCTTCGCCTTGTCATGGTATCGAAACCACTCAGAGTGCTCACCAAAACCTCCATTCCAATTCCCTAGCATCCACTGAAGAGCATTTTGAGCTAGGTCATGAAGTCTGGTCGACCACTGATAGTACTTATGGGAATAAGCACGACCATATACGCCAAGCCAGCCAAGAGAGTCTCCAGGAACAATTCTTCGTAGACTCCCAGACTACAGTTCCTGAGCACAGCGATGCATCATTGGTGCTACTTGACGACAACTCAGATGTGCCATCATCCCCCACTAATTCCACGTCCTGGGTTATTGATAACACGTTAAGTAACCTTTTCTTTCAAATATTCCAAAGCCCTGGAGAGGAAATAGCATTTACTTATTGTAAGACGACCTGTTTTATTTCTATCAACCTTGGTTAACCAGCTCTTGATGTTAGTCTTCAAGAGAGTTTGCACATGTATACCAGCACATGATAGCACCAAAAATCCGTGGAGAAACTTAGCGCTGGTGTCTCTGTCCCATCCAGTGCTCCTCCATGGGATCTTATCGGTTGCCACAGCTCACATGCACAATTGCGGCCGGAGCAACGTAAGTGTGCTCTCGTCACGCCAGAGTCGAGCCCTACATTCCTTACAGGCCGCTCTCAACGCACTACAAGAAAGTAGAGATAGGCATAGCGACATAGGGAAGTCACCCGACAAGCTTCTTCTGCAGGGAGGCGAGTTCTCCATACTCTCAGTAACTGAGATTGCACTAGCTGCCGTCATGATGCAAACTTCTTCAGTACTAATGACTGGTGCGGGAAACGTCGAGATGCATCTGAAATGCGCACTCCACTTCATCAAAGACCTGGGATATCTCTGCCGTCCTCCAGATTCCATCTTTTCAAGAACCCTCGTCAACCGATTTGCTATGGTCGATGTTGTTCATGCCCATCTGCGTTTCCGGCGGCCCCTGGCCTCATTTGACTTTTTTATGTACCAGGAAGACGAGAAGTTGGATCACGGTGACCCAGCATTCCGCGAGATGCATGGATGTGACCAACGCGTTCTTTGCTTTCTGGCTGAGATAGCTGTGCTCAGTGCCGATCTATTGGATGGCAGCACCACACATGATCTGGTCCAGGCCAAGGCATACACGTTGGAAACAGAGATGCGTATTTGGGGTCACAAGTATTACAACTCTATGATCCGGGGTGCCTCTACGTCCAAAACTGCAACGCAGGCCCCATCTTCGTCACCATCTTCACAACCATCCCCTATGTCTTTGAGCCATATTTCTATTTTAGACATTGTCTGCGAATGTTTTTACTGGACGGCCCAGTTGCTTCTACTTCGGAGGTTATTCCTTGATCCCACTAAGTCGTCACGGGTACAGCTTGTACGGAGGCATTTATTTCAAATCATGGATAAGCTTGAACCCGGTTGCGGTCCTGACTCGTCGCTTCCTTTCCCATTTTATATGGCTGCACGCGAGGCCACCACTTTGGCGGAGAGGGACTGGGTACGGCGGAAGCACGCCGCGATGATGGAGGTATATCGCGACCGTTCAAGGGAGTATATGATGGAATACACTGAGAAGATCTGGAATAATGCCGCACCAGTGGCGAATTCCAATGCAAGTGACGATACCCTGTCATGGTGTACACCTCGAGAACAGTATATTCGAGAGCTGGATAAACAAAGCACCTATTTCATGTTCTAGAACAGATGAAGCGAATAGGTTAATTTTCTCATTTCAAGATTTCTCAATTAATGCCATTAGCCTACTTTTCTTTGGGTAGTCTGGAAGGTATTCCATAAGTTACTCCTTTATTTCCATCCCTTAAGACTATTTATCTCGATTACCCCCTTTCGACATACTTTCGCATTCTCTAGGGCAGTAGGCATGTCGGAGTGAATACAAAACATAAATGGTTAGCCGTTGAATCCCACTGTAGATTTCACCCCTTCGTTATCCAGCACCTCATCCTCCAACCCAATAGACATCGTACGAGCATAGATATCTTCAACGGTAGCCATCTTGCTCTCGGATGCTGGGAGAAGCTTCTTTTGTTTGTTGTACTGCAAATCGGTATAGGCTTCTTCAACAAATTCAAGCCCGTACTTCTTGCACATCGCCCCTTGATGCTCGGTTCCCTTGGAGCCAACGACAGGCACCTTGAATACGGAGCACGCCCTCAACACGGCGTCCATAATTTCCAAATCCCTTTGCATGTAAAAGAAAAGCTCGCCGTGCGGTTTGATATGGTTCAGAGGAACTCCTTCAGCGTCTAGCATAGCCTTCAGCGCCCCAACTTGATATAGGATCATTGCGTACATATCGTCAGGGTGTATCTCCATTTTCCGGCGACCAAATCCAAACAAGTCTATATTTTGCGTTAGATTTCTTTCGATTCTTCCTCATGCAGGTGTTCCTCATTCAAACGAGAATCTGTGATCTTTATTTGTTGAAATTACAAATGAATGGAAGTTTAGCACATACCTTGAAGCCCGGGGTGAGCACCAATTTTCACCCCGTGCTCTTTCGCAAGTCGGATAGTCTTGATCATCGTTGTAGGGTCCCCAGCATGAAATCCGCAGGCGATATTGGCATAATCCATGAGTTTCATGAGATCTTCATCTGGTCCCTGCAAAATCACGACAGACCATGTCAGCTACAGCAAACAGAAAACAGACCATGTCAGCTACAGCAAACAGAAATAAATCACAGCACGACGTACCATCTTCCATTTTCCGAAACCCTCACCCATATCACAGTTGATCTCAACCTTTTTACAGTATCCAGCCATGATGATATTGCTTGTGAGCGATTGAATGTTCCGCTCGCGAGAAGGCACACAGGAATGACAAACAATGGCTTTAGTAATCCAAGCTGAGTAAACGACAATTGGCAGGGAGATGCTAAGGTATGCTGGACCACATGACTCCTCCACGTCACCAAAGCCTCACTCTATATGCGGGCTCAAACTCTACTTTTGCCCAGAGCGGCCAAGACACAAGACCTCATCGGCTAAGGCGGGGGGGATGCCGATGCGGGGATAGATCTCCGACCACCATTGCATGATCTGGGCCGTGGCTACAGCTCCCATTCCTGGTGTAGCGTCGTCACGGGTTGCCTCTTACCGTTTTAGCGCGCGATAAGGTTACTCTCCATGCCATATTATTATGTACGAGGGAGAGATTCCCCCACTGGCTAGAAGATATGGAAGTAGGTTGCCAGCAAAACGAAACCGAAGATACACGTTCTGAGTTCTGCAAGATCGAAAAGTGAATAGAAAGAGTCAGATACGCGAAATAGACCTCTTAGGGCCATCCAAGGTCAAACTTCGAGACAAGACATTGAAGCAAAGACATTGAAGCACAGGCAATCAGTCAGGCAACTACATCATCTAGAATCGTTCAAATCATTACATGAGAATAAGCTTCCAGTGAAGGTGTTTAGGCGATAAATAATATAGGCATTGAATGAATGCAAATAAGCTTGGTACTAAACTTGCTCCATACGCTTTACACCACAGTGAAGAGCATCAGCCTTTCACCAGCATTGACAATATTTCCTACCTTCTTCAGAATCGCACTCACACAGAGACCATCTGCTTCCTTCGGGGCATGTACCTTCACTTCCATCTTCATTGCCTCCAATATTGCAACCACCTGTCCTTCCTTGAGCTTATCTCCGGCCTTCACATGAAGCCGGAAGACGTTGGCAGCCATGGGTGATTAGATGGCCAGAGTATTTTCGATACCAGGATCGTTAAATTCTGTAGCTACCAGAGAGTCTTCAGCAAGTTTATCTGCTTGCCATTCATCGTAAAGTGCTCCTTCGAGCCTGTCCTGCTCATCCATGCCTTGCTTCTGTCGTTTTTTGAACTCGATAACATCAAGATCTGTCTTTGACTTCTCGAACAAGTCGTATACCTGGCGAAGGTCAAATGTTGACTCTGAGATTTGCCACCGGGATTTTCCTGCAAAGAAGTCTCTTGCAAGGGAATCATACTCTTCAACGCCCACCTCGTAAAATTTGACCTTGTCAAAAGGCTCAAAAATCCAAGGCTTCTCAGCCGTGAAGCCTGGCTTTGTGCCAAAAGTGTCCCACATCTCAAGGGTTCTTGCCGCCAGCATGTATCCTCCAGGTTGCTCGAGTGAGTATCCCGACAGGATGGATCCCCCGAGGCCAATCGTGCCCCCAGGTGTGCTGGTTCTTGTAGGGTTATATTTCTGGCCCATGAAGGCCTTGGGGTTAAGAGGAAAGAATATCGGAGTTCCGCACAGGAATCCAACTGCGGCAATGATGTATTGTGTCTCTAGCATTATTTCGAAAACCTGTCTGCGACTGTCCAGTCCATTGTACTTTCGAATATATTCCAGGTTGTCGGGAAGATAGGCTGCTTTGTCTCGGACCATTGTCATATATCGCCCGATGCATTCCTGAATGTCGGGATGGTCCATGACCAGAGGCACGTGGAGCTCGCGGCAGGGGATGGTGAAATCCAACGTCATTTCGAGATTAGACTCGATCTCGTAGACGCGATTCAGTAACCCGGCTTGTGCGATCTTGAGAGGATTATATTCGATAGTCAACAATCCAACATGTGGGGTTAAAAGAAGATCCAGGTCTAGCAAAGCACGGAGTTTTTCCATTAATAACTTGATCCGGACGATTGTTACAACATTTGTCGATTGATCTCCAAACTCAAGAAGTAAAAATCTATCTCCTCCCTGGAAGAGAGATTAGCATCGAGTTCCGAAATACGAATTTAAATTTGACTTACCTGTCGATAGGTGACTTTCGGGTCGAAGATTCCTATTGGGGATTGCCTTGTAATCTTCAGGATAGAAGCATGACCTCCCACATCAGCTCGTGGGAGAGACAAATCAAATTCAGCTGCCTTTGTCGCTAGTCTGGATATGCTTTTGGAAATTGTCGACAAGTACGTCTCTATCATATGGAACTGACTGACGGCAGAGTCCAAAGTGATTGGCGTCATTCGGAAGGACTCTCCCGGCTTCAACTGGCCTAATTTCCATAGTTCGGTGGATATGACGGTTGTTGAACAGACGAGTCCCCCAAAATTAGGGCTGTCTGCCGTCAAGATAATGCTCGAGTTGCCGCCCCAGTTGAGCCCACCAGGAGAGGGGTAACCATAGCTACCACGAAGTTAGCACATCATCGATATTAGGCACTGGAGATCTCCCAACACGTACTCAAGATAGTTTGAGGGATGTGATTCAGCTTCTCCTCCAGTTTCGCGCGCCCACTTTGGTGTTGGCCCCAACAGTCTGACCCCAGTTCGGCTAGAATTATGGCCAACTTTCCAGTCGGTGTTGTAAAGCATATATCGGTCTTCAGCAGTCATGATGTCGTCGGAATCATGAGGCCCTTGTAAGACGTAGATCTCTGTTACGTCCATGCTTGGCCTTAAATTCACCGGTAAGATGTATTCCTGAGTTTCTTGTGTCCAACGCAAACTCGCTTTCTCCACTTGCAAGAAGTCACCCTGCTGAAGTGCCCGTCCTTGACAACCACCGAACTTCAGGCTTGGGGTTGTTGACTTGGACCCAAATACAATCGGAATATTTAGAAACCCTCCCTTCACAGAGAGATATACACGGCAGCCGCTTCCAATCACAGAACCGATTTTCATTTTTTGCCCTTCCTTGATGACCAAGGAAGACCACATTGGTCGCTCTGTCCCATCAACAGTAACCAGGCATTCAGCTCCACAGACTGAAACGACGGCAGCTGATACAAAGAGCAGCTCAGGACCTAACAGAGTGATTTCGACGACCTCTGTGCCCTGTGGGTTTCCGACCAGGAGATTTGCAATGCGCGATGTGAGGCTGTCCATGGGCCCGCTCTTTGGGATACCATGACCTAACGAAGCTCTTGCGGGAAAGTCCTGGATTAGTGAATGCGAGCCCCCCGATAATACCAGGATTCCATGGGGATGGTATTTGAATCGGGTGTCAAGGAAATTCGTCAATGTGTCACCTTGCTTGAATGCTTCAGATGATAGGATAGCCGACACAAAGTCAAGGTTCGTCGTGGGGCCTCGTAGTATTATGTGGCGCGAGCATAGATCTATCATTTTGCTTATAGCTTCATCTCTACTTGATGAATAAACCATGGCTTTTGCAATTAATGGATCTAATTTGAACTGTTACCGCTGAAGGATTCGTCTTAGACAGACTATTTTCTGCACATACCATAATGCAGAGAAACATGTTGGCCAGATTGGATCCATGTATCAATCCTGACGTTGCCATCATTGGGCCAAAAGACCTCCTGAAAGACCCCTGGGCTGGGTGCAAAGTCTTTGAACGGATCTTCGGCATAAATACGAGCTTCAATGGCAACACCGTTTGGTGCCGGCTTCTGCAAGGAGAGCAATTCTGATGAGGGAATGCCGCCCTTCCCAGCCCTCTCTAGATCAGCCTGCCGGAGCATCAACACAACAATATCCACGCCATAGCACAGTTCCGTTATCCCGTGCTCCACTTGCAGCCTGGTGTTCATTTCTAAGAAGAAGAACTGGGCAGTATTGCCATCCACAAGGAATTCAACAGTGCCGGCGGACTTGTAATTGAGAGCGGAGGCGAAGTTTATTGCGAAGTTCGTGAGTGTTTTTCTAAGGCCAGGGTGTGCTTCCGCAAAGGGACTTGGGCACTCTTCAATAACCTTTGCAGTGTTAAATACTTTAGCTGCTGGCCGGGGAGAATTTGATATTTACCTTTTGGTGGCGTCTCTGAATACTGCATTCTCTCTCTCCAAAGTGGATGACATCCCGGCCGTTGCCGAAAACCTGGACTTCCACATGACGGCTGCGGGCGTAATATTTTTCAAGGAGCACACCTTCGTTCTTGAACAATTGAGAACCCCTGTTTTTCACCATTGAAAAGGCGGCATTGATATCATCTGGTGAATGGCAAATTTTGAGGCCCATTCCGCCTCCGCCACCTGTAGCTTTGAGTATTACCTATCAAGATGGGTTAGCATATATCCCAGTGGTAATCCTGTCTTCAGCTGACAACTCACAGGATATGTCAGAGTGTCAGCAGCAGCTAGAGCTTCAGCTTCAGAAGCCAGGAGATCAGTTCCTGGAACTACAGGTACTTTAGCCTCTTGAGCAACCTCTCTTGCCCGGTGCTTTAGACCCATCTCTGTGATAGACTCAGATGATGGCCCAATGAAGATCTTGCCGGCATCTGTGACCTGCTTGGCAAATTCGACATTTTCGCTCAAGAACCCGTAGCCTGGGATGACCGCGTCAATGCTGTGCCTTTTACAAAGTTGAAGGATGTCGTCACTAATGATACAGATTAGCAGCCATAACCTTAAAAAATAATTGACATCATCTGCATCTTCATAACTTGCATGTCTAAATATCCAGCGGTTCCATCGCCTGCCAAGCTCAGGGATTCGTCCGCAAGCGAACATGGAGCGAGGCATTGTCTGATTCCGTATAAATTGCGTAGCTCTTTACTCCTACTGCCTTGCATGCATGAATGCATCGGACGGCAATTTCTCCTCGGTTTGCAATTAGCACGCTCCTGATGCTTTCTAGGGGCGGGTATTGTGCCATGCTTGATATCTTTGCTGTGTGCGGGCTAGAATCCCTGCTCGATCTTGAGAAGAAACAGGCCTCAGCTTACAATAAAGGCCAATTTAGGTAACGGAAGCACGCTACTCTTTTTCACTGTATTTCATATTTTGAGCATTTCTCCCAGCCTCGGCAATTCTCGTAACCCAAGTTAGAATATCTTATCTACGTCCACGGGCGTTATTGTCCAGGAACATCTTGGCGCAAACGAGTCAGCATCCTTGTTAGAGCTGTCCAAGGGCGCGCCAATACTAATGCGGAAGTCCGACTCGCCCTGCCATGAGCGACACAAGATCCAGGATCCAGTCTAATCCGCTCTCGAGCCAATTGGTTATTGACGCGTTTACGACATAATGTGAGGGGCCATCACACGTCGCGAAATACCTGCGTCCACAAGCTAAGACCAGCCAGAACTATCTAATGACAATAACAGCTGAAATGAAATGGATTTCGTAAATACTGTCATTACCATTGCTCAACGCGATATTCACTCGCCAAGCCAATTTTCCTCAGTGAATATCACTAGACAGAGGAACCAGTGCGACGACGAGCCACATTTCCAAATATATAGGCTACCCTATATACAGACTTTGGACACTGAACATCTTCCCCGTAATGTAGACACCGTTATTTTGATTGACTAGTGTTTTTTCTTAATTATTATAACATGCAAAATCGCATAAGTCTTCAATAGTATTAAAATCGAGTTTAAAGATTACATCAGTCTTTTGCAAACCCTGTACATCTTGCCGCTAATTTGCCACTCGTGGTCATCCCTATCCCACCAAGCTTCTTTGCTAACACAAATCTGCCTAATGCTAATAGTTACAGCACTTGTGAAAACACGTGCGTAAAATAGACTGTTTCAGCAAGCGATATGCTCTTATGAATGATGTCATTTCCCTTGAGATTCGATTCCCTCTCGGCAGGTTTACGTCGCGACGAGCATTGTTTTGATGATGCGTGTCAATAATAACAGGTAGATCTATGCGATATGTAGTCTAGCGAACTCGTCCCCTGCCCAAGACTTAGCTCTTTAAAGTAGGTTTTTGCTCGAACCACCACATCTGGCTAGTCAACCATTCCAGGCGCTGTGGCCATGCTTCCAGGGTCTCGGGGCCAGGGCGATGTACCAAGAATACAGAAGAAAAAAACATATAATTATCAATATTATATCCAATTAAGATATTCTGACTTAGAAAAATAGATAGAGTTAATTAATATATATATTTTTCTATAAATTTTTCTATAAGTAGTAGTTTTTATAGAATTTAATTTCTTCTTCTTTGCTCTATGAAAGAAACTCCTAGTATGCGCAGAGGTGGTTAACTAGCCAGGTGTGGTTCGATAGCATAATCCCTTTAAGTATTAGGAATTTTCCCCTGCGATTATTCGTCGATCTCAAGGCTGCATTTTGGATTCTTGAGAATTGAGTAATTGTATCTATGCTACAATAGGCCGAGAGTCAACTGGAATCGACCAAAGCCAATGTATATCTGAGTCTTTCGCAACACACCGGGTCTACAATTTGACCGGCTTTAATTTACATAGTAGTGGCTTCTTCTCCCACAGCACGAAAACCTTCTGGTCTGACCAGCCCTTGCTCTCCTCACAAAGTTGTAAAGCAATTGAGCCAGCAACAACCTCATCTCGTGCCATGCCATACTAAAATCTCATTTAGTTTTGTTGCACAGCATGCGTTCTGCGCAAGAGTAGTTCAACTTACTTTTGGCCAAGACAGTTTCGGGGTCCAAGGTGGAATGGCTGGAGAGCCTCACGCAGATCATCTGCGTACTCCTCAGCGCCTAGCCACCGCTCTGGAACAAAATCGTTTGGATTGCGGAAGTTTTTCGGGCTTCTATATGTTGCCGTGTGGTGAACTGAAATGCTTGTCTGTGAGCAGTGTCAGTCTCCTGGATATCAAACGCAACTTTCACGTGGCTCAATTCTTAAAATGATGAAGTTAGCACTTACGCCACTAGGAACAAACCCATCACATATGATAGTGCCGTGGTCTGGTGCGACTCGTGATAGCGACGAGGGAACTGGAGGATACATGCGCAGGCCTTCCTGAATACAGGCATGAAGATACTTTAAACTTGCTAGGCGATCAAACATCATTTCTTCGGAGCTGTCAAAAGCTCCTCGGATCTCTTCAACTAGTATTCGCATTTTCTCCGGGTTAGTCAGAAGATAGAAGGTTAGACCTGAGAGCAGCGTGGCGGTCGTCTCGGTGCCTGCAAGCATGAACACGTCGGCGTTGTTGTACATCTCTTGCAGTGAGAGCTTCTTCTCGCCTTCGTCGGTCACAACTAGATTCCAGAGGTCGGGCTGTGTGGAGCCCCGGGCGAGACGCTGGTCGACACGACTGATTGTGTGTTGCGCGTGCGATCGACGCATCTCCTGGAGTTTCTTTGGTGCTAGAGACTTCAATAAATAGCCTAAGAGCGGGTAGTAGAGTCCCATCTGCACCATTGGACCGGCCTTGATTGCTTGGAAGATGCTGGCAACCCACGGCGAGTACTTTGATCCCTCGAGCAGGCCAAGAGGCTCACCGAATGTCAACTCAGCCATGATATCAAAGGTAGTGAAGTTGAGGATCTTGACCAGATCCTGCTCTGTGGCCGAAAACTCGCGAAGCTTCGATACCATGAGATCGGCGTACTTTTGAAACAGAGGTTCCTGCTGCTTGAGGCCGCGATCTGAGAAGGCGAGCGCGAACATTCGTCGCACACGGGCATGATCCTCTTTACTCGCTGTGATTAAGGAATGGACACCCGAATCTGGTTGAGGATAGAAGCGTCGGTCCTTTGGATTGTCTTGTTTGTCCTTCCTATGGCCGTAGATATCCTTCCATGCCTGACTATCGGTGTAACTCATATCATTGGGGCCATAACGCACTATTGGCCCGTACCGCGAATGCAGCTGGTGCATGTGGTGGACTTGGTTGCCCGTCAAGTTGGCAATCCAATATGGAACCCTCGTAAATCTAGATAATAGAGGCCCCGGGTATTTGCGTAACGGATGTAAGAAGAACTCATGTATGACCTTTGCTATGATATATGTGACAACCTAGAAGATTGATTGTTAGCGACCTCGCCGCTAGAGTTAGCTGGGAATCATACCCCAGCAAATAATATACGGGGGATACCGATACTACCATCGGTCACCGGGTTTAATAATTTAGAGGCCATTGTAGTTGTAATACAGAGCCGAAGAAGAAGTTGAATATGAGCATAGAAGGTTTCGGATTTAGAGGGACAACACGTTAGTTATATACCCCTATTGCATAAAGACAAAGAGTCAAAGCGTTGCTACTGCTTATATTTCTCTTCCGGGCTCTGCGGAGGCTGGACACAAAACGCGTATCCACATGTCCGGCAACTTTCGCTCGGCTCGGGACAACTTTTGTGGTCAGCGGAGACTTTTCGACGCTGAACGGCGTTGGCTTTTGACAAACAAGCAACGATGGGGGGCCGATTGACTAAATTACCCGAAGTATCTTTAACTGGTATTGTCAGAAATTAAGGATACACGTAATCTCCCTTACAACATATAGATCGTTTGGGAAACACACCCTTCATGCTGTCTAACACGCAACTAAACAAGTCTCCGACAGCTGCCCGCATGTCATCTAATGTGATTGGCAGCTATGGTCATAGTCAGCTAGGATCATAGATATATATGGTGTCAGTTCCAGCGGACGATAAGATAGTATCGTTACTTACCAAGGTTATCTATCAAGTCTAATGTCAATTGCATAATCCATTCAAGTATGCACATAGTATAGCTACTAGAGACATCACTATATGACCTACATTATTATAGGCGAAAGAGAGCTATGTTAATTGTGTTTATGAGCATCACTCCACCCACGCGACAAGTGATCGCTGTAAGCCAGGCCAAGCAGTCAGCGGCTGCGACAATGAAATTGGAAAATCTGTCCTTCGACTTTTACAATCGATCGCTACGAGGCAGGCCTGTTTTTTTCTCGGTTTGCGACGAGCGATGGATGTGTGGCCGACGTTGCTGTCTGTAGGCTCGACCTACCCTTTGTAAGAGAACAGGCTGCAATGTTTGGATGCTATAGTTCTCGCCATGACACAGTCGCCCAGGCTTTATTATTATACGCCTAACATTATCTTCCAGGCTAACCGTATCTATTATATAACAAGAGCGAACATAGCGTTGTCAGAATGTTATGGTCATGGCATGACACCGCAAGGGAATATTGCCACTCCAGTCATATTAATAAAAAAACGCTGCGCGAAAATAGGAATTGATGATTATTCTCGGTTCGGGCAACTTAACAAAATGCATTTGAGGGCTATTCACGTGATAGTCACTTGATTGTTTACTCTATCACGTGGTTGGCTGCTGCGGTCATCATGTCAAGTCCAAGTGCATTTTTCTAGACTGGGCGCGTACCTACAACTTGATTGACTTCGCCACCAAAGTTTTTCATCAGCCCAGTTCAAAGGAACTTCTGTAGCGCCGACCATATCGCCTTTCCTCAGGATGGCGTCTGCCATTACATTTGGCGGTCTCGGCGACATCCTCACTGTTTGTAAAGTTGGTAATAACCTGGCCCGGGCGCTGAGCGACAAGAGCGGAAGCCGAAGACAGTATCTGGAGTTCTGCGACGAGGTCCAATGTCTAGTCCAAGTACTCACCCAGGTACCATCACGCATCTCGTCATACCTGCCTTTCACAACAAATGTCTGATGATTCCGCTGCAGGTCGTTGTGATCTTCGAGGAGCGAGAAAGCTCTCTCTTAATGGAGCAGCTTTTCACTATCATCAAGCCTATCGTTGATGAGTGTGGTACCGCGATGCAGGAAGAACTCATGAGAATACAAGATAAGTACCATGACAGTCTTCGACCAGGTGGATCTGGCTCCTCATCTAAGGATGCCCTTAAAAAGCTACAGTTTGGTGTCACGGAGAGGACCAAACTCCAAGAAAGCATGGAGAGATTGAGAGCTCGCACGCAGCAACTCTCTATTCTGGTTACTATAGCAGGCGAGTTCGTTTACTACCGCCATAAAAGCAGCTGGGTCTTGATTTACTAACGTCACAGGCGCGCCACTCGCGCTGACGCAACAACTATCAGATCAAAGCTAGATGGCTTCGAAGAATTTCTGGTCCGGATTGCCAAAAAGGATGATGTTTGCGAGCAATGTATCGCGAGGCAAGATCCACAGCTTCAACTTATCAGTAAAACGACACAGGACATATATGGGCAGACTGCTGGTATCGTTACGGAGATATGCGAGATTAAGCATAGTCTCGACCGAATCATTGCTGATCGGCACTTTCATGCGTCTAATGCCGGCTTTTTAAATGGCCCAGATCCAACTCTTGGTAAACCAGTGCTATTTGAAGATTCATTTGGGACTGTGCTTGAACTCCCAACGGAATGGATTCATTCTTGGCAAGTAAGTGGATATGCTACTACCTATCGTGTTCATAGTCTGGCCAACAATGTATTCTGAACTCTGACCAAGGATATAGTTCTTCCAGCAGCTACTTCAACATCATTTCGAAGAGCTTAAGGGGCACAGGATGGTTATCCAAGGAAAGTATGCTCTTGAGGAGAACATTACAGGCATCGACTTGAATCAGTCACTACCACCTAAGGCATCTTTTCGAAGGGGTATGAAGATCAACATGAGTATGATATTCACTCGAGACCAAATGACGCCAGGAGTGTGTCCACGCTGTGGAATTGACAATAATGCACCGGAAAATACCAACGTAAAATGGTAAGTCTGAGCTCGTTCTTCATTGGATAACTAACTGAGTAATTTTCTTTTAGTCAGACCGATGGTTGTGGTGTATGGTTCCGTATCTCTAGGCCTGTTGCCGTGACTGTGTTTGAGGGTCGTCAACCTCAACCTTCAAGTACTCGCAATCTCAGCCAAGAGGAATTGGACGAGCTGTATGGGATTGCGAGTCAGATACAAGAAGATCCTGCGGATTTCCAGCGGGTACGTCTGCTGGCAGTCGAAGCTGAAGGGGTTTCTATCCGCAAGGGAGATGCTACTTTTGATCATCAAACTGTGAATGAACAAGCGCAGGCAAATCGGGGAAAGGAAAACAGACATCAGAACATCCAGGATTCTCGCTCTTCTCAACCCCGATATAATTTTCTGACTAGCGTAGTGGCATGGTTTTTTTCTAGGCGGTCGGGTCTAGTCACAATGACGCGAGACCTTCCGTCTTACTCCCCCGAAGTGAGAAGGAAGATGAAGTTTTATGGTACCGCAGATTATTCTTTCACACCCGGGATACCAGATTATCCTTTAGCACCTAGGAAAACAAGTCCCATTGTCGTCCTTATCCCTGATTCATATTCATCATGGCCAGATTTATCAAACCCAGGGCGATCCGACCGGTTCGACCATAATTCAGCTTTCACTTCAACTTGGGCACTTTGATTAAGTAGACCTTGACATAGGGTACAGATATGAGGCATCAGAAACACAAGGTGTGGAAGCCTGAGTACTCAAGGTGGCTATCATATCAAGTGGAAAATTATATAAGATATAACCTGTATTGATTTTATATAGCAATGTATGTAGAATGAGAAGTGTGGAAACTATCGCCATAACTAAAGTCTGGCCAAAGGGCCATCAAACCGAACAGCGCCGATAGACGCAACAGAAATATCAGCAATGGTATTACAGCCCGTCAGCTGCATACATCGTTTGAATTCCTCATAAAGAATGTCCAAAGTTTTAGTAACGCCAGCTTCTCCATTGTACTGAACGCATAATTTAGAACGAGTCAGATCTGAGAATAGAAAAGAGCACTTACCGCCAGACCCCAGATCATCGGTCGTCCAATCCACACACACTGAGCGCCAAGAGCCAACGCCTTGAAAATATCGGTCCCAGTCCTGATGCCGCCATCGACATGGATTCGAATGTTGCCGTTAGCTGCTTTGGCGCACTCCAGCAGGACGTCGGCAGTTGCGGGCGTTTCATCCAGCTGTCTGCCACCATGATTGCTCACAATGATACCATCGCAGCCATACTGTACAGCGAGGTGAACATCTTCGGCAGTCAGGACTCCTTTTATCCAGATCTCCATCTTGCTGTGCCTGCGAAGCCATGGTATCTCTTTCTCCCATGAATGCGAGTCAGAATTGAACGCGGTAAAACCGTCGTCATGAGTTTGCGAACGGATCATCTCAGATGTCTTCTCTAGCATAGGCAGGTTCAAGCCATCCGGCGTCCGAAAGTCATTGTGGACCTCATTATATCTTACTCCAAGCACAGGGCTATCGGCCGTCAAGAATATAGCTTTGCAGCCAGCTGCCTCGGCACGATGGATGATACGCAGCTGCATCTCCTTGTCTCGCATTGTGTATAGTTGTATGGCGTTTGTCAAGGGCCCGACAGCAAGCCCGGTCGCGCGGATTTCCTCCACCGAGTGGTTCGCAAAGGAGGAGATACCCATGTGAACACGGCGCTTGGCACAGGCACGCGCAGTGGCCAGCTCTCCATCTGGGTGAGCCATGGCTTGCAGGCCGGCGGGAGACACACATAGAGGGAAGGCGATCTTTTCGCCCAACACCGTAGTCGATGGATCTACCCCCGAGACATCAACTAGGACTCGCGCGCGCAGGCGGTACTTTGAGTACGCGCTGGAGTTCTCGCGAACAGTAACTTGAGTCGTAGAGCCATCGTTATAGAAGTCTTTCGCGCATACATAATCAGTACCAATCTATGCTAGTATATACATGTATAGACTGACCGCTAATAATTTGTGGGAGCTTAGCCGTGGCAATCTTTCGAATATCATCCACGCACATAACCCGCTCATCTGGAGTTTTGATCGTGACCATCTTGTCGCCCGAGGATTTCAGGTGATGGCATGTAAAAAGCCAATGTCCAATACTATTCCGCAGAGCTCGTTGAATTAGCGCTGTAGCTATTCGAGAGAGGTTGATCTAAGCACAGGCTCTATCGGATTTATAGTTATAACCGTGGGCCGGCCAGTCAAATTAGTAATGAGTTTACCACTCCGATACGGAGATATCATTCCAAAGGGCGCACTTCTTCGTGCCTAATGCCATTGGGCTGCACCGAGCCACACCGATGCCCTTGAATGCTGATAAGCTTGTTGAGATAGAGACCGGCAAGCAGAGGATGAACCGACAAGGGAACAAGATGATATATTATCTTTATTTCAGTGTATATGTTGCAAAAAATAACTAGATGGATCAGTTTGACCTACTGAAACCCACGGCTGCACTGTATATTTCTTGCGTCTTCTAGGCGTCTTTGTTGCCAAGTAGACCGGAAGCGAGCTGCGCCCTTCGTCAAACACAACCCCTCTTCTGCAATGCAACAGCAACTCCGAAAACGGAAGATGTACGGGGCGTACGGCATGGCTTGTATGGAATGAATTATACCCGGTAACGCATGATGTATTCGTGATTGGTAAGGCAAAGGACTATACGCCCTGATAAATCATAAGGCCAGAAACAAGCAAACGAAACCACTGATGTTTTCATTCAGCGCAATAAGTGTGCGACATGGCCGCCGGTGCCTGTAACATTAATCGAAACCATGTACCAAGGCAAGATCCGTCTATCAATAAGACAGCAGACATAAAAGGAATATTTAACCCATTTGGTTATAACAGCTCCCCTAAAAGGGAGACTTTCTTAGGAGTTTCTTCTGAATAGGTGTTGAACCACACTCTTACGATATAACATGGTCTACCACTGCCTGGGTAGGGTAACATAACTAGATGATGGCCGTCCGGGCTTTAGTACTTGCACAGGCTCTAGTCCCGACTCGCGGGCACGAGATGAACATTAAGCGCTGGCTTGCGCCAGATCAAGTATGTCTCACCCTTGTCAATCCATCCATCACTGTCTTTGGCCAGGTGAAGGTCAAAGTTCCATACAATTCGGGCAAGGATCAAACGCATCTCAGCATATGCCAAACTGGAGGAATAGTCAGCTCCCAGCTCGTTCACGTGTCCTCAAATTGCTACTTACTTTTTGCCCAGGCAGTTTCTCGGCCCAAAGGAGAACCGAGAATCATCTTGCCATCGTTCAGGTATAAAGGATTCTGGTGACTGAAAGTACTTCGGGCTGTAGTAGAGAGGATATTGGTGAATCCCAACCACGGTCTGTTCACCAAAGGAAAATAATTAGCAAAGCTTCTCATCAATCGACGCTTTGCCGACTTCAATCTTGTACGCACCCCGCCAGGCACCCATCGGCCGTTGATAATCCCTCCCTCTGGATTCATCATGCGAGGGATTGCACCAGGTACAGGTGGATACAGGCGGAGAGTCTCGTTCAGAACGGCAAGCATATATTCCAGACGCTGTACACTGTGCATGTTGATTTCGCTTTCGTGCTTGAATGTAGTACGGACTTCCTTGACGAGTTTTCGAAGCACTTCGGGGTGCTTCCCCAGGAGATAAGTGGCACCAGAAAGCGTGGTTGCTGTCGTTTCAGAACCAGCTGTGATCAATACACTTGATGTCGCGTGCAGTTCCAGATTACTGTAACTCTGTATTCGCGTTGAGAAAATTAGTGAGCTATTCCGAAGGCCGGATGGAAGATTCTGGAGAATCTGGGTCTTACCTTCCTACCTGGCCCTTCTGCGGTCATTGCATGATAATAGTCAGGCCTAACAGTCTCCATCGCCCCTCGGGCCTTGAGCTTCTCTTCAATAAGATTCACATGGGTGGTGTCGGCAACCGCCAGACTTTGATCAAGAAATCGAAACACCACGTTTGACAATGCACCCCAACGGTAGGCAGCTACTTTCAGGCTTGTGTATTTAATGCGCTTGAAGATCAGGCTCAACCAAGGATGGTAGTCGGATTCTTGAAGGCACCGAAAACTTTCACCAAATGCAAGGTCGCCGATGATATAAAAAGTAGTCCAGTTATACCAAGATGTCATGTCTAAGACGCTCTCCCCGTTGTTTGAGCGTTCCTTGAGTCTCTGGATGAGAAGGTCAACGTAACTAGCGATAATAGGCTCCTGGTCCTCAATGGCAGCTGCTGAGAACCCATGGGCCAGGCTTCGACTCATTCGGGCGTGGTCTTCACGGGAACCACCAACGATACTTTTATTCCCGAATTTCGAGAAACTGAAAAAGCCTGGGTCCTTGCCGTTCTCTGGCGCTCCCTGCTTACGGTGACCCATCAAGTCGTCCCAGACATGCTCTCCTTGGACAGACAGCTCGTCTGGAGAGATTCTAATCATGTCGCCATACTCTTGGTGCATCTCATGGAGTTTGTGATGGGTTTGGCCGCTACTCATCATACGGGTGTATGGGATCCGAGTAGCCGCGTTTAGCTTGGGGCCGGGGATTTCTTTAGAAGGTGAAAGAAGATGTTGTAAATTGGCACGGAGGCTACGCCGACAACGGCCTATAGAATGATCATAATGTTGGTCAAGAGGCTTCTTTGATGTGTCTGAAATATGAACTTACCAACCCGACGAGGAGCAATGGCCAATAGACCAGCGAAACAGTTAAACCGGTGATCATTTCGATGATAAAACGCTTTTACCTCATGAACAATGTTTTGTTGATGGTTGTTTCCAGATGAATTGTAGAGTTAGGGGGCTCCGATGGCTTGCATTTATAGCTATGACCCCCTGAGCATTTAGAACTGCCACTTTCCTGGGCCTCCACAATCTACTGTATGCACACCTCGCGTTAAAGCGGTGACGTGTTGGATGTTGAACCCGGTATATCGGCTTTGGTCTCAAGGCGAATCCCGCCGCTCCTTTGCTGAAGCTGACTGGTCGAAAAGACCGAACAGATAGGCAAGTGTGATTATGATGAACGTCACATTTGCGGATGCCACCTCAGACTCGGAATATTCAGCCCGTGAGAAAAACCCTGTCGATCGAAGTCTACAACTAACCTCTTTCCCTCGCATGCCGGCTCCGCGGAAATTACGGTCGATTACAGGATGATTATATGCGGAGTTGGGAGCTGAAGTATTGTTGTCATCCCTAATTTACGAGGGTAATTCCACGGTTTACTATCTCCTTGAAACGCGGAGGGGCTGATGGAGTCCGATGCGATGTTGTATTGTGTTTCTAATTTCCCGATACTAGTTGGGCAAGGATGTGTGCAGAGGTCTCGAAAGATATGAAACGTCGTAAGATATACCTACCATGATAGATATGGAGTCTGAGCAATTGGTTACATCGCTGTTAGAAGACGACCCATTTGTCCATTTCCCAGAAAGGCATTGTTGGCTGATTATAAATTGCTCGCATGTGATTTCTGTTGATGGTTCTTCTGATATCTTTGTCAATGATTTGGCCTGTAGTAGTGATGGAGACTCATAGAGTAGATAGTAAAATATTATTAACGTTGCTCCTGATCATTTTCTTTCACTGGAAAGGCACGAGTTTCATTACCGTGCGGGATTTTTGATGCGTGACTGAAGTTTACTGTTGCACTCGGACATTCACTGTCATGGTTGTATGTGGCATCTGCAGCGCTACGTCAAAACTAAATGCTGGAATCCTTGTTCATCTCTGCTTCTTTTGTCACACGATAAAGCGGTCTCAGCAATGAGGGTTCTTGCCACAGTAGAGTGGATGTAGCACTCATCCTGCATCCCGAAATAGATGGTTTTTTGCATTGAAGAAACTAAGGCTTAATGATAGAACTACCAGCCCAACCTTCTTCGTGTTACGATTCGGAAATGGTATGGAATATTCCAAGAGTAAAAAAAAAACTGAAGAATTCAAATGCCTGCACATTGCATTTCCCACTTTACTTTCCAACCTCGTGCGCCTATCTTTTCAATCCAGCTCAAGTACGTGCTCATTCGATGCTCATCTACTAGAGCTCCCCTGGCTGTCATAATATCTTGGTGGTATTTATTGTTTCCTAGCTAGATTCTCACGAGAGCGGCGTCCATAACTACATTCTCCGCTATCGCGTTGGTGCCTATGCCTTCACCAAACTTGAGAAGTTCAGATGAGAATGGGTTTAGACCCAGCGCAGAGAAAATGCGGGTAAATTTGTAGGTTCCAGAACATAGAGCAGAGGGTTTTGAAAGGCCCATCCTCATGAGGCTGCACTTCATGTTGTCCGTTGCCTAGGGCATTTAGCCATCGAAGGTCGAAAAAGGAAGGGGACTTGTCTTCACCTGCTGTGTATTTTGCAACGAAGAAGAATACAAGACTAACAAGTACTAGGAACACCAGAAAGAGGTTGTTAACCTCCACAGTTTCTTCTCGTGTGGATTTTCTCTTTTGGGACATTGCGAATTGGGATGATGCTGAAGTTCCGCGGTAGGAATCCTGAGGGTGAGACTATGATTCCCTTGGCGAGGCTCATTCCGGCGATCAAAATAAAAGAAAGCAGAATACTTGTTGGGGCGAAACCTTGGGTCTCTATGTGAAGATCAAGAACCAGGCTCTCAGGGCCATAGCAAATGGGATAGGGTAAAGAGTAAATCGTCTTCCATTTTGAAAAGAGAGTGGCGATATTTATATACCTGGTAGATGAATTATATAATATGCCTGCTAAGTGAAAGGGTGCCATTAACAAACAAAGGGTTCTGCCCAACATAATAGGAAACCAAGCCTTAACAAACGGCAACATGATTCTGTGTATGATCCGTTGCGGCCTCATCCTAATTGGGGATGTAGTCTCGCGACTAATTTCAAAATATAGGTATATTCTCTATAGGTGCAGTTATTCTCATAGTGAGGGATGGCTTCATGCCGATTTCTAAGTATCCGCCTTCTGCAGGGTAATTACGTTTCGGTTCTTGCAGTTGAGCCAATTCAGCTGCGGGGTTAGAATCGAAGAATCACCGAAGGCAAATCCGGAGATTCTCCATTTGGAGCAAAAGTGGAATTGAATGAGTCGCGTGCTGCGGGACTCTGTGGAGAAACAATCTTGATGCTCTGATCTTTGGCGTCATTTGCGAAGATACTCCGCCACCAATATCTGATTTGGTTTGGCCGTGAACGGAATCCCCGTATTCTGTCACAAGGGACATTGAGAATTGACGGGATATCCGGCGATCAATACCCCGAGAACCTGCAATGGACCGAGCTCTCTCTTCAAATTCACAGACACCGCATCTTCACCCTCGTAGCCCGGATCATACAAACACAATACTCCCCTGAGCCATCCCCGCTGGCTTCATTGACACCATGGCAGACCTTTCTACAGACTTCTTTACAGAGGAAAAGTCGCTAGAGACGCGATGGAATCACGCCTTCGCAAAGAAATCTGAAGATCTGAAGCCAGCACTCCAGCGGTGGACAAGGAACCCTCAGCATGTTATCCGGTTTGACGCAGACCAGTCCCAATACTGGGGCGTGAAACCCTCCTTGGTGACCAAAACAATCCCTGAATTCGAATCTCAGTCCTGGGGCAAAGGCGATGACTTCATCTTGGACTTCGGCATCCACATGGTGGGATACGTCTCGATGAAGCTCGACGCGCGTGGCGAGCATATGGATGCGCCATGTAGGCTGCGCTTGACTTTTGGTGAATCCCCTCTTGATGTTACCCTCGGGATGGAAAATGTCAGGACGTGGATCAGCACGTCCTGGCTCCCAGACGAGGTCATCAACATCGACATGTGCCCGGAGACTCTCCAGCTTCGCCGGCGCTACTCGTTCCGCTACCTCCGCGTTGAGGTTATCGACACATCCCCGAAATACAAGGTCGCCTTCTCCGATGTCACCTGCGAATGCGTCAGCGCCATTGGTCAAGATGTCAAGATTGACTCTCCCTCATTCCAGAGCGATATGCTGTCCAACATAGATCACGTCAGCCTCATGACGCTTCGTGACTGCATGCAGACTGTATTCGAAGACGGGCCTCGGAGAGACAGACGGCTTTGGTTGGGTGATTTGCGGCTTCAAGCTCTTGCCAATTACAAGACTTTCAAAGATTTCAATCTTGTGAAGCGCTGCATCTATCAATTTGCAGCAATCCCCCGAGAAGACGACTCCCTCCCTGCCTGTCTCTTTGAGTTCCCCAAGTTTACCCCGTCGTCGGATTACATCGTTGACTATGATGCTCTCTTCGCGTCCGTGGTTTATGACTATGTGGAAGCGTCTGGAGATGTCGAAGCTGGTCTAGAGCTCTGGCCAACTGTCCAAGGCTGCCTGAAAAAGGCCCTTCTACATGTTGATCCAGATACAAATGCATTTGACGAATCCCGCGAAAAGCAGTGGAAGTTCCTTGACTGGCAACCGAAGCTAGATCATAACGCTGGACTTCACGGGCTTGTGCTTTACTGCCTCAAAGCCACGAACCGACTGGCTCGCCTACTTGGCAAAGAACCCCCTCACGAAGAAATGGTATCAAAGATGACGGAGGGTGCAAAGGTCTTCCTCTCAAAAGACCAGCTCTTTATTTCTGGGCCAAAATCGCAGCTCAGCTTTGCTTCGGCTTCGTGGCTCGCCCTTTCGGGTGCTTTCCCCCAGGAAGTCGCGCGCACAGCGCTGCTCAACACACTGAATCACCCTGATGCCGTCAAGCCCCTTACACCTTACCTATGGCACCACGTGTGTGATGCGCTCGCTACAGTTGGGTGCATTGACGAGTGTCTAGAGACAATGACAGGGTACTGGGGAAAGATGGTTGATGCGGGAGCAGACACGTTCTGGGAGGCCTTCAACCCTGATGACTGCAGGGACAGCCCGTATGGGGATGTACGAAACAACAGCTTCTGCCACGCCTGGAGCTGCACACCTACGTATCTGCTACGGGGGAAACTTTGGGCTCAAGCTGGTAAGCCTGGATCGTCGCGGGTGTTGACTATGGGCGAATTGGACACTGTTTGGATTGAGCGATCTAAGCAGGAGCTTGCTGCGAATAAGTAAATATAGATGAATAGAATAGATCTCATAAATCTCACACAATTTGACCTTTACAGAAGTTTGTGACTAAAGTAAGACCTTTCTAAAGCAGGGTCTATGAAGTGTATCAGAAATCAGGATGAGCCTGTCTAAGACCCCCTTCATGGCCTAGGAAATCGGTTCTTTATATTTATGCGTCAGACATGGCCCCACCTTGTTCATATGCTGAGATTATCTCGCTGCTATGATTTGAGATGTCAGTGTTCAATATTACAATGTGAATGGTCAAGATCATGGTGAGAGGCTGAAAACATGGTGCCTCTGGCAGAAGCTCGGGCACCACTGATGCCCAACACGTAATCATCGGCTGACATAGCTTAGAATCTTGAATAAGCATCATCAGCTGCCCGAAAACCACAACCGCGACAACCCCTCTCATTGTGTAGACCCTTGTCCGGACCATAGAGCCTCTTTGCTTCGATATGAGATTCGATCTTGAAACCCTTCCGTTTCCTATCGACGTATCGGCCCTCACGGCTACGTCGGACCCAGCGTTTTGTTCAACATGTGCCAATTTGCATACCGTGTCAGCCTTCGCTATGGTCCCGTGCACTGCGGTTATGATGAATCTTTCGCGTTCAGTCAAAAAAGTTGACAAAGCGAGGCAACTTCTATCCGGAATCGAATCACAGTCCATTTCTTCGACAGAAAAGTTGGTATCTTGGGAGCTTCAAATAAGCCTGGCTGATCTCAAGAATTCATCAGCGGCCGGCTGTATCACCTGTTTGCTCTTGAGAGAGGTGCTCACCAACGTCCCGAATGGGCATATTGACTGGGATGATCCTGCACTGTACATTGTGGTTATCTTTTGCGACAAGACTGTGCTCCGCATCTCTGTTGCCCGAGATCGGGACCATTATGAGACAGATACCTGGGGCTTTGACATGTCTTACAAACTCTTGCATGATGAGCCAGATATGGATGACTATCAAGTCTACACTCTTCCTAGTAAGTTAGTAGTGCGCCTTTTGCAGAAATATTGAGCGTTTGATGTTGATACGTATTCCTAGACTCACCCTGTCCATGGCCTACACTCGGCTGCCTCATGAATGTCGAAGAACCCAAATCTAGCATTCCCACAAAGTTAGGTGGACTAGCCAGTCATATTTCGCCCGATCCTAATTCACCCATGTTCGTCGAGAAAGTCCAAAACTGGATACATGATTGCAAGGGAGAATCACCCCATCTGTATCGATGCAGAGAAATCAACTTATCAACCTTACCTTCCCGAGAAAGTTATCAGCCTTGGCCCAGAGTCAAACATGGATATCCGGCTGATAGAGGCATATGGCTTACCACATGAGCCGTACTTTGTGCTACATGATCAGCAGGAACGGAGAAGCTTCTCAGGCCTCTCTGAATGCCAAAATCTAGAAGATGACTCTGTTGAAGTACCGTATGATCTCCTCCCCCGGGTCTTTCAGGACGCTATTCTAGTGTGCCGAAAGTTGAGTATTAAATATCTGTGGATAAATGCTCTCTGTGAGAACCAAGATGATGATGACGACTGGGAAATCGCAAGAGAAAAGAAGGCCATGGTGTATACTAATGCAGAACTGGTTCTTATGTCTACAGGGTTGGTTGATGGTAACGAAGGTTTTCTTTGCCCCAGAAAATCTCCAACTATCATTTCTGGGACATGGCCAGATGGAAGACCATTTGAAATCTACGCTCGACCATGGCTTTTTCACGACCCAGATATGATGGACTGGCCAAAGGAAAAGTCGCCCCAACATGCCAGTCGAGCTGAGAGTTTCCAAGAGCGACTTCTGCCTCGACGTAGGCTTTGGTTCAGTGAAGGTGAGGCCATCTTTGACTGTTTAACCTCCACTAGTTGTGAATGCGGGGGCTTCTTGGACTCTGACGAGGATCCATGTCTTCCGTTACGGCGCATCCTGAAGACTGGCGCAAAGTATATCACCGAGACGGATGAGTCGTGGATCTATCATGAGAATTGGAGAGATCTGGTGGCCAAATTATCCCAACTGAAAACAAGAAATTCGCCATGTGACCTTGCATCAGTCAGCCACTTAGCCTCGCGATGGGCAAATGGATATACCGGTAGATATCTAGCTGGACTTTGGGAACATGACTTGGTGAATTATTTGCGGTGGTATCCAATCGATGAAGAATTACCTGATGGAGACCATGAGGGATGCCAAGTACCATCTTTCCTTGGTCCTAGTTGGAGCTGGACCGCTGTTTCCCGGAAGATCAAATGGGGCAGTGCAACATTTCGAAATACTAAATCTTTCGTTACCATCGACTTTAACCGGACTGAATGCGATGTCAATTCTGTGAACCCTTTGGGTCGGCGATTTCAGGCCACATATTCCTCACAGGAAAGATACTCAAAGTTGCAGTTAGGGATTCGAAGCGATTGTTCAAGGACGGAATTGACCAACATGTGGGCTTTCGATCACAAGAAACCCCCGAAGACGACTCCCCTTTGCCTCAGCACGTGTTTTGTCTTCGCCTCTGTACCAAGAGCTATACAATCAATAGCTTCGACGATGATTGTGCTCCCATACTTGTCCCTGCAACTGCAGACGACTTGGCGAGACAACATAGAGAAGTGCAAGTGAGCAGGCATGTTTACAAGCGGTTTGGCTTAACCAACAGTTATCCGCATAAAGCTTGGAATCACGACAGGGAAGCTAGCGAAGTTTCGATGTACCTAATTTGATTTCCAAACAGCGAACATTGCTTGAGATGAAGAGGGAAAAACGTCCTGCATAAGATAGCCTTCTGAATATCTAAGGCCCGAAGTGAACATATGGAACCCATGAAAGCCCACCAAAGTTATCTTCATCCAATTCAATGTCCCGGGAAGCTCCTCTTGGTCGGTAGTATGTGTCGTTGGAGAGTAGGTGCTATGAGTCATTGAGCGTGCCCATTGATCCCGTAGCTTTCTCGTCGTGTTATGAAGAGCATTAGCCACCGCTGCATCTGACATCATCCCCTCGCTCAATTCCTCATATAGCCCTTTTGCCATATTGGCTGAAGTATCGTCGTTTATTTCCCAGAGACTTCCTACTGCATGGCGAAATCCAGCGGTTTTGAAAGCCGCTATCAGATGGATACTTTCATCTACAAGCTGCTCGTTTCGGCTTCTTGCTGTTCCGCAAGCCGATAAGTAAGCCAAAAAAGGCCGGCCTTTGCTGAAATCTAATTCAGTTATGTTTGCTACTGTTAGTGGGTTGGTTTCGTGGTCTTTCAATAACAGCTGGCTTTTCGACGGATCGTTTAAATTAACCCTACCGTGGCCGGCGAAATGGAAAATGTTGCAACTCGTCAAGCTGGTAAGAACGTCCTGTCGGAAGGGTTTTGGCTCAAGGATGCTGAGGTTCATTGCCACACATATTTTTCGGACTTCTTGAGTTTCATGAAACGCAAAAGGAAGTCTACTGCATCCAGGGGTATTCTCCATAGATACGAGCAGAGCTGCCTTCACAGCCGGTGAGGCGATTGGCGGAGAGTCGGATCCCGAGATCAACATTCGGACTGATGAACTATATGAAGATATTACTCGATCGATTACGGTTTCGGACGGGCACCGTAAGTGATATCCTGCAGCATGTAGCGGAAATCTACTCAGTGGTCCCGTCGGAACCCACCAAATATGTGGCCAGTTGCCGTCGGCCTTCAAGCGCTCATTCACCCCAATGGCATCAAAGACTGGGCGAGCAATCGTGTCCCATAGCCATTCTAAAACTGGCGTGCTCCCTAGGTCCATTTGTGCCTTGCTCGTAATTTCATCTAACTCGAGTCCTGATAAAGGAATAGATCGTACTTCGCAACTCTCTATGATTATTGCGTCACATCGGATTAGGCTGGCATTCACAACAACAATGGGACCATGACGGGCGGCAGTTTTCATCATGGATTCGGTAGGCGGGAGTAGAAAATTGTCGAATGTAGGATGCTTTCTGATATCGGAGAGAACTTCGTCGAAAATCTTGTCCGTGCTCGGTTCAGAGAAATGCCGAAGTTGGCCTCCTTGTTTTCCGATGCCTACTGTTTTAAATAGCCGCTTCACCTCAAACAATCTTTGAGCCAGTTCCGGATGTTCTCTCTCGAGCTCCGGTATCCTCTTCCGCATATCATGAACTGATGTTGTGAGTACACCACGGCATTGTTCGAGGAATTGTAAGGCTGTTACCTCGCCCTTACAAGATCCTAATGCCACTGATGCAGCTTCGCAGCCCAAACCCGAAACATGACGGAGCAAGTGCTGCCTATCAAAGCTCTCAAATGAGCCGAATAGTAATGGTCGGATAGAATAGATCGCAGATTCTGCGACCTCCAAGGCCTCTTCCCACCGTAGATTGTCGGCGAATACTTTTAAAAGTTCTCTTTGTGCATACAATTTGAGTACCAGTGATATATCTGGATGCCCAATTGCAGCTTTGAGGCACCTTACACACTCATCTAGAGCCTCCTTTTGGTGAACATGCATGTACTTCTTCCGGCATGCCACCGCCAGATTTATCAAGTAACCTGGGATTTGCTCCTTCCATGCTACGTCGATAGCTTTGCGGATGTGATTAATAGCGCTGTCAAGATCAATCACATTTTTCATGTTGTCGTACTTCGATATCATGATGGCGCCCATTAGATTTAGAGCAGTCATCCGCGAATTCTCCACAGCCTGCTGTATTCCCTTTCGAGCCATTACCACGACTTCATGGAGATCAGATTCCAAATTGGTGATCCTATATAATTCGTAGAGATTCTTTGTGAGTATATTTAACCTAAAGCTCATGACATATTGTCCTTTCCGAGTCATCTTGACGGCTTTTTGGGCCAAATCAATCGCTTTTCTGAGATCAGAGATGTCGTTCGCCCTTTCATATCGATGGCCGACCCACTCCGAAAGCTGATCCAGACACTGAGCGTGATGAGGAATGTCGAAATTGCCTTCTTTAATAGCCGCCTGTCCTAAACTGATCGCTTCTGCTAGGTCCGCAAATCCTCCCAGCTTAAGGTAGCGAGAATGAAGGTGATTGCCAAGATTGAAAAGATAGCCCCCTTTCTGAGGATCACTTGGGTTTATACCACTCAGTGCGTCCCGAGAGAGCTGGATGGACTCGTTTAAATCTTCGGCGTTCGATATATGGCCCGATCGCCGCGAAAGACATGATGCCAGGTTTGTGGCGAAACTTGGGAACTCTCTGTCATGAACTGAAAGTTCTTTGAGAGCATCTCGTTGAAGCCGGATTGCGATATCGACATCAGAAACGTCCCGTGTGATGTAACTTTTGTTAATGAAAAAATTGCTGAGCGTGGCCATCATCCATCGTCTACTACTCCCATGCTGTGAATTGGCGGAGACGGCTTGTTGTCCAAGATGAATCGCTTCTTCCACATCCTCCCGTTTCCAGGTATTTGAAAATTGAAGAAAAGCTATATTTGCTTTGATCATGAGCCTTTCAGGCATCAATGAGTGCCCTTGAGGAGTTTCATTAATACTTTCTGATATCAGACCCGAGGCTTCACGCAAGTCGCTTGATTCTCCCATCCTGTCATACCGAGCGGTAAGGAGAGATGAGAGTCGAGCGGAGGCTTCAGCTTGGATATCGGAAAGGTCTGGTGCTTCTTTTCTTGCCTCCCGCAAGAGTTGAATTGCAGACTCTAATGAGCCTTCGTCGCCAGCTCGTTGGTATCTCCGATACAGCAACGATCCCACACGAAGTAGCCGTGATGAGCGATCTGGAGGGCTCACCTCTGTGGAACTAGCATCCTCTTGGGCGATACTGATAGCGTGGTCTAGATCTTTATCCTGTCCTTCCAACTGGGATCGATGAGACAAAAGATCTGTTAGCGCTTCCGTACGAAATGTTCTGTCTGAATGCCCAATGAAAATAGACCCTCCAGATTCTGAACCGAGCTCTATCACCTCGTTAATAGCATGAAGCGAGTCACTGACAGAATATTTCTGCCCCAGCCATTGAGCAAGACTGCTCTGAAATCGAAACCTTTGGCTGTCGTGCTTGGCAGTTGCGTCTATAGCTTCACGAGCCAATTGTACTGAGGTCTCAAAGTGCTTGTTGTTCCTATACCGCTGATATAGGACTTGATATACAGCCCCCAAGGCAAAAAGCCTTTCCGGTAGCCTAGGGTCATCTTTGCTTGTGTTATCAATAGATCTTCGTCCAGCCTGTACAGCTTCAAGAATATCAGACATTTGTCCTCGCTGCAGAAACCTCTCACGGAAAAGATCACAAAGCAACTGAAGGCGAAGTGGCTTGTTAGGCGTATGGTGATGTTCTAATTTTTGGGTCTTTGTAAGCGCATTAATTGCCTCCTCTAAGTCTGACCTCTGACACGTAAGGATTTGTAGCCTATACATCTCTGAGCCAAGATCAATTAGAAGGTCTGTGTAGTCCGGGCTCCCCTTTGGTATTATTTTGATTGTTCTTCGAGTTGCGATGACAAGATTCCTTGCATTTTCAACATTCCTGTCTTCGAAATACTTCCTGCCTAGGCGAAGCCTGAAATTCATTAAAGAAGCAACGAGCATTGGGTCGTCGGTCGGCAGTGCGTCCACCTCATCCTTGCAAATCTGAATAGATTCATCAAGGTCACTGGTCGATTTTTTCATAGTGTATCTGTCGTAGAGAAACAGTCCGAGGTTTTGCAAACACGTTCTTCTAGTCAAGGTGCTTCTTGTGGTTATGGCCAAAGCTTCTCGCAAGAGTGATATAGACTTATCAAGCTCTTGGGCTAGACCCGCGGTAAGTGCTTTGTTTCTGATACTCAGAGACAAATAGTTGACATATGAAAGTCTTTGTTGATCGTCACCAGGCATAAGTGAAAGAATTTCCTCGCCAACTTTGATCGATTCATCGAGTTCTAATATTGAGCGAGTTTCCAAATACCAGTCCTGAAGCAATGAAGCTAAATTAGTCAGAGCAGCAAGCCGATTTATGTCCCCTGATTTCGTTGAATTGGCCGCCTTTCTAGAAGCCTTGACTGCCACTTCCAGATTAGTCACATCCATATTATGGTCATAAACGGCCTTCAGAACACGTGAATTCGTCATAAGGCACGGACTCCAGATTTGATGGTCTTGGGTGATGGCTTCGATGGCTTTTTGGATATAATTAGAGGCGCTGTTGAGGTCTAAAAAATTGCTTTCGAGATAGTATCTGTCGACCAGCCAATTCGCCAGATGATAAAAGCGGCCTGCTTGATGCGATGTCATAGTCATAGCGCATTCTTCACCAAGACTGATTGCAAGACTCAGATATTGTAATTCCCCAGTGAGCTCGAATTTGGTATGATATAGGTCGACAAGAGCCGCCGCCGACGTTATCCATTCAGGGCTGCGGGGGCAGTCTGCATGGACAAGACCTTCAAGTGCGTTTACCGTGTCGTCGAAATCACGGAGGCTGCCCAAAGCTCCTGCCTGAGAATGAGATTCGTTGGCAGCCATGATTACCTGGCTCTTGTATCAGCTGTCTGAGGCAGGAATACGAATGATCTTCTAACCGGGATAAACCGCAGAGACACTGGAAGATGGCGAGCTGAAGAGCGGGGTAGGATTCTTGAAGACTCAATCACATCTTCACAATGTTAAGCCACTGTCAGCATGTCCAGCCCTCCATCATTAAATAAGCAAGCTTCATAATACTGTGGTTTTCCATCAATTAAATCAGCTCTCATTCCCAATTTCCGACTCGGTAAAAGTTCACAAATAGTACGTCCGGTTCTCAAGCCCCACATCAAGATCCAGAAATCTCATGAACATCCTTATATCAGGTCGTCTAGAGCTCTAAAAATCCAGTGTTATAGTCATTTGTAATACGATTGTTTATATCGAAAACAAACTTTTTTTTTTAATGAAATGCCATAACCCTAAAGAGATAACGTCAACATCCTGAACAGATCATATATCAACCGTGCTCATAGGGTAGTCTCCGAGGGTGATATACAGAAATGATACACTTATTAATCAATTAGCTCTATTGTCAGCCACTTGGGTGCCTTGGAAGGACCTTGGTGCTTTCCACGCAGCTCAGCGTATCTCATCAATAGTTGTAGGTAGCAACTCATTCAAAACGTCCCTCATCAGCTCCAAACCACCTTAGGATAATCACCCATCTGTCTATGCCTGTTAGGATGGAATTGGATGGATCAAATTCGCGTTCTCCATCGACTCTAGAGGGTTTTCCAGTTTCGTTTGCGTATGATGGGAGACTACAAAGACTTTTCTTATTCCGAGCATTATTTCGGGCTCTTGACATTTCTGATGCGGAGCTCCTCTTATTATTTGATTACCAGTAGCATCGACACAATTCTCTTGGTACGATCTCAGTCCCATTTTTATGCCATGGCAGAAAAATGCCTAATAACGCGGGAAACCTGGGTTGGAAACCCACCAACCGACGAAACAATGCTAAATATGAATATTCCAAGAAAGATACATTGCAGTAAGCAAATCAAAGTCCGAGACTTTCAACACAGTCAAGGGTACGTCGTAAAAGCACGGTGCTGTCTCCGCTTACGAGTCTCAAGTCCGAATATACGCCGCCGGCAATCCCCGGCTTGTCCCAACAAGGGAGTGCATTTTTCCTGTTTATGCATTAATTCTCACAAAGAAGCATAAGTGCCGGGAGAGCTTAATGCTGCCCCTTTTAGGGACCTCATCCAGGCATCCAGCACGGGGCATGATGGGATGTAACCGATTCATCATGAATCGTTTCCTTCACAATGATTCACTCGGCCCTCATTCGACCGAATATCAAAGTTCCTCGCTATGGATCTGCTGCACATACCTCCACACTCTCCGCATAAGGCCGGAAATCTAGACTATCAAGCTTGTTCAATAGCTGGTACACCTTCTCCTGAGCCTGGTTGTCTCCAACCACTACCCCTGATCCGATCCGAAGCTCAGCTAAATACGCTGACCCAATATCTCGGATCTTGTGCACTGCCGCGCATCCATTCGTTTCAAAAACTGGCTGTGGGAGGTGATTGAGAATTTCAAGTACGTCACTATCAAGCGCAGAGGCTACGTTAGCATGAGAGGAAGGGGAGCAGGCGATGAGATTCCTCACTGACCTGACAATATCTTGATGCGTGATCCCGGGAAGCAGGGAGCCCAGGTGCTGCAGGAAATTGGACTTGATGGAGAGTGCCGTGATCAGAATATTGACCATCTGGACCTCGTGACCCCAAGCTCCCCGTGGGAACCGAGTGAGCCCACCTCGCCACCGCAATTCCGGGCGGAGACCGTCGAGAGCGGTTTGGATACGCTCCATTGCACGCGTAAGTACCTCTTCGGGTGGTTTGGTCGCGATGTCCACCTTGCCCTTTTCCCATATGAGGAATATGTCAATCAAACTATTGAGTCCAGGGATGAAGGGAATTTCGTCTTCGGGCCAATTGGGCGCGTAGTCCTTGGGGGTTGAGGAAGGGTACAGATCACGATCAAGTATGGGTTTTGGCCTCAAATGTTCCAGATCTTGATTGAAAGGAAGAAATGTGAGGTGAGGCTGTCCTCTGAGCTCAGCCCCTCTGAAAGCTGATTAGCCAAGTTAGGTCCCATGGCCTCTCTAACAGAGTAATACTTACACTTGCCACATGAAGAGGAACCAGTATAAGCGCTTTAACATCTCCTTGTCCTGTTCTGAATGGCCGTCGCCTCCCTTGAAACAGAGAAGATACGTAACACTTGTCATGGCCTCCTTTATCCCCCGGTAGACTCGAAAATCCTCGGGCCCATGATCGACGAGGAGCGCCGAGGCGATATTGTACCAAGTGATGCACCAGTCAAGGGTATACGGCTGAGGCTGTAACAAATTCTCGTCCTCAATAATGCCGATGCATTTCTCCACCGTAATAGCTGGGTACTGTTCAAAACTCTTACGACGCAAAGTCGAGACTGTTACCGAGCATACGGACAGAATCAGAGCCGCAAAAACAGGGTCCACATCTTCGCCATGGGTATGCATTCGATGCAGGAGGTGGTGTCGGTGCAAGACTGGGGCGAGAGGATGAACGAACTTGAACCAATCATTGAGGACTCGCTGTATGAGTGGGAGTGGGCCAAGCAATTCCAATATCGAGTTGACCGACCGCGCGGGAGCTTTGGTCTTGTCGCTCCTAGTCTCTCTTACCGTGACCGGAGTCTGAGGAGTAGGAAGCGGTGATAGGCTCGGCGCTGGAGTGCATACTTGGTCATTTGGCGAGGCAGCATGCAACTGAGCCAAAGCGTGACTTGACATAGGCCAAGTTAGTGAATGATTCAGTCCCCTGCATATTCAGCTCACTTGATCGTGGGAATCTATACCGATTGAGCGGGCCTCTTCTCCTCCTGGGCTTGTCCCGCGTACAGCTGAGTCCGAGTTCTCGGCAACCCTCGCAGTCCACCTGAGACTCCAAAACCCGGCACTGGATGGGGGCATCAGCCACAGCATTTGGAGAAACCCCGGTCGGGAGAGAGGGGGACTTGAACTGACCTTTACTTTTCGATTGCGGCACAAGTCACACGCCTTCTTGGTGCGCGGGGTGCTATCCTGGGGCGACTCTTCCGGAGTTACCACGGAGGACGACATCTCTCTCGTCTGGGGTTGCAGCGTTGTCTTGAGGTGGGATTCTAGGGGAGAGGATGGGGAACGGAGAAACTAAGGAGAACCGGGGGCATCTGGGATCCTAAATGTCTTCCGATGGAGGCGGCTCGCAGTATCTTCGGCGTTTGACTCGAACTCTCTCCCCACATGATCCACCTCCACGACCGAGCTGAAGGCGGATGAAGCCTACTTTTGGGTTGGGCTGGTCTCTGTGCCTTGGCTAGGGGACTTAGGGACCAATAGATGGCCGTTTCTAATCCTGATGATCGGTACAGCGTTGGGCCGAGCCAGCTAATGGTTCACTTCCAGGCCCTTGGGTCAGCTCATCTCCTCTCCTCCACACTCCACTCCCCACAAACCCCAGTCCCCGGATCAAAGTTTTGCATGCATGCTGGGTTGGTCGATGCAACCACCGCATGGGAGACGTTTCCCCAGACGTGAGTATATAACATCCCTGGGCATCCAAGCTCCATCTAATTATGTCCAGCAAGCTCAGCGCTCTGGGATCAGCCGCAGTTTACTGAGTCACTGAGAAAATTGTTTTGTCGTGGTGTCAAATACCAAGTTCTCCTTATTTTATCTCCAAACTCCTCCTTTACATTGTGACTCTCGATCCATCCGCCCTCCCCGATTCATCATTCAGGATGGAGAAGGCCGAAATCCACCAAGCCGAGCATCCCGTCGGTGCAAACGAAAGCCTCGGGCGAGCGATTCAACAAGAAGAAAAAAATCGAACATGGGCTCAGTCAATCCGACGCGACCCCTGGCTGCTGTTCTGGGTCGGGCTGATGCTCTGGACCCTCATCGTTCGAGGTTTTGAGAGTCAGGCATCCGGCTCCGTTGTCAGTATCCCCGTGTTCAAACAGCAATTTGGTGTTCTTCAAGATGGAGCCTACTTCGTCGATACACGCTGGCTGTCGGCCTTGAATGGCGGAGCAACTGGTGCAAGCATCGTCGGCTCCTGGGTAGCATCATGGCTGGCTGATATCTACGGCACCAAGCCAACAATCATCGGCTTTGCAATGCTCAACATCGCCTCTGTCGGTGTCGAGTTTGGCTCTACCTCGATCGGCATGTACTTTGGCGGCAAGATGGCCAACTTTGTCGCCATCGGAGCATTCTTGACTCTATGCACGGCCTATGTCTCTGATGTCGCGCCTCTGGCCATCCGCGCAACCCTGATTGGGTTCTGTAACCTGTCTCAGTGCATCGGTCCCTTCGTCGCGGCTATTATGGCCAACTTCACCTCCACCTGGACCACATCATGGGCTTGGAAGTCCTTGATCTGCGCCCAATGGGGATTCGGTGTCATCGCAATCATCGGCCACTTGTTCATGCCAGAGTCGCCCGTTTTTCTAGCTTCAAAGGGAAAGTTGGAGGATGCCCGAAAGTCGTTGGAGCGCATGTACACCGACCCTCGAGATGCTGATGGGCATTTGAAGAGGATCGTCCTGACTCTGGAGGAGGCAGAGACGCAGAAATCATCGTCCTACCTTGATTGCTTCAAGGGAACCAACTTGCGCCGAACCCTGATCGCCATCATGGTCTTCCAGTCAGAGCCCAATTCCGGCCTCGGCTTCGTCGGCAGCTACGGAGCTCTGATGTACCAGTATATTGGAGTCAGCGACGCCAAATCATTCCAACTTCAAATTGGCGGTCAAATCTTGTCCATCTCTGGAGCTACCATTGCTCTCTTGCTATCCGACTTCTACGGCCGCAGGCCCATGTACATTGCTGGATGCACTGGGGTTTCTCTGCTGCTCATCTGCATGGCCATCTCCGGCTCAGTGAATACAACTGCCGCCGCGACTGCGTCAGTAGGGTTTTATACGATGTTCAACTTCTTCTATAATGTTGGCATCGGGTCCACTGTCTATGCCATTGCTGGAGAGATTCCCACATCCATCTTGCGATCAAAGACACTTGCTGTGGCCATCTCATCCTCGAATGCCATGAATACGTTCTGGGCTTTCGTGTCTCCCTACATCTTCAACCCCGATTACGGAAACCTCAAGGCTAAGATTGGGTTCGTGTTTGGTGCCATCATGGCAATCTTTATTGTTCTGGGTTACCTCTATGTTCCCGAGACCCGGATGCGAAGTTACGAAGAGCTGGATGAGCTTTTCATGAACAAGGTCCCTGCTCGCCAGTTCAAGGGCCACGTTACTGTAGCGGAGCAGCGTGCAGCAGAGGCCTTTACTGCCGAGGACAAGATGCGCAAGGGCAGCCAAGTATAAGACGGGCTTCGAGCTTGTGGAACATGTATCTATTTTTCGGTAACAGTATGAAGCTGATTGAATGTCACATGCGGTAACTCTTCTTCTATGGCGCGACAACACACATGTCAAAAGCACTCACTCTTGACCACTTTGAGATTAAAACTTCCACTCTATAGCTAACCATCGATCACCGGATAACGGCAATTTCCCATTTCATCAGATCTCAAGCCTGAGGAACCTTTGAAAATATTTCTCAATCAACTTACCTGCCAAATAAAGCAATCACCGGGATGACTCAGCTTATCAGCTGGACAAGGCTTCCATGATCCTCTTCCCCGCTGTCATCAATAAACGGTTCGGTATGACTCTTCTATTATGCTGATTAAGACGTTGGTAGCGGATCCTGAGATCAACTAATTTTTATTTAGACGTGCGGCCAGGCCCCAAACGAACACAGGTTCATCTTAGCACATCCACAGAAAGACATTACCATCTCGAAAATGCAATCACCATTCGCCCTCCTCACCCACGACTTGATTCTCCTCCCCAGTCCATGGGCAGGCGATATCCTGGCCTATCGTACCCTCTTCCGCAAACTCAATGCCGACGCTGACTTTTGCCGCGTCGCCTTCGGAGCCGATTTCGAGCCGCTGAAATGGACAGACGAAGAGGCCATTGACTGGTTTGTGAATAAAGACACCGCTACGAGATGGGCAGTACGCGGCATGGGCGATTTCGCCCTGGGTGTCCTGCCAACCGACGAGAAGACTGGGAAAACCGCATTCCACACCATCGAGGGCCAGCTGCTGAAGAATCCCGACGAGGAGGTGCGGAAAGTCACAGGAGACGGGTTCAAGGAGCTCGCCAAGCTTTTCGACCAGGTGCGATGGGCAGGGTACACTTGTGTCCGGGAGGCGACAGTAGACGGCTCTGATCAGCCGTTGCCTTCGTGGCTGGAGATGATTGAAGTTCGATATGGCACGGATCCCGATTTCCGCGGCCGTGGGATCGCAACCCGCGCGGAGAAGATCGTCATGGACTGGGCGGTGGAAGAGCACGGAGTCCGTCGCTTCATCGCCGAAACGCACAAGGACAATGCTCGGAGCAAGCACCTCCTTGAGAAGCTGGGCTTTGAGAAGATTGACACGAACTATTTCCAACACGAAATAGGGATCGAGTGGGCCAAAGTCGTGTCCCCTCGAGTCTAGACGAAAACCCCAAATCAGAGACAATTATTGCTAGATTTGATCTTGTGTCTGTCAACAGATGCCTAGATGTAGGCAAGATCAATTCAACCGCAGGTGGTATTACTTTGGAAGATCTCCACCACGGCACATGCTAAGCATTTAGGGGGTCCCCTTTTACTTCGTATTAAATAAATGAAATAAGATTTTCGATAATCGAGTCCCTCACATTTCTTTGATCGGCACTTGACCAGCTGCCCAAACGTAGGCAGCTTCTGCAGCGTGACAATGTGCAGGTTCGACCGCCAGCTCTCTTCAACGCATGAATCCGAAACCGCTGCGGGGTATCGAATAAGACATCATGTTGCATAGATGATTAGTCAAGCCACCTGCTTCACCTCCCAATCGACTGCTGACTGGTCACATGAAAACGCGCTTGGCAACACAAACAACACAGCTGTGGCTGTGGCGTTGGGCTGCGTGCTGAAAACTCAGCAGCTGCCAAAACAAAACATCAGAGTCATTTAACCACAGGAAGCTACATCTCCGCCTCCCGCCATGGAGGACCTTAGCCTGGAGTCGGCCATCCGGCTTGGCCATTTTGGCGAGTTCGAGCTGATGATAGACCAGCATCCGAACCTAGAGGAACCACTGTCTTTTGGTCTCCCACCGCTGTGTTACGCGCTGCGGTACAGACGTCTCGACATGGTCAGAGTCCTCCTAGACAGAGGGGCGAGAGTCAATCTAGATCTTGAGGAGTACATGCCTATCCTTGTCGCCGTCAGAGCCGGGCAAGTTGAGCCTGTCCGGTGGCTAGCTGACAAGGGCGCTCAGCTCGACGCGAGCCACCACGGCATCGTGGCCTTGAGCATCGCGATAGACGCGTCCAGCGTGGAAATTGTTCGTTTGCTGCTCGAGAGGGGGGCCGACGCCAATAAGCCGCTGCAAGTTGGAACTCCTCTCCGCGCGGCGGTCCAGAAGAGAAATCGGGAGATTGTACAGCTCTTGTTGGACGCGGGGGCCAAAATGGGATATGATAATGAAAGAAGTTTTCAGGGTCGTACGATCCTGGACATGGCCGTTGAAAGCGGCAGCGTGGAAATCACGAGCCTTCTTCTCGAACGGGGAGCAATACGAGATCTTGCAAGGCAGACGGCACATACGCCGCTCGTTGTTGCAGCTGGTAGAGGCCGTCTCGAGATAGTCAAGCTTCTTTTCCATCATGGCTGGAGCGTACAGGGCCTAGTAAAGGATGCTGTTACGCCTCTTACCACCGCCGCAGATGGTGGTCATGATCGAGTCGTGGAGTGGCTCATTTCAAACGGGGCGGAGATACATGCCACCACGAGGGGCAAAACGCCACTTCACAGAGCCGCCTTCAACGGCCATGTTCGCACTATGAGACTCTTGGCCGATGCAGGGGCCTATATTGAGCAGCAAAGTGCCGACGGGTCGTATCCTATCCACGTTGCTGTGTTGTCTCACAACTGGAAGGCTGTTAGGTTTCTGATCAAGCGGCGGGCAGACATCGAGGCAAAGGCGCCAGGGAGACGTAGCCCTCTTCAGTACGCCGCAGACGCTGGCTGTTTTAAAGCTGCAAAGTGTCTGCTCGCGCACGGTGCCAGGATAGATGGCCCCGAGCTACGAGATTACTCCCCGCTTGCCATAGCTGCCAAGGGAGGACATCTCCTCATAGTTCGGTTGCTCCTTTCCAAAGGAGCCGATGTACATGTCCGTCGCGAGAATGGCTGGACACCGCTGCATCTAGCTGCGCACGCCGGACATGTCGAGGTCGCGTACGAGCTGCTTGAGCACGGAGCAGACATTGAAGCCACCGATGACCATGGGTCCACTCCCCTCCTCTTAGCAGCTAGATACGGTCAGCTGGGCGTGCTTAACATGCTACGGGATCGTCGTGCGAATCTTCATGCTCGAGGAAAAGAAAACGAAACTTCGTTGCTCTTGGCCGCAAAGAGGGGGCGCCACCACCACATAGTCAGGCGCCTCATAACGATGGGGCTCGCTCCAAGCATCGACACTCCGAGGAATGAAGGTCTCACGCCGCTATTAGCTGCTTCTAAAGCGGGATTTTGGAAAACGGTCAAGGTCCTGCTTGAGTACGGTGCAGACATGGAGGCGAGGGGTGGGCGGGATCAGGCTACACCACTCATTGCCGCTGCACGTAGCGGGAGCATCAAAACCGTCAAGCTACTGCTGGATCACGGCGCAGAAATTGACGTCACCGATGATGGCAATTTCACCCCTTTGAACACTGCCGCAGACTCGGGCTACTTCAAAATGGCGGAGCTCCTATTGCGACGGGGGGCAAATCCAGACACACCAGACATCGGGGGCTGGACGCCGCTTTTTGCCGCCTCGTCCGCGGTTGCAGGAAACAACATGCGACTTGTAGAAAAGCTTTACCGACTTGTCCCGTTTCAGGCTCTCCCACTCGATAAGAACAACCGATCTCCGGTTTTCATTGCCGCTCTTCGGGGACACCTAGATATCATGAAGCTCTTCCTCAAGAAGAACTTGAATCTCGCCTTCACGCCGGACGTCCATGGTTCAATACCCCTCTCTGCCGCCATCCGGCATGGCCATGCACATGTCGTCATGTACTTGCTTTCCCTAAAGCAGGTATCCCTCGATGCTGCAGACCTACACGGCAAAAGCCTGCAGTATTGGCTGGATCGGCATGGAACGGATGAGATCAAGCTTTTATTCAAAGCACTAAATCAATTACAGGACAAGGTTGGCTCTCCGGGCCTCTTTAGAAGAGTCCTAAAATTATGGTTAGAGCAAATGGGAGAAAAGGATGTCAAATTCTTGATTCGCAGCATAGACCCATCCATTCTACGTGAGGAAGGGGCCCAGAAAAAGGACAAAGTCGGACCGAAAAAGGTACAGAGAGCCAATGATGGATTTGTGTCATGGTGTGATGTTTGTACTCTCAATGTCTTGGATAAACAGCCTTATTTCCTTTGTCAGATTTGCGACAATGGTAGATTTGTGGTCTGTCCAGACTGTATTTGCCATGGGGTTAGATGCTGGGACAAATCCCATGAACTGACCTTCACTACCGACGAAGATTTATCAAATACTTGATGAACTAAGATGGCTAGGATTTCAAGAGATTGTTGTGCAAGAAAAAGGTGCTTGGGGTTGGCATTGGACGTATCGTTTGCGCCAATCAATCTTCCTCCAGCGATTCAAGCGGGCTCGGAGACGGGAGTCAAAATTGATGAAATACAATTGCAGCGACTTTCCCAGTAGGGAAGGCAGTAGGTAGAGATTACAGCAAGCTTCTGGTGCCTTCGTTTCGATTAGTTTACCTACTAGGCAGACACTACCGATATAAAAAAAAGTCTATGGCGAAACCCCATTTTTTGGGAAATAGAATGGACAAACTACGTGTACTGTTTGTACGTTTCAAAATTGTTTCTAAATGTAGGTAAAAAGAGAGAATCGGTACCAGACCATCAATCAAATTTCGAGAAAGATAAAGTGTGGAATGAAGAACTAGAAAGAAACACAGCCATCAGTGCGTAGAGAGCCACTGCTGCAGTCACTTAGGAAGACCCAGCTTCAGATGAAGTCAATCCAGCTTGTCCAAGTCAATTGCTCTACTCATTGCCCCGATCTCGTTCAAATCCTATGGGACCTCTTGCGCTTCCTGGAACATGGACGGGCGGTCGGGGTATGGCGCGAAGTGGTCGAGGTCGGAGTTGCAATTGGAATAGTATCGACCGTTGACGACAGTGTGCTTGACACTGGCGTCGCTGAAGTGACTTTGTCTATCAAGGTGCTCGAGCCAGTGGGTGTTGCTGAGCTGCTGCTGGTCGTAGTGCGAGCGGGTGTTTCTGAAGCAGACGACGATTCAACAACATCAGAATCATCAACTCGGTACAACAAAGAGCCCCAGCCAAGCCCATCAAATCTTCCAGATCCTTCTCCCATAGCGCCAGAGCCAGGTTCAAAGCCGCCGTACTCCTCGAGGGTCTTGTTGAGATACGCCTTGGTCCACGGGGCATCGAGCTTCTTCACTCCGACGTAATGATGGTAGAGGAGCTCCCAAGTTGGGCGAGTGGCACCTCGCGAAGCGCTGCTCACTTCAGTATGGGTCACAATGCCATTGGTGTATTCAACAAAGGGTACGTCGTTTCCTAAATTGTATCGAGCAAAGTATTCAGCGCTATAGACGGGTTAGCGATATGCATCTTCTGGCAACGGAAGGCTAACGTACCCTTTGAGGATTCGACTATCATTGTAGGAGAACAAGTCTTCACCCTGGTTCCATGCTTGCTGGCCGATGACTGCGAGGACCTGCTGGTTCAACGCGCTGTGGCCCTGGTCGCGACCAGACTCCTGTCCTTGGCCAAGCGGACGGCCGGTCCCTGGTTCGTCGACAATGTAGACAATGGCATTGTTGATGGCGCCATTACCGGAACCATTCTTGAAGTAATTGATTGCGTAGTCCCATGCTGTTGTGTTCTCAGTGACGACAGCGATGGCCATCATGGACGCAAGGTTGCTGAGTTCCCAGTTGGCGTAGAAGTGTTTGTGATTATGCTCAGATGGGGCCTTGTGATCGAGGAAGAACTCGTTTACAGCCAAAAACTGACTTGTAAGGAATGCACCGACGGTAGATAGATCTGCCTTGGCGAATGGTTCGTAGTCGCGGAGCAGCTCTGCCGTATTCGCGAATTGATATCCTTGTAGCCCAGCTGAGAGATACCTATCATCGCCGCCATCGAAACCTTGAAATGTCTCTGCCCAGGCGAGCAATATTTTTACCGAAGCATCTGCAAAAGCAGTATCGCCAGAAATCTTCCACTGCAGAGCCAGATTGAATGCAGCAGCGGCGTCCCGCCACATGAGCTCGCCGTTCGACGGCCGATCGATCGTCTTGGAAGGGTTCGCTTGGTACGTGGAGCTGCTGTATTTGCTGGCCGCGAGCTTTTCCCAAGAGCCGTACCAAGGGTCCTGCTTGGCATCGATGTGCTTCTTGGCGCGGCTTACATCCTCGGATGTGACGAGCAAACCTGGATGAGTGAATGAGAAGACGTGTGAAACGAGCGAGAAAAGAGTGACCAAGAAAGGTACGAGCAAGGTCCTGCCGTACATTTTGAAGAAAGGAGCGACTAGATTTGGATAAAAAATACAACAGCGAAAAAGAAGGTGAAATTCCTGGATTTACCAAGAATGATAGTAGTCCGAAACATCTTTAGGAATCAAGATCAATTATAACCCAATCAATCCCACAACTTGACTGTAAAAACCGGACTGACTGCCGGTAGATGACCCGGCCGCCGTAGTGAATGAATGTCACACATCCAAGCGAAATTAAAGGGACTGCCGCTAAAAGTAGCTGATCGATTCAGGTTCAGCACAACAACTCCACCGCTCCGCCGATTTCTATCGATTGCAAAGTAATGGAAGCATCGGTCATTGGTTTGAACTACTGTACTTTGAAGACCGTTTATTGCTACATGTCTCTGTACCGTGTGGAAGGTAAAATGGCGATTTACGGTCAGTTTGGTTGGAACTCCACTGGGTGGGACAAGCGTCTCACAAGTCGTATCAGATTGTTCGTCAGATGTGTCAAATTAAACGTTTGTTCTCAATCCTTGAAGATTACATCATCTCAACCCTTCTCGGATCTGGCCCAGGGGCAGAGTATAGCTGTTGATGTTAGCAAACTAAGTATCAATTCATATCGTCGCTCACCGACGCAGCGATATTCTAAGCGCCTGGCTGTGACTACCTAATCTTATTCTAAGCGTCTAGGTGTTTACTAGCAAGCATCACCAGCAGCTACAGCCTCCCACGAACAGAAAGGTAGACTTCATCTTGCGACAGCTACGAGCACCGATCGATCCGACAAAAGAGGATTGCGAGCATCAAGCGGGTACGATCAGCTTCTGACAGCAATAAAGGGGTTTATTTGTGCGATTGTAGGGGTTCGAGCAGCCAAGCTAGGCGGACAAGGGATCGGATCCCTGTCATGTTCATGGAGGAGCCACGCTACACATCTGTCACACATTTTATAAGCGCTTTTATAAGCGCTTTCTGAAGGGATTCCGCAGGCTCGAAAAGCCGTCTTCTTTAAACAAATGAAAAGCGGTTATTCTCTCTATTTTGATCAACCCAAGGCTAAATTATAGGTAGGTAGTTAAGATGGATAAACCATTCTTAGCAGATAATTCAACTTAGATTTAATCCTCTAGATTGGTGACTTGAGCAGCTTTGCGTAGTGTTATGGCTTAGTTTTGGGGGTTATCATACGGCTAAACCATGTTCCATTGTATGCGGGCTTCGGGGCTTCATGAATAATGCCATGCAGTCAGCAATCGGCCCACGTGATTGATTTCATCTACTCCTCATTGCGTCAGCTGCCAATAAGTGGTTCACAGTGTCGTTCTCCATCAAGCATGATAATGGCGCATCGACTATACTCCCTCGTGAACCACTTGAAACTGTTGGCTCATGATACGCCGGCACATAAATCTTTCAACGGGTAGCAATGGGGAGTCAAGGCATTTACCTCGCAGCGTTGCAGTGTGAATCTCTCTTTGAACAGGATATTGCTGAGCTCCAGAGCCGACAGGACAGGCTCAACAGCAAGGCAATCATTTTAGCTGGATTTCTTCAAAACAGCCATGCCAGATTCAGTGCATGGGCTTCTTACATGGGTGTCTTTGCCGATCAAGATGTCTCGCTCGATCAACGTCTACGGATAAGCGAACTTATTCAGCAGATGGTGTTGGATATGCTTGAAGTATTACACAGCAACTTAGATCTATGTACGAAGTCCTCGAAACTTACACTATGCCTAAAATCTTCTAACGCGGGCTACGCTCTAGTAAAGGCTCTTGTGAGCCAGATGACAAGAAGCCCATTGGAACATGAGAGTTCAAAGTTGCACGGCTCAGATATACACGAGCTGGAAGATAAGATCCAAAAGGCAAAGGAGTCCATCGATGGCTCCGTCAGCCGTCTCCATCGACTGGGTGCAACAATACGCCAGTCATCTACAGCAGGTCTGGCCTCTAGGGTGAAAGCATTTACAGCCAAAAGATCGACGACCTCTTTGGAGAAAATCACGGCCCTCATTGTTTCAAATCTCCACCCTGGTGCCTCAATAGACCTCCAAAAACTACTCAGTCGCTCCATTCTCGATCGTTATTTCCGCCTAAAGTACAAACAGCAACACCAACGGCACTTATCACGGCGTAGAGCTATGCCCAAAATCGACGAAGACGATTTAGTCCTAAATACAAGAAATGAGAAAACCGTCGAGGTCCAACCCAAAGTGCTTCCCATACGGAACCTTCGTGAGTCGAAAGAACTGGCGCCATCAAAATCTCATGGAGAGCGCTCGAAACCATCAACTCTCCAAGAAAGTCAGGTTTTGAATGCTATCGGCGATACAGAAACAAGATCCGTCGCTACAAGCGCTTCTACAGTTCCAATGACAGACATTCGATATCCAAAGCCTCCGAAACCTGAAAGTCCGTGGGCAGGCCTCACTTCGTGTGACTGGTGCGCTATGGCTTTCGAAAATGCAGAATTCAAGGATCCGCGATGGTGGAGGTTTGTTTCCAACCTGGGCTCACCGCGGGCGTTCCGGTTACATCTGGTTAACGTGAAATAGGAAACACGTAGACCACGACCTGAAACCGTATATCTGTCTCGCCAAAGAGTGCTCAGATACGGAAGTGGCATTTGGCAGGTACGGTGCGTGGAGATCTCACATGAATCAGGCACATTCCACTTCATGGATCAAGGATGTTTGCATTGAGACTCAATGGAAATGTGATTTCGATGATATTATGCACCATGACGAAGAGTCTCTGAAGGCACATATGAAGGACTCCCATCAAGATCTCCTCACGGAAGAACAGATCGCTGAAGTTGCATCCTGGAGTGCGGTTCCTGTCCACCCAGATACAGAGAGGTGTCCTCTATGTCAATATTCGCCCCAAGCAGAGCCTGGTATTCCTGGTGCAAGTGATGAAGAACGAAGACCGTCCACAAGCCAGTCTGGGACCCGAGGCTCCATTCTTCGAAGACAGCGACCCGCGGGAGGCAGGCGCAAAAAGCGTCCACGGGTCCGGTTTCACGACAGTCAACCCATCAAATTGGAGGATTCAGATGCCGAGTCATCGGGAAGTACGGAAGTGGACAACGATGAAAGTTCCAAACAACCATTGAATAGCCGAATGCGCTTAGAACGCCATATATCCAGCCATCTAAAGGCACTTTCTTTTATGTCTCTGCGTCTGGACGCATTTCAGGCGAATGAAGACGGTGAGGACGATGAAGATATGGGAAGTCAGAGGTTCCTAGATGACACTAGTGGAAGCGGTGATATCAGTGGGTGGGACAGTAACATCGATGCCATGTCTCTAACATTTGAAGATGTCGGGAACAAAATTGAGCTTCCACCTGTTGATGGCATTGAATCGGATAGTGATTGGGAAAATTCAGATGCTTTGCCTGCTCTAGGCGAGATGGGAGAGCTTTCGTCGTTATTTCATCCCGGTTTTCCGCTTCGGCGATCGCCAAGATTTCAACTAGTCCCAACAGACAATGGGAAGTTCAAAGTTGTTTGGCCATGGGGGGAAGAGGACTTGGATTCTGCAGTTTATCCCCGACGATAACAAGGAGAGGGAGGGGTTCACTCCAGTGCCATATACGTCTCTCCCCAACGATTAGAGGCATCTGGCTGATGAACTGTTGCGGGCCTCGAAGCCTCCGAGAAGGCCCAATCAATTGTAAAATATATTAATTAAAAGATGGGTTGCGAGCTAAATGCGGTCCGGACTAAGCCCATAAACCATTTTAGCACAAGCCAGTCAAAGATCAGTAAAGAGTCATGACTGGAACGTTCCTAGTAAAGCATGCCAACGAGCAGCATACATATCTCAGTGTGTTCTCCGGCTCTTTAAAAATAAATCACACGCCGTGATACGGTAAATTGATATTTGCTTCTAATAGGTGGCTTTTTATGGGCCTAGTTATGTCATCCAGATCATCAAATGTGACGCTGTACATCTCCTCTCAGATAAAACCGCATCTTCATCTCTCAACACCCCTCTCCACACCCTGCATGATCCCGCGAAGCCCGCATATGACACACATACGAAGTCCTTAATGGAATTAACAGACTGAGGCATGTCAGTCAGGATATTTGACCTCGAAGAATGGCGCATATTGAAGGCCGCCCAACATTTTATGTTGAAGGCGGTTGAGAGCACTCTTGCTGACACGTCGATACCAAGCCGACCAACCGGGATCAGTGCCGACCGAATTGACAAGCTGAGATTTCTCCGTTATGAATTCATGAAACTGGCAATATCAATTGAATTCGACAAGGAGATTCAGCCCCAGGTCGCAGCCTATTTCAAGCGTGAGACCTACAAAGTATTCTCCTACCTGGAGACCGTTCTCGTCACCCAGCTGCTTTCCAGCCAACCTGCTAAGCATTATGAATTCCCTGCATTATGGGAACTGGAATACATTTTCTCGTCAAGTGAAGGAAGAGAAACCCCGACGCTAAGTGCTTTGGTGGTTCTTCCGCATCAAAACCTAGACAACTGGTTCGCCATCCTAGATAGCCTCACTGCCTTCAACAAAACAGCCGAGAATCTCTTCTGGGCTCCTCCAATGACATCAGTGCTTTCTTTGGGAGAGACTCTGCCAAACACCCTCAGTGCAGGACTTGTTCGAAAGAGCGGGGTGGAAACCACGTTGGAATGCCTCGAGGAACATTTCTCAAAGTGTCCTCGCCAGCCTGGCCATGAGCATTGTATATTGCTTCAAGCATCTCACAAGACATGGAATGCTGAAGACACCACTGATACCAGTGACGCACTGTTTCTTTCTTCCTGTGCACACCCTTCTATGTGGCAAGAAGCTGAGTGCTCACACCACGAGTCAGTACATGTTCTCCTCAAATATGTGCATCGATGTCGATGTCTTCAAACTCTGACCCTTAATTTGAGCCAGGCGTTCGGTAAATTCGGAGAACTCATATATCATCACTGATATTTGCGAATCGATAGCAGAATGTCTGCAATACAATGATCCACTTCATCTCATGACTTTGAATAATACGCTATACAAACTTGATGGAACTTGCGCTCCCGGATTAGAAGCGGGTCCAAAATGGACAATCCAATATCTACTTGATCATCAGATGTTAGTACCTTGGAGCGCGGGGGTTGAATGGTCCCCGCCGTTAAAAATACGGGATAAGAGGGAGTTGGCCTTGAATCTAGCCTGGTGTTTCGTACACTTGTTCGACTTCAAGTGGATGGAAAACGGCTGGTCTGCAGACCGAATCTATGTCCTATCTTCGACAGCCGATAATTCCGCCCCCATGGTTACTGAAATCCCTCCCTATATAACTTGTCAACAGCCGAATATGGAAGAACCCAAACTACAAGCAGATATGGGCAAACTTTTCACCGGGTCAGTTTTCTTGTCACTAGCAAAACTGTTGGTCGAGATCGAAATTGGGCGAAGCATAAGCATTGAAGAGAAGGACAAGTTTGAGAACCCCAGTTTGTGGCTGACCATTCGGAAACTTATCAAAGAAAACCAATTATCACTAGCCTGTGATGATTACATTTGGGCTATTGACGGGTGCCTTGATCTTCATAGGAACTTCGATCGGTTGGTTCAGAACAAGCCCGAATCAAGCCCAGGAGAGATCATCCATAAGAATATCGTCGCGTATCTCGAGAACGACTGGAAGAATTATCAAAGGAAAACCTTGAAAAGGCGTCGTAGTGAGCTGGGCCTTGAGGAACCACATTCTGGGGTTAAAGAGTTGAAGAAGGCAAAATTTGAAATTTGCGTGAGCTCACAAGCCCAAACTCAGGACAAAGCAATTCCTTCTACGGCTGATATCACTCCAAAGCGACTTAGGAGTCGTACCAAATCCCTGGAGGTAGATTACGAGCTCGAAAAGCGTTCAATAATTTCCAGAGGTCAGTATCAAGAGATCAACAAATTACAGGCAGGCAGGCTTATTGAAAGCTTTTGTTCTAGATTCTTTCAGTGTGGACATACACTCGCCCCCTACCTGTCGGGAAGAATTCGAAATTGCGATAATTTGCGCCCTTGGGCATGAATATACGGCTGTTGAGGATGTGATTGACCAGTTCTGGGATAACGATGGGGATAATTACGGCAAACTACAGGGCGATCCAAACCACTACACCACTGGCCGCATTGGACAACACAACATAGTTTTGGTCCTTCTACCTGAAATAGGGAAGGCAAACGCAAGCAGTGCAGCCAACAGCATACGCCTCAGCTACACCGGTGTCAAGCTTGCGCTTGTTGTTGGGATATGTGGAGCGGTGCCCAAGAACGGGGATGAGGATATCATGCTCGGCGATGTGATTATTGGTGAGAAGGTCGTTCAGCATGACTTTGGACGGAGGTATGGCGACAAATTCTATCGAAAAAGTCACAACCTTGGAAAGGCAAACAAGGAAGTCAGCAGCATCACTGGGAAATACAAGACGCCCCGGTCAAAGAGGAACGTCGAAAACCACGCTGCGGAGATACTAAAAGACCTGCAGAGTAGGACTGCGGCGCAAGGCCGTCAGGGTGAATACGATGACCCAGGGTATGCTTCAGATAGGTTATTCAAGCCCGACTATCGTCATCGGCATACGGTCTCTCCATCTTGCATCTGCGCAAGCTGTCTCAAAGATGCCGATCCTACCTGTAGCGTGGCTCTCGTTTCAACATGCAAAGAGCTTCAATGCGACGAACAGGAGATGATTCATAGGGAATCACGATCTTTACCTATCAGGACCCCAATCATACATATCGGCGCCATCGCATCTGGAGACACCGTGATGAAATCCGGGATCCAAAGGGACACCATCGCGACCGAGCTGGGCGTCATCGCTTTCGAGATGGAGGGCTGTGGTGTCTGGGAGGAGTTGCCTTGTCTTGTGATCAAAGGCGTATGCGATTATGCGGATAGCCACAAAGACAAGGTTTGGCAAAAGTTCGCTGCGGCATCTGCTGCATCGGTTGCCAAGGCAGTAATACATAGATATATCAAAACTGACAAGGCCAGTGGAGGTTCGTCTCGGGGCAGTGAGCTCTCAATGGGTGACAGGTGGGAGACCAATACGAATGGCAGTCATATTTAAGCGTTAATAATCAATTCAATCACACAAGTACAGTTAAAACCCGTCGAGCCTCTCTCTTGGTGCCTTTGCCTTGCTTCGATGTTATTGATCACTTCTGTCCAAGTTGGGATAAACAACCCGGACTGGTCTCTTCAAGCCGGCCAGCAAGCTCGGCCCATATCTTCTCTTGGAGTTGCTGTCCGTCCTTGTTGGTAACCCAATCAGGCACCCAATAGCTGATGCAGACCTGTTAGACAGCCCGAGTTGGTTTATTGATATTGTATTGGACTTACTCCTTGATCTTACAGCCAGCCAGAAGCTTTCCGTGGCTTTCTTCGTTCGCCACTGCGCCAAAAAGAATAGCGCGGCTTCCTTCTTCTGCCGTTCTAGCCATCATAGCCCGTGCAGAATTGACCCAGATCCGAGTAAATGTACGTGCGTCGTGGCCTAGCCCCGTCGAGCAGAGACCGGGAGCAGTCATGTTTATAATGACACCGGTCTGTGTTACTGGGTAGAGGCTGGCGAACTGTCGAACTGCGAACATCTCAACAAGCTTTGTGACAGCATAACTGTGAGTAGTGTAAACTATTAGCATGTTCCGCACTGATCGCAGGGGGGCTAAGCGCGTTCGTCTCACCGTTTGTCCATGTCTGCTCGTTTAGGGTCGTTAAGCCCTTCGAAGACTACACCATTGACGCTTTTATCCAGTTCTTTCTTGCTCTGGAACCCCAACGTACTGACAACGAAGACGAGTCGAGGTTTGTCATCCTTGTCGGAATACATACTACCGCTTCGCGCGAGAACTGGCATCACCAAGGCCCCGAGCAACATAGTACTGACGACATTTACGGTGACGGTAGTCTCCAGCCCCTCTGCGGTGGTCCACTTATCCACCATGAGGCCAGCGTTTGAAATGAGGCAGTCGAGCCTATCAAGTTCAGCGACCTTTTTGGCGAAGGTATGGATTGAAGAGAATGAAGCAAGGTCTAGAGGCCACACATCGATAACTCCCTTAGCTGGTGATGACTTCTCAATATCTACCTTGGCCTTCTCGCCTGCGGCCACATTCCTTACAGCCAGAATGACCCGCGCGGCCGAGGCAAGAACCAAATGCCGAGCCGTTTCTAGGCCCAGACCAGTGTTCGAGCCGGTCACAATGTAGACTTTTCCAGAACATGTCTTCTCGTTCACAGGAACGGGGAGCTTCTGATAGAGCTCTAAGCTGGCTTGCAGAGTCGACATTGTGTAACCGCGGGACGAAGAAAAGAAGAGAAGGAAGGAAAGAATTTCAGTGGTGAGATGCTGTTGATGATTGGGACAAATGCTTCAGACGAGAAGGGGAGCTTTATAGCTTTTATAAAATCCTTATTTCATGTCATTTAGTCGTCCGGACATCCCTATCCCTTTGCTTGAAGTGTGACAGGGTTGCATCACTGGAGCAAGGGTATCGTAGGGCCAATGAGAGACTTATTTCCAAATCCGTAAAGCCAACTCCAATCTCACCAAGCCAAAAAGAGTGCGTAGTTACAGTCCGAGACTCCGAATGAATTCATTAGCTAAATAGGATGCCGTATGTTATCTGGAAATAAGTTGCTGGTGGGAAAAGAACATCTCTGAGTCTCAACTTGGACGAGTATAGCGAGTTTCCATAGTATCTATCAGTAAACGATTGACAATTATGATTTATACAATGTGCACGAGGCGAGATGTGCAGGACTGACCGGCTTCGGCGGTGCCGTCCGGCCGGAAAATCAGGAGGAGCAGTGAGGTCAACATGAAGCGACTGAATCAAGATTCCAGAATTTGGAAATTGATCGACTATTCTGAGATTCGCTATGCACAGTCCTCGTTGCCTGGGGCCTCGTTATCCTCAACTTGCACCATACAAGGTCTTGACTAGCATCCTTCGCAAACCGTCAAGTAGCTCGGAGCTGAAATATCTATCATGGATGTCGGACTTGAATTCCTGGTGATGCTTTACGTAACGTTCCGAAGGTCGCTCAGCGGGCGGTCCGAGGTACGTGGCATCCTCGACAGCCCATTGGAGATATTTCCATGTGAGGCGCCAGGCCTTGTCACTGAACGAAATGTACATGCTCTGCGGGTGCTTGAAGTCTTCAAGACCTATCTCCAAGGCCTTCACCGCGCAAGCTCGCGCATCGGACAGCAGCTGGAGGACGCCTTCAGTTCCCCGCCACGCGGGATAGGATTGTCGTGCTAGATTCCGAGCCGTGTATGAATCATCGATCCACTCGGGCTCGATGTTGAGCGGCTGTTCTACAGCAAAGAGCTCGGATAGGAAATACTCGCTCCCCCCAAATAAGAGAGGACCGAAGTCGCGGACGGCGTGTATTCTCTTCTGCTGCGTCTTCAGGAGGGTCTGGGTGGATTCCTTGTAGAGATGGGCCGACAGCGGGCTCCGGACCACATTCTGCTCTATAACGTTCTGAAGTTCAACAGGCAGAGGAGTCCGAGAGAGAACCTTCCGGGCTTTGATCACATTGATCACATCAACCAGAAGTTTCAGTCTTAGCAGCAAAGAAGCCACCGTATGCTCAAAACTGGGTATTTTGCCGAGGATACTCTCTGCGCTCCCGAAGATATCAGTCCCTTCGAAAATCTCCCGGGGGTCGACTAAGCACCCCTTGATGAAGTCACAGCTTTCCTGGTCGAGGTCCAAGCACATCATGGTGTTGGGGACAATCCACGAGACGCGATTTTCGTCGTATCTATCTAACCTCAACATGTCCTGCATGTGCCGGAGGGCCACCCGGGTACTGTCGAGCGTGCCCAGCATATAGAGATGTTTCACCGCAAAGTTGTATCGGGCCTTCATGTACTTCTTTGTGCCTGGGAGGCGCCAGAAGTCGCCCTCGTCGTTCTCGAAGATATTCTCCAGCATGTCTCCATCCGCCGGGAGGTTGCGGACAAGTGCTGCCTCCTTGCCCAGCTTGACGCGAGCCTTCCTAAGGCGGTTGCAGGTGGATTTGTGGCTAGGAAGGTCGGCTTTCAGGTGCTCTATGTCGCAATAGCGCACTGCAAGACAGCCACGGCATCGTAGAAGCTTCTTTCCTGCTCCCACGGCGTTGCACTTTTGACAGCGGTGGACGAGGGGTCCGACGGGAGCGGTGTCACACATAGTTCATGTATATATTGCGATGATCAAAGGAAGGCTACTTTGGTGGAAAGTGGATATAGAAACCAGAAGAGCTGGTTGACTACATAAGCATATACTCGCAGTAAGGGGTTGCGAGATGGACTGATCCGGGACTAATTAGACAGAAGTCTGGGCCAGCGACCACGTGACACGATGCAATTTTTCACAGGTCCGTGACATTCGCTAGCGAGATGCATGCTCCTTATTTTTGTCTTAAATCAAAGGCCAAAAGGGAAATACTTTAGCTCATCCTAGGCAGGGGGTTCGCGGAGTCGGGGAAACCATTCAAGTGCCCCATCTTGGGAAATATGGAGTGAGTCACTCTGTCAGCATAGGTAATTTAACTTGTAGTCACTACGGCACAATTGATGAAACTCTCACTTTAACTTCCCAAAGCTTGAGGGTTGACGGAAAGTGATGCTCCTTGCTTGCGCCTGACATTCGGCCACCATGGAGCCAAGATACGAGACTGCGAACAGTGATGCCCAGGTCGGAGGCCAAAACCCCTCTTTACTCACCGACCTTCCAATTGATATTCTAGTCTATCTGCTCGATAACTTTCTACGTCTCGGAGAGTGGAGGAAAGACAAGTTAGAATGGGACGAGCCCTGGGGGGCGCATGCTGCAAATGAAAGCTTCCAAACCATTCAAAGCCTACGCCAAGTATGTCGCCTATTCCACGACCTGGTATCGCCGCTCTTGTGCAAGAGACTACGTATCCATCTCGATCCACATTCATTGGACCAGGCTCGCGGTATATTGAGGAATCGACTCATCGCCTCTGGAGTGAGGGGCGTCCAAATCGCAATCCCGTACCGGCCCAAGGAGTTTGCTTTTAATCTATCCTCGTTCGTTAGTGTCCGACTTAAAGAACGAACACAACTGTACGATTACATCATGTATATTCTAGACGCACGATGGATAGACGGTGATCCATATGGGAGTGAAGACGATTCGCAAGACGAGGAGTCATTCACACGCGAGAGGAAAAATTATCATGATATTCTGTTTACTTGGCGACCTCACGAGAGTAGTAACGATCAAGATGGAGACGACCCTGAGACGGCAAATTATTTTGTGTACAAGATTGAGCCTGCAGTGCGTGACGAGTATCAACAGATTCTACTCCAAGGTCACGAAATCTTCAGAGAACGACACGAAGCCCAACAGAAACTTATCGAGACTGGGCTTTTCGTGGAGACTATCGCAGATTTGATTCGCCAAATACCAAACACGGTGTCTTTGAGCGTGGTGGATAGGTTCGCATTCAAGCCTCACCAGAGGAGGGACATGTCCTTGCTCCTAAATAAAGAAGAGCTCTTACCGTTTTTGACCTCCCCATTCAACTGGTCGGAACTTGGGAACATGCCAGATCCACCACAACTTGTTCCAGCTCGAATCTTGACTGAGCTCCCAATCGCCATCCACAAATCAGGGCGGAGTCTACGGCATCTCCATATCGGCTGCCTCCCAGTCCAGCACGGCTTCGAGCACCTTGATCCAGGTACAGATGACTTTTCATGGGCCCAACTACGGGAAGCATGTCAGCAGCTGGAGGTGTTTGATCTTGAGGGCCCTCAGATGCATCATCTTCCCAGTCGGCCAGAAAGTATCCCTCTTTCTAGTAGGCAGTTCCTCGTGGAGTTCTTTGGCGCAATCCTTTCCGGTAACAAGCTTCAGGACGTCCGTCTCAGTTTCTACTGTCTTGGTGTGAACGATGGCAGAACTAACAGGAGAGAATGGTGTCCCTTGGGTGCCATCTTTCGAAACATATCCTGGCCGAGCATTCAAAAGGCCCGGATCTCGGATATAGGTTTCTCACAAGACGAGCTTGACCAACTTTTCATAGGCTTTGGCTTTGGTCTTGAGAGTCTGGCTTTAGTCTCCTTTCAGTTGAGAAGTGGGAGCTGGATAGACGCCGTAGACATACTACACGAGAAAGTTGCTGTCCGATACGCAACCCAAGAGTTCTTCTTTCACTTTGCGGACATGACGGGGGGTGAATTCGGGGGAGGAAAGAAGACGGTGGATATCACTACGGCTCTGATGATGGGTTATACCGAGGACGAGGCCTCTGAGAGTACGGCGCCGATGGGGAGAAAAGCAAGAAAGAAAGCGAGGAAATTTGGCAAGGGGAGCCCGAGTCTTCTTGATCTTGCAAAACAGTATATTACGGGCGAGGGAGTGAGATATAACCCTCTACGGCCGGCCACATAAGTTGGTCACCAGTAAAATTTATTTCTCAAACGATCCCAACCTTGACTTCGAATTTCGGCATTTCCCTTTTTCACTTTCAATCAATTGAACCTTTGGCTCCGGCTGTCGCGTGACACTTATCCGATTTGGCTCCGTCTACCGGCTGTAACGGCACAAAGGTCACCGGGATTGGAGAACTAGCAGCTGTAACCCGATACGAGGGACGATATCAAAGCTTAGATCTACCGATTATTTACCCTCACGGTTAGAGATGGCACTGGGTGCTCCGAGTCCGGAACCATCATCGGAGGATGACGTGACAGCAGTGGTGGGGTTTGCATCAGGATGAGGAACTTCTGATGCATTTATATTAAAGAAATCAGTCGAGCCTTCACTCTCCAACTTCTCCGCATCATTGTTCACGAGTATCTGACGAAGCAGTCCATCATGACGATGCAGCCAGCCGTCCAATTGAGAGATCTCTCTCCCGCTGCGGTCCGGGAGCTCGACTCCTCCAACACCGTGCACGATGCATTTGAAGCCAGCCAAGATGAAGGATTAGCTTCAAGAGCGAGAGAGTCAAATCGCCAAAAAGCTCTCGTAATCTTGGGCACCGCCATCTCGCAGCTGCCAATCTGGGGTGAATGACACCAGTCGCGAACTCGCCTGGGTTCTACTAACATTTGATACATTCAGGCTTTGCGATGAGCTATGGTGTTTTCCAGGAATACTTCTCCGGCAACTGGACCCTGCAAGGCAGCCGAGACGTGACCGGTATCATTGGCACGACTTCCAATGGAGTCATGTACCTGTCCATGCCCTTCTTGTTCGCCCTGTTCACCAAACACTGGGCTCATTGGCGACAAACCGCCGCCTTTGCTGGCGCCGTGCTCGCCGGTCTCGGGTTTCTGTTATCATCCTTCAGCACCCACGTCTGGCATCTCGTAGCTACCCAAGGTGTCATCGCTGCTCTGGGATGCGCCCTCATGTACAGCCCCATGACGCTGTCTCTCGGAGAGTGGTTCACCACCGGCAACAGGGCCCTCGCGTACGGCGTCGCTCTCTCCTGCAAGAACATCTCCGGATCCGCCTGCCCGTTCCTCTTCCGTTTCCTCCTCGAGCAGTACGGCCTCGGCACCACTATGAGAATATGGACGGCAGTGGCCGCCGTCTCCGGTGCCGTTTCCATCTTCCTCGTCCCGGCGCATCCATCCAGCTTGACGGCTACAGAAACGCACCGCGCGCGGAGAATGCCGCTGCACTTCCTCAAGCACAGGACCATCTACGTGTACGCCATCGCCATCGCGCTGCAGAGCTCGGGGTACGGCATCTCCCAGACCTACCTCAACACGTACGCGCACGACTTCACCATGCTCTCCCAGAACTCTGCCACCCTGCTCCTCACGCTGTACAACATCCCCGGGATTCTCGCGTCGTCTTTCTTCGGGTACCTCGCCGATACCAACAAGCGATTCGTCCTCTCCACGACGACCGTCACGGCGATATCAGCATTTGGCTCCGCCTTGTCGGCGCTCCTCTTCTGGGGTCTGACGAGCAAGGGTAACATGGCCCTCCTGGCCGTGTTTTCCATCACCTTTGGCTTCTTCGCAGGCGGGTATAGCGCGACTTGGGGCGGGATCATCACTGATTTCGAGCGCGAGGCCGCCAATGGGAACGAGGCCATCGACTCAGGGCTGATGTACGGCTTGCTGAACGGGGCACGGGGCGTGGGCTACGTGAGCGGTGGGCTGGCCAGTGTGTCACTGCTCAAGGCCGGGACCGGCATGGCGCTCTCATCAAATGGGCATTTCGGCTTAGAGAGCGCGTATGGGCCGCTGATTATCTTCACGGGGCTTTCATCCGCCTTTGGCGGCTGGGCCGTGTTTTGGAAGTGAGCTGTATTCATCATTATAAGGTAAGTTTACATTTTGGGTATAGATCAATTACTATGTATTGTATTTGGAAGATAATCATGTCGTACCTACTTTGCGCTACTTATGTAGACAGCCCCCATGCCATCGTCGATGTCAAAATGCTATCGAATGAGGGTGCTTACAGAGGGTTCAGCATCCCTCAGTCACAATCCCAGATTTTGGCTTGTAGAATGGGATCACCCAAAGAGTTGAAAAAACAGGATATACCCAACATTTATTGAATATATTGGAAAATTTATCTTAGACCCTCGCTCCTCGGGTACACTGGTGGAAGAATCATGGTGGTGTAGGGTAGGCAGGAAACTCCGTATCAATTGAACATCCGCTTATCTAATTGGGAAATATTCTGAAGCCGAGGCACAAGCGCGTTTTCGATTTCGCCATCTCAATTGACGCATGCAGTCGCGTCGACAATCGACAACCGAGCCTCACATGGGCGCGAACCTGACGAAGATGCGCTCCCGAGCGCTAGGCACACATACCCTTCCCCCCCCATAATTTGCGGCATCCGGTGTCTCCAAGCCCATTTCGGCGCCAGTGCAGCAACTGGTTCCAGCCTCGACCAATGCGATTCGAAACGAGCGAACGAGCGTCGATCCAGCGAGCTATAACCCCTTCCATATGTCGGTCACACCCCCGGCCAGCTACACGAGCGTAGTAACGGCAAAGGCGTGTGCATCTCTTGTCGCTTGGGAGCAACTGGAGGCCAACCTCAGATGCTGCTACGGCGTATGCTTTTCGACTGACGATCGAGACGTTCCGAGCGGAGTGGCTATAAAATGTTAAAATTCGAATGTGTAAGGTGTGCCTAAGCGTAGTTAAGGAGCCCGATAAATTTGGATTCCAATGCATGACGTGCCTCTGGGGAGTGTTTGCACATGAACTACCCCTAGAAGTATTTGATCGTTGGACCTCCCTCTATCATCCTAGCAGTGACGGGTATACATGTACCGAGTCATAAGGCCGCCGTCAGATGTAGATATTTCCAACTATACTATGGTTCACTTCCTTCTTAAGCTTGCTTCTTCAAGCCATATGCAAGCTCCGAATTCCTTGAAGCTTGTAGTTCCACTGGCCTTTTTACTGACTTGACGGTATCTTTTGTAGATGGAAGTTCTTTCATTCACCCGCCCAGTAGTTAGACTCGCTCAAAGTTTAGCGATAGACGGATCACAAATAATGAGACGCTCTAGTCATTCTATATGTGAACAGATTAGTAGAGCCTTGTAAAATATACTTATAGGGTAGGATAGAATGGAGAATAGGAATCCTATCATAGGGTATGAGGGAGCAGCCATCTCAAGGAAGCAAAAGCATGAGGAGTATTTGCTGACTGCCTGAAGCATCTCGTTGGTTTATTGTACATTTGAACAAGCCTTGTTGTGCGTGTCTGCGTAGGAACTGTAAGGAGTCTCTTGTCAGTTTTTGACTCTGCCGGAACTGAGTGAGTTTCTGTATCTCTTTGATGGCATTTGTTAATTTGATTTAGAAACGCTTGGTTTATATTATGATATTCGGATCATATTTTCGATTGCTTATCAAGACTATTCCTCGCAATGTATTTCTCAGACCAGTTGTTTCCCAAGCCAGCCATCGTTTCTCTTCTCGGACCGACATTTCAGCGTTAAGCTTCAATAAGTGGTATCATAAGGCCATTCAAAAGATCCTTATATCATCTATCATAGTTCAAAATGGATCACTCTTTTGCGTGAATCCTCCCGAACCCTAAAGCGCGCGACTCGTCTACAAGTGGCAGAAATAGAGTATTTCGAAATCCCAGCATTGAAAGTACATAATACTATATGACGAAGTTGGCCACTTGAATGGCGATTCCTACATCCAACAATACATAAACTGGGCAAATTGGAGACCATGGATCATTGACTTGTGCGAGATATTATTTTGTTGATTAGCGATTACTAGGTTTTGCCGCGCCCCTCATCACGAGGTCACCAGGACCATAAATTGAGTTTCACAGGTGTGGGAGAAAAAAAAAACACATGACTTTGAATTTAAATTCAATCATTCTACAATATTAGCAACGCGCCCGCGACTGATAATAACACAGCACAGGTCCCCGCGGCCGAGGGCGGGATGACGGCCGCCACGCCGCCCGTGTCGCTGCTCGAGCTCGACGTCGACGACGGCGAGGCCGAGCTGGTGGTGCTCGTCTCCGTGTCGTCGCCGTCGGTCGTGCTATTGATCTCCTTTAGGGACGGGCAACCCTTGGTGTCGCCCGTCCCCGTGATGTTGGCCTTGACGCAGGCCCAGGAGCTGGCGGACAGCTTGGCCTGGCAGGGGTCGGGGAAGGACGACTTGGAGATCTTGATGTAGGGGCACGAGGCCATGATGTCGTTGCTGGGCTCGGCGGCCTCGATGGTGACCTGGGACTGGCCGGTGGGGCAGTCCTTGGTGAGGTCGAGCTGGGCCCCGTCGTCGGCGAGGGTGAAGCCGATGGAGCCGTTGGCGATGCTGGCCGCGGGGTCGATGGTGATCTGGACGTCCTGCTCGCGGCACGACCGCATGCTCCAGTGCCAGCTGAAGAGGTAGGGGCCGCTGGGGAGGCTGGTCTTGCTGCCCGCGCTGCCGGCGGGGTACCAGATGTTGTTGGTGGCGTTGATGGGCTTGTGGGTGGACGCATCCTCCTTGATGGAGCCCGAGGCGAGGGCCTGCTTGGGCTTGGAGTTGCTGCCGACGGGCGCGATCTCCCAGTTGATGGTGAAGCCGTACTGGAAGGCGACGGCGGCGTTGTGCAGGGCGAAGACGACCGGGAAGTCGGTCTCGTTCTTGTAGGTGCTGTTGCCGGGGAAGGCAACGTCGAGCGTGATGTTCCAGTTGGGCATGGAGCCGCCCCAGGCGGAGCCAGCCGCCAGGAGGACCAGCGCTGGTAGCCTCATCTGGGAGGGGGATATGTGATGTGAGATGAGTGAGGGTTTGGGGGTGCTGCACGCGCGCGCCGGCTGCGTGGGCGGAAAGTGCGGATCTGGAGGGCCTGTTCGCTCCGTCACCGAGGGTCACTCGTCTCCTCTCCTCTCGTCTCTCTCTCTCTGTGGCTGTATTTCTGCCGTTGGTGCTGTGCTGCCTCAGATGACCGTTTGGCCCAGTTTCACCCCGATTGATGGTCACGTGACCAGGCGTTTGATGGGCGAGCTGGAGCGAGGATTCAAGTTGTCTCAAAAAGAAAGAGACAAAAGCCGCAGGGGTTGATGCGACGGATTAATGGAGTGCTGAAGCGCCGGGAAATAGGGGAGAATGCGCTGGCGGATGCACTCTCAGCTGAGCTCAGGCGCTGGTGCTAGCGGTTGTGGTTGGTGGAAGTGCGCTGTGGGTTTGGAGGTGGCGGCTGATTCAGCGGCTGGGCCCAGTTTGCAGACGCGCGACTGGCGATGGGATGGGTGGTGGCGAATTTGCAGTGCGCTCCCCTCAGCCGCTTTCGGTCTCGTAGTCTGTCTGGGATCGGTGTCTGTCCGTCCTGACGGTCCTGCGCTGTGCTGTCTGGTTCAGGGTCTCCGGCGCGCTGGATCTGATGCGTCGCTGCAGTGTCCGATCCGCGATCGTGGCTGTGCCTTGTCTGCCTTTGCGGGTGCCTCGAGGGTCGTAGTGAGTGGGAGGGAATGGGTTGGCTGCCGCAGTGTGCACAGGATCGCTCCAGTATTTGATTTATTATTAGGGGGGACTGTTCGCCCAGCTGCCCAGGGCCGCATAAATAATTTGCATGGAGTGGTGAGGAGCGGGCCGCGTAAGACGTACGTATGTACTTCGATCTTGGTGGAGATTTGGTGGCCCACGAGGTAGCACGCCAAGCGAGACAAAACGAGACAAACGCCAGAATTCAGAATGCCTTGAAACCGCTGGCTTTCTTGGCTGGTGGCCCTGCATGACGTACGGACCAGCTTGGCCCGCGGCGGTTTAATCTCTGCGGCCTCTCCCATGCATTCCCGTCAGCAGCCAAGGCCTTGTCTCCTCAACCCCCTCCCAGCAGCATCGCGACGCCAAGTGCTGCCAATGCATCGGCACTCCATGCGTCTAGCCTGTCTATACGCTCGCTATAGCCTATAGCCGTAGCCGTTGGCGTCTTGCGTCTGTGCCACCCTCGGCTTGTGACTCGTGGAGGCGGCCGACCAGTTCATCATGTCGTCCGTCGTCCCATATTAACGCTCTATTTCTTCCCTTCGCGGACACAGGACTACGTATGCGCAATATCGCCAATCTACACATCTACCGGCTACGAAACGGACGACGGACGGCTTGATGTACGCTCTCCCCCGTGGCACTGTGCCCAGCGACCAGCAGCCGCTGCCCGTTTCAACGGCAATTCCCCCCTCCGGGTCTGGACTCTTGGGATTTAGGGAAACCGGCAAGATCGGGTGAGCGATGCCGACGCCAGCAAAGTATCGTCGGGAGTGCGGCACGCTCCAATTACTCGCGTATAGCGCACACGATGGGAAGCTGTCTGTGGTCTGGACAATCGCTTGACCCTGAGCAGCCAAGGATGGCTACTCGGTTCTCAATGATGTGATCAAACGGCCGCGACAGTTCGTGATCTGATGCCCAGCTGGATTACCACCCCCAGCACCGCCAAGCTCCTAATCAAACGCATCCCTTCTCCCACTGGCCAAAGTCACATGCTCCAGCTCCCATTGTCCTTGGCTATTGTCCGCTATTGTCCACCTGGAGAATTCCCGGGCCGCGTCATCACTCCGAGCACCCAACTTTAGCACACCACTTGGCAGACCGGGATGGGCGTACATGTGTGTAGGGAGAAACCAGAATGCATGCGCTCAAACAGATGCGTGACAAGTACCAGCCCTGTCGCAGACGGAAGCAACAGAATGGCGTAGGGCGGTCAGCGACTGACGGGCCACCCATCAATCGGACATTTGTATTGATTGATATGGTTCTTCACCGTCAACCAGGTTGAGGGCTTGGCCTTGGCACGTAATACCAATGGAAATTGCATTATAGGGCTGAAGCTAACGACACTACCTGGACCCTGGTTCCATCGCGGGCGCCTCGGGACCGGCAGAATTAGGTGAGACTTCGGTGAACTGCTAATCAGTAGGATTAAATGAAACTCAAAGAAGGTTGAAGTCAACCCCCCGAGTCGCAAGAAGCCAATTGACCAATTGGGAAAACTCCCACACTTCAATAGGCGTAGATTGTAAGCCCTTTAGCCATTAGGTGTCGTAAAGAACTCAGCATTAGACGTTTGCTATCATTAGGTATCATTATCATTATTCATACATGGATCGTTAATTCTTCTTCGGCGCAGGCCCAATACCTCGACCGTCCCCTTGCGACGGCTTCTCCTCTTAGTTGGCATCGCCATTAAAGGTTGCCAGGCGCAACCTCCTTACTGATGCTTTCCTCTGTCAGTTGAAGTTGGTCGTTGAAGTTCGTGCCGTGAAAATGTCCCTGCCGGTTCGGTGCTCGGCTTGGACCTGCGAAGGACTGGGTTGTTGTCCTGGGCTGTTCCTCCGCTTCGAATGAGTCGCGACAAGCACCGCCGTGAGCCTTATTGCCTTCAGATGGGCGGTCGATGCGAGGGGTGTCATCATCAGAACAGTGTGGTCGTGAGTCGCCGAGGAGAGGCTCTGCTCGCCCCTCCATTTGCGCGGCGGCTTGTTCTTCCTCCTCCTCCTCCGGCTCCTCGTGAGCCCATTCCACCCCAGGCTCGCTGCCGTGTTTCTTATCCCCGAGGTTCTTCTCAATCCAGGAATGCTTGGCGCTTGCGTACACCTGCTCTGCCAATTCGTGTCCCTCTATGTCTGGGTGTTCGATATCACCAATTGTCTCTCCAATGCCTTGCTCTCGTCATTCGTTCTTGGTATTGTTTTCGGCAATGGCCATAGAAATGTGTATTTCGAGGTCGTAAGGGAGGAGGTCGTCGCGCCGCGCAGCCCTATACTGATTGGCAAGCAGTTGGCTCTCGCGAATTAGAAAGATCTCGGACGGGCTGCTTGGTTTTCCATCATTGACGGGCGTGGGCGGCCACAGTTTCTCGAAGACTTGGGGGTAGGGTCGTACGCGAGCGGTAGAGCGAGGGATCGTATCGCTTTTGGGAGGCTGATCGGTCGGTTCGCTCAGACATACCGGATCTCGTGGCGGCGGCAGAGCGGATTTGGAGGGAAGAGCAGCAGGTCGTGGATGGCTTTTCGAAGGAGAGGCCATTGTGGGCGGAGAGGGGCAGAAGTGTTGCTTGAGGTTTCTTGTGGCTAGCGACCGAGCAAGACTTCGAGGGAGAGGGAAAAGCAGAGAGACATTGAAAGAAGTTCAGAGCGAAAGAAAGAAGAGCAGAGGAGAGAAGAGAGAGTGGAGGGCGCGAGGAGGGAGAACGAACGTAGGTGAGAGTTGGGTGAGCAGGCGAAAATGAGTTTCTCTCAAATGCGCTGGTGCAAATAACTGCCAGTGCTGATTAGGTGATGATGTAATGGAGCGATAGAGGCACTACCGCCGGGGTCCAGGGGTCTTGGCCCCTAAAAACCCTGCCGTGAGCGGCAAAGCGGGTCCTCCTACAATTGAAACCAACTCTGGGGAGCTGTTCCATAGGTATTGAATTGGATTTCACCCACCTGCCTTCATTGCGTAGATGAGCTCCGAATCCAACGCTGCTTGGTAGAACCATGTGCACTGGCCGGTTATTGAGGATGCTTCGCCGCTCCGCCCGTGGACTTCTTGTACGTGAATGGGTAGATTACATCCACTGTGTACATGTACCATGCAGAATTTGGTCATCTTCTGTGACACCGACACGTCAATAGTCGGCTGCAGACGAGTTTTCCCCAAGAAAGAGACCTTTATTTCCAAAAATGCAGACTTGGTTACTCGTCGTAACTGTAGCGGTAGTGCTGTATGTGGATAGGTTCCTCCCCAAGCCCAACGATGGTGGTGCTCTTTCTATCAAAGATTCAATACCCAAGATCGCTCTCATGTAACAGCATCCCCCTTGGGTGGATGAACTCATTGACTATAAGACTCGGAGTGCCAAGCACAAGGTTTCACCTGACAGTGTGAATGTTCCCATAAACACCCAATAGACCACATTGGACAAGTGCTGAAGCCGCAGACAGAGTTACAATGACTGTGACTAGGGTATTGACAAAGGTGACAACAACTGACCTGATCGGAGATGATCTATTCTTGTGTTGACTTGGGGCCGGGCTCCATGCTGGACAGATGTAGGATAAATGGAGCGCTGGGGAACAAAGATACAGTTTGGAATGATTCAAGGCAACCCTGAGAAGCGTGATTCCCATATAGGGTAGGGGAGTTGGTTGTGCTGAGGAATGTCAAGCCCGTTGTCTGAGTTGTGGACTTGGATGACTGAAGCGAGAGAACTGCGACTAGGTCTATACCGGAAAAGGTTGCCTCGGAAAGTCATTTTCAGGATACCATGGTAGGTACCCTTCTGAACTGGACAAGGAGTGGTTCCCTTGTCTATCATCTCCGAACTCGGTATGCTAATGGAGTCACAACTTGATAGTAAATATGATCTCTTGAGAACCAAGGGATTCCGTCGTTACGTGCACCCGAGTAGCGGTGAATAAGGTGATGAGTTGTGGGACGAAATTGCTCATGCGCATATTTGACGTCCCTTAGTTCAAGCGCCAAAGTGACAGTCTGTCATGAAACACTATATTTAGTGAATCCAAGGCTTAGCAGACGACTACTAGGAACATATGGCGCCCGGTAAATTAAACCGCTCCTCTCCTTGGGTGTATGGTGCGAAGCCGGCGGCATGAAGGATTTAGAGGTTGATCTAGAGACATAAAGTTATAGCGGCATACGAATTGGTCGGGTGTTGACGAATAGAGTTGGATCTCCATTGACGCATGGCCAAAGCTTGCTTCCAAGTAGTAAATAAACATAAGATTGTATTTAACAAGAAATGGACGATGCTCCGCTTTCGCTCTGGTGTGAATCATCCTTAAATCCGTGTCCCCGCCCTTTGAGTCAACCAACGCTGATGCAACCTCGTCTAATATACCTTGCGAATTGATTCAGGAACTATATCCTGGACATTGTTAAAAGCTCGGGTTGCTCTTTTTTAGAGAATAATTTAACTCTCGCCATCCTCAACAGAGAGAGAAGAAACCGAGCACCCGGGATTCAAGTCGCGAGCTTCTTACTGCCCTCAGTTCCTTCTGAGCAAATTATACAAAGCTTGCCTGACATTCCAAGGTTTGAAGTAGTGAAACTTCGCATCAAAATGGCAACTCAAACGGAACTCCCCTTTGTCACACTAGATGTCTTTACATCTACCCGGTTCAAGGGCAACCCGCTGGCCGTTGTCACAATTCCTGCTGGCACGAAGCCATACCCTACACAGGAACAGAAGCAGACCATCGCACGCGAGTTCAACCTCAGCGAGACAGTCTTCATCCATGAGGAGCACCCCGACGTCGACCCAAAGGACAAGTCCACCCGTCGCATTGATATCTTCATCACCACTGCCGAGCTTCCATTCGCTGGCCATCCAACCATTGGCGCCGCCGTCTCCCTCCTGGACAAAGGTGTTACTACACTGATCACAAAGGCCGGCCCTATCCCCCTCCAGCAGCCAGAACCAAACACCATCCAGGCCGCTATCCCCTTTAATGTCCATCTTCACAAGAAGACGCTCAGTGCCCTCTCAGCTGACAAGCCCAACTTCTTCGCCCCCGGAGATCTTTCCGTGGTCCCTGAAATCCAAGCTGCTGAACTCGCCGCCCCCATTTTTAGCATCGTCAATGGAATGGCCTTCATTCTCATCGAGCTTCCCACCGTCGAGCTTCTCTCCAAGGTGACCGGCAGCGCCACCTCCTTCCCCGTGGACCAGACTCTCGACTCAGGCTGGCGGGGGGGATTCCTCGGGCGCTACTACTTCGTGCGCCTCAGCCAGGGGCCGGACACCGTGGCCATCCGCTCGCGCATGATCGAGAAGAGCTTCGAGGACCCCGCTACTGGGAGCGCGGCCTGCGCTCTTTCGTCGTACCTGACTCTTGCCGCGGGGGATGCGGAGCCCAATCAGACGGTTCGGTATGAGATCACGCAGGGAGTCGAGATTGACCGCGAGAGCAACATTCTTGTCACTATCGGCACCAAGGAGGGCAAGATTGACCAGGTCAGTTTGGCTGGAACGGCTATTCAGGTTATGCGAGGACATGTGACTCTCTAAGCTTGGTGAAAGCAAATTAGATGAAATCCATTGCTCAGCTATTCTCTCGTATGCTGGGATCAATGGGCCTGGATCGAGCAGGAAATAGATTTACAGCATAGGTTACTCCATGTCAATTAGTTTAGGACTCGTTAGTTAATTGGAAGTACGACGGAGTGCGTGCGCAACAATTGCGATGCGGGTTTTGCATGTGTACCTGTGATGACGTGAGTTTCGTCGTAAATTATGAGTGATTTCCATTTCAATCATCCCCGACGAATAATCGACAGGGAAAATACCATCATGTCAATTGGAATAGGCTTCCACTGACATAGGCATGTCAAGGCTTTCAATATTATTGATGAAATTGGCGCACCAGCAGGATCCGGCGAAGATGTGCTAATGAGCGCGGGGCTCGGGTTGATGTTAAGGCGAGGCTCATGCTTAAAATCAATCGACTTGCACTCTTTCGTGATATACGCGAATCTTTCAAGTCACTCTACTATACATTCATTTCTGACCTGCACGATGTCAACAGCAAAGATACTCGGCGCTGACCAGAGCTGGCCATTGTGGGAGGAGAGCTCGCTTGAAGGGGCCTTTGAGCTGGACCTCCCTGGAGGTGTCATAGACAATGGTGTTGTTACGAAAGTCGACCGGCCTTTTCTGTTTGGCTACACCCCGGCGAAAAGCAATGGTCGCGGCGTGCTGATTCTCGGAGGCGGAGGCTACGTTCAGCTCATGGTCGGCCGGGAGGGTGTCGCGGTTGCGAAATGGCTCAACAGCCTGGGGTTCCACGCCTTTGTTCTTGTCCACCGGTTCCCCAATTCCCAGGCGGGCGTTCAAGCGCCCCTCGACGATGCCAGGCGAGCGTGTAAGCTCATAAAGGAAAGTGGTCTCGCGCCCAAGGGACTGGGGATCTGCGGTCTATCCTCTGGCGGCCATCTTGGTGCGGCTCTCCTTGCTGAGCATCCTCAAGCATGGGTCTCCCCCGACCTAGGGTCTGTGGGAGCTCAGTTTGCCATTATCGGGTATGGTCCAATCTCGACCAACGCCGTGGGTCGGCAGATCGTGGCGGACAAGCCGCCGCTTCCGCCAGCAGAGAAGCAAGCGTTTTATGATGCAGTGCAGCCGGATGTTCAACTGGAATCGCCGGCCCCTCCGTCCTTCATCGTCTACTCCAACAACGATCCGGTTGTGCCAGTCGTCAACGCGTATCGGTTGGCCGAGGGCATAACGAAGAGCGGGGGATCTGTCGAGCTTCACATATTTGCGGATGCGCCTCACGGCTTTGGGATTGACACAAAGGACCTGCCCGTTTCCAGCTGGCCGTCGATGTGTGAAGCATGGCTGCGGCAGCATGGATGGATTGGATAGTGGTAGATGGGATCTAGCACTGGCCTCGGAGCGACGCAGTTGGTTATTTTCGGTCGTGCCATCGCGGGCGTTGGAGAGAACGCAGGCCAGTATTGATACAGTAGGCAAATAGAGAGGACGGTTCGACGGAGTTTGTCATCGTAGGATCTTTCGTTCGTGTCATCGCATCGTGAGAAAATGGGTCTCGTAGTCGAAGGCAATTGTCGAGATTCAAGGTCGCAGCCCCCTTCCCTTCATGTTTGCTGTCTGTTTATGGAAGCATACGTTAGCAATCGTCCTGCCAGAACAAACAGGGCGTAATAGATGCGACTGACCTTGGCCGATCAAGGAGCTACTTGGCTATAGTCTTGGGAAGTATCTGGGTTGTGGTCGTTAAGGATTGATCGGTGACTGCGTAATAGAGACATGTGCTTTCGTCCCGGTTGCGGCATCGTGGGGTCTGGTATGTCGTGAAGCATCGGCACCTCAAGACGGGGGGAATTGCGCGGCCAGAGATCAGTTTTGGACTGGCGTCGGGCAGAGCAGGCGGCTCGAGCTAGAGGAGATGGGTTTGGCTTCGATCAATTTTTTTTTCTCTTGTGATGGTCAACGTGATGCTTCACGAGAATGATGACTAAGCACACATAACCACTTGTGACTGGTCAGAGGTTTTATGTCACATCTCTTCTTCCATTGACGTGAGAGAACCTGGTTAAATTAATAATAGTTACAGACAACCAAACAGAACCAGGGAAAGCACTTGATCATTGGAAAACGTCGCTGTGTATGACAAAGTAATGATCTAGGCGTAAAGCTTCTATTCGGCTTTTAGGATATAACGTGTGTTTTTCTCAGTCTTTCTGTTGAACCATCTGAACAAGGTGGCTACATGTATTATGTAGCACCAAAATGTTTCCTCACTGCTATTTTAATTTACTTAGACTTGCTTTTCCAGCTCACGCGGACCCTTGTACTACGTCTTTTCTCGAGAGAAAGCTGGCACCTCGGGAGGAATACCGAAAAGGATTCTTGGTACGTTAATGATCAATGCTGAGGAGACAATGCGATGTAACACAACATGTGACCTAAAACTCTAGTGCGTTATTCATGAAGAACTATTGTTCGTATAGTATCCATTTGAAAGTATAATGCAGCGTGTTGGAGAGATCAACGCTGAGATGGATCAAATAGATGCATAGCTTATATTCAACCCCCTTTCTTTGTCGAGAACTTTGAAGAGCCCGACCTGTGTGATATATTAACTGCCCTTCCACCGATTACACGCAGTGCATGCATTGTGCTTCGAGTCGGTATTGTACACCCCGAGCGAAAAGGGTCATTGGCTAACATGGGATCACTTATCATGCAAATGTTGGTAACGAGAACTCTGGTGATTTGATTCTTGTTGGCTCATTTATAAATAGAGCCGGCAATAAGCATTTGATCGCACGGTCTAAACTAAGCAATTGAACTTATCAAGGCTGTTGGTAGCCCTAGAGGAGTGCGAGGCCGCCACCAGTTTATCGTGAAATAAAAACACACATTGTCACTACTTTGCTCTAAAGCCCAGCCTCAGTTTCATGGATGGAGAGTACATAACAGCCCCCGATGGGGCTTTCGACATGTCAGACGAGACAACTCAGATCTTACTCCGGTCAAGATTCCCTAGCGTACCGAATAGCTCAACATTACCTCAACAAGAGATTTCGTCCCTTGGCAATACTGAGAGAGCGTCAACAGATCAGCGGCAGTCGATTGGTAAACCGGCAACCGCCGTGGACATTAATCCTGAGCTACCAGAGGGGTTGCTGATTAGAGAAATGGTGGATTCTTCCGAAATGAATCATCATGTCCCTCAATCTCAGCAAAGCATCATCGTCACTTGGATTCTAGAGATTCTTACCCTTGTATTTGCAGCCGGACTTCTCATCGCTATTTGCATCCTATTTGTAGCGTATAACGATCAGACACAGCCAGACTGGGGAAACAGCGGAATTGGCCTCAATGCTCTTATCGCTACTCTGTCCATGATATTTCGCGCCAGCCTGGCCTTTGTCAGTTTTGAGGTTGTCTCCCAGATCAAGTGGGACTGGATTACATCTGAATTTCGCCCTCTGAGAGACTTTGAGCGGTTTGATGCTGCCTCGCGAGGTATCTGCGCCTCTTTGCGCCTTCTGCCACTTGCCATTCTTCACCAGCCCAGGGCCCTTGTGGCTATCCTTGTGACCGTCGGTTCTCTAGGCATTGGCCCATTTATGCAGCAAGCGATTCAGACGTATCAATGTCTGAGGAAAACGGGAACGGGTGTCCAGCCCCCAACAATCATCACATCCAATAACATCGGTTTTTCTGAATTAGGGATGCTCGGGTCATCGCGCTACGGTGTGTTAAGGACAGAGATACGGACTGCGATGCAAGACGCAATCGTGAACCCAAACCTCGACTCCAATATCGGGGCACTATTTACGTGCCAGTCTGGGAACTGTACCTTCCCACTGCTCTCAAATACAGAAAAAGGCTCGGAAAAAGCAATAACACACGCCAGCATTGGGATGTGTAACCGGTGTGTCGATGTATACGACTTCGTCCAAGCACCAGTGCCACTCAACATCTCAGAGGGCAGAAAATTCCCAGTGTTCAATCTACCCGTGTACCAATCAGTGGACAATGGTAATGGGTCCGTGCTGAATCTGGATGAGGGACCAATGCGCATTGTTCTAGGGAACTCGCCAATGTCTGCGTTCATCTATATGCAGATGCGAGGAGTGGGGAACCTCACATGGACTCGAGAGGTTGCTTCCCCTGAGCTCATCAATAGAGCTCGCTGGGCGGCCTACAACTTTACTGTCCTCGCTGCATCGCAGAACCACTGCAACGTATTGCCTGATGGCAACGTGACCTGTCCACAACCTTGTCCGATCGACGACGGATCTTGCCCTTTCGCGTTCGACGAGCCATCTGATTACATTGCTGCCGCTTGTACCGTATATCCATGCCTCAAGTATTATTCAGCTACTGTCGATGCAGGGAAACTTGTGGAACGTTTAGTTCATGATATCCCTTTACGCTCGTAGTTACCGGAGCCTCTCTGGTCGGCGGATCTTGCAAGAATTAGCCCAAGCGATTTCAAAGCAGTGCAGCAGCCCTGTTGGGTAAACGGAACGCTTTACACAGCGTCCAATATGTCTTCTTCAAAATCCCTTGGACCAAATGTCACAGAGATCGTGCAATTCCATACCGACGATTGGATGAATGAAAGTATCGGAGATCCAGCTCATTACACTAACATTACGGCCCCACGGGAGTGCGTCGGCACAATGAGTGGTTACGTTACGTCGCTGTTTTACGAGAACCCGTTCAATGACGTGAGTTGCTTCCGTAACAACTGGGTGGAAAGTCTCCAGTGTCTGGGTAATCTGAAGCAGAATATAGATCAGTCCAGCCTCGTGGCACTTATGAGGGGACTAAACACATCTATGGAAACTCTGCAAGAGAATATCGACTCATTCACTGCGCGGCTTACAAACGAGATACGGAAAAGAGGCACAGGAGCCTACAATTTGCAAAAGGCATTTGTCACTGGTGATGAATGGGAGACTAGAGTCTGCGTTCGTATTCTATGGCAATGGATTACCCTTCCTGTAATAACGTTTGCGTTGTGTAGCTTCCTGTTGCTATCGACGATTATCAAGGACGCTGTTTCAAAGAACGGAACCATTTGGAAAAGTTCACCCATTCCATTGATTCTCAAGGACTATCCAGGCTTAGAAAGAATGGGATTAGTTAAGATGGGCCGAATTGTAGAGGGGCTTGAGATAAAGCTGGAGAAGCAAAAGGAGATTTAATCCTTGGCCGTAGGTAGAGGGGGTCGGCTGACTTAGACACCACCAAGTAGCACCAATACATGCTAAATATGAAGCTCATATTTCTTCGAGATGCAAACAGCTGGCCTACCAACTTTCCCACAGATTAGGGCTGAGCCTATCATTTGCGTTTTTGCGAAGTCAGCGGCAAGGAAGGGCTCCTCGGCATGTGCCGGGCCATCTCGCCGAGCAGTCCTCAGCAGCATTGAAAAGGATTTCGCCTTCGGCATGGCGTGGAGTCGAGGAGGCCCAAACGTGCTAAGTTGGGTCGGATGACCGATACTGTTAGCTTCAGATCGAGCCTGTACTAGCACCGATGATAGCGCCCTTTATTCTTCTAACTCCCCCTTATGTGCAAGCAGGAGGCGGTCCGACCGGGAGATCTAGCCTTTCGGGAATGTGGTGTTTTGCGTTGTAGGGTTCCGCTTGGGTATTTGAATAAGCCGGCATAATCCGTTGCTTACCTATCTAGCATAACAGAGTGAGGAATCAGATAGGTCCAAGGTGATTTCGACCCTGGTGTTGATCTCACATTTAGCGTGTCTGGCGAGGATGACCATCGCCGTTTACCAGACCAGTGGGCGAGAGGGAATCCTTGTTATATCACCTGAGAAGAGCTTGCGATCCGCCTCATCCCTCACTTTGCTTTTGGGCTGGTAAATGATGGCTCTTTACTCCCATCTACACTTCCAAAGCTTCCACAGCGTTGGCGGCCGCCACTCAATCGTAAAAGGGGTGGATCGATTCGCTGATCTGCCTCCTCCACACGAAGCCAAGACGGCTCTAAACCATCTGCAAATACGGGTCATGGGCTTCATTGTGGGCGTCACCATGGGCGGGGGAAAGTGTTTCACAAACCGCTGGTAGCCCGCATGAACAGCTAATCTTTTCTACCAGCCTTTAGTGGTGAAACAGTATCCTTGATCGCGGACGATTGGAGCACATTGCATGCTTACTGCATAACATTATTGAATTGAAGTATGTAAGGGAGAAACGAGTATGTTTTGGTAGGACGTGGCTGCCGGGGGTGAGGCCTCCTCCGTGTCTCCCATCGTGCATTAACGTCCCAATAGCGCGTAAGCCTCACGCACAACGGTTTGGAGATGGAGCCCTTAACTCCGATCCACCATTGGACAGTTGGGTGACGGCAAAAACACATGGTCTGGCGTCAGTGAGGAACATGTATTGAGAAATCTGGCCCTCGGTCTTTCGGGGTTCGCCAAAGCGTGGCAACCAAGACATTGGCAACTAGTATATCGGATTCACACTGCTGTCCTGGCGCTGTATTGGTCTCATAATTCGTAACAATTGCTCATCCGAAGATCTGTGCGTCCAAATGCCAGCCGGGAAACGGGGATTATGTCTCTAGAGCTGTAATCTGGAGCCTGATGTGGCGATCCACTCGACGCTCACAGCTCACTCGCTCTTGGTAAGCACGAAAATTGTGATCGGATGCTGCCCTTGGTCACACCTGAATTCAGCTGGACCGGTGAGCTACTGTTGGGAGGGCTCTGTCCCACTTGCCCGATGGATGTCAGGGGCTCCCTGTGGGGGCAATACATTAGAATCGAGATCTGGTCAACTTAATTTTTCTTGAGGTTGGCTGATTTTCAGCTGGCGGCAGATTCGGGGCATTACTATTTGGCTTTTCTGGGCACTCGGTCCTTTCCGGTGGCCACAGTGTGGTGTGGTAATACGAGGGACGTGGCATCTCGACTCGGAATCCTCGGGCGTGCTCGAGTCGTTTTTTGATTGAATGTGATATATCATGTGGCCCTCGGGGCGAAAAAGCAAAATGAGGAGAAAGGAACAAAGCGCCCCAAGCGTAAATCGATTCCAATTTCGTTCATTCAAGATCCCAACACAACGGTTACGCGGTCCCATTGACCTGCATGGAGTGGTGAGAGTGGATGTAGGCATCGAGCACTCTCTCCTTGCTTTGCGTTCAATAGATCTACGCAAGGGCTACTCTCCACTTCGGCCAGATGCGAGACAAGCCTGCCAAAATATTGTCCCAGCTTCCTCCTTACGGCATCTATCGACGTGGTACGAGCAAGCCGCGCCGCTCAGGCCCTTAGATTTGTCCCGCATTATACTTGTTTTTAGCGGTCTGCCAAGTCCCTGTTCTCGACCCTGGTTTGCTCGAGGTAGCGCGGCACTACCTCTCTTAGCTGGCGAGCTATCTGACATCGACGTTGGTGGCGGTGCCCAATCACGGAAACCGGTCACATTTGGCACAGCTCAGCTCTGTTTCCGTGAAGCTCCACTGGTGGCCAAGAGGCAGCAAGATGTATTGGCAGGATCGGGCTGTAGGACATGCATATTCAAAATGCGACTGGTTCTCGTGTCTGTCCCCGGTGAGGGAGACCGGGCTCGTTCTTCGAACCGGTGCCCCTCTCCTCCCTCCAAACTCTACGAACTGAATTTACTTTTGGCCAGTTCACCTCGACGCCGGGCTCATCGTTGCTGTCATTATACACGCAGAAATATGTCTCCGGATGAACTGCTCGGCAAGTATGCGGGCCACATTGTCCCGCAACGTTTCAACGTTGGTTTCGTCGTGCTCAGCTACATTGTCAGTCTCATCGGTGCAGGCTCTACTCTGGAGCTGATCAATCGTCGCACTGGATCCAAAGGTCTCTTCAACAAGTTAGTGACAGCTACTTCTATGCTCTGCCTGCTGAGACTCGCTATCTCAAATCAACAACGAGGGCTTCTTACTGACAATCATCTTGTTCTGATTAGTGTCTTACTCGGCGGTGCAGCTGTAACGATGGGAGGGGTCGCCATCTGGTCGATGCATTTTGTTGGAAACAAGGCTGTGTATTTCGGCAATGGAGAGCCTGAGATTCAAGTCGGCTTCTCCCCTTTATTTACCATCATCTCCTTCTTCGTTCCCATCCTCGTCCTCCTCGTCGCCTTTCTCGCCATCGGTACCAACAACGTCGTCTCTTGGCTGCGTGTTTCTGTCGGCGGGTTCCTGTGCGGCTCAGCCGTATGCGGTATGCATTATCTCGGCAATGCTTCGATCCAAAACTACACATGCACCTACAAACTGAGCTATGTCATCAGCTCAGCTATCATCGCCGTCATCGCCAGTACAATAGCGCTATCCGTCTTCTTCGTCTTTCGGTCTATATGGGCCAACGTGTGGTGGAAGCGACTCTTGTCCGCCCTCTTGCTAGCTGGTGCTGTCTCTGGGATGCATTGGTGTGCTGCCTTCGGCACAGAGTACACCCTTGTTGCGATAGAGGTGGGAGCCGGTGGAATGTCACGGGATGCCACCGTCATCGTCGTCATTTGCCTGGTTAGTCATTTTCTTTGACCGCATAGATTGCGAAACTAACTCCCAGTATTAGTCCCTAGGTGCGTGCTTGACCATCGCTGGCCTCGCAATCTTCACCGCTAGAAAGAGGAATCAGTCCGCTCGCCGAGCGCAGAAGATCACACTAGGCGCTGCCTTCTTTGACAAGGAGGGCAGGATTCTTGTCGACACTGACGGTCTCATTCCTAGTACCGTTGTCACTGATTCCTTCATCCAGACTGTAGGTTATGAAAGAAATAGTATGGCAGGGACTATACTAACAAGAGACTTCACAGAACGACAAACAGCCATTCACCATCTCACATCCTTACTTTCTCTGGATGTTCCAGGCTACAAGGAACTGGGCCGGTCTGTACAGCCTCATCGACGGCATGAAGCGACGTGTATCCCAGAAGCACAGACGAGTTGTCCAAGAAGTATCCCCAACCAAAGACGAGCAAGGTCTTCTATTCCGAGGCCAGTTCTGCCTGGCTGCCGTGCGACTTGCCGAGCGTCTCCGTCAAGAGCTTACAACGATTGGTGTGCTTTGGGACGAGATCCTGGCTACCGGCGTGGCCACACACGCGGACCTTGATCTACAGCCCAGTGATCAACCAGGAGGGCCCATGTCGGCCAAGTTCAGACAGCGTATGTACGAGAAGGGTGCCGCTTTACGGCAGCAGGTTGGGAAGGGCTCCCTGATGTTTCTCGTTCGCCGCACCAACAACGAGCGTGATCTTGAGCGGCTGGCCATGGCTGGCTATCGCTTTGCCGAGGTGGAACACGTCGGTGGTATTATCGCATCAAGAATGCAAATCAAGAACATGGGCGTTGAGGCCAAGCTGCGTCAAATGGCACACTATTCTAACCAGGGTATGGAGAAGACTGCCCGTCTTCGCATCGGATTCTTTGCCATCCGAGCCCGAGTCAACACCTCAGGCTTTGATGTCCTTGTAAAGAGGACGGCTCGTAGCGCTCTTCCATCGATCAGCCTGCCGATCTCCACGTTAGAGTCGTGGCAGAGAGACATCTTGAAGCGATTTGAAGGATTGTCTATGCTGACCGTGTCCGAGGCTCTAGAGGCGACCAAGATGTCAACCGGCAGAGAGACCGAGTTCATCCATCACATCAAGAGCGGGATCAAAAAGCTTCGCGAATCTCTTCGAGATATCATCACGGATGATGCCATTCTTGCACCAGGCGTCGTCCATGTGCCTGGCGGTCCAGCCGGCATGACGACACCCAGCCTCACATTCCGAATTGTAGCCCCAATCCATTCAGTTGTCAATAACACAGATTACGAGTACATACCTCTGAGTCTCTTCAAAGCTCACCAACTTGTACGAATGAAAGAAGGCCAGCAGGCATTCATCCATAACGTGCATCGCGAATTCCAGTCCATTATTGGCCCACAACCTGTGGAAGAGCCGGCCCCGGGCAGTGCCGATAAGAGCATACTCTCCAAGCTTACGAAAAAGAAGAGATTGTCACACCGACCCTCTGAAGAGTGGGACGAGGAGCAAGTGCTGAAGGGCAGATCTGCACGCCGACCGTCGTCAACGGTTTCGAATCAGTCGAGCTCAACAGCAGATCTCTGTCACTCGAAGGAGCGCAGCGACCGACTTCAGCCTGGAAGTATGCGACAAAAGGATACCCCTAAGCATCTGAGCGCACCGTCTTTCGGAGGCATTATGGTCTCACGGGAGATTGCTGTCAATGTGGAGAAGCAAAAACGTCAAGTGGTCGTGTCAGAGTGCGCACTGGAACCCGCGGTGATCACAAATGAGGTTTCAGCAAGTCCAGATATTGAATTACAAGCAAAGGACCAGGACAAGATTTTCGGTATCCAGGTGGCTTCAACGCCCATGATAGGAGTTCACACGGGCAATGGGAATCATGACACATATGTAGATGTCTTATTTCGAGACGCTGTAGAAGGTCAATGGTGGAAGAGGTGAGTTACTTAGAAATTTCATAGCTACTTTCAACAATACATTTATCTTCACGCTTCACTCAAGATAATTCATGCTCCCTTGATGGCAACCTCCTGGTTGCACTTCAACTAGCTCGCAATCATCCGTTGATGCCACAACCGCCTTTACTTGGCGTATCCAATGGGCTTTGGATTTTCCACGATGCCAAATTGACCCGTGATTGCCAGGAACCCCGTGGCCTTGCCAGTATCTCCCGGATGAGGACCGATGAAATCAGTGGGGAATCCAAAGTCAAACGGCTTCACGCTCTCCAAGCGCTGGATCTGCTCGGCCGTGAGCTTGATACTGAGCGCCCGAATATTGTCATGCAGATGCTCAATCTTTCTACCACCAACAATGGGGAAAACATAGGGCGCCTTCGCCATCACATACGCCAAAGCAATCGCGGTTGGGGACTCGATGCCGTGTTCGGCGGCCACCTCGGAGAGCGCTTCGCTGTACTTGACCTCATCTTCAGTCTGTCCCGACCCTTCGGCGAGGCTGCGAAGAGCCTCTCCGCTCTTGAGGCGCTCCTCGATGGCCTTCTTGGACTGGAACTTGCCATGTCCGAGCACATCCCACGGCGCCAGGGCCAGGCCAAAGTGGCGGGCCATGGGGAGGATTTCCCGCTCAAAGTCTCGCCGCATGATATTCCAGCGGCCTTGGTAAAGCGAGAATGGCGTCTTCCCGTGGGCCTTTGCATACGTATTAGCAGCGCTGACCACCCAGGCAGGGCTGTCGGAGATGGCAAGATAGAGGACCTTGCCCTGCTGCACAACGTTGTGAAGGCTGTCCATGACCTCCTCGATGGACGTGGTCTGGTCCCAGTAATGGACGTACAATATGTCAACCCAGTCTGTCTGCAACTTGGCCAGTGAGTCTCTGAGGCTGACGTGAAGACTTCGCTTATGGTTTCCGCCGGAGTTGACGGAGTTACCCTTCCCATACTCATGGGACCTGTAATCAGCCGTGAATTTCGTGGCTAAGACCAAGCGATCACGATTCTTGCGCAAGGCCATCCACTCTCCCAGCCAGGTTTCAGATTCTTCGTCCTGGTAGTTGTTCGCGGTATCTATGAAATTACCACCAGCCTCCACGTAGGCATCTAGCAATTTAAACGACTGCTCCTTATCCATGCTGCCCATGCCGTCAGCCCATGCGCTTCCAATAGACATGGCACCGAGGCACAGGGGAGAGACCCTGATACCCGCAGTTGGGGCAAGGATTCGGAAACGGCCGAGCTCCGTTGTAGGCTCTGGCGCGGGACCCCATCGAGACATGGTGGAGGGTAGTTGCTTGGGCAGATATGGGAACAAGGTACGATATGGAAAAGAGTAAACCTGTGATTAGGTCCAAACTGATGATGTGTATTGATTTAGAAAAGAAGCCTAAATAATGGCTAATGCCATGCTTTTATACTTTCTCTTGGATTGAATCATACCCACCTCTCGATATGAGTATCCGCCTTGAGCGGAAACTCTAACAGACGCCAGTGAAGAACAGAGCAATTAGTAAGGTTTGGTATCCTAAACTTGCCTTGATTTACAAGCACAGTGATTTCACACTGGCACATCAATGCCCAAATCACATATCATTGCTTGCCAAGAACACAAATCGCGTGCTGAGGCTGAACCATCTCCGCAAGACTGAAGTCCGCAAACGAGCCCGCATCTTCGGTCTGCTAAGCTATGGCGGAAACCTACAGTGACGAATTAAACTCATGACACTGTGACCTAAAGGCATGAGAATGTCATCGATACAATGCTCGGCTATAACGGAGGCAGAGGGTTTCATTCCTCCGCGCGCTCATGCATATTAGCTCATCCTCAAGGAGAGGCGCCGGAGTTAAGAGTGCTGGCTCTTGACTCCGGGTCGACTCTCCATATCATGATATTTGTTGGGGTACAGTCGGAAGATGGAGTGAAGATCAGTACGAGGTACTTCTTTGGGATTTTCCCCTGGGTAGGTGAGTGCGTAAATGATCATGTTTGAGTGCGATAAATGGCTCAGAACCACTGGCGAGATGAACTTGAACAAAGAAAACCCACAGTCCCATTATTCTATCTATTTGTGTCATTATCATTAGTTGAAGTGTGTCTAGCCTCTCAAAACGCTCTCATCCCGTGTATGGCGGAAATTGCAGACTACCGTCCGCAGGGGAGAGCCCAAAGAGCTCCCCGTTGTTGCCATCAGATAATACCGATATCACCAGGTCTCCGTCCTCCGACCCCATAGGTCCAGCATTCGCATCATACCACGTCTCCAGAAGGTTACTCGGCACAGGGGTCAGAAGGTCTCGTTGGTAGTCAGCCGGGGAGTCAGATATGGTTTCTTCCAGCATCAAGTATTTCGATGTGAGTAATGTGTCCCCCGTCACTTTGATGTATGCAGCATTCAAAAACTCGATGGCGAACGGTGCGGCGTTATAAACGGTCCGTAGATCCTCTAAGACGCCCACGCATTTCCAATACCGTGTCGCAGCTGATGAGTTGATGTTAGGCATGGTGTCCTTCATGTCGCAGATGTGGATGACGGCTGCAGGAATCGCGGCGACGATGCAAACCACGGGGAGAGATCTGACCCTGCCGTAGCTTTGCAGTTCCGCAAGCATCCGGGTGATCTCTTTCGCAGCGGTGCGAGTGCGCATCAGGGGATACCATCGATCTTGGATGGCCGATGCTTCCTGAGCCTCTGGCCGATGCAGGGTCAGAGTCACAGCACGGTATATCAAACATAGTGCATAGCAATGCACATCTATAATTGAAAAGGATTCAGGTGCCTTATTGGTTTGGTTCAACGCCGGCGATTGCTGAACAACTTGAGGAAGCGCGGTGTTCCAGGCCATCAATTCATCATCGAGGACGGAGGCATTCGGCTTCCAAGTGCCTGCGGGTTTGGGATAGAGCAGCAATGCGCGCAGGTCGGACGATTTGCGAGATTCTTTGTCTTTGTATTGCGCCGTATAGTGATCGTGGAAAATCTTGCTGATGATCACGCAAAGTTTCGTCTTTTCGATGCAGAGAAGCGCCAATTCCTGTTGCTGACCTGCTGTCAAGAGACAGGGGAACCACGCTGCCAGTTGTCCCTGAGGGTCTGTAAAGACATCAAAGTCTCTGTCTTGGAGCATCTTCGTACTGAAGTCGTCCTTTCTGATTCGCGGCGGTTGGCGAGTCGCGAGCCCAACCATCTGATCCTGCATGAAGCACGCCCACCAGAGCCTCCGCCTGAGCTTGCGGAGACTAGGCTCAAAGCCGAAGGTCTCGGGGTCGATATGCAAGCCTATATTGTAGGCGTATGAGATGGCGATGCCGCTCCAGTGCCAGGAGTTGGTCGTGTTGTGTCGCGCCTCGAACGAGTATGTCATGAGGAGCGTGGTCTGAACAATGGCCAGAGCATCAGACTCGTAATTCAGGTCGTACAGCGCCTGTCAACCGCATTAATTAAGATCAACTATTTATCCGGCGAACGGGGCAAACGGACTTTGGCTCGTTGAAAATACACATTTAGCGCGGCTCGGTTGTCCTCAAATCCCTCAGCTTCCAGTTTTCGAGAGTCGACAAAGGGGCACGCGGCAAGCATCACGGCCTGGTACACCATCAAGCTGACTTGGCCTGCACTGCCGTCGCCACGAGTCACGGCGTTTAGAAAATTGGAGAGGTCGAGGATGGGTAGCATGGGATGGACCAGGCCGACGTAGGCCTCGAGCAACGCATTTTGAAGGGCAGGCGAAGGCAGCGTGAGGGCATCGCTCGCGTGCAGCTTCTGAATGTTTAGTGCTGTAATATTCAGCCCTGGAGGCTTGCAAAATAATGGGATTTTAGCATCCACGGGCGTGTTCTCTGGCGGCTGAGGCGAACGACTTCCCGTCACTGTGTGCTGTGAGGGCAGCATGGCTGGTTTCGACTCAATCTGCTGGTCCTGGAACTGATCATGAAGAAGAAGAATTCGTGCTCTCGGTGTTTTTGATCCACGTAAACATGGATCCTTCCCCTTGGCTGGCCTGGGCTTGGCCCGCAGGCCTGTCTTCATGCTACTAACTGCAAATATGGCAACTTGGCCTGTTTTCTCTATCTAATCTGGCATCCGAGATATCCGATACAAAGGCGGGCTTGGCCCAAGGCGTAAACCCGACTCGCAAATAATGGCCCGAAACTGGTGATCTGACATGGGCAATTTAACGGCAATCACATGTGATACTGTCCGCTTATTTCACCACCCCCTTGGAGACTGAAATATCGTCTGAGGCCTACGTCATGCCTGCGACAGGGACCTTTATTATGGCATTGCCCAGCTTAGGAGACAAGAAGAGACGGTTGAGTGAAGGCCCTGTGAGGGCTGAGAAGAAAAGCCTGAGACTCCGTTTTAGAGTGCTGACTCTCCACTACCAGACTTGAAAGTCCCTGTTAGCGCTCGCCGTTGTCGCATTTTCAGCACTAATGTGACGCTCTCAGTGTGTTTGAGCCAGAAGGGCGGCAAGGATCAGCCCGGCGGTAACGAGATGGGCCAGTATCCGTATTAGTGAAGAGTACATCCTATCCCGTTGCTCGATATAGATCCTCATCAGCGGTGGTAATAAAGTGCTTGTTAAGACAATTCTGAGCCTAGTATACAGCTTATTTCCCGCCTGTCATCTGAAGATATCGTTGGCCAAAGGCATCATTCCATCCACCCACAACCTGCTCTCCAATTCCAGCTGTGATGAGAGTCTCTCCTGCCTCCAACTTGGGGACAATCGTGTCTATGAATTCTTCGACTGTGAGAGTATGAGGACTGAACTCTTTCTTATTGTCGTCTGGATTCTCTCTATCACGGTGCAAGTCTGTTGCTACCATTGGTGGTGCGATCTCGACCACTCGAATGTTCGAGCCCTCCTGGGCTATCTGAGTACGTAGATTCATAGTCCAGAAGTGAATCCATGCCTTGGTCGCGTTATAAACCGGGTTGACCACAGAAAAGGGAATGAATCCTAGGACACTGGACACATTGATTATCATCGCGCTTGGCTTGGTCCGGAAATGGGGCAGTAGTCCAATGGACAGATGCATCGGCCCTCGGACGTTTATGTCGATTTCCTCGTCGGCCTTTGCAAGATACTCCGCATCATTGGAGATATCTAATACGCGCTGAACGGCCGCGTTGTTCACTAAGCAGTCCAGGTCGGGGTGCTCAGCGGTGATCTTGGCGATGAAAGGCGAGAGAGTATTAATCTTTCCTGTATCGACCACATAATACCCGGCTGCGCCAATAAGCTGGGCGGTTTCTTTCAAATTGGACTCAGTACGTCCCGCGAGCAAGACTCTCGTGCCCTTCGAAATAAGGTACTCAGCGATCGCCCTGCCGATGCCACCTGCGCCCCCTGTGACGAGTGCGCAGTTGAATTTGATATCTGGTGCCATTTTTGGATCCTTGTAAGTAGATACCTTCTGGGACTTGATTTTGCCTGACTATCAGGATGTGTAGTCGCTGTGGTAAGAAAGCCTGAGTACGTATGAGGGGTAGGAAATCGCTCATCCTAGATTTCTTCCCTCTTTGTTATTTTGGCCTGGCCAATGATATACTCTGTTACATCAGCACTGCATGTCATTACATCATACACAAGTATGCTGGCAATATGAGCATGAATTTAGAGGTACATCATGAACAGAAGAAAAGACTTCGAATTACGAGGGGACCTTTTTTCACTTGTTAGCCTAGGGGACGGCTGTGGACATTTTTCCAAATCCAGCACAGATGGAGTGAGAATCTACTGGTAGGTTTTGCTCTGCGTGGCCGTACTGCATTGTTGTTTATGTTGTTTCCCTTTATTTCTCTGAGCTGACATATATTGCGGCTTATCACTGGCCACCATGCGGACTATCTACAGCATCAAGTATGCTTTCATTCCCTATACTTGTATCATGGGGTCTATTCAGGCTGAGATGATGATGGGTTTGAATTAAATCGATACCGCAGCTTCTTACCACTACAGCGCCATGTCTTTAATTATATAGTTGATCGACCTGCCTAGACTATCAGAAACTATCCAGGGTGATTAACAAAGGAGTAACAGAGGAGCACGACCGGTTACCCTTGATATCTATGTCAGCTTAGTCTTATAGACTAATGTGTGTTGAAATTAGCAGTACTTAAGAAAAGCAATGCAAGGCATCTACGAGGCAAGCATGTCACAGGACTGGATTTTCTACTTATTTTGGTATTTCCGCTCCTAGCCGATGTTCCTATGAGGATGTACTGTGTGCTTCCTTGCTTCTTTTTCTGCGAGTCTTCCCGTTCGCTCGGTGATGAGCAGATTTGGGGAGATCCGTCTTCACACAAACTTGGTAATTAACATGTACGCTGCAGTGCCTCTTCAAAAACGAATCCCTTCATCATTTGCCTACCGTACCAAATTCACGAAGATAATCTGTAAGGCGTGCTAATTTGATGTAAAGCCTCCATCAACCACCTGCACAGCGCCCTGCATGTAACTATTCATTGGCGACGCCATCAGAACAATAGCATCTGCGCATTCTTCTTGCAGGCCGATTCTTTGTAGAGGCGTCCGTCCAAGGTCTTGAATCAAGGGCGCATATGGATTGGTTGTCTCTACTGATGAAGCATCGAGAGGTGTGCCAATGTAGCCCGGCGCAATGGCATTAATGCGGATGTTGTATTGAGAATACGCGTTTGCGTCTCCTTTCGTTAGGCCAATGACGCCTATGTATAGCATTAGTAAGTAAGCAGCTGTAAGATAGACAAGATGCTTCATAAAGAGATACTTACCATGTTTGGCTGCTGTGTAGGCTGTTTGTGCGATCCAGGGATTTGGAGCAACGAAGCCGTAAATAGATGTCACATTGATAATGCTCCCGCGGCCTTCTCTCGGCCCGTGGTCTCTGGGGTTTCGTTTCTGTTTAGGTTGTGTCTCTTTGGAGTACAAGGCCTTTCCGAAACTTACTCTTGTTTGATCATAGCGGCTAACTCTTCCTTCTGGCACCTATACACACCGTGAAGATTGACGTCCAACACCCTCTCAATATCTTCGTATTCCGCTTCATGCGTGAGTTTGCCGGAACCACCTATGCCAGCATTGTTGACGGCGATATCCAGTCTGCCAAACGCGCTAACAGTTTCGGCGATTCCTCTGCGCACTTGCTCCTGGTCCCTTACATCCATTTGGATAGGCACCACCTCAACATTGGGGAACATCTTCTTTACATCCTGGTATGTCGTTGTAAGTAGGCCCTTGTCTATATCCGCCATCGCAAGCCGCTTGAGTCCATGTCTAGCAAAGGCAATTGCAGTGTGCCGGCCAATTCCTAACCGCATTCGAAAGATAACAATTAGTAAATGAACGAAGCACTACGTTCACAAGTCTATGCGTCTTACCGCTGGCAGCACCCGAAATAAAGGCCGCACCTTTCAAAAGTGTGGCCATATTGGTGAATTGCGGTCAGGTATTGTCAGCTTAACTTGAGAGTATAATAATAGGTCACCACCAAAGTCAGCAACGGTGATATCTCAGCATGTCAAGAATGTCCTGGGGGCTCGTTGGTTATGATGGAAAGATTCTCGAATTGACCAGCCCCCGGAAAATAGCCCAGAATGCTGTCATCTGATCTGATCGGGTCATTCCAGTGGTGCCATGTAATTATGCTTTCCGAGGCATCCCTGTCAAGCGGCGGTTACCGACCAGCATTGCGGGAGCGGTGGTGGAGGATATGATCGTCAATCAAATGCTACTTGGTAGTTGAGGATGAAATTTTATCTTGTCTTTTAATTCATTCAAAAGATGAACAATACCTCGAGTAGACAGCTGGTAATAAAAGCTACGACAGGTGTTATTATACTTATCTGAAAGAGGCCCCTTGCATGTGGCTAACCCCGCTCGTGCATCTCGTCCCGGATTGTCCCGTGAGCTTCTTTACCCCGGCAGCGTAGTAGATCTGTTCCTGTCCTCAAATCATTTGAATGTAATTTGTTATAAACAAGCTCTCGGCTATCGAAGATGATGAGGTCGTCCCTAGTATTTCCAGTCTGTTCCTCAGACAAATAAAGAAAGCAAACTCTAGAGTCCGGTTTCGGAGCAACTGGAGGTCACTAGTGAACTCTTTTATATAAAGGTGATAAGCAAGAACGACATTTCCACAGTCGGACGTTAGATTAAGTGCGGAGATTACATAGCAAAAGAATGAGGGAAACGTTTTCTGCTATGTTTCTTTCGCCTCCCATCACACAGCTAGGATCTACACAACATCTTAAGGAGCCGGGGTCCCTCTTCACGCCGGAACAAGAATACAAATTTAATTTTAAGCCTTCCAGCTTTCAAATCGCATTATGTCTGCTTCATAGTCATCTGCTCTGCTCTAGTAGAAGGCCGCGATCCCCTAATTAGCATGTATTGAGCATAGAGGTCAGGGCAGTCTTCTCAGCGCTGGTAATCTTCAGGCTCCACGTGCTCTTAACTGCAACCCATGCCTTGGCATAAGTGCAATAAAAGCCAGTCAGGGGGGGCTTCCATGAATCAGGGCTCTTGTCACCCTTCGAGCGGTTGGTGCTGGCATCGGTGGCCCACAGCTGGGGGTGGTCGATGTCATTGGCAAAGGCCTCACGGCGAGCGGTTGTCCAAGACTTGGCACCGGACTAGCAGAGGGAGATTTGTTAGCTATAATACGCCACTCATTTTGAGGCATAGTAGCCTTAGGGTGTGTAGGTAACTCACAATCCAAGCGTTCTTCAACGGGACCATGTGGTCGATGTCAACACTGCTAGCTGCGGTAATAGTCTTGCCGGAGTAAGGGCAAGTCCAACTGCCTGAAGTAGGGTAACAATCACTCCCGACTTTTACGTTGTTGCCATCGCGGCGGAGAACCCACTCTCTGCAAAAAAAAAAGTGTCAGAATACTAGATGGCCAAGTGGTCTACAACAAGTGCTACTAACCGGGCTGAGCAAGCTGGCTCATCATCTACGGACTCCCAGTGGGGGAAAAGATCACGGTCGTAGGTCCCATCATCAGTAATAGTGGCCACTGTCAAACTAGCCAGAAGAGACTTGGCGGAAGAAGTAGAAGGAATCCCAGGCTACGTATCGTTAAGTTTAGATAGCTAGTAATAATGACCTTTGAGGGGGGGAGGCTTACAGGAGTTGCGGCAACAAATGCCACGGCAGAAACTAGAATGGCAGAGATGAACTTCATAATGACTGACAACCCAGGAATGACCGGTTTAACGGGAGCGAAATGGTGATCTGAACAGGCGTGGGTTGACAAGAGCAGCGCATCAAGGGGAGCGAGTTGACCCCAGCGGCAGACGCCGATATTTATCGACCAAAGATAAATTGGGAGACTTGGTTAATGATAGTAGAAGAGTTGATGCCTTTTACCCGATTAGGGTCGGAACATGATAAGTGTAGCGGTTGCGTGGACTCGCAATCTCACCTGCCTGATTCGCTTAAGCGACAGATTCAAGACCTCCCTGTTCTAGACCAGTATAACCACGAGTGATAACGAGTTGTTGAAGGTTACTGCATGACTACCTACATCAGGGAGGTTTGCCGTCTTGGCTGCCAACTGTCATAGTCGTTCCCATCGACTTGCGTAGTAAGAAGTGCGTCCGGCCCATCACATTGGCAAACCATTGGCAAAGAGCACTGCTGGTCGGGTAAGCCAGTGCCGTCAATCAGCGGGTTAGGTGGGGTTCCGCCTTATAGTTGCTGGGCATGCACATTGTCGCTTTCTCGGGGCGTGAAAGCGTACTTGCTCGGGGCACACTCCTAAGCAGTCGGTTTCAGAAACCCTCTGAGCCGCATGTCCCCATGGACTTTGAACTTTGGCAAATGATAAGGCTCATGTGTCAGCTTTACTTGCAAAAATAAAGAGCGCAACGCCAAGAACTTGGCGAGGGGTAAGTTTCATCAGGTTGAAGTAATATCGTTTCTCTCACGTCAAAACCTGAGTTAATCAATTATCACAATTCATCCAACAGATCGCGGTCTAATTTCAATGGATTTGAATGTAAGCAGTTGATGAGACTCAAGTGAAATAACTAATATCCTGGCTTAACGAATGCAAGTACAACCAGGGAGGGAATCTTTCTTAGGCCAGTCCTCTTCTCAGTCTGGATGCCCTGTCAAGTGCGATTATTGTGAGATTAGCTGAGGTAAAAAGGCTTGTCATATCACCTAGCTTTAGAGACACTTATCTCAGAATAGAGGAAGTAGTTGGCTCAAACCAATGAGGTTTGATATAGAGTCCGCTGTCTCGTAGGCTTCAGGTTTAGGCTCAAGTTCATTTTAGCTATCTCTGACGCTCCCTTTGCGAGCTCTAGGTTAAAAGAAGGGAATAGGAAGAGAGAGGGAAAAGCTTTTATGGTAATGACGCCCCAGTAGGCTCACAATGGTCGTCGACAGAGACTGAAGAGTCGCTTCTGGCTTGTTGATATACTGATCATAGAATATTCTTTTTGCTATATTCTAACCCAGCTGCGACCGCCATTACGAAGAATCTAAGGGAAGGCATATTGTAAAAAAGACTTTGATGCTTCGAAAGCGCCCTTTTCGTTTTATATCTCTTTCTGGCTTCGAAGGAAGTCTATTTTTCTTGCCAAATTCAGCAACATATAAGCCGAAAAGTTGTACACCATGCCCACAGAAGCCGCTGAATGGCCTCCCAAATAGAACAAGCCACATACATCGATTTAAATCAGGCTCTAGTAAAGCAACCCAAAGGGTTTGACAATTTTATCACTTTATAATTACGCCAGAAAGAACATTGAAATGCCAAACGTATGTAATTGTGCTCAAAGAAATAAAAACTACTCAAGCATCATGTCACTCTCATGAACGTGAAATGAGGATAGTTTTTCGGAAGCCATCCTTCCCATTATTTTAAGTTATTCGTGAGCTAAATCGTACCATATACTTCTTCAATATGCGCCTCTTGGCGAATGTCCGGATGTTGGGCCGGACTCCGGACTTACCTAGGATTATCTCCGCCCCCTTGAACTTGGTCGTATGGAAATCCCATTCCAGCGCCCGAATCGACCTTCAACCATTCATACGAGACGAGACGAGCCGACGCAAATATGAGTAATAACTTCTTCTTCATTGATGGCATCCAGGCCGATAGAAACACCAAGAAGCAGATGCGACGCCATGTCATGAAGGGCAAGAATGTAGGAAAGAAATTTCATCGGCCGTCCAAGCTTGTGCCCGCCGGTCCCAAGATCATCGATACCTGGAGCAGATCGAAAGTCGCCCGTCAATTTGATAAGGGTGAAACTCTTTCGCTCGATGTTGACAGGAATTTTGGGGACGCTTACCACTCCTGCAACATTCCTGTACCTGTTCCGCCAGCTGCGCGGCGAATCATCGACGAATGTAAGCACCATTCCGGACCAGTCCATTCAGAAGATTCAAGACTAAGATGTGAAACGCTGTTAGTCTTCATCTTGACAGCCGATAGAATGTATCCTCCAAAGTTGGGGATCTCGCTCGAAGAGGCGAAAGGCATGTGGCTGAAAGTCCTCTTTGAAGATCAGGCCAGTAAGTCTCAAGATGGCCCAGCTTGAGTAACATGCCCGAACTAAGAAAAGCAGCTTACGAATGCAATCTGGCCATGATGCAAACTTGCAACGAAATATATCTGGGTCATGGAGACTGCTCATCCAAGGCCCTTTACTCTCTATCGCGGACGGTAAGCCATGTCAAAAACAAGCTAGAGAGTCCTGATGCTCTCTCCGACTCCACCATGACACTGGTCCTATCTCTCATAAGTCAAGAGCAGCTCAAGAAGTTCGACTCAAGGGCAAAGATTCACCTTGATGGCCTTCGGCGAATGATCGAGCTTCGCGGGGGGCTAGAACAGCTGGAGGGGAAACCGCCGCTTTTGCTCAAGGTCTGCAAGTATGTTCAATGGCCCATCCAACCAAATGCTGTTGTGCTTCTTATAACGTTCTGTTCTGACTCCTGACTTGAAATCTTTAAGGGTCGATGTTGTCTTTGCGCTCCAGTTTGGCGAACCGACTATATTTTTTAGAGACGAAATGCTTAGAGTTCGTGCAGAGATGGCTTCTAAAGGCCGTTTCCAGAGACTCCTTGCATTACCACCTATCCATGACATGAATACTCCAAATCCTCTACTCAAAGAAGTTCTGTTGGATGTTTTGGATATTTCAGCTCTCATCAACGGCAACAAGTCCAAGCTAGTTGTCGATCTTATCAACTTCCAGGAGATTCTCATGTCGGTTTTCTACCGCCTTCTTCGCATGCATCCTCTCCAAGGCGTTCCCCTCAGTAACGATGCAGACGCAATGTACCACCTGGGACTGATGATCTTCATGCTGACTTTGTTTATTACAATTGAGAAGCAACGCATTCTGGAGTGCAGTCCGGTATCTGAAGCTGTCAGGGAGCTCCTCGATCGAGATCTGAGCAAATCAAGTGGTGAATTAGTTCTCTGGTTTTTCCTGATTGGTGCAATTTGGACCTCGACAGTGGAAGGAGATTGGATTCTTCCTAAACTACAAGACATAAGGCAACGGCTACGTCTCAACGACTGGGAGGAAGTGCAATACCGCATCGAGTCATTTCCGTGGATCAGCGTTTTACATGATGAACCAGGCCGCTCTTTGTGGAGTCGGTTAGACAATCTGTAGAGGCTTGAAAAAACAGGGAGGATTTCTGGGGCTTGGTGTTTAAATACCAGACTTCTGACGTTCTTTCACTTCAATCGTACCGAAATACCTAGAGCGCTCATCATACCAATCATGCAGGTTACCAGGAGAACTCCTGCTTCACCAACTTCTCAGATAGCTTCCACAGCTTCTCGGCCTCTTCGCTAGATGTCGCCAGGGCGGTAGCAGTGGTGCTGACCTGGCAATCCACCAAGTAAGCTCCAAGGTTCTCGCTCCCATCCCTTGTTTCCACCTTCAGCTTCGGGTCCAACGCTGCCACCAGGCTGGTCGAAGCCCCAGCTTCCAGGCTCCGATACATGTAGACATTACGATCGGATAGGGCCTTGATAGCCCCCAATGTCTGGTCATCGAAATATCTGACCAGCTCGGTGTGAATAACACCAGGATGAACAGCCGTGGTCAGAATGCCATGGGTCTCAAAAAGCCGTTTGTTGGCACCAATGCCGAACAGCACATTGGCCACCTTGCTTCGGTTGTACCCATCGATGGGCACATAAGTCTCCTCCTTGAGATCTTGCGTATAGCCCCATGCTTTCATCCATTCGTATTGCGGCTGCTCTGCCTCGGGCAAATCCTTGTTCTTCTTCTCAAAATTGATGTCACTCCAGCGGAAGGAGGAAACTGTGTTCCAAGATTAGCAGCTTGGCCTTCTTGGCAAGATATCTTGGGCCATACGAACTTTGAGGTGAGCCTGAGCTGACGTTGACGATGCGCGTGGCGCCTTTGGGGCTAGACTCCGCAGCCTTGATCAGCTTAGACATGATGAGGCACGTAAAAAGCCAGTGGCCGATATGGTTGGTGGCAAGATGCAGTTCAATGCCATCTTCGGACAGCGTGCGCTGTTGGATTCCGGCAACGCCAGCGCTGTTGATGATGATATTGACCTCCGGGACGTCGGACCAGGAGAGGACAATGGCGGCGGCGGCTCGGACAGATTTCTGGCTGGAGAGGTCAATCTCCAGCAGCCGGTAGTCCACACCAGGGTACTCGGATTTAAGCGCATCAATGCAGGCTTGGAGTTTGGCTGGAGTACGCCCGGCGAGGATGAGGCGGGCAGGACTCTGTGAGGCCTAGGGCAAGTAATTTCAGTCAGCTCCAAAACAAACCACTATAAATGCCATCTGCGAAACTTACCAAGGCCTGAGCCGTGGTGAAGCCAATTCCATTGCGGTTCACACCCGAGACAATAATTGTCTTGCCACGGACGCTGTCGGGAAAGGCTTTGGCGACCTCAATGCCCTCGGTATTAGCATTGAACTCGGGATGGGTCGTGGTAGTCATGTTGAAGTTTTATGGAATGGATAATGGGACAAGTTTATGTTGTCGTGTGTGTGTGTATCGAGATGAGTTATGAGAATGAAGAAGAGCCGATGACAGCTTGAGGCTTCTTCCGTCTCTGTGTGTCAATCGGACGATTCTTATACTTTTTCAATCTACTCAAACGCACCCAAAGTAAGCTTCATATTTGCATTACAGGTAGGCAACGTCCAGTAAGAGACCTATTACCCTTTTTGTTAACTCAACTATGGCATCGTGTGATGTCTGCGGCTCCTCGCATTGATCCAATGAGAGACTCAATACCCTATTTGGCTTAGCCAGAACATGAATCCGATGGAGCTGCATTTATTGAGTTATCCAATAAGAGACTCGTTACGCTTTTAGGAGGCATTGCAGCGTGACACCAACCACACACAAAGTCAGACTCAATATGAGCCTTACTCCAGCACGGAAGCCTCGGTGTGGAAGATAGACTTGCGTTCTTCCTTTCCTAAATATCTTCAAGCATGCTTAGTCATTCCATTCGCTTTCTTCTTCTTTTCATTTGAATACTCGGTGTACTTTCACAAAGTTTAGCTACCCTATAGGCATGTGGGCAGATTTCCGACGGCCTTGCTCGTTGATTCCTAGCCTACATGTATGCAGGAATATTGAGAATAAAGACTATTGGATTAAGCTTGCCTTTGAGCCTTCAGATACATCATTTGTTCTCGAAGAAACTGTGTGATGCAATAGTACCCTGTTCATTGATTACTGGGAATCGATACAATGAGAGAGACCGAGCCCTGAAATCCTGGAGGTAGCATGTATACTTTGGAGTAATTACCACTACGGTATTATTCGCCGTTCTCCGAATGCTCATTTCTGGCCAGACTCGTGTTGAGTAACTTTCTTGTCTAGTTTTCCGGCATTCCCGCTTAGGCATCTTGACTGTGGGTTCGGAGAGTTTGGGTCGGTCTTCAGGGGTACAAACTAAGTGCCGATAACGGCTTTCTAGAATGAAGCTTATTCTGCGTGCTACGCTACGTCAGAGGTTTCTTTCAGGGGAACAGTTCCAGCTTGATCATTTCGGTGTGGCTTGCCTCGATAAAGTTGGTGCAAACGGTTCAACTCCGTACCTGATTAGCCTCAGTGGGTGGGAATCATTGGAGGCTGACAAAAGCCAGCCCGGACATACGTGCATAAAAAGTGAAAACCGGGCCCGCGGAACGCGAGGAGAGAGAAAAATGACCTCAACGGTAGGCCCGGGCGAGTAATGACAGCCTGCTTCGACCCACTTGCATGGCCAACGATGTCATTTTGTGCGTATAATAAAATTAGACGGCCTGACAAGGCGGGTCTCCCTTCCACGGATACCGAGATCTGGATCACGGCACCCAGTTCTGGTGCTTTTCATCGGCTTGCCGGTAAAACGCCTGCCGTTCTATTCTAGAACAGCGCTTGATGGTCGTTCTTATAGCATCCTGGGAGTTAATTTGGGATTGAACTCTTACAGAAAAGGTTGACGCCCTCTGGATCGATGGCCATCAGTCTTTAAAGGCCGTATCAAAACTTGTGCCTTAGTCATAGTAAATTCATCTAAATACCTTTTTTGAACATGTGTCCGTCTGGGCGACCTAATCAAGCAACCACCGAGTCTTTGACGCTGATTTGAGTCAAGTAGAAGAAGAAAGGCCCCCACTACGTGCCTAATTCTGAATCATGCAAAACGTTTATGAGCATATTTAGCATATGACCGGGATGTAGCCGTTCGTATCACGATTATGGACAGACCATGATGGGGCTCTTGCCACGTCGTATCCCCACCACTTATAACAAGACTTTCGGCGTCTCGGCCCCTGACTTCTAGTTCCGTGAAGTGGGCGGGGACTTTTGACGGCCAAGAAACTGTTTGTTTTCTTCTCATAGGTCAGGCTATACCGTCGGTAGTATTCTCCGTGGCATGAGAGGGAACTAGATAGGATGGAGTCAATACGAAGAAGAATCTGCTGTATTTATGGAGTCAGCCCACTTCCCACTGACCGTATCACCGGTATTTTACATCCTGTCCTCGCTGCTTTCTCGTGGCTTGTCTTTTCTGTTTCAGCCAGTCACTCGTTTCTCATAATAAAAAACTTAACTACTAGTCATTCGCTATTATTATCAACCTAATACTTATTGTCAAAATGCGGTCATTCACATTGCCCATCCTCTTTGCAGGCTCCGCCGCAGCACGAACGTTCAATCTCGAGACCCGCGCCGACGGCTGCAAGGATGTTCACATCTTCTTGGCCAAGGGAAACAACGAGCCCTACCCAGGGCGTCAGGGAAAGCTCGTAAACGCCATCTGCGACGGTCTCCCCAGCTGCGACTACGAGGATATCCTGTTCAACAACCCCGGCGGCTCTGACTACTGTGTTGCTACCAACGAGGGCATGGTCAACGGAAAGGCCCAGGTTATCGCCTACAACGAGAAGTGCCCTGACTCGAAGCTGGTGCTCAGTGGTTTCTCTCAGGGTGGTGATGTCGTGAGCAGCATCCTGGCCGGAGGAGGTGGTGACATCTTTGGATGCACATATCCTGCCACCACTCCCCTCGGTGCTTCATCCAAGGCTGGCAAGCAGAGTAAGTCTCCCCCTAAGATAGCTTCATGCCTTTTACGTCGAGACGAAGGCGTTGTGGAAGTGCCATCTTCTGACATGAACAATAGTTGCCGCTGCTATGACCTTTGGTGATGTCCGTCATACTGCTAACCAGCCCTGGAATGTCCTCGACGGTGCTTCTGGCCAAGGTGTTGTCCCCCGTACCCCCGATATGCTTGCTGAGCTCGCTCGATATGGAGCTACCTTCCGCGACTACTGCAATGCCGGCGATGGTGTTTGTGGCGACGGTAATGTTGTCGATGAGCACTTGAACTACTTTGACAAGTACAGCAACATCGCTGCTGAGTTTGTTCACGAGCGTCTCCGTGCCGTCTCTGGTCCTGCATCAACCTCCACATCTGCCTCCTCCGCAGTCTCTACCAGCAAGACTCCCGGCGCCACCAACTCAGTTGCATCCAGCACTTTCAGCCACCCCAACAATGCCACCGTCACCACTGGCCACAACGCCGGAACCACTTCTGCTCCTGATGTCTCGGTCACTGTCCCCCACCACGGCAACAACCCTGGAGTTACCTCGCGGCCCGCGCCCATCACCACCGTCATCACCCAGACCCTGACTGTCACCGAGGACTGCGAATCAAAGGGCTCGACCTTCTTCGAGACCGTCACCCTCACCGCCAAGTGCCCCATCTGCACCAAGATCCCCGAGTACGCCACCGTCACCGACCTGTATGAGGGCCCGACCACCACCGGCACCCAGGGAGCGTTCGTCAGCAACGGCAACCACTTCCCCGTCCAGACCGGCACCGCTCAGCCCGGCAACGGCCCCAAGTGGACCACCTTCACCACCGCCGGACAGGTCACCACTGCCTACATCCCCGGAGGTTCTGCTCAGCCCAGCTCCGGTCTTGGCGGCAAGCCTGGAAACTCGGACAGCAATGGCAACGGTCCCGAGTCCCCTACCAAGCCTTCTTCCGCTTCAGGCAACTCGCCCGCTGCTCCCAGCGCTCCTGTGAGTGGCGCAGCTACCATGCTTCCCCATTTCGCGGGAGCTATTGCTGTTGTTTTAGCCATGATGGCTTTCTAAGTTGACTCTGGAAATGGCAATCGATTCGAGGCGGTGTTAATGCGTGGGATAAAGTAATGGTGTTGGGGTTGAGGGAGGTTGGAGTTGTCGATGTGTTGGTGTTTATTGAGATTTGGCTTGGGTTCATTCTCCGGGTTTTGGGAATACTTCAATTGTTCTGTTGGAGCGATATCATTAACGAAACAAACTACTTACCATCGAGGCAACACTAAAACTCTATTCTGACATTATTATTCTTTTCTCAATTGCTGGAGCGGCGTGATGTTTGAACGTGTCTGCAGAGTATTTCGAATTCCACGATTGCTAAGACCCCCTGGTTGAGTCAGCCTAAGCCAACACCCTCACACATCACAGCTCACTCGTTTGCGAAGTACATTAGCTAGCTCAGTTGTGGCGAAGTCGCGTTACAGATCGTCGCTCCTTGTTGCTGACCTACTTTTAGGTATCAACTTGTCTACTAACTTGTCTACTAACTATGTAAGGAGAGCTGATCACGCCAATCGCTACCTTGAAAGAGACAAGTTGGGACCCTAGGTGCAGTCGGGAGATGGGCAATTCTTAATCCCCAGACGAAGAGCTGCTTTGGAAGAGCGGTGGAGCTTCGCCCTGTGCTGCTGCGCCGCAAACTCCAGCCCTGTGGGAGCGAAGCCTAAGAGGGGATGAAGAGCCGGCGATCCTCATACCCTGGCGTCGGATTTTGGATCAAGCCCAGCTCAACGGACTCATCTGCTAGTCTGATTCAGGTCACCAGGTTGCAATGAGGTCATCACAACTCGGGAAAAGAGAAGCAACAGGTGGCGGCGGATCAACAACATGCCAAGCAGCCCAAATGCACGCCAAAGGCTGCGGCAATTAACTCTAACCAGCATGGTGCGACCGCCGGTGAATTCGTTACTGGGCCACAGGTCATCAGTCACAATCTTGAATGATCGAAGGAGGCACTTGCAGGATTTAGCGCTTCAGCCTCAGCAACTAAACTGGACTTGGGTAAGCGAGATCACCGTTTCCATGTGAGCATAAAGTTGCCACGGGAAACTTGCCCGGGATTCTGCTGCCAGGCAGCTATCAGCCTTGGTTTTGGGTGCTTATCCAAAGCCCATCTGCCTGTCGTATTTTTCGTATCTGTTGTCGGCGTGGGTCGACTCCAAGCACACCCATGTAAAGGACGGAGTAGGCTTGCACTAGATAACAAGCCATTCTGCGCATTATAAGAATTGGGTTGGTCCCTGATTGATCCCTTTATCAGATTTTGTCTGACATTTGATCAACACACGTTCGACTGAGATCGGCCAAGATGCTCCCTCAAGCTCTCCTCTTCCTGCTGGCCCCTCTGGTGGTCGCGGAAGCCTCTCCCGACACCCCTTCAGACATTGTAGTCAACTTCGACCGCAGCCTCGAGGGCCTAATATCAGTCGAGCAGAGAGAAGTCGAAGTCGTCGATAATGTTGGGATCCCATCCGAGTTCAGCACCCCGAAGAAGGGACTCGATGCTGTAGACGCGAACAGCCTCCTTGACTCCCGCGCAGTTCTCGATACTCTACTGAACAAGCGCCAAACTTCTTGCAGCCCCGGATACGGTTATTGTGCCAGTGAGTCGTCCCTTGCCCGCCTACCGTGACTTAGTATTTCGTCATCTAACGAGTACCTGCAGGCTTTGGACGCTGCTGCCCCTCGAGCTCAAAGTGCTGCCCTTACGGCTACTGTATTCAGCCCAACGACACCTGCTGCCCCAAGGGTCCATGCGACGGCGATCAAGGATGCTGCGGCGCCAACAATTGCTACCCCAAGACCGGTGAATGCTGCTCCGACGGAAGCTTCTGCTATGCCGGCAACCATTGCTACATCAGCACGTCCAGGGGCCGACTCTGCTGTACGGATAGCAAGTGCACGGCGGCTGTTGACCGCTACGGAACAACGACCTATGCCAGTACCTCGACCTCGACCACCCGGTTGACCACTACTCGCGCCCAATACTACTCCTGGACGTACACCTACTGGTACTGGTACTACTACTGGACCGTCTCCGTCCAGATCGATGCTTCCATTGTCACGTCCACCCGCAGGACAACCACCACCATCTTCAGTGTCCAGACCACGGACGCGTCCGCTGCCTCCTCGTACTTCAGCGAGCTCTCGAGAACCGTCACCGTCCCAACCCCCGCCGAGGCCACCAGCCTGGAAAGCCTGGCCGGTTCGACATCCTTCGGCAGCGCGGCGACTCGGTCGAGCACGAGCAGCAGGGCCAGGTCGACCGCGGCTGACAGCACCGATGATGATACCTCCACCGACTCCAGCTCAACGTCTTCCAGGAGCTCTTCCACAACCGCTGCTGGGACTACCTCTGTCGTGCAAGGCTCGCCTGGTGGCAGTTCGGGTGCCGCGCGGCTGTGGTCTGGCATGAACGCGTCCGTCATGGGCTTCTTGTCCTTTGGGCTCGGTGTGGGCATTTTGGCCGTGATGTTGTAAATGGATCATGTCCGGATTCTCATGAGTATATGATAGATAGCATAGTTTATAATATGAATAAATATCCCGCTTTGGGATGCATCTGAAGTGAACTCTCAGGCCTACTTGCAAACATGAGGCGTCGTGAAAGAAATAAACCCGGCTGCAATCGTGTTCGACACAAGCTATCTATGTAGTCAAATAAAGAGAGATATCCGGAATATTCGACATCGCGTTATCCAAGATTGCTAAGGTTTTAATGAATAGAGATGTCGAGGCGGGATTCTGGGGTTGGTGATGAAATCCGCGGGGTTCAGCTCAAATCCCGCCAGTCCCCGCGGGTTACAAATTGAAGCACACTAGGATGTACGGAAACCCGAGATGGAGTAGCAAAAGATCATTTTGAATAGTGGCCTGAGATAGAATGAACCTAGACTTCCTCAACTATAAATGAAGGGTGAAGCCGCCTTGCTTGGACTTTCTTGCTCCATCCAGTCTTCCCAAAACTGAAGGCATCATCTTACCGACTTCTATGAAACAAATCATCCATCACCCAACCCCAAGGCTCAAAATGTCTTCCAAGCTCGTACGAATTACTATTCTTGTCCGCAAAAGGGATGATTTGAGCCATGAGGAGTTTCATAAATAGTGAGTTGTCTTTCTCGATAGCGCCATCACAATCAGAAGCTTTTATGCAGAGGCAAGTTTGAACTCAAGAGTCTAACGCAAGTGGCAACTTTAGCTGGTCTGAGAAGCATCCTGATATCTGGCTTTCCGTGCCTATTGTGCAAGAGAAGATCGTCAAATACTCCCAGTTCCACGCAAACGAAGCTGTTCGGAGCGCCTACGGGTCCGCAATGCCGCTGGCGTCCTACGACGGCGCTGCTGAGATGTGGGCGGCAAGTATGGAGGACCTCCTTGAGGTGAGTTTATGTTCAGTATTCACTTTTTCTTTGCCATTTAGTGTTTATAGGCAATGCTAATTGTCTCCCTCGCCAGGTCTTTACAAACGAAGAGTATCTGAGGATTGTTGTCCCAGATGAGCAGAAGTTTCTCAAGAGAGAGGAAGCCCAGATGATTGTTGGTTGGGAAGAGCCCAAGTGGCTTGACGGTAAGAGGGTGTGATCTGTTCGGTTTGGATCCAGCTCAACTCCTCTAAATTCATCTCGAATAATTGCAACTACAACGATAAGGCCGGAACCGGTATGAAAGAAACGAATTATTATAACTGGTCCCTCGTTTACTTGAATCCAATTATTTTTATATATATTCAAGGCTTAAACAGCTGCCCAAGTGATACGCTAAGCCTGCTCTTCCGCCGCCTGTGACTTGACGACAATGACAGCTTCCGGTTTTCCAGTGCTGCATCAAAGTTGATTGAGTTGTCAGATATCAGCCCTATGTTGTGAAGTTGTGCGCCCTAGATGTAAAAGGTTAGCATCCGTTGTTTGCGTCGTTTGATATCAAAGAGAAAGAACTCACGCATTTTGCATAAAATCCAACAACCGTGGAGCCATACGGATGCACATGGGTCCAAGTTGTCTCTCTCGAGTAATGAGACGGAAATTGGACAATCCGGCCTGTATTCGTTCGAACCTGTGCATGGAAGTTAATTCTTACCACTCTTGTCAAAATCGCTTGATTTCAATACTCACTCTTAGCCCATGAATAGAGTCTTCCTCCTGCATTACCTGCAACGACTTGACCACCTCCAACCCTGGCCCATCAATAGCCAGCGCGTGTCGATGCGAGCCGGAGTGCTTGTATACTATCTCTGTCGACCCGTTTGAGTACCGACCGATGTGGCCAAACGGTTTGTTCTTCGAGGAATCCGTATAGACAAAGTCAAAGCCGGTAATGGTGTCGTAGCCCTGGAGCCATATCCCGATTTCGACCAAATCACTCAAGTCCACGCCTTTAGGCCCGCCGAACATCACCACCGAGAATGGCAGCTCGAAGCTGTCGCCAGACGAGAATCGCTGGCTTCCGTCATAATAGAGGTCCGACGGGGGGACGTCGGGGCTCCATAGCGAGGAAGTTACCATTGTTCGATCCGAGTACAGTCCAATTTCCAGGACCGCTCTGCTGAGTGATACCATTTTCAAGCCCTAGTATCAAGTCAGTCATCCGCGACCCCGAAAAGAATGGGCAAAGTGAAAAGGAAATTTCTTACATCAAACTCGGCTTTGACGCCGCTGAACTCCCTCCAGACGCCTTCGCCAGCCAGTCGCCATCGTGGGAAACCTTGCGGATCACCAGCCCATGACGATAGTTTTCCGTTGTCCATCAAGGCGGCGACGGCCCTGATGCCAGACAGATCCAAGGCTAAATACCACCCCGCGATAGTATACAAGGACTCGTGCTCGCATTCAGGAGGAAAGTCAAGCGCATATTCTTTATCGGGGTGGATATACCCGATGCAGATATCGTCCCGACTCTTGGTGGCAAACCTGAGGCCCGACACAAAGATGCCACTGCCCAGCTGGACAAGAGAAACGAACAGCTGGCGTACACTCAGCGGCCCGTTCCCAGTCACGGCTCGAGCGCGCAGAGCCCTGCAGCCGCTGTAGAAGGGGTCGCTGGTTGTCCTAACGCCCCGGGCAGCTTTGTGCCATGAGTTATCGTCGACTGGCTCAAACGGCTCCAAGAATGAGCAGGCCGGGGGGCCCTCGCAGGGCTCGCGTGCCACTTCGCTGAGCAGGACCTTCATCTTGAGCGCGAGATCCCATATTCGTTTGCGGTTCTTTAGGCTTGTAGAGCCATGCTCCAGGGTTCTAATTGAGAAATAGAGCGCTTCCCAACTGTCAGGATTGGCTTCAAGGGCCTCTAGGATGTACTGGTATTCATGGTTAAACCGAGATTGCCAGAATGCTTCAGTTAGTTCGAGAAGGGCAAAAGAAGGTGCCGCTATTCGCAAAGCCCGGACGTCTTGAGATGGGAGTAGAGAGACGACGTTCTCGAGAAATTCCGTAGGCAACTGATAGAAATCATCGGCGCCAGCACCAATGTCTTCCAGGCGTAGAGAGCAGCTGTGGTCCGCCATCGCATCGTCCACCATCGGGGTGATTTTACCTTCAATCAAATCCATGATCGCAGGGACGTGGAACGGGTCTGCCTGAAGCCCTTCCACCAACGGCGCATCCCATGTCAGACTCTTCAGTCTGAAAGGCTTCGGCGCAGTATGGCTCGCTGCCCCGTGGTACGTATGCCCCCAATCCAGGATGCCGTCGTCGCCAATTGGAGTCGACAAGCATGCGAGGAAGAGCTTCCGCAGGCTGGGCTTGCAGCACGCGGCTAGGAGATCCCAACACGCCGCGTGGAAGCCAAATCCCCAGTAGAAGCCGGACGACCTGACGGACGAGGACCTGCTCCTGCGGCCCGGCTGGTCAGGCCCGGACGCATGGTCAAGGGTTAGTTTGCTTAGTTCGATGCTGATCTTGTCGCCGGGCCCGAGGACTCGATCGTCGTAGCGCTTCTTGTAGCCGCAGGGGGCCACGATGCCGTTCTCGCGGCAGAGCCCGACGCCAGACAGGCGGACGACTTCCCAGCAGTCGTCCTGCACGTATACTTTGGAGCGTCAGACCCGACCTTGCCGCACCGGGGGGCCTGCTTCTGTATCTGCAGGCAAAGGGGGGCGTACGTACTGGCTCTGAACTCTTTCATCCATTGCTGCGGAGCCTCAGCCGTGATGAATACGCCGCATAAAGCGCAGGCCGTTTGCATATTGGAGGTGCCGGTTGGCGATGGATGGTCATGATAAATGAGCGTCGTACGACTCGCGAAAGACGCCGGATCCCGGCGTGTTTGGGCGGTTGTTTGTCGCAAGTCCTAGCGGGAGTCTGCTGGTCATGTGACCGTTTCAGTTTCGTCGGGCACCAAAGAGTATTCAGAAGGTCTTCGCTCGTTGATCAGGTCTGCATTGACGGGATTAAATGACGGATTATGCTGCAAGCAGAGTCGTGGACCGCTCACGGCTCGAGCACCCTCCAGCCTCCAAGCCGCCCTCGGCACTAATATGCAAGTAATTGCTACCGTACGCAGCCCATCGTTGACCGTCTTTGCTTCTGTTGCTATTCCATTTGCATCCTTGACCCCTGACAGACTGACCGGCCTTCGGGAGGTGGAGCTCTATGACAGATTAGACAGATTGTGCAGGCAGCTGGAGACCATTTATACCTCACTCCTCATAATTACCCTAGACATCTCAGGTATGGGATGATTAAGGTGCTCTTCTACTTACTCTGTTACTATATACTTGCTTTCGAAGACACTGTATATACTTAAAGCTATAAAGCCCCTATTGAGTATCTTTTACTGCTACAGCCGATCCCTAATCTTTACGAGATCTCTGGTGGATCCAAACCGACTGGAATCCTTGCTGATCACCCTCCTAATACTTCAATGAATGGTACAAGCACACACATCACTCAACGTAAAGGGTAAATTCGGGATATTGTTACGGTGTTTACGTCACTTGTACGCAACACTATCAAATCAACGCACGTTGTACGCCCACAATCAATACTACTCACGAATCGGAACTTTCGTTTATGGTGATACCTCGGCCGTGAGACTCCCCTATTTTCCACCACATCGCCGCGTTTCTGTGGATGATGGGCTGATTCTATATTTTAAGGAGTTGGCAGGTGGAAGAACACTACGAGACATGCACGAAAACGAGGTTCTAGTGGAGGCTTGGCTTGTACTATGTACCTGATCATAGAAAAAGAACAAACAAGGGTGTTCAGCTGAGGTAGTCGACACAGGCCTTCCTAATTTGTCTGCATGGCTCTCTCAGCTGTGGCCAATATCCCAGCCCGACATGCGGGAGCCTTGAAGTAGTTGTTCTTTTTGAATAGGATGGGTTACAATTGTACCGCATTGGATATTTTATTGGCTCAAGACAGGCTCTGATCAATCCGTGGCGCTGTGTTACTAGGTGGCAACGATTGATAGTTGCCTACACGGATTCCCCAGACCGAAGTGGAATGACCAGAAGATTGCTTCATCAGAATTGACACATGACATGTCAATGTATGTTTGCAGTCATGTGGACAAGTATAGCGAAGTGCTACCTACTTATAGAGCGAGATGTGACGTTCTATCCGTCACAACCTCCCGAACCTTCGCCATGCATGAACCTCGGTATCATCCACAATTCACAAGTGCAACACAACCAGAGGCCGGAGTCCGCATATCATGTACATTGATACTCTTTTCGATATCACAAGCATAATGGCACAAAGAGAGAAATTAGTCGTACTACCATACCTGCCAGCTTGCGTTTATAACCGTACCATCACCCCGCATTCTCCGTGATTCGATCGTTCCCTATCCAAATTGATTGCCTATCTGTTTCGCAATTGTTAGCATATACCTATTAAAGACCCACATACGATCAAGAAAATGGAGCAAGACCCCGAGCAGCATCGAGAGTTCACAAAGTCCAGTGTCGTGATCGTTGGCGGGGGCTTTTCGGGTACGTTGCCAATGTACCTGTCCACCTATAGCGACTAATCTCAGCTTTGTGAATAGGGATGTGCATGGCGATCAAGCTGCTAGAAGCCGGAATTCGAGATTTTATCATCCTTGAAAAAAGCACTGGCTTTGGAGGGACGTGGAAGGATAACGCATATCCTGGATGCTGTTGTGATGGTGAGTGCTTGCCGTTCGAGGAAGGGTGTAAGAGTGGAAAAAGCTAACCGAGGGTGATGAAAACAGTGCTTTCGACCCTCTACAGCTATTCGTTCGAGCAGAATCCGAATTGGTCGAGACGATACCCCGCTCAAGGGGAAATTCTTGTACATACACCCTCCCCTCATACTACCCTACTATGCATGCGATCGGGATCTGTTGTTAACTTGCCGGTGGACGATATGTAGGACTATGTGAGGGAGGTAGCCACCAAGTACAAGCTATACTCATTCGTGCGATTCGGCTCCGAGGTCACCGAAGCGACTTGGGATAAAGCGTCGAAGGAATGGAACGTCTCTGTCCGAATGCTGTCTAGTAAGGAAGCCGAGGCTTGCGATAGTTACACTATCCAGACAAATTTCTTCATTTCGGGAGTTGGGCAACTCAACCAACCGTACTGGCCACAAATTCCAGGCCAAGAGTGTTTCCATGGGAAGATCATGCATGCGGCGCGATGGGACTGGAGCTATGATTTGACAGGAAAGCGCATCGCAATTATTGGAAACGGTAAGCCAAGACCTCCACCGAGTCGAACGATGTGATAGTACATGGGGATCATATCTGATTAATTCTAACAGGGGCCGCTGCTGTTCAAATTGCCCCGGAAGTAGCCAAGGTGGCGTCACAACTCACCATTTTCCAGAGAACGCCCAAATGGGTTATTCCGAGGTTGGATGATGAGGTACAGGAGTGGAAGAGGGGTCTGCTCCGGAACGTGCCCTTCCTGCTTCCCAAAATCCGAGCTCTCATCATGGATCGCAATGAAGGGACCTATGAGTCCCTCATCAGACGTGGATCTGCGGAATCTGCCGAGTTGACCAAAGAAAGCATCGCATTCCTGCACTCGGAGCTTCCGGATCGCCCAGACCTATGGGAGATACTTACACCAAACTATGCGCCGGGATGCAAGCGGATTCTCATCACTGACGACTATTACAAGACTCTTCGTCTTCCTCATGTCGCTCTGGAGACTAGAGACATCGGAACGATCACGGAGGAGGGCATCCATGTGGGCCCTCCGAAGACAGAAGGAGAGTCCTTGGGATTTGACCTGATTGTATTTGCTACAGGATTTCAGACTCAACAGTTCCTGCACGGCATCGACGTGCGTGGGGTTGATGGTCGACCATTGGGAGACATTTGGGAGAAAGGCGCCAGTGCGCTGTACGGTATCACAGTCGAGAGCTTGCCTAATTTTGGCATTCTCTATGGTCCTAATACGAATCTGGGCCACAACTCCATCATTCTGATGATCGAGGCACAAGCACGGTACCTCCTAACAATTGTCAAAGAGGTTCTGAAATTTGCCCAGCGAGGTCAAGGACTGGTCATTACTCCACGGCTAGGCAGGCTCCGGGAATGGAATGCTCAACTGCAAAAAGACTTGGATAAGACTACGTTTGCCGATCCACTATGTAGCAGTTGGTATAAGAACAAGGACGGCCATATCACCAACAACTGGGGCGGAACTGTGGTTGAGTATCAGAAGCTCCTCTCCAAGGTGGATTGGTCTGACTTCGAACTCGAACAAGACGACAGGGACCCTTCCTCGTTACCATCTGGAGCAGTGACCATTGGAAGAGTTGTGGAAGAATCGTTGGTTCGGCCGCAAGCCATGATTGGCGGTGTTGCTGTCGGTGCACTCGCTACCGTCAGTTATCTTGTGTATCGAAATCGTCGGAGGATTCCTCTCCTTGATTGAGTGGTTTGCAAGTTAACGATAGCGTGATGATGTGAGGTGGAATCGGTTGTCACATGTATAGCTTTTGATCGAATTGAAGTGTAATTTCATTCCTACTCCCGCTAACTGTCCCAAAAACTCCAGTCCTCCATAAGACATCACTTTTTTTTCAAACCAACTCGTCAAGCATACTCTCCAAATAAGCCCTCTGCTCAGTCAGATACTCTCTCATGGCATCAATATCAAACTCTCGTCCGAATCGTTCGCGCTCGCGGATCTTCTTGAGGGCCGCATCCGAGCGGTCGCGGATGACCTCGAGACGGTATTGGCTGTACTGGAAGTACATCATCGAACGGTGAGTGATGGGGCGGGATCCGGTCAGGATAGTTTCATCGCGGATGAGAGGGTTCTTGGGGCGGAACGAGGTGACCATGGCGATGCGCTCGGGAACGCCGGAGGCTGCGAGAGCGGCGTGCTCGATGTATCGACCCTGCATGACGACAGCGGTTCCCTAAATAGGTAAGCAGCGTACAACAGATGCGTTTCCCTGAGGAGTGGCGACTTACCATCGCGGGGCCCCGGACCTTCATGATATCGCCATTGCCGGTACGCATGGCCGTCTCTCCACCAGTCATACCAGTGCAATCTGAGAGCATGGTGACGCAGACGAATGGGTAGCTGTCGTAGTGCCAGGAAAAAGCAGACTTGCCGGGAGTTGCATCTTCGCCCTTGTTGATCCACACATTGACATGTCCAGTCTCAAAGTCGCAGGCAGGGACGAGTTCAACGCCAGCAATTTTCGAGATGTGAGCTAGAACCTCGGGACTGTTCCAGGCATCGAAGATAAATGGGCCAAGTCTACGAAAAGTACCATTAGTTTGTGAGAGGGGGAGAGGAGAGAGGTACACAGGTTGGGTGTCTGGAAACTTACTTCGGGCCATAGCATCTGATCATATTGGTGGCAAAAGTAGAAGCGTATTGGCAGTTTGTTAGGACCGAAGGGCTGAAAATCTCGGCCCTCATTTGCTTGATGGCCGCTGGGGAGAAAAGAGAAAAGGGCTCCGAAGCAGCTGTATTGGAGATACCCTGACCCTCAAGGCCAATCTCCCTCATGGTGTACAGCCTGCCTGGATCTTCAAGCTGGAGGTGCTTGGCGGCATTAAACTCAACAGGTTCATAGCTAAGACCTTCTTCGACGATGTACTGAGGCAGTTGCTCAGTAGGTCGTGTAGGACCCTTGGTAGTAGGGCCAACAACCTTGGGAGGGGTTCTGGGAATGGAGACTGCTGCAGCGGCCATGGCGAAGTTAAAGAACTGAAGCTGGAATTACTCTTAGACAAGAACTAGAGGGTAGCTGTGTTATCGCTGGTGGGCTTATGTTGTTGGGAGGCTTTTATGAGAGAGGAGCTTCTCGCTCCCTTCTTATAATCGAAAGCTCGTTTCCGATTCATATTGTGAGCGAGGCGATAGACAACATTGGTTCTGCCTGTGTGCCCAACCACAAACACCTGGGGTCAGATGAGCTGCTGGCCCATTGTGACTCCATGGGGACGCTCGATAAACTTGCAAAGATTGATCCGGAACATAGACTAACTTTTCATGGAAATTCTCATGAGAGTAGGCTAATTAGCCAATCATGAATAGATACGAACCAGCGCGGGAATGCAGCCGAAGGCGATGTGCTACTGATAAGCCCCTCCTCCCCCCCTTTTCAGGCCTTCAACGACTAAACTATTTCTAGTAACGAAATAGCAATTCTTGCATCCCATCCTCAATCGTTCCGGGGATTCCTCACGCAACACTCGCATATATGATATATTATATGTGGTGTGGAAACCAGCAAGGGGAGCCAATTATCAGGTAGCTGAGTTCTTCATTCGTTGTGTCTTATGCTCCCTGGGATCTTTTAACTCCATTGAGGCGAGGGGTACAAGCGCATTGGCTGCACATGACGATCTAAGTTAGCATCCCGATGGACGGACACGTTTGGAAAGAAGGAACCTGCATCGAGGTCACGAGGGCAGCCATGTGGGGTCTCGTGTTTCTGGAAGCTCGACCATACAGAGATAACACATTTCCCTGTGCATGATTGACAACGAGGCACGCTGCAGTTTCATCCTCTTGTCTCCTAGGGGAGCTAGGACCAAGGCAACTGTATGTGTGGGAAGTCTACTACAATTGAAAGTAATACAAAGCTGGGGTAATCTACCACCATGATAGCACTCTGAGAGAACTTCACTAGTAGAGATAGCCTCATTATAGCTAGTTAGTGTAGGAAGCTGATTTCTGTGGTGGCATGGTGCACGCTTGAGTAGGCGGTGGCGAGTCATCCTACCCACCCCTTGCAATGAATCGTTGCGTGGATGTGTGCCCAACGATCGAGGTGCGCATGCATCCAGGCATAGATACAGTGAACTGATTGATGTTCTTCATTTGGAAAATACTTTGCATCTCTTGCACATGCAGCTGGACAGTTGCTTATCCTGAGTGACTACGCAGTGGAACGTGGCTATCTTACATGGATGTGTTTACGCACCTTTGGTCTGGACCATTCTTATTTTGGTGGCCGCTATGAGAGCACATCCGGGCTATTACCAAAGAAAAGCAGAGGAAACTTTCGTAATTATGAGCCCTCATGACCACGTTTCAGGCCGGTGCTTGGACAGGAATAACACACAGCCAACACAGGTTTCACTCCCGCATCGGCCCATTTTACGTAAGAATTGAAGCTACGCTCCTGGTTTGTTCGAGAAAGTGAAAACTGATCTGTAATTTAGGGCTGTCAACTATATTCTAATGGAAACAACCACCGCGCCAACGCTATCGGGTATCAACTTCGACCTTTGACTCCTTCCTTTACTTGCAAGATGCCAGCTCATCGTTTGTGGGTAGTAAGCTGTTCAAACACTTTCATTCTCTCCGCTTGAAGTTTTCTTCGCCTTATTTCCAACTCCTTCTCTGCTTCGTTGAGCTGTAGCTGAACAGCCTTCTTCCTTTCCTGTGCCATCTTGAGCCTCTGTCCCAACTTCCACTCTAAACTTTCCATTTCTCGCTGACCCCTCTTAATCTCCTCATGGAACTCCATATCACTGAAGATATTGTCCATGAGCATATCGCTCATGACGTGCCCCTGGTTGATGTTAACACTGGGCAGGTCGTCATATCGGGCAAGTTGTGCCAAATGCCTGGCCTCACGATAGGCCATCTCGGCCTGGCCTAGAGCACTACGCTCGACGATGTCGGCCATATTGTTACCCATTATATCCATCCGAGAAGCCGTCCTCGCCAAAGCCATCAGGTCTGCAGCGTGCTTGACCCTCCTCGTCGCCTCGGTCATCAACTTGACACTCTGGGCTTCCTGCTCATGTCGCACACGGAGGTCATGATAGCGCTGCAGTGCCATCTCGTTCTCCCTCTCGAGAGCATCTTCGGTGGGAAAGTGTGGTGTTTCCCCTCCAAAGATAGCATTATACAGATTGTCAAGCTCCTGCTGGGCGGCCTGGTGGATCTTTGCTTGAGGCTCTAGCTGGGTCACTGCTGCTCTGGCGCCCTGGAGCTGCTTCTTCAAGCTCTCGTTCAAGACGGATGTTTCATGATGGCGCCAAAGAAGGTCGAAGTACTGCTTTTCTTCCTTTGATGCCTGTGCGGCAAACTTGTCCTTCTGGCCTGTCGCCTTGAACAGAAAGCGACGGAAGTGGCTGTCGCGGTAACTTACATGGTCCTTCAGCTCCGCCTCGCGTTGGTCGTTGAGCTGCCTGAGAGTGACATAGTTTTTGTTGAGCTCTTTGTCCAGATCGTGAATCAGTCGGAGCTGCTCGTTGAGGGTGGGGACAGCGTAGTCGGTCTCGGCGAGGATTTGGAGCAGCTCCGTATTGCGGCTCGAGGCTTGCTGGATCTGCTTCTCCAATATTGACATGCTTTGATGTGGTTTTGTATAACCTAGCCGTGATGGATGAAGTCTAGTTGGTGATATGATGTACTCAGAATGCGAAATACAAACAACACATCCAGTAGTACACGTCCGCTTTTGTATTCAGATAGTCAGCGCCATTCATCTAAAAGAGGTTATCTCCGGAATATGTTGGTAAGGTTATTTATTTGAAACGATCCACTCTGATCCGCTGTGGAATGGCTGATTATTGGCCACTGTCGTCTGTGCTTGGGACTTTGGCATGGCAGTGCTGCACCGCCACCAGTATTTTGGTTATTCTAAGCCTCGCTTGGGTCTCTCCAATTAACTTTGAGCAGCAGTACTTAGAGTTTGCTTTTGAATCTTCCGCTATGGAGCACTTGTAGCTGGTTTGGGGCAGCGTATGACTTGGAAATGGTCTGGGATACCGCCAGAAGAGGAAGCATCCCTGTAATAGCTTGATCAACTACCTAGGCATCACGTCGATATTTAAATGAGTGGAGAGAGCACCCTTTACACTCTGTCATTGAAGATGTGGCGAAGTGTAGATTGATAGGCTTCGACGTCAGTATGCCTCGATGTGATAGCTCTACCTTCAAGCAAGTTATGCCCGAAGAAGGACTCGGTATTTGAATGCACCATTAATGAGAAGTCTAGGCAATTCAGTCCCAGTGATTAATACGAGTCAGCCTGAGCAGCTCGCAACGAGCTTATCACCGCTGATGGACCAGAGCGTCCCTGAAAATGAGGGAAGGTATATATCTCAGACAAGACCCAGCTCTCTGTAAATTTTGGGCTTTCACTCTCTCACGACCAAAGCAAACTTGAATACCACACCCAACAACCGATTCGACCCTCACAATCCAGACAGGATGCCCGAATCAACCAGCACAGTCAAGCTAGACGCATATGGCAGCAACGGATACAGGGCACCAGACCGCTGCGAGAGCTGCAACGCTTCGGTGCCCGACCGAGAAGCCCGTCGCAAACACATGCAGGAAACCTCGCATCGCAGGTGTCCGCTCTGCAAAGGTTATGTCCCTGTGGGAGGGTTTTACACCCACGCATCTATCAAGCACGAAAACGAAGACTGGAACGAGCATCAAGTTGCCTTCACCGATAGGCAGGATCTAAAAAATGCCAAGTCTTGGGCGGTGCCAAAAGAGTCAAAGAATGAAGATTGATGGCCGGAGTGTGATAATGGAAGGCTGGGCAGCATTCATGTACGAAGTTAATGAACTGATTTTTTGTATCATTTGATCGATGGATTCGTCATACGGGGAGAAGATTGAGATATAATTGGATTCTAGGCGAAGGCATCATGGATTCAGTCGACATTTTGGACTTGCATGGATACGAGCTACTTTAACATCTCAGCCAATGAATAGTGCAGATCTTGACTACATTTTCTACCAAGAAACAAGTCTCCTACTGATCCAAAAGACTTTCCATCATGCGGATATAATTTGGAGGCCTGACCAAAAGAAGGTTCAGCTTAGTCCAGTGTCAACGGGTGTCTCTCAAAGTATTCATCGAGAGTCGTGAGCTTGCCTCTAGCTCTGCCTGCCGCCCATGAGACCAGCTTGTCCGTTTCAGGCCCAAAATAGCCCCCGTAATCCTGCATAAATATGTAGAACTCGCTGAAGGCGTCTCCTGCCACAGGGAGACTTTGGGCAAACTCTTCAGCGGACAGCTGTTTGTAAACGACCTTCTTTCCCGTAGCTTTCGAGAGCGCAGCTGCGATCTCATCCAGACTATACAGTGCTTGAGCCGCGGAGAAAGTCTTTCCTTCATACTGGTCAGGGTTGGCGAGAATAGCTCCAATCCATTTACCGGTATCCTCAGTTGCGTCAAAATAAGGCAACTTGGTACTTGGCGAGCAGGACCGAGAAAGAATCCACGTCCCGTTGGGCCCTGGCTGCGGTCCCAGGAAGGGGTGCTGATGGAAATTTTCCATGAAGAACCCGCCAGCGAAGAAGGCACTCTTGATGTCGAGGCTGCGGACATAACTCTCAGCCTTGGCCTTGGCGTCAAAGAAGGTGATCTTGGTGCATTTTCCACCTGACAGCTGGCTGATACTGGGAAGGGTGCTGTAGATAAGATATGTAGCACCTTGCTGAACTGCGGCATCCGCAATGGCCTTGACGCTTTTGACTTCTGTTTCCTCGGGATTGGAGCCAAAGCTGGGAGGTGTCATGATGAAGACGGTGTGGGCTCCGGTGAGTGCTGGGCCCAGGGACTCCTTGTCAGACATATCTCCGTGAACGACCTCAACCCTGTCTTTGAGCTGCTTGGCTTTGTCCGAGTTGACATCGCGAGTGATGGCTCGGATTTGGTATTCTGTAGAGAGTTCTTGATCATTCAGAACATTGCTGATGACAGAGCTCCCTTGGTGACCGGTGGCACCGAATACAACAAGAAGCTTGGGCATGGTTGATGAACAATTAGGGATAGAGGAGGAAGAATGGTAGGGTTGCGGCTTGGTATCTATTTCAAAAAGAGAGAAGAATGGCGAGCAATTTATAGTCGGGCTATGGGCAAGAAATCGGGCCCAATTGCTGAGCCAAAACGTGAGCTTTGCACCGGTGATATAGTGCGCCGTCCGTGGGATGACTCCGTGGGCCGCTCCGTGGGCAAACCCGTACCGTGGCCGACTGCCCCGGGTTACTATAGTGAAGAGCATAAGACCAGAATATTAACCCTTATTCCCGCAAGGTAAAAAAAAATGGTCTACATCTACGGATGCTAGCAAGGCTAGCTAGGCACTTGGTTATCGCAATAGGCATTGTATTACGAATGGAAGCAGAGTAGATTAGCCACCCTGGCGTATATTGTTTCGAGATTCGTTAGAAGGTAGAAATAATGAATAAGATTAATATTTGGACCTTATGTTCATTGCGCTTAGATGAGATATCGAATGCTACATTTCCTAGCCCGTTGCTGTCACCGAAGGGAGGAGTATGGCATATGCTGGTATAAATGTCTGACACACCGAATGGAATAGGCTGCTAAGAATGTATCTGACCATCAGCAGAAATGGATCAGCATTGAATCAACAGATTAGGCTCCCAAGCAGTCCATCAGTTGATTGGAGGATCAGCTCGGGTACCTCTTACGACCCGATAAAGCGGGGATGATCTTACCCAAAACAAGCTGAAGCTCGGCCATCCTCCTCAAAGTATCTACATTAGCTCAAACCATCACTTGGGTGAGATTACAAGCCAGCATGGGGTGATCATTGCTCCAATTCAATGACCATAGAACTTTCTGGACGACTCTTGCATCTCATGGAATCTCTAGAAGAATGAGTATAAAGACTCCAGGTGATGGCTGGTGTTGGAACGAGAATCAGACACAAAGTCACCACCTCCCAACAGTAACATATCAATCAACATTCCCACCTTGCTCAATATCATCTTAAAATGACTACCTCTGAATTTGGAACCCTTCCCTCTGGCGTGAGCCTCTATATCAAACCTTTCCACGCCCATGTTGAGGAAGAGAAGCTGCAGCAGTTCAAGAAGCTCCTGGAGTTGTCGCCAATTGCACCCGCTGTGTTTGAAAACACCAATGCAGGCACAAAGTTTGGAGTCACAAGAGAGTGGATTGAGAATGCCAAGGATGTCTGGTTGAACTCTTTCGACTGGCGCAAGGTTGAAGACCGTTTCAATTCATTCCCCAACTTCAAGGCTCCCGTCAAGGATGGCAATGGCCACGAAATCGAGATCCAGTTCTTGGCTCTCTTTTCCAAGAAGCCAGATGCCATCCCCTTGACATTTCTTCATGGCTGGCCTGGATCCATCTGCGAGTTCTTGGACATCCTCGATCTTCTGAAGAGTAAGTACTCTCCGGATGACTTGCCTTATCATGTCATTGTGCCATCGCTCCCCGGCTACGGTTATTCCTCCGGGCCGCCACTCGACGCTGATTACGGAATTGAGACGGCGGCTGGAGCGATCCACAATCTCATGGTCGGATTGGGATTCGGTTCTGGATATATTGCTCAGGGCGGCGATCTTGGAAGCTTCTTCTGCAGGGTGCTGGCTCTCAAGTATGATGCCTGCAAAGGCATCCATGTGAACCAGATGCCATTGCCTCCACTTCCCTCTGGCGAGCTCCCCACAGATCCGCTCCAGATAAGGGCGCTGGAAAGGGGTAAAGAGATGGTCGAAACCGGGCTTGCGTTCTTGATGGAGCACGGTACACGGGCGGCCACAATAGGATTTGTGTTGAGTGCTAGCCCCTTGGCACTGCTCTCCTGGTAAGATAATACCTCTTGACTTCACTTACCTGCCTACCTACTGACATAGTATTAGGATTGGAGAAAAGGTCCTTGCATGGTCCGATCAAGATCCTCCTCTGCACCAGATTCTCGAAGGTGTCACATTCTATTGGTTCACTGACACGATGGCTAGGTGCCTGTACCATAACCGCGATGTAAGTACAACCGTCGATCCATTGTAAGCTGACTGAGGCTGATTATTTCTATTCAGATGGGGCTTCCTGATGAAAAACCAAAAATTGCGAGGACAAGTGTAGTAAGTCGAGACCCAAAGAACCCCTTTCAAGAAGTAGAGTGTGGGGACTGACTTCTAAACACTCAGATCACTGGTCTCATTTCCATGGATGTTCCATATATCGAAAAGCCATGCGGATACTCCTCTTTCTATAATGAGATCGTTCCTGTGCCTAAAGATTGGGCTGCGAAGACCACAAATGTCGTGTCATTCAATCAGCATGATCGCGGTGGCCATTTCGCTGTAAGTAATCCCAACCTCTATTTTGTCTTTCTGATGCTAATTTTGTATAGGCAATGGAAATGCCCAAGGAACTCCTCTCCGACGTCGAGGAGTACATCCAAAAGGTTTGGAAATAGCGGCTCTTAAGCGACTTCGTGTCCAGTATTTGCAGCACTGGTTCGAGACTTCGACACATAGTTGTCCAACGGATTACACTACTTTCTTGTCCCTGCTCGATGGCGATCTTCAAGCCAAAGCGGGAGTACCTCTAACGGTTGTGGGAGGCGTACTTATAGCTTGAAGAATTGGGATTGTTGATGGCAATTTTATAGTTGGGCACTGCTTAGCAAGGGACCTCGAGGGTGTTTGGAAATTATCGATAGCAAACTGTTGTATATTGGCCTGGCCGGGATTTGTGAGTTAGACTGCCATGAGCGATCCCTTGTGGTAACTCTACAATCTCGCTAGGGCAGTCTCTTCGTCCTCTGTCTTGTGCAAAGTCGGGAGGGGCTTGGATATGTTCAATGAGAAAAATGTGCGATACACAACTACTGAAGGCAAACCACGCTCTCCGTTTGAGTGACCATGGCTTTTGATTGTGCTAATGACCCCCACAGCTGCTACGATGACAGCAATGCGAAAATAACAAGAATTATCAGATGTAATCATCGTACACGGATTAATCTAGCAATTCCTAAATATCCCATTTGACTTTCCAGCAGCTAAAATAACAGCTTTGAGTCGCTCGAGGCTGCTAATTTCTAGTAGTATGGAGCAACTAGCTTGAAGACTTGAATTTACAGGACGCCTTAATCAATGATTGATCCGCCAGACTTATATTAATCTCTAATAGTTTGCTAGCACAAGTGAAAGACGGACCCCCCAAAAATGAGGCCTCAATTCATCTGCCATGAATCGAAATATCCGACGAGACTGTAGCCTCGGATAGGCTGCAGAAAGTGCCAGCCAAAGTGAAACCAACGGTATTCCAAGCTCCTTTGAACAAGGCTCAACTGGAAAGGAGTCGAGTTTCTCGCAATTTATATCAAGCTCTGCAAACTGGGATGGGGACGTGGCTCAACCAGGAAATGACATGTCTCAAGGCTTTGATGCCTGGTAGGACCCCATGCAACGCATGATTCCTGACGATGCTTCTTCGTAGACAATACTTTGTTTGGTCTGTTTATTTGACTCTTGAGAGACTTGGACTAGAGTTTCAGAGTTTAGTCTTCGCAACGAGCTCGACCTTGAAGAGGAGTTATTGCCTAACAACAACACGACAAACAACCACAGGAGATTGAGTAGACACACATTGATAACTCAAATAAGCAATTTTTATTAACCTATCAGTCTGAATCCAGCGGCAGCTCTACACCACTAAGGAATAATATCCGACCCGCCTGTCCAGTAACTCATGCATCATCCTCACTAGCTGCGTCTGCGGTGGCGGTCGCATCCCTGAATGATTGTAGCATATGAAGCTCGTGTCGATAGGCGTCTCGGAGACAAATGCCCACCAAGGTAGGAGCATCCAGTGGTAATTTCACGCGTTCGTTGAACTGCGCCCATGACATGCTAGTAGCCTCTCTAGTCTGTGGGCTGTCACTGACCATGTCTGCCGCTGCATAGACGTGCTCTAAATTCTGGGCCTCGACGTAGAAAAGGTGCCGAGGGTCTCTGCCCTGCCGGTCACGTAGACGTTGGGGTTGGGGCATCCGGCGTGCCACTTCTTCTCCTAGCTTTAGCAAGAACCTAGTCTCGACTGATATGGCGTTGTTGTTGAATATTAGGAAGAAGCCATGAAATTTAAGAAGCCTGTCATAGAGACTCGATTGGGTGTGAGTTGTAATGCGGCCACCTGCACCGCCCACAGGCCGCGTGTCACCATCCGATCTGTCCATGTCCTAACTCAGTACGTTGAGGACGGGACACTGGACCCCGGTTTCCCTTACCAGCGCAGAAATGCTCCAGACTGGGTTCTCTAGAGACTCAAACGCGACAGCAAATTGTAGTGACAGTCTGAGAAACGCGCTATTCCCCCGTGAAGCGAAGAATGGGTGTAGAAAGAGGTCTTGAAGACCATTTACAAAGTCAAGCTCCCATAGGGGCGGCGCTATCATGTCTGTGGCCTGTTGTTCGTCCTCAGTTTCCCCCCATCTGCCAGGACAACAGAGGCCACGATGGGGTGACATGAGCCATAGCGGACTTTCTCGGTAGATCAAAATGCTGGTTTTCCAAAGCTTGCAGACCGCCGTCAGCATAGTAGGATGCAACTCGTTAAAAAGCGCCGCGCACTTCCGCAGAGATTCTGACACTTCTGGGCGCTCATCGTAGCGGGCCTTTACGTCGGGTGTAATGGCGGGAGCCTGAGCTGGCCGGAGAAGACCTCTCAGGTGGCTCAGATCCGTTATGGGGACTTCCGCGAGGATCTGGTCGAGTGTTCTGGCCATGATATCGCTTGTTTCCGCTGGCAGTGTTTTGATGTTGTTGTTGTTTGATGGGGAGCCGCATATGGATGCAGAAGCTGAAAAGTTGTCAAGAACAAGTGGCTGTGAGGTGAGGCCATAGGGGAAGGTGCCCTTTGCCACACCAGAATAACCAGGAGGGAGAAAGGAGCAGGGTAACCCATTGAAAGGCCAGATGCTACTGAAACCCAATCCCACCTTCCTCTTGAAACAAAACCTTTTCAAGCACAACAACAGTGAACACTTGCACTGAAACCTTTAGAACCCCATCTGAAGATATTGCGTGGCAAGGAATTCATACACAAGCTCTCTGCGCGCATCGAATTCAGTTCCATCCTCATTACTAAATGTACCCAATAAACATCACTACCAAAGGGGCCAAACACATCATGCCCAACTATCTAGATCAAAGATGCCCGGGAAAGCGATCAGCTCGTCAGTGCTCATTCCAGCAGTCTCCACCCCAGTCTCGTCGCCGACGTACATTTGTCCCGTTGCAAATGGGAGCTCAAATGATACTGGTGCTGGCGAGGCGTTGAGGAGCTGCCGGTTAAGGGTTTGCTGATCCCGGCGAGCTATTGAAGGGGTTGCACGCCGAGAAATGATCTGCGGTGGTGGTTGGTCACTGCCTCTCAGTCGAGGAAAGTCTTCAGTGATAATCTCCTCGATCATGCGCATAATAGGGCGGTGAACAACGAGTCGCTTCACCTGCGGTAGTTTCTCCCGGATGGCTGTTGCAGACGCCTCCGAGATGCGGGTTGGCGGCCGGCTGGGCCTGTCGACTAATGGGATCTCTCGAGCGAGGAGCTCAAATACATCTCGAAGGCAGTCCGCCCTGGGCCAGCGATCCGTCATGATGGCCAGTATATTTGAACATGCCCGGAGGGCATCAGAGACGTCAGGTGAGTCGTAACTCTCAGTGCGGTATTCTGGAGGTGTGGCCCAGCAACAGTAAAGTAGAGTTACTCCAGACTGAAATTGAACCAAAAGCTACCCTCAGAGGTTAGAAAAAAGATTCATTGATGCAGCTAGAAATATACTCACCCCTACCCAACCTTGGGCAATCTGGCGATCCATTTGGCTTTTTCGGAAGGCAAGACTCGCTTGGCTGCTCGCTTGTATCGACCAGTCTCCGGCAGCCCCGAGCACGGTCTCCTTGGTAGGGCGGTACAATGTGAGAAGGGTGTAGTGGTATATCATGGCAAGCCACCGATGAGAAGTGTGTCCTTTAGATAGTGGATCGGAAAAGTTCTGAACACGAGACTTGTAGGTTTCGAGTTCGCTTAGGATACGTATTCGCCACTCTGTGGCCTGTTCATAACGCTCTTTATAGTCCCATCGCAGAGTGTACCCAGAGATTTCCGACTGAATCCTGCGACACTGAAGAATATGTAAAGCCGAAGATACACAGGTATATGTGGGCGAATCTGGCAATTCGTTTTCGGCAGGTGTTTGCGCAGCTATAGCCTCAAGATCTTCATCGCTTATGTTCGAATACAACTTGGTTGTGATCATCAAATCCGATATAGACGGGGGCAGCTCGAAGGACGCCACGATCATTCGGTCTAAGCAATAGGCGGACCAGAAGCATCGGCGTCGGAGCTGGTTCTGTAATCGAATATCGGGGGTAGTCGGTACCGGCTCTGCCTCGTCAAGATGAAACTGATTTTGGATACAATAGCGCATTGACGTTGAGACAATGGATAGGATACGGGGAGTAGAGCTTCTGTGTAGCGCATGTGCACTAAGCAGCAAGTAAGCTTGAGCGTGTAAGATAGGTGAATGTTGACGAAAGACATGAGGCAATAAGGAGATGCCATTTTTATAGAATGTTCTTGCGTCCGTTCCGATCCTTGGAAGGGCGAGGACTAGCAGCGCGGTTGAGTAAACTAGGTTGGCAAAGAAGCCTTGCCAGGACTGAGCTTCTCTGTCGGCGGGTGAACAGGACTTCCAGTCTTCCAGCCATGACAAGAAGGTATCCCAGTGTAGAAACGGATACGTCGCCTGGATGCGTCCGCGGTATGCGCCGAGAAGCATATCTTCCACCTCCTGGGGCATGGCAGCGATAAATACTTGAGGGAGGAAGTCGCCTTCGCGGAACGAGCTGGTCGGAAAGCCTGGCGACTTGCCAGGGGCATTATGGCCGTCATCTCGCACCGACGGAGACGTCACGAGGCCGTAGATGAGATGCCCGAGGTCCTCATCGGAGTCATCGTCTCCCGTGAGAGAGAAGGCATCGCCAGGCGACCGGTGGATATGAGTTCGTCGCGTCTGCGATTGGTTGACGGGAGACAGTGAATGTGCATCACCGCCAGAAGCTGAGAAGTCGATAGCTTCAGATCGTCTCCTCTGGCCAGCCGCCTCAGGGTGCGTCAACACCGGTCGCCCGTTTGTGCTGTGCGCGCTGGTCTGCGTGAGCCGACGAAGAGGCGGAGGCGGAGTTTGTCCCCCGTTTCCATTTCCATTGCCGTTGACGAGGATGGAGTTGGCGACCAGATGATCCTGACTCTGATGGGGGTCTCGAGCTTCAAGCTCCGCGATTCTTTCCTCCAGCGCCCTGACATACTCAGGCTCCGAGTTGGACCGTGGCGCCGGAGCTGTTGGGATGCATTCGTCCCCCGATTTGACGCAATTCGTGCAGGGCCGGTTCCCCTCACACTTTTGCTTGCGGTTTCGGCATCGCCTGGAGGTTGTTGTGAGGATAAAAGCAGTGAGATTGGGTTGGCAGACCGGATTTACCTGCAAGCGAGAACGCGCTGTTTCTTCGCGGGAGGCTCGTCAGAAGACGACCGTTCGTGATCCATCGGGGCTGATGGTACACATTCTATCACCGAGATGTACGAAGCGCACACCTAGTCTAGCAGCGGGCAGAGGAGCGGGGTGAGACAATCCAATCGCTGCATAAGAATCACCGCCGCGACGGTTAGTAACGAAACGGAGGGCAGAAGGACTTGTCATGTCAGTAGCAAGGATAGGAAAGTGGGAAACGCGGGGATGATGGCGCAGTTTACCACCCACTCGCCTCTGCTTGGAGCCCTGCTGTGGATATTGACACCCGCTATTTCTTGGAATGGGCAAGCCGTGTCTGACTTGGGCCTGGGGTCATTCTTGGCCCAAATGGACAGGGAGATGACGCTGATAAGGGAAAGGTCATGACTAGCCAAGTCACTGGTATGTCAGAAACCAGGGGGGCGAGACCACCCGAGTCCCGAGACTATCTTCCGATGTCGGTTAACACATTGCACAACATAACATCAAGACAATATGTAGTACCACACGGTTATTTTGCAGATTGTTGTGTGATTATTGAACCTAATCGAAGAAAACCCAGCTTCCGGCACGCACACTTCGTTCACGTGGCCGTGTCCCATGTTTTAATGTCACCCACTTACTAGCTCATCTGCTTATCAACTGTCTCCGAATTATCCCCATGTGCCCCAGTCAGTCTGGCGAGGAAATCGTTCATGAATTGGAGGTATACCCACTGGCTCAACGTTTCTTATCTAACGCATTACTTCTCATATAACACCCCATAATGTCAACTCCATAATATTACCTATGCCATCATATTCGTCTAATGCCTATGTAATGCTATTCTGATATTCACTTACTGCTTCTCCACAATCTTCTCTCCAGCTACAGTCTCGTAGAATGAGTCTAATAGATACCCGCCACACCAGCTCAGCTTCTCGAAACCGTCCGCCATGGGAGTCCGTGCTAGAGCCGGCGTTTGAACCTCTCTCACATATCCGCCAATGGCCTCAGATGCCCACAGCTTAGCAAAGTCATCGGTCGCCATCAACAACCCCTGCAAGCTCCAGATCGGCTGGACCTGCCATACGATTCCCATCTTGGCCATGTCCAGGTGCATTGTCTTGACCTGCTCAGGCGAGAAGCCTGCCTTTCCGAAGTCGTAGTCGCCGGTATAGCCAAAGGCAAAGAGACGCTCAGGATGCACCTTTCGCACCGCAGTGTGGAATTCGACAATGTCGTCCCAGTTGGGCGCATCCATTCTGGCCCAGGTCACGTCGCCTAGAGGGGCTACAGCGAGCGCGCGCTCGATGATAGCCTTGACGCACGACTTGAAGAAGTACTGGCCCATTGCAGACCTGGGAATGTCCCAATCGAAGAAGACAGTTTGTTTCACCGTCCTTGCGGCAATCTCACGGCGAGAAGTCAGCGAACGAAATTGCGTCTGTCTGACCTCAGTAATATAAGCGTCGAATTCGTTCTCTGTGGCGACATCCTTGACGGCTTCGTCAAATGTCCGCAAAACAGCTCGGGATTTCCAATCGTTCCGAGCGGCCTTGAGATCTTCGCCATTGGCCTGGGCCTTGGCAAGGCACTCCTTGAGAGGTTCGACGCTCTTGGTGGCTCCCTGCACGTACTCATGATCTCTCTCGTCAATCACACTGGTGATAAACTCAGAGTGGTCAGTGTCGCACCGCGTAAGCAACAGCGTCTCTGCACCCATGATATCAAACTGCATGCGGACTGCTGCGAGTCGGTCAATGTATTCGCTCGTAGGTACGACGGTGCGACCTTGTCCAATGGTAAACTTCTTCATTCCAATAGCGAGGTCATCAAGATGAATCATGGCCACCCCAGCGTCGACAAACTCCTTGGCCATCTTCATGGTCGAAGTAAGTGACCCGAAGCCCTGTCAATCGTGTCAGCATCAGAAAATATCGATTGACGGGATAAAGGGGGGGAATGGGTAGGTAGCTTATACATACCATATCACCATCCGCGACAATGGGAGCGAGGTAGTCCCAATTCTCCAGATTGGCGCGATCCTTTTGTGAGTGGCGTAGTCGGAACTGGCGCTGTCTCTGATCGTGCCATTGTTGTGATTTGGAGATCTTGCTTACAACCTTGGGGACAGTATCCCAAGGATAATCACAGGCGTCCATACCAGGCACGGAGACCTCGGAGAAGCCACATAAAGCACCAGAGACATAGACGGTCTGGCAATGTTTGGCCATCTGAGTAACCACAGTGGGATCAGTGGTACCAAATGTCAGTTCTGTTGTGCCATTCTTCCTATGCTCGTGCAACAGATTCCACAGCTTAACAGCTTGGGAAGATGAGACAGGGTTGGTAGTATCAATTGAAGTTCGTAGTGCTGCGATTGTCTGGGCAGTATAAGGCCTTGGATAGTTTTGTTAGGCGGGTTTACATGCGGAGCTTCACGACATGGACGTTGGTTAGTAGCTTACCTCTTAAGATGTGCTTGCCTGGGTGAGCTCCATTGCTTCTCAATAGCTGCTACATCAGCTTCAAACTGGCGCTGCTCGTCCTCGATCGAGATGTTGATCTTAGGCATGTTGAAAATTGTAATTATTGGAGTGTGTAAGAGGGGAGGTAGTGAAGCAAATGATGCAAAAATAATTTGCAAGAAGTATTAAATGAATAAAATCCAGCAAGAGCTCTCCTTTAAGCTTCTGTAAGCTGTTGGATCAGAGGATATCGTATCGGATTGAGCTCCCCATCGAGTTGGAATTGGGGAATAACCCACGACCTCACAAGTGCCTCCACACGACTGGGGCTAGAGTTTGAACCTTGCAGAATGGGGAACGAGTCCGACGGATTGCACGGCGGGCTCGATTCTCCGGTGCGGAGAGATTGGATGACACCTCCACATTCATCCCTGATACAGGCGGAATCCTGGCATTTGTCCATCGATCATTGCAGCCGCCACGGATCATGTTATCCAAAAGATGATTGATTACAAGCCATCGGGGTGTCTCAAAGTCCGACGAACTTGTCCGATCAACCACAGTGCGTAGGAGAATCAAAGTCCTGTGACTATCAGGACGCCAAGTCTCCTTCGTTTCAGGGATTTATTGCATCTTCCCTGAAGGGCTAGCTAGACCTCTTTTCGGGAGTCAGACATCTACATTCCAAGCTCGACCAAAAGTCTAAGAGCAACTCTAATCAACACAAGAGCTTGAAGTCAATTTGTCTTCTACAACTTCAGTGTTGAGATCGAGCTCCTTACTTTGAAACCCAGCGAAGTTGATAAACCCTAGCTAGGATTCATCGACATGCCAGAGTTTATCAATCTGCAGCTTGGCTGGCCAACACCGTCTCTGTTTCCAGCAGAGGATGTGTTGGAAGGTGCCTCGAGGATTCTTCAGTCACCCAAGAAGACGGCTTCGGCCCTCATTTACGGTCCAGATGCTGGCTACGTCCCACTCCGTGAGAACATTGCCGCCTGGCTCACCGAGTCGTACAAGCCTTCTGGCGGTATTATCAATGCTGATCGAATTTGCGTCTCTAATGGTGCATCGGCAAACCTGGGCAACATTCTGTCTAAATTTACAGAGCCAGGATACACCAGAAGGATATGGATGATCGAACCCAGTTACTTCCTCGCCTGCCCCATCTTCACCGATTCAGGTTTCGCAGGTTGCCTGAGGGGGGTTCCCGAGGACGAGGAAGGTCTGGACATCGAGTTCCTGCGCGCTTCGATCAAACGTGTTGAAACAGAGCTAGATCATCCCACAGCTCCAAAGTTCAAGACCGGTGCTCGGTACAAAAAGATCTACAAACATATCATCTATGCCGTCCCTACCTTTTCCAACCCCAGCGGCAAAACGATGTCTCTACGCCGACGACAGGATCTAGTACGTCTAGCTCGAGAATTCGACTGTCTCGTAATTACAGATGACGTCTACGATGTCTTGAGATGGCCCAAGGACGCCAAGGATCCCCTTTCATCTTATTTGGGTGCCATTCCACCCCGTATCGTCGACGTTGACCGTACCCTGGACGGAGGGCCGAGTCAACCTTGGGGTAATGCCGTTAGCAATGGGTCTTTCTCTAAAATTATAGCCCCCGGCATACGTACCGGGTGGGCGGAGGCAACGCCAGCGTTCGCTCTATCTCTTTCTGAGCTGGGAGCGACGAGATCCGGTGGCTGTCCAACTCAGATTGCTGGAACGTTTGTAGCCGAGATGATTGGCACTGGTCGTCTGCAGTCACACATTTCGGATGTTCTGATACCCACATACAGTGCACGTTACCATACCATGTTCCGTGCTATAGATGAGTACTTGATCCCGTTGGGGTTCAAGGTGTCGATTGGCAAGCTTTATGAGGAGACTAATGCGGTCGTCAACGGCCACGGGACTGCTGTTCCCGCAGCTGGAGGTTACTTTACGTATCTGACAGTCCCTGCTGACTTACCTGTTGACACCGGTAAGCTCGCAGCGCTGGCAATGGAGAAGTATAATCTCAAGTTTGCTTTCGGAGCTATGATGGCCGTGGAAGGCGATGAAGGGAGTTTGCAACGATCTGTCAGCGGATACGGAAATGGAATACGACTGTGCTGGGCGTGGCACCCGGAGGATGAGATTCTTGAAGGCATCCAGAGACTAGCAAGCCTTGTCAAGGAGATTCAGCAGTGATTAGTGACATTCCACCTAATGTTCCTAGACAGTAATACACATGGCTATTCTAATCTAAAACACAATATCCAAATAAGCACATGAATATACGTTTCAAAGGCCTAACTAGTCCAATTCTCTGCGTAGTCGACGTGTTAGGGGAACGAGCTCTTCATACGATGTCGGATTTCTCAAAGGTAGAAACATCACTCATATAGCCTTCGTCAAGTGATCTTATCAAAGGCTTGCATTTGATTATCGATGATGTTCCAAATGTGATCTGAAATATGCGCTTAGGTTTTAAGCTTTACCATAGCCCTTCGTCCACCATCCGTAGGTTATTTATTCCATTAAGCTTCACAATAGAGGCGGTGTCATCAGTCCCCCAATGCCTTCAACCGCCTGTCGACCTTCCATCATGAACTTCGCCACCATATCGGCAGCGACTTCAGAGTCATCTTCCAGATCCGTGTTATCCAATGCACTTTGGAGAATTTGCGCATCCCATTCAGCCCCGAAAACCTTCAGAGTCTCCGAGTTGATGAACCGATCAAATTCAAAGTGGCCTTGGTAAGTTAGCACGCGACCAGGCTCGTATACGCCCTGTATAGCGCATTGATCGGTGCTTCCCATTATGATCCAAGAGCTAGGTAGAGCTTCAGGGGAAGGAATGTTGACGTTGTCGGAGTGGATGAACTGAAGCCGCAGGGAAGGCTGGTCGTAGCAGGCCTTTCTGTAAGCCGGGGCAACTTTGATTTCATGAACCCCAATTTCCCATCCCTGTGGATTCTTTGCCACATAAGTCCCATATTCCCTCAATAGACTTTGGCAGATGATCTGATGGCCAAAGCAACTGCCGAAGAGCCGTACTTGAGGATAATTTTGATATACATCGAGAAGATAAGCATCCAGCTTGTGTATCCACTGATTATCATCATAGGACGAAGAAGCAGAGCCAGTGACGAGAAGAGTGTCGAAATCGGAGGGCAATCGAGGGTACTCGCCACGGACAACATCGAAATCCTCAGATTCAATGGTAATGTGAGGTGCAACTCGCGAAACAGCCGCAACGAGTAAGTTGTGGAAAATGTTTCCATAACTTCCTCTTTTCGCAACAACATTCGGCACAGGGGTGTCGGCGTTGAGCATAGCAATGCGTATAGTTCCCGGCACTGCAAGCATGGTGACTGTCGTGTTTTATTGGATATAATTTGTGCCCGTGCTCTTTGTCTGCTTGTCCAACTTCGAGGTTTGGCTTTATTTGGAGTATTTGTTCCCAAAACAGAGGATCAAATAATACCAAAGATTGAGTATGAAAAACTGAGGAAGCCAAAAGGGCATCAGTTAATAGCTATTTAGTTGCAAGAACTTAAAGAGAGATAGCAAAATGCATGAAGGCTCATGACTTGGACGGTCTCTAGGAACTTAGGAGTTTCAATGACCGTGCAGTCTATTTCCCAACATATCACATCATTCAAAACAGTATAGCCTTTGGGTCCTTGTCATCAAGTCAGTGGCTTGAGCTCGGGTATTCCGGGGCCAACGTTGCCGTAGCAAAGGCCTTCATGAGAGACACAAGGACCAGCAGTAGAGGTTCGGACTGACTTTCCGTCACTTTCGCATTCCAAGAGTCCGACGTATCCCTGTCGTGTGACCCACCCCGGGGCTGATAACCACCATGAAGAGTCATGCATTTCTCCACCCACCCCAACTCCAAACCATAGTCACTATCTACAAGCATCAGTCTATCTCCTGCCATTGTGCCTGGCCTGTATCAATTGAGGGGAAGACAGTTTAGCCCCATTCCAGGACCAGCCATCGTTTGGGTCGACACCACTACGCACTCACATATCCGCTGCTTGCTGCTCTCTCCTCATTTGGCCAGCCCGTCGTTCTGGATCTCCAACCCATGCATAGTCCTGATATGACATGTTAATCTGGGCTCAAGCTTGGTTTACACACTGTGACAAGCTTTGGCAGCAGCATCCCGGAGATAGCAACCTTGCACACCACCATAACATTTAATACCATTCAACTCTGTATAAAGACTGCCGACTGCAACCACCCTACCTTCCGTTTTCGAGACCGGCTTTGCTCCATTGCAGCTTCCCACACATCATCGAGTGCCTCTTTCATCATTCATACATTCAGACCTCATCATGGCGGACAACAGCAAAGCCGCCAAAGTGTCTACCCTCTCACCAGGCGAGGTGGAGGACAATTCCTCCATTGCCCGTGGCAAAGTCGATCATCACACCATCACCGATGCGAACAGCGATGTCGATGTCGCGGCCAAATATGCCAACATGTTCACCAATGGTGAAACCTACTCGATCGCTGAGTGGGTGAAGCTCCGGTGGAAGCTCGACCTGCGCCTTGTGCCTCTGCTGTGGTTCAACGTCACGCTTGGAGCCATGGACAAAGTTACCACTGCAACAGCTTCTCTATATTCATTTAGAGAAGACACTGGACTCTCCGGCGACCGATATAGCTGGGTTGGAAGCGCTTTCTACGTAAGAACAACCCCGGGGAATGTTGGTTTCAATATAATACCCTGCTAACATGGCACGATTCTTCCTAGTTCGGTTACTTGGTTTGGTGTCTTCCTAGCGGAAGTCTGCTTCAAAAATATCCAATCGCCAAGCTCATGTGTGTTGCCCAGATTCTCTGGGGTTTGATCCTCATCGGAACTGGATTCGCCAACAACTTCGCCTCGCTGATGGCGTTGCGAGTTCTCCTTGGTGCGCTCGAAGCTCCCATCGTCCCAGGAAACTTTCTTGTTCTCAGCATGTGGTACACGCGTCGCGAGCAGCCCCTCCGTACGGGGTTGATGTATACTGGTCTCTCTGTCTGTTTCACCGGCCCCATCGGTTGGGGTATTGGCTTCTTGGTGGACGACCACAAGTGGCGCTCCATGTTCTGGATTACAGGTGCCATGACAATTGTTTGGGCGGTTATCATCGGGTTTTTCCTCCCTGACAACCCAGTCAAGGCCAAGTTTGTCACCGAGCGTGAGAAGGCCATTGTCGTTGACCGCCTCCGTGCTGATCAGACGGGTGTTGAGAATAAGCAATTTAAGAAGGACCAGCTCATCGAAGCACTGACTGACCCCAAGACATGGCTCATGTTCTTCTTCCACATCGTCATCTCTATTCCCAACGGTGGTCTAACCAACTTTGCCCCTCTCGTTATCAAGGGCCTTGGGTATACTTCGCAACGATCAACCCTGCTTACGATGCCCACCGGAATCATCCAAACCTTGTCTTCTTATATTTGCAATGGAGGTGTCTTCCTCTGCGCAAAGTACTTCCCTAACAAGCACTGCCGATCAGCATGGGTTATTTTTGGCATCATTGTTGGCCTCATCTCTGCTGTATTTCTGTACACTCTGCCCCTAACAGACTATCAAGGGCGACTTGCTGCCTTGTACATGTCCTACTTTTACCTAGGGCCTTACATTGTAAGCTTGGGGATCAACACGGCCAACACGGCGGGGCACACCAAGAAGGTCACGGTAAACGCCCTCATTTTCATCGCCTACTGTGTGTCCAACATTATTGGCCCCCAGTTCTTCAAATCCGAGCAAGCCCCCGTTTACAGTCTCGGCATGGGTGCCATTCTCGGCAGTTATGTTCTCGCCATGATCATCATGGTTCTCTACGCTACGTACTGCTGGTGGGAGAACCGCAGGCGAGATGCTGTTGACGAGGCGGCTGGACAACAAGCGCATACTGATACTGATTTCCGGGATCTCACGGATAAGCAGAACATTCATTTCAGATATGTCTGGTAAGGTCTCGGATGAGATAAGTTTCCTCACGGAGAGATGGACGCCCAAGATTTGTCGGTGGGCATAGTTGTATTGGAAGAGTGAGTTATTACTGCCTGAGCACTATGATCTACCTCCAGTACGAACATTTAGCTAGTAGTAATACCGAATTATTCAAATTGCCCTGTATCCCCTCATGCCAGCGTCTCTGAACCCACTCCCAAAAACAACCTAGTCTCAACAGAAGCAAGGCTTCCGCGGTGAGCATCATTCCCCAGATCAATGTAGACTAGTGAAGTCACGTTTCCCCGGATTCCTTTCATAGGTGACATGGGTGGGCAGCTAAATGCGGTCTGATTCTGCATGTGGTGAAGCTAGAGGAACAAGGTAATCCCACCGCGGAAGGCCAACTCCCCCTTTTCAATATTACAATTTAATAAAATGCTTCATCGATGGTATCATATTCACATTGCGTTTCCGTCCCACTTTAGCTTCGTCACGCAGCTTTCAATGTTGAGCCTGTACGGGCAAGTCAGTTATTTGATGCTACCCGGTAGGTCGTCAACAAACCAGTTAAAACGACGCCATAGTCTATCGAACCGCACCCTTTACATTAGGGCATTACAACTCCGAGCTACTTTTCGATTTCTTCAATGCGCAGCCAATTGTCACGCCTATAACAAAGGCATCGTTTGTCCTATTGCATGTTGTCTTTTGGCATCGCGACGGGGATCAGGTGTGGGGCAAAGAGTTACCTACCCCGCTTTGTGCGCTATCCAGAAATGTATTAGCTCCAACAGTCTTACGTCATGAGCGGCTTCATCCCCGTCTGGAAACGACTCAGTCACCGAAAACTGTTGGTCTGGGGTAAATACATGTCCGATAGACCCTGCGCTTTCGGAGTTTGACTCCTATCAGCTCGACGATTCGGCGTCAACTTACCGAAGCTTATCTCCTCCTTTGCCGCATGACTTCTGGGAATATGCGGCCGCTACCATCTTGCCTTTGATAGGTGAGTGGACCTTTGTTCGTGCTTGAGTGCGGAGCGCCTCCAAGCATGTCCAGGCGGATGCCTCGGGGTCGGACATTACGATCACAACGGGCTGGAACACCGTTCTCTTGGCTAGCCTTCGGCAAGCTTCCGAGCTACTCGCGATGGTTTGCGGGGATGACTGATTGATAGTACTTCATCATCACCATATGTGCATGCCATGCGCATATCATCCCACAGGAGATCGCACTCGAACAATCTAATTACAACTTCCGATCGTACCTAGCGCCCATCATGCCTTTCATCAATGGGACAGCGTCTCCAAGCCCCAAAATCCGCATCGCGATTGACAGAGGCGGCACCTTCACAGACTGTCTGGGTATTGTGCCAGGGAAGCCAGACATCCTTGTCAAGTTATTGAGCAATGACCCAACCAATTACCCAGATGCGCCTACAGAAGGCATTCGCAGAATCCTGGAGGCCGCCACGGGGAAGAGCATTCCTCGAGGCCAACAAATTGACACGAATGATATCGAATCTATTAAGATGGGCACGACAGTTGCTACAAACGCCCTGCTAGAGCGATCCTCAACACCATGCGCTCTCGTGGTAACGCGAGGTTTCAAGGATCTCCTAAATATTGGAGACCAGACCCGTCCCAAACTATTCGATCTCAACATTCGCCGCCCTGAGACCTTATTCAAGGACGTTCTTGAAATAGACGAGCGTGTAACTTTACATGATTCAACCGAGGATGCAACAAGCCTGAGTGACCCAGAACGCCGTTCCTTTGACCTGAGAAAAGGAGTCGGCGGCGAAGCAATTCGTATTTTACAACCACTAGGTGAGCCTTCTATTCAGTGAAACTTTGGGAACAATTTAGAAATGTTCTAACAAGCTCGTGTAGATTCTGATGGCGCCAGAAAGGGATTACAGGAGCTATATGACAAGGGTGTCAGAGCTCTTGCCGTAACTCTCCTCCATTCATACACTTTCCCAGACCATGAGCTCCAGCTCTCAGAGATCGCTTCCGAGATTGGCTTCACGCAAATATCTTTGTCATCACAGATCTTCCCCATGATCAAGGCTATCTCAAGGGGCTACTCCGCCACCGCCGATGCCTACTTGACCCCTCTAACAAAAGCCTACATTGACGGCTTCCGAAGAGGATTCGTGGGCAACCTTGAGGATTCCAACGGCGCACGCTGCGAGTTCATGCAGAGCGACGGTGGGCTAGTCGGATGGCAAAGCTTCAGCGGCTTAAAGGCCATCCTGTCTGGCCCAGCTGGAGGCGTTGTGGGCTTCAGCCGCACCTGCTACGACACGGAGCGCAAGAAGCCAGTGATTGGCTTTGACATGGGCGGTACCAGTACCGATGTCTCCCGTTTCGCGGGCACATTAGAGCATACGTTTGAGTCCATTACCGCCGGTGTTACAATCCAGTCTCCCCAATTAGAAGTCGATACCGTTGCAGCTGGTAAGTGACTACCCCCCCAGTGATAGAATGATCAAATAACTTACTTTTGCTCTTGTTTCTCCATAGGCGGTGGCAGCATTCTTTCATACAAGAACGGTCTGCTTCTCGCAGGCCCCGAGTCTGCGAGTGCGCATCCTGGTCCAGTTGCGTACCGCAAGGGAGGTCCTCTCACAGTTACAGACGCCAATCTTGTCCTTGGACGTCTCCAGGCAGCCTATTTCCCAAAGATCTTTGGCCCAGAGGAGAACGAGGCCCTGGACTACGACGGTGCAAGAGCTGCGTTTGAGAAGTTGCTCGTTCAGGTGAATGCAGATCTGGCAGCCACTGGCGCCAAGACAAAGACGGTGGAGGAGCTTGCGCTGGGATTCCTCCAAGTTGCCAACGAGACCATGTGTAGACCTATTAGGTCTCTGACAGAGGCGAAAGGGTATCGTACGTCAGATCACGAGCTTGCCGTGTTCGGAGGCGCTGGTGGACAGCACGCATGTGTAAGTACCTTGGCACACGACTTCCAATTGTATCAGACGCTGACGATCTGGCAAATCTAGGCCATCGCCAGCAACTTGGGGATTGATCGCATTTTGATCCACAAATACTCTTCAATTCTGTCTGCCTATGGAATGGCACTTGCTGACCTTGGTGAGTGTCATATTACCAATCCTTTCCTGCCCATTTACTAACTGTAATAGTTCATGATATTCAGCAGCCTTGCTCAGTTGAGCTTGATGGCTCTCTTGAAGAGCTAGATTTTCGACTCAGAGAGTTAGAGTCAACAGCGGCGGAGAAGCTTGTATCAGATGGGGCGACCAGAGACTCTCTGGTCTTTGAGCATTTCCTCAATCTGCGCTATGTGGGCTCTGATACCACTTTCATGATCCCGCGACCAGAGAATGGGGCATGGGCTGAAGCCTTCACGGCCGAACACAAGAGGCAATTTTCATTCATCATGGCTGGCCGTGGTATTATCGTTGAAAATGTTCGAGTTCGAGCCACCGCTCAGAGCCCCTCCGTGGAGCCATCCTTCAACCTAGAGAAGCAGCTCTCGAGCTCGTCTCCCACTCCCGTCAAGGCTGACAAGGTCTCAGATACGGTCAAGATGTTCTTCGAGGGAGGCTGGACCGAAGCGCCTCTCTATTTCTTGACCTCGTTAGCAAAGGGAGATATGATCCAGGGACCAGCCATTATCCTAGACAACACACAAACCATCGTGGTGAATCCAACAACCAAGGCCATCATCTTGGAACGTCATGTCGTCCTCGAGCTGGATCTCAAGGCATCTTCGAAGCCCCAGGAAGAAGTCGCCTTGGACAAGAAGAAGGTAGACCCAGTTCAGCTCACGGTGATGGCACACCGTTTCATGAGCATTGCTGAGCAAATGGGACACGCATTACTCTGTTTAATTCCGATATTATATTCAGGTTCTTAGAACTGGATTTTTAAAGGTATTTCTGGGCCATAATGGCGCAGTCTTTGCAGTATGGCTAGAATGGTCGTTGAGATGGAAGGAGCAGTCTGCTCCTTCCCTGTGAAGCGCCATGCCCTCTACCGCAAGATCCACAGACGCTACCCTGAACTTTTTGAATTTTGTCTCTTCTTTCTTTGTCCGCAGGTATTATATATCTCTATATGTACCTACTTCTGGAAAGATGTCTCTCTCTGCTGTTGACCCTTCCGCTCCTGCCCCTGATTGGGACATTGAGTGGCCCGATTTCTCGCCTCCTCCCGCAGCCCCAACCCCTCCTCCCCTTCCAGAAGTCGTTCAATTCGACTTACTTTCGCCCCCTTCTCGTAGGTTACTACTTAGTTACCTAGGTATATTGAGTTTCATGTTAATTGTAGTTAGTTGATGCTCTCATGGAGGAAGGAGATGCTCGCCTCGACCTCCTTCGAGAAAGTGTGAAGAAAGATCGACTCGGGCAGTTTGTGGCCCATCTCTCAAATTCAACTATGGACTGGTCCCTGTCCTTAGAAGAATTGACGAATGGCAAGTGCCTTGTCGAAGGCATCGATTGCCCTGGCACACAGCATCTGGGCCTAGGGCAATTAAGGCAACATTATAATAATATCAAGCATAAAGTACGGTCCCTGTGGCAAAACCGTATTTCCAAGCACTAACAAATTATACAGAATTGGGATATTGCAGAGGGCCTCGCCCATGAGCTTGATGAAACAAGCCCGGAACCTGGGCCACCTAGGCTAGATATGCGGCCAACAGTGGCCATTTTATTCATGGCTGTAGCCGAGCCTCCCCCCTCAACAACTTCCTCCTCCTCCTCCACCTCAATCTCGCTTGTCTCGACACCGGCCAGGACACCGGCCCCATCCCCTCCACCGGCAAAGAAACGCCGGTCTCATTAATTCGAAGGATAACGGAGAACCTTCGTGTCCAGTATATTCAACAGAGTTAGGCAGGTCTCTATAAAAACCTCCACCACCGACGATGGGCTCGCACTTCTACGCAGTGTCGGTGATCAATTCTTCTTTAGAAGAAGCTAAGACGAGACCCAAAGTAAGTTGCTATATATAATGTATTATACAAAAGGTATAAAGGTCCTTAGAACCATTACAGTATGCGAGCAGTATCTTCACTCATATTGCCTCTAGTTACCGCATATTCATGAAGCATATCACAGACCATATATATTCTACAAAAGAAACATACGAGATATAATCATAAGATAAGTACTCTAAATTTCAATAGCATCTGAAGAACCGAAATACTGCTGATAACTCTACCTGGAAGCATATAGTTTGAGGGTACAATGTCTTGTAATATCAATAGATTAATTTCAGGATTATGGCTGGCTCCAAATTCGCCTAGGGTGACATTACATTATGACCAAAGAAGACTCGCTCAGTAATAAAAGTCAAGTATAGCAAGTGGCTCTGTGATATATCTACACCATTATTAGAAGATCATATACACCTAATATAACTGATCTATATTGAGTGCTGCTAAGTTCGTGGGTTTCCATCAATCGTAGGAGGGGTCGAGTTGGCTTGTGGCCACATCTCAACAAAAAGAAGAAAAACGAGATACATTCAGCACACGGGTTTTGGGTTGGTTGTATGTTTGATATGAATCGTATTCAATTGATCAATTAATCGCTCATAGCGAATTGGCTGTAAGAGCCCGCAAAGGCACTTTCCAACGTATCACTCGTAGAGGAATAATAAAAATAGGTATGAGGTCGTAAGTTGCATTCTCAAAGTCTACGGCCAAGGACTGGCTTTTCTGCTATCTAGGAACGAAGGCAGCCTCTCAATATGAGAAGGGAAGCCCTTCTTTCTAAGTAATGGCTGCGGGTTCAGATGCAGCTAGTGATGTTGCTACGAGTAAGTCTCTGGAAGGCGAAGACCTCTATGAACGGGCCAAGAATCTTACATATAGGCCCATTATATGGAGCTTAATATAAATGTATGGGAAATCTACCAGCAGTTGAGAGTTGTATATGCATTTTATACGGCAATATTGGGCGTTGAGTTTTTGTTTTCCTGATAATTTTTGTGAGAGTCTTTAAAGAGCTTTAGGTTGTTCTAGAAATAGTCTAATGATTTCTTAGTGTATCTTTGTTAATTGTTCATCGTCAGTAATTACGATTCATTGTGGATCTTGAAAAGAATTAGTGATCAATATTGTACTTTCTTCCTTTACTATCAGTCACCCTTTACCGCCGTATTCCATTGTTCTTTAGATACTCAACCAATATGAACCCAGAATATTCACTCTTCTCCTATCAATCCTCTTCGATATCGACGCCTTCTACGGACTCATCTTCTCCTTCATCCATGCCTGCAGCCACCAAAAGACCCTCCCGACCCTCAAATGGGGCGTAAACCTCAACGGCAATATCGACACCATTTCTTGGCACTGTACTGTAGAAGGACAGGTGGTAGTTAGCTGGACCCGGGATTATCCCGCGGTTTCCGGCGGTGTACCGAAGAGTATCGCCTGCGGCTATGCGATCATTGTGTGCTGTCCACGTGCATGGGCGGTTGAGGATGGAGCAGGCCGTACAGCAAGCCTCATAACCTGGACGCTGGTCCTGGATACATTGAGATTGAGATTGTTGCCGCCACATGTAGACGCATAGGTCACAAAGCATGTTCCTAGTTTTGGCGGCTTGCGTAGCAGCAACTGAATCGGTCTTCCACATGTCATCTGTGTTTTTGGGCCGCTCGGAGACATTAGTCACAGTTTTTGTATTGCGACAAAGTGCAGCCATTTGGGCACAATTATCAGTATAATTGGATCTCTCCGGAGGGGGTTGTAGGGCCTTGAATGGTCGAGGTACCCATGATGCCGTTTGTTTGAGATGGTCCCTCTTCAGTTCCAAGAGCCCGGTAATCGAAAACGTGGCATCTTCTTCAAACCTATCCAAAGGCTTCTTATACCGAATGCCTTCAAGCAATTGTATGAGTGTCATGGTCTTGCGCCATGGGGCAATGGCCCGCTCCTGGTTTCGAGACTTGACTCCTTGGAGGAAAGCACCTGCAAAGAGTTTTTGCCGAATGGGAAGTGACATCCATCCGTTTTTTGCTTCATCAAACCACTCCACCCGAATGCCAAGCTTAGACGCATCTTCAAATCCTTTGAATGGGCCCATCTTCGGGCACCCAAGATACGGATTGTCATGTGGGCGCTTGTCCTGCATTATTTCGAAAACCAGATATATTGGGGTTATGTCTCGGAGGTTGTTGGCAGCAGCCGTTTCCGGTGAAATCGAAAACATGGTACACCTTTTCTTTCCTGAGGCCTTATAATGAAAATACACTGCCATAGAGAAGGTTCCATGTCGACTCTGGTGAGGTCTCAAAAAGCGTGCTTTTCGATAGGTTGTCATAGGACGATCTCTCGGAAGAGGTGTAGAGATAGGGATGCAATGGATTGGTGATCCCAAAATTAGGTGAAAAATTGGGGATTGTATATTGCAGCCAATGTAGCTAAGCTCAGGCCATCCAGAGCTGGCTCTGGCAAGCTGAGTGACTGTGTTGAGAAAGCTCCATCGTGTATAGAGTTGAGGATCTATAGCCATGACAGCAGATGATCTGTACTTCACCAAGTCGTGGTAACAGTTCATCATAGAGACAACTGTTTGTTCAGCCATCTGGACGACTTCTTGTGTGATACTCTGTGACTGAGCCCTGGTCCATATTATGATGGGAATCATATAACGATCATCTTCTTGAGCTTTTTTGGCGATATTATAGTGCGGAGTGTTTTGAGCGTTAACATTAGTTTCGTGACTCGCGTTACGGTGCTGGAAGCCAGCAGTGGTTTGGCCACCATAAGCTCCCCAGCGTGGCGGAAGCCTATATGCTCGCAGGTATATGCCAAAGCATCCAGGATCTGGCCACGAATTGGTGACTCGAGGTAGGGATTGGATATCGCCCGCACTGAAGTTTCCATTCGCCATAAGCTCTTTCACTTTAGGCGTGAAGCCACTGGTGATAAGGTCAACGTTCTTGACGAGATTGTCACCAGCGATCATTGGTCTCAAATCGTTTTCTGGTAGTCCAAGTTCGACGAGTGTGGACTTTTGGTTTGATAGACATCGCCAAAACGACCGAACGAAATTTTCTAGGACCGAGCCTGCCGTAGCCGCTGACCATTGATTCAGAGAGTGGCTGACGACTTGGGAGGCCGAGATCCTCTCGAGGATGGGTCTCCATTTCTCACCAACCTTGACGATGTTCATTGGAATAAGAACTGTTGGACGCAGTTAGTGTTTGGAACTTATAGTTAGAGTGGATTATGCGGTATCTTACTGTCAATAAAAGCATCACCCTGATAGAATCTCGCGTGTCCCCATTCGTTGTTTTTCCCACCTGTCTTGACCAAATACCCTTCATTGCCTGTGTTCAGATGAAACTTGCCTCTGATCTTGAATCTCAACGGAATCTTGTTTTTGAATACATCTGGAAGCTTCCTGTCGGTGTCGTCAAAGGCATAAGGCTGCATCGTGATGATTGCCCTCAGTTGTTCCTGAGGGATCTGTGGCCTCGACGTACTGGTACGCTGGGCCATGGTGAAGCTATGGCAAAGTTAATTGTTGATATTATCTTCTGGAAGGGAAATGTCTTACCGTTTGCAATTTGAAAGATGATACTTGATCACTGGAATGAGGTATAAATCCGCTTTGTGATGATTATACAAAGGGAGTGTAAAGCATACGAAGCGGTTTCAGAGTTAAGTGTTCTTATCTGAGCGAAAGCGCAAAGAGTGAGTATCTCGCTTTTATTTCATGGAATGAATGTGACATACCTTCTAGATGCGGTTTGGGGTCTCAAGAAATAACGAAGCGCTGCATCATAATGTTAGCTAGAGAAATCGTTGTAGGGGAAAGATTATACCTGTATAGATATGAGAGAGAGCTTTGAGGAGATAAAAGTAGATAGCTGAGGAATTTGTGAAGGTTCTGGTTGGAGATTGGAAGGGAGAGGTGGGCGGAAAGAGGAGGATGTGGGAATCTTTATACTTCTCTTCCATATCCTATTGAAATACCAAACGAATTAATCAGAGGTTCCATGCTTGAATCACTGCCTCAGGTTATTACCGATATCGATATAAATCAGATTCATTATGGTATTATGTTAAAGAGATCTACACGAATACTAACTGTGAATCACTGCTTATAGCAATCAGGTTGTTTGTATTACAGAGAATAAATGGATGACTTGGAGACTCGATTGTTATGGAAGTCTCCTCTGACTGTGAATCAACGCCAACGGTTGTGAATCAATGCCATGTGAATGCTTGTGATAGCACACAGTGAAAGCACCACCATCAGAAAACCAGTGTCTCGGTCAACATCAAGGAGCGCCTTGATTTCAGCTGTGCACTCTTCAGCCCCGACGGCAGACTGGTTGCGAACGCTCCCCACGTTCCTGTTCATCTGGGCTCGATGGAACAGGCCGTCATGTACCAGCACAAGAAATACGAGGGTCAGCTCCGACCTGGCGATGTCATTGTTGCCAATCACCCTATCTCTGGCGGCACTCACCTGCCAGACATCACCTGCGTGACACCAGTGTTTGATAACGAAGGGAGAAACATCATTTTCTATACCGCCTCTCGTGGTCACCATCAGGAAATCGGCGGTATCCTGCCCGGTTCTATGCCAGCAGGTAGCGTTGAGCTTTACGAAGAGGGCGCAGCCATCATCTCAGAGTTCCTCGTCCGTGACGGCGTATTCGATGAAGAGATGATCCGAAGAGTGATGCTCGAGGAACCAGCCAAGTATCCCGGCTGCTCTGGTACCAGGAAGTTGGCAGACAACATCAATGATCTCAAGGCTCAGGTGTCTGCAAATGCCAAGGGAGCCGCGCTCGTTTCCGAGCTTATCGCAGAGCACGGGGTCGGTACGGTGCATTTCAACATGAATGCTATTACGGACAACGCCGAGGCATGTGTTCGTGACTTCCTCCTCCGGACGCACGCCGCAACGGGTGGGAAGCCTCTTTTCGCCCTGGACCATATGGATGATGGAACTCCTATCCAGCTGACTGTCATTATCGATCCCGAGACTGCCTCGGCTCATTTTGACTGGACTGGCACTGGAGAGCAAGGCTACCATTCATTCAATGCTCCACAGGCCATCACGCGAAGCGCTACGCTTTACGTCCTTCGCTGCCTCATCAACCAAGACATTCCCCTCAATGAAGGCTGTCTACGTCCCCTGACTTTCACAATCCCGGAGGGCAGCATCTTAAACCCCTCGTACGAGGCTGCAGTCTGCGCCGGTAACCCCATCACATCGCAGCGGGTTACGGATGTCGTTATCAAGGCATTCGCCGCCTGTGCTGCGAGTCAAGGGGACTGCAACGTGGTCTCGTTCGGCATTGACGGCAACATTGATCCGGAAACTGGCAAGCTGATTCCAGATACTGGTTTCGGTTACTGCGAGACGATCTGCGGCGGAAGTGGTGCAGGCCCTGGCTGGCATGGCACGAGCGGCGTTCATATTCACATGACGAACACCAAGATCTGTGATCCTGAGATTGTGGAGAAGCGGTATCCCATCTTGCTACGAGAGTTCAGTATTCGAGATGGCAGTGGTGGTAAGGGGCAGTGGAATGGTGGCAACGGCATCCGGAGAGTCTACGAGTTTGCGAGAGACATGGGATGCTCGATTGTAAGCGAACGACGTGTCACAAGGCCATACGGCATGAAAGGTGGTAAAGACGGAAAGTCTGGCGTCAACTACATTGTCAAAGGTGGGAATGGCGGTCGCTGGTGCAGAGTAGGTGGACGAAAGGACTTCAAGGTAGCTAAAGGTGACTGGTTCGTCATTGATACACCTGGAGGCGGTGGATGGGGCCCCCAGGCAGAGGCTGATACAGGCGGAGATGCCGAAGTGCGACATCCTGTGGAGAGAAGATTTGTGAGCCAGTTTCAGTTGGCGCAGGAAACCAGCAACTAGGTGACCACACTTGTATTTTAAGCGACTTGGATTCTCTTCTGAGCCATAGAGAACGTAGTCTATATGAACAGATCGCTCTTAGTTTAATCACAGGTGCTCTTTCAAGAGCGATCCTCAGAGGTCTCAACTTCACTAACGTCTACATTCTTCTGTTTAAAGAGAGAGCCTAAAAGGTCAAAGAGACATAGCGCCTTTGGCACGCATATTCCCAACTATTCGAAGATTGTTAGAATGGCTTCTTTCATGATAGTAGTTAGACCTTCATTATACTAACAACGTTCAAAACATAGCCTGGTTTGCACACACAACCAGGCCTGCAGACAGCAGGGCAAGCTCGCGGTCCAACTTCCAGACAGGTGGGTGGGCAAAGGGAGGCACAATCACTGTATACCGAGTTGATCTGCGGCCAAGCGATAAATCTCTTAAGTTAGCTAAAGATTTCTTCCTGAGGACAAGCTCAACCGTTACACGTACAGAGCACACTGGTGTTGGTGTTGGCACAGGAGAAGTTTCGGCATCGGGTGAAGTAGTGGCAACGATCCCTGGAACAAGGATAGGCACAAAAAGGTGTAACTTCATCCTGTAGAAGATAGAAAGGTCAAAGATGTTATCTCTTAATCTGCGTAAAGGTGCAGCTCGGGTAGAGTAAAAGGCATGGAGAAATATCTAATATATAGGGCCAATGCTGACCATATGTCCAAACAGCGAATACTATAAAACCATCTAAGACCGTCATTTCCACACAAGCCGTATTATAGCTTATGCATTCCTTTCCGTGTTCAGAAGGGATGAGCCTTTCGTGTACGTGCTTGTCTTGGCACTGTTCATCCTCCCTTCTCATAAATCAATTCCAGGACGCAGGGAATAGATCGTCTACAAATCGGCGTCAAGCCTCACAAACGGCAGGGGTAATAAGTATGATTTCGATAGTCAACAAGCCGCCATGTAATTACTAATCTGAATAGTTCTCTTCTGTATGAAGTCAGGTGATAGATGCATTCACACGCTTAGGTTGACCTTTAAATGCCCCGTGTGGCTGAGATTCATGAGGGCGACTGGTTTGTAATTTGCCGCTGTCTAAGAATCGCGTTACAATAAATTGTATTACTTTTCCCCGGATTCTTCCGAGACATTCCGTATATATTTCAATAGAAAAAATATCAAGGTGTAATGAAGAAATGTTCCAACATCGAGCCTGTAAGTAGGTAGGTTGGTGAAGGACTTTAGGGTAGGTAGGTAGATGGTCGCGACGGTAGGAAAAGACGCGTCAATTGTCTCAGACCTCGCCGTCATCAAAGAATTTGTTGGGCTTCTCTTCTCTTCGCCATTGAACACCAACGACGCCTCTCCCAGCGTGAATCATGCGACCAAGCCCTAATGATGAGGATCTCGACAGAGATGATGCCCAACTCGGCGCGTCCGGGTACAAGCGGGAGATGCCCAGGCAGTTCTCCCTGGTCTCTCTCCTCGCCCTCTCCTACGCCTTGATCTGCACGTGGAATGGCTTTGCGAGGTATGCTCCAATGATCCCAGCGGCTGATGGAGGTAGCTGACAGTCGAAAATGTAGTGCAATTGGAGGCGGCTTGAGCCAAGGGTCGTCTTCTGGCACCATCTTCATGCTTCTCCCGGCAGCCACCATGATCCTTGTTGTGTCCTTGGGCATGGCCGAGCTGACATCTGCCTTTCCTGTTGCTGGAGGCCAATATTATTGGGCCTTTATTCTTTCTCCGCCATCTTGTGCGCCGCTAATTTCCTACACGTATGTGTTCAATGAAGCCCGTTTGCCAAGGCATCCTCCTGCTCACATTTTATCCCTAGCACTGCTGCTGTTACTGTGATTGGCGCATGGCTTGGAACAGCTAGTACATCCAACTTCATCTCGGGAATGATATTATCAATTGTCCAGTTCGTATACCCTGAGTATATCGTCTACTCTTGGCACAAGTACCTCCTATACGTGGCCGTCATCATTGCAGCCTCTCTCCTCAATATTTTTGGGTCTCAGATTCTTCCCGCATTCAATAGATGCATTTGTAAGCTCTCTCCATCACTTTATGCGTTCGAACAGATATTGATCTTCGGTGCCGCAGTTGCATTCTCCTTGGCAACGTATTTGGTGACTATTATTACAATGCTCGTCTGCTCGTACCCCAATTACAATTCCGCTAAATGGGTGTTCACGGATACCACCATCTCAACCGGGTGGACGAGTCATCCGTACACCTGGATGCTCTGTTTCGTGAACAGCCTTTACGGGTTTCTAGGCACCGACTCTGGGGCTCATATGACGGAGGAGATTCCGAATCCCTCGATCAATGGCCCAAAAGTAATTGTAAGTTGCCTTTGGAATCGACTACTCAACCCTCATTTGCGAGGCTCGTTTCTAGAGCTGATGCGTGTGCCAGATATATCCCGTCCTCATTGGGCTTGTCACAGGTACTAGCACTTGTTGTTAATATCCCGACCCGAACATATGCTGATGGAATCTCCCAGTGATACCTTTCGCATGCACTTGCATGTTCGTCATCAAGGATATGGATGCCATTTTGAATGCGCCCAGTGGACTGCCGTTGATCCAGCTCTATCACCAAGCTACTAGCAGCCGGCCCATCACTTTCGTCTTGATGGTTGCTTTCACAGTTTGCTTTTTCGCCTGTGCCGTAGCGATTATTACAGGATCTTCTCGGACCCTCTGGTCAGCAGCCCGCGACGACTGTTTCCCACGCTCCGATTTGTGGAAGCAAATCAGCCCCAGGTTCGAAATGCCGATGAATGCGGTTCTTTTGCAAGCCTGCTTTTCCATTGTAGGTGACCGTCCTGTCAGTGGCCTTTTCCTCCCAGCTAACAATAGCTTTACAGCTGTATGGGCTCGTATTTATTCAGTCCGAAAGCGCCTTCGCCTTGATGGTTAGTGTATCCATCATCTTCTTGGTATCCTCCTATGTCATACCGCAAGCGATTCTTCTTTGGGTCGATAGAAACGAAAGCCTCCCAGAGAGGCCTTTTCATCTGGGTCGGTTTGGATATGCTATCAATCTTTTTTCGACCTTATCGACTTTGCTTCTTATTATTGCTTGCTGCTTGCCGACGGCATTTCCGATCACATATACCAATATGAATTACAACAGGTATAACCTAGCCTCGCCATATAACATTACATTCCGGTTGCTGACTTTACTCTTTAGCATCGTGACTGCTTGTCTACTGCTATTCATCTGGTCGGGGTGGATGTTTTCGCGCAGGGACGTCTTCAAGGGTCCTCCTATTAACAGGAGTCTGCTGGCAAAGGCGAGAGGAGCTGGAAATCATGACACGAGACCTGTTGATGAGCACACGCCTCTTATGCAATAATGTCCCATTCAAGATGGAGGTCGACTCCTATTGTTCTTTGATGAAAGTTCATGATATTGTTTTCTCCTTTCCTGTGCCGGTTTTCTTGTTGAAATCTCCACCCAAAACATAACGTCTGATAGATTAATCAATGTGTTGCCTCCGATACGAGATCCATTCACCTGTCTAACGGGTAAACAGGCCCTCAGGCGGCATGTCTATTCCATAATTTACGACAAGATCTGTCTAGATTGAACTTGAGCAGTGAAATCATCTCGACCTCTTGCTCCATCAGGGGCGGCACGTGGATACGTCTAAAATGGAGGGTTACATTGGAGGATCGTATTGCCTTCGGATGACATGAGTGGCCATTTCCTTCTTCTACAAGAGCTCTCCCGCATTCAGGTTGCTCGCGATTCTCTCCAAAAGCTACGTAGGGAAACGGCTAGGCAATATACCAGCCCCGTGAGCGTCCCAACAATGAACCTTAGGTCAAAGACAGGATGCATCACCTGTAGGTATGTTTGATTCAACCTGCTCCTTTCCTCGCACCTTGCTCCCTACTAACATGCACGTAGGATTCGGCGAGTCAAATGTGATGAAACAAAACCGCTGTGTACTCGATGTCAATCGTCTGGGCGCCAATGCGATGGCTACTTGCCCGATACAATAGTGATTTCGAGACAGGAGCTTGTTGAAGCTGCCCGAAACCTCGGAACTATTGGCCCAATTTCACGAGCTCTAGCACAAAGGCCGTCGTCGCCTGTCAATTGTATCCAACCTTCAGATATGCCATTTTTCGACACCTTTCGGTATGCCATTATCCCTGGCACATCTTTCTTCTTCCCGTCGAGCTTCTGGCAACGTACAGTGATACAGATGGCGCACCGCGAGCCCGCCATTTGGCATGCCACGGTCGCACTCGGCGCTCTTCATCAACGATCAGAGATGCTACTTCAAGGGACAGAGGATGATACAAGTCTCATCCTTGACCAGGCCTCTGCCCACTACGGTAAAGCAATGGCTCTGGTAAAGGATCTCCATTCACCAGAGACGATGGCAGCCGTCGCAATTGCACTTGTGGCAGCTGCGAATATGCTTGAGCGATGGTCTGAGATGCACATGCATGTAATGGCGGGCTTCAGAATCATTGCAGAAAATGTCGCGCGTGTCCCGGGCCTCGTGGCCCTTGAAGGGTTGCTAGCAAAGACTGACCTACAAGCCATGACGTTCAGCGACAGCCAGTGCCCGTACCCTTACGAGCAATCATCTGCTGTCTTTGCTATGAATGGGTCCCTCGCCTCCCCTATCACAGATGGCGGGTCCTACGAAGAGTTGGCTAGAGAGCTCTTCAGGCTCATGAGGGCTCTCTTTCTCCTTGACAATGGCACTCCGCCAGCAAATGCCCAGCATGGCCCGTGGCTCACAAGTTTTGCAGTGTTCCTTCGCAGACTGGCTTCCTGGGAGCTCAAGATGGAGGAATTCGAATCCGTCCATTGGCCCACTGATGATGAGCACACAGCAAGGCTTGCAATACGACTGTACCATGTGACTCTCAGGACGCTAATTCGAGGAACAGCTTTCGGGCCCGAGACTCGTTGGGATGCACTTCTTGGTTACTTTGAGTACGCAGCCGCGCTTGCTACCTCACTGCAAGAGCGCCTTCGTACAGCCGCCATTCCAAATATCAGTGTTGAGCCTGGGCTGATCATTCCGCTGTGGATGATTAGCCATCGATGCAGACACCCCGCTTTGCGTCGGGTCGCGATCAACATGATGGCAGAGGCGAAGAGGATCGAGGGCATGTGGATGAGTGACGCCACTGCCCAGGTAATGAGGACTATTCTAGCCGTAGAAGAGGAATCGATGGGTCCTGGCAGCGCACATGTCTGGCCGCCACCTGTGTTAGATTCATCGTCCCTGGAGATTCCTTGGAGTGCGTGGTCTAAGCTAGGGTTTGATGTTCCCACCACGCTCAGTTGGTCTGATGTGCCAGTCATACCAGAAGAGAACCGGGTGAAGGAGCTTCTCGGCACGAAGCGAGTTGGGAAGCGATCTGCTGATCTTCGGCTTTTGATGGGCTCGGCTGATGATGAGAGTTCGTTTGGGCTAGTTAGGGAGATAAGCATAAGTTTCTAATTGTAAGAAAAGTAGACATGTTCTTTCAAATTACACGATTTCTGCTACTTCAGTAGATTTAATAACTAATTCCGCGGTTGCGGCCCGCATTCATGTAATTGACTCTTCGATTAGTGCGATGAACCTAATAACCAACATGCTTCGACCACGAGAAAAAAATACAGCGACCTCAAGATAGAGACATAGAAAGACAGATGCCTACTGGATAATGAAAAGTGCCAATATGGGCAGTGCGGCAGTCATCCATCCACCACCGACCAGCGTTGAAGCGAGAGACGAACCAGAATCACCCGTATCGGTGCCGTTCCCTCCTTTACCATTGTCGACATTCTTCAAGCGTTCGCCCTTCGTCCCAGGGGGGTTCGTCACCACGAAATCCTTGGTCTCTGCCGTTCCATTCTCTAATGCCTTGAGCTGCTCATTGGTACATGTACCACCAGGTGCCAACACATAGCAAACGTTCTCCAGAAGATCAGGAAGCTCGCTTTTCACGCCCCGGATGTTGGACTCTCCCCTGGAACTGTAACCCAGCGTTGTTGCAAGGTCAACCTTCCCCGTGGCGACATCTTTTCCGAACATGGCACGCTCGAAGATGACCGACACGGTCTCGGGCTGGTAGCCACCGGCACTGTGACCGGCCTGGAACACGCGCGAGAAAGAGAGCTTTCCGTGCTCGCGTACAAGACCGCCCTGGTAGGAGGAGTTAGTCGCGATGGATTCGTAGCCCGCCTTGGCGAAGCCTTCCGCCGACTGAAACGGGATATGGAGAGACGCGTTTTCAGCTGATATCCCTGTGAGGTCTCGTGTTAGAACCATTTCCTAAAGGGTTAATTAGGGCGGTCATTTAAACTAAAGCCGTTCTTACAGTTGCAACGGTAGTCTCGGTCACCGTAGACCATGGCTATGTTGACGCCTCCGTCCAGAAGGTGCGTGAGATGAGAAAAGCCATAACGGACTGGGTCTCCCGTCAATCCCAAGAAGGCAGTCTCGACTGCTTGACTGCCTCTAGTATAGTTCAGTGGCACGCCTAGTTCTTGCTGAACCCAATATTGGTTGAAGAAGGCTGCCTCGTACTCGTAAGGAAAGGTGGCAGGTCTATTGTAAGTGATGTCGAAATAGCCGTACTAACCATCAGTCAGTTCAATAGTCGAGACACTACGTGCAGGGAAACTGACTGGTGCATTGTTTTCGAAGCTCTGCAGAATAGTTCCAAAACAAAATTGGCTAGCTGCACTGCAGACCTTGTTTACATCATCATTGTTTCCTTTGTTCTCTGGATCGCCTTTGGGTGCAGCAACTCGGCATTGGTCGATCAGAGCGAGGCAGCCCTGATCAGGGGCAGTGATATTTTTCACGACCTCTTGGTAGACATCTTCGGAGTATGCTGGTAGCCCGTAGGTATTGTTGCGAGCGTAATCGGGGAACCCCATCACCATGGAGCTCATCTCGATCAAGCCGTTGATAATTCCAACGGTGCCCATGTTGAAAGCGGTCGCATTGGTGACCTCGTGAGTTCCATTGTGGATGCGCTCGTTTTGGTCCAGAAAATAAGATGCGAATAAAGGCGCGTACAGCCCACCGTACTTGAAATTAACCAGTTAGCGGCCAGGCCAATGAAGCAATGGTCAGACATGTTACCTACAGATACCGCCCAGATGGAAAGCTCATCGTTGGTTGTGATTCTCTCTGGAAATCTACTATTGATTAGCACATGCAAGAGCTGGTTTAGAGCGGTTTGTATCGCGATAATGAACCCAAATGCTGAATCATGTTCGACTAAAGACACCACTTACTCGTTGAACCAAACCTGAGCAAATCTCCAAAACGTTCTGGCAGCCGACATGGTCGTGTTCGCCACTGTCTCAGGGCCGCCCGCATGCAGAGTGCCTTGGATTGTCGTCAAGTTCAGCTGCGGCAGCTCTGCCTCGGTAGTTACGGGGGAGAAAGTTTGATCCAGGGTGTTGAGAGTTCCGTTGAGGGCCGTGGTATAAGAGTAACCGACGCCAAAAGGTTGGTCAATATACAGCATGTTTACATGGTTGTTCCACGAATGCTCGTTCAGGGTTGTTGAGTTCCCATCTGCATTGAAGTAGCATGGGAAGACAGCTGAGCCATCAAATGACGAGTAGCCAGGGCCGCCGCCAAGGTAGATTGAAGTAGGGGCAGTTGTCGCATTGTTGCGTGCCTCTTTATTTCAACATGTCAGCACCATCGTGAGAAACACAGACTGGGAAGACATACCAAAGTACCAGAAGTGCAAGTGCCCAGAGACACCATCCCCCCATCCCGTTGCATCAGGAATGAGGTTCTTGGGGAGGCTGATATGGCCCGAGTAAGATCTGACATTTGGGGTAGTCTCACATATGCTTTTGACTTCGTTATATGTGATTTGGGCACCGGAAAACTTCTGAGAAAGAGTGACGTTGATATCCTTAGGTAGAGAAACAAATGACTGTGCAGCAACCGCCTTCCCCAATACAAGGGAGGCAAGCAGTGTAGAGAATCTCATGTCGTGTTCTGATCAGCTCGATACTGCGCAAGACTAATGAGGGTTGAGAAGAAGAAGGTGTAATGTCAAAGAAGACACGATAGAGCGTTGGGAACAATTATGATAACTGGGAAGAAAAAAGGTCGAGCAGGTGTTCGCTTATATAGAAGTCGATACGCCTCTCTTAATTTCGTTTTTGCAGTCATTGTCTACTTTCCAGGGGAAAGCTCGTGTTTACTCACGCTCGGGTAGTCAGGCCAATCTTGGCCTTCATAGGATCTGTGTAGCCACATAATGTAGCTTATGGTGTTTATGAATCTGGGAGATGGCCATTTGGGGCTCGGTTAGTCGCCTTGGCACAATAACCCCCATCCCGTAGGATTTTGGCTAAACTTAAAAGAGAAGCATTGATGACGATCTGGCGAGCCTACCAATGGCCAGGCCTTGCAGGGATCCTGGCAGCCCTATGTGATGGAGATGGCATACGTAGTGACAGCTACGCATTGAGGCTTGGAATTGTACTTTTGATTGGCACGGTCGCCATCGGGGAGTATAATAATAGAATTGGTACTCGTAAGCTGCCGAGAGGCCGTGGTTACGGAGGAGTTATGAGAAAGAGAATGGCGAGAAAGGCTTTCCCGGCCTGAAAAGCAAGGGGCATGCGGACAGGGTCAAGGTCACCTGCCATTGATTGTGGCAAGATATCAAACAACTATCTCAACGAAACCAATAAAATTATCCTGAAGCTTATCAGGCTCTACCTCGCTGACGCCCGAAATAACGCGATTGTGCCTCTAGAAGCGAATGTAAACTAGACACTGGGTGAGGATCAGGGCGGGAACGCAGCTCTTTTATCGCCGCATTGTTCTGATATCGTTGGAGGAAAACGAGTGAAATTCTTTTTGTTTAATTACTTGCTCTATGTAGAAGCCAATTGGCTCACTTAGGCGAACGTGAGTGAGAAAGATCATATATCTTGACATCCTATCTCTCATCCATAATTTGATCTCAGACTAGTATACCTCTGGAGATCCCAAATTCCGTCTTCACCGTGTACAAATCTTCGTCTCGTCACTCTTCTGATAAGGATGACATGTTGGCGCCAGCTGTCAATCCGAGAAGGCATCGCAGGCTCAGAGCCAGTGTTCTCCCACATGTCCATTGTTCTGCAGCAACAGCATTAGAGTCTGCTCCTGGGGAGCATATGGCGGTAGTCCCTGAAGTGCTCCTCCGACTGCCATGGGATGGCTCGGCAGAAATGTGTCCGGATAATGCTCAAGGTTTGATGGGGGAGCGTTCTCATGTCGACTTGGGATAGACTGCGGCTGTGGCTGCAAGGCGTTCGATGCTCCGGAGTGCGCTTCATGGCCCCCTGCACTCAGCGTGACCTGACTTGGCCAAGCCCCAGTCTGGTATTGTCCTTGAAACCCCATCTGGTCGTAGGACATTGCAGTCGGTGGTAAAAACTGCTGCTGCGGCGGCGGAAGCGGCCGTTGAATGGAGTACATCGGAATTTGCTGCATTGATACCGGAGGCATCAGTGCACGAGGCGCCTCGAGGCTCAGCCCGGCCATGCGATCTCGGAAAATTTGCAGTAGATCCAGCTCATGGCCGTATGCGTTCTGAATATGAAGCTTCATATTGGTCCGATGAATCTGCGGGAGTCTATTGCGTCCACAGTAGTGAGCGCATGCCTTGCTGGCCTCGTTCTTGCTTGGCGGATTGCTGACCACAGAATCCGCGGCTTTGTAGAGGAACTCCAAGTCGTCAGTGGCTATATGGAAAACGTGCCTAGGCTCGTTGGCCGGCAAGTCAACTCTCCGGATGGTCGACGGCGCTTCTCGTCGTCCTCCGGTTCCCAGCTGCAGCAGAAACCTCGCCTCGACTGACAACATGCCGCAGTCGAACCGGCTACAAATAGAAGAAAGTCTGTCATAGACACTTGTTGTGGCCACCTTCAGGATACGGCCGCCTGCACCGCCTACCGGGCGTGTAGCACCGTGTCTGGTCATCTCATCGCTGAGCATAGTCAGGCCAGGGCAATGGACGCCTGCTTGTGACAACAGAGTGGAAATGTCCCAAACTCGATTGTCATTGCAGCGATAGGCGACGGCGAATTGGAGAGCCAGTCGAAGAAATGCGCCGTTCTGTCGCGATGAGAAGAACGGATGTAGAATCAGGCTCGAGAGATTATCGACAAATCGCTGTGTCCAGAGCGGCAATATGACGAAAGTCAAGTCTTCGTTTCCAAGTCTCCGTCCTGAACGGCATGATATGCCATGGTGGCATGACAGCAGGTACAGCGGGTTCTCTCGATAAACCAGGATGCACACTCTCCAAAGCTTGCTCAGCCTGTCCAAGTAGGTACGCGTGAGACCATCATACATCAAGTGAAACCGCTGGACGGCTGAGGAGACTTCCTCACGCTCCTCGTAAGTGTTTATCGTTTCAACGGTCACTCCAGGGATCTGCGTGGGCCAGAGGATGTCAAGGAAGTCGCGCTGTCCGACTGCGCGCTTGCTTGAGAGAATCAGGTCAATATGACGGTCCATGTTTTCAAATGTACTCGATCGTTGATTTGATCTTGGTCTTTGGGTTTGGTTATGGTGTTTGAGCTGCAGCAGAAGGAATGTGGGAGGCAATGAAAAGATGAGCCGCCTCCTGATATTTAAGCATGAAACCAGAATAAAAGGAGATGTTCGTGACTGTTTTGTTTCCATTGTTGTTATTATTATTATGATTGCAAATGTGATTGGCAACAACAAGTCATAGGAGAGTGAATGTGGTGTGTAACCGCCGGTGACGTGTGGAAAGCCAGTCGGAGGGAAAGTGAATGCTCAACAAGAAAGATCCTAAGGACCCTCTACGCAGAAGCTTTATATTAAACCATCGCAATTAAGTTGTAGTGTGGCCACCACGGACTATTACACGAGATTTTAAACAATAGAAGGACAGTTGATTCGTCGCGAAGTATCGATAGACTATCCACTTCCTTTCACTTGGAATTTGCCTATGTTACCAACTATCGTGCAAGACTAATCTCATACATTACATGATTGTGCAAGACTAACCAGATGTTAGATAATTGTGCACTAGGACATTCATGTGGTCTGGTAGCTTTGACTCAGAGGAACTCACAAACCAACCTCTCCCCCACCAACCAAGTCAGGAGAAAAAGGAAAAAGCCGACTAAAATTTGTCTAGCTAAAGACCAACATGGACCCATTGTATTTACTGCGATCTGCATTGGAGTGGGGACAGTTCAGCTTTGGGCGTCGAACGCATGTGCAGCCAACAGACAGTAAATGCCGAGCCAAGATGAATACTCCTCTGCTCCCCAACCCTCCATTCCCCGCTGTGTTTTCCGACCCATCTCTCCTCTTCCATATGCATTCTGCTTCGTCTAACTTTCCTCCTAACCCAACTAACGGCCCAAGGCGTCATGGAAGTTGACAGTACCGGTCGAATGAGTGCGCCTGGCTTCACGGTCAGCGCACAGCCAACTTCACAAACATTCGTCACACTCGTGACGACAACCAGCCCAAGTACGACGCAATTTATGATTTCGACTGCATTTCAGACCGTCACAGTGTCTGCCACAGCGTCTCCAGACTCCCAAGATAGCAGCGCAGATCGTAAGTATCTAGTGAACTTATTCCTAATGCATCTTTCACGACCTAGTTCTAATTATGCACAAACAATGTAGGGGCGTGGATAGCTGGTGCCGTACTAGGTCCGGTTGTTCTTCTCCTCATCATCCTCACAGGAGCCTTCTTTATCTGGCGGCGGCGCCGACAAGCTGCTTTCCGAGCATCTAGCTTCACCACAGAATTGAGTCCAGGAGAGGAGAAATCACAGAAGCTACCTTCACCACCACGTCACCCATCAGAGCTGCACGAAGATACCATAACGCCGCAGCCTCAAGAATTGTATGGCTCGCCGCCAGAAGCTCCATGGATCGTCGAAAAGCCAGCAAACCAAGTTCCGGCTCAAGAACTGCCCGCAAACGAGCCTGCGCCTGCATTTCAGGGAAATGATACATCGAAAGAAATGTCCCGCATGGCTTCGCAATCTCCGGACGAAATCTCCGCCCGATGACAAATGCACAGGTATGGGAAAAGAACCAGTACGCGAACAACAACGCGCTGTGGAAAGCTTCCGCGCTACAATATCACAACTTTCAGTGCGCAGCCTGGGAGGCAGAGTGATGTTTTCTTGCGCCTGAAAGCAAGTTTATTTACCGATTACGCATCCTGTCGATTGAAAAAACAAATGTGCTGCGCGAGAGACTCTCAATTTGTGAGGAATGTAGTGGACTACCAGGGCTGAATCTCCTCCACTCGGTCAATTTTTCTTCAACTTGGGTGCAGCGTCCCTCAATTTATAAATGAGGTACATGGGGTAGACCATAATGTAACAGAGCACAAGTTCGGCTGGCATAAGGAGGTCGGAATTGCGAGCATTCATGTTGGACGGGCTCCAGAGCGGTTGGTGGATTCTCCAAGTCGTTGTTAATTCTCTTCTATCTGTTGATGGTACTGGTTTGTATTGTTTCATAGTTTGAGATAAATGGGGGATGGTCAGACTATTTGAGGGGCTTGGGCAAGGCACACACAGCGGCCAATGCCATACACAAGGCTCCCCACGAGGCGTATACTGCTCCGCAGGGTGTCAATCTACAACGAATTGGGTCACAGTAATATCAAATGCATTTTTTTAGTATGCCTGGATTGTGAGAATGATTAACGATAGAACTAGGCAGTGCACGGGCGCTTGCTAAGCCTGGGGCACTCTCAGGCATGTGTGTCAAAAGGACAAGGTAACCCGCCCATGCCCAAGCATACTATAGTAAGAAAGCAGCAACCATGAAGGGGCTACAATTTTCGGCGTGGCTCCTCGGCTGCCTATACACCGTGCCCTCAAAAGTCCTGTGAAAGCTAGAGAGTTGAGTGTTCCAAGGCCTTGTTCGTGAAGGGGAGCTTTAGGCCCCGGAGACATTTTAGCTTCATGATATAACATCTTAGGTACCACTGGCTTGTCAAATCACTGATGTACGTTTTCGTAAGCTTTAGAAGCCTAGCTATCTGACAAAAAGGACTGATATACGGAGTATAGGGACCATCAAAGTATTCGCTTAATGTATTGAGAACTCCTCATGTGCAGGGTTACAGGTAGCAAGAAACTCGCCATGCATAATCCAATCCACATAAGCATCTCCACGAAAGTAAAAACCGCCATCTACTCGCTGTCTGACGACTATGGGTGAACGCACACCCCAGATAAGTGTCACGGTGTCACCAACCTCAACCCCCAAGTGTCCAAGCCCAAACATCCCCTTCGCGGTCTTGAAAAAGGTGCGGTTCCTGCTACAAGTACCCGCATTCCGTCGCCATTCATGCGCAATACGTCCGAGCTCATCATCACTGGGACCTGCAGGAGGAGCCCCGTCGAAGAAACGACGACCAAAATTCTCATAGAGAAACTGGACTTGTTTCTTCGTCAAACTTCCAGCATCTATAGATTCCTGCCGCATAAACTTGCGGACCAGTTCTCGGATGTCCCCATCAGGCTTAATTCGATAGGTAGCAGGAGTGTTAGCCGTGCGCCAGATATAATCCTCCCCGGGCCCTGACTCGGGGCCTAATCCGACAAAGCGAGCGATCTGTTGGACCCAAGCATCTGCATCCCGGATTTGCGATGCATTATACCGATCGAACTGAATCCATTCAGGCGGTTCCATAACTTCGGTAATCACATCAACGCGGCATCCAGTCTTGCAGAGTATTTCCAAACTTCCAACACAATTGTTTGGAGTAGAGGCCGGTTGGGCTATGTTTCCAGCAGCTTTGAAGTCTCTTCCGTAACCGATTTCCCAAGTTCGCACTCCATACTTTCCAACCTCCCGCCAATCGGGAACCCACGTGGGTAAAGGACCGTCTATTTCCCCTGGTAAACAGGAGTCTAGGTAAAAAGCACGCCGATCCGGCCTTTCAAGGCTACTGGATTCATCCAGGAGGAGTCTGGTTATTTCTGCGAATACCTCAGCAACTGGTTTCTGATAGTCGACGCGCACTCTCTTAGCTTGCTCCGCTGGAATTATCCCTAGAAGCCCGTATAGGATATCTCTGGGGTCTGTTGCGCTGTAGAAGGGGCGGTTCGGTGCGATGACGCGTTCCCACAAGATATTTGCCAGCTTCGCTTTCATTGGGCCGGAAGGAAATCGCATCCAACGACGGGTATCAAGTCCCTTGATAGTATAGAGAGTGCCTCCTAAGCCCGCTAGGATATTATTCCACCTTGACTGCAGACGTCTGAGATCGTGGATCCAGTAGCTCCATAATGCAGTGAATATTGCGTCAAACATGTCGAGCGAGACCGTTCTTGTGCCAACATGCACGATAGCTTCCCTTGATAGAATCACTTCTTGGAAAGCCCAGATGCGATGCCAGTAATCTCGTCTCAAAAATGTTCGCAATTCCAGACTTCAGAGGGCCTCCGCCATTCCCAGGTTCCCCTTTGCCTGATAAGCCCTCCTCCTCGAAAAGATCGTAAAGAAACATCCCTAAGGCGGGCCCGGGGTTATCTTCTGTCCCTCCATTCAGATCTCGGGCTTCTGCGCGCTTCTTGATGTAGGACCTGACCTCGGGCGGCACTGTGTGATGACCGAATGAGCTCGCCACGTCACAAGCGACTGCGGCTGGGCCCAAACGAGAGACCAGATCCATCGCCAAGTCGGTCTCCATACAGCCTGGTCCCAGCCAGATATGGACCAGGCTGGCTTGGCTGTATATTTCTCTCATCGAACCAACTTGCAAGTGCCTCTCTAGAGCATTTGACATGTCGATGCAGATTGCGTCGATCCATAGCCACGACTGCAGCTTCTGCTGATGGAATTGCTTCAACGCTGCAGCCAAGTTTCGGGTTACGGGAAACGGTGTGCCTTTGACGAAGATATCCTCTGTGTCATGAGGGTTTCCCCAGGTATATGATAATGCCGCGTATTCAATTTCATCGTTCATAGACACATGCCGCATCTCCAGTGAGATGGTCTCAGGCTCAGCAGCATCATCCAGGTTGTCCGCCTCAAATGTAGAGGAATCCAGCCGAACGAGCCTGATCTCACAGTTTTTCTCCTGAAGAGGGTCGTAAGTGAACATCTTTTGTGGTCGGAACTAGCGCAGTAACAGCTATCCTTTCGGTCAGGTTATAGCAACGTGGAATGAGGAAATTGCGCGGATTGATGCCTAACCCGTCACAGTGCATAATAAATGGCATGGACGCGCCTAACATTAGTGAATTGAGCCTCCGAGTAAGCCTGCTTTCCTGCGCATCAGAGCCAACTGGTGTTCATCCCGCTTAGCCCCTTTGCTGTTAATCCCTGCTGTTCATGTAACAAAACGCTGACAGCCCTCTAAAAGGAATTCGCCGAACAGTTTTGAAGACAGTCTCATCAAACGGAATGTGAGGTACGAAAGAAGAAGAAGGCGGCGTTAACTCAAAAGGGATGGCACCTTAACACATTATTATGAGAAAAAATATCCATTTTCCCGGAAGCTTAGTGTTTTAATCGCCGCGAATAGATTGATACACAGCCAGTATAGTATATCCGTTTTCCATGATTACTGGTTTCCCTGAATGTAGTTCACCTCCGGCCAGTCTTCGGATGGCCCGTCCAAAACGGCATCGTCCTTTCCAAGGAGATGCTCGTCAAAGAAAGCCTTGACATACCGATTCCTCAAAGCAATCATTCTATCCCCGTCAATAGGTCCCAGAGGCCGTGTCGTCCCCCATTTCTTCCAAAACGACATATCAGTCCAGTCGTTATGCTTAGCGCCGGTCACGGTGAAGAGACGCCACCAGCCTTTCTGCGATTTGAAAAAGTTCGCCCAAGTAGGGTCAATCTCTGGCGTATGGCCATCGAATCCCAACAACAGAGACGGCTTGTCTAGGGAATCGCAGGTTGAGTTGATCCGTCCAAAGTTCGTGCCATCCATATTGATCGCCGCCGCGATCTTATCAGTCTCCAGAGCAGCATTTAGAGAAGATGAACCGCCGAGGGAGTGGCCAAAGGCGCCGAGCTTGTCTGTCTTGAAAGGGGCGTGCAACTTGGTGACCAGTTTTGGGAGAAACTCGGCGAAGTGCACCATTTCCCGCACGCGGACTTCATGCAAGTCTATAATGTACTCCAGGTCAGGATTGAAATCAATAGCGAGACCATATATGCCGGTGCCATTGGGAAGACGGAGGAACGGCTGCTCATAGATGTGGTCCAGGGCAGCAACGACATAGCCGTGAGAAGCCAGCTCGGAAAGCACAATACCATCACCATCGGTTGATGGACCCCAACCGCCCGGGCCAAACAGTAATGTCGGTCCGGTCGGTTCAGAAAAGAATGACGCATCCTTTCGCATTGTTGACGTGAGGTGCGAGACGTTCCATTCGGAGAAGTCAGCGTACAGCTGTGCCTGCTCTGGCTCGATATACGGACTTGGCTCGGCGGCCTCGTCAGGAGTGGGATAGTACAGAGTCGCTAAATACTCCGTTGATACTCTGTTCGGCCAAGTAGGATCATTCTCGTTGATAAAGGGAATCAGATGACGCTGGATCCCTACGTTATACTTTCCTGAAGGGGTCGGTATAGGCTCAGCATGAGCGTCTGGGGCCAGCCAGAGGCTCAGGAGGAGGAACACTGTCTGTCGAAATTGTGCCTTGACCATCTTGCCACCTCCAAGTAAGTTTAAGAATCAACATCCACCGCCCAATTGTCTGACCACAAGTCAGATTCTTATACGTTCAACAAGTTAGAGCAAGGTAGAAGCCAGAAGGATTGCCCCACGTCGGGTCTAATAACTCGACTGGGAATTGTACCAATCGCTAAGCTCGATAAGGCAGCTGTTGACCTTATGAAAGTCGTATTCCCAGGGTTGTTAAACGTCCTCGCCAATCAACGAGCACTTTTGTGCTTACGATATGGGGGCCAAATCAGCAGGCAAGATGAATCTAGACGTAGACGAATATTGAAGAACTTCTGTAAGTCCCTTCCGACGATCTGTTCTGGATTAGAATTAGACAACCCAGGATGATGGCACTATGCATTGATGATGGCGTACATGATGCTGCCTCTGGATCGACATTCCTTCTCGCGCAGCAAATAATGCAGAGTTTTGTCTACAGATTTTTCAATGTTGAAGTGTATTAACCTTCACACATTTCACAACACAGAATTTACCACAAGTCAATAGTGGCGCATCAAAATGGCCTAATAAAAGCTGGAGTGCCTCGACATTTGGGATCAAGAAACTATCATCGACAGGACACTATAAATGGATTATAGTGGAGGATCATCAATGACGATGAAGCGCACAGCTTTCTTTACGAATAACACGCATAGGCCACGTTTCATGACACCTTCATAGAGATAGTGTAAGCGTCAGTAGCGATCGATGAACACAGTACACGATGAAATAGTCAACTGGTTTCCAGCACTGGCCCGTTGAGATTTACATGTTTGACGTTCGTGTGATTCAGTCGTACCATTAACGTTAGAATAGAATTATTAGGTGGTTTCCCCTAAGCATTTTCATATCAATACTGCGATGGCCTCAGATTAGGACCTAAGAATCTGGTATCTCTGGACACGTCCCCCTCCCTCCCCTGCAGCCACAGCACCTTAAGCTAAGATGCTTTGCGTATCACCTTCTTAACCAGCATGCTTTCAGGAGTATACATACCGGTCGTGCAGTTTCTTCCAAGGTCAAGTATATATTCCTACATAACTGTTGCTGATGCACGAAATCGATGTGCTCCCCACGTGACTAAGAAAGACGGAAAGGACACCAGATCAGATGTTTGCTTTAAGCCCACGGGTGTTTAATACAGCTGTTCCAGGACATTCTTTCAACAGTTACGCCGATATAAACAAATTTTCCTACATTTGTGTATAACAACAAGGCCTCCAATCCTCCATGGACTTTCCAGGAGCATTATGCTAGGCATTACAAGAGCTCGGGCTCTCCGCGGACTTTCCGTCTCTGTCATGGCTTATATCATAGGGTAGGAAGCAGCGGAAAGTTTAATGTTCTACCTAACGGACGAAAATTACCCCGCTACCAAAGGAATATCACACCATATTAATAATACAATACGCTTTACTCCCAGACTTTCATAGATCTCGGTGCTCGGTCTTCATGTTGTGCCGATGACGACTTGGATATCAAATGGTCGAATGAGAGGGGAGCAAGCCTTAAAGATACATAGCTAAATTATAAAATGAGAAATGATAGCTCACTGAAATTGCGAGCTGAATCTGGAGGCTAAGACTTGAAATCACAGTAGTGCAGTCAACGGCGAATTCTATCATGGTTCAAACGCAAAAGGCCTTGTTGGTGACGGAGCTGGGCAAGCCAGTCGTCCTTGTAACCGACTGGCCAATCCCAGAGCCCCAGGAGAAGCAGATCCAGGTCAAGATCGCTGTGGCCGGCATCAATCCTCATGACCGAAAGACCAGAGACACAGGGCTCATGGTCGCCAACAATCTACCGGCTATTCTTACACATGATGTGGTTGGCGTGGTCACGAAAGTCGGCCCAGAAGTAGCTGACGTAGCCATAGGGGACCGAGTTATGATCCAATCCATTTTTGTGGACGACAAATGGACTCAACATGGGCTTCAGGAATACAGCCTTGCCGATGTGGGCGCCTTTACAAAGATTCCCGATGGAATAACCGATGACGAGGCCGCAACGCTGCCGTGTAACATTATCGCGCCTCTGATAGCCATCTTCGCGGTATTGGGGATCCCTGCCCCGTGGACGGACGAGGCCAGAAATTTCGACTACGCCAGCGCGACGCTCCTCGTCGTCGGCGGAGGTTCTAGTTGTGGAAAGTTCGGGGTTCAGCTAGCCAAACTCGCAGGAATTGGCAAGATCGTTGTCGTTGGCGGCAATGAAGACGAGTTGAAAGGATTTGGTGCGACTCATGTCATCGATCGCCATGGCGGATACGATGTTGTGCTCGGTAAAATCAAGGATGTGGTAGGCGATGAATTGATCTATGCCTTCGACGCGGTGAACCCTCCCGACGGTCAACTTCTCGCGTTGAACGCCCTATCGAGCCACAGGAAGGGCGCATTGGCTCGGCTGATACCGAGACAGCCAGTTGATGAATCAAAGGTCTTGGGAAAGAAGGCTGGTTTCGAAGTCAAGGATACTTACGGGAGCTCCCACGGATATCCAGAGCTAGCTGGACCATTCTGGGACCGTCTCCCGGGATATCTCGAATCCGGCAAGATCAAACCTCTTGGCTATGCCGTGAAGCATGGGCTCACTGCCGATAATGTCAACGAGGTCCTGGATGCTTACCGTGATGGGAAACCTGTGACCAAAACAAATATCCATGTCTAGTTGAACAGATTAAGAACCGCTTGAGACATTTTCAGATGGCAGAGGTACACGATTCGTGGAAACACCCTTGGGGTGTTTGAAGGACCTGCGAGATATTTAAGGTGGTTGCAAATCACACGGCACCCCATCAAATTCGAATCTACATTGATTAAATACATATATGTTGACTCAATTTCTTGATTTGGTAATACTAACGCCTCTGCTTCTACGCTCATACCCTCAACACATCAATCCATAGTCTTGCTCAGTGTCTGACCGCTGGACCATCTGAGCAATTCTGCAACTTGTTGCTCGTAGAACTCATTCATCGCGCGTTCTTCAACAAATGCAATATGAGGTGTGACGACCAGCTGACTCTTGCCGTTCGTGCCCCAGTCCGAGTTCCGCCACTTACTGTCCAGGGGCAGAGGCTCCAAGTCAAACACATCCAATGCCGCTCCCCTGATCTTCCCAGCTTCGAGTACACTGAGTAAGTCTTTCTCAACGACGAGCGGTCCCCGAGATGTATTGATAAAGAATGAAAAAGGCTTCATTTTGGACAAGTCGCTCTCGGTAATCAAACCTCTAGTTCGGTCGGAGAGCACTAGTTGCACGCTCACTACGTCGGCCGTGCTGAATAGCTCCTCACGGCTCACGGCTTTGAAGGTTTTTTCTCCATCCTGATTTTGAACAGGTAGACCTTGAGCTCTGGCCTGCTCATCGGCGACTTCTTGAGTAAGGTTGGTGCTCCAGGCGACGATCTTGGTACCGAACGCGAGGCTCATAATACGAGCCACTGCCCCGCCCAAGCGTCCAAGTCCGACCAAACCAAGGGTCTTGCCAGAAATAGATGTGACAAGTCTGGTTTGCCACTTGCCAGTCTTGATTGCCGTATCGTGGTATGGTATGCTTCGGCAGGCGGCGAGGATGAGTGTGACAATGTGTTCGGTAGTGCTGTCGACCAAGCCTACATGTTTATCTATTGTAGCCGTCACGGGAATGCCCCGCGACTGGCAAGCTTCCATGTCGATGGCTTTGTTCCTTCTTCCGCAACTGAGAATCAGCTTGAGTCGGGGGAGTTGCTCAATCAACTCTCTGGGGAATGGTGTTCGCTCTCTCAAAGTTGCTAGGCTAGTTAGTAGCTTGCTATGGGAGACCCCAATCGAATACACTTACAAATGACCTCAAAGGGCTCCAATCTCTTGATTAGCTCACGCCTTTCTTCTTCACTAGTAGTGGCATTATTATATGGCCGTAGTGTTTCTGGGAAATACTTGACAGTGAAAACCAATGGGTCCAATTTGCCAAAGTACGAGGGCGCAAGCCCATGGTAATCATCGAGTACAGCTACCTTGATGGCCATTATGATACAAAAAAGGGCTAAAATTCCGCAAGTTAGCAACGGGGCAAAGAAAAAGCAAGTGGCCGGACTTCTCTACATTATATAGTGATGCTAGACGAGCGAGATATAATGATATGTCGGTTATGGCTTGATAACCCCGCCCGGCTTCATGAAGGAAGAACCCGAACAGAAGCACGTCATGGCAAGCTACAGGCTAATGACAAATCAATATGTGACAGTCCCAGCTCACCTTGCACTTGTTCTGTTTATTCCCGCTTCAATATTAGAACTCTAGCCGCCCTGCAGCTAGAATACTACAGCATTTCCTCTAACCCAAAAAAAAAAAAAAGAGACGAGAGAATAAAAAGAATTCTTTCTATCACGGAACAAAGTTTTGTACCCTGTGCTGAGAGTGTGGGATTCAGTGCCTACATGTAATTTCCAGTCTTGCTCTTGAGTTTGACCTCATAATCTTTAGACTCAATACATCCGTACAAAAGACAAGAGGCCACGAGGCCTTGTCACCCATCTGAATATCAGCATTTTAAACCTAGGCCTCAGCCTGGTTCGAAACGTCAAATGTACCACACGCTATTCTTGGGGAAGCGTCTATCCCTTTTGAAGCGTGGATGTTTCACTTGCAACTCTGCAGCTGGCCAAAGCCCTGACATAGATTACCGGAATTATGGTCGGAGCAAATCAGTTTGTTCCGAATGCCACCGAGGTTGCCGGCCGGAGAACACCAAACGTCCATTATTGCCGCAATCGCCAACTTCACCTTAATTTCGCACTTTAAAAGTGCTGCCAGTATTAGCCTTTCGAATTTCTATGCAAAATGGGAGACCTTCAAAACAGCCAGTGTCCAGGAGCTTGAATATGAGCCAGAGGCAAGCTAGGAACATCCTTTTGGCCCATACGCATCAGCTAGCTAAAGTTCTGAGACCTCCGGCGTAGTTAGTATCAATTTTTCCGCCGTGCAAGTGAACACCCCACTGTTGATTGAGATTCGGTATCTGTGAGTTTCAAACAAACCTTTGATGTTCATATCAGTCAGTTTTTGACACTCGACTTAGTCGGGATCCCGAGCGATCAGTTGACAGTGTCTAATAAGGTACAGTTTACACCAGATTGGGAGGGCACTGTCGCCGATCATGGGACATGGAGGGTGGCATTGGGCAGCATTGGACAGGAAAGCACTTCTTGAGACAAGTCGCTGACCTGCACCAGGAGAAGATCGTCCTGCCTTTGATAGCAATATTCCGGAGAGGTTTCTCCTGACACGGGGTAGGTGTACCCGGAAGTGTTATTCTTGTAAAATCTCCTCCAAGTTCCAACACATAGGTGTCGAGTGTAAGAATACGCCGCATCAGGCTGGTTGTAGAGATCAGGCTCAAGCTCTTTAATATAATACGATAAGCCCTCGTTCAATGTGGTCTGTGATCTTGCGGAGGAGTGAGAGGACATGGAGTGAAGCTGGAATAAGGCAAACTTTCAGACTTGCTCAGAAGCGTTTGTGGCTATTTACAGGGCAAGCGCAGGCCGTCCAGGGGCTGCCCAGGGCATGTCATCCACTGTAAGCACTGAGAACACGCTGGAGACACCGCTAATCGATCCGCCACAACAGGCTCCTTCCCGCCATTGGACATCCCTGCAGATTCACACGTGAGACAATCGAAGCAACAACAAAGCGACATGTTTGTTTGTTTGGCTCATCTCTGCCCAAACCAACTGCAGACCGATTAGGCATCTTACGCACACGCGCCCCCAAGGCTGACAGGCAAAGTGTCCTCGTCCTACGGCATCAGATCTCAGCAGAAGATCCCATCGTCCTCCATCGCAGAAGATACAATCAGACCAGGCCATCGCAGCCCAGCTTCAGCGACAGGCCTCAGATCAGACCAGACCAGATCCCGCCAGATCATCCGAGCGGGACCAGGCCCACCGCCGGGAGATAGATGACCGACACTCTCATCACCAGACCGGCGCGTGCCATCCTCCACTTGGCTTGGTCTGGTCTCGAGGAGAGCCGAAATGACGGACCCAGAGTCGACCAAGGCGCCCCGCAAGCTGCACGCCATCGTCCAGCTCGCCCTCGACTTCCTGACCGAGGTGGCCGAGGTGTTTGAGGACTTCAATAGAGATGAGGCCCTCAACCCCATGACCATCCTGCACTGGTGGAAGGAGAGCTGGCGCAGCCTCAAGCGAAAGGTCAGGGAGGACGGCCTCAAGCGCACGCTCCCCCGCATCATCCTGGTCGTCATCTTCCACCCTATCCTAACCACCGCCCTGTGGCTCATTGCCTTCGTTGGCTATATCATCTTCAACTCCCTTCGCCTATCTCGTTGCATCAGGAGGTCGTCTGCCTATCTAGGCGAGCGGAGGGTCAGGCAGCATGAGGCTGCATTCCGCCAGCAGTTCTTCCTATCCGCCAAGACAGATTCCCGAAATCAGAAGACGCCTATTGTCTCAGCCTCGGAGATGGCAGCTACTCTCACACCCACCTCGGCCGGGTTCTTTGGTCTGCCGGCCGAGATTCGGCATGAGATCTTGGTCCAAGCCTTTGGCGGGCGCACCATGCACATGAGTCTCGAATTCCAGCACCCCTTCTTTATCACAATGTTCGACAGATATGGCGACTCCAGGATCGCCTGCCATGCCAAGATTGAACGTCTCGTCACCGTATCCGACTCCCACCTGCGAACGGATCTACCCAAGGAGTGGGTATGGTTTGGCTGTGTATGCCATCGTTCCTCATACCGAGATGTCGGCGGCCTGCGATCGTATGGTGCATTTCGGAACCCGCAAGCTTATTCTGACACCCACGTTCCCGTCTTGCGAAGCAGTAGAATGGATTACAGTGACACCTGTGAACCCAAGGATGATCGATGCACAGAAGGGACGGGCCGCTGCAAAGCCTGGCCAGGCAATTGGCCCGACAAGTGCCAGGTCGGCGTGATCGGCTGGCTTTTGACGTGTAGACAAGCGTGAGTTGGAGATTATGGATCGACAGTCCATGTTGAATGGTTATCGGCTGACTTCACACAAACAGCTACGTAGAAGGCTTCAACGTTCTCTATCGGACCAACACCATCCATATTGCATCGCCTGCCCTCCACCGACATATGCAGTCCATACTCACCTGGTCCATTCTTTCACATCTGACGTCGCTCGAACTACTCTGGGACCTTGACAGTACTCCGATCGATGAAGCCTTCAAAAGCAACGACAAAAAAGGCAACACGGACGTATCAAAACACCCGTCACCACTCTTCCCGTCCATGGCTTGTCTTCGGCTTGCATTCGGAAAATCGTCAGCTGAAGCCAAGACTATTGGTCTCGATCGGCACGCCATCAACGATCGAGAAATCAAAGACATCCTGATCAACCGGCTATTCCCCATGATCGACAATCTCCTAGACAGGATAGTGCCCAATACCACCGACGTGACCATATCGTGTCCATCGTGGCGTTGGCATTCCGCCATTGATCTCGCCATCATCGAGGCACAGGGAGAGCAGGTATCCAAGCCACAGCACGCGGAAATTGGAGGCATCAAGTTCTGGAGACAGTCCGCCTCACGAGAAGCTACATTGGAGACACGAAATGACCGGAGTCTGGAGGAGGCCGCCGAATCAAGTGAACGGAGATCTGGATTCTGGATTCACAGTTCCGATAGGCCTAGAATTGCGACACCACGTATGGCAGCAGCCTTGGGGTACGAGCAACCAGGTAAGCCACCACATACTGATTACGTCGGCTGTAAGACTGGCATGTTTGACTCACGTCTTGCAGATACAGACGACGACGAACGGCGCCGTGTGCTTTATGATAAGACCGAAGACCCATTTCGAGGGTAAATAGGTATGCGGCCTCCTAGAATTTCGCCTCAGAATGGGTGAGTGGCGCCACCGTTAGTGGACAAGTCGGTGAACGGAGTACGCATCTCAATAGCAATCAGAGCTTACTCCCATTGCTTTTACCCAAGTCGTCGGTCTATTCACGAATATTAAATGCCTATCAATTTAGATGCGGGCCATACTGCATGCAGTTTCAAATGTCCTCCTTATGCTAGGACATCGAGAGGGAACAAGCAATTGTATTTCAGGCCCATGGCAGACCGACTCGGATCAGCCATCACGCCGGAATCGGCCATGTTAAGACCATCCAGGTCATCTGACCGGCCCGATTCACACACCAAAATGCGGGGGAGCCAATGGAAGGAAGATACGGGCACGTGACCGGCATATGCTTCTCCGTTTCCTTTATCACAGCCATGTAAAAGATGGGGTAAAGCGAGGTTTGCTTGGACGGATCTAATTTTGATTGGGCTAATAGATAGACGATTATCTTTTCCTGTGCCGTTTTTTAGATCTAGATCGAAGTATCGGAGCGAGATAGGATGAATATAAAGCAGGTCTGGTCGACGTGAATAAGCCCAAAAACCTTGTGCTTTCAATCCTAGCTCATAACAGTATTCTTTCCCTTTATTATAGAGGCTTCTTTTTATTCAAATCCACAATGGCATCAAGCCAGCCATCATATCTCATCATCGGTGCAGGCGTCTTCGGCGTGTCCACAGCCTACCATCTCATCCGCAAATACCCCAACGCATCCGTCACCATCATCGACCGCGACGCCTTCGATGCAGACAGCCGCGTCGCCGCCTCGTGGGACTGGAACAAGATCGTCCGCGCCGACTACGACGACATCGTCTACTGCCGGATGGCCATTGAGTCCCAGGACGTCTTCAAGTCCGATCCCCTGTGGCAGCCGTACTTCCTCGAGACGGGCATGTTCTGGATGTGCCGTAACACCTACGCCCAGGATGTGATCAGCAACTACAAGCAGCTGAACCGCAAGGCGGACATTTCTGCCGTTACTGTTGATGAGGCCCGGAAGCTCTACGGCGGGCTATTCAAGGAGGCTGATTATACTGGTGTCAAGGAGGTGCTTATCAACAAGACGAGTGGTGTGGCCCTCGCTGGTGATTGTCTGCGTGCCGTGACCAAGGCAGCGATTGACCTGGGCGTCAAGTACGTGGTGGGAGAGGCTGCAACCCTGCTGGTAGATGGTCAGGGAGTCTGCCACGGACTCAAGACCAAGGCGGGGCAGGTTCTAACAGCTTCGCATACGATTGTATGCACGGGTGCCGGTACATCCAAGTTGCTAGAATATAGTGCGCGCAGCACAGGGTTGTCAGATCTCCAGGCAGGCTCGAGGATCGTAGCGGGCGGCATCGCCACGGGCATGGTGACGCTGGATGAGAAGACATACAAGGAGAGGTTTGCTTCTATGCCTGTGGGCATGCAAGGCTATCCTGCTGAAATAGGTGAGTTCACCGATACGAACAGGGTCAACATCCAACAAATACTAACATGAGGCAAAACAGGACCGTTTCTAGGCAGTCTAGCACCCACCAAGGACAGGGAGCTCAAGTGGTGGGGATCAAAGATCTTCAGAAACACAACGGAGGTCCTGCCGGGTCGTCACATCTCATCGCCCCCTGATGCGGAAGATTACCGCCAGTGGAAGGTCTCAAAGCCGCTTCAGGAAGACATCCGCTCTGTCAGCGAGGTGTTCTACGGGAAGGAGGTCAAGAATTGGCACTTTGAGAAGTTCCGGGTTTGTTGGTAAGTCATGCTGAAATCTATTCACGAGTCAATTCATTGGCTAACATCTGGCCAGGGACGCATTTACCACGAATGGAGATTTCATCATCTCCCCACATGCAGCAGCCAAGGGGTTGTACTTGGCCACCTGCGGCTCGTTCCATGGGTTCAAATTCTTCCCTGTGATTGGGAAATACGTGATACAGATGCTGGAAGGCGAGCTCGAGTCAGACTTGGTGATAAAATGGACCTGGAACCGGGAGCGCCCAGATCCTAGCCTCAACCCAGAGTGGCCCAGATCTGAGCTCAACGATCATTTAGATTCAGTTGCACGACTGTAATATATATATTTTTTATTAGTTTCGCCGTAAATAAGGGTATATCCTAAAGATTATGAAGATTATAAAGATTTATTATAGTTCTTATAAGAGCTAACTAAATAAATCAAAGCAGTTCTCTCTCGATAAATCTTCGGAGAAGTCTATTTCAGCTATGGAAATAAGCACTGTCTAGATGATATTTTAGGGCGTTTTAAATGAGTAAACACTTGAAAGAACAAGCTCAGTTTTAATCCAAGGGATGTTCCAAATTATGGTTCAGCTATTGTACTTCTTACAGTTTTAGGACATAGCTGTAAACAGAAGTGTAGATTTCGGATCAATAATTAGGAAGGAAATCCGGGTCATCTATTGAGTAGTCTCATTCATATCAATAATTCCTCACTTTCTTTGTTTGTTCTAGTCTACTTGTCGCGTACGATCTTGTAACCAACTTAATATTGCAATAACAAACTCTGATTTTTTAGGGCTTGCTTAATGACAATAAATCGACAGTACGCAACTACTGGTTTAGGGTGACTATGAGTCAAGTAGATGATACACGTGTAGGTACTGAACATCAGTTGGCTTGGTGAGAGGAGATAATACAATCATCAATGGCGTTTTCACGCTGCTTTTATCTTAAAGGTATAAAGATTCAGATAGAGCTTCGTCACTACTTTTCAAAATGCGAGTAATGGAGCACAGTCCCCTTTTCTAAGTCAATTTCTTATTCTTTTGATAATGTTAACACAGAATACTGTAAGCAAGATAGCCGACGTTGGAAGAATTTCGTTATTTGTCTTCGACAACGATAACCTTTCCCGCAACTTTAATATATATTATTCCCCAATTGAAGGCGTAACAGTCCCTAATTAAGGATAATTATGGTAGCGCCATAAAATAGGTATGGCAAGCAGCACGTAAGGTGGTGCTTCAATTTCCCAGCCTTTGCTCTGGCCCTCCTGAAGTGGAGTCAAGAGTTATTTGACAGTAGTGAAGGACGGTCTCACATTATCCAAATATAGGAATATGCGGCGAGTGTTTTTAATGTCTTTATTTAATGCTTACTATCCTGGCACGGACTAGGCGGCATGCAGTAGCTGACTTTGGGGTTTCCATTGGCTCTCCCAAAGGCTCTTCTGTTTACACAGCCCCGTTAGGATAACATAATCTTACCAACAGCCCAACAAGGCTGAGACAATGTGTAGAATAAAGTTGGGGCATCCTTGGGCAGTTTAGGTACTTGAACAAGCGTCCAGCCACATATTGGGCTTTCTTCCAGAAATCACCTTGAGAAAATCAACCCCACACAACTACCAACCAGACAGTAACCATGCCTCTAATTCCAAACACATATACCCCGGATCTGGGCATACGCTTGAATAGGGAAGACCGCATCTACCGACCTGGAGAAACGATTGTTGGCTGGGTCTACCGCACATCGTATATCGCGTCCGAGGCAACCGTCAATGTCTCTCTCCACGGAGCTAGCTGTATACGTATGAGATCTGGCGTACGTTGGGCTAACAAGTACCAAGGCTAATTCGATATTTTCCAGGGAGATAAAAATAGACAGGGTATCTTTAACGGGCCGCTTTACATTGGAAAGGGTAATAGTAGGGAAGAGCTAGGCTAGGAGTAGCCTTTTATATTTAAGCTACTAACCTATATCGACTTTCATTAGGTAGTAAATAAGAAGTACGGCCGTAAGTATTTCAAGCCTATTAGTAGAGCAATTAGCTAAGAGCCATTGCCTGGGAGCTTTAAGATATCCAATAGGGATTATAATAAAGGCCTTATTAAGTACTACCTTAGAGCTACTTTAGAACTGCAGAGTAGAGGTAAACCTTAAAGCCAGGGAGCGATCTTACCTATTAGGATTATAGCCTCTGCTCCGGAGAAGGCTGCTGCTATCCAGCTCGCCTGGCCAGCACCTGTCCGACGCCCCAGGTTCTTGCTGAGAGTCGATCCTCCACAAACAGTAGACAAGGCCGACATGAACTACCATGCATTAGAGAGATTATTCAGACTTAGTATGCAGGTGCCAAACTGACCTGAAGCATCACCTATCAGGACCAGCAGGAATGTAGTCAGGAGTCTTTGATGACGACTAACTACCGTGAGGGGGGCAGCTGTGAATATTTTCTCTCCCGTAGTCGGCTCCGCGTCCGCGTTGACTCCGCCCTCGACAGGTTCCTCCGAACCTCGAGACGATGTCAGTTGCATCGGGCCGGGTACAGTTGGAGAAGAGCTGGTTACCGACATCTCATGAGCTGGCATGGTCGGGGTCGTCGCCATTCTCGAGATTGAAAGAGTCTGCTTGATCAGAACGCACCATGTGGTACCAGATGGCACGGGCTTAAAAGTACAAGAATGTAGTGGCGGGGCTAGAGCTTTTATAATATAGACGGTAGAGGGCCCAGCCAATTTTTCTGTGCATCATGTGACGTCAGTTGAGAAATGGATTAAATGCTTGGACGTATTGGTAGCTAGTTCAGCTTTGTCGTCTAGCAGAATTATACCCCTTGTTGAAGAGGATCAAGTGATTTATATCGCCAGTTCTCATATCTGGGAAGCGTCTCGTCTTGGACAAGAATGTCTTGTCCTTTTCCAGTAGAACCAAGTTAAATCCCAGCATCAGTTTTGCAATATTCAGCCAACTTAGGGACGGTCTGGCATAGACTGCACTGCAGTCATCCGGGTCGCGAATGGTTCTCTTTGACATATGTTGAGAGTTTAAAGGAATGCCACGATTTAGTCATTAAGAAATACATTTGGAAACTAAAGCGATTGTGCTCATTGAGCAGAGATCTTCAATATAGCTGATTCAGACTAAGAGTAACAGTCATCTTCATGGAATTCTCTTATTGACTCTCCGACTTGGCCTCCATCTAGAGTCGGGTAGATTGAATGCCGCAGTGGGTATGTACTCGGTTATAGCACCAATCAACCGAACGTTGGCTCCACGGGCACATAACCGAGTCGATTAATGGCGATGTCAATTGTCTTGACATCATCAGCGACATGCCTATCAGGGGATTGCAGTTCATAACAGAGCTTGTTCCCTGCAAGACCAAACCTTTCATTCGATGCGATAGTAGTCACCCTGAGCACATCTTCCATTACAATGGCACTCAAAGTATTCTTGACCGGAGCCACGGGCTATATCGGTAGCAACGCCCTATATACCATTTACTACAACCATCCCGACTTTGAATACTCTCTCCTTATTCGAACATAAGAAAAAGAGAAGTAAGTATCTTCTGTTTATCCTAAAGCACGGATTGTGATCGGTGGCCTTAATAATACCGAGCTAATAGAGCGTGAAGCTGGCTGGGCCGATATTATTATTCATAAGTCCCAAGTACTTCTAGGAGCATCTGCGATTGACTATTATTAAAGATACCGCTAACTCTTCCGATTATGAAATCAGTACTAGGGCTATTGTAAAAGGTCTTACTAAGAATTACTTAGTATTATAACTAGGGTTTTAGCTCTATACTAGCAGTATAGGTATCTTAATATTTTTCGATTCGGAAGTTAGGAAGATATTTAGAGAGTCTGATAATAAGATATTTAATAATCTTAATAGTATAGATGAGCTTATAAGCCTACCTAATGCTGCCTTCTATAATAATATTAATAAGATTATCCCTGAAACTAGTTCTAAGTATAAAGAATCTATTAAAACAGCTATTATCTATCCTCCTATAATCTATAGTAAGGGGTATAGTCCTATCTCGAGCTGTGGATACTCGGTCTATGAGCTTACTTCCTTTATTCTTAAAGAATAGTATATGCTGAAAATTAGCAAGGGGCTTTCTCGATAGAACTATACCTTTATCTATAACCTTTCTAATATATTCAAGCTTCTTATAAAAGCTACCCTGGACCCTGCTTATAAAAATAATACTGATATTTAGGGTACCTATAGTTATTTCCTGGCTGAAAATAGGGACTATATGTAGGGATATATTTCTGCCGTGATTGGTAAAGAGGTTCAAAAGCAGGGTCTAGCTAAAGACAGACAGATCGAGGTCCGGGAATAGTTAATTGAGGAGGCTGTCCAGTCGCCTGCCGGGTTCAAGGCAGTAAGCTGGGGCATAAACTCGCGTAGTAAGGCTGGAAGGGCTGCAAAGTTCCTCGGATAGACCCCTAAAGAAGTAAGCTTAATGGATGAAATCCCTGAAATTGTTAAATCAGAAGTCGCCAGAGCAGAATTGTAGGCTCTACCTATCATGGGTAATAATGATCGGATGTTGTCACTCAAATAGCTCTGTAGTTGCAACTATCCTAATAGAGTAATGAGAGTGGGAACCTTCCGCAACTTGCTCGCTTGTGTCCAGAAGTAGGTACCGTCATGAGCGATAACTCTTTAACCTATTGTCTAAACATGCTTCAAACATTCATTCGCACAGCCCGAATATCATTATCCTCGAGTCAACCCAACCATAAAAAAGTTGCATGAGGCTCTATTGAGCCCGTTTATCCAATCTTAGCTATGAAAGGGTTAAATATAGATAGTAGATGCCCGTCGAAGGATGGCGAAATTCGTCCTTCAGTAAGAGCATTTGCTTACATGCCTGCAATTCTTCAGTATCATTGATCCAGGTACGAAGGGTTTGTTATTTTCAAGTATGGAATACATCCTCAAAGGAAGTCTTTGACGCAGTCGTTGCAAATTTTAACATGACAATGTGGCTGATAGACAAGTTGTTGATCTTCTTGAAGAGGTAAATCTTGGAATACATGCCACGTGAGTGGCTTTATATTTTTCTGGCGGAGTTTTAGGCTGCCCTGGAACAGAATATGAGGAGGCTCTCAAAAAGTCTATTCAGCACACTCTCCAAAATGGCTACCAGCTCATCAATGCCGCCTAATATTATGGCATTGAATCCGTCGTCGGCCGTACTATCCGCAATAGCGAACGTGGATATATCTTTCTACACAGTACACCCAGGAAGATTAGATAACTAGATGTGCCAAAGGCCATCACTAGGATGATATATAGCATTTTTCAACTATAGCTATAAGAAAAAAGAGTGGCGTGCAACCAAGGTGCAAAGTAAAAGGGCAAATAGACATTAGACTTTAGCTATATTTGAGAGTCATTTCCCATCAGTATCAGTCCAGGCATAAATGCAAGCTTCATGAAAAAGACCCAGTCATGACTCTTCTAAAGTCTTATGTACAACATCCACTAATCTCCTTGTTTCCTAAGAGACGACCTTATCGTCCATAAGTGTAGAGACTGTCAGATTCTAGTATAACCTCAGTTAGCCGACTCATTGCATTGGTAGAGAGGTAAATAGGAACAGTGCGTGAAGGCGTGTGTTACGAACCTAGCCCTGAACGCCGACGGATTGGAGCTTAACCCAGCCATTGATGCTGTCAAAGGAGAGGTACAAGGAGACGGCAATGCCCTTGTCGCTGTAGACAGCCGAGGACGAGGCAATGTCTAATTCGAAGCTGCTGGTCTCCTGGAGGTCCGAGACGCTAAACTTGAGGCTGTTGGCAAAGTGAAGCTTCACGCCATCGACGCTGGCAGACTGGGAAGAGAAGTCGACCTGGATGGCCTTGAGGGAAGAGTTGTCCGGGTCCGGGTTGGGGATGGTGTAGTGGACCCAGCCCTTAAGTTCGCTGGCACTGGTGGGGGAGATCTTGGCCGAGCCGCCATCCGAGGTGATGCTGAAGCTGTTGTTTGTATCCTTGATGGCGCCGATGCCGTGGGTGGTGAACCAAGTGGGAGACATGTTGGGTCTAGATGGGGAGCTTGGCGGAGCAGAAGAGGGCGAGACTTGTTGTTGAGGGGGGTTTTTCGGCGACGAGAATGTGACCGAGAAAGACAATGAGAAGCTGCTTGAGAAGCCTGATGTGGCGAGTGTTACTGAAGAGTTGCTTGAGAATGTAGTAGACAGTGTTGCTGGTGAGTGGTGACGAGAGCGAGGGATTTGGGGGTGAAGGCATGGCCATATATACTTTTTCTTCAGATGGGTATCCATGTGGACGGATAGTGTTAGTCAGCGTTGAACGGACACTTCATGAGAAAAGCCAGTATCAATCCAGAATCAATGACTGTCTTCCCCTCATCACGACATGGATGTAAGTCCTCATGTCATCAACGGTCGGCGAGACCCAAGCTGAGCAGCGACCTTACTGTAACCAATACCAGCTCATCAACGTCATCTAGAAAGCCCACATGGCTTAATTGGGAGTCATTTATTGAATTCATTCAAGCTGAGATTGGTCATGAGCTAGAAGCGACCACTAAGCGCGCACAATTATTCACACAGGGTTGCCATGAGAAGTTGCATTGCAGCGAGCCCTCTCGGTCATTTCGTCGCGCCCGTCATCCTACTATCAAGCTGTGTGGAGACAGCACCTTGATTTTTACGTGGCTTGCAGACGAGAGCTGTCATGGCCTCGACTGGATGTCTGCTTTCCCCCTCCTCTTCTGAGTTGTGTAGAAGCGGGCGGTGCGACCTCAACTTGACGAGGGTCTGGGTATCCTTAGAAGGGTGTGTGTCCCGTTGGCAGAAATAATCTATCAAGATGTGTATACACGTAGCGGTTTGTTCACGTTAGATATTTCCCTAAATATTTATATCAGCTTATGTCGGGAACACCTATATAGTGTATACAGTGACTTTATTATCAAGAATCTTCCGATTTCTTAAGTGACTTCTCGCTGCCTAAGCTGAAAGACCCTCATATCCAGACTGGGCGAAGTTACTCAAAGGAGCGTAAAAGTGATTGATAGTTATAGCTGACGTCTAGGCAAACAGGCCGAGAGAGTCATGCCCTTCTCTCTGATATTTCTTTACTTTGCTGCACCATGTAATTGAACGTCCTAAAAAGGAAATGTCTGCAAGCACAGCTCAGCTGAAATGCAACTGTTGTATCCTTCCGCCCTCTTCTGCTTACATGTATTAATTACGTAGGTCTAGGCTACACCTCAGCTGAAGAGGAGCGGGTGACTTTATTGACCCCTCTTGGCACAGTGACCGTGCATAAGGCGGCCATGAAGCAGGGGGGCCTAGTCGGTGGGGATGATTTAATACGAGGCGACGATGGCGAGCGCTGACGCCTATCAGCTTGCTGTCAGTTACCTAACCGTGATCAGAAGAGAAATAGTGGTAGTCGGCCTGGAGCTGAGGTGGTGACAATCTGCAGTTTCTGATAGTTCCCGGCCTTGAGACGAGCGAGTGACTGCTCGTTAGACATAGGGAGCCACTGGGGTGACATGCATCCCTATGTGTGCTACTGCAATCCTCCCTTCCTGAGTTTTCATCTATAAATGATCACACAAGATACAGCGCTTCTGACTGGATTAGACACTCTCGTGTGCGACAGTTTCATCCACACACACAGCCCCAAGAACCCCTCTCAAAACAACCATCCTTTGTCATCCTCTCTCAGGCATCTACTTCTCTCCTCACAAGAAAACGAAGCAATGTCGGTCTGGATCTCTACTCATGGCTCAGCGGGCCTTATCCTAGGAGAAGACTCCTCCTCCTTCACCAAGACATCCCAAATCTCCAGTGGTGCCTTCCGCTCCATCGCGCACAATCAGGCCCGTTGCTATGTCCTCTACCCCCTCCCTAGCCCTCCTCAACACACAACACACCTCAGTGCCGTCGCTGTCGACTTCATGGCCGACAGTGCCTACGTCGACTGCTTCGAGCTCATGTCCGGCAACCACTCCCTCCACAAGGAAGACAAGCTGGAGACGGGCCAGAGGTTTAACATCCCGCTGCCCAGTGGCGTGAAGCCTGCCGAAGGCAAGGGTCTCGCTCTCTGTCTTCAGCTCGTCTTCCGTAGCGTCAATGGCATGATCAGCGTCCAGTCCGCCGCGGTGGAGGCAGTCGTGAGGGCCCCCCGAGGCCCAAAGATTCTCAAGTCCGACAGTGGCACCTGGAAGACCGATGATGTGAGGCCGTGGAATCAACCGCAGACACATACACAGGCCCGGGTGGTGTTTGACACAGATTTCACCACGGTACCCTCGGTGACAGTGGGCATTACAGGGCTCGATGCCGGTAATGAGGCCAACGTGAGGGTAAAGGCTTACGCGTCTAACGTTGATAAGTTGGGTTTTACTGTGCACGCGGATAGCTGGGGTGACACCACTCTGTATAGTTGTACCATCTCTTGGGTAGCACTTGGCGTTTAGAAGTGTCGCTGCTAGGAATAGCCCTTCCAACAGGGCTTTAGAACCAAGCTAAACGATGTGGTTGCCCGTCGCGTGGACCTCAATACCGTGGCCAGGCGAACCATTTGATGTGCCAACAACTTCGTAGTACTGTTTGTAGACGGAGAGGTTGGCTGTGCAACCCTGCCATTCATCACCCATTGCGTAGGTCGCATTGGCAGAAAGCTAAGACGACATGCGCTTCAGCTCGAGAATGGTTCTCCGCTAGACCTATTCGATAGATCATAGACGCCTCTCGATATTCCAAATTGGCAATTGATGACATTCTCAGTCGTTAACCTATCGTTAAGCATGGCTCCTCAATTTAGTACTGACATTGGGCCGCAATTCAACGTAATATTCAAGCATCAGCTAGCCACTGTCATTCCATCCAAGCCTATTTGGGGGAGCCTTGGCTTGAATGTGACGGCAGCTGCGTCTAAATGCAACACAAAATTTGTCATTCGTATGCCAGACCACCTTGTAATGACCCTATGAAGAAATCCGCTGCGCCCATGTATTGCATCCGCGTCGGATGCGTATCGCGGCCTCTGATGTTGTTTGCTACACTGGGAGAAGGTGTGCTTCGACGTCAGCTGCCATCCCGTCCGTCGTTCGAAACGCCCCGCGAATTTCCTGAGGGATAGTTTGCTGCGTGATGTGACGTTCGGACGTCGTGAAGATTTCTGTTGCTGTCTTCCGATTTCATCGAATTGGATAAGGAAAGGAGGGGTGAATCGTTAACAATCATCGAAATTACTGCGCGGTCAACTATGGATAAGGGAGCTGGCCGCTTCAAGATACAACTAGACCTCTATCGCTGGATTAGAAATTAGTTGTTCCAAATAAGAACAGATCAAATACCCCAATCCTTGTCTCCCTTTCTCACGCCTAGCTCCACTACGCGGGTTCACACCCAACCTTCATAAAATACTGTACGGCATTAGGATCCCGGGAGTAATGTCATTCGCCTGGCCAATGTCTTGATCCCACGGTCAGGCAGATTGTTCTGATTGGCCTTCTTTACAAGATCATCGCTCGCCATATAGCAGTTCAGTGGAGTATATCCCCTGAGAGTGGCCTAAATGTCGCTCAATGTTACCTGAGCGTGGCCTGCTGAAAGCTGAGGGCAGGGATGCGTTCCACTCCGGACGGGAGAGCCGACTGGCCTTGATGAATGTTACCCTACTGACGTTAAAGGCGACGTCCAAAAGCTTCCTATGAAATGAGATGATGTGGACATCAGCACTAAGTCTCTCACAAAGTATAAGGAGGCTCACTCTCTAGGAGTTTGGACTAATGGCTGTGACAGAGCAGGATCCTCGAAAAAACTTCTTAGCATCAATACCACCACCCGGTATCTACTCACACGTTCGTTGGCACAGTTCTGCGACTGCAAATTCAACGTAAGACCTACCAGCACCACGATGATCCCCTCAAATGAGAAAGAGTACTCAAACTAATAGTTTTTAGCTTACTACGTCTTAGAGCCATGTCTTTCTCCATTGACCTCGACGATGGCGAGGAGCAGTACATTGAACAGATACAGTCTCTTCGTCGCCAACTAGCCCAGGGCGAATATATCGAGAGTGTCGGCACGCTAGCACCTCAGGTCCCAACAGGCGGTCCCCTTAGCTTCTTCGATGTCAACTTATCGGGCAGTGTTGGCGGCTCGCACTACCGTGTCACGTTGAGGTTTCGAAGTGACAATCTCTATTTGGTCGGTTGGCGCCGACCAGACACCAATGTCTGGTACGAGCTAGGCCATGAGGGTGGAGGCGCCGCCATCATCCGAGACAGAGGCGTAGAGACGCAGCTGTTGACGCTCATGGAGAACTACGTCGACCTGACACGAGCCGCAGGCTGGGAACTTGACGATGTTCCTCTCAGTGTTCAGCGCATCGGTGAAGCTCTGAGGACCCTCGCCACCACGGAGATGACTGGCGGGACCAACTTGGAGCCCGTCGCGCGAGCCGTCATCACCATGGCCTTTACCATTGCTGAGTCGTCAAGGCTCCGGTCCATCTCTGGCCTCATCCACAGGGCTTGGTGGAGCGAGTCTGCCCCGGGACCGCACTACGCCAGTCAGGTGCGTAGCTGGGCTCGCCTCTCCAATGCTGTTCAGAGAACCCGCAATGAGGGCCACACTTGGGATTTTGAAGGGGATTCGACCAACATCTGGAGCTTTGTCGATGCGATTCGTGCCCTTGGCATCATGCATCTAGTTTCCACAGCAAGGCCACACCGCTCAGTACGTTCTGTCGCTGATGAGGCCAACAGCTCCCAGATGGCGACCTCGAACACAACTGCGTGGGCCCAAGGACAGCCACTGCTTGAAATTTTCCATGTGCGCATCGAAAACATCGACAGCGAGGACCCGGGCCAACTGTATGGCACCGTCCGCGTCGTTGACAGCATCGGCACGGCATCCATTTGGGCCAGGGCCCAGCATGACTACATTAGCATCAAGCCTGGTGATTTCGTCCTTCTTGAGGGCCCCGACCGAGCCTTGACCGCAGCGGACGAGCTCAGCATCCAACTTGACCTGTGGGACTATGACTCTTTGTCCCCCGACGATGCCATTGCCCAAGGAACCGTTCAATTCAACCCCTTCGACTACTACACGCAGTACGACAGTACTCAAAATCGCCAAGTGAACGGCGAGTATGGCTCAGTGGATGTGAGCTACGTAGCAATGAGCGACGCCCTCTACGCGCAGGTTACAGTTGTCCTGATTAATGGGGATGACGAGGACCCAGCTAATGTGTACGGCGACATCTACACCAACAACGGATACGGACACAGCCAACTCTTCCAGAAGGGCCGGAAGGAGTACGTCAACGTTCCACCTCTAAGCCGGATCCCTCTTGTGAGGAGTATCGTGGCTGTGCCTACGGACGGCTCGTTGGTTATTACGGCGAATCTTTGGGATTACGACTCGCTCAGCCCTGATGATGAGATTGCTGCGGGCAAGGCAAGTTTTGACCCGTTGTATAGGAAATCGGAGAACAAGCAAATCAATGGGGCTTATGGCAAAGTCGACGTTCAGGTAACCTGGTTGTAAATGGGGATACAGGTGGATGGCTTGGAATGATGAGTTTGTTGTTAAATGAAAAGCAGTATGATAATAGGTATGAGAAGAATATGCATCGACCAGGTGGTTGTTATATCAGAGTTTTAGTCGGCGACGCCAGCCTAGGGTAGATCTCTTACAGTAAATTTACTAAAGATGACCGAATAATGAATCCGTTTTCAATAAGTCGCGGCTATGAAATTAGTGCTGATATAAGATTACAGCTATTTAAAGTTATTTTTTTATTATCTTTTTTAAATTAATCTTTCTAGTATCTCTTAGCTTATTCTATAGATTTTATCTATTTTAGATCTAGCTTATTTTATAGCTAATCTATTCTATATTAGAGATTTTAATCTTTTAAAACTTATTATATTATATTTTTTACTATTTAGTATATATTTTAATAGATTTTTTATTCTACTTTTTATTATCATAAATCTTTTTTTTTTTTAAAAAAAAAAAAAAAAAAAAAAAAAGGATTAAATTAAGAAATAATAGTTTATAAAATAAATTTAGTAACTAGTTTATTATGAAAGAGATAACCATGAAAAAGATAACGATCAATTCAACTCGGGTCATCTGATCATTGATACCTCCTGGGGCAGGCGGGAGCTTATCTCGGTAGTGGACATTTATAGTGGCTGGTACAGGCCCTGTAGCGTATCTTTCAGGCCGCTGCAATCTCAGAAAAACCCTTCCCAGTCCCCCGCATTTCTCAACCTTCATGACGATCCACCTCGAATCTTCATCAACGTCCACCTTCATCTACGTCCGTCCGCTGCCAGTGTTCCAACCACATACCACTGCCACATCCCGCTCGACAATTCGTCAGGGACCCGGTTCTCAAGCAGCTCTCAAGCAGCGCGATGAGCTCCGGCTCTGGTTTCCGCGACAAGAGGAGCCAACAGGCGTGCGTGCCGTGTCGGTACGTCAACCGCGTCACCAAAGACCGACATGTGAGCTGAAACTACTCGCAGTCGCAAGAAGAGCAAATGCCCGGCTGAGAAGCCGGTATGCTCAGCCTGCCAACGGCTGAACCTGCGTTGCGAATACCGCGCCAGGGACCCAGTCACCAAACCGCCATCTTCCACAGCACAAGCTCCAGCAGGTGTCAAGTGAGCTGTCACTCTCCGTCATCCATCATACAAAGATGTTAATTCGTTTCTGCAATCCCCAGAAAGCCAGCAAAGGCGGTTCCCGATAATAGATTCCAAGAGCTTAGGGTAGAGCCCACGGCTCGGCAAAATGAGTATATCACATCTCTCTATGGTGCTGATATCTCGCTAACATTCCCTAGCCAAGCATCTAGAGCAAGTACTTCTTCATCAGGAGCTTCAAATACTCATTCCATCACCACATCACGGCAACAGGCCATGTCTTCGCATCAGGGTCGCGCCCTAATGGCGCCTACAGGACTACCACAATCCACAGGACTAAGGGCATCAAGCATCGAGTGAGCATCCATCATCGTTTTCACTTGTGTCCCATTTTACTAAACATCGTGAAGGGTCCCTCCAACACAGGTACTAGATGACCTGATCCAAGTCTATCAATGGGCGGCGCACCTTCAGCCAATACCTCTTTTCCGGTCCCAGGGCTTGAAGGATGAACTATTATCCTCGCCGCGCTATCTCCTCCATAGCTTCCTGGCCCTCACGCTGAGTCTAAAATCTCATGTCTACTATCCAGATAGTGCTATTGCGGTTGAACACTACACCAGATCGGCCGAGGCCATGACCAGGGTTCTATCGGTCCAGGGAGTAGCCAGGTTGGAGGTCATCCAAGCGCTCTGCCTCCAAAGTTTAGCGGCGCTGGCAGGTATGTTTCCAGGCCCTGTAACAATCCCTTCATCCAGAGAGAGCATTCCACCAATGATTAAATATAGCGTGCAAACCCAATGTGGCCTGGATGACAATCGGAATTGCGTCCCGTTTAGTCTCTTGCCGCGCTCTACGATCTGATGAGAACTCCAATGATAAAGACCGCATTCTCCGGTGTCGTTGGAGCGTCTTCTGCCTGGAGAAGATATTCTCATCACACATGAGCATACCAGCCAAATATCTAGACGGCCTGGAATATCCCTCCAGTGCCCCTCTCCCACCGCTGCTCACCTCTGCCAGTGCCGGTGACAAAGTGGCTGGTCTTTACGATTCTGACGAAGCTGTCACGGACTTGGGGATCAATGCCTACTACATACAGATGATTTCCGTATGGGGTGACGTCGCGACTTGGCTCCATGACATCAAGCTTGGGAACGATGAGATCCCTTGGCGGCCAGAATCCGGCCATACCAAGCTCAGCACCCGATACTTCGAATTCGAACGCCAGCTTCCTCATATGCATCTCCTCCGGAATGTCTCCTTCACTACGCGGACAGCCAGTGAGATCTTCGAGCAGAGGGAGTACTGGACATCGTGGGTTCTCATGCAGATTCTGTTCCACGCCGTCCCCGCCACCATCAACCATCCTTTCATTCACTTGGTTGCTGTACGTCGATCGACAAAAGGGCCTCAGTCTCACGCATTCTTGCAGCAGACTGTGGACCTGGCAATCTTTCATTCAGCTTGGGTCTTCCGTATCCTTCAATGCAGTGAAGGGTTTGGCCTGGAGATTACCAGTCCTCTGGTCGGGCACCTAGTCGCCATCCTGGCTATTGTGCCGTGTCTGTTTCGATTCGCCGTGGATGAGAAGGTCTCGAACCGAGCAGTGAAAGATCTACAATGGTGCCAAGACTACCTGGCCCGTGCTGCTCTAATTTGGCCGCACATGTCGCAAAAGGTATACAAAGCATGGATAGCCTTCTTTGGACAATGTCTCACTTGCTCACATTACATCTAGCTCGATCTCTTGCGAAACCTACAGCATATTGCTGATCACCAGAGAAGTAACCACGAAGGAGGCAACACAATCATGTTCCAGCCCTCCCTGGTCTGGGCTCTGCTAGATCCAGAGATTTGTCATATGAACACCACCAATGAGGTCCTGGACGAGTCCCCGGCTGCTCCTGAGGCCCGACTCCGTGTCACTACACGGTTCACTCACCCATTGACCGAAGCGCAGCAGGAGCAGCAGCCAGCTCCGAGCTCGAACTTCATCACGGATGAGACCTTTTCATTTGACCCAGACGAGCTTGAGCAGCTGTACCTGGATGATCTATTCTTTCATTCTAACCCTGATCCGTTCTTTGGTCTCTAGGAAGAGAAGATTTCGGATCTAGTGGGAGGCGATGGGATGTTGAGAGAATAATTCTGGCAACGAGCCCTGGACTGCCACTGTTGTTGAGGTCTAAGTCAACATCTAATTCTAGACATGTCAATAGTGAAAAACTATGCTTTATTAATTCCAAAATGTGGAAGGAGGTTACCCAACAGACTTTAATGCAGTAAGTGCTGTTGAAGGAACATTCAAGCTCATCAGACATCGTTCAAGTTGAAATTATCCAACCCAGCCTCCCCCTTGATAGTGTCCCAGATTCCATTGATGTCTTCCACAACCTGATCTGGGAGAGGCCCGCTCTTTAACCCGATGAGTGTTTTTCGCAGCTGGTCCAGGGTCCTCGCACCAATAATAATTCCATCGCCCAGCTCCGGCTTCAAGCCGCTATGGTACGAAACCCATCGATATGCCAGCTCGGCCTTCGGGAGGCCACTTTTGGCGCTGATATCCTCCCATTTCTTTAATGCCGCCAGAAACGAGGGCTTGCTGTAAAGCGTAGAGTACAGCTTTCCAAGAGGGGTGTCAGGCTTGAACCTTCCAGCCCCCTCCTTGATATCCTTTGCCGTCTTGGTCAAGAAACCGCCGCCCAGAGGGGAGTAGGCGTTGAAGGAGATGCCATGCTTGCGCAAGGTCGGAAACAGCTCTTCTTCTTGCCTTCGAGCTATGGCAGAATAATTACCTTGGTAGACCGTTGGTACGACGAAGCCGTTCGCCTTGGCCACGCGGATCACGTCCTCGACCTCGCTAGCCAGGAAATTAGACAGACCGAAGTGCTCGAAACGACCCTGCTTGTATAATTCGTTGATGCCTTCCAGGGTCTGCTCCAGCGGTGTCTTCCGATCAGGGGCATGTATATAGTAAACATCGACCTAGAGGCCATATTAGACTGACGAGCAGAATTCTCTCGCAGGGCGAGCATACCTTGTCCGTTTTCAGCAGGCCGAAGCTGATGTCGGCGACCGCGAGCACGTTCTCCTTGGTTGCGTTGGTGGTTTCGGCGAAACCGCCAGGATGCTTGGTGTCGATCTTGAATTTGGCCGCCACGCCTCGCTCTCCGATGAGCTCCTCGCTTTTCAGGTAGATGCGAGCGGAGTCAATCTTGTCGACGCCAAACTCTTGGAGGACGTCGGCCACTTCTGGTCCGTCCGTGTCGCTGCGCCAGCTGCCTGCAGAGCCAGCGCCGTAGATGACACGGAGACCTGGCATTGTTCTGGTGAAGATGATATTACGCAGGTGTGAAGAGGCGATTCCTTCAGCAAACAAAATTATTGGCAGAGTTTTATTCGATTCGGCAAGGTCAATATGTCAGTACGTATAACAGTGAGGTTCAGAGGAGCGACATTAAATTGCTCAATGATTGCTCGAATGAAATCGGCTCCAGATATGAGATGACGCCTTCCAGCCTACATGCAGGTGATCGGTTGAAGCTGCAGATTGGTAATCAGGTGCTGTATCATGACCGGATATAAGGCACGCAGTAGATTCGCAATGACGCGACCAGATAGCCTCAGATAAGAGGGGTGGCGGTACCAATGATGAACGCAGGAGTGACATATCAGGTATGTCATGGATCCATCAACCGGCTGTTTTGTCGAAGGCTCTTCACTGCTCCAAGCAGCTTGTCTGGTATAATGTCCCTCTAACAACGCCCACGGAGGTCTTAAGCCGATGGACTCATTTGTAACGGGCACCACTGCCGTTTCGAAAATGTGTTTATTATTTGAGATAGCCAGAGGTAGCTGAAGATAAGTTCGAGGGCAAAGAATTGTCACACCAGTGGTGAAACAAGGCATTTCCAACGTCTGCTTGCTAGTTCTTCTGTACCATTTAGTCAATAATAATCTCCGGCTTGCTGATCAGAGTGCTTGAGACGTAAAGGTGCAACATTTGCTTCCAAAGTCTAAGGTTTCATGCAACGATACAAAGACGATCAGCCCAGTCATCAAGGACAGGATGTGAAAAGCTCGGGGCAAGGGGGTAATTAATATCTAGGTTCGTCATTCGTATCTAAGGTATATCATTATTAATTATTATCCCATCTCGGGGCATTGATAATCAGCGACATCAGAGACCCGCTCATAAACGCCGTACAAGGCAGTGTGATGATCCAACCGCCATATATCCACGCAACCAGGCGCAGATTGATACATCGCCAATCACCATTGGCAAGTCCGACGCCAACCAGAGCGCCGGCAATACATTGAGTCTAAGGAAACACGCATCAGTATCATCCAAACCACAAGGTGTGCCCAAAATAAGAGTGCTACTTACAGTAGACACAGGCAACGACAGCCGCGTTGCAATGAGAATCGTCATGGCGCTCGCGAGCTCCATGCAGAACCCGCGGCTCGGCGATATCAGCGTCAGCCGATTTCCCATGTTCCTCATAACATGGTACCCGTACGTCAACAACCCAATCACGATACCACAACCACCCATGGCCAGGATCCAGAGCGGTACTCCCACCTGGCTGGGGATCTCTCCTGTGCTCCAGACATGGTACGCCGACGTGAACGGCCCGATAGAGTTGCTGACGTCGTTGGCGCCGTGGATGAAGCTGGCCGTCGCGGCTGTGAGGATCTGCAGCGCCGAGTACATGTACTCTGCCCTGTTGTCGTAGTGCGCGGCGCGGGCATGCATATCGTCGAGGTTCCAGGACAGAACGGCGTTGCGCTTCTGCATCATGACGACGTCCTTTTCCAGACCGCGCAGCAGGACTCGGTTGACGTACCAGATAAGGACGTGGACGGTGTACCAAGGACCCGGAGGCTTCGGAGGGATCAACTCATCGTTGACCGTTCCCGCCGCATCTCGTTCCTCTTCGCGGGCTACTGGTGGGGGCTCCGTGATACTGATCGCCGGTGGTGGAAGGATCTGTATCTCGTCGTTGTTGTCGTCCTTGTCCAAGGTCGAAGGCAAGTTGGGCGAATTCTGGACCGACTGCATCAACGTCTCTGACCGCCGGATCTGGTTCAACTCGTCACGGGTGAGATGGCCACGATAATAGTTCTTGACGTTCCCCCTCGAGATATTAGGCGGCGTGGGTGGCGGAGGGGGTCGTTTCAACAGCCAGGGCCCTTGCCAGACATCCCACCAGCGGAGCTGCCAATCCTCTATCATGATCTTGCGCCAGATAAAAGGGAGGACAAAGAAAACTTCTAGGGCGGTGGCGCCTCCACCTGTGATGAACACGGCCATGATAACCTGCTCGGTGGTCAGATCGACTCTAGTCTGCACACCCTTCCAGGCAAGAAGCACTGGTTTTGGAAAGTCAGCATATCCTCCAAGGCCTGGTCAAGTCAAATCGAGGTTAGCGGGCTACTTACTGGTTAACAGGCCAACCGTGATGAAGGTGTACACAGGAATAGAATAGAACGCCTTGCGAGGAGCATTGTGTTTCGTAAGGATAAAGTATTTGGTAAAGAGAAACAGGGCTGCGCCCAGGCAGCCCGAGATGCCCGGCGCAACGAACCATGCGGCAAAGACTTGAGAAGCACCATTGATAGACCAGTCGACCTTTGTGATCCCAACCGAAGCGGTAGCAGCACCGACGAGACCACCAACAAGCGAATGTGTCGTCGAGACGGGGAGCCCCTGCCTCGTCGCAAAAGTCAGGAAAATAGCCGAGGCTATGATGGTGCAAGTCATAGCGAGAAGCAGAACGCTCGGTTCCTGCTCGTATAGCTTGGGGTCGACGATCTTCAAACGGATAGTGTCTGTGACTCGAGAGCCGACGGCCAAGGATCCGCTAAACTCCATCACCGCCGCGATGGCCATGGCTTGCTTCATGGTAAGCGACCGGGATGAGACCGACGTGGAAAAGGAATTGGCGACATCGTTGGCACCTTGCAAGGAGAAGAGGGTCAGTATGTCGTGTCAGTCTGCATAGAACTTTGCGCCCGGCTCTGACGTACCGATGTTCCAAGCATCAAGGAAAGAAAAGCAGGTACAAATCGCGAACAGGTAGGTATATTTAGAGAGTTGAGCCATGTTATTCAATGTTTCCCGGCGACCAGCCGGAGCTGGCTCAGGTGTGGTCAGTCGTCAACAAATAGATACTGATACTGGCGATGATGTATGGTTTCCATTTAGTGCTCCTCGGCGGCACAGATTAGGTCGCTGGGCAGCCCGCACAAGGGGACACCCAGCCAACAGCTGACTGAAAAGGAGAGTGGTGATGAACAGGTATTAGGGCGCGCTGGGCGAGGACCGCAGGAGATCAGAGACGCGGCGGAGGAGGGGTGATGAAGAAGGCTGACGACGTTACAGACGTTCAAATGGAAGAGCTGGAAGGCTTGCCGCAGGAACGCCTAGCTTAAAGTACGAGGATGGATGGGGCGTGGAGGGAGCCAAGTCGGCATCCCTGCCAGCTGGATTCTTCAACATGCTCGAACGGCGGGCTTTAAGTGGACGCCCACTACCCGGATCGATTCGTGATCGGTAGATACCGATAGAATGGCGCCGGGCACGTTTGGGGTCTCTCGAGCGTCGAGCTATCACTTTTCTTGGTTCATTGTATGCAGTTAGAGTATGTCGACCCCTGAGCTGTTGATGAGCATATCGCTCGCACGAGGGTGTTCCTTGCCCACACATCACATGAGGTGGCCAGGCAAAACGCACCCTTTGAGGGCCACCAATCCTACTGCCTGAAGGCAAAGTGCACCTTGCCATTATTCAATCCCACGGCGTTGGTGCCATCAATGGCGCACTCTACGACCCATCTGATGCGCAGAGCTAGCCCAAGTCGACCACGGATGCAAAGGAAGAACTCGCAATTAACGGGCCCGAGAGGCCTCTTGAACGTGAAGAATAACCGGTGGGAAGCCAAGATATTCAACAGTGGCCGCTCCCTCTAGTGTCACAAAATTGGAAGACATGCGGCTTCGCTTAGTCGGTCCCTGGACAGAGCTGAACCGGCGGCATCCAATGGCAGCCGGCGATCGACGCACGAGCAACGCTGATGCTTGCTCGTTAGTGTATCGGTTCCGGTAAACCACCGGACTCCGCCACTCCCAGGTTCACTTGTCCGATCCCATCCACCCGCTATAGCGTGATGAAGGTGGCCTGTGTGGGCAACTTGGCTCACGTGTGGAGAGACCTATCGTCTGGTTGGTATCCAGAGGACTCCAAGAATCACCGTGTAGCCCCAAACGGACTGGGGCAGTTCAGTTGTGATCTCCAATTCAATGGTTTGATGGCCCACAGCCGCCGAATCCCGATTATTAACCTTCGAACCCCTGAAGGCGATGAGACTCCCCCACTGGAGCCCCCATGCTCGTGCTGCTCTCTGGCCTGAGTGTAAGCTAGGGAGGTCGGGACCCAGGCGGGATGCCATCACCAGACGATGGGCAGCCACGGGCCATGTGTTTCCGCTCTCTCGCGAGACACAGTCCTCTCGCTTGGAGTCTCGACCGTAGTTGGCTTGATGCTTATTTCCCTCATCCATCTCCAACCGGCTTTCGTGCTGGATGGCGAATAGCGCCATGTGAGACGTGATGGGTGCCTCCCCTTTCAACCAACGGATTCGGCAGGTCCCAACTAGCGAATGTCACAAGTGATATTGTGCGTAATGCGAAAAAACAAGAATGTGTGCCAAGCCTTGGCGTGATCGTAGTCCACAATAAGGAAAGACAGCCCGTATTATGCTTATTTTTTCGATCCTCTTCCACGGCCTGGTTGTAGTGTCCAGAGCGCCGATCGGTCTCCCCAAAGAGGATGGAGGTAATATAGCTCGCATAGGTCCCGCACTATCCCATGGGTAGTTATAGCTGTTGGAGCATTCTAGCACGTTTTTAAAGCATTAAAACCAGTGGGGTGAAAGGGAGAGGCGAGGTCATCGAGCCAGACCATCGAGCTTGACGTCGACCTGTGCGGGACACCAACACGAACTACTAAACATCTATGTCCACGTGCTTGATACATGAGAAATTAATATCCAGCTAACCGAGAAGCCAGTCACAAAGTCATCCCCCTGATACTCTAGATCACGGCCATTACGGGGCCTTTGCCAATAGTACACATCGTCACACGGTTGCATGTGAGATGATGCAGAAAAGAAGCTGGGTTAAATGTGACCCCAAACAATTTTGGGGACCACATGCGGCTCGGCCAGCTTCACACAGTTGTTAATCAAAAGAAGAAGAGGGAAAATATCAAGAGTCTTCGCGCAAGCCCATAGAACACAGTTATACATGACGATATTCATGGGAGTGAAATATGTTATATGCGAAACTACCAAACACCAGATCACACGTCTCCAGAACACCATCTTCACCCAACGCTATGCTATGTAATGCTATGCTATGCTATGTATGCTATGTACTATGCCACATGCAGGCACAAACCGACATCATACCAACCCAAGAACCGTCTACGAACGTAAGCCAAATGGATCTGCCAAATCCACCATCGTCTCCCAGAGCCTAGTCTCCTCGGGCGACGAAAATGTACACTCCCCCCTGCCCACCGCGTTCCCCTTGGTGCACCCAATGAACGGCCTTACGGCGGGTTCGCAAACCGCCCCCTCGTGCGGCAGCTCCCCCGCCTGGAAGTACTCACGCACCACCTGGGCGGTACACAACGACGGGATCGAGTGCGAGCAGTGGCCCTGCGAGTCCTGCTGCAGAACGACGCTGCCCGGGAACAGGGTCGACACACGCCGTGCGTTCCGGATCGGCGTCACCGTGTCGTGGGTGTTCCCGATGATGAGGAGCGGGTGCGAGGTGTTCGCCCACTCCTGCGTTCTAAAGTCCAGGCTGGGCCTCCACGCAGGCTGGGTGGTGTATCCCAGGCAAGCGAGCTTATTGCGTGCCCAGCTGCGGCTGATCCATCGGCCCTGAGAGTGCAGAATCGCCACGAATTCGTGGAACTCTTCGCGGGTCAGGTTCGTGGGGCCGCCACTGTCCATGCACGAAATAGCCTGGAAGGGTCCGAACCCCGAAACGTATGGCGCCGGGCCAGTCGCGAAAGGGTTCAGGATGGCCTGTTTTTGGGATACGATTTCCACAAGAGCTGGGGATGAGGTGTTCCTTGACTCGACGGCGAGGAGTATCTCGAATAACTTCTCCGCCATGGCGAAGGGGAAGTACATCCCAGAGAGCAAGTTGAGGTGTAGATCGCCGTAAGTAACAATGGCGGGACCCGAACTGACTCCATCCAGTGATGAGGCCACCGGGATAGCGATGGGAAACTGCTCCAGGGTGGCGAGAATAGACGTGAATCGCGCCTCTATATCTGCAGGGGAAGTGCCAGTGTAAAGAGGGCATTCCTCTGGGCCGGCTTGGAAACAATATTCGCAGTGCTTCGAGATGATCATGTCGGAATCCTGCAGTTGAGTGAGCCAGGCACCTGCGTAATGGTCTGCCGGATCAACTACTCCATCAATAACGAGACGGCCAACCCGGTCTGGATGCATTGCTGCAAAGGTTGAGCCGATGATTGTACCATAGCTCATGCCCCAATACTGTGCCAACTCCCTGCCTGGCCTGTACGCAGTGCGCTCTATAGTCTCGCGTGTTGTCTCTTGGTCAACCAGTTTCGCAGCGGAGAGCAACCTGGTCACCTCTAGTTCCCTCCATTTCCCGTGCTGCTCTACGATCTGCAACATGTCTTCTACAGTCTGTGCAGTGTTGAGGTAGCGCAGTATACCGTGGTCGCCTTCCCCATATGAACAACTTGCGCCCAGCGCCTCCGCCTTGGCCCATTCCATTCCGATAGTCGTCTCGCTATGCCAAAGTAGGCCATAGTCAGGCAGGCCCAGGAGCCAAGCCTGCTGGTTAAAAGCATCTATAAAACATTTCAAAGACGGGGTGGTGTTGTTCACACCTCTTGGGTCAAAGGACAGAATATCAAAGTATTTGCCACCCGATGAACCGGATTCAGGGGAGCCCGGCTCCAGAGAGTTATCAAGAATGCTCTGCAGGCTCTTCCCATCACCCAGAGTCTGAAAGACCCCCGACTCGCCCGGGCCGCCCGGGTTCAGCAGTATCGGCCCTCCATATCGTGGGTCGGTCACGGGGACCTTCGCAGGGAGCTTGATGACCGCGAGGGCCGCGCGAGGGCCGTTCTCTCTTTCCTCTGTCGTGGCATTCCAGTTCAAAGGCACGGAGAGACGAGCGCACTGAAACGAAGAGAAACACGGCACAAAGTCGAGTGATTCCTGCGGCGTGATACTCTCCCAGCTGAAGTCCGAGGACGCTTCACCGCCGGTGGGTTCGTCAAAATGCAATGCATTGTTGCCCATGAAGCGGTGGTTTTGGGACAGAGAAACAACAATACATATTGACATCAATACCGACAAAAATCTGAAGGAAATTCGCCTCCTCTGGATGTTCCGTGGGGGGTTTGGAGCTGGAGAGTCCCTCGGCGGCAGCGACAAGTACCCCTGTTTGGACATGGCTGTGCGGACACAGCACAGCAGCTCCTTGGCCACCAGATGCCGAGATCAAACCAGGGATCAAATGAGATAGTCTCCGGCTCTAGGCAGGCGGAGTCTCAACTTCCAAGGCAGAGCCGGGGAAAAAGTGTCTCCTACTCACACAGCTCGGTTTTATCTCGCTCATAGTGATCAGCCGTTCACCCCACGTGAGCGATAATTCTTGGTGAGATTCCAGCTCCTACCCTCCCTGTTACAGGGTCATGTGCAGCATTCCACTGATTGATAAAAAAAAGGATTGATTAGAATATCAGGTATGATTGGCGGGAAGGGCGAAAAATCCTCGCTCGCGGACCCAGTTGTATGCAGGGAGCAAGCAGGCACGCGCGAATTGTTGCCGTGGCCGGGTGAAGAGAAGAGAATACACTACAAAGGCGCATATTAACAAGGCTGCCTTCTTGAATTGAAATGTAGCAAAGACCTCGACCGGCACCGACCCGATATTCCCCCCCCCCCTTCAACACGGCAGGTCCAGGAAATGATAATGGCGCTTCTAGGCCAAAATTGCTTTTTCGGCTACCTCAAACTCTTGCCCTGCACAAGGCCGATAATCCAGACTCTGGGCACCTCATCGCTCACGTACCCTATAGCTTGAATGAAGCGTCTTTGATCCGCGCAATGCCCTCCTGAGTGCAGGAGATGACCAGGCAGCCCGTCTCGACGTTCCAGATTCGCTGGTGAGTCAGGACTCTACCATCACCGCCCCAGGAAGACTGCCTCTCGCAGACCATCCATTGATCTGCCTTTGCATCGAAGTCGTGGAAGACCACACTGTGGTTCAAACTGACCGCCATGGCCACATTTTCGATCATGCGACCGACCTTGCTAATGTTTGCATAAAGCGAAGGCCCAATGATGTAAGAATCCGATATACAGCCTATTGCCGCCATGTGCATGCCGGGGCTATCTGTAGATATCTCAGGCGACCGGACAAAGCCGTACATCCGGTATTCCGTAGGCTCGTCGACGACGGTAAACTCACACGGGCGCCAATCGCATGGTTCTCTAAACTTGAGGTAGTTGCGGTCATGCACCGGGAAGTCTTGCTTGGTTGACCAATGCATGATCTGCGGCAGGGAAGCCTTGGGGATGTCGTCGGGTTTGATCCCACCGAGGTCTGGTGGAGGCAGGCCATAGGTGAGTATGTAGCGAGGAGCCGAGCTCTTCTTGTTCTGGAAAGTGATGGTGGAGAGATACAATAGCAACTTCTCGGGTCCCTGGTATGCACGCACGAGGCGGGTGACGAATCCACGCGTGTCTGCCGTCCTCTCGACGGCGTACTTGATCGTCTCTTCGCCTGCTGCCGGGCGGATGAACGACGACTTGGACGAGCAAACGACATATCCCGGGGGCACGGTCTGGCTGGCGGCGCCAATCGCATGACTGATGAGGATCCCACCAAAGACAGATCGAGCGTTTTTCTGGTCATGAAGGCTACTGTATTCCATCCCCATTTAGCGAATGCAGTTGACACATCGTTGCATGGAGCGCAGTGTGAAGCCTACCTCACGCTTCGGAAGACATCCGGGCCATCTCCAGGCACGGGCTCGACAGTGATGATTGACTCTGTGGGAGCCTTTTGCGCTGCCATGGTGAAGAATTGCAGTTCAACCTGGAAAAGCGCGAGTCGCCGCCATGGGGGGACATGAAGGGATCCCAGAGCCTTGCATTTTTGCTAGCTGGCACTTGGCTCTCACGTGGTTTGCCTGTATTGCAATCAAACAGTAGTTACATTGGAAGGATGCGCATCAGCTTGAGCGCAGAGAAGGATCATTGCAAGCCATGGTATCACGGAAGGATGAAGGCCGTGCCGAATGGTTTGCTTTCGGTATGCAGTTTGCCAGTGTAGGGTAGGTACAGCTTGGCTTCTAGAAGGCTGCCGCCGTAATTTACTGCAGGCAGGAGCGTTTCCACCGAGCGCGCTCTCACCGCGTCTTGTTCGTATTCGTATTCACTTTCGTATTCTCTTATCACGGCCAGATCTCGATATCGCGATTGCTAGATTACCGAGGCCAGCCCAGGCGGTTCGGCAATCTGACTTTGGGAGCACGGATATAGCCTCGCCAGCGCCTGGGAATGGCGTCCTGGATGCCGCAAGGCTGTTGTCAGACACCGTACGATCCCACGCGCACGGGAAGACCAGCTTCCGGTGCGGAGGCTCAAGACCCTCGCCGCTTGAGTTTGCGCCGCCAAAAGTTAGCAACACGAATACGTCGGGGATGCGTCTGGCAGGCCAGATCTATGCCTTTCTGGGCTGTAGCTCCCAGTCGATCGGCCAGGAGAATCTCCATCGAGGACGGAGCAGCAGACGCCATTGGCTGTTCTCCCCCAGATCTAATCTGATCTGGGTCCGGATCTCTCTTCATCCGTCCCACCTCATTTTATGTTTTGCCGCCAAGGGTTCTCAGGAGAGTCGCGGTGTATAATATTTTATCAAGCCCCTTTGTCCTGTCCCACCATTTCTAGAACATCACCATTCTTCCAAGCATCCAACCGCAGTTCCCAGCATTGGACTTGTGCACAATGGACGGACTTGGACTGTAAGTTTGACCTCTGGATGGCACCAGCCCTCCCCTCGCTCGTCGCTATTTCATCGCGAGGACGCTGCTAACTTTCCCCCGAACCAGAGCCACAAACACGACCCTGCCAACCGGCGGGGGCTACTTCAGAATCGTCGATACCGTATCCAAGGAGAACCCGACTCTCGGATACTTCGAAGCTCTCTGGACCGTACGTTTTTTCCTACCCCTTACTGCAAAAGAGAACAGCTACTGACCTTATCTGCAGGCTTGGTACCTCTACGTGCAGAATGACACCTACGCGACCGGCATAATGAGCCTCGCGCTCCACGAGATCGTCTACTTCGGCCGCTGCCTCCCCTTCTTCATCCTCGACTTCTTCCCATATTTCAACAAGTACAAGATCCAGCTGGCCAAGATGCCCACGCTCAAGGAGCAGTGGGACTGCGCCCGCCTCGTCCTCCTCATCCACTTCACCGCCGAGCTGCCCCAAATCTGGTTCTTCCATCCCGTCGCCACCTACCTCGGCATGCAGTACGGCGTGCCCTTCCCTCCCGCCTGGAAGATGGCCCTCCAAATCGCCATCTGCTTCGTCATAGAAGACACCTGGCACTACTGGGTCCACCGCGCCCTACACACCAAATACCTCTACAAGAAGGTCCACAAGCTGCACCACACCTACTCCGCCCCCTTCGGCCTCGCCTCTGAGTACGCCTCGCCCATCGAGACGGCCATCCTCGGCCTCGGCGTCGTGGGCTCCCCCGTCCTGCAGCTCGCCGTCACCGGCGACCTGCACCTCGTCACCATGTACGTCTGGATCATGCTGCGCATGTGTCAGGCCATCGACGCCCACAGCGGCTACGACTTCCCCTGGAGCCTGCGCCACTTCCTGCCCGTCTGGGCCGGCGCCGACCACCACGATCTGCACCACGAGAAGTTCATCGGCAACTACGCCTCCAGCTTCCGCTGGTGGGACTACATGCTCGACACCGAGGCCGGCAGCGAGGCCTACCAGCGCCGCCGACAGAAGAAGCTCCAGAAGATCCAGGCCCAGAAGGTCGAGTAAGCGGTTTTTGTTATGGCCGTGAACGAAACCATGAACGAAATAAAACAGCAGTACCTCCCCGAGTCAGATATAGGAGCAAAGGAGCCATAATGTCGGTGGATGGGCGTTTTCATATTCATCCAATAGAGTAGCCAGGAGTGGTTGGGCATCACTGCTGCGGGTGGGAGAAAAGCTACGAGTAACCTTGATGCTGGCGTGAGTGTCGAGGTATGACAGATTGCATGGTGGCATGGTATGCCTGTGCGGACAGCATTATAGACAGCGATGATAATTTACAACGAATCTAATTTGATGCATTCATAACCTCGTCCTTGGCTACGATCATTACACGTGATGACTCGCGAAGACCACAAGAGTGTTAACAAGAAGACACGCTTGATAAGACAACCCTTAGTTGGGCGAGAGATGCAAGCAGTCCAACTGGCCAGGAGCACCTGGATCGACAATCCATGGGCCTCACGGCACATGTCGAGGCTATCATGTGCCGTGACTTCATAGCACAATGTTTACGCATGGCAGCAGTTCCAATGGACGCCTATGGCCATGAATTACTCCATGAGGTCTTATATATTCATCTTTGTCGGCCGTTTCGTCAATGGCAATGGGTGCCGAGCGGGATCATAGGGTGTAGATATTTGCCCGGCAGAACTCCAATTCACAGACGTGACATGCCACTATCCTTGCCAAATGGCCTCGGCAGCAACGAGTTATGTGAACAATGTTTCGCTTCGAGTATACTTCTGGGACGACAGATGAGGGCCGAGAAACGACGGGGATCACGGTCGAGTCGATTGCGAGCGGCGCGTTGGGAACATCGAGCGAGCTCTCAAGCTCAACTAGGAATCGAAGGGACTGAAAGTCGTATCATCTCGGCATGCCTTGTCGCAGTTCCTTGTCACAGTGTAATCAGTATCTTTCAACTTTGTTGTCAATTACCTCGGACTAGGTGGGATGATTCTCGACATGCTCGACTGCGCGTCACAGAAACTGTCGTGGCCCTGTACAGATCTTCGGGCAGAAAGTGTCAGGCGGCAATGACCGGCCAACGAGAAGCCGTGCCGACTCATTCGAGCAGCAGAAAGGGCAGAGGCATAGTCCCAGTCTCTGCTGGACTGTTCCATGACATGTTCGACCTTGGTTGTGTCTGCCGGAACAAATACGGCCCGTCGTGGCATCTGAAAGCGGGCTATCCTTACCTTAGTAAGCCGCCCTTTCCGATACCAGATAAGATAATAGTCTTTGATAAGGAATGGGGCAAACAGCCTCCATCTCAGAATATACAGCCCTCTCCTTTTTCAAGGTAAATTGGTTCTTGCAACCAGATACATTTATATTATGACCTAGAGTCCAAGTTTTTGTTTGCCACCACCGCAGGTATACCTTTTGCTAACTACTCGCCGCCCTTGTTGCCATTTGATTGTTCTGATGAGCTGGTTGCTCTGGTAAACAACACGATTGTCAACGAACAAACACGAGCCACGAAATCACAATGAGAAGCCCGCGATATCAAATTCATTTGACAAAGAAACCCCCCTTCCACCATTTCTAGCCACTTAGGTCCCCCAGGATTAATGTGTAAGCCTTGCTTTTTGAGCGTACTTCCTTCAATTGCAGCTATACTCAATGAACGCGTTTGCTTTCTCCCCATTTAGCCATTGTCTTTCTTTCGCATCTTTTCGTCATACCCCAGCCCTCCCTCATCATCAAGAAGGTGCCCAAACACCTATATATATTGCATCAAGCACAGGCGCAGGAATGATTCTCATTCGCGAAGACGTATACTCTCTTGTTCCTTTCCACGCCAATCTCACTGCATATCCTCCCAGCGACACACAGACAATCAAGCAGAGTCAGGTACAGCGCATGGTCTTGTCTATTTTCCCTCCTCCACTGAAAATATGCGCTCCGACGTAACTCGTAAGCACCTATCCCTTGAGGATCAAAAGAGGATTATTTTTGATCGACTCTGCCTGGCCTGGGAAGGAGGTGACTGGCTTCCATCGGATGTGCTTGCTTGCAACCTCTCTCCTAGCACCGCAGCTATGCAGTGCATAGACAAGGCCACCACCATGGCCCAGTCTCAGAAAAAGGAGCTTTCATTTCTCTGGGGCCCCAACGGACCCCTCCACATTGCTTTCCAGAGCTCTGGCCAAATATTATCAAGCGACTTCTGCTCCATGGTCAATCGCATGGTTGATGATTGGGAGGATGTCAGCCGCTCGACGATGCAACGGCAACAAAACTTGGGCATAGAAGCCCAGAGGATGCTTGATCAGCTGTCCCAAATCCAATCCATGTCCAAGATGTCGACGGCTAATGTGAAAGATCCTTCCAGATCCGGTGTTTTCGACGATCGAATCCCGGGAGTTCAAATAGATCTCAACTACATTAAACAGCAAATCGACGAGGCATGTAGCCGTAAATTGCACGACTTGTTGTACATCGTCACTCTTCAGTTCCAACTGCGAGAGCATGATGGTCTGTTTCTTAGTGATGCTGACGACCCAACCAACGGTGACCGTAAGATGAGAGACGCAAGTCTAGAGCCGACCCAAACCACCTCGACTCAAAGCCAGGCGGACTTGATCGCGTCAGAAATAAGTAAAGCAACTCAAGAAGCCAAAATAGCCGAGGCAGACATCAATAAGCTCGAGAGTAAGCTTCAAGCTATGACGGGAACTGTTCATGAACTTATTAAGGCTCAGAAAGGAACATGATAAGGAAATAAATACTTATATATAGAGTAGTCTTCTTTATGTCTCCCGAATTTCATTTTCCCTTTTTTCTACAGAGTGAACTCCTTCTGTTGCTTCTTGTTCTTCTCCACTTCCTCCTCTTCCAAGCTGCAAACTTCAAGTTTTTTTATATTTTTTTATACAAATTTAAATCCGTTAAATTTGGAGCTTCTCTTCCAAAAAAACCAGTAAGATAAAGTGAGTACTACAACTCTAACTTTTCAGTGTGCAAAAATTGATAGAAAATGAAGTATCAAGAGTGGTTCTCTAGGGTATCTGAGTGAAAGTAACGAGATCTCATAAAGTGCCTACCTACCCTACGCACCAGACAGTTTAGAGTAAGGAGGGAGCCGATGGCAGAACGTGGCACATGATGAACTCTGACTCGTGATTGGACTCGTCGCAACTAGTCAGCTACACCTGGTAGGCTCCAAACTGAGCGGCTACGTGCGTATATTGGCGGGAGTAAAACAAGGTAATTGCTAGTCATGTCACCGGCTCATAGCCTGGGATCGGGGATTCTCCGGGGACCCACTGACGAGGTTTTTATCTCGCATCCCAGAATGCGAGGGTGTCGGGTAATGTCTCGCATTGTGTCCTCGCTTCGGGTTGTTCCATTGCGAATGACGAAGGAGGGAAATTCTTTGAAACCGAGTCTAATCAATCATGGTGCGTGCTGTGTTGATCAGACGGTGGATGACATCAGTTCAGGGAGTCGCTTACGTGTAGCGGGCAGCTAAGCCTCTGTAGCTCATGAATGATGGCTGGGGTCCGCAGAATACAGTGGATTTAGCCACTGGACGGCTCCCTCTAGCCTCTGTCGCCTTCACTACAGGTACCTGTTTCTCTGGTGCTCTGGTGTTCGAAACTGCAGAAGACATGAAGATATTGCACAACTTGTGCGGCCTACGACTGTGGAACAGACCGCCTGGCTGGGCGCTCCTGAAGGACGGATTGGCGAAGACAGTCGATCGCCAAGGCTACTCGTACGGTATACCAAATGAGGGGCGTTGGCAGGATCAGAACACGCTGTCGGAGGCCGCAATGCTCAAAAACCGTCCTACGTCGTCCATCTGCATCAGTCATTTCTCTGCGCTGCTTTCTGCTGCTGCCTGAATGGGTCTACCTACCACACTTCAGCAAGATACTCGGGAAGTAGTCCCGGGTTGACTCGTAAGAACGCGTAACGAACGGAGCGGCGAATATGTCGTCGTGAACGATGGTCATCAGAGAGGTGTGAGCAGAGCACGTGCAGCAACTGAGAAACAGAACAACAGCGGGTAACAGGCCAGAGCAGAAGACTCTCCACACCAAACTACAGGGCCTTCCACTATTTTTACGACTAAATTAGGCCGACCAATTTAAAATTGTAGCTCAGCCCCTGATTGGACGCGGGTAGCCCCCTTTACGGACCTTATTCGAGTAAGAATGAGGGACATGACCGGAACTCGAGCAAAATGTAGGAGGGGAAGCCAATTGACCTATTGCTGTGGAGAGAAAGCGTTCACAATCTTCTTGGGGCGGGGACCCATGCCAACGGACCCGGTCCCAGTCATCTGGGCCAAGCATCAGATCCTGGTCTTGTCACCAGGTCCCCTTCGCGAATTGTTCCAGGCCTTTCATATTCCCGCCTGTTGAGGGGACGGTTCTGCTTCTGCTGCTCCGTCCCTGGGGTTCGACCCGGCTAGTCTCCTTTCCGCCCCTCTCCCGGATGCACAGCCTTGATATTCTTGAACCAACGAGCAAGCCCCTGTTCTAAGGGTCCTCGAGCTCCATTCTGGATTGAGGGCCGGTTCCTCCACCTTCCTCTTCCCACTTGAATCTCCCGCTCGCAAAATTGCTCCCTCGGTTTAACCTTTGCTCATGGCGTTGCCCTCTTGCCAAGGATGTTGCCAAGGCACCAATGGTGTGGGTGGACGGAGTGTATCTTCATCTCTGCCGCAAGCCATTGCTTATCTCTCCATCTCACTTCGCCCACGTAGCTCCGGGGAGCGTCTTCAACGGCTATGTTGATCATGTTAGCCAACACGGTGATGGCTCCAATGCTAGCTGTTCATCCGTCCGACTCATTGACTGGACTGGTCTTAATACCCACCCCCCAATTTCCACTCTGTCGTCAGCCCCTTGTGGCTTTGCGCGTCTTGATCAACGAGGACTGCCCATCTATTTCTCCCTCCCATCAGCTAACGACGCACCCCATGGAGGTATGGGTCGTCAACCATACGGGTTGGAGATGAGTCCATTTTCCCAGGCCCCGACCCCTTCTTGGGGTGTGTCGGCAAATCCCCTACTCTCCGTCGCCGGTACGAGTAGGCGGCCCCCCAATAGTTCCCCGTTCTCCTCCTGGCAGAGACGTGGCTGTAGGTCGGAGGCTCCCGGTCGGTGTCGCTCCCTCTCTCTCCCCTTCTTGGTTGCCTGGGCTGTAGATATATCCCTCGCCTCCCTCTGAGATATCTGTGGATGCTCCCCCCTGTCGTATCGTTCCATAACTTCGACTTCCTTCCGAGACGCTCGTAATCGTTGTTGGCCACCATGCAAGCAGGGTCTTGACCGACTGAACACGCCTTGCTCAAAAGCATCCTCTAGCCTTCCCAATTGAAGCCAGCCGTGACCCTTCTGCTCAGCGCCAGCTTCACCATTAACATTGTGTCTGTTGGATAAACCTGCCGGCGACGAGAAACCGACAGTCCTTCCGAAGCTCAACCTCCGTGCGATCGACCCCTAATCGAGAATCCATCGACCTTTGCGACTCGACGCTACACATATATACCAGTCGGAACCCATTGAGCTTTCAAGATGGGTCGCGACGACATCGTGTCGCCATGCCAGGTAAAGGAGATGATTGCAGAGGGGAAAGCGATCGTGATCATGGACAATTACGTTCTCCGACTGGATTCCTGGCTCAACAGGCATCCAGGAGGTGACTTGGTCATCAAACACATGATTGGGAGAGATGCGACCCATGAAATCACAGTGTAAGAGACATGCCCAGCCCTCATTTCCATCAAAGCGATATTTTGCTTCCGTTGCCTTTTTCCTTTCATTTGTCTTGTCTGCCGCAAAACCCAAAAAATCATCCCCAAAGTCCGGTGGTAGAGTGTTTCTTGGATGCGCCACGAGCAGCCTTGGGCTCGTGATAGATCCTTTGTCCAGCCATCTTAGTCCTGCCTCCTTGCTTCATGTGTGTGTACACCAGTTAGTGAATGCAGATTTCCAGATCTTGGGTAGCAGAGGGGAATAACGTTATTTTAAGCTCAAGGGGCCCGAGATGGGGAAGGGATATCTCGGGGAAGGGCGAGATCTGACACCCGGGGTTTCTTGATTTAAATTGAAGATCTGGAGCTATCGGGGGCCTCGGAGTTTGCTTATGAATCTTTAGTCGTTTTTTTCTGGCCCCAGCTGACATATGCAACTGCAGGTATCATTCGGTAGCCACCGTGCAGAAAATGAAGGCTTTTCGGATAGGCCGGAAGCCAGCGGGACCGTGGCCCAACATGACACCGCCAATTAGAGGAGGCATCTACACCCCCAGCGAGACAGCCAAGACCCTCGAGTCCGACGATGATGAGGATCTCCTCAGTCACATTGGTGACGGGGCCTCGTCGGCGACTTCTGCAGCGTCCAGCAGCAGCAGCAGCAGCATCGTCGATGACTTGGTGGAGTCTCTGGAGAAGAAAGCGTATGAGGCTGGCCTTGCCCCGGGCTCTTCGGACTCTTCGGGTCTCCGGAGACGCAATGCTACGGCAGATGCCTCCCGTCCCGCCCCCAAGATCCGTCACTTGTCCCCCGCAGAGTACACTGACTGGGCCATGCAGAGGGACATCAGCCGGGACCTGGAGGAGTACCCTTCTGTAGAGCCCGCCCTCCAGCAGGACATTGCCCAGAAGTATGGTGAACTCCACCAGAAGATTGTCGACATGGGGTACTACAACACCCCGTACCTTGACTATGGCAAAGAGTGTGCCCGGTACTTTACATTGTTTACCTTGTTCATTGTCTTCCTCCGCTGGCAGTGGTTTGTCCCGTCGGCCATCTCTCTAGGCCTCTTCTGGGTAAGACTTCCTAAACCCCTTTGGTGTTGCTACCTCTCCATCAACACGTTTACTGACTGGCATATACTTGTAGCATCAAATCATGTTTTCAGCTCATGATTCAGCCCACACTGCCATCACACACAATTGGAATGTCGACACCTTCATTAGTTTATTCATTGCTGATTTCTGTTGTGGACTTTCCATTGGTTGGTGGAAGAGTAGTCACAACGTCCATCATCTGATCACAAACCAACCCGTTCGTGCCATCCCCATCCCTGTCTGCTTGACTATCAAAGTCGAACGTCAACTAACTTGAGTCCAGGAACATGACCCTGATATCCAGAACCTCCCCTTATTCGCTACCTGCCCCTCCTTCTTCAAGTCCCTACACTCCACCTACTACGACTTCACCTACGTCTGGGACAAGGCCTCCGAGATCCTCGTACCCTTCCAGAAGTACACCTACTACCCCGTCATGGGCATCGCCCGCTTCAACCTCTACCTCCTCTCCTGGCTCCACGTCCTCGGCAACCGTTCCGCCGGACTCGGGACCACCACCGCATGGTGGATCCGCCCAACCGAGATCACCTTCATGGCCTGCTACTGGTTCCTCTTCGGCTACGTCCTCTGCTGGTGCAACATCCCGACCTGGACCTCCCGCGTCGTCTTCATCCTCGTCAGCCACGTCATCACCATGCCGCTGCACGTCCAGATCACCCTCTCCCACTGGGGCATGTCCACCTCCGACCTGGGCGAGAGCGAGTCCTTCGCCCAGCGCCAGCTCAGGACCACCATGGACGTCGACTGCCCCGCCTGGATGGACTTTGTCCACGGCGGCCTGCAGTTCCAGGTCATCCACCACCTCTTCCCCCGCGTCCCCCGGCACAACCTGCGCAAGGTGCAGGCGCTCGTGCGGGAGTTCTGCCACGAGACGGGCATCCCGTACTCCATCCTGACCTTCACCGACGGGAACAAGAAGGTTCTCGGGCGTTTAGACAAGGTGGGCGAGCAGGTTAGCATGCTGGTCAAGTGTCAGCAGTATATGGCCGAGACGGGGGAGAGCGGGCTTCATTAGGGATGGTGTTTTTTGTATTTCATATGTGTTTAGACTATTTGGTATTTTTTTTAACAACATTATTATTTCGAGCTATTATCTACTTCAAGTGGTGATTTGTGTTTTGTGTACTCTCGCGTGAAAGTAAGCATGTTGTATTGTTGCATTTTGAAGGCTATTCGGACATGTAATCAAGCCTTTTCATGGCCAGAAGCATGTTTTCTAGGATCTGTTAGCACGTGAACAGCAGAGCAATTGTAAGAGCTTTCAGTTACCTCCTATTCTCCATCGTTTACTGAAAGTCTCCAGGCTTTTTTGTATCTCCAGGAATCCAGCTTTACTATCCTCGTGTACGTTATCAAATAGCGCAATATGATCAGCTGCTAGGAAGCACGAAATAGTCGCCGGGGGCGCCAGGTTCGCTAACCACTCCTGGTGCTTGTCTAGATGGTTGTTGAAGTTGATAGCCAAGTCGTGGATGAACCGCACGGCAAATCTGGCCGCGGCAAAAGACTGCGTCATATCATCGTCGGTTGGGCTCCCCAGGGGATCTTGCGGGTTGGCCCTAGAGTAGTGTAAATAAGGGCGGTATAAGATAAAGAAAGAGCTATGTAAAATAGTCAGCAAGAGGCGTCCGAGATTTGGAGGATCTAATTACCTCATCAGCATCGCGAATCCGTCGCAGAACACCTCCCATCCATCACACTGAGACAGCATGGCATCCAACGCGCTGCGAATGTTGCGGTCGATATGGGCGAACTCGGCAACAGAGGGAAGCTTGGTGGCGGAACGTAGCGCACTGTTCCAAAGATGGGCCGTGTGTAGTAAAGTTGCTGCCTGAGCAGATCTTTGGAACGTTCCGAGGTGCTCGGAAACGTCCACGCTCACAGGGAGCATCTTATTAAAAGGAAGATAGCGACTTCCGTCCCAGAGAACACTATACGTGGGAAGAAGATCGTCATCATTGGGCTTGTCTAGAAGCAGTGGTAAATCTCTGACAGCCAAGTCCATATGAATGTATCTATCAATATCTTGTATAAGAAAGACTGGTCGAGGCACGGAGGTTATGTGAGGATAAATAGCAAGGCTTACTGGTCGAGGATAAACATCCCCCACCACAGAGATGTGCTCTCCTCTTCAGCTGGGAGAAGGGTAGCTCTCTGGGGGTAATATTTGCATTTTTGAAGGGAAGCAACGTGTGCCATCGTGACTGTCTCTCCGAGAGTCCTGTAGGCAAAAGTTGCCCTGCCGTTGCCAAATTCAAAGAGGGATAACAAGGCGCCACATTGCATCAATTCAACTGTAGGTGTTGACAAGCAGGTCAATGATGCAAATGCTCGCTTGGCGCCTCGGTAGATGGGCCCAAACAAGACCTCTTCTGATCTCCCAAGGGTAGTAGTATCTGTGACGAGATGGATACATATGATAAGTAGGGCATACTCCTCGCTTTCTAAAGAGTTTGTCCAGTCTCGATCATCGGAATCGGAATGCCGCTCAATCAAGACCTTGAAGGTGTCTGGTCGGATAACGCTAAACCACTATAAAGGAAATGTTATCGATACCATCCCTCAACAGGGGCTCTGAACGGGGGATGGTAGCTTGTTATTGAAAAGACCAAATTGGTCGAGATATACATACGCTGTGAACGGTTGAAAAGTATTGGACGAGAGACTGTAGCCAGTTGACGTTGAAAGCCCTGAGGATTGCCCGAGCCTGGGAATCATCGTCCGCCTTTACCCTTGGGAGTTCGGGGGGTGAGGCTTTGGCGGAAGCGGAATAGTTGTCGCTATTTGGGCTGCTATGAGACGACTTGACGGAGTAATCATAGTTGCATGTACTCTGAAGTCTGGGGTGTTGATCATTTTCAGCAAAGTGGCAATGACATAAATGGAACAGACTCGGGCTGAGGGATGGAACACACCTCACACATCGACCGCACTGCGGTAGAGTTTTATCACATTTTCTTTTGCTCTTGTTGCACCTCTCACATACTCGCGGCGAGAGCGAGGAAGACCCGGAGGTTGGTGGCTGGGATGCAGAGTCTTCGGCAGAGGCTCTCTCATCAGACATCATGTATCAGCGCCTACCGCGTATCACAGGAGAATGAGGGCATTTGTCGTGTCTGAGCCAGAGATATTCGCTACACACAAGAAGCGGGGCTTTTGGTTTTGAGCCAATGGTGACGGAATGAAGCCAGATCCTTCCATTTCTTAGTTGAATTAGTACCGATGTCTCCACTGAAACTCACGTGCTACAAATGTCCCAATGTTGTACCTTTTTATTGATGGTTTCTGACTCTTGTAATTCTCCCATTCCGGGCCTTTCTAACGGAGACTGTCATATATAGCCCGGACTTCAGACGTTTGTTTCCCGTTGACTCTTCCATTAAACCCCATGTGTGAGACACATGTTACATGGGCTCAGCGTCACAAGTAAGAACCTTAACCCAGCTTAGGGTAAACAAGATAGATTGTTTATTTATTATTACATCTTAACGATCTAGTTTATGGTAGTGGTTTATAAGAGAACCCCACTAGTATTTGTAAGATGGGCTACTCCTGTCCGATAAAGTGTCGGCAAAAGGATCTTGTAGTTCAGTCTCACCTAGAAGGCCACTGCCAATCCGCGGACTGTCCCCTAGAATATACATACTGCTGCCATCAATAGATTCTATCCCTGGTTCCGGCAGTATTGAGCTCTGAGTTGGTACCGGCGAAATCGTGCCGCTCTTATCGGAGAACCACCAATCGCTGAAAGGAGATGGGCTATCATCTGATAATGACGGGCCTTGGGTTGATAAAGCTCCCTGATTGGAGGTAGTTGACTGGGAGTTTTGCTCTGCGTCAGAGAGCGAAGAACCTTGTGAGAGACCAAGCAATGGTGTATTGCTATTGTCGAAAGACTCGGGGGTCATGATGTGATTATCGCTAGCAAGCCTAAGCGAAGAGGCCAGATTGTTTCTTTCCGGAAGTGTACCCTCAGATCATGTTGTTTCAAGGTCATTTGAGAGTGGATGTAGTCTCTTGCATCTGCGAAAACGGTCTTGATCCAGCTCGATGACTTTTGGGCTTCCTCCCTTCGCGCTAAAAGCTTCCTCAGCAACATATCAAGCCCATAATTACGAGAAAAATCACGAAGAGGCTCGAAGATGTATTAAATGTCGTTATGATGATCGTCGGCAATATCCAACATTTCTATCAGGGAGCGCAATGATTGACGTCTTAGTTTCATTGCCTCCTCGCCCGTATTTAATGGAATGATGTAATTTTAGGTCGACCATTTTTGTAAGATATGAACAAGGAGAGACCTAACGGCAGACACCAGCCTTCGACCAAAAATCAGCAAAATTAGGGGAATAGAAAAGTTTTCTTTGGCTTATATTGGAAACTTACAAGTGAGCAGGGATCCACTGACTCATGCCATGATTAGAAATTTCAACCAATTTCTGAGTTGAACTGAGGATTCCATCCTGTAACTAATCCCCGTAATAATATCTCCGGAACCTTCCTGGGCATCCGCAGATTCCCCCGCATTTCGGCTTTTCCCTCTGTCTTGTGAAATCGATCGTTGTTGTGCTCATCTGGGATAACACCAACAACATCATGAGCGAGGTAGTGCAAGAGAGTGGCGGCTCCAAAAGACCAGGCGTCGCCTCAGCATGTACAGTTTGTTACCAGAAGAAGGTACGAGCGCGTGACTCAAACTCTACTGTTCAGATGGCTAATCTCCATGGAAGATTCGGTGCGATTTGGCCAGCGTGTGCTCCAACTGTGTGCTCTATAGCGTTGAATGCCGTATTGTGATATACTATGGTGATGCTTTGTGCACAATTAACTCACCGGTAGACCCCGATTGCGGAAGAGGAGACGCGTCATCGGTGAAAATTGAGATGATATCAATGTGATGCAACAAAGCCAGACATCGCCAACTGTTAGCACTTCATTCTCGCCGGGTTCGCCCAAAAACCAGTGTCAAAGCTTGGCAGATCAGTCTCACGCCGCACTGGCTGAATGTTTGCTTGGTATGGCGAGAGACGAGACGTCAATGTCGACGATAGACAAGTAAAATACTGACCTTCAAACTCATACAGCAAATGCCGCGGGAATATGGTGGTCCCGCTGAAGAGGATGTGCAATTGATACCCATGAGTCTCGTTCATATTGGAGGGGCCCTCTACTTTTCCGCAATCGAAGGTCGTAATCAAGAGTCAAAACAAGCTTATCCGGAAGGAGATGGCGCATCACCATCAGACATCGCTATTCTGGAAGCAAGCAGCGCCTTTGATTTCTCCTCGCGTGCCATCAAAACTTTCCTCATTGATAGTTTCTTCAAGTACTGCTACCCTTGGGTACCAGTTGTAGAGAGGAAATGGCTGGAACCCTCTTCCTCAGAACAACCTCCATAGCCCTTACTTGTCCAAGCGGTTCTTCTTGCCGGAAGTCGTGTCGTATCAATGGGGTCTGTATCAAGTCAAGACCTTTACATGAAAGCAAAGGCACTCTTTCACTCCAACCAAGAGAAGAATCCAATTATCCTCATTATCGCATGCCTCTTGCTTCAGTGGTGGAATTCAGCTGGCCCAGAGCGGATATCACTGGATAGCAGCGTGGTTTGGCAGCGAACCGGTGATGGAATAGCAACGTCAACCCGGAAGAATAATCCCTTTCGGCGCTGGCGATGGTGGTCTCTGGCTGTATGTTCATAGCTCCGTCTCTTGTTCACCAATTACCTTACCGCTAACAAGTGAACCATAGGCCAGATATTTTCAAATTTCAGCTGCACACGGCCGGCCTAAGGCAATTCAAACAGAAGAGTCGACTGTACCTCCTCTAACTATAGAGGATTTTCGACAGGGTGATCCACATGCGTCTTTCTCAGTCAACTAGGACTCCATCAGCGAAATATTTTATAGTTGATAGGAGAGTGTCAGAGCCATGGGTTGATTACTGATGGCATGTGGCTTCATTTCAGGAATGATTTATACTTTTGAATACGAGAATTACCATCGGAGTTGAGACTATTTCACCAAAACCCACAGCAAGGACTAAACGAGTACGGCCTGCTCAGTCGCCAGCTTCACATAATGTATTTTGTGGTGCTGATCATTTTATTTCGAAAGCCAACGATGTCATCTGGAACGCCGCCCATCGATATTCATTCAACCTCAGGATTAATCGTTGCAGCCTCCTTTATAGCAGGTATTTTCGAAGAGCTCCTAATCCGTGGTGAAATTCTCAACTTGGGGCCAGCCATCTATAAATTCTTTCTTCTGACGGCGGGTGTAGTTCTGCTTGAAGCCTCGAAGCTCCGAGTACAAGCATTCCGCCCACACTGCATTGCTTAAGGCCGGCTCAATGCTGAAAACGTCACTACGCTGTGTGACTCTGACAGTTTTTTTTTAGGCAAGTTGTCTTCCCTAGTGGTTTATTGTCTCATCGTCTCGTCATCGGCAATTTGGCACGGGAACTCTCCTTTCTTGATTTCAATGTTCCTAAATGGACCCAGGAGTCAAGATTGACCACAGAAAAGCGTGCCAACTTGCACTATACAATGCTGCTTCAGGTGCTACGTGCAGTCTCCAACATTCAGTTCTAGCTATCACGAGGACTTTCAGTTTGGTACAGTTTCGGGTGGCCAATTTGGCGAATTCTTGATATCAGGGTCATTGCTTAAAGTCATCCTTGCTATCTACCTGTAGAAGAAGATGGATAGATCCTGTCATTCGAATAGCGCGGCTGGGTTATCAATCCAGAACCTTCTCCAAACAACTTCATCCCGGATCCATTCACGTAAACGCGCCACATGCTCCGCATGAGGAACCTTTCTAAAATCCTCCACGATAGTCAGCCTTTCCTCTCGTGTGCGGCCCTCACGATCCGACGCCAGCGCAGTGTTGGGCCAATCCGAACCAAACAGGATCCGGTTGGGCCCGGCCTCGATTATAGCCCTAGCCATATTATCCAGAGACGAGATGCCCATACTGTTGCCGTGATATTGACGCTCAAATACAGACAGCTTGACGTAGACTCGCTGCCGACGCAAGAGGCCCAGGAAGACCTGAAACTCTGGGCTATCCTCACCTCCAGAGCGGAAACCTGCCCAGTGATCTGCAACGACCTTGCTAGACGGTGGCAATGCTTCTATTGTTGGTGCAAGAGCGGCCCAAGCCTTCGGATGCATGTAAAGGTCAATAACCCACCCCAGCCGATTGAGACCCTGGGCGGCGTATGTGATCCTCTCAGCCACGGCATTATCGCTGGGTTGGTCTCCAAAATCCCACTACACCTCGTGCATGCGGACTCCGCGCACACCTGCAGCATGCAAGCGATCCAGCTCGTCGTCAGACACCTTCTCCAAGTCAAGTACGGCAAAGCCGCGCAAGACATCTCCGTGTGCCGACTTGAGGCTCAGCGTATCGAGTAGGGGCGCCGGGTCGGTGCCTTGGACGGTGGCCTGGACGACCACGATGTTGCTACAGCCAGTGGCATTTCTGGGATAGTCTGCTAATGGAGCAGCACCTGGTGTGTAGGATCTGTTTGGGGAATAGGGATGCTTGGATGGTTCGAATACGTGGATGTGGTTGTCCCAAGAACCACTGGGAACCTCGGCAGTATGCTGTGAAGCCATAGAGACGGATGCTGAGATGTGTATTGTTCAACTTTGGATGTCCGGTATGCGAGCGGGGGGTGAAATGCAGATCACTTTAAATTTGAAGTTGTCTCCGATTACTCCCAAGAAGCCGGCGCCTAAAGGCGGGAACATTAATTCCGAGACAGACGTACTGGCCGTATCGCCACGGAGTTTTGTCTCCCCTATGGTAGAACAGTGCAGCCTCATTTAAGTGGTACCTTTGTTATTCTTATCGGGTTTTATTACTTAATTGATTTGAACTCACTCAATCAATCATAACTTCTCTGATCATTAAGAGAGGAAAAAAAGACGAGTAGGTTCTTACTGTTGAATACAGTCTAAGCTGACTAGTCGTCTTCGGCAAAAGGATCTTCAAGGAGCATAATGGGATATTTGGCTGAGTTATTGAGAGACTCCATTTATTACAGCGGGTAAGTTTCAAGAAAAGAATAAAAAGGTAATTGTAACCTTGTATGTAACGGCATTTGCCCGAGTGAGATGATTCCCATTTAAAACTTGCAAAGAGGGCAGATAGACTCAAATCATGACCCCGATCATAGTATTATAGATCAATTAGGCCGGTAAGGGCGGTTTTGGAATACCTGTGAAGAAAGAGAAGCAATTTGCTAAACGACGGCAAATTCAGTCTTTGTGTGTCTCTCTGCAAAGCACTGTCCTCTTACGCTTGCGTGGATTTGACGTAGTTTGGCACCTCTATCGCCCTCTACGCCTATGTAAAAGTTAGCGGGCTTCCTTTCTTGCTGTTCATGGAGACCGCATGACTGCTGCCTTGGACTAACGAAGCCTATATTGATTAACCTTTCGCAATCCATTGTTGAGATGTCGGGTCTGGCATCTTCTATTACTGTTTTAACTTTATACTCGACCTCTCTTTCGTTTATGGAGAAACCCTCATTGTTCAGTCTTTTTCTCTTCTTCTTGTCCGTTCCGCCCGCAACAGTGCCTCGTCTGTGGCAGTATTCTGTGATCGACAAGCATCATTGTCTCTTAGCCCTCCAACATTGTGCGTCCGTACTCGCCTACTGTTTATTTACCCACCCCTATTATCATCTATACTGGCTTTTTCCGCTATTCGGCGTTTATCTGGACAACTTCACTCTCCACGATTGCGGTTACGACGTAGATGACGACTTCTGGCTTCCCTATGAATCACCTCGCTTTGCCATCCGCAGCCAACGCTGCCTCATCTTGCTCTTCCCTCTACAAGCTACGCCGACATAGCTAACCTCTTTGCCGGCTCCTTTCTCTCTCCCATCTCCTCAACCAGCACCAGTGTCCATTTCCTCGGCTACTTTTTCAGCTGCTGCATCACCGGCTGCCAGAGCATTCCCACCTCTGCCATCGACTACTCGATCTCAAGCTTCAAAGATGGAAATTTCCAGCACCAAGTACCGTGTCGGCATGCCGCCAGTGCGGCCTCTGCCATTGGAGAACTCACACCAGGTCAGCGATGTGTGCAGTCCCGATGTACTTGACGAGTTGTACGAGAAGGTGGCCGACATTCTGCATGCACACGACATCGCCCTAACAAGACCTTCAGACGTGGGTGATGGGGTTAATGCGGTTGATTTGATTGATGACTGGGGCTCATCATCCGAAGATGAAGATTATACAGAGGGCCCCATCTGCCTGGTATACCGGTCATACCCCTACATCCCTGAATCTGTCCGATTAACGTTGTTGATCATTGCCCATTGGACAAACTCTCCAGAGGCTTGGAAGCTCGCCGTCCAGACCATCAGGCCTCTGGTACTCGAGCACCTGCGTACACAGCAGGAGGTGGATGTCGAGATGATCGATGAGAATCACTTCAACTCACTATCCCTTTCGCCAGTCGGTGATGACCCTGACTTCACTCGGAACTGGGACGGAATATCTGCCCAAATTGTGGATGTTCTCGAAAGCAACCCAGCCTCCCGAGGCACTATGACCACCGTCACGGTCTTCCGGGCGGGCATAACAAAATCCAGCGATAATCCCATCACCGTGTACGTTTCGGTCAGTGATGAATGCGCCCAGGCTGACTGGCCTCCCATTATCGCTGATATTAAGAAAATCATCGATCCCCACCACCTGGAATTGATCTTCGAGCACAATGCCTGGGAGCCACTTACGTATTGCGGCTAACCTTCGTTTGCGTTGCCGTCGGGTCGGGTCGCCACTGTATTGGTAGCATGCTGGATGAGAAGAAGGTTGTTGAACTTTGGTGCAAAGACTCAACTGTTGTCCTATACCGTAAGGTATCTGGCTACCTAGAAAATATCTTTCGATTGCTATTAGTAGTACAGGCATAAATAAACCGAGAACAATCATTGTTTCGTCAATTCTGGCCTCCCTTTGATGGGTGACCTCAGTGAACTAAAAATGCCCTGATGACAACACCTTTCTCGGCCTCTCCCCTGTCTTGACAATACATAATGATCTCTCTGAAAAGAAAGAATTCTATAATGTGATCTCTTTTACCCCTGTAGTTGAGAAAGGTAGCTTTTGAGGGAAAAAAAATGATGTAGATAGATTTAACCTTATATCTTTTGGGCAGATAATTACGATTGTTTGACCAAAGACAATGAAAAGAAATTGCTCTTATAGATCTGTGACACATCATTATACAACCTGAATCTCGAAGGTCTGGTTTGCCTTTGGCTCTTGAAACAATCCCCACGTACGAGACGCAATGTTGGATGGGCTCAGTGTGGCATGAGCCGGGTCCACAGGGCCGCCCACTAGAACCATGCCGATATGTACGCCTTTAGGGCCGTACACCTTTGCGAGGGACTGGGTCATGTTTCTCTGAGCTGCCTTGGCCATAGAGAGGGCGAACAGATCTGGGATGGGGTCCAATGGCAATAAAGAGCTTGTCACCAGGAGTGAGGGTCGTGCATCCGCATCTGCGTCGGCGAGTGACACTAGACGCGGGATTGACCATTTAGCAGCGGTGTGTAACGATTTGCAATTGATCTATGATCCATACATGTGTCAGAATCATCCCCGGACTTCAATCTAGAGTCATGATCGAGCGTTCCATACCTGGAAATCATATTCCATCTCCTTGCCGTCAGATTCAAGAAGTTTGCTGAGCGTGACCCTGGCTGCATTGTAGTAGAAGACCTCTGGTGACCCCATTTCATTCTCAATCTTGTCCAGCGTTGCAATGAATTCTTCGTCATTGGTTATGTCAACAGGGTATATCCTCACTTCGGTTTTGTCATTTGTGGCGGCCTTGACTGCCGCCTGGTCTTCAGCCAGCCTCCCGGCATTCCGGGCGAGGAGCGCAACTTTGTTGAATCTCCTCGAGGCAAACTCACAAGCGATATGTCTTCCGATTCCCGGTCCAGAACCGACAAGAATGAGAGGACGGTCAGTTCGCGATGTCATTTTATATTCTGTGATGGTAGAATAATCGTGGGTTGTATGATTCCGAATTTATGCGTTTCGGCAAGTAGATCAGATGTTCGCCGACTTTCATTTGGGTGTACAGAATGAGCTGCATCTTCTAATTTGACTGGAAGTGAGTTCATTTATACGTATTTGGACACCAGGCAAATGCACCACCGTAGGGCCGGTTTGATCATCATCATAAAGAACCATTACCATCACATCGATGACTTGGTGCGGCCGCACATGAAAGTACTGTTCTGTAAGTAAGATTCGGAGTGGGATGCCGATCTCAATGTACGTGCGGATGCGGGTGCGGGTGCGGGTGAGTAAGATTGGGATTGTGCGGTTTGGATTACACATCACCAAGAATACTATTGGAACTCTGTCATAAGCCAGCATAAGCTTCGTTTCAACTCCATCTCGCGTCTTGACTGTATCCTATTTCCTCTATCCCGCATCATATCACCAATTCGGGTCGCCTCACACCTATCAAGCATGGAATCTTGGTTGTCTTGGGCCTCTAGGCCTCTATTAGTGAGCGCCCCCATGTATGGCCATTCAAATGCTACTCTGGCTGTCGAGGTAACGAAGGCTGCCGGTCTGGGATTCATCCCTGGAGGATTTGACTTCCGGGCTGAGAGCCCACAGATCAAGGCCCTCGAGGACGAACTGATCCTTGCTCGCAGCCTCCTAGAGAAAGCCGGCATGGCCCAAGATCCTCTCCCCGTCGGCGTGGGCTTCATCACCTGCCACCCATCGGCTTCCAATTTTGCCAACACTGCGCTCCCAGTGCTTCTCAAGTATAGGCCCACGGCAGTCTGGCTCTTCGCACCCGATCCTGACGCCCCTCAACGCGCCCACCCTGAGATAATTCGGCATCTTCATGCGTCGGCTATCAAGGTATTCGTGCAGGTGGGCACAATCGCAGCAGCGAGGGAGGCTGTCAGAGACGGCGCCGATGTCCTGGTCGCTCAAGGCATAGATGCCGGTGGACATCAGTTTGCCAGAGGGGCGAGTGTCATCTCATTAGTGCCAGAGGTTCGCCAGATGCTGGATACCGAGTTTCCGCGAGGGGGAACTGGGCTGCTCGCCGCTGGGGGGATTGTTGGTGCAAGAGCGGTGGCGGCCGCCCTGGCTCTAGGTGCGTCGATGATTGAGCCATATGCATAATACAACCTACAGGATCCTATAGACGCAAAGCTAATATTTCTATGAAGGTGCTGATGGCGCTGTGCTGGGCACAAGGGTATGTCACCCGCTATTCCATCGCGATAAATCTGCTGAATAGGTATAGCTTCTTGTGGCACCAGAGTCATCCATGTCGAAAGCTGGCAAAGAGTCAATTATTAAGGCGTCGGATGGTGGCGCATCTACAGTAAAGTTCGTTTGTCTGCTTGCTCCGCCTTCTCTTAACAGACCTGATACTGTGTAGGTCAACTGTTCTCGACGACATCCAGAGCACTGCCATTTGGCCCAAGCTGTACGATGGGAGAGCGCTCATTGGGGAATCTTACAAGGATCACGAGGCTGGGATGCCGGTGAAGGACAATGTTGAGAAGTTCAAGGAGGCTGCTCAGGGAGGAGACGAGTCAAGAAAGATCATCTGGTGGTAAGCATCGCGCGAATCGAAAATCGTTTCTACGGGCTAACATTACGAAGCGGAACTGGGATTGGGCTCGTCAATGAAGCTCTGCCCGCTGGTGTGATCGTTGCGGAAACTCGAAAGGGGGCAGAATCTGTCCTAAAGTCGCTGTCCTAGTTGTAGGTTTACTAGATGCTGTAGCAAAGGATCAGGAATTGGTGGCCGCGGCGTATTGAATAAAGTCTCATATCATACTTTTTTTACTATATGTTTTGGTAGCAATATTGTTTTTACAACGCAAACACTATCTCCTGTTGTTGGGTAACAACAACTGAGTAGGGATGCTGAGGATATCAAGTCCTTGCTATGAGCAAAACCTATATAGAGAGAATAAATTGACATCGTCACCAGTGAAAACAGTGCGCTCGAGTAGTCTAGGTGGTCAGGGCACCACGTTGTGGGTAGTTACCAAAACCGTGGAAACCCCGGTTCGAGTCCGGGCTCGGGCACTTGACCTCATTTTTTTTTCGTGGTTTGTTTACCTACCCTAAGCCTCGACACAATTTATCACGGGTCTTGAATAGCAACTAGCAATCGAGACAAGCAAGTAAACCAAATATTTACAGTCTAATTTTCTATATGCTTTCTAATCACAAGCAGCTGAAGATTCTGCAATTACATGACGTCGATTTAGGTACGACTTTTTCAATCTCCATTATCATCGCCTTTACCCATAACCAAAATTAGCCTATTGTCCCTCGAATGCAAATATCAAGTATCAAGGGTTCTCGTCCATTTGGAATAGGCTTAGGCCGTATTTCAAATTTCTTATGAACTAAAAGTTCATCATCGTTCTTCCTTGACGAGGAGTTGCGCGCACTCAATTACATCTTTATACTGCGCACCATCCTCAGACACTGCGAGAGTCTTTGCCACTTCTTCAACTAATAAACTCCCGAAGTCCTCCGCCCACCAGACCTGGTGACCAAGTTTATGCGCCAACACTCCCCAGTACATGAGAATAGCGAAGGAAACAGAGTCCTTCTCTTCTATCGACCGCATGTATTCTTCACCTGCCAGGTTTGGCCAGCCGAGAGCGTACCCTTTCGATAGATCGTCCACGCATTTCTCGTAGCATTCTCGGAGGATAGCGAGAGCCTTCTTGCATGAATCCCAGTAGGCGACTTGCTGCACTCTTCGCTCATCCGAATCATGGACTGTCGTTGTGATTCTCTTGTCATTAAGATCGTTTAGCTTTGACAGGTTTGCTTCTAGCTCGGGGCCCATTGGAATTCGAGGTAGATCCTCAAAGAGTGTCAATTTCTGAATGTGCACATTCCTCGAAGCATATCCTGGATCGATGTTGAGGATTGGTATACAGCCGCGCAGCAGTCCAAAGTGGGATACAACAGCCTCTACCATACGCCCCTGTTCGCCCTTTTCTTGACTGGGTGATACTTGCGCGGATGCAACAGCCAAACACAGCAGCATGAGTGACATGCAAAGCGCAGCCTCGTGAGTTTTAGCGTCGATGGACGGTAGCTGTAATTGAAACCGGCTGAGTGCCCGCCCGTGATACTCGACGGCTGCATTGATATACATCTGTGCATCAGGAGTCTTGGCAATCCTCGCCGTCTCAAATGCAGAGAGAGCAAATATTCCGTAGAGTAGGTAATCATGTTGTATGGCTAGCCCAGGCACCATGAACTGCCATACATCGTCATCGTCGGAGCCAGGGGTAAGGCAGCTCTTGTACGTCAATGCGGACCAGCGGTGCATCAGCTGTAGCTCAAGGAGGTGGCGGGTAGCGGGAAACACCACCGTGTTTCTCTTATTGGAATCAGTTGTACTAAGTGTACTTGACTCAGCGGTGCTGCGTGTAATCGCCGTAGTGGGAGAGTCAGCTTGCTGATTATTGGGGCTCGCGTATTGGCATTTGGTTCCTCTGGCCTGGCACCGTCCGCATGGCGGGCCCTGCTCGTCGCACTTGACGTGCCGGGTCTTGCAAGTGATGCACCCCTTGCGTGATTTGGGGTGTGAGCGTCGGGTGGACATCTCGAGGCTTCTGGGTATAACGCCGGCTGGAAGGGGCTGTTGAAGTTGGGTTGAGATGGGCTTGGAGGAGGATGCCGGGCTGAGCTTACGATCACGGATTACGAGTACGATACGAGTACGTCAGGCTAAACCATTGGTAGATAAGATCGACATCGAATTGAGCTGCAATTGGCTGTACTGGGCTGACCCATCTGCAAGGTAACCTGGTCTAGATCATCTTCTTAGTGGAGTACATGGTGCAAAGTGAGAGTAGCCCAGTGCTTGAGCTTGGAAATTCGAGACAAGAGTACTGAGTGATGCTGAGAGTCAACGAGTTGGATGTGTTATTTTTAATTTAGATGATATTAGCAGGTAGATTTTCAGCTATAAAAAGGCCCCCATGGGGCGTTATGTCTTGAGATTGCTGTACCTCGCTGATTACTCTGCTAATCACTAGGTACAATGTCGTTCCGACCTTGCTCACACCTTCGACTGCAAAATCGAGTTCGCAGAATGACGACATTGTCCTCGAGAGATCACATATTTGAGCTTCCAGATGGGCGGAAGCTAGGTTACGCGGACTATGGTAGCCCAACCGGGAAACCTCTTCTCTACTTTCACGGATATCCATCCTGTCGTCTCGAAGCGTCAGTTGCCGACGAAATGGCGAAGCGGCATAACATACGGCTCATCGCAATCGACCGTCCCGGGTTTGGATTATCAACACCACAACCCAACCGACAGCTTATGGACTGGCCCGCAGATGTTCGTAATATCGCAGAAGGCTTGAACATTCCACAATTCGCAGTAATGGGCTGTTCTGGGGGAGGGCCTTTTGCACTGGCCTGCGCCCATTCGCTACCAAAGAGCATGCTTACTGGAGTTGGTCTATTTGCCAGCGGCCCCCCATGGGCAGCAGGCGCGCATCACATGTCAATCTACCGAAGAGTATTTGCTTCACTGGCAAAAGTTGTGCCTGGGGCGGTGTCATCCGGCTTGGGCCTCCTCATCCGCCTACTCGTATGGGTAGTCAACACTAGACCCGTGGTCACTAGGACGAATCGATGGTTGGAGGAAGCCAGCAAGAAATCTCAAAGCGAATCGTCCGGTTCGACAGACGGGTCGAGTGATGCGAGTCCCGAGACGAGAACCCCTGAGGAACGAAGGCAGAATCTCTTACGGATGCTTGTATATGAGCCTTTTGTTCAAGGTCCTGAGGCTGCCGTTCACGAGGCACTGATATTGAGCTCAAAGGACTGGGGTTTTGACTTTGAGAATGTACAGTATGATGCGGTGAAAATCTGGCACGGGGCGAAAGACAAGAACGCCCCTGCAGTCGCCATACGATACTTAACAGAACGTCTACCGCATTGCAGGTACACAGAATTCGAAGAAGACACGCATTATACGATGTGGAAGCATTTCGAAGGCGCGCTGACTGATTTGATGTCGGAGGACTCAGCGCAGAAAGCTGATAACCTGGAAGTAGGAGTACACAATCGCTCTAAATAAGACTCTTTCACCTCGTGTATAATAGACTCTTCTCTCGTTTTATCCTCTGCTCATTGATCCAAAACTCATCGGTAGCTGTATCATCCACGTATCGTGCACTGGAGGGCTGCTACGCTCGCATCCGCAAACGTGAGGATTGGACGATGATGTAAGCAAGAAACAGAAGGAATCTTCCTGGAGGGCGTCGGAGGCCAGGGTTCCAAGGTCACAATGGAGTTCACGGGCGTATAATCTCACTTGAAGGAATGAAGACTCCAATAAAGCGCAGGGGGGGTTACAAAGCCGCTCGACTAGGAGTGAGACGATGGCAATGTAGAGTTTGAACGGTAGCGACCTTACTTACCTAGGCAGTGAGATGGTTGTGTCTTTGACAGGTAACCAGCATACTCGAATTATACACTAGATCAACCACTCAAGAGCCGCGAGCACGCGTTGAGATATTCCCAATTGATCTGACAGACTCCAACCTTAGAGGTCGTTTTATCGCCTGCCGTTTGAAAGAAAACCGATTCCTGGACTGAGCGCTCCGGCTGTGTCAATCTCATCTCATCGATCTGCATGAAAGGCTCTGCAGGAAACTATTCCTAACTAACGATTTCCCTCTAGAAATGTATCATAAGAAATGAGTTTTGAAACCAGACACCCGTTTGAGTCTGTAGACTTGGCTTGTTCAAAAATTTTGAAGATTTAGTAAACCAAGTTGGAAATCAAAGATATGGGGGGGATACAATAAGCAGGGCGTAGAGCGAGAGACGTAGCTTTTCGCAATTTGCTCTCCACCGGTCGTATATCTGACCCCAAACCAGATAATCTAAGCAACTCCCCGAAATACTAAACGGTTGTCTGATGAGAGCGATGACAGCGGTGCGAACTCGCTGAAAACTCGGAGTTTGGTACAGCAGTCAGTGATAAGGTTCATGTAAGATTTGGGAGTGAGAATATAAAATGACGAGTAACAAGAGGCCTGTTCGGGTGACGAATATGTATAATGAGTCACTTGGTGTGCAGCTCATGTGTTTGCCCTGGTATTCATGTAGGATAGATGTAACGTATCCGGCTGTCCCGGGTACCTGTTGATCTGTAGTAACCTGCATTCGTGACCATGTTCTCGATGTCAATTGATCTCATGCATAGGGGGATTAATGATGAGACCGCAGAACGGCCGTGAGTCCGCTAATCCGGTGACCGAATCTTTGATAGCTGAGTATTTCTAATTAAAACATTGCAATGGATGAGCAGCTCACCGCCGCTGGTTGTGGCGTATCTCTATTATTTGCTCATGGGTCGCCTTCTTCGTGCCAAGATGTCGATGCCGAGTATTGGGTGCCAAGACCGTGAGAATCGCCTCCGGCCGGTCGTGCCGAAGGCTGATCATATGCATATTGCGGTGCATGGGCCTACGTAAGCTCCTCAAACCCTACGATGCGAATGAGAGATAAAATCTTATTGTTTGCCGCGTAATCGAAGCAGCCGGAAACCGAGCTCCCCCTATGGAGAACCGGCAGCAGATCTAGATGTGGGGTGCGAGGTGACAGGAAGTCATGCAGGCGGCAGTACTGGCTTAATATCGCGCGTGCCCGTTTCAAAAACAAGCTGCAGGACCCCGATTCGAACGAGGATTGGCTCAGGCGCATAAGAGCCGCAGGTATCGCGAGATATCGCCACTTGACCGGAAGCAGGAGGCATTGGGGAGCCTGCAATAAATTGGCTAGAATAGGGTTGAGAGAAGAGAATGGCGGGAAAATGCTTAGGAAAGTAACGATCTCGCGAGTGATATGCATAAGCCTCGCTCATGTACAGAGTTAGTGACAAGCATAAGTCTGGCCTAGCGCTCGACATGGCTAATCTGGATCCGTCCTATCGTTTCCCCACGTTGGAGCTGAAGACGTGGACGGTTATAGACAAGGTTCCTCCATCATAGGGCTAGGTAAATCTCCCCAAAGCTTTTGGATTAGTTATAACTCTTGAAACATATGTCCAGACCGTACCCTTGCCACCTCCACCCGCCCGACTATCAAGAGGAGGGAGATTGGCAGAAGGCTCTGTCAACACAGGATTCGTACTTGCCTCTCAAATAGTAGATTTCGTGAAACATGGGCCATGGCTATTAAGGAAGTATGAAGTGACCGGCGGTCCAAATCGAGGCAGGCCTAACATAATCCTTGTCTATCCAATCATGTTTGGCCCAGTTGTCAGCACGGCAGGCAGCATGGCGATCCTAGCAATGCTGATGACGACATGAAGCTATCCTCACTCCTTCACATCACCCAAAAGTCCGATATGCTGACGGCCACAACCGGCCCGCTGTGGAGAAATCTGCTTACGCTCCGTTCCCCTATTCCCAGTTTGCCACGAACGATCAATGCGGTTTCGAGCAGCAGGCATCTTTGTATTACCAGGTTTTCGGCGAATTTACTCATCATCAGCTAGGAATGCGCATCACCCCGGTCTCTACCGGCAGTGAAATGCCGTGAAACAATCATAGAAGGCCTTTTGCCAACAACATCAGGCAGTGCAGAGATATTGGTGAGTATGCGGGCATAAGTCGGCAATCCGTAGCCTCATGGAAGAGCTCTGGGCATGGGTTAAGCCCGAAGGCCGAACAGCCCGGAAAGACATGCCTCGAGTATAAAAGTCAGCGGTATGTTCTCTAAAGAGATTGACGGATACTCCTACCAGCTCAATTTATCATTGTACTGAAGCATTCAGCTCTCATACAAATTTGAATAAAGCCTTTTGGTAGTTCTTCCATCATGAAGCCTTCCAGCATTTCCGCCCTTCTCGCGGGAGCTAGCATGTCTGTTGCTCTCCCTCATATGGATAGTCCTCGTGAAAGACTCAGACGAGGCTTGCCTCTTGAGAAAGGATTGGCAAAGAGAGACGATACCAACCCATACACGAAGAACTTCACTGACCCCTACGATTCTGCAATCGACTCCGTTGGCAAGAACTTGGACCCTCTTCCTTACCGCAATGGTGAAGGAGCATCAGTTCTTGGTCCTTGGAACAAGGAGCGTTCTCGCCAAAACCCTGATTTGGTCCGTCCCCCCAGTACGGACCACGGGGACATGCAGAATATGCGATGGAGCTTCGCCGACTCTCATATCAGAATAGAGGTGCGTGAAAAAAAATGAAAACTTGTAAAGACCACTCTACTAACACTAGTCCGGCCACAGGAGGGTGGATGGACCCGACAAACTACATCCCGTGAGATGGCGGCTAGTTCGGAGATTGCTGGTGTCAATATGAGGCTCGATAAAGGTGTCATCCGTGAGCTTCACTGGCACACGCAGGCTGAATGGGCCTATGTTCTCGACGGCGAAGTCCGCGTCACAGCCCTCGACTATGATGGAGGAAACTATATCCAGGACCTAAAGAAAGGTGACCTGTGGTACTTCCCAACGGGTGTTCCCCATTCTCTCCAGGGTCTCGGCGAGAATGGCACGGAGTTCTTGCTTATCTTCGACAGCGGCGAATTCTCCGAGGAATCTACATTTCTCCTGACTGAGTGGCTTGGTATGCAATCATTCCCATTGAATAAATTCCGGGCAGCTCATATTAGTATGTCTAATTCTTTTTGCAGCTCATACTCCCAAGTCTGTCATCTCCAAGAACTTCCACCTTGCCCCTGAGGTTTTTGATCACCTCCCGAAGGAGCAAAAGTACATCTTCCAAGGAACGTACCCAGACACCATCGATAAGGATCGCCCTTCTGGAAGTGATGCCAAGATCTCCGATGTCGAGTTCACTCATCGCTTCTTAGAGCAGGAGCCCCTGAACACTACCGGAGGAACTGTCCGCATCGCCGACTCTACCAACTTCCCCATCTCCAAAACGATTGCCGCTGCTCATGTCACCATCGACGTTGGTGCCCTCCGCGAAATGCACTGGCACCCTGTTGCTGACGAGTGGTCTTTCTTCATCAGCGGCCGCGCTCGCGTTACCATCTTCGCGTCAGAAGGCAACGCCAGGACGTTTGACTACGGCCCTGGCGACGTTGGCATCGTTCCCAAGAACAATGGGCATTTTGTCGAGAACATCGGTGATGAGCCCATTGAAATGCTTGAGATCTTCCGCGCTGAAAAATTCCAGGACTTTTCACTCTTCCAGTGGCTGGGTGAAACACCGAAGAAGATGGTTGTTGATCACCTGTTTGCGGATGACCCGGAGAACGGGGACAAGTTCTGGAACTCGGTCCAGAGCGCCCACAAGAATCCAGTCACGAAGCCTTGAGATGTTGAACGGGAGAACACTTATGGGGCACCGAGTGGGCGAGTGACGGCGACGTATTGCCCAAAGGTGCATGCAACAAGATTGTAGCTTAGGTGCTTGCTTTTAGGGGGTCTATTTCAGTTTAGAACATCAGATTTACAAGCAGTAGTATAGTTGATATATAAATTGAGGACATGATGAGCTTTTTGGTATCTTAATTCACATGTTTGTAGGCAATTGACTCAGTCATACAGCAGAAGTTCGAGGCGTGCAGTGCACTGATCACTGAATGTATGGATGATAGCAAGTGGGTGACAGGAGAAATGAGACACCTAATGGAAGAGTGGTTTATAAACAGCTTACTTTCTACAAAAAAATAAACAATATATACCGTATTATTTCTGAATTAAGTATTATTAGTACTCAATAATCTGACAATACTGGTCGCAGGCTCGATAATAAGCAGCTTAATGTTTGGGTGGTCACTAGGAACCTAGTTGCGGAATGCGAATTACTAGAAAGCCAGAATTGAGAAGCTAAGACTGCTCTAATACTGTTTACGGAGACAAAAAACTTTTTATCAGTTGCTAGGCAATAGCAGCATGAAGACTCTACCTTCTTCCTCCCCTCCTCCCTCCTCCACTATCATCTCTATCCCTCCTCCCCCTTCCCCTCCCTCTCTCTCACCCTCACCCTCTCTCTCACCCTCACCCTCTCTCTCACTCTCACCCTCCTCCCCCATGCTCACTTAGGCGGTGAGTCAATTGGTGGTGAAATTCGGAGGTCGGTAACTCCGCAGAATCTCTCGATATCCTTGAAAATTTGATCCATGGGCATGACCCATGTGAAATAGTCTCCACGTTTGTCTGTGGCCTTTTTGGGATGGATTTTACTAAAAACCGTACCCAAAGCATGCCCTTCCTCGTCGTAGACTACCGCCCCAGAGTCTCCGGGGCCACTAAACTGACCATCAGGGCCGCGCTCGATCAAGTATGAATTTGTGTTTGCGCCCGATAGGTTAGCATTTGGAATGATAGGACCGGAGTGAGGCAACACCGCTTGGAAGTGGCCACACGTCAGTCCGGTGACGGCTCCGTACTTGAACACTCGCGCGCCCGGTTTCAGTGTACTGAGGGTAGTGTCCGGACGGTACATTTTCAGATGATCCATAGCACCGGATGCTTCATCAGGACAGTCCAAGCTATCATACTGACTCTCCCAGACGGATAAGCCAGGTAGTTGGTTCCTTCCCTGGCGACTTGGTTGGACTTCAATGAGAGCCCATTCGAGGAAGAAGTCGGTCGCGGAGCGATGGTCGAAGCCCGAAGCTGCCCAAATCTTTCCTAGAATGTTTGCATCCTTCTCAAATGCTCTATGGGCGGCATCCAACCTCTCTTCCGCCTCAAGTCTCTTGTCCTCTCTGAGATCTTGTTGAAGCTTAGCATTAAGCCATGCGACGTTGTTATTGTGCCTCACCCGGCTCGGGTGCTCCATGTCTGACAAATCATGTGCGTGATCTGGGTGAATTCCACTTCTGTCCAATGTTTCGAGGAGGCTCTGTGGATGCGGCATGCCAGTGACAAACTTCTCATCACTTCGCTCTTCCAAGGAAAATCCAGGAATCCCTGGCCGGCAAACGTGATAATCTGTTAGTGCCATGGTTTTCCGCTCCCCATGCTTATCCTTGAAATCTACATAGCAGCCCAGTGTTCCTAGCATTGGGCTCCTTACTCCACCATCGTGCTCAATGTATTGGGCCGCGCCGATGTCAGCGCCCAAATCTGGACACTCTTGGTAGGACCGAAGAGTAAACTTCTTACCCAACGATTCACCTCTGGAGGGGGGGCAAAGCTCGAAGGCGGTGAGCGTCCAGTAATTGTGTTCGAAATCAAGTTCGACGGGGTAGGGTTCGAGGATTTCGTTGATATCGTCGATAATTGGCGGCCAACTGGCCTCAGGGCAGTCGTGGGTCACGGCGACGTACACAATGACGGGGTTGTCTTCGATCTTTTCGTGATGACCCATCCGGAAAACTGTAATGAGGGTCACATTGCCTCGCGATGCTGGGTGGCTCTCAAGAACCTTTTTGATTTCGGCAGATATGGCGTCCCAGTTGTCCTGAATGAGGGGGTAGTGACCGAGAGGCCCGATTTCTTGAAGTGTGGTGAGGTATGTGGCGATCATCTCCACGTCCGCCTGTTGACCTAGGCAGCGGAGCACGAGGGGCCTGATGTCTTGCACGGCGAGCTTCCAATGCTCCGCCGATGAGTCGGTCCAAACTGCGGTGACCAGTAACGTCAAGCGGTCGGAATCAGGCACACCAGGGATGGAACGGTAGACCAGACAAATGGAATCGTCGGAGCCGTCATCCGAGTCCCACGGGTCTGTTGGCTCCCTACACTCGGGCCTCCTTATGTCGTGAGAGGCCAGAATGTCGGCCACCTTCTCGTACAGCTTGTCAAGTTCATCCGGACTGCACACACCAGCCACATCGTATGTATTTTCCAAGGGCAGCGGCCGAACTGGCGGCTGGCCGACACGATATTTGGTGCAGGAAATCGACATCGAGGCGGTTGATGAAGGATTTGGCATCGGTGTAAATTGGTGCGCTGTCTCGAAGCTTGACATCAAGAGGATTGGTGACGCAGGTGGCGCTAGTGTGAGAGGGCGATGCGGGAGAGGGAACGGCGAGGATAGATGCCTCAGACTGCGATGGCGCAACAGGCACAACAGGCGCAGCTGTAGCTGTTGGAATGGGAACCAAAGCTGGGAGAAGTGCGTTGTCCGAAGGTTCGGGAGGTGGCGATGCCTCGGACGGTGATGTGGTTGAGGGAACAGCGAGGGCAGATGCCTCAGACGGCAATAGCGCAACTGGCGCAGCAGGCGCAGCTGTTGGAATAGGGACGCTGCCTATACGTTCGGGAGGTGAAAAATGAGGTTCAGGAGGGGGTTGCGAGGTTGGCCGTGGTGGAGCAGGAGGAAATAACGATGATAACGCTGACGCTGGCTCGAACAATGGGGGCGCGAAGCGGCGATTCTGGAAGTGAAGCAACTCCTCGGAGAAGATGCTGCTTTGGTGAAGCAGGTGTCCTTGCTGATAGTTGAAGTCGAGGAGCGAAAAATGAGGCGGTGGTGTGAGGTGCAAGGAGCTCGTAGCACAGCGATTCGCGGCCTCAGTAGCGGATGAACTACGGGACCGGGTTTCAGCCATGTTTGGAGACAATAGACACAATACAGAAAACAATAGGCGCCAGCAGGCGAACAATACAGGCAAACAAATGAGCAATACGCGAGAGCAAGCGAACAATACACGCGAGCGAGGAGACAACGCTGTCACGATATCAGCCACCCATGAGACCCTCCTCGGGCGGCGCGAGCAGAAAGACGAGCAGAACAGTGAACTGTCAGGACTGTCTCGGGAAGACAGATCTTGCCGGCTGCTATGCAAGAGGTCAATAGGTTGAGCGGATGGGAACAAGGCTTGTATGGTACTCGCGCAAAAGGGGAGTGTACGTACGCAATGGGTGTGATGGCCTCCAACGGCTCACAATAAGCACTTGGCAAAGAGACAATAGCCAGGCAAACGCAGACAATACGAGAGGAGTGAAGACCAGGATGTACACGTCAAGAAACAATGCGTGCGAGCCAAGAGAAAAGTGTGCCAGCTGACGATCACGGCGACGCACGAGGCAACGTTGCGGGCGTCGTCGGCAGGAAGACAGAAGACAACTAAACAGTCAATGCTGTCTCCCGTTACCCAAGAATAGAAGCTCACTAACCTTTGACAGGGCAAAGAGAGCAAGAAAGGCGGCGTAGTAGGTAACTAGCACGTGGGAAGGACGGGTTATAACTGGGCAGCAGGCGTGCGAGCAGGTAGGTATGGTTGAGTGTTTGGGAACAGCGAAACAAGAGGTATGAAGAAGAGGTATCGTGGAGAAGAACAGACAGAGAGAAAAGCAGACAAGTGCGAGATGGATGCTGGTAAAATACCCATCCTCAACCCCCGTCCAACTCTTGTATCACCAACCAGCTCATCGCGGTGAGATGCATACTGGCAAAGGCCCAGATGCGTGTATGCATCCTCACTAACGTCACAGCAGCTGAAATCACTGGACTAACGTCAATCACAGCAGCTGCAATCACTGGCTGGCGGGCGGGCTGGCGAGCTGGCAGGCGAGCACAGCATAAACTAGTGGGGGAAGTGTGCAGCGTACACCAAGGAACAGTGGTCTCGCGGCTGGTCGGTGAGTTTGCCTGCGGGTAGGCACTCAATAGCGGCATGCTTTAGTTTGAAGCTAGTATGCTGTACCGCATTCACCTACACAGCCAGCCTGGATGTGCTCCCGCCATGCAGCCATTCGCTATGCGCGGTCCCTCACCGCATCCCCAGCGACGACGGCACAACAGGTACCAGCGAGTTCGTGGGCACACAGTCAAGCGGTGCGGCTGAATGCTGAGAGAGTGTGGCCTATCACATAGTGAAGCCCGTGCTGAATAGGCCTACCATCCTATTGTTCTCAGGGCGTGAGGCGGGCGAGCGTTCTGTAGATGAACTGTGATGTCCCCTCTGCTTGAAGTGTGGTGACGTTGTACCTGACCCCACCCGTTCAGCGCTAAGCTTTTTGGGACTAGCGGATTGGGCTGACCAGAAATAGCAACCCCTCACTCAAATCAACCAAATCAACCACCCCAAGGCCGGATTAATTGATTGATGGCCGGATGATTGATCTGGCTGATTTGAATTAATTATAATCTACGGATCTCCCAATCCTCGCGTAGCCGAGAATAATATTGAGGCTCTCGGCAGATACTGGGTGTCCTGATGGATGGCTGTTTGATCAGGTCTGCAGTGGATTGCTTGGGGCCTCCACAGTGGACAGAGCGCTGTGGCTTGCATCAATGATTCTCGCTATGGGTGACCGCCCAGCAGAAGGGGGAGCCTACCCTACAGTTCTCGGGCGGGGATGGTGACAGCGCCACCTTGAGATTCGACCAGAAAGCAGCCATAATATGTAGTAGAGGGATGAGAATAAACCAGAAATATCAATTGCATCAATCAATTACATACTGCGATTGGTTCGATACTTCGGTGGGACTGATTTGGCTGATTTGAAAGGTCGGATTGATTGAAACCAATGTAAGGTGTGCTCATTGGAGATCAGTGAAAGGTCAAGGTTCAACACAAACGAATCGCCATTGCATCAGCATGGCTAACGTTTGGAATGCGCCAATATTGACGCGATTAGCCTAGTTGCAGTGGCTACAGTCACCTCGGGTTTCTCTGAATGCTTTAGAAGTCCGGTCTAACGCGGTGTGCAGACCGCACACCTTGCGCAAAGAGGTGGCCATTAATAGGATACTGAATAGCCCTGGCCACCTTTCCCAAGGAATGAAGTTGCTTTTAAAATCCGTTCTAGTATTGGAAGCGACGCTTGTATCTATGAAGTTCAAGGCTATTCTATCTGATGCGAAATGTCTCTCGCTCGCTGCCTTCGGCTCCCGCCCGGCCAATGCATCGCGCATTCCAGAATGCGACGAAAGAAACGCAAATCCAAGTTGTGCCAGAGCTCTAAAATGCTTCCTATTGCGCCGTAATAAATAATCTATGCAAGGGGTATCGTGTCTGTCGTGTCTGTGCGTGCATCCCGTGCACGTAAAAATCGTTCAATTGCTCCCTTCAGAAGCTTCGTCGTCGTCGTCGGTAAAAACGGGAATTCCTCCTGCCCGACCGTTATCTTTCATTCATCCAACAACAATTGTCTTCCCAGGCACAGCGCCGATACGCTCCAGCCACGAGTTTGGAACATTGCCCTGCAGCCGGATGGTTCGTGCCGGAGAGCACTTCTGGATATGCCGCAGGACTCGGCCGCTGTTGCACTCCCCAAAGACACACGTCTTCTTCTGTCTGGGGCTGTCCCATACGAGCTCGATCTCCTTCAGGTTCGGGGCGGCCTTGAGCACCCCGATGAAGAACTTGAGCCATTCGGCCGTGGCGTCGTCCCGTTTGATGACGAAGCGGATGCGCTGCACGCGATGCCAGCGGATCTCTTCATTTGATGCAAGGCCGATCCAGTTGGCAATGAACTCTTCCGATGGCGCTTCCATGTCGCTTATTCCAGCACCAGGCTGAGGCGTCTTGGCAGACAGTAGGGCGAAGTTGGTTGGGTCCTCCTTGTGGTGCATCTCCCTGAGCACGCGCTTACACGACACGGCGAAGGGCGACAGGAGGGACGTGCTGAGCTCTGTCCCTGCTACGCCTGATGATTTCTGCCTCGGGACTAGGAAGGCATAGGCGTATGAGTCTTGGCCCACGGAGGCCGAGGCGGATTGTAGAAGGCCATCTAGATACTCGGCGTAGATCTGTGATCTGATCTCAGCCGGGAGCTGTGTGAAAAACGGGGACGTGGTCTGTGAATGCATGGTGGGTTTGAAGCGGAGTGTATATACAGATGATTTTAAAATCTGGAGAAAATAGACGCGGAATGGGTCAAACGGGTTTATTATAGAGAGAAAAACTGAATATTTGTATGGAAAACTCTGAAAATGCACAGCCGTGGTTGATTGACTCGTCGTGTGGCCTGATTGGTGGTTAGGCTGTCACACCCGTTGATAAGGGAGAGGCATTTTCCGTCTGGATTTGGCATCTGATGATGGGCATTGCATCATTGCTCATCTTGGTGTCCAGGGGCTGTGGACTAGCGGCCCGAATCGTGTGTGAGTATTACATGCATGTTCCTTTGACGGCGGTGACCTCGGCCGTTGGCCTGCTCTCCCGCTGCAAGCCGGCTACGAGGAATGCAAAGGGGCCGGCATTATCGCCAAGACACTGCTAGAGAGCCGCTTGTCGCGCCTGTCTGAATCTGTCCACCGAATCAGCCAGGCTGGAAGAGTGCCTGGAGGAGAGAATGACATCGGCCGAGACGAATCCCCTGGGCCTCACAACGGCTGCTTCAGGGGCACGCTAAAGGATCCTTGCTGACTCGCTCAGAGATACATATGGCTCATGTATCATGCATACTACGCTCGCTGTCTAAGTACATGCCTCGCGGTAACTGCGCATATCACTCATATCTGGCTGGGCGGAATCCACTCCAGTCATACAATGGCGTCACAGCACATGAGACAGCGTCAAACGCGGTCTCAGCTGTGTTTTTCGGTTGCAATCACTGGTTTTCCCATGTTGCAATCCAATCAGACCTCATCATCGCGCATGTACTGGGCGACACTGACCCTGAGCCAACTTGTCTCTGCCACCGGGAATGTCAGCCCTTCGCGCCTTTTCCCGCGTCTTTTCCCGGTTCCTAGAATAATCGCATGTGAATAATTTGAAGCCTTACACTGGGCATACTGAATTGCAATCACTGACTCTGTACAATTCGACACTACAGCAGGCTCATACCATGGGACTTCTGGTCTTAGCTGCGAAATGCGTAGGAATTTCAATGACCAGGGGCATCACCCCCGTTCTTGTGCTCCATCTTATCCCTCTTCCACGAGGCCAATAGCTTCCTTGCTGGAGCCATGAATTGCAGATTGATGCTGGAATATGGATCGCGGGGCCCCGACTTTTGCAAGACTCTGACCCGCTCTTAATGTCGTGCGTTGATTCTAGCACCATTGCTATGGCATATGAGCCATTTTGTCGTCTAGATTCGGTTAGAAGATGCTCGATGTGCCCAAAATGTGCAAGAATAGGCGAGGAAATGCATCCAAGTCACATTGTCGTTGGAGATTGGAGACGATGTGGAGGTGAGGTTGCAATTGAACGGATGAAAGCCATATTCTAATTGGAAATGATCGACCTGGCGGCTGGCTTTTTCCTTTCGCCCGCCCTTTGACAAGAAAGTCGGAGAATTTATATATTCCCAGAATAAATTTGAGGCTCGACCTCATGGCGCATCCCTGTCTTGCCTGTGATATAGAGATACTCAGCAATAATATAATTAGTCCAACTAGACATAGATCCCTCGACTGATAGACATTACCGATCGGATTTCATTTTAAATCATCGGGATTTGGAAATTACTTAATTTCATGATCTCGAAATAACTGATTATCATGGTGAACCATGAGCACGAGTGGGAACATTAGTCTAAATGCCGAATTTACACGAAATTGTGGTGATCATCACATCTGAAAACAGTGAGAAAAAAAAGAGAAAAAAGAAACGGCGCAGACATTCCCTAGGGGACTTCTTTAAATCTCATCTCAATTCTATTTATGGACAGTATAACAAGCATATCCTGGCGTATTCCGGACTGCCAGACCTTTGTCTGCTTGATATTATACCTCTCATCCACCAGGTATTGATGCTTGGGCTTGGTTTTGCACGCCTTATTGTGAAGACACAGAGCATAACCTAGACGAGTAAATTTGCCACCACATTCAAACTTTCATCAAGTGGCAATTTGAAATTTTCTTTTCTGCCTTGGGAAACTTTCTGGTCGCCAAATGTAAGCGGTAGCATCTTGTGCGTACAGAGTATGTGGTCACGCAGTTGTTGGCTCTCGCGGATCCGAGGCTGAAAGTAAATAAATAACGACCAGCCTCAATTATCTGAACGGACAATATTTATTCAGATCCTACAGAGTAACGCCGCATTGCACGCTATCTGCTTCTCGCGTTCGAGGTGGCCAAACCCTTGTAGTACAGTTGGTGCTACGGGAGATAAGAGAGGCATGTGCCTTGAAAGAGACCAATAATATTCTCAGTTCATGTCGAGAGGCGGCGTGTCTCAGTTGAAAGATGCAGCTTTGGGATCTCGTTCCGGCAATCGTTGGGCCGGCGCGCATCAACGCTTCAATCTGTTTGGACGATGCAAGCAGACCGCTCCGTCGTGCGTCTGGGCGCCCCCCAAAGGATTTTTTCGTGTATCATGAATGGTCAATGGCTGAGACATTGAGATTCGTATTTGTTAGCTTGAATTATACCAATAACGCCCATCGGAGTAATCTACAATCATCCAATGTGTAGATTTTCGTATCTTATATTCTCGATCACCCAGTACGAATAGGTACACAGCGATGTGGCGAAATTCTCTACCTGTACGCAAAGCAATCTTGCCTCGGATCAACTGGAAATTCTGCTATTAGTCGCGTGATTGAGTTAAGAACCTGTCATTGGCTGCGGCGTCGTACCGCGTTTGAGGCTTGCATTACGGCAAACTTTACTTCGGAGTTGCAGGTTTCACGGTCCCTCAGCGAGTGCTACCCAACCTACGCGGATGCAATTATAAACAGAGCCCGCGTAGAGTTTCGATCTGAGGATCAGTCACCTCACTTCCTCCTTGCGGAGTGGACATGCTCGCTTTTTTCGCCCAGCTCCTTGGCCGACGATCGCCTCGTCGTGATTCACAACCCCTCCAGCCGTCGGATCCCAAGTTACCTACGGAACTTCTTCTGAAGATATTCGATTTCCTGGACATTGATGCTTTGATATCGGCGAGTCAGGTTTGTCGCGCATGGAAGGGGATGGCGACAGCCCCTGAGTTGGTATCCCCTTTCCTGCGACAACTGATTCCCAAAGCCGACTTGCTTGGGTTGGAGCAGGGGAATGCCTTGATGCAGATGCTCAAGACGCAGCGGAGAGCACAGATAAATCGCGCTGAAGGAAGATTCAGTGTCCTCGAGTTGCCGATGGAGATGGGAACCAACATAGAGACCAAGCTCTGGATTACACATGATAATCGCTACGTGGTGTCGCTGGCAGACATGCGCGGCGATGATCAGAAGATATTCACTGCTTATCACATCGAGACTAAGGAAGTTGTATTCACGAAAACGCTTATTGGCGAGCATACGGGCCTCATTCTACCCAAGACGAACATCTTTGTTGGGCACAACCGCCTCGCCCGGGACTTCGACTATGTCGAGAGATTGGTTTACATTGATATAGACAAACGGGAATTTTTCCACGAGCCAATCCTGTTGAAACCTACCATCTGGCATTGGAAGCTGGTTCTCAATGACCACGGTGCTGCTGTGGCCGTTGGCGACCCTGAGCGGTATCCGGCCTGGCGCACCGCCGAATCAGCAGACGGGGCGGTGCGGTTTGGATATCAAGTCGGCTGCAAGCCTCACCCAACTCCAATGCATGTGTCGGGAGCCCCGGACATCAAGCACGAGGGGCAGAGTTTCTTCGGATTGGCTGCTTCGGCGACGGATAACCGCTATTTGGTGGCTGCTGGTTACTCCGTGGCGCTGTTAATAGATTTCGATCCGCGGAAGGATGGCGAGGTGTCCGAAAAGGGCGTATACGCGACTGAGTTCAAGGCTAATGAGTGCTGCAATCGCCACTGGTACGCTGGTCGTCCGTCTTGGGAGTGTTGAGCGCCGTTTACACTCAATTGACAGTTTTGCGCCACTCTTATCCTTTAGATATTGAGGGATGGATATGTAGAAGAAAGCTTTGCCTCTTTCATTATGCAGCATGAGGTCAACTGGGGTAGGAGACTACAACCGGCTGAAAGGGAAGATAGTCATTTTCTTCATGTCTATCGCTCTTATAATGATATCTACGAGAATGAGTGAATGGAATCAGGTATCTGATTGTTTTAAATGCTTTTATCGCAAATCGAAGAAGTAGCAATAGAAGGCTTCGACAACCTTACGCACTAGGTTAACAGTCATTTGTCATTCTATGTTGCGTGCTTTGCAACCCTTTGTTCGGCTTTTTCAGCTGAGGATAGCTGACCTATATGCACAACTGACTCGTTGTTATTTAAGGATGGATGATTCTTTAATCAAAATTCTATACATTTTCTAAAACCCTTATCTATTATTTACCTCTCATTCTCAACTTCTCAAGAAAGGTGCTGGAAGAATAAAATCCTAGTGTGCCACACCTACTTCTCAAGAGTGACTGATCTCTCCAATGATACCCTCTACTGATTATATTCCTTTGCAATCTCCTCTCCTTCTCTGCAGGGGCTGTACATTAAAGGGCCGTCCTGATGATGGTTGGTTAAGCTAACTAACCGAGACCTGAAAAATGTGTCTGTAGCTAATTGTCCGGATCTTCCTCCACAGTTTGCTTGACCTCTCGCCTATATTGAATGTAGGCGAGGAGCAAAGCCGTGCCGGCATAGACTATACCAAATGCACCAGCACCAAAATTGCCACCAACAACTCCTGGTTGATCAACGGTTTGGAAGGCGAATAACGGACTGTAATTTGATATCTCGGTTAGATCAATTCTCGGCTAAGTGAGGAATTGTTTGGACTCACACAACGGCGATGGTAACATAGCTGACGACATTGAGACCAGCTGCTCCGAATGCTCGCGTTGCTGGATCACCGGACCTAGAAAGTCAGTTGGCAAAATGGTCCCGCCACAATGTCTTTAGGATCTCTGAACTCACCGTGTGTCTTGGGCCCAGCTCCAGTACATGGAATTCGCTGCAAACGCCCAGTTTGTATTGTAGTAAAGAAACCACCTGAACGCTTTGTTCTGCGGGAAAACGGGCGTTGCAGCAAGGGTAAAGCACACTGCGCTGGTAATGATTCCTCCAACAACTAGGAGCGGCCATCGGCGCCCTCTAAGAACTGAGTCACCTGCATGCCTGGTTAGCTTTGGATGGGGTGTTCAAGAAAGGTTAGTATTACTTAGCCAGGCGAAGATAAGCATAAGAACGACGATAACGCCGCCAATTCCGGTGGTGTAATTGTCTGTCGCAGAGGTTAGGTGGAAATTTCTACGTGTGGTTCATATAGTACGTACTGATTTCAGCTCCAGAGTAAGAGTTTGGCTTGATGCTGTTCCATGCTTTGAACCAATATGCCATCGAGTCTTGGGGCATATGGCAAATAGAGTTGGACCTTGGCATTGCGTTAGTAGAAGTTGCACCCAAGAGGAAATTCTACTCACATTGCGATGGCCCAGAGCAAGAAGATATCTGGGGTCGTAAACCAGCGCTTAACTTGGGCAAGCGTAAACTTACCCTGCTTCACCTACTTCGTGAGTAAAGATGAAGTCAGGTTGTTGTCGGGCGGGAACATCTGGGTAGAAGAAGAATTGTGGGATAATTATCCCAACCGAGACAACCGCATCAATGATGAACAACTATGAGAATATATTAGCAGGTTCAAGAGCTTCAAGGAAATGTTGACTGACCCATCTCCAACCAGCTCTTCCATGTACTCCATTGAGGCCAGTGTACGCGGCAGATTGCAGGTATGAGCTGAACATGGGCCCAATTGACGTTGAGCATTTGATGATTGCCACTCGCTTTTGCCTCGATTAGTATGCGCTATGTCTGGTATTCTAAGTGGGAAAACTTACCTTTGCGAGCTCCGTTTTTCGATACCAAGCACCGCAGAGATAAATCACTTTCGATTGTTAGTACTAAGGAGTCGCTAAGCCAAGGTGGCTTCAACACGATTGGTGGAAGTCTTACTGGCTGAGAAGTGGCCGCTAATACTGTCAGCTGGATTCCTGGAAGGTTTCTAAGTCTCAAACTTACGTTTCGAACACGCCCAAAATGAATCGCAGGACATACATCTGCGTAGGTGTGTGCATGAATGCCTGTCCTAGGGTACTTTATGAACAATAATGAGACTGGGTTCGAATATTTGATGGATGTAAAACATGATACTTACACAATAGTCCATGCGATTTCTAGGAAACTTTATCCAAGTTAGATCAGGCTTGGTTAAGTTGTGGGGTGAGAGTACTTACGGGATGAACCATCTAGGGTTGCAACGGGTGAGAGCAAGATTGCAAGGCCACAGTGCAAGAATCTGTATGGTCAATAATAGAGTAAGCAATGGGATAAATTTTAGACTCACATTCGCGACACTATAGGCGGTATTGGCGTAGTTCATTTCCTATGAAGTTGTGAGCCAGGGGTGTAACAATGTAGGGCCTGCGGACAGTATGACTTACATTTCCATAGAGGCTCATGTCTTCTTTCATCCCTGAAACAAATGCTGATGTAAGGTTCGCTCTGTATGAGATTAGTACGCAATTTCTTTGCATGGAAGTCATTGAACCATACTTGTCAATATATTTAATGAAGGTTCCAAGACAGCCAAAGGTTAGTATTGTGAGGTCAACCTATGATGAGTTAGAATAACTCCCCATAATGCATGCTGTAGAGGATCTGCGAATTTCTTACCTTAAGCAGAAGACGGCGTTCTGCAGGAGGCATGTCAAGAGTATCCCAAATATAGCCTTTCCATGTTAGCTTCCTGGATTCGGGATCAACCGAAGCTGCATGTCCAGAAGTAGTCGGAGGAATCTCCTCTACGGTTGTAACAGGCTTTTTATCCACCGTCATCGTGGTTATTACGATGCTGTTAATTTTCGACACAGAATAAAACTGATTTGCCCTGTTGGAAGAGTAGGTATCGCTTCATTTAGCGATTGATGAGTGCTTATATAAATCGTGATATGTTATTACTCTTTTCTGTTAATATCTAGCAGCAAGCTACCAGCCTTGACCGAAATTTGTCGTTATTCAGATAAGTATTGCGTGCTTGACATAACTAGGGGCAGAAGAGGTCATAATGGGACTAATGGCGTGGTAGCCTCAAGACTTCCTCCAATGCGGAGTCACACCGGCTAAGATCTTTGGACCCTGGAAACTGACCCTGGACTAGTTTACTCATTGTACTGGATCGGAGCATGAGCAAGAGGGCTCTGCCATGGTATTCCATGGGTCTGGCGTTTTCCTACGAATTCCAACCATCTTTCATCATCCTTAGTGGCAGAGGTGGAAATCCATATCCTTCTAGAATTCATCACCGAACGACTCACAGTGTGTTCACAAGTTCTACTGTAAAGCAGGTCCATAGTTCTCTCCACTGAAATTACTTGTCTATCACTGGGTTGACAGGAGAAGTAGTTTCGATAATAGATGAGCTGACTAGCTTTTTCCATCTTTATTGAACTATCTTTCCAACTGGTTATCCACTGCATCTCTTTTCTTAATATGCTCCAATAGGCGTAGGGCCTTCCCACATAGACACGAGCAACTCTCGTTCCCCTTCCCATGGCTGTCTGCCGTGAGAGACCTGGTAGTTGTCTACGAGGAGAATATCACCCTCCTCAAGTGACAAGTGAAGCTCTTCCTTGTCGACGACGTCAATCAACTTGTCCAGATACTCCCGCGGGATTGGTGTTCCATCACCATAAACAGAAGGAAGATCTATTAACTAATCATTAGCCTCACTGCGAACGACACTGGTAGGGGCGTTGGTTACAGGTCATGTTGTCCCGTCCAACGTATGGAGGGTCAAGAGCACCAATGTCCCTTGTAGTTCCGTGACGACCTAAGAGGCCATTAAACCACAGGGGTCTGCCATTAACAGGGTGTCGGCGAATCCCTAAGAGAGGGCTGGTCAGTTTATTGCGTCTCGAGTAAGGACTATGGACCTAATAACGTACCGGGGATATGTTGCGTCAGCTCAATGCTGCCATCTTCAGTCCACTTGTAGTCTGAAGTAAGCCTTTGCACCTGCTTCTCGACCTTTCGCTTCTGGGTAGCCTCGTCATCTCCAGGGACAAGTTCCTTGCCAAAGCTGAACTCCCCTGCCCAGTTGAATTGATTGTCATCTCCCTCGTTTCCTGGGGCTCGGAACAGCATCTTCATGGCGAGTCGGCGCTTCTGTACTCCCTCAACTAGCTCGGGGATTTCAGCCTTAACCTTGTCGAAGACATTGGCCGTGTGGGCGATTGGTGACAGTCCACCTGTAGTTAAACGATTAACGATTAGCAATTGTGTATAGCTGCAGCGGTTGTGTTGCAAACCTTTAGGCGCCTTCTTCACTGAGTAGAAATGAATGGTAGATGGGAAGCGAGTGTATCGGGCATACTATGCTTTCTATCAGTCTCCAGATCTATTTTCTACCGCTTGGTTGCCGAACCTCGTTGTGTTGATAGAACCTCTTAGCAGAAGATCCTTCATTTGCTGTCCAGACATGTTCAGCTTTCGCTGTTCGCTTTCCAGCCAGACCAATCTGCTCAAAAGGGTGAAACCCTCTGGCCTCCTCGGCCGCTGTGACCAAGGCAGAGAAAGTCTCGGCAGAGGGGCGACCAAAGCCACGGATGAGCACCGCACCGTGACGATCCAGAAACTCCTGAAGCCTTCCCGACGCGGAGAACTCGCGGATGGCTGCTACGGACTCGGCGAGCGGAGGCACTTCGCCCGTGGAGCTCTTGGCATGGAGGCCATACGGCAGGGCATTGCCATAATAGGTCCTGGCCCCTGGGACCTCGATGGGTTGGAATTCAATGGTCATGATTTTGGTGAAATGGCGGTTATCTCACAAATTAGAGCGATATTTGCAATGACACTGTTTATAGGTTCAAGGTCACAGCATGCCGGTATTATTCTCACGCCTGTCAACCTTAAAACTCATAAAGGCACAGGGTGTTGTCTGTGGGGGCTTTAACGTTGCAGGGCTGTTTAGACGAACGGAAGATGAACTCCATCGCGGTGCCGCATATCCGAATGCTTCGAGGGACGAATTACATGGGGGTATGCCTTAAGTTGGAGCATTGCTTCCTATAAAAAGGCTACAGAAATGAATATTACTGGTCTGATCCCGGTAGAATTCTTATCCGGTCTTAATGCTAGGGAGTGAATTCAAGTGGGTTTTGCAGGAATCATCATAAGATATTGGTTGGGAAAATAGCTCAGATTATCACGAATATGTTAGCTGCATTGCGTGCTTTGGACGCTTGTTATGGGAGAAATTATGATTAGATAAGCCCGGCATCGACATACGCTTCGCAACCCAAGCCCTAAACCTCCTATATCCTCTCATTTAACAGATTAATTAGAACCTTTTGACCTCTTCAGCCTTGCGGAACAAAGATGCAAGGCAAAGAGACAAACCTACAACTCTACCCTGCCTTTCACGTCTATATGGAGTCAAATGTCAATGACTTCATATATGATTGCATCTATATAAGACGCCATTTCAAAGGAAACATCAACACGAAAAAGAAAGTCGATATAGAAATGTCGAAGAAAACAAGTCATGTATGCAGTATCATCCTGAGATAGAGTAGGATGTCGTCATGCACAGGCCAGATTTGCACGAGCGAGACCTACTCTGCTCAAGTTAGTTCTTAGTTGGTTGGTAGTATTATTTCACTGATATTTGATCTTGCAATGACTTCTATCCCAGACTCGAGGCCTCTGACACAGCATTTTGGCTACTAATATATAGCTTCAGATGAACCATTTGACCGAACCTCCCATGAATTACGACAGACTTACTCGCGCAGTAGAAATTCTTCCATATTCAATCCCTCAGTGAGGTTAAGAATTTCGTTTGGTGAAATGGCGAAGTTGCCGTCACTTCCAAGGAGACCCCAGGGGGAAAACTCCTCCATCTCGCTGCTAAGATTGGGATCCCAGAACGCACCGCTCTGTCCTGGTGTACGGCAAGTTCGAGTCCTGGTTGCTGCTATTGCCCTCGCCTTCTCTCAGGTAGGACGCCATTATATGCTCCAGTCGTTGGAAGTCGCGTTTTCGGAGCCGCGCAGCAGGACTACCCCTGGAAATCATCCTGTCAAATATTCGGTGCGCTGTAGCAAGCCAGGCCCTATCTTCGACGAAGGTCGGAGCCACCGCAACGATTATTTGCAGAAGGAATGACGGTGACCAAGCTGTCTCGAGCTGGAACGGTAAGAACGAATCTGGAGATGATAAAGTAACGAGTTAGCGGTTCGAGGTATACTAGTGATAGATTTCAAGGAAACAAAGTGTTAACCCAATAAGTTATCATCACCTAAGGTCTCCAGTGCCCTGAGGATGTTCAGGGCGGAGTGAGCGCAGGATTGTAGGAGAGAGCTAATTGGGCCCTCCGGGATGGTCTTTTTGTCATCGCCCAAGGCGATCCTTCTCTGCAAGACACACATTACGAGTGGTCGAGTGGTAAGGACGACACACTGTATTAGTTAGCTACTATCATCCAACTATCGTGTCCAGAGCTGCATCAAGAAGACGCACATGATGATAAGATAGAATTAATCTTGTGGCTAGTTTTGAAGTCTTGATGTTGGTTCCATGGAGCGTGGTCCCAAGGTAAGACGTCAAATCTCTGCACACCGCGGCGAGCTTGTGTAGCACCGATTGTGTCTCTCGCAGCAAGCTCCCATCGAAATTTCGATCCACGCCATAGACACCTATACCAATAAATTTATCAGTTGAGTCAAGCATGGCCTGCGTAGGTTTGGATATACCTGTAAGAATAGTGGCCGTGAGACGAGAGAGCCGAATTTGAAGTGTCATAGCGGCGGCATTCATCGAGTCGTCAATTTCAGATGGAAGCTTTGTTGTGATATCTTCGTCACGGATGGAGCTTGGAGCGCCGACCAAGGTCGAAAAATCTTGTCGATGATATAGGCGATCCAAAAGATAGTGTTGCATCGGTTTGAGTGAGCCAAACTGACATGGTCGGTGGGCATGTGTCAGTGAAGACCATCGCTGACGCAAATGCGTAAGGCATGTCCTATCTGTAATGCAACAGTGGTTAGAAGATCATAGGAACGTTATAGGAGAGAATTGATTCATGCTTTACCAATTGAAACGACATAAGCCGCAGATCCAATGATTGCAAATATAACGCTCCTAGACACAACGCCTCCACTGCGGCCAATGGGTTCTTTTCCATCGGGACAATGCTAGGAATCAGAGATAACGCACGCGAGGCGAATTGGAGACCTGGGATCGCCTGGGATGATGCTGTCTGCGCATAGGCCTCTCCAAAGGCAAGAGTGAACAGGAGCTGCGAGTACCACATTCTGGATTTTCTCGCTTCAACGGCGGGGTTTTCGTAGAAGTCCTCAGTTTGTTTCCGAAACTGGGGGTGATCGATTATCTTTGCGAATGGCGCGAGATAATACTGAGCCGTAGAGATTAGGAATAGTGCATAATCTTTGGAGGGGAGGTCCGAGATGTCTGGCTACTCGTTGAGCCCTATTGGGTTCCAAGCAAGGTCGATGGTTTCAAGATCCCATGGCTGAATGGGAGGGTCCGGTTCTGATATTCGAGTGCCTAGAATGGCGAGAACCCGCCTACAAAAGGCCCAAGATGAAGTCGGTCCCATGTACCCTGCCAATGGTCAACTCCTGTACTAAGACGAAGGGGGCGGGGGGTTTAAGGTAACACAGACAATATTTTCCAAATGGGTCCCGAGCAAAAGTCTCTCCGTTGTCCACGAGAGGGTTGTTGCTGTATTCTTCAGGAGAGGCTTCGACTATTGTTGAACCATTAAGTTGGTTGTCAGTGGAGTGTGCGGGCTGGGCGAGCATGCTTGCTTCACAAACGTCAACCCCTCGGACAGCCTCGACGTATTGAATAGGAGAGATCACATACCGATTGCGGAGACGCTGTCATTCTGGGTTTCAACAGCCAGTAGCTCAGACTGCTGGGTTGAAGACGACCGGGACGACGTAGTATGTTGCCGATTTTCTGATCGTCTGGAGCGAGAAGTCTTGGCCTGAGGACCCTGACTGCCATTCCGGACACGCGATTCCAACTCTTGGAGATAGCTTATTACAAGTTTAGCCTATATGGTAGTATTGAATGAATGAGGATAATGGCTACCTTTGAGATATGGATACGCGGGGTCCCTCGGGCTTGAACACACAGGGCTGACGTTTCCTCTCGCATCGCGTGCATGGTACCGAACCCGAGCATCTTACCTTCATGGAATGACACCGAGTGCATCTATACCGCTGGAACTTAGTTGGTGAAGCCGATGGAAAAGGGTAGGTGTGGACTAATGTGAGATCTTACGCTCGCATGCATCGCCTGGACATCCTCCCGGTGGTTCCAAGCGGTTCTGGCATGATGCTTGGTGTGACCGATGGTATTAGTAAAAGATTATGGGTTCAACTGAGATGAACAGTCAGGTTCTAGAACGATTCCCTGAAGGAGCCTGGTTTCAATGGCTACAGAGCGAGGCCTTAAGAGTTGAGTCGTTCAAAATCTCAAGGGAAAGATAAGACCCAAATGGATACACATCATCAAGGCTACTGCATGGGGTCGAAACCCCGCGTTTTAGCCTATCTTGCTCGGGTCCAACCCGAAATCTCCGTTGGCACCTGAGATCGACCACTAACGTGTGCTTGTATGAGAATAATTTGAAAGCTCAGTGGCATCCCATGATACAATCACGTAAAAAAGCAGATACTAGATAGTAGAGAGTATTCCAATAACTACAATCAGCAATCTCAGTGCAGATTCGGCAAGGGTTCATCGCCAGAGAACATCGTCATTGTCGGCTTGTGGGGCCGACTTGATTTCTCCTTTACTTTGATAGAGTGGCTCCTGTGATCTTGCTCAAAATAATATCTTGCTCACGCAGCTATAAACATCCCACCTATAGTTTAGTTGGACCGGGCCCGTCCTCGGATTGAAAGTACTAAACAACTACTGCCCTATTACTACGCAATTTCAGCATGTTTCAATAGGTTCGACGGGATTATTCGTTGGACCATCAACTCCGTGGCTTAAGAGCTCATCACTGTCTGTTCACGCTAGTCTTCTCAACACTAAATGACCCCTTGTGCCTTATCATACATAGCATGGTGTCGGCCCCATAAGCCGATGAGCAAGGCATACGGGATCTCTTTGATATCGACGATCTTTGTCTGATGATTGCATATACGAGTAAACATTCTGGGTGCAGGAGGTACGGATCATCAACAAGTTGAATTCTTATACGTCTACTCTATCGAAGCAGAAAACCAGGGTAAATATCTTCACCCGGGTCAATATAGAAGCTCATCTTCCCGTACAGCTGAGCAGTACCTCTAACGCGCGGTATGCTGGCAGGAAACTCAGCAATGGGGCTCTGGGTCTCCTCTAAGATTTCTGCTTCAAATGAAGTGGCTATGATAGAACGGTGTCTTAATTTGTTTTTCTTAGGCCCGAGCCTTCCCTCCGCGTGCAAAACAGCCAGACGAGCACAGGATCCGGAGCCACATGGCGATCTGTCAATCTGTCCATCCGCAAACACGGTGACGTTTCTTTGTTTAACAACCAAGTCTTGGCCATCGATCTTCTCTTCTCCTTCCTCGTCGAAGAAGATGACACCGTAGCAGTCATATTTTCCGTAGTGAGCGCGGGTTCCGAGTGATGCTTTTATCTCTCTGCCAATTTTGATGAAATCGTTTACATTCTTCGGCTCAACCTTGAGGCCGACCTGATCGGCATCCAATGTTGCATAGACAGCTCCGCCAAAGGCCAGATCCACGCTTAGTTGCTTTTGGGAAGAGGGAATAGCCACTTGAAGACCTTTAGAGATTTGATAGCTGGCAACATTGATAAAGTCGGCGTGGATCGGCTTGCCATTCACAAGGTGCATAGTGGCAGCAACGCGGCCAGAGGGTACATCTATCACAACATCGTAGGTTCCATTCTCCGGGGCTTTGACGACGCCCTTGGCTATGGCCCAGTAGCCTAGGGCAATAGTGCCATGGCCACATGCAGTAGAGAAGCCATCCTTGTGCCAGAACAATACGCCGAAAGCGGCTCCTGGATCATTTGGGGGGGTGATAAAACCGCCGTACATATCGGCGTGGCCTCGAGGCTCGTGACATAGCGACTGTCTGAGCTGATCTAGTGGGTGTCCAGGCGTCGCGATGATGTCGAAGCGGCGTTGGGTTACAGTTGAGGCCATGGGGAGAAAGCCCGGTGGGAGTTTCTCTACCACTCGGAAAGGCTCGCCAGCAGTGTGCCAATCGTCAGTCTCGATCCAGTAGGGAGAAGAAGCCATTATGGAAGCCGTCTGCGGGAAATATTCCCTCAAAGTAGAATGAAGTGGACGGAGCTTTTTGAGTTGTAACTATTAGACGGCGAGCGGTTTAGTAACGAACAACTGTGTATCCGAGACAGAGGGGCTTGCGCATATTTTAGTTTCTGCAAAGCAACCTCCGATATCGTCTCATTCGTCCGCATTGTATGTCCATTCTCCGGAGAATGGCAGTAGTCATCAGGCGGCATCGGCATGTGGATCCTGTCTAAGCATGTACATCAGATATCGGCATGTGGGTGCCGACGTGGTTAAAACCACAGGTCGTGGTAAAGGAGCAACTGAGGACGGGTTTACAATTCTTAATCATGTGTCAAAGTTGTAAAGTGGTGTCGGCCAGCAGGTGCCACACCGACTCACACAAGTCTTAAACAAAAAAGTCCCATAATATCACAAATACACAATGCTCATTGTGGACGCAGCTCGCGAGATATTTCTCTGAATGAAATGATGCCGATTAAACGGTATTATGGCTGAATCAACCACACTCAAGCTGTGATATCAACTATCTAGATTTGTTTACCCTCAACTCTAGAAGTAAACTGAAGAACTACTTTCTCTATGATACTCTTCAAGCTTTGCTTGCTCATCATATCGAACGCCGTCATATAGGGTCATAATAACGCAAATACTTCGAATGGTATTTGGGTACAATCCAGACACAGGAGGCGACCGAAGTGTCACCTCTCTCTCACGGCTCTCTTTGTGGACTGATCTTCATCTCGGTTTTGCTATGATTTGCGCATGCCCTCGCGTCCTCCGTGTCTACCTTCCAGCGGGCAAATGGATATCCAACTCTCGCCTAGGACATCTCTACGATAGCTTCTCAGGATGGATGAGTAGTGGCTCACGAAAGTCCAAGTCTCGATCTCAAGGCGGCAAATCGTCACTACCTACCTAACAGGAACCAAACATTCTCCCCCACACAGATCATCCGGGTCCCTACTGACCTAACGATGTCCCGCTGGCCGAGCATCATTATGTGAAGAAATAAGGAGGATATCCCGAGCACGCTCTGTGTCCAGTTTATGGTTCTATGTCTTCGTACTATTTAGTGGGTAGTCAAAACTCGTTTCGGAATAAACATACTTGGCTGCAGACCCTTTATCGTTCGAATATCAAGTTAATACATCATCCAGTTCATCCTCATCCTAATCCCAAGGATACTAAGATGTGGTCAACACTATCTTAACAGTATTATTATGTATATATATCTAAGAACCACTGACCAAGTTCCCTGCAGCTGGCACCACAGTCTAGTCAAATCATCATGAACTCACCTTCGCCATCTTTCTAGGCCTTTGTAAAAGCTCGCTGCATAGCTTCACCATCACTTTTTGCCAGTTTGGCCAACCTGTGGGAGCGTGATCCCCAGGCAGCCAAGTGTCATTTCCTGTCTATCCAACACACACCCAGCCTCTTAATTTATCAAGAGAAATCATCATACCTACCTATCTGGGACCTTATGTTTCCCTCCGCTAGCAACTGCGTGCGTTGGACAAGCCATGATGCTTGAATAATAAGTGGGTGTTGAAGGATTCGGCCATTTCTCGATTCGATTAACCCCTGCGGAGACGGAGCCAGTTAGACTGAGGGAAAAATTCCAGAATCAATTGCAAATCTTCCAACGACCTTCATTCCAATCGGCAAGCTCGAGAATGTGGCCGCTATCTGTTTCCGCATTGTTAACTACTGTCCCTGTGCTAAGCTTCTTTGCTACGGCTCAAGCAGCGGCACATGACGGGGAGCAAGTTGTACTCAGCGCCCCTCGCCGACAACCTATCAGCCCAGGTCCCCATTTCAGCCGTCGTCAGCAATCGCCGGAGCTCTGTGACTCGGGTTCTCAACACTGGACCGGTACGGTGAATGTTAGTCCGGAGAAATCTATGTTTTTCTGTGCGTTTAGTTCCGATCCTTCTGTGGTGCAGCTAGTGTTATGCGCCGTAATTTCTGTCTCGCTAACGGATGTCGTAGGGTATTATGAAAGCCGAGACAGCCCTGAAACAGACCCAGTATTGCTTTGGATGAGCGGGTGAGTAGCAGGGCTACTGAGGAGAGAAAAGAAATTAGATCGACTGACCTGGGGATATCACGAATCAGAGGTCCCGGTGCGACGGGTGAACTGGGCCAGTTCAAAGGCATTGGTCCCTGTGCGGTGAACGAAGATGGAAACTCAACCCGACGCCTTGAATTCTCATGGATTGATCACGCCAATGTCGTGTTTATAGAGTAAGTAACCCAGGGCCCTAGTATTCTCCTTGGTTCTCACCAGTAGGACCACTTCTTCAGCCAACCCGTCGGTGTCGGTTTCTCCCAAATTTCTAATCGCAATCTGATCGCGACGAACCTGCATGACGGTGCAAGAGATGTATACACGTTCCTTTCCATTTTCACCCAGGACGTCTTCCCACAACTGGCCAATCGTACTTGGCACATCACAGGAGAGTCCATGGGTGGTCATTATGTCACATCCTACACAGAGTATATCCTGAAACAGGAACGCGAGCGAGCGCTCCAGGGTCTTGACATCGGCATTCATATTGACTCTGCTATTATAGTCGATGGCTATATTGACGGTGCCTATCAATACACAGGCTACTATGACTTCTTCTGTGAGGATTGGAGAGCCGACGGAAGACCATATCCCTTAATGAACGCGACCGCCTGTCAAGAAATGGGCGAGGCCGTGGCAGCTTGCGAGAAGAAAGGTGCAATGTGTCGAGACTCTTACGATGTCGATGTTTGTGCTTGGGCTATGCAGTCCTGTGATCGGACAGTTGGCAAAGACTTGGCGGATGGTGTTAAGCCAGGAGGATGGAACCCATATGACAGTAAGTATCTTGCAATTGATTCTCCCAATTTTGCAGTCCAAGATGTCTATGATAGTAGAACGCACCATGTCTTCTCATCAGAATAACTAATCACAGTCCAGGTCGATTTAAATGTCAAGAGCCCCCTCTGTGCTCAAACTTCAGCACAGACGAGACGCTTGTGTTCCTCAATCAACCATGGGTACAAGAGCAGTTGGGATTCCCCAACTACACATTCCAGTTGATCGATTTCGATACGAACCGCCGATGGGCTGCGGCAGGCGATCTGAACCTACCTGTCACCCGAGAGCTAACATGGCTGTTAGACAATTCCGATGTCCGTGTACTATTCTTTAATGGCAATAATGATATAATAATGTAAGACCAGCGATCTTAAGACTCGCAGTGTTTGAGCTAACCATTATCTGCGTATAAAGTAATACTCCTGGGCAAATGCGTCTTCTTGACGCACAGCCTTGGAAGGGACAGGCACGTTTCAGAAGCCTGAAATACCAAGATTGGTTTTATACAAATGGAAAACTTGACGAAGAAAACAGGGGGAAGAAAGGGGGGGCTTGGAAGGGAGATGAGAGGTTAAAAATCTACACTGTGGACGAAGCGGGCCATTTCTCTGCGATGAATCAACCTGAGGCTTTTGGGGCCGTAGTGGCAGACTGGCTTCAGAAGTAAACTTTGTGCAAGACATCGCGACCTATCTCAAGCTAGGCGGTCAAATGCCCCCCGTAAGTCTTGTGCACTTTGCTGCTTTGGTATGAACAACAAGTATTTTCAGTCATAAATATTCTTTTTTTGTTAGTAATTACTGAAGACAAAATAGCTGATAAACACTCTTCTTGTACAGGGAATGTTACAGAATGGCTACAATTCAACAACCAACGGCTCCTCTCCTCTGCGCTCTCTCCACCGATTTGTCGATTCTACTATGTGCTGACACCCTTTGAATAAAAATTTCCACTTCTTGAAAAAGGCTGGTGTGACCTCATAGCCTTCCATACGCCAAGGGTCGCTCCATACGAGGATTCCCAGCTCTCTCTGCTCACTCAGCGAGCATCCAGGGCCGACATTCCAATTTGCAGCCATCGAGAATGGAATCTCGGGCTTTGGCATTGAACCAAAGGGACTTGGGCGTGTCTTTTGTGTCTCTTTACATATGTAACCCACCAGATCACCCTGAAACTCCACAGTGTCAAGGGTGCATTGGGCCAGCGCAAGCAACACATTGTCGCGAAGTTGAGGATCGGGAATCAAGTCAACCCAGAAGTCGTGGGGAACTTGAAGCTGAAGCCTTGTGGGTTTCAAAGACTCCGGAGTTTCCCAGAGAGTAGACGATGGAGCAAACAATGGCATGTTCTCAAAATCGATTCCACAATGATCAGTGTCGATAAGATGATGAACAGATAGGATCATTGCATTCGTAGTGCTGGCTCGAACCAAGTTGTATTGGGCTAGGCTGAGGAGATGATCTGACGAGAGAGGGAATTTGACTCTTGCAGAGAAGTCTAAGCGGGAAAAACGATTCCACTCCGTACTTCTTACATATGTCTCTATATTCATGCGGGGCCCAAGTGGGAGTTGAAAGTCGTTTAAAAGGACAAGAGGAAAGGGCGCTTTGAAGGGTGGCAGTAGTGAGAAGGCATCACTGCGTTGCGAATGGATGTCTTGTAAGTTTGTGTGGTTGTCTTGATTTGCTTTTCGTCTACCTATTTCGGGCGTCAGCGTTTGCCGTTTAGCCCGAGCGGAAAGGCAAGTTGCATACGGTGAGCCCGGACATTCACTCTGTTCTGCAGCTTCCTTCGAGCTTTGGGATCCTTCAATCCGGTCCAGTCTTCTTCAGGACGCGAAAACTGCTACCGACAAAAAGGGTCGACTCAGCACAGGACTGTCAGGAGCTTCAACAGGGGTCTACCTACGTCATTCCACTGGGCCATGACCTCGCCTGGAACCAAATCAGACGTGAGGTTTGAGCAATGTGGGGTTCAAAATGCGGACTTTATATATCAGAGATGGGCTGGAACTTAATGAGAGAGGATGAAGGAAGCGTTACGCGCAGTTGAGATAATGAAGAGTCAAAACTTGAAGATGCAATCTGCTTACAAGGCGGAGTGCCAGAGAGCAAATGGGTCTATTTTAAATCAAGGATCAATTCAACGCTAATGCAGGCTGCTTACAGCGCTAAACCTCTTATGACAGTCTGAATTCCGGATCGACCGAGGATTGAGGACAAGAGTTGCAACTTACCCTAGAGACAGGTTCAGTTCAGTGACCTTCTCTTCATCATCTAGCTATGTCCTTGCAAGAAACACCTATTCTTCGCTGAGAGCAAAGTGATGATCTGGGCCTTGACATGAGTAGCCTTAGCGCTGTCATAATTGATCGTCTTCCAACGACAAAAGTTTCGATTTCCCTTTATCTTGTCCCACACGACTCTGAAGGTTTGATTCAACGTTAAGTCCAGGTCTTTATATAGTATACCTATAGCGAAGGCTATTCTCTTTGATGAGCCTATTACTGTTGTTTATTGAGGAAATGTTTCGTCATATACTTATAGCAAGTTTTTGAGACTGGACGGGATAATTTTGACTCGCCTGGGTGCCGAGAACAAGCGATGAAATGCCCCACTTTCGTCTTTTCCCCCAATTAAATAAATGCTAATGCAGGAAGCTTACAACGCTAAACCCATTTGATCTCAAACACCAACCCAACCTTGAGCATCATGATATTACACGCTGAAATGACGAAGTCCGCACTGTAATGATAGATCATGCATCGGATTTTGGCATCATGGACGACTTTTAAATCGGAGTGATACGATAATTTCTGCTCAAGTCCGCATCTATGTAAACTATAAAAAGATGGCGGCACGCCGAGTGCCACACTGCTTCCCAGCCATCTCAAATACTTCCAAGTCTCTTCTTACATTCACTGTAAGAAATTGAAGAGTACCGCGGATTTCCTTCCCATCCCTGATAGCTCCTCGTCGCGTCGATGGCTCCCACATACCAGGTCAGCGCGAAGCAATTTCTGCAATCGCAGCTATGTACAACGCTCCCTGTCCCTACAAAGTCCTTCGAAGGTCAGACAGTCATCATCACAGGCTCCAACACAGGCCTGGGCTTCGAAGCAGCGAAGCATATTGTTCGACTTAAGGCAGACAAGGTCATATTAGCTGTCCGCAGCGTATCAAAAGGAGAGACTGCCGCCAAGGCATTGCGATCTGGTTCAGCAGGCTCGGAAAAGTCTCCCACCAAGGTAGAGGTCTGGCAGCTTGACCTCTCTAGTTACGACTCTATTCAGGATTTCGCTTCTCGGGTCGACAGGGAGCTTGATAGACTGGATGTGGTCATTGAAAATGCAGGGCTACTGACGGAAAACTTCACGATGGCGGGGGACGACGAGTCCACCATCAGGGTCAATGTCCTCGGCACCATGTTCTTGGCTCTGCTACTTCTGCCCAAGCTTAGGGCCACAGCCAACAAGTGGGAAAAAGATGTTGTCCTTACTTTTACTGGTTCTTTCATGCACTGGTCTGCCAAGTTTGAAGAGCGAAAGGCCGACGACATCTTTCAGGAACTCGCTGATGAGACTAAGGCGACCATGTATGATTCTGAAAGGTAGGTTCGCCAAAGCTGACTCACAGTAATCGTTATTCTTACCGAACGTTTATAGATACTCGACCTCGAAACTCATGGAGCTTCTTGCATTCCGCGAATTGGCCGCCTGCCTAACACAACCAGACAAGGGTCACATCATTACTTCACTCTTGAACCCCGGGGGCGTGAAAACTGATATCATGAGGGACGACAACATGCGACTTGCGCAATGGTTGACGGTCAAAATTGGACGAGCATTTTTTCTACGTTCGACCGAGGAAGGAAGCAGAACGCTTGTCCATGCGGCTCAAGGGGGGCGGGACACGGATCGGCAATATCTTGACGACTGCAAGCCTGCGCCGCCTCATTTGTGAGTGATACCAAAAAGCTGCCCAAACAATTATCGAAGCTCATCATACTAATCGTTCTTCCTCAGCCTTTCACCCTTTGTGCGTTCAGATGAAGGTCAAGCGACGCAGAAGAAGGTCTGGCAGCAAATGCTTGCTAGGTTTGAAGATATCAAGCCAGGCATTACAATGAATTTGTAGAGGCATATATGCCGAAATCCACAAGATGAGAATTAGGAGAGGCTAATTCATAGTGTTCATATTAGAATAAAAGGGAGTCCTGCACCGCAACTTGGCTTGTATTTCTGTTTGTGATATGTTTTGAACTTCTCGAGTTTCTGCGGTAGCCGTGTCACTTAAACCAACGTCACCCTCCTCGGCCTCGCCCCTGGGTCAAAAGTCCCCTCGCTGTTCGTCAGCCGCCCCAGGAACCGAAACTTACCATCTGCCTCTGGGCGCAGTATAACCGCACTGCTCATGCCGTTGGGCTTGAAGATATGATCCCCCTTCTGGGGCTGCAGATGGTCGAGCCACAGGTAATCGTGAAAGGAGAACATCTTGCCCCTGCTAGACATCAGAGTGGACCACGCAAAGGCGGCAATGTCCCTCCAGCCTGCGAGAGCGTAGGCTTCAAACTCCGGGCCCCGGGAGCAGAACTCACGCATCTGGGACAGATCCATGGTCTGTGCCAGGGTAAAGAGGTCCTTGTTGTACGGCGTCTTGGCGCTGAACTTGAACATTGGGTGGCTGGTCCCCGTGCGGGTCATGCTCTGCCATTCGCCTGTGCCCATGAAGAACCTCGTGCCCTCGATAGGCGAAAACATGCGCTCTCTGAGCTGACGCATCGTGTCGCCGAGGTCCATGGACGTCCCCACGAGATGCAGGTCCTTCGGCCCTGACACGGTCGGAGGGCGCTCCAGACGGTCGACGCAGACGCCGTAGTCGAAACCCGTGATGGACATCTCGCGCGAGTCGGCCGAGAAGAACGGGAAGGCGTTCGATCCTCCCACCTCTATGTTCTGCTCACGCAGGCCAATGGCCGGAACCCACGACGGCACCCCAGGGAGAGGCTCCGTGTACCCCTCCAGGAGGGCCAAGCTGCCGGTGGAGTGGAAGATGAACTGGGCGTACGTCCAGTACACCTCCTCGGAGGGCCTGTTGTAGTCCGGATACAGCTCCTTCGGCAGATCGTGCAGGGGCACCATGGCGAGCAGGCCGTGAATCTTATCCACAGCGTCGCGGCACGCGAGGGCCGAGAAGTCCTGGATGACGTCTAGCAACCGCCAACAGGCTTCTCTGGGGTACGTCGAAACCAGCTGGTTCCTTAGCGACGATATACCAAGGAACGACGTGGGAGGACGCCCGTATACTTCCACGGACTCCTCTGGTTCAAGCCGGTCCTTGTGGGTGAACTCGTCCCAGCTCAAAACGTGTCGGCTCGCCAGGATGACGGGCCCATTCTTTGCAAGGACGGCCTCCTGAGCGGTCCAGAGCCTCTGGAAGTAGCTACAGTGTCGAAGAGCCGCTGCCACGGCGAAGTGCATGAGTTGTTGCTTCCGAGGTTTTCCAGTCGGCCGTCGACTCAGCCGCTGGATTGGAAACTTAGGGCTGCGGGCGTACAGCATGTATCTCTCGAGGGCCTCTTCCCTGAGCTCCTCGCTCATCGGGCAATCCTCTTCGTCAAAGCCCATCCATGAATACCTCTCGTCGTCGATCCAGGGTTTCAGAAAGTCCGGCGGGATAGGCATGACCCCGAGCCAAACGAGAACCTCATCAGCCGTGCTATAGATCTGATGCATGTTGGGCACCTGCTTTGCCTTTTCGTCCATATCCTCCTGGTTGATGCAGATGGCGTCCACCCATATAGGCAACTTGGGGAGCGTCTCAGCTTCAAACATGGACTCTCGCATCTGTCGTAGCCCCTCGTACAGGTTCACAGTCACCTCAAAGTCGCAGTCATTCAGGCGGATTGCGCGACGGACGTTATCGTCACCCCAGACGTAGGACAGCGCCATGAGGCCACGCGTATACGCGTTGACATTGCCCACCTCGACGTCACATTCTATGGTCGAGTCCCATGGTCCCGGTCTGATAGTCACGAGGCGGATCGAGCCATCGTTGATGGGCTGATAAGCAAAGGGTTTGGGGAGCTTCATTTCAAGGAAAAAAGCTAAAGTCTAACCAGAATCCCGAGCTGCGACTCTCGGAGGAAGCAGCAGACAAGATTGCTGAATGATAGCTGAGTAGGTGGTTGTCACATCATGTCAGCCTTGGACCCAAAAACCCCGCTGGGGATGCTTACTGTGCATACGTAATTTACTGCACATTGGCTGGCCGAGCCCAATATGCATCACAATGCGCTAAACTCCGAATGCCACTTTGGCTTGTATAACATGTGAGTCGTGACGATCGGGTCTTTTCCCAAGGAATAAACCAGAAAGCGTCGGAGTTTATGTTGGCAAGAAGAACTATATGCTATATAGGCATTGGTGGGTATTGCGTCCAGTCTAAAAATGATCAAAGCTGCTTTGATGTAATTAAGCATATAAATAGTTATCGGGCTAATTCCTCCAGCTCTAGAGAAGAATAATATATATATAGAAGTAGGCTCACTCGTTCTCGAGTGAGCGCTTCACTATAGGCTCGCTGGGTTCGTTGTAAGCTTTGATTATCCTTCGATACTATAGAAGTCAGCGATACTTCGGTTTCGGTTTTGGGACGTGTGTTCGATGTTTTATAACGATCAGACTTCTTATGATTGCTGATTCTCTAACATCTGGCTGAATTTTTCGCGTAGTTGACGGGCTAGAGCTATTGACTTGCCTTGAGGGATCAAGAGTTTTTCTCTCTCCGTCCATCAGTCTACAAAACTGGTGATCTAGGAAAGACCAGCTTACTATTCTTCCTCTGGCTGATTCGCCTTTCGAGATAATGATACTAATGCTCGTCCCGGTTGTTGTCTGGACCCGCCGGATCTACTGTATCTTCATTCCCCGCTAAATACTTAGCTAAGCGCTCGCTGAGATTTTTTCCTTTAGAAAGGCCAAACTCAAAAGACACATCTTGGGAATTGGACATTTCCCACGGGCATGATCTGCCTGTGAGCGTGGCCATGCCTCGTAAGGTGAGAAAATACACGTCGGAGATTGGATCATTTCTGTGCTGGCCTCGTCATTGCAATCAAATAATGAAAAGCGAGCTCACTGACATTCCTGCCTCAGCAAAAAACAGCCGAATCTGTCATCCAGGATCGCGAGAATCAACGCCGGTCCCGCGCGCGCCGCCGCGACTACGTCCAATACCTGGAGGCGCGTGTCCGAGAGTACGAGAAGACGGGCGCGCAGGCGACGATTGAAATGCAGCAGGCTGCTCGCGCCGTCCAAGCCGAGAACAAGTCGCTGCGCGCGATTCTCGCCTCTTACGGGCTTTCGCCTGCTGCCATCCAGATGAAAATCGACCAAGACGCACAACGGGCAGAGCCTCCTTCTTCCACCTCTGACTTGCAAGTGCATCCGGAGCCCACCACACCATTGGAGAAACCGTGCGAGGAGGCCGCCGCCATCCTTGCGCAGCTAGGGAATGGATCCGACTCTACGTCGATTCGCAACTTGCTCGGCTGTGTTGGAGAGGGGAAGTGCTTTGTCAGGAATACAGAACTGATGCAGATAATGGAAGAGGAAACACAACGGTGAAGAATTTGACCTTGTTGGGGTCATTCCAGGCATGAGTATTCCATCACAATAGTTGATCAGGCCGCTGCGTAATTCAAATGCAATTCACGAAGAGTAGCGTAGTGAAGTAATCCTTGATAGCGCTTCGTGACCTGAATCAGTGATGAAATTGAAAAACAATTGATTCTCTTTGACACCTCATCTCCCAGATCAATAGCGCATATTCACGGGGAAGATGACAATTCAAGCCAATTGATTGGATATGTAGCAATGATCCCCGTGCTCCTTCGCGCTGAGCCTCAACGAGAAACTCTATCCGATGCGCAAGGATGAGGCCATCTTACTTGAGCGACCAACAATTGCTGCACTTGGATGCAGAATGGAACGCTGCTGCTGATTTGACCTTCCAGCCCTGTATATGTGAATCAGGATAGGCAACCGTCAGCGAGGCGTGGGTCTATCAGGGGCTAGAATGCAGTAAGCAACTCGACGGACTCATGAGAACACTTGACTAAATCGAGTTTCCCCAGCTTCTTATCAAGGGGAACCCCACCGGGACCGCCTCTCCGATGATAATCCATTGGCGAGAGCCAATCAGCGGTATCATTCACTTGCCTATCAGGCAGGCCACTGGCAGTTCGACTTTAGAAGTGGCCTGGCTGTCGAGCTAACTTATCTACGGGGGCTGCCTCGGAGTCTGATGCCATGTTTACCCCCAGGCCTCCTGTAGGTGTCCCCGGCTCGTGATCATGTACGTCTGGGTATTTTGCCAGGCTCAGTGACTGAATGTGACGTAGAATCATATATAAATGCTTACTCCCCGGCATACCGGAAATCTCAAGCAACCTAAGCAACCAATCCTTCTCCCATCATTTTCCCATCTCAACCCCTGCCACTGTGCGGCATCAGGACTTCCTGAAACGGTACTGATCAACATGCCTTCATCTGAAGATGTTGAGTCTACCAAGAAGACTGTGCCCGTCCATGAACATAATTTTGATGCAAACAACGGCGTTTTGGTCAGCGGAGAGCTGGCCATCGACCGACAGTATGGCCGTACAAAGCGTGGCCTGTCTCCCCGCCATGTGCAGCTCATGACTATAGGCGGCTCAATCGGCACCGGCCTCTTTGTCGGTATTGGCGGCTCCCTCTCTCGGGCTGGCCCTCTTTCTCTATTCCTCGGATACATCATTTGGGGCGTCTTCTTCATCTGGCCCTGCATGCTTTCTGTTGCCGAGATGTGTGCATACTTGCCCATCCGCGGTTCCATCTTCGAACTGGCCGGACGCTACGTTGATCCCGCGCTTGGATTCGCCCTAGGCTGGCTGTATTTCTTTGCCGGCGTGATGCTTGTCTGTGCAGAATATAGCGCTGTGGCGACTGTGATGGGGTTCTGGCTCCCTAATGTGAATCCTGCCGCGTGGATTGCCATGTCCATGGTGGTTTGCGTGCTTCTGAATGTCGTTGCTGTCAAGTATGAGAACAAGTCTTTTCTTTTTGACTCCCACCCACCGCTTGCTAACTTTTCCAATTTAGGTACTACGGCGAAGCAGAATTCGTTATGGCGTCGCTAAAGATCTTGCTCCTGATTGGCTTGGTTCTCTTGACCATTGTGACGATGTGCGGTGGCAACCCGAAAGGCGATAGATATGGCTTCACCCACTGGACCAACGGACAAGCAATGCTGAGCTACTACGCCCCTGGTGCTCTTGGCCGGTTTTTGGCCTGGTGGAAGGTGGTTATGTACGCCGCTTTCACCATCGCCGGCCCGGATATGATTGCCATCTCCGCTGGTGAGATGCAGAATCCACGCCGAACGATTCCTCGAGTCGCAAAACTTGTTTTCTGGCGACTTGTCGGCTTCTACGTCGTTGGTGTTGTGGCCGTGGGTACTATTTGCAGTGCTTCTGACCCAAGGCTCCTTGGGGCCCTCAAGGATGGATCTGTCGGGTCTGCCGCCTCTCCCTGGGTCATTGGTATTCAAAACCTGGGAATCGAAGGACTGCCGTCATTGATTAATTTTCTCATCTTGAGCTCTGGGCTCTCGTGTGGCAATGCCTACCTATATTCCTCCAGTCGCACCCTATATGGTTTGGCAAGAGGTAAGTACCTTACCTGTCGCACTTGATAGTATCGCATGCTGACATACTTTCCATCAAGATGGCCATGCTCCCAAGTTCCTCCAACGATGCACAAAGACGGGTGTCCCGATCTGGGCCGTCACGGTTGTCAGCACCATCAGCCTAATCACCTTCCTGAGCGCTTCCAACGCAGCCATCGAAGTCTTCTTTTGGTTCGTCGATCTCACCACCACGGCCCTGGTCCTCACATACAGCCTGATGCTTGTGACGTTCCTGGGATGGTACCGTGCCAAGAAGGCGCAGCGCCTCTCCAACTCGGAGTTGCATTATGTCGCCCCGCTCAACCCATACGCTGCGTCGGTGGCCCTCGGCATGGGAATTGCGGCCATCATCTTCATTGGTTTTGACACGTTCCAGCCATTCAAAGTACAAAGCTTCGTCACAAGCTACTTTGCTGTGCCCTATGCCCTCGTTTTCTTCGTGGGCGGGAAGATTTTCAAGAAGACGAAATTTGTCGACCCTGCGTCCGCTGATCTGATTAGTGGAAAGAGGGAGGTAGATGCAGAGTGTCGAGAATGGGAGGATGGTGGCATTGAAGAAAACTGGAGGCGCGAGCTTGCGGCTATGTCTTTTTGGAAACGATGCTGGGAAAGGATTTGGTAAGACTAAGAGCGAGGTGAACACACATACTCCATTAGGGTCTTCGAAAACACTCTGCTCAAGGCTTAGGCAACTGGGCATTATCTTAGCCGATACTCTTATTCTCAAAACATTTATACTTAAATTTGATCCAAAATCGAGGGCCACAGAACAAAACCAAGACGCTTCACATCAATATGTGGCAGCATTTCAACGCAATCAAAAGGCCTCACCAAGCTGAATTAGTGATAATTTACTCGCATTTCCAAGTATTTTGTTCATCGCGAATAAGAGCATGGCTTTGTGCACAAGCTAGAAACTGCTCAGGAACGTCATAGACAGAACTGCAAGCCGAAAAGGTTGTGGAGTTCAACATAAAACGGAAACACTCAGCGAGCAAGAAATGCAAGGGGTGACTCAATAGTGGGCCGAGTTGAAGATTAGCAGGGTAGTGTGAACTCTGTCCACCCAAGTGCCAGCCTAAGATAGAAAGTTATCAAGGGCTAAGAGCCAACAGGCAAGTGATAGTACATTTGGGTATGGAAGACGGTTCTATACTAATTCAATTTAACTATTTATCGCATCCATTGTGGGCCTTCTTTTTAAACGAATGATCCGGAGTCGCTTGGCTCCTATGTAATCGACCAGCTACTCCCGGCCAGTGTAACCACGCTTGGAACCAGCCAAACTAGCTTTGATATCATAGGTCCAACGACATTTTAATCCGTGTCAGTCTTGGCAAAGGGGGATAGAATCTTCATTTTGGGAGGCTAAAATTCACCTTGTTACGGGTGAAAGCTGCCGTGTCCAAGTTAATCTACATCCATGCTTGGGTCCACGAGAGGCCCTCCAAAAAAGGTTGAACTCCGTGAGCGTGTGAAGAGCGAAGCCTTCATTTATGTACTTTTAGCTTATATATTCTCTCCTAGTGTCATTCTATAGAACTATTTATCGTATTCCAGTGTAATTTTACTTCCCATAGCCCATCTCCCCTCCTTGCATTTGATATCTTGATTAACCAATATAAGGAGTATAGGGTAACCGAGACAAAAAAAAAAAAGTCAATCCAACTCCACATTTGGCACAGAGGGAATGTGTCAGTGCCTTCTTCTGATTGGTCAAGCCGCTCAGCCGAATGGCCACCCTCCTGGGACACCTAAAACAGCCAGGGCCGGTATTTCTTTCAGTCAAACCTGAAATCTGGTGATACTTTTTCCAAATTTTCTCATAGCACCTAATAGGTTGCAAATCTTTGGGAACTATTAGCCTCTGGCCAAATTTACCACTGTAGTACCACTCAAACATACGATGACGGTTCACACGCTTAGTCCCGAAGCCCAGCAAGGTGGCAAGCAAGATGAAAGCCACGTGAAGGAAACCGAAGCAGAATTCAACGGAGAATCCCCCACACGAGATGTAGAAGCTCCAGGCCTAGAGCCCAGAGAGACTGATACTTCATCGACCTTTAAGGCCCTCGGCTGGCTGGACCGCCTGCTCGCTTTATGGATATTCCTTGCTATGGCGGTTGGAATCATTCTGGGCAACTTTGTGCCGAATGTTGGGTCAGCCCTTAAGAAAGGCGAATTGGTAGGCGTGTCTGTGCCGATAGGTTGGCTATTCCCCTGATCTCTTCCTTTATGATGCCCCTCACTAACCGTAGCACGACAGCTGTGGGATTGCTTGTCATGATGTATCCCATTCTGTGCAAAGTCCGTTACGAAGCACTCCCCCAGATCTTCAAGGAGCATGACGTTTGGGTCCAGCTACTGTTCAGCGTTATTATGAATTGGATTGTTGCTCCATTCTTGATGGTAAGCACAGCTGCTTTCGACTTCGTCTTCCGTTTCTGACATTTCCCTCGCAGTTGGGACTGGCATGGGCATTCCTACCCGACAAAGAGGACCTGCGCGAAGGACTTATATTAGTCGGCCTTGCTAGGTGTATTGCTATGGTATGTGAATCCCAATTTGTGGCTGGAGCAGAGCTAACTCGCCCATAACAGGTACTGATCTGGAATGGGTTGGCTGGTGGCAATGCGGAATATTGTGCCATTCTGGTAGCTGTCAACTCGGTCCTGCAAATGGTCCTTTATGCTCCCATGGCAGTGTTCTTTTTGAACGTCATCAGCCACAGCTCCCACGACGCCTCGATTTCTTACTCGGTAGTTGCAACCAGTGTTGCAATCTTTCTCGGCATACCGCTTGGAGCTGCGGTCATAACGAGATTCACCCTCCGAGCTCTCGTCGGCAAAGACTGGTACGATCAAAAGTTTATTCGCTACCTGTCTCCATGGTCACTGATTGGCCTCCTCTACACTATCCTTGTCCTCTTCGCCTCACAAGGAAAGCATGTCGTGGAACAAATCGTCTCGGTGGTGCGAATAGCAGCACCGCTCATCGTTTACTTCGTGGTCATCTTCTTCGCCTCGCTATTCATTGCTCGTCGGATGGGCTTCAGCTACGCCTACTCGGCTACCCAGAGCTTTACGGCGGCGAGCAACAATTTCGAGTTGGCAATCGCCGTTGCGGTTGCGACGTTTGGACCGGACAGTATGCAGGCTCTGGCTGCTACGGTTGGCCCACTGATCGAAGTTCCGGTGTTGATCGGGCTTGTCTACCTGGTGCGATGGGTGTCGAAGCGTCTATTCCGAGAGAATTAGATCGGGCACAAGCTTGAAAGAAGATGATAAGATTGGTTAGATAGACAGTATCTGTTAGTAGACTACCTTTATCGCTATTTAGTGATAATGAAAGAGGAGAGGAAAGCAAACGGCCGAAGATGAAGAAAGATTGAGGCTTGGATGTAGATAAATCCCATCCCGCACATTCAACGATTCACGTGAAGCTTGCTGATGTGGGTGTTTCTACAATTAAGCGGAAAGTTGAGATATTGAACGTGATTATTGATTTGCTCGCTGTTAAACAAAGACCCTCCAAAGCGCGCAGTCGCTGATGCAATGCCAACTTTTATTTCATTTTATTCATAACTCATTCCTGTCGTCAACCTCATAATGAAGACCTTGTCGAAACCAAAGGGACAAATGAGAGGAGATCAAAAGAACGGAAAAACTAGGCTTAGGGCTAGAGAATCATACAATGCAAGTAAGATCAGGAAAGAGACGGAGGGATGCGAAGGGTATTAACAAAAAAGATGTGATGCGCTGAATGCCGAGTAAAGAGCCAAGGGCTGGTGTCTGAAGGTTCCAACGTGGAGAGCCAAATGGACCGGTCTAGTAGTTGGCTGTGTAGCAAGGAAAATCTAGACAAGAGCCAGGAGATCAGATCAAGTATCCGAGACCTCACAGCAGACCTGAATGCCTCGTACCCATGGGCTCTTTAAGAGCTGGGAGACAGTGATACGACGAGACGGTCTGGGGTCTAGAATGCAATAAAGGACATTGCGGCAATGTTCCTATGAAGAGAGATGGTTAGTTTAGAAGCTCATATCAGTGAAGGAAGTGGATGGTCGACTCACTTGCGGTAAAGACTCTATGGGGGCGAAACCATCCTCGCCACGTCGATCCTCCAGGTATTTCGTGTATATGCTGTCTTCGTCCTTCTGTGCAATGTTCCAAAGAAGTTTGCCTGTAGCCATGGCCATGTAGATAATCCCACACGCCCAGATATCCAGAGCACGACCATCAAATTCCTCTTGTAGGAATGCCTCGGGTGCAATGTATGGCTCCGAGCCGCAGAGCCCAGACACTGGCCGGGCTTCCGTCTCCCACGCTAAACGAATACATTCGCTGCAATCAAAGTCGCTGATCTTGAGCTGGCCATTCCTGGTGAGCAGCAGATTTTCGGGTTTGAGATCGCGATGGGATACACCCATCTCATGCAAGTACTCGACTCCGTATATCAACTGCTTGAAGAAGCAATCTGCCTCCTGCTCCTCCAGCCTCCCCGCGGTGTGAACCAGCATGTATAGATCGCCGCCTGCACAAAACTCCATTGCCTTGCAGTAGTCATCGCTTGGGCCCTTGAACAACCCCAGTGTGCGGACCACATTTTCGTGATCGAGCTGCTTTGACATGGCGAACTCGGCCTGTAACCTCTTGCTGTACTTTTCCTTGGGCTCCGTCGGAACGCGCCGGACGCATTTGATGGCATGCAGCGCGTCGCTGCCGGTGCTGTGAGTCTTTTTGCGCGAGAGCCACACGGTGCCGGTCGCGCCGCTGCCAACCACCTCCAGGCATCTGCCGTACTTCTCGACCATGGTGTCCACCGAGTTGAGTGCTTCCTTCTCCGATGTCTGTTTGCCTCCCCCGAGGAACTTCTTCCATGAGTTGGCCCGGTCTTGGTAGCCTTTGGGCTCGATATAATGCGCATGGCCACCTGGTAGCTGGGGCCGTATGGAGAATCGCTTTGACGGTGTGTCCGGGACTTTAGCCCGCTTGAGGCCTTTTAAACCCATATTGTATGAAATGCTTGGCGATTTGTCGCCACGAAATCATGAGACGTGAGGAGGCGAGGATAATGAGTGTGTGAGATAGGGCGAGGCTGTGTTTGGTTCACCGACAGCTGATGCGCATGAGCTGGCCTGCCAAGCCTTGACGCGTAAACAGAGCGCAGAGGACGGTCACTGCGCGTGAAGCTGCGGGGAAAGACGTGCTCGTTTGCCGGTCTCAGAATGGGCTTCGCTGCCAAGAGAGATGCATGCAAGACACATCGTCCCACCCTGTTGCGGGCAGCGAGGGTGTGGCGAGGGAATAAGGCATCGTGATGATTCTTCAGGTGACTTTCAAATTGCCAGTTGGCACAGGCCACAGATTATGTAGTTAACGGGGTCTTATGTAACTATGCAAGTACGGTTACGATTAGCCACCAAATGAAACACTGCCAATCCGTCAAATTAATCACTCATGTAAACAGAAATTTCTCTTATTTTTAGTCTTGCAGCTCCCACTTCTTTCACCGTCTTCTGGTGGCTGATGCATGCACACTCTGGACTGACATGCAAGCAAGGTGATGTCATGTGCTGACAACCAACTGCTTGAATCAAGGACAAATATGCACGACCGCAGTTGTTACACACCGCATGCAGAAGCTGAGAACGCGGTTATAAGGCAGCCGGCTAAATAGCAATGAAATCTTGGTGGGAGAGAATCGCTTTGTGATATTTTCATCGTGCCACAAGACACTAGCAGAGCACAGTTGTCGAGAACAAACCTTCGGCCTGTCTATGGTGTGAGATCATGACTGCTTCTGAGACTCGCCAAGAGAAATAATACGCTGGCAATCGACGATAATAGAATGAGATCACATGTTTGTTCTCTGGATTGTTTGTCTTCACTGTCGCTCCACTTGCGACTGGCACTGAAGGGAGTTTTGATTGGATATATTCACAATGCTGTACCCCTCTCGTTCCCTCCATAACTGCAACGCGGGAGGCCTCTAGAATTATTCTACTATCTGTCACTATGGTGAGCATTAACTCACAAAAAGCAAATATATATATATGTAGACACTTGCCAGTTATTTCGCTGCTTGGGCTTCAGGATCTTCGTAACCCTTATAGAAAGGATATCAGGATTCAAGTCTCTGTGAAGATTTATTCATTCATTATAGGTTACTTATCTCAACCGGTGCCATTTGAGTAGAAGGAAGTCAACAGTGGTGGCCATCATAAATACAATGCCGCAGTTTTCAAAGGGTGCGCTAATATCAGCTTGGAATTACTCTGAGAAGTGACTTTCATATATTTGTCAGTATCGCAATACATGTGTCTCTCTATCTAGGATATCCAATATAACAATGAGAGAGCCCCATTTATTTCCTGCCAATGAAGATAGTAAGCTTGCTGGGCTTGGGGGTCGTGAGAAGGCCAGATGCGTCCTTGCCACCAGTCGGAAGAACATCATCATAAGGAAAAGTGTATCCCTTCCCGTCTGACTGATGGGCATGAACAATGCGGCTGTAGTGGTTGGTTGGGCTGACGGTATAGTATTTATCCAGGCCCAGATTCGGCTGCACATTACCGCCGTTAAGAAGGAACGTAGAACGGTGGAAGGCTGCACAGAGACGAGGAATGATGGCCTCAGCGACCTTGTTGTCTCCCGCATTCAGCTTGAAGGGACCATTGTCGCAACTCCAGATATCGTTGATCGTGGGCTTAGCAAAGTTACGGTTGGAACCATCGCACTTCATGACGTTGCTGCTCACGCGGCATTTGACCTTGCCAGCGCTCATCTGAGTGGCAACAGTCAGAGATTCCCCGGTATACTTGGTCCAGACCTTGTTGATATAGTCTTGGTAGTAGTTGCCAAAAGCAGTCGGCTTATTCACTCTGAAGCTATTTGGGGACAAGATACGGATAGGGCCGTTCGAGCCAGCCTGACACAAGCCACCCCAGGGACGTCCATCTTTCTGTGCCTGTTCCTTGAGCTTGGCACACGCGTTTTTAACGACATTTGGACCGACACCATAGGCGGAAAGCTTGCCACCGCCCTGTTTGCCAAGTTCAATGCCAAGAGGAAGGCCGACAAAATCGACGTAGCTAAGGTTAACCCAGGCACTCCCGTCGGCGTTGAGGGTCAGCTCGACAAAACCCCAGTTGACTCCGGCGCTGGGGTCGGTAGGGTTCTTCTCGTCAGGCTGAACGAGTCCAGCACCGCTGGGAACGCGGACAACGCCGAACTTGAGAGCACCGGCGGAGAAATACACGCGGCCGGAGCGTAGGGCCTTGAGAACCTTCATGTTGATACGCTCACCGGCCTTGACCGGGATTTTGATCTTGTTCTGGTCGATCTGGACGGGGGTCGAGGACGTAGTACTGGGGTAGAAGAGAGATCCATCACTACGCACGAAGACGACGCGGTTGCTGCTGTCGAGGCCCGTGACATATGCATTCACAGCGGCGCCGAGATTGTTGACGAACTCAAGGGGAAGTTGTGCGGCGGCAGCGGCAGAGATACGGATCTGGCTCTGGTCATTGTTGTCTGAGGGTGGAACCACGAGTTCTTCTCCCTGGTAAGTACCGTTGAGGGTGTTCTCTTCTGTGATCACTAGAGATTCGAAATCTCCGGGCGTGATCTCGGTAAAGTTCTCCTCATCAGCCCGGATCTCGTTCGGACTAAGCGGGATAAGAGCTGCAGAAGCAGCGGTGGCTAAGGCCAGAAGGCCTAGAGTAAGACGAGGAGCTCGCATTGTAAGATAATATAGTATCCAATGGTAAGTGGTTAAGGGGTTGTGGGATCGTCTGAAGATGAGTGAGATACCAAATAAAATCTGATGGTCTTCAGCCTTTTATAATTCAGAAATTGTCATCCCAACTTGCATATTACGATTTATTTGAACTGCGCCGATATCACCAAAGTCCCATGCAAGATCTGACCACGGCGAGGTTCAAAGTTCTTAATATCCGAGATGGGTGTGCTCCGAGGATTGTTTTGTCAGTGGTGCAACCAAAGGACCCTTATTCCACAGCCTCGCCAGACTCATCTCGTTGATAATTTTTGATACGAGAAGGAACAGGTGATGAAAATACCCAATTGAGCTATATCCGAGCACGTTACCTGCTTGTTTGGCCTGGCCTGGATTGTATTCTTAGACAGCGGCAGGCAAAGAAGGCAGTTGTGGCAAGTGGGACGCACATCCATCCCCTGGCACTGGTCAGATTCTTACTGTCGGTATGCTCTTTAGTCTGGCCCCTCTGGAATGATGACAATCCTAAGCAAATGTATTACGGGCGGTTGTGCTGGTAGCCACTCACTAGAATGAGAACTGCACCGGGTGATCAAATAAAGGCCAGACACTCTGAAACAATGTTTCTCGGGGCTCTCTATGATAGCGTTGAGGAAGCGATAATAGGTTGGTTAAAGGCAATCCCCGAGATTATATCTCCATGTGGCCCCAGCCGTTAATGTAAGACCACTTAGACCTTCGGCTTCCCACAGAGGTGTGCGGTCAGCGGAGGTTGTTCATGTGATTGCCAGTCTCTTTACCAGAAGGAGCCAGTCAAGGCACTGTTTCTTCTTGTCATCAGACTTTGGGGAAGTTCTTAACATTTAATTTCCTCTGTCTTTAAAAATAGCGACAAGAAGTAGCTGTTGTAATTGGGGAAAATTTACCTAGATACTAGTAATGAAAGATGCCATAGGTTGTAAGTGCCTACTTTTTCACTCCCTAGCTCGTGATTTCTATTGTACCAGACCAAGATCCTTCAGCTTTGAGGAAAACAAGAGCTCTAAGGTCCAGTTCAAGATGCGATTTAAGTATTCCCAAAACCATATCCGTGCTCTCTTCGCACATATTCTAAGATATCCTCGGCTCCGCTGGCCGCTGCGAAATCCAGCGCGGAGCGGTGTTGATCATCCTCGGCCAGGATATCAAGCCCTTTGCCCATCAAATAACGGAACCTTCCCAAGCCTCTCCCCTCCTGATATCTCACGTCGTCACCTCGGCCTGCCGCAAGATGGAGCAAAGATTGTCCCCGGGTGCTAAGGTGAGTCCAGTCCACGCCAACTTGGCCAAACAGATCCATCACAATGCCTTGCAATCTTACAGCAGCCTCGCCCTTCCTCTTGTCTTTAAGATTATCGGCGGCGATATAAGCCTCGCCACGTAGTGATGAATCAACCTCACTTTGAGGTATTTTGACCTTCACGATGCCTCTGCGTATGAACCGGAATGCTGGTGTCTCTCCAGCCCGGTCCTTTGCGTTAATATCGGCTCCACGAGCAAGGAACTTGTGCAATAGCTCCTGTCTTCTTCCACACACAGCAGCCACGTCGTCGCCTCCCTTGGCGTCAATCTGCCACCGGCCTCCGAACAGGAGGTGCAAAGGTGTTTCGCCTGACTCCAGATTCGGGGCTGTGACATCAGCGCCATTCTCCAGGAGGGCATCGATGCCTTCCCCAAGTTCACGCCCCCTGCCAGCTTGTCCAAGAGCACATAGAAGAGGAGTTCTTCCATGTTTGTCTGCCTGGAGCAGAAGATCAGGAGCCAGCTGTATGAGGCGGATGAGGAATTCTCTCTGTCTAGCCACATCGGAACAACCAATATCCCCGTGAATACCCTTTGCCATGAAATAAAAATGAGAGCATAAATGATGAAGGGCATTCTTCCTTTGATGATCCCGTGCCGTAACTGAAGCACCTCTTTCGAGAAGCACCTCGGCGACAGACACATCTACAAGCGCGCATGCTCGCAAAAACAGCGTCGCGCCAGTTGCATCTGTTGCCTCGATATCTAGGCTGGGGTGCTTGAGCATCAGGTCTAGGTATGGTTTTTCACCGTTCAACGCTCGACCGTTATCTCCTCTCGTTTCTAGTATGCGGTGTACCAGTGTTTTACACTCGTATCTACTATTGAGATCGGCGCCATGTTCTAGCAAGAGGCTGAGCATTCGTTTGCCAATAGCCACTTGGTAATCATTCTGCCTCCTAAAGTCACGCGTGACTAAATAGTCGATCACGTAAAACTCACTGTTCGTGTTGGGGTCATGTCTTGCAGGTCTCACGCTTCTTTTATCAGCCGAGGTCCATGCCAGAACTTCCTTGCCCGCTTTGCGCAAATTGGCGTTTACCTGACCTGTTGAAAGTATTCGACGGAGGGTTTCTACATCTCCTTCGTCGATGACATCTAAAAGCTTCTGGTGTATGTTGGCATCTCTCTCTTCAAGAGACATTTCTTCTAACAATCCAGGGATGATGCTTTGCAACAGCCCAAAACTATCGACGTCTTGGGTTTCGAACCCCGCGATCAAAGAAGCACGAGCATTGACTAGACATTTGACCGTATGTTCATTCTTCTTCTGGGAAGCTGATGCAATTGCTTCATCAATGAGTGCAATGTCAGATCTTGACCCTCTGGTAATAAGGATGCTGATGACCTTGTCAATTTGTTTCGCTGGGTAAGGATTCGATTGGAGGTTAAGAGGTTTTGGTCGAAGATTGTCAGCAATCAATACTCCTCCAGCATCTGGTCTGTAGAAGGTGTTGTCGTGGTGGACGCTGGAGCCAGTAGATACGAGGATCCAATTCTTTTGTTCTTCTTCAAAATCAGCAACGCCATTCCATGTCGACCCGATGTATGTCTCTGTGTTGGCACTTGCACCGGAATCAAGAAGGATTTGGACTGTCTCGTTGCTACCAGAAGCACACGCATAGTACAGAGCTGTTCGACCCATGACGTCCCTTGCATTCAAGAATTCATCGAGATTTTGGTCTGCTCGATTGTCCTTAAACCAATCAGCAAGGAGCCATATGACATCGGCCTTCCTTGAGCGCGCCGCCAGATGGAAGACTGTTAATTTCTCATGCGTTGTCGTAGTGATGTCGGCGCCAAGTTCAAGAAGCCTCTTTGTAACTTGCGTGGAGCACGTTGAGGTGATGTGCAAAGGCGAAACTCCGTCATTGTCTGTACTATTGATGACGTCCGGATTCGTCTCTCGCAGGAGGTCAAACGCGCGCAGCTGGTCGTTTTGAATCGGCTTTTCAGGCAGTGCCACCTTGAAGCGGCACAAAACATGAAACGGGAGTACGCCACGGTTGTTCCCTCGATTGCAACTCACTCCGAGCTCTTGTAGATCCATGAAGACTTGTCTTCCTTGTACCCGCCCTGGGAACCGACGTGCCCACTCGTGCCAAGCGGTGTTGCCCTCAAAATCAGGCTGATGTGGATCAACCCCCTTTTTGACAAGAAATTGAAGTAAAGCCCCGCCAGTCACACAAAGCCGGATTGCAACGTGGAGGAGTGTTCGCCCCCTATTGTCCGCCACATCAAAGCGAGCCCCCCGTTCATGCATAATGGCAAGGAAAGACAAGGCGTAATTCTCTCTCTGAGAATCCCATTCATCGAGGAAGGCAAACGTAATCGTTCTGCCTTTTTCATCCCTGATTTCGAGGTCGGGATTTATAGTGTCGAGGAAAGCCACAAATTTCGCCTCATCAAAGTAGAAGGAATTGACCACCAAGGATAATGCCGTCTTCCCATCCGAATTACGAATGTTTGGATCTGCACCTCCCTCGATCAACTTCTCAAGCAACTTGCGATTAGGCATCTTTTCGATTCCTTGAATCTTCGCGGCATGATGCAAAACACTATTACCGCTGCCGTCAAGTATCGTTGCATCGGCCCCTTGATCGAGCAGCTTCAGAGAAACGTCCACGTCCTTAGCCACCAAAGCCCGCGTCAGGAGTCTTTGCCCCGAGGCCGAGACTACAGCATTTACATCAATTCTAGGGAGTAGAGATTCAATTATTTTCAAATTGGAAGTTCGTTGTAGCAAGGTTTCTCCTCTAGAGTCCTTAGCATCAAGGTTTGCTCCTGCTTCCAGAAGACACATCACTGAGACAGAGTCTCTCGACACATGAAGTGGAGTCTCAGCGTTTTGGCCAACTTGATTCACTAAGGACTCAGTTAGTTTGGGCCACCTAAGGGATGTTGCACAAACGGGTAGGATAGAATGATAGAACAGTAACTGATTTCTTACCGTTTCCGCCAGCTTCGATAATTAATTTGAAGCACTCGGCCGTTGTCTCATTCTTTGCTTCATCCAACTTGTAACCGAGGAGTCCAGTATTACTATAAGGATTCGCAATTGCGTGCAATGCATTGTATCCAGGCAGGGAAGAATCAGACTTTGCAGGAAACTCTCCCCTATGGGGTATGTTTGGATCGGCCCCAGCATCAAGAAGAATGCTTATCAACTTCGGATCTCGCAGTGTACACGCTGCATAGAGAGGTGTCATGGCGAAATATCCAGCATCTCTGCTATTTTTTGCATTAATCTCCGTGCAGGGGTGTCCCAAGATCATTCGAATAATCTTCAAGTTTCGACCCCCATGAATTGCCCAGCCAAGGGCCTGTGAAGCGCCCTCAGTATCTCTGATGAAAGACGTGAACGCTTCGGCCATTGCCTCATCACTCCTAGCAAAGACGAATTGTATAGAAGGCATCTGTGGATGCCCGAAACTCATATCATCTACGTGCTCGTCTTTGCCAAGAGAATTCCATGGGTTAGCACCAGCCTCAAGGAGAACATGTGCCACTTTGGCATTGCTCCGAGCACTCAATTCCTCTCTTTCAATTCCAAGACCAGCAGCTATGTGGAGAGGTGTATAACCGCGGCTGTTATGCTGGTCTACCTGGGCTCCATGTGTGATAAAGAGGCGAACCATATCCTCGCTGCCTTTGGCCACCGCATGATGCAACAGGGGCTCGTTATCTCGCCCGCCATCATAACTCAGTATTTTGTCACCATGATGTTTGAGGATAACAGTGGCTAGTTCTGTCAATTCCAGCTCAACAGTAAGGTGCAAAGCCTGAACCTCGGGCGCCAAAAACTCTCCATTGCTTTGATGGCCTGGCTTCCCAAGCTTTGCAAGCATTGTTATTTTCGCCGCATTCTGCTCTCCACTTAGAACAAGTAGCTGGTATAGAGCCTCTAGAGTATCATGCGATTTGAAACCATAGGCAATAGCCTTTTTCAGGTGTATGAACCAGTTACACGCCGCGTACCTCGTAAGCGGGGCATAGACTTGGCCACGCTCGAGGGTCATATCTACCCCAAAAAAGCCCATCGTGAACTTGACAAGCTCCAAGCAGCCCGACGTCAAGTACGAAATACAGAGGCGTGCTAATAACTCATGTGTTGGCCCCGAGTCGATCACGGGAAATTCTCTTTCCTCGCCTGTATTGACCCCCAAAAGATATTCTGCAAGAGAATGATGAATAATGCACACTGTCTCATCTGGCAGAATCTCTAGGAGAGGTCCACAAACAGATCGCACAGCGTCTTTGATTTTACCACTGTCATCACCGTAATGAGGCTGGGTGACTTTGATACAATCTGAGATCTCAAGAAGGCGTAAGGGCCTGGTTGCATGTGTTACCAGCTGCAATACTAGCATTTGGAGCTCTGCAGAGTGCCCCGTTCGCTCAAGGTGCTCGTTCAAAAGCTCTTCATATACGGCTGATAAATCTGTCGGCAGCCTTTCAAGAGTCTTCAGAGCATCAGGCTCGCTTTTCACCTCTTTAATAGCCTCAGTGGCCAATTTTGCGTAAAGGAACAGTCCGCTAGACTTGTGCAAGATGCTTTCCACAACTCTAGGATGGCTCTCGGGGCTCAAGTGGGATTCACCAAGCTTATGCCGGATATAGGCCGAGATGTCGGGTTCGATGAGGCTTTTCTCAAGACGAATATCAAGCAGCTTGATTCCCCTCATACTTTGCTGTATGCTAACAATGGGCCTACTGGTTATTATAATCTTCAACTCCTTGGGGCGGATGTTGCCTAGTGAGTCGAGAAGTTTGAGAAAAGATTGAAGGGCGGCATGATCCATTTCATCCAAAGCGTCGACCACACAGAAGGCTTTGGGGAGATTCTCCAGCGCCAGTCGTAGCAGTTCATACAGCCTCTCTACTGTCAATGAGTCCACAGGCTTGGATATTTCTTTTGTCAGTGCAAGCTGCAGAGGCGGACTGGACGTCAAGATCTGTGATAGCCAGTCCCGGATCGCCGCGTTTGGCCGACGATTGGATTCAATTGAATGGCGAAAAAAGAAGTACAGAACAGGGCCCTCGTTCAACAAATGGGTAATGAGTGTTGAAGCGAGAACTGATTTACCAGATCCGGGGATCCCTCGCACCCATAGAATGCCATGCTCCTGGCTCTGATGCCATTGCCTGAATTCAGGGGAAGTGAGGGCCCATTGACTGGTGCTCTTCAAGTGTGATGAGCAGTGTCTCTGGAATTCGCTGCCATCGCCTGCGTATTGTGTGGGATTGAGCCAGGTCCTGATTCTCTTGATAATCGCGTCTTCTTGCGGCAATATGTTGGCTGTATTGAATTCAGCAACATCTTGGTGATCAAGAACATCAAAATCCTCGAGCGAGATCTCCGAGTCTTCGAGGTCATCAAACCCCGCGTCCGAATAATTAGATTCATCTGCCATTGTTTCTTGATGAGTTTGCCCAAGTTGTGCGGAGACAGGTTGAGTCATAGGATGCTCTTGAGACAAATCCATCTGCGGGGATTGCAACTCTTGGCGTCTGACATGGGTACGACGTTGCTGCCTGGGTGGGTTGCTTACCAGTATATGATACTTTATTTGAAGGATTCTGGAATCTATACCCGAAAAATATAAACATGATTTCTCTTCCAGTTGCCTAGTTGTCCCAGTAGTTAGAGGAGATGGAATTAATAGAAATACTTTTAAGCTTTAAAAACACAGTGGAAGTTACCCACATTTAATCTCTCAGTTTGCCTGTCGCCTAACCAAACACTTCATCTAGTGTCGATGATCAGTCTCTCGATCCTTCACATGCTCCGACCTGCTTACTCTACCTTATAGTCTTCCTCACTGTGGTACGCAGCCGCAAATTCTTAACCCCTCGGTGCTAGCAGAGACAGTCAGTCGTCGAACTTGGCACCAATCTGCTCCATGATATACAGCAGCGTGATGTCTAGTGTTGAAGGAGAAAATCATTCATCGAAGTCAAAATAGAACGAATTGCCGATCGGGGTTGTCCCATACAGTTGCAACATTCTCCTGCTACTGATTATACTCTCCTCTCACCACAAGACGCAAGTTTTTCCCGTAAGATCGATGTCTCATATTATTTCAAATTGGGGAACGTAAGAAGTTGCCAGGAGTTGAAAGGGGGAATAACCAACAGGGCTCGGTAATTTCGCAGCCTCTACGGAGTACAGACAGTGACAGTGAAGCCTCAGAAGTGAGCATTATAATGATTTATTTTAAAGGTCAAATAAACTTCAGGTCAGTCCTATGGTCAAAACTTCATACATCACTTCAAGTATATTCGATCTTATTCGATCTTGTCAGCATCTCTTGAATACGGCACTACAGCCGGGTGGTTGATACATATATTTTATGCAAATGCTAAATCTCTTACATGGTAATATGTCGAATACTAATGCTAAAGCGTTATCCTTCAAAAATGATCTTTACCACTTAGGGATCTTGGGAGAAAAGTCGGGTTGAAACTTTCTCATGTACGTCGTATCGTCTCTCTTTGTCAAGCCACAGTCAAGATAGTTCTGATGAAGCTGTGCCAGCTTCGCCCTGTCCAGCTCTACCCCCAAACCAGGAGCTGTGGGAACAATCAGGGCACCATCAGCCCACTTCAGGGCGCCGTCGGCAATGACATCCTCATCACGTCGCTTCCATGGCCAATGAGTATCACAGGCGTAATCAAGGTTAGGGGTTGCCGATGCCAGATGGGTCATGGCAGCCAGAGAAATGCCGAGATGGCTGTTGGAATGCATGGAGAGCCGCATGCCCCAGATAGCGCAGATTGACGCAAGAGTCTGTGATCTTCGTAGCCCACCCCAGAAATGGTGATCCGAGAGAACCACCTGGACGGCGTTTTGTAGGATGGAGGGGGGTAAGTGGGAGAATGCTACCACAGCCATGTTGGTAGCCAACGGCATGGGAGCGTCCTTGGCTACAGCAGCCATGCCTTCAATCTCAGGAGCCGGGTCCTCCAAGTATTCCACGATGCCCTTGAGCTCGTTGGCTACCCACTTGGACGTCTCAACGGTCCAAGCAGCGTTTGGGTCCAGTCTTAATGGCAAATCTGGGAAGGCTTTGCGTAGCTCCTTGATAGCTTCGACCTCTTGAGCAGGGGGGTACACACCACCCTTAAGCTTGATTGCCTTGAAACCAAACTCATCAATGATCTTGTGTGCCTGCTTGATCAGGCCAGCAGGGTCCAGCGCCGGACCATATTCATCATCCGGCTCCCCGGGGTGGCCTCCCCACTTGTAGAAGAGGTAGGCTGAGTACTGGACGCTATCACGAACGCGGCCCCCAAGTAGTTCGCTGACTGGAAGCCCGGCCAGCTTCCCCTGGATGTCCAAGCAGGCCACCTCAAAGGGAGAGAAGACTTTGTCAGCGACAGACGCCGTAGTGACCATGCCAGCCATGCCATCGCCGCCTGTCGATCTGTCGTCTGTCAAAGACTCAACACAAATCTTGTGGATTGCATTCGTTTCGTATACTGTCAACCCCTTGATTGGGCCAGCTGCTCTCTCCAGGCGGCCCAGATGGGTAGAGTCCCCATATGACTCGCCGAGGCCGTATGTGCCATCTTCACACACGATTTCAACAATACTTCTCAATGCCCAAGGCTCATGTACACCGACACTATTCAATAGGGGCATATCATGGAAGGCCACGGGAGTAATGACAACATCTTTGATGACGCCGCGACGAGACATGGCTGTGTATCTCTCCCGGCTCCCTTCTGTTTCCTGGTGTTTGATAATGGGGTTGAGTAGGAAGTATGTAATTCAGGGGGTCTTTTCTCGAGAAGATTGGCCTTGGAAAATAATAGAGACAAGCCATGAATGCGGAGCTAATCCAATGGGTAGATGCTCTTTCATAGGCCTGGGGCAGTCCCCTCACACCTGACTCAAACCATTCGCATATCCGCGGGTGCTTGGCATCCCCATACTGTCTTGAGACTAAACTCCCCGCATTCTGCCCTCCACTTGCTCGGTTACGCCGGTACTGGCAGCTAAAGTGTCACCCGCTGGCGGAAATAAATCCTGACAGGGATCGGCTCAGCCCCAACATCCGAGGAACTTGGCTCTGACCCATCCACCTGGCATCGGCCATCAACGTCGCGTTGAACTGCCATCCGATCGCCTGTTGCTCTGACTTCCGAACCGTTCTGAGGACCTGTAGTATTGTGCCGTTGATGTACGAACCGTCAGGGTCGTCGGAGCCCTTGGACCAGCGGATGGATGACTCTCAGGACGAGGCACGGCCGTTGAAGCGTTCGAGGGGGGAGGAGATACGGCCACGCGTGAGTAGGGCTTGCGACCGATGCAAAGCGTGAGTTCTTGATTGCGGTCTCTGATTTCTCATTCCATTTCTGATTGACCATGCAGTCGTAAAACCCGGTGTTCCGGGACCTGGCCGTGTGTATTCTGCTCGCATCTTAAAGTGACCTGCGAGTTTACGGCGGCTCGTCGAAAGGGATTTCGGATACCTGAGACAGAAACTGAGGCGACCAATACAGCGGGAAGGCATTCATCGGCGCATGAGAGACCACTGACGCCGGTCCATACCACGTCTGAGCATGGGAGCAGTCCGGCCCAGGGCCACAGCGATCTTACCATACATGCTGCGCCGCCTACACAACTGTCACCGAATTCTAGCACGAGAGATCCCACCCTGGCAGAGACAGTGATACAGATATCACATAGCCCCGACAACAATGAAGCCGTGAGCGCGCAAGACAAGGGCCAAGACGGTGGCCCCCTTATCACTCTACAGTCCTCCCGTAACTCCCCAGAACCATCGCAAACCGACCAACAAGGCCACTATGTCGGTCCTGCTTCTGGTGTATCATTCTTGTTACGTATTCGGAGGAAGCTCCAAGTACCTTCTACGGGGTACTTGAGCTCTTCCATCTTCAATTTCGGTGATCGGCCATTGCCCGGACATGATGCGTCTTTCGTCATTCTCCCGCCCAAACATGCAGCAGATGCCATGGTGAAGAGGTATTTCGACTTCGCGGCGACAACCCACAGGTTCTTGCATCGGCCTACGATAGACCTATGGCTTGAGGAGCTCTATGGCACCAACGGCGGGATGCTATATCAGGAGTCCGCCCGGAGTCGCATCGCCGTGCTGTTCATGGTGTTTGCACACTCGAACAACTACCAAGGTAGAATGAATGGCGACTCAAACGAGTCAGCGGCGGATGCAGCTGAAAATAGGTGAGTCTATCTCTGCCCAATATACTTCCTACTTCTAACAATACCTCAAGCGCACGATACTTTGCCGTGGCAGAGCATCAACTATCGATGGAGAAGGGTCAGATCAAACTTAGCAATGTCCAAGCACGGCTTGCACAATGCTTCTACCTACTAGCCCAATCCAGATTGAATCACTGCTGGACACTTTTTGGAATCACGGCTCATCTGGCTCTGGCCCTCGGGATCCATCGGAAGTCAAGGGTCGATGCCAACACGTCGAACCGCGTTGATCACATTGATCTAGAGTGTCGAAAAAGGACGTTTTGGTGCGCCTATAATCTCAACACATATCTCAGTGCTGCATTGGGCCGTCCGATGACCTTCCACGATGAAGACATAGACCAAGAACTACCGCTTGGTATTGATGACGAGCGTCTTCGGTCGAGTCCCCCGCCTGGTCCATCGATGCTGGGCCCATCTATCACATCGGCGACCGTGGCACAGATCAAGTGAGAATCCAAATTGAGTCGAAAGCAACCGCCATACTAACATGTTTTAGGCTATCCAGAATCCTCGCCAGGATTCTCAGAGTTCTTTACGGCATTCATCCGCCATCGACAGAGGAGCAATTCACCCTGACCGCGAAATTCTCTAGGGAGTTAGAAGAGTGGCGGGAACATATATCATACCTCCTTGATACAGATGGCAACTCGGCTATTTTTGTCAGACTTGTGTTAAGACAGAGAGACGTCCTAAAACTCGCATTCTGGCACGCGCAAATCCTCGTCAGCCGCCAATTTCTCTTGAAAACTTTCACAAGCTTGGCAAACTACGAGCCCAGGGCTGGGGGTCCACTGGCTCAGCGGAAAGAAGAGGTGCAGAAAAATGTCAAAACCTGCATTGAAGCCGCGGAGCACATCATCGAGCACATTGATCGTATCAGTGCGGCTGGCGAACTTTACAGCACCCTCTTTGTAGGTCAACAGATTTCACAACGAAATCACACAGTGCTGACATTCTGTTTCTCGTAGTTCATCCCATACTATGGTTTCAACGCTGTGGTCATCCTCTATCTATACGCTATCCAAGAACGAAGTGAGCGTCCAGAAACCTACCTCCGACACTTCCGCGCAGGCTCGAAATGCCATGCGCAGCTAGAGAAAATTGCGACCCACGGTTCTTTAATGCAAAGATACGGCGTCGTCTTACAGGAACTACGTCTTGAGGTGCTTCGAAACAATGCGTACCTGGCTTCTGTGTCTACACCCCATGCTGAAGATGATTCTGCTGAAGGTGAGATACGGGACAGAAGAGTAGAAGTAAGGACAATGAGTGTCAGCAACCCTGCTCCGGAGCCGCCACACCCTTTTGGAGCCCCCAGCATGGGCGCCAACGCTTCTCGGCTCGGAGTGGCGTCATCTCATGGTCTGGAAGGCCCCCGAGGTGGAAACGAAGATGCTTCGTGTATCGTACCAGCTACGAACCCGGGTTCTATGGATGGAATGGACGATTCCCTGACCCATATGGCCAGCTGGGGGCTGTTTGATTCATTGGTAAGTGGCCACCAGAATCATTACGGTGATAGTATTTGTTGCTGATGTTGTTGAAAACAGGTTACAGGAGGGACCGGAACCCTTGATATGATGTGGGATAACATGAATTTGACGGGTTTCAACAATTGGTGATATGTAAAAGCACAAAAATGATCGTGAATATTCATAGCTTTAAGTTGCCATCTGCACATTCACCTAGCTCATCAGTCTCTTGTTGATGGCTGTCAAAATCACAAATAAAGTCTCAATCGTCTTGACGTCCAATCCCAACTCTCGCCCCTTCCGCACCGGATACCCAAGAATGATATCGACCTCCATAGGCTTTTCATTCTCATAATCCGTCCGCATACTGCTTCCGATCGGGGCCATACTCAAAATCTTGTCAATGTGCTTGTCAATCAAGTCATATCCGATGGGAACATCCAGCGCCTTTGCCACGTTAATAACCTCGGTCATGATGGTTCGAGTCAAAGGTGTAGAGTCCTCTGACGAGCTGAGCCATGAATGCGTGTCCATGAGAGTGAGCGTCGTCAGGGAATTCCATGCCGCATTCCATACAACCTTCTCCCATCTTTGTACTTGGATGTTGGGTACCACTTGGAAAACAGTCTTTCCAGCTGTGAGCAATGATGCAAATTCATTTAGACGCCGAGTCTCCCAGGCTTCATCGGCGGTAGGATTGGGGAAAAGGCCCAATTGCATATTCTCGGATTTGGTATGAGTGATGATTCCAGGCTGCGGTTGTCGAACACCGCACCAAGTCTATGAGTGTCAGCAAGCAGTGCTTTGGACCAGAATAGTCATTGTTCACATACTACGGCAGATAGAATGGTCGCAGATGGGAAGTATTGGCGGAAGGGCTCCTCATTACCCACGCCATTTTGGATAATCACAATGGTCGTTCTATCTTGGTCGACACCAGGTGCGATCTCAGGCGGAGCGGCGGCTTGGTTGATAGCCTTGTGTGCACAGACAATATAATCAAACTTCTGGCCAGCCTCAGCAGCACTTCTAACAACTATATCAGTAGTCAGTGGCAATGTTGGCTCAATAACTATGGCTTCTGTACCAGCTTACCTTTATAAGGTTTTACATGGTGATCGCCATGATTCTGGCTGCTTATCTTGAGGCCGTTGGCTTGGACAGCATCGTAGTTGGACCGGGCAACAACCGTAAGACGGACTTGATTGCCCTGGTTCAGGATAAAGGTGTAGAACGAGCCAATGCTAATCTCCCATGTTAATCACAGTAGAGGTTCCAGTTATACTAATTTGGCATCTACTCACGCTCCAAGCCCATAAATTAAAACTTCTGCTGGTGAGGAAGACATGTTGGTGCTGCTTCAAATCGGCGAACTTACATGGCAAAAGAGCTCCAACCAGCCAAGGCAACTTAACACTGCTAAATATGAGCGAGCTGGCGCTCAGTGAGCGAATATGGGGCTCGGACTGATGCAACAGCACAGTTACTCCGCATGCATCCGCGGAGAAATAGCGCATACGTGCATTCTACGCCTGCTTCCTCGGAACCAGGCAAGTGGGTGACATTAGAAATGAGACCTTGGAACATTAAGCTGCTTATTCTCGAGTCTGTGGCCGGTATTACCAGACTATTGAGTACTAATAATACAAATTTCAGAGATAATACGGCATATATTATTACTCTATTTCATTTTATACTCCTATATTTCTCATTTCAAATTAGAGTAGAGTCTCTTATTAACCACTCTTCCATTTGCTTGCCAGGCTTGAGGGATCAAGGGACTTAGGTACAAGTTGACAGCAGCAAAATCTAAGGTGCCTCTCTGGATAGGCTTGATGTTTATTTGAATTATCTACAGACCCGCTTCAATGCTAACTAATCCCGCAATCTGTTCCTCAATGTTCTTCTTCTCTGCATCACTCGGCGCAATGTACGGCCGTCGAGGCTTCAGCTTCTCCACGGCATTATCGATGCCGGCCGCAACGGCGGTGTTGAGCGCAGCAGCGTACTTCACGGAAGAGATTCCGGCCTTGCAGGGCTGCTCCGCCAGAGCCGCCTTCTTGTGCAGGTCCAGGGCTTCCTGGAACTTGCCCTCCTTGTAGAGGTCGTAGATCTTAACAATGGTCTTGGGGAAGACATTGGCAAACCCGGCGATTGTTCCCGCAGAGCCCGAAGCCAGGCCACCGATGAGGAAATCCGACTGGCCGCCGTAGGTAGAGAATCGCTCGGGCGGGAACTCGGCGGCTAATCTGGTAATCTTGGCCACGGCACCGCAGGTCAGCTTCACGCCGACGATGTTGCTGTGCTTCTTGGCGAGACGAGTGATGGTGGCAGAGTCCAGATCGATGCCGTTGCAAACGACAGGGAAGTTGTAGATGACGATGGGGAGCGGGCTCTCCTTGGCGACATCGTCAAAGAAGTTCTCAATGACTGCGGGTGTGGTCTGCTTCCCAAAGTATGCGGGAGGGAGGAGCAATACCGAGTCAGCGCCAGCTTCCGCAGCGTCGGCGATGAACTCGAGGACTTGCTTGGTAGAGTGGCCGCCGACACCAGCCATGATGGGGAATGAGGGGCCGGTTGCCTTGCGTGCCGTTTGGAGAAGCGTCTTGCGCTCCTCGCGCGTCAGGAGGAAGGTCTCTGCATTGGTACCAAGAATTACCAGACCGGCGAGGCCCGTCTTGGAGAGGTAGGCGTAGTATTTGGCTTGGGACTCAGTGTCTAGAGAGTCGGTTGAGTGGTCGAAGAACGTAATGGCTGGCGCCCAGACGCCGTGTGGCGGTGCTTTGAATGATGACATGACCGGCTGCAATCTCTAAATGAAGCAATTATCTGATCTATGGTCTGTTGTCAAGAATGCTGCCACACTTGCAAGGAGTTTGTACTTAAGCCATTTTTAGGCCCAGAAGGGGGGTCATGGAAGGCTTTATCCGTCCATATTGCAACATATTACCCAGCCTGTCGTCGGGTTTCCGCAGGAGGATATGCTGAGACGTAGCACTGCTCAGATGCCGCATCGGATATCTGCATCTCGGAAGTTGCCCCGACTGCGAGAGGAGCTCCACCAGCCAAACATCCGAGGAGAAGAGGAGCACACAAGAAGATAACCTCACAGTGGGTGCTATTCAGAGGACAAGTGTTAATATGAAAAATAAATTGAAACACGAGATGTGTCGGTAATCAAATATCGTTCTTTCGATAGAGGTTGAAACAATCTATACCATCTTAGATAGGTATCCATAGAATGATCGACCTAACTCGTCGGCCAGCATTCGTATTTGTGATATTCAAATAATAATAAACCTCCAAATTTGTGGCCTATTGAGATGCCATTTGGATTATTTCATGTGAAAGGCTCAGTTTAATCAGTGTGTTTACGATCTCGTGAAGGAAACTTACTAAATGCCTCATCGACAGCAGTGAGATGGGATGTCACATAATATTCAGTATGGCTTCAATTTCTTCAAATTTCTTCAATTTCATGTCTATTGTGGTGTATTTTTTAATGCTCTATTCTAAATATCTGCGTCACTCTTAAGCCTTCTTGTGCACATGTCCAGGGCTGGCCTGGTGACTGGGGAAGATCAAAGTGTCGGCGACGACAACATTCTCCCTTCGGCTGGCAGTGAAAACAATGACTTCGGCAATATCCTCGGGTGTCAAGGGCTCTTGATTACTGTGACCGGGGGGGAGAAGTCAGCTTCCATGAACTAGATGCGGCCTGATGCAACGGGAAGGGGAAGAACGTACGCATAGACGGCATCGGCCTTGCTCTTGTCACCGTAGAATCGGATCACAGAGAACTCGGTCTCCACTTGGCCGGGATCGATTCCAATGACACGGACTCGCTTGCTAATCAGCTCCTTGCGGAGACTGTCTGTGAAAGAACGGACGGCGGCCTTGGTGGCGCAGTAGATGCCGCCGCCGGGGTAGGGCTCGCGGCCGGCAATGGAGCCAATGTTGATGATGTCGCCGGAGCCTTCACCGTTGTTACGCTTGAGGAAGATGGGGAGAACGGCTTGGGTCATGTTGATCAGACCAGTCACGTTGGTCGCAAACATGACATTGATGTCCTCCTCAGCGATCTCGGGCGCCTTGGCCACACCCTTAACCAGGCCACTGTGAGTTTCTGTCAGTAAGACGGACAGATTTTCGGAAGAGAGAAGGTTGACTGAACGGGAGAGACACTTACGCGTTGTTGACGAGCACATCGATCTCCTGGAACTCGGCGGGGAGGTTGCTCACAAATGAGCGCACCTGGTCGGGGTTGCTGACATCGAGCTGGACAGGGAGAACCTTGACACCATCTCCAACCTCCTTGACGATATCCTGGGCGATCTGCTTGAGAGTATCAATGCGGCGCGCCGTGAGGACGAGCTTGAGGTCCTTGGGGCTGGTGCGGGCAAACTCAAAGGCAGTGGAGCGACCGATACCAGACGAGGCACCAGTGATGACAATGGTCTTACCCTCGAGGCGCTTTGCTGCGGCGGACGACATGGTGTATGATGATTATGGTGTGGGGTGGAAAGTGACACTGGAATGAAGGTGGGGAGTGGTTTGATGAGAGACGTGATTCTAGACTTGACTCTTGAGGATGGGAATAGCGCATACAGCCGACGGACTGACCAGATGGTTGATATAATATTCGCTCACAGTTCTCCCCAGTGCTTCTCCGACAGTGCTCAGGCTCCTTGATCGGGGGTGAGGGGTTTTCCGCGGAGGAAACGTGCTTATCCGGCCGGCAATCTCTCCTCCGATGAGCGCCGAGGGACAAGACGCCGATTCCGATTGATTGGGGCAGCTCCAGATGATTATTAATGGCCACAGGGTAGGTCAATCTTCTGGAGGTGCACGATAATTAATCACACCGTTCTCCCCATTCTTAGACCTACCTACCCTATACACTCATGATGCGGGATTATCTGATAATGTCGCCATCACCCCACCAACTAACGCGTGCTATTTAGATATTAATAACGGTATTGATCATGATGAGCTCTTGGATTCTTTCTGAGATGAATCCCCGGTTTCAGGCTGGACTTTTTTCGATTGATGCAGCCACCTCTCATAGAACAGACTTCTTCACATAGTCGCTTCTTGGCCACATCCCCATGTAGATTACCATTTAAACCATTCTGCCAAACATCCTTATCTAACACCGGCAAAAAAAAACTAGAAGCAACCTTATCTGTGCCAGAAGATCTTTCTCTATCGGTTCATGCCTTTAACACCTCACTATGTACGGGTGATTCACAACCATGGCTAGGGAAGAGGATGATCACAAGCAACGAATCTCAAGCAATGACGCTATCCCTGCGCTCAAGGGAGGGGGGAAGATCTAAAAATATTACTCTATTATGTAATCCCAGATTTTGATCGCTAGTGACAGGGATAAGAAGACGAATACGATGAGGATGGGGCAGAATTGGACCAAATTGAACCAGCATGAAACACTGAAATATCTCACAAGCTGGGCGCTGAATCTTGAGTGAACTCTTGTCTTTGGTATCAAATGTGGCGGCGGCCGATCCAAGCACTCGCCTGAGACCCAGTCACTTGGGTTGCATTGTTATTTGCCGACGCCCGAACACAGAGATGCCTGGACAAGCCCGGCAGTCTGATCCAGATCCAGGGGGGCTGGAACTTTGGCCGTGCTGCCAGACTGGCTTCGCATAGGGCTGGTCTGCAGATGAATGCCCTACAAATAGGTAGCCCATTTGATTATCAGCGATGACCCGATCTACAAATATGGTTATTTCTCCGCGTCTGCATCAATATTGGAAAGAAGTAGAATCTTGCAAAAGCCCGAGCTTAGGGCCTTGACGGGCACCATTGGCTAGCTCCAAATCTAAAGGATTTGGCATTTTCAGCTAGTAAGCGAGCAACTAATGCATGAGCAATGGCAATGGGTGGTACATCGATGGTCCAGGCCCCCCCAAGACTCGCTCAGATGCCCCTTTTCGGCCTGGAAGCCTGGAACAGTGCAACGTTGCCGGTTCGCCAGCTGCGAGGGAGAGACCTGAGGAGGTGAGTTTCATTTTATTCAAGACTTTCTTCTGAGATGATCCACGAAGAAGAGGTCTAGCTAAACTCCACACCACGGGTAAGGCGTTCGCTAAGGCGGACGAGAGAGCGCCCGAGCTGGCCCATTTTCCCAACGAGGCCTGCGTAAGCTGGTCAATTTGCCCGGTGACCAATAGGGTCAAGTACCCGGCTAGTGCTGAAGGATCGATTGACAACAAATACGATGAATAAGAGCTGGAGGGAGGCCTGCGAGGCCGATTCGCTGGGCTCCAGCGGGATTTTGACCATGCGCCAATCAACTTGGCTGCGGTGGAGAGCCCTCCAGTTTTCAGCCTTACCCATCACTCTGGTCTCTGAATCCCTTGGCTTGGGGACAAATCTGATTCTGTCTTGGTTGGTTCGTATTGCCTGGGGCCGTATCCGTCGGATACAGGGCTATCGGACCTTTGATAGGTCTTCTAGCGTTAACATCCCCTTATATTACGGTGAAATCCAAGATCGGACCAGTGGTAGTGGACAAAGCCCTGTGTTGCTCACGAGGAGGGGGTAAGGATTTACGTTACATGGCTAAAGACAGTGTGGAAGGTCATTGACACCCTGTCATGCTTGCCATGTCGAACCCTGCCCTATCGCAGGCTCACTCCGTACATTATTAATGGGTCTGGCAAGGGAAAGTGGCGGCAGCCGATATATCAAGTCGATACTAGCATTTAATTGTGGCTGGTCTACTAAACTTCCTAGACTATGCACGGGAGCTTAAGCATAATACCGAGTCAGCTTCAAATCGCTCCTCCCTACAAAGCTGAACCAGAAGCAGTCTTTGGCGTTGCTTTTCTGGAACGTGACCATGAAGTCAGGAGAGGGGTCATGGCTTATGGACACTGAGCCGATCTCACGAAGCCCGAGCTACTGGAGCGATCGCGACAAGAAACCCCCAACTGTCGTTGCGTTGGAAGATCTGAGAACCGGGCCTTTCAGTCCCGAAATCACCTATAATTACGTCTATAATGGAAGCGAGAACTACATTATCGCTGACAACGGCGCCAATAACGGCCACGTACAAAACAGCAACGATGGCTTTCTAACCAAGGCAAGATCGATCAGTGGCCTACTATGGATATTCGGCATCTTCATTCTCTTCAGTTTTCTCTACTGTCTCTTCATTTATTTCGTATTGATACGACGCATCGTGATCGTCGGATCTACCATTTTCGACGCGTCCACGACCAATTTGCTGGTATCCATCTTCTCCCAGGTATCTGCTCTCCTTTCTGATACCGCCTTGCGGAATGTCTTGTCATCTCTGCGGGTTCATTGGGCCGCCAGCCCAACAGGCACATCGGCCTTCACCTGGTACGGATTAGGACCGTCATCGCAATGGTGGTCTACAGCCCAGTTGACTGTCGCATCGTACATGTTGAATGCATGGTGCATGGCTAGGTGCGAGCTTTTCATCGATGGAACCAACTTGATATAAGTTTACTAAGCTAACCCTGTGGAAGACTGGGCTTACCGCTGCTCAATCTGGGCTTCGGTTCCGTTTTAAAATGTACGTCAACTCCAACCCGGTTCATATACTGTTCGCTAACTCTGGAACCCATGAACAGTCCGAGCAGACTTCGAATACTACTTCGTTCCTGGCACGACCGAAATGCCCGTCTTTGCCGGCCTGATACCTATCGACATCAGATTGATTGATATGCTACAGGCGGCTGAACTAGCCCAATACTATGCCACGTGGAGTTCGAGCTTGCAGAGCAACAGCAGATACGCGGTCGAGACAAGGATGGAAGGGTGTGAGACCGACTGCCGGGCTCTCATCTGGCCTGGGGGGCTTCAGACCGTCCGCCAGATCAGTAACGTTTTGAACAGTTCCATAATGCACGATGGCATCTTCAAGAACGACGAAGCAATCAAGATCGAAGATGCGCCTGGTTTCATCACCACTTTTAGTGGGCTGGGTTCAAATTTCACATTCGATGTGGAGAAGGAATGCGCTCTTGGGGGACAATTGGTCGACGATGGCATCAAGATATGCGTGAAACAGGTGGGCTTAGACGTCGCAGTTGGTGAGTTTGTCCGCGGATTTGCACGGCGACCCCCTTCTCCTTTACCCTCCGCCTGTAGGGATGGAACACCAAAGCATCGTTGCTAACTCTGCGGAAATAGGTTGGGCGACTTGTCCTCAGGCTATTTTTGACGCCAAGAAGTGTGACATTGATGAAGAATGGAAGCAGGATGGGATAAAGTCGCAAACCATGATGAGCGCCTACAAGCAATTCGCAACCACCACATACAGCCGGGCCAATCTCTCGATCCTACATGTCGAGCCAATAGATACGCCACAGCAAATTAAGCTGAACGGAACGGACTACCTCAAGATTTTCAAAACCCTCTTGATACCCAAGCCTGGCGGCAAGGCGTTCGACAACACTAGCATCGCTTCGCTCACATACACTATTGGCTGGGCTCACCGTATCTACGGCGAGTTCTTCCAAGACGAAGATGGAACCCTGATTTCGACTCTGCAGAATATGATGGCGATCCCGTTCCAGTTTGGCATCACGGCAAAGCAGCAGGCGAACCACACTCTGACCGTCAAGCCGAACCTCATCCCGATCCTGGGAGATTTTGCTGTGCCCGATGAGATGAGAGCCATGGCAAAGGGAGGCTCTTCAAGACAGCGGCTTCGGATCCAGAACTGGACCGGATGGGCTTTTATCGCAGGCGACTTAGTGGTGTTTCTTCTGGTGCTCTCGGGGATTTTCACCATTCTCCGCACCCACCGACCGCTCCCTATGTCCACGTCGTTGACGGAACTCGATGCGTTGGTGGATGCGGATAGGCTTGTGTGTATCAAGGAGGGCGAGAAGATCTCTCTGAGTGAACTGCCGGTCGTGGTCGAGACGAGGTCACCGATGGGGCTCGCTAGATCATTACGGCCGTGGCGGATGAAGTATAAAGATTAGGATCATTACATCACGATTACTATTTTTACATCACGAGTACTATTTAAGAAAACTAGAAAATACTGTGGATAGCGAGGAAATGATGAATTACCCAAAATGGGAATGCTCACTGGACTTGTGTAGTTTAAAAAGAGTGTGAGATAGAAGCAAGATATATCTTGAACATTGAATAGGATTAAAGAACGTGTGACCTAAAGATAACGAATTGAATACGGAACATCGATAGAAAGAACGTGAGATCATAATCCTCCCTTCCCTAACCTTCTTATTGATATCGACTGACTTGTGCACGAAAAGGATAATGAAACTCCTGTGTAGTAAACAGCTCTTCAAAAACCACACCCGTTTGCGCAAACAGACCCCGGATTTCGCCTCCATCTCGAACGACCTGTCCCGGCTCAGGGCCGTTAAGCTCTACTTCGCGGTAGGCGCGGAAAAACTCATCTTTGGTCTTCTCATCTTTACTCATCGCTGAGTGAAAGGCGACACTATCCATCGGGCGGATGCCGAAGATCATGAGAGACCGCAAGTGAGGATGGGTATTTCTACAGGCCAGGGCGAAATATCGCAGAGAGGCGGAAACCACATTCTGGAACTTGACCAATGGTTTGAGCCCATCTTCAACTTCATCCTCAGTCATCTCAAGATGGTCGAGGCCGGGGAGGTACTTGTCGTAGTATTTTTCAGTGACCCAATCGTGTAGCCTGAGTGTCTTTAGATTGGGAGGAAGTAGGGAGCTCAGCGGTGACTCGGAGAGCTTTTCCGTCCCCGCCAACAAGGGAATTCCGATACACAAATGCTCCAGTGCTTCAAGAAGCGGAAGAGAATTGAGCCTATGTGATGGCCTCTCATAGTCCGCGACAAAACCAATGTCTAGCTCCTTGAGAGAGCCTTTGATGTTGAGAAAACTCTCGTCCCATAACTCAAGTTCTGCAATCTGATTCAACCCCCCTTCTTCTGGAAACAATCGCACCAGAGAGGGTCGTACGCTGAGGGCAGATAGATCCCAAGCATGGCCGACATGATCCAACACATGCAAGGGAGCGGAAATAGTAAGGTAAGCTCGCTTGATACTGCAATGAATTGGTACCTTCGGATCACGAAAGTCGTCGGGATGATACTTATCCACGGCATCAGCCTCAAACTCAGTAATATTGGGCCCTAGTAAGAGCTTGAGACAGCTTGACAACGGGAACGTATAACCAGCACAAAGGCGGCGAGTAGGGTCATACTCAGGATGATGAACGACCTCCAAGCCAGCAAAGGCCTTGAAGCCAAACAAGGCGGTAAACCGAACTGCCTGCAGGTGTTGTAGCGCGCCAGGGCAAATTTTGCTCTGGCGGGCGCTCTCTACTAGCGAAGCTAATGTATGATAGTGATATTCATCTTGAGCAGCAAAGAATTCGGCGTCATTGAAGGTAATAATGAGCCACTTTGAAGCGGGCAAGGGAGCTAATGAAATAGCCCGTAGTTTAGGGGTCAAGCACAGAATGGCAGCCAATGCACGCTCGGAAGTATCGTTGACACGGCCATGATCGGTGGCCGCGACATGCTCTAAGATCAAGTCTTCCTGGGACAGGGGGGACCGTTTGGTGCTCTCGATGATATGTTTATGATACTCGAAAGCTTTCTGGTAGCGTATGGCGGATGCCGGGTTTTCCACACTAGCAGGCGTGGATTCCGCATGTCTTAAGAAGAATTGACAGTCAAGACTTTGAACCAAAGGCTGCAAGCCAGGTCGCTCAACCAGAGCCCTAAGGAAGAGCGTCAAGGGGACAACACCATCGTGGCATGTCGCTTCGGAAGCTTCCGGTGAGCCCGGGAGACTGCGAGGGACGAGTGTGACATGGCGATATAGTGAGATGGTGGCAGCTTCCCTAAGCCTGCGCGAGACGCGACAAAGAGTGACTAGAGCCTTCGTCGACTGGGCGGTTGCACGTTTGTGATCCAGTGTGTCGTAGTCGTGTGGACGGCCCGATCTCTTGTTTGTGGTGATTTCATCAAGTAAAGAGCGTATGATTTCGCTGAGGACCTCACTTGGCAGGCCTGCTAATCCAGAACTATTCACGATTTCTTTTGTCATGGTCACGATGGCGCGTTGGGAGGAAACCCGGTCGAGAGTCTACAAACCTGAGCGAGCGGGGAAGAAAGAACTTCGTCACTTTATTAGAGAGGGGGATGCATGAATTTCGTCAGCTGGAGAGAGTCATAACATGATTGGCCGGTCGAAATGTCTCACTCGTCACAGAGCTGCTGCCTGTATTTGCTTGCGCCCACCTTCCAGGCGACATGTCATTTGGCCCGCGTCATTCTCTCACCTCCTGCAGCTGGTGGCTGTTTCAGCTCCATTTTCAGGCAGGAAAGGCTCGTCGTCGGCTCGAGCAGCTCCAGACTGCTAAACCATGATTCGAAGGTAGAGGGTACGACTAGGTGACTGAATGTTTGAAATATTTGAATTGTTTTTGGAAAGTTTTGTAGCCCTAGTCCAAAGGTTGGATCCTAAAGGGATTGCCAATCGAACCCACAATCGCACCAAGGCCCTTCTATAATAGCTTCACTCCATCCACGGCATTGTGAGATGCCCTTAGTACAGACCAACAACGACATCACCCTTAACACGGGCAGTCAGGTGCACCTCAGCCTCGAGATCGAGCTTGATGCCCAGGAGGAGGGCGGCGTCGCGGAGAGAGCCATCGTCTTGGGTGGCACCCTTGATGAGTTGACCTGGAGACTCGAGGTTAGTATTCATTTCTTCTCCAGTGATATCTTGAATGAGAAGGGATGGTTGCTAGAACTTACCAGCAGGCTCAGCGAGGCCGGTGGCGGTGGGGAGAGGGACGGTGAACTGCTCAGACATTTTGGCGGGTTGGTTAAACTAAAGCGTTTAAGAGGTTTGTAAAGGTAGTGGTGAGTGTTGAAGTGATGGAGTGATGAGTGATGAGAAGAAAAGGACGCAGACTTCGGGCCTCATCGTGGCCTTTTATGTGTTCTTTGGAAGGCATTGAGAATCGTAAATATTGGAACTAGCATGAATCCCTTAAAAACCCTATATCACGCGTTTCGGCATTGGCTATACTTGCTTTTGCGGTACCCAGGCTCTTCATGTCGATTTCATATCGAATACTATTGCGACAACGCAGCCTCCACTGGAGTTGGCATAAATTCGGGAATGAGGCAACCTAAAATCATCGGGGCCAGATGCAAGACAGTCCGGCTCTCCAGCCTATGAGAGGCTATGAGAGGCTTGTCAAATGCCGGTTTGGCCAGTCACGATCATGGCATAACAATGCTATGCGACGCCAAATCATCAAATCACCAGCGATTAATCCCGCGACGACCCACGCCGTCAATGCGCCAACGTGGCTGGCAGCATTGGAGATGCCTCAGCTCTGGTTGGACATTTGTTGAGCTTGATATTTATGTGATTCAGCAATGCGATCAGTACCATTCGCTATATTGTACCTAGTGACTGATGTTGGGAGAATTGTAGTCGTGTCTACATCATCGGCCACTCCTTTTGTTCGCCAATATCAGTATTCAATTTCTGACCAAATTCTAAAATTTATGCGTTCAAAAGTAAGATGTTCCTGACGTGTCATAATACAACAAATATATCTATGCCTGCCTCGTACTCTCGGTCGCTGAGGTGTATGAAATGTGATAATTTGTCCTTTCTTTGCCCATGGACGCCGGCTTTGATCAATGCTATACAATGATCTATGAGTGCATAGCTGCCTCTGCGGCACTGAAACATGCACTCAGAGATATCTGCAGGTGGGACGAACCCATGCTCAGAGGACGAGCTCAGTGTGGCTGTGAAGACTGGCTCCTGAGACTGGTGCATAGCCCCAACCAGTTGCCACCACTGTGCAATCTTACATGCATGCCAGCTCAATCACTAAAGGGAGGGAGGATTTCACTAAAGAGCCATACAAGGAAATGCTGTTTGGTACTTGCATAGCATTAATATCCCTCAAATATAACCAGCCCTCATGTCCTTCGCTTCTGTATCATACTCATGGACCAGCACAGCTTCTGTCGTTGTGTTCTCGTATGTGACTAGTGATCTGAAGTAGCAACTTCAAAATTATGCTAAATCGGCTTATACGTCCTCAAATCTAATAGGGCTCTAAAGGTGAACGATTCGCTGGGTGCCTTTGACACCGTAATGAAAGCTACCTCCTTGAATCCAGAGTAAGGTGGGCTCTCATTTGTAAAAGGAGATTTTTTTAAGTGAATAGTAAGCTTTTTGCACCTCATTCAAGTGTGAGATCGGGACAAAAATATGACTAGGCCCAAAACCTTGATCTCATGATAATCCGTGGTGTGGACATTTCGCAGGGCTTAGAGGTAAATAAAGCAAAAGAGCCAGAAAAATGTTAGCTATTCAACAGAATCCGTCATATAGCGCACTAAACGCCCCATGTCACTGGCTATTAGCGTCCGTTCTTTGCAATATTCATGGTAGAAAAGAGAAAAAAGAAATGGTGGCTTCGCGGGCGATACTTGGGGTATCGGCTCTTGTCACTGGGATCACCGGATCCAGTGCGATGGCAACTCTCTGAAGGCGGTGATGGCCATTTCATTGATGACTGCTTCATTCCAATTAGGAAAGAACCTAATCTTTGGTATTGTGCACTTCCTGCCAGAGAGCCAGGTATAGGTTCGAATGACCTGAGATCCAATAAGTTTCAGCAAGGAAATTGTAGAAAAATATTAGCAATTTTAGCCAAACTTTAGCTGACCCGTTAGTTGAACGTGAACTAACGAATATTATCGAGGAAGCTTTCTCTCTTGAGGCGGTATCAGATGACCGACAGATGGTACCGTGATTTATAAATGATGATACGCGAGGGACTCCGCTCGCGTTTCTGAACTGCTATTATTCGATCTGGCCTCGGCCTGGGGCCATGATACACATCGGATGGTCTTCTCTGAATGGCAAAGGTATTACGCCTGCTCCTCTCCTTCTACTCGAGGGTACGGCATCCGCTTATGCCAAGGAGCACCCAGGTGAATTTCCCTTGTTGGATGGACCACCACACGAATTGTCAATTTAGGTACAATCCCCAGAGCTGATGCTGGATTCAGCTTGAGCTGCCTGATTGATATCATTCAGCTGAGAAGTAATATGAGTCCTCCCTTGTAGGACCCATCTCCTCTCCTTGTATTGGGAATATTCCTTCCCTCGGTCAGGACACAGGCACATGTCAATATGGCCGTCCCCTTTTGGTAAGAGTGGTCCATTCTCTATAGCTGCCGAGGAGCGTGACCGTTAGAATGATATTCATTAACTGGAAATAGTTATGATGATGGGGCCCAATTTGGTGTCCCTTCGGCCAGGCCGGTGCTGGTTAAGTACTCTTACAAAACAATATTAACGGGGCCCGTTCACCTCGTGTTATCCGCGCCTGTGGCAAAATCCGCACTGATCAATGCCGCGGCGCGTGCGGGCTTCGCGGATCAATGCAGAGTGGCAAGTTGACGCACGGCACAGCAGAGCCGCGCCAAACCATGGGTTCCGCGACCTGTCAGCCGTGCCCATGGCATCCTATCCACTATTGAGGAATCGAATCGATTGTAATATGCGGCTAGCGTAGCGCGACTGTTGCCGGTGTTGCTTATGAATTACCAGTCAGTTGAACCAGTCAGTTGAGAGGGTAATTCTTCCGCTCCTGGCAAGATGCAGCGCTACCGCAATTTCCGCGGAGCCCTGCACTGGCCTGCCAGTAACCTGTAACGGCGCTTCAGGCACGGCTAGTGGGGATAGAGGCTGGCACGTCGCGTTTCTGGCATGGATGGTGATGGTCCAAAGAGCGTGCCTTGGGTATCATGGACATGTGAACAGTGACGTAGATCGACAAAGCGAATGATATATCCAAATAAGCGTCTCGACTGCGGCAAAGGATATGATATTGGGACCTTTTGCAGCAACCAGAGCGGACAGGGAGGCTTGGTAGAAGTGACATAGCCCATGTTGGATCCCTACGCGCGCGCTTGTCATCTTGGTACAACGCTTAAACAAGCGCTATTACCTGCGCTTTTGTGTATTTCACCATAAGATTTACGACTTGCCGTCAAGAAAAAGAGTGAGAAAAGTAGGTCAAGGTAGTTGTTGGTGAGATCATGCACCTATGTCGCCTGCCCCTTGTGATCGCTGGGCGGTTGCTTAGAATAGATCATGATGTCCGATGGCCTAGTCACTTGATGGTGCCAGGGAACAACTGCATTCCAATTACAGTCGCCTGAATAAACTTTATTGGGAGTAGTATTCGGTGGCACGGAACGGTGGGACAAGAACACGGCTCTTCTGCCGGCACCCACGGGAGAGCGATATTGGTGTGACGAGCTCCCCGTGTACTCCGCACACAAAGCCACGGCCGTTACTGGGGATGGCAGGGCAGATCCTCCGTGTGGGAAGAGGTGTGAATGGGCGTGAGAGAATGATTTTCCTATTCGAATATGCCGGACAACGACGATAAGTCGCTAATCCCGATCTTGGGGGGAACTAAGGTTGATAGTACATACGGCACAGAGCTCAACGCCAGCACGAGCCACAGGAACGCTGCGACCCATGGCCAGGGTCAGACGGCTGCGGCTTGATTAATGGAGACGGCGACCTGCCAAGGTCTCCGTGCCACATGGGATGGGGTCGACGGGGGATCCTGCTTATTGCCACTAGCAACGAGCTGGAATTTTGCTCTGACGATAATCTCGGTCAACGCGTAGAATGCCAATCTCTCTCAAGAGTGTGCATATATTTCTGAACGTAAATAAGCCATTGAGACACTGCCGCAGCATGTGCCACTAATAAGTGTAAAAATGCCTGATGGTGTGGTGTGGCACGAGGCTGGACCGAGCGCCGTGACTCAATACTGGGGATTTGAAGAGCCAATCACGCTTGAAGCCCATGATGCAGGGGTATTTAAAGTGAGCAAACGAGGCTAGTGAAGGCTTTTTGAGTGAGGACGGCCTGTAAGGCTGAGGCTTTGGACTGAGCCAGACAGGGAACAAAATCCAGCCCAGAAAGGAATTATGACCCGGCCCCCAAATTCATCCTAAACAATATCTAGTACGAGTTGCGATCCTGGGAGCAATAACTACAAGCGTGAGCTCATTTACTCATACCGGAGGCTGACCCAGCATCATCCTGCCTCACGCCGCACAAGGAGTTCTCATGACATTGAGAGCTCTCCTTGCATGGGTCACCACCAGCAGGTAGAGGTGTACAAGCACAAGATATATTAATACATATTGAAAGGATGACCCAGAGCTATCGATCAGTTTAAACAGACAACAGCTCATTCAAAACACATTACAGACAGGGCATTTGAGCGTTGAAACAACACCAACCAAGAAAACAATCAGAGTTGACATCAGCCTTGATTTCCAAGATGCCTCTTCCCCCACTCAAAAAGAGACCTCGACCAAAGTTTACCTCCGGGCAGACCTCAGGGTCAGGGTCAGGTTCTCATCAGTCATCCTCGGCTGGCCAATCGTCTTCCAACGGCGGCAACACTCAATCGCAAACAAACACCCCCTCTTCGGCGCATTTCTCATCAACCCCTTGGAACGACTCTGAAAAGAGCAACTCATAGATGTTGACACTTATTTCGAGGGAATGGTGTATTGGGGGAGCTCTCCGAATCCCAAAGCGATGTTGGTTTATCTAGCTCGCCACTTCACAGACTCAACACCAGCTGAGCTAGGATAAACTTGAAGGCAAGCAGGCTGGGGACGAGCGGAGATTTAGGATTCTGTCAACTACTTTCTCATCCTGTTTCGTGTTTCCATTTCCAATTTTCTTACAGGCTTTTAACATTAGAGAACATAGCCGCTTCACATAGATTAGCTTTCCCGAACAGGGAGTCTTTTGATAACGATGTTATGGAGGAAATATTCCACGGTTCTTTTTATAGTCATTCAATGCACAAATATTGTCCTTACCTATGAGTTGTTAGAGTATAAATGATTAATTAGTACAAATAAATTTTTCTTTGCAATTCCAAACTTCTGCCTGCTACGTCAGAGAAATTATCACAGGACCTCTCGTACTAGGCATGCACTTTCACGTGATGCTGAGTGGCAGCCTTGTATACGCAGCGTCCACTCACCTGCCTGATAGAGAGTACTGATTTCATGTTGACAGATCCATTCATGAGGGTACACATGAGTCAGACCAATCCCGTCAGATCATTAATTGAAATAGCTACTGAATACTTGAGAACAATTTGCTAGGGGCAACTTTTTTCGAAAATGTCCCCAACAATATGTTCAACAGCACTGCCGTGAACAGCACTAGAGGGCGCTATACCAGATAATTATAACGGTATGACAAAGGGAAAAAAGAGATGAAGAGATAATATTTGCCATTTGAAGATGTAGAAGCCCGTCATGGAGATATCTTGCGATGTTCGAACGGAAAGTCAAAGACAAAGACAAAAATCCCGGGCGGCGATGAACTACTACCCACTGGACATGCCGAGAAACTGATGCATGACTATCCCCGCTGGTAAGCACCCCATGGGTGTTTCTATGGCTGTTGCCTTTGCGCGGAACTTTCGTTTTCACACTCCATAAGCAGCGGGATGGACACAGCCCCTGGAACTCCCGCTTGCTCCAGATCGAGCTGTGCCGTAGTCATAGTCAAATGATATCCTGACACTCCCTATTCCCTGTGCTGTCACTGAAGCATGATCTGAGACTATTTTCAAGGCCTAACTCTCTTGTGTCAGCCTTGTGCCTCACACCGTTTTCTATTAATTGCAGCACATCTAATTTAGGCATCTGACGATGTCAAGCTGAACCAACTGCCGAAATTACCTATTCACCCGCGCACGCCGTGCTTCTGCACGTCATAAACTGCGGAATTCCGCGGCACCTCCAGTTAGCTCGCTGCAGTGCCTCTTCTATACATGATCCCCCCAGGACATGGCCTAACTTGAACAAGCGCGGATGTACATGAACAACGTGTCGCTGTATTGTTCTCAAATGTCAATGGGAAGAAGGTGATGATGATAAAATCCTCGCCTACGGCACAGTCAAGTTATGAGCCATGGCTGACATCCCTGGGATGGCATTAACCCCTAAGTCCGGCCTTTCTGTTGTGATCAGGTAAAATTGAACGTGTCGTATAATCCGTTGGCGCGCACTATCCGAATACCCTCTGAATCCAGTGTTCCCTGAATACATCGACTCCAGGGGACTTGACCAGGCGATTGATCCTATTGCCTTTGTTTGGGTTTAGCCATCCCATATCATCCCCGAGAATGTTATCCGCTGCCTCCGAGCTGACTCCTGTCGGTGTAGAGCCATCATCAGCAATCTTTCTGTTTCGCTTATCCACAACATGCATGCCCCTGGTCCATTCACCTGTTGTTTCAACACGCAGATCCTCGGGCTTTGCCGTACTCTCCCACACACCTTGGTCTCGAGTCATGGCGTACCAGATGGTGAGTGGATCGTGCAAGGACAATTCGGGCTCCTTTTCGGTTACCTGCAGCGACGTGATCTGATCAAACGTGGCCATGATGAAAAAGGAGGTCCACAATGCTAGGTGGCTACCAGCCTCAACATGAGGCTTGATCTGCTGCTCAAAATAGGACTTCGTCATCACGAGGCAGTGTGATAGCAAGAGGTGCCAGTGTCAACTCCAACCTGCGCGGAAGGATGAGAGGATACTTGGGAAGGTTTGATGATCGGATGTGTAGAGATGACATGGTTGAACCCGTGCTGGGCGAGGTAAGGGCGTAAACCCGTGCTGCGGCAACAGGGTCGTCATTACAGCTGAATTCGGCCACTGGCGTCACATTGCCCTAGAAATGCATGGCACCGCCCATAACTACGGCTTTCTTGACTCGAAGAAACGTTTCGGGATCCTCAGCCGCAGCAAGTGCAACATTACAATGGACCCATAGCAACGATGATGATGGAATTTTCCGGGTTCTCTCTCAAGAAACGGAGCATTTCATGGTGTGCGGGATGCTTTGATGGAGTAAAACCGGCCGTCGCGTCCACGGTCTCAACGGCCACGTCCCCAGCGTCTTCGAAGAGTTTCGGCCAATCCTTGGCAGGGCTGAAATGCGGATATGCCTTGTAGACATTCTGGAGGCCATCCTCACCGCCTGGTTGATGTTAGCTTTCTTGTACTGGACCAAGGGTGAGGAACTGAGCAAGATATCACCGTACAAAAGTAGTCAGCAGCCAGATCTTCACCCTCCAACGGATGCTCAGCACCAAGAGCAACAATAGGCAAACTGGTTTGCAAAACATGGTAACCCTCCGGTTTGCCCGCCTGTCTTCTCCATGCGAGCTCCTTCTCCAGGACATTGAATAAAGTCAAGACATTTCGCGCGCAGCTAACCATGTAGTTAGCAACTATATAATTTGCACCCCGAAGCACGTGAATGAAAGAAAGGGTGCGTTGATCAATTCCAATCATGATTTAAAACCCTGGAGTACATACTGTGTTCTTGGGACGTTGCCATATGTGACCGAAATCATTGAGATGTCGACCTCGTCTGAAGGGGCACTCAATGGTAAGAGCAAGGCCATAATATCATCAACACCTAGAGCTGTCAAATTTTGAAAACTACAGTAGGCACCACAGCAGTGTCGACGATGAGCTTCGGTCGCGACATCTTGATTTGTGACGTGCGGTAGTACAGTTGAGTGATGGATAAAATATGATGTTCGTGGTAATGCAAAAGGAAACATATGATATGAAATAATGCTATTCTTATGCGAGCATACAATTGAGCATAAAATAAGGCCAACTGGCAGCCCATGAAATAAGGAGTGAGTTGAGGCTGGGGTTTGCCCCTTCGGTAGTCTCCGACACCTTCTTGGGCTTCCTACACGCCCGGGATAATAACCTTGAGTAAAGCCCCTACGGCAATATTGTGGCTCTAGGAGTCTCTGCGTCGTTATTAGCCGACACTGTCTTACGGATATAAGCGACACGAATGCGGGGATGGACAACAGGTGGCCAAGACCTTGGAGCCACGAAGTTTGGTTGGGTTAGTTCCAGCGGAAAGAGACTACAATTACAGTAAATTCTGGGCCTTGTTCTTGAAAACCCCTGAATGACGCCCAGGTCGTGTCAGTACCATAGCTAATAAAGGCGGTCGACAACATCGCTTGCATGCCCCTACTGGAGAAACGCGCAACTTGCGGCGAGTTTGCCACCCACCGACCATTTTCATTTTTTCTTACTCTATGAATAGGTTACTCACTCATAGCTTCCTTTGGGTGGGCCACTGCCAAGCGACAGTCGCGCGCAGAGCTTCTCGCGAATCCATGTGAGTCGCGTTAAACTGGATGTACCCATATCGATGAGTTTTTTTGCGAAGTATCCGCCTCCCGCAGGAATCGATTTGTCAAGATGATACGAGATCTACGAGAACCCATCCGCGTGTTTCATGGGGTTGCATGTTGAACTTTATCGACTTGACCGGGACTAAGCCTGCCCTAAATCTAGTTCCTGTGCGTGACAAAATTTGAGCTTTGTTACCGCCAAAACAGTAAAACCCGCCCAGAGAAGTACTGGGGGCCCATGGACCGTCCCAACAAGCATAATTGTACAAAAGAGCCAAGCCGGTTGCCTTATGATCTAAGACGGTAGTCGATTCTCTCTGGAATCCGTACTTCTCGATCAATTTGGCATTAGCTAAGTTATCACGATGTTAGGTACCGAGACAACAAACAGCAAGATCTCGTGTGATTTAGGAGTTCAAGCAATTGACGGCCCTCCACTTCATCTGCCACGATCAATTGACCCATCTGGGAGAGTAGGACATGCAGAGGTTGATGATATAGAATCCGCAAGCTCCGGAGCATATCCTGAAGGAGGAATCAAGGCGTGGACGGTTGTTGTGGGATCATGGTTCGGCACGTTCGCATCTCTCGGCATCTTGAACTCCATCGGCACCTTTCAAGCATACATTCAGGAGCATCAGCTGCAAAATTATAGCCCGGGTACCGTCGGCTGGGTGTTCTCTCTGTATGCCTTCTTATCGTTTTTCTGTGGAGTGTACTTCGGACCTATTTTCGACAAGTATGGCCCTCGTGGGCTTACTATTTCCGGCACTGCCATGATGGCGGGTGGTTTATTTGCCATGAGCTTTTGCAAAGGTAATGTGAAGCGCCGTTTTCCCTCCTACTTCTCAAACGGCATTGTTGCTTATCTGGAATTCTAGATTTGTGGCAGTTCATTCTCGCATTTGGGGTTGCCTGCGGCTTCGGCACCTCTCTGCTCTTTTGTCCTTCGATAGCTGCCGTCGGGCATTTCTTTAAAGCTCGCCGAAGTTTGGCGACATCTATTTCCTCGACGGCTGGTGGCCTCGGCGGCGTCATATTCCCGTTTATGCTGTCCTCTTTGTTCGAATCGATTGGATATGCCTGGGCAACTCGCGCCGTGGCTCTCATCTGCCTCTGTTGTGGCTCTATTGCCGTCTTTACCATCGAGTCACGTCTGGCACCTGCGAAGAATGCACGAGCCCATCCCGATTTCCGCATCTTTAGGCAAATCGATTTTATCTTGATTACTGCGGGCATCTTCCTCTTTGAGTTTTCTCTCTTCATTCCTCTGGGCTTCATCTCGTCCTACGCTCTGGATCACGGCTTTGGGCTCGACTTCTCGTACAACCTGGTGCCAATTCTAAACGCCGCCTCAATTGCCGGTCGAATCTTGCCAGGGTATTATGCTGACTTGGTTGGACCTTTGAACATGAACGTTTTTGCCGTGATACTCTCTGTTGTCGCATGCTTTGGAGTCTGGCTACCTGCCGGACATACAGCAGCAGGCATCGTTGCCTTTGCCATTCTCTTCGGATTCGTAACTGGAACACTCATCGCACTGGTGCCGGTTTGTGTCGGTCAGGTCTGCGAGACGCAGGACTACGGGAGGTACTATGCTACCTCATTTAGCGTCGTCTCATTTGCTTGTTTGATCAGTATTCCCATTGGCGGTAGTATCGTGAATGCCAATGGCGGGGACTACACGGGGCTCATAATATTGACTGGCGTCATCTATGCTGTCTCTGGAGTCGTCCTGATCGGAGCCAAAGCATATGTGTTTGGTTTGAAGAACTGGGCTGCTGTGTACTAAAGAAGAGAGAATGTCTTATGACGATTGCATCATTTTAAAGTCATTATTGATTGCCGTGGCTGTTTAGCTTTTGTATCTAGACATGAGACAAGAGGATATGATAGCTTATGCCCTCAGCCATTGTCTGTTTCCCTGTTCATTTAGAAACTGAAACGTGGTTTCTATCTTTAATGGTGTCCCGACTTGGAGGTGTCGTTGACGAAGGCTTGCAGGACACCGGCTGCGATGAACTGTCCAATGACCCAGCAAATGTTAACAAAGGCAAGCAGGTAGCCTCTGAGAGCAAGAGGGCATATTTCAGAAGAGTATGCTGAACCCATGATTGCAAAGATACACCAGGGGATACCTAAAAGTACTTGTCCCGCAACCAGGACCTCCAAATTTGGAGCGAAGAAGGTGATGAATATCACACCTGACATGACGATGAGGCCAGCCATTGTGACCACCAGGTGCCTAATTCTTTCAGTCACGTAGCCCTTGAGAAGCGGGCCAATGAAGCTACCGCAGGCTGCAGCGTTGCCTAGAGCCACTTGCCAGTCACCGGGAATGGTCTTCTCGCCCAGCTCTGGGTAGTAAGTGCCAAACTTCTCGACGAATGGAGGGAAAGCGAAGAGGCTAAACATGAGGCTCGTATCGTCGCCCTCCATAACAATGGTCAAGGACATAACTTTGGACCATATGACAGAAGTAGGGTGGTGGCGGAATGCCTCCCTTGGACGAGATCGAATGAAGTTGTACGAATACACCGCATCGCCGACCCTTTGCCCGGGTCAGACAACCACTGTCAAGATTCAGATCAAGGGGAGCAAACCAGGCAAGTTTGTTCTCCGATTACAAGTATTTGGAGAAGACGATGAGCTCAGGGCCACGAATGGGCCTTTATTCATTCCTGATTCTTCCGAGACGGGTGTATTGATCTGGACTATCCCCGACAAGCTGGGCAGCCGACCTATCCACACATTTGGTCTCTACATCCAGCCTAATAACGATAGCTCGCTCAACGGGACATCCAGGTTGGACAGCCTACGCTGGGGCGGTGCGCCTCACGTACTGATCAGTCGGTCATCTACACGGCTGGGGGTGGCTTGGTATCGATCATGGGTGAATAGAGTCAGCAAGTTGCACCCCGACATGCTGAATCTACTCATCCTTTCCCCAGCTGCAGGTGAAAGGGTCATTACCTATGGCGCTAGGGACTAGACAGATTGTAGCGTTCGTGTTCCTAAGTTCAAGATCGACTTTGGTGCGCCTGTCGGTGTGCCTATTCCGTACAAGGACTTAACCGCTACTATTCACTCGTCCTTCCTAAAGGTCGCTACGTGTCATTGGTGAAGGTATATGATAAGAAGAGAATTACCCTTGCTTCCACGCCATTTGAGTGGGAGCTGGATGGTGAGTATAAGCTTTCCTTGGAGGTTCAAGGCGACTCTTTCGAGGTAGAGTAATGATCTACACCTCAAAGCCTCTGATTCCCAATATAGGGAGGGTGGCATAGGAATAGTAGTCACGGCAGGTGCTATTTGCATAGACACTGTTGAATTTCCACCCTGTATAGTTCAATATGGCACTGCGGGATGCCTCATCAATCAAGCAGACAGAGAAATGAAGCCCAAACTTTCCATATTGCACGTTTGTGGCGCTCACCAGAGCTGATTGTGGCAGAATCTGCGTCTACTGTTCCACTACTCTTTTCTGTTTCGCCAACAATGTCTGACCCGGTGACTGCTACCTACGAGTCTGTGAAAGGAAGTTCGACCGTTCTGAAACTTGACACAGAGCAATCCCGCAAGGAATGCCATTCCAAGAGAACAGAGAGGACATACGCGCCATTATGCTTGACCAAAATTGTAACCTCACTCATGTTTGTGCGAGACATATGTGATCTTCTGGCATTAATCATTCAAGTAATGAATAATCAGGCCGGCACAGAGCACATCCAGAAAGAGGTCAGACCAAATTAAATATACTCAACTATGTGCAAAATATTTTTGTGGTCAGGTCTATCTTCATTTCTGTTTTGGACGGTGAGGCGGACCCCTACTCACCGATAACGTTGGAGCCAAATCGACAACCTGAACTTGGTCCCTATATCACAGTTACACACGAATCCAATACAAGGCATTACTGTATTTTCTAAGTGCACTTAATCAGTCTGTGACCGACACATGACAATTACAGACGAGCCATTAGTTTTCCGGGCGTGCTAAACTTAACATACTCCTCTAGGCACTCCGGATTCGCAATCGAACCTCTCATGGTCACTTTCTCTCCAGCGACAAGAGCCTTGACAACCTTCTCAATCTTCTTCCCGTTCATCGTACAGGGTATATCCTTCACCTGCCACATTTCCTCGGGAACATGCCTGGCGCTGAGCGTTCTGCGGATTTCCTCGGCGATTCTAGATCTCAGCGAGTCGTCCAAGGCGTCACCGGGGCTCTTCATCTTGATAAACATGACGACCCTTTCATCTTCTATGTCGCTTTCACCATTTTGTTGGCAGCGGCGAACCCGTTGGCTCACGACAACAGAGTCCTCGATCTCGGGAAATCGACTGACCACGTCGTACAACTCGGCCGTACCGAAGCGGACACCTGGAACAGAATACAATGTCAGTCCATAAGTTCCTACGTACGAGCACCACTGGTAGGGCCCGGAGGATGGGGCACCCGTCAATACCTCCTGGGTTGAGGACTCCATCACTGCGGCCGTGTATCGAATAGCCTCCTGTCGCGACATTCCTCGATATCAAATCGCCGTGGCTCCAAACGCCTGGGTATAGCGAAAAATAGGTATCAAAGTACCTGTTACCTGTGGCATCATCTCCCCAGAACTTGACCGGCATACTGACAAAAGGCTTTGTGATGACAAGCTCTCCAATTTCCCCCGAGGGCACTGTGTTTTTGCCGTCTCCATTCCAGATCTCTACCTTAATTCCAAGGGTGGCTGCGGCCATCTCGCTCCCAACAACGGACGAGAGGCTATTCCCACCGACGACTATTGAAGAGGCTCATGTTAGCGGTGCACGTTCGGTGATGGTGCAATATTCGGTCGAGAAAGTCCATTCACTTACTACCACCAACGAGATCCGTACCACCGGAAGCATTATGCAGACCTACGTGCCGTTGGAAGTTATCGGCGTAGAACCAAGCGGCGAGACTAGTACTTAGGGGAGAGCCAGATACAAGGACGTTTTGGAGACTCTCCAGACGTCTTGCGATACCACTACTCTCTGGGTCACTTCTGAGCCCAGCGAGGAATTTTGGGCTGGTGCCCCAATGAGTTACCCTTAAATCTCGAATCAGTGGATTGCATACAATACTTGATAACATGATGAATCAGGTGGAGTCATACGTACCCTTGGCTTTCAAGGAGACTGAGTTGAAAGGAAGGAGTTGGATGCAGAGGACTCCCATCGTAAAGAACAATCCTCGATCCGAGACTCAGAGCACCGATGAGCATGTTCCACATCATCCAGCCAGTCTGGTGGTCGGAGGTGTGGAGAGTTAGCTTTCTGTCGTTTTTCTATACAACTGATTGGAAGGGGCAGGAGCAGAACAAGAGATAACTTACAGTGGTGTATTGGTAATATGTTGAGTCAATGCCCATATCGATGCCCAAGGCCAGATCTAGCTTGTTTTTCAGAAGAACTGCTCCTCCAGAGTGGCAGATACCTTTTACGGGAGGTGTCAGCTGTCATAAAACATTGTGTATACCGTTTTGAAGTTGGCCTACATTTAGGGGTACCTGTAGTTCCAGAACTGTTCATTGTTAGCCAGACCGTGTCAGCTGGATTCGTTTCTTTCGGGGTTGCTTCGATCCCAAGATAATTGAACTGAGGCAACTTACGTGAATAGGATGTAGATTGGATGATCAAAAGGTACTTGGACAAACTTGAGAGGTCGAGCAGGCGCTTCGAGGAACCTCTCAAGCGGGATTCTACAGAAGCATCCAAAGTCAAATCAATATTCCGTAGCTGTCAATGTATGAGAGACGAGGCCGCCGCGCCTGACTCGTCGTTGAGAAGCTCATTCACTTACAGTCCGCTTTTCTTCCACGCAGGATCATTGATGACGATAATCTTGTCCAGGCCAGTGACCTTGGTCTTGAGTTCGTCGACAGCAGCACTAAGACGCTCCCTTAGATTTCTTCTCTTGCTCGCATATAACACCTGAGACTCGACGAATAGGATTTTGGGTTGAATCTGGGCAAACCTCTCGACGATGCCCTTGGGTCCTGTGTCTGGCGACGTGGACGAGAAGATAGCTCCGATGGCACCGGAAGCGAGCGCAATCAGTATGGCCTCGAGGGAATTGGTCACGACCGCTACATATGTCGTTAGCGGTAATGGTCCTCAGGAGCTAGCCAGTCTAGCATTTAATTGAGAAGGTGAAAAACAGAGAAGAGAGGTAAATGGCCACATACTCGCAACGCGGTCCCCTTTCCCCACGCCAGCATTTTGGAGTGCACTGGCATAAAGAGCGACCTGGTCTCGTAGTTGTAGCCAGCTCAGGTGTCTCCATTCCGTGCCCCCTTCACGACAGGCCGAGACGGCAGTCATATCTGGATGAGCCGCGAGGCCGGTCGCCAGCACGTTCTCGGTGAAGTTCATCTCGGCTCCGGGAAACCATTGTGGCCGCGGCCACATGGCGGCGAGCGAGTTGGCGACTGCCAGCGGCGGTTTCGACGTCACGAGCCCGCTAAAATTCCAGAGCTCTCGGTAGAACAGGTCCAGATTTTCGACGCTCCATCGGTGCAGTGATGTGTAGTCTCGTATGTGCTCGTTGTATTGTTTGTTGATGTGTCGCCTGAACGCATCGAGGCGTGTGAGGTGCGGGCTGGGATGAGTCCAAAGAGGTGCCATGTCGTGGAACAGGTTCTACAGATGTGGGCAGTAAAAGAATTGTGTAAATAGGCCACATTTAGCATTGATCGACTTTTATGTGTGGCATCGTTGCAAGCTATAGTCTAACAGGGCCTAGAAGATGCCGATGGGCTTTCCCTGACCGAGGATACGATGACCAGTGCAATGGAAAACTTGACCGACTAACTTGGAAAAGCCCGGGGCTGGGCCGTGCCGTATGGCGGATCAGAGATGGCGCCGGAGCAACCTCCCTCGTGATAATCCTCCAATGTTCAGTTCCTCCGAGCTGCTGATGACTCCACACTGCTGTTGAGGCATGATCGGCATACACGGAGCAACCGAAACCTGGGGCAGAAGACCTAGACCTATTTGATAGTCTAGACTATCTAGTGTCGGAAGGCCGGGGGATTTGTTAGTCTACCGTAGTGTGATGAGCCCATTGTGCCATGTCTAGCCGTATGGCAACAGTGGCGAGGAGGCGGTACGTGTTGCCAACTCCAATTTCCGGAGTAACGTATTCGGCAGAAGGCAAAAGTGGAAGAGCCAAGAGGCTTGCTGTGAACGCAACGACGCATAACATCGCGACTATTGACTAGGTCCTGCTGATACTGGGTGCACGACTGCGACACAAAACTTGACAAGCTATCCATCCCCTCACCTTCTATAATATCTCTTCATTTCATCTTTACCTTCTCTTGTATTGGCCATAGGTCTACCATAAAGTTTACGTTCCCATCATAATGCATGAGACGGACGTTGTCATTGTCGGCGCTGGGCCATCGGGGCTGAGTCTTGCGGTCGCCCTCAGCCGACTCCAGATCAAGGTATGCAGCGTCGCATTGTAACGCCCATGCCCAAGGCTCAACTGCCAATATCTCCCTATGCTAATGCTTCCGCCCAAGTCTGTTATTCTTGAGAAGCAGCTTGAAATCTGCGAAGATCCTCGAGCTATTGCGTTTGCCGGTGATGCATCTCGTATCCTTTCCCTGATCGGAATCACTCCGGAAGAGATGGACCAAATAAGTCAACGTAAGTTAGACAGGATCGGAAGAGAGCCGAAATAGAGAAGTGGGATGTGTGCCCTCAAAATATACTATCTGCTCATATTGTGAGGCATTAGCTAACATAGATTTGCCGATTATGACAGCACTCTCCGCCGTACACTTTCACAGCAGCACTTTTACCTCTACGCCTTTCTTCCGACTCGAACACAATCAGGACTGGTCAGAGCAAGCATTGCCTAATGCCAGCGTCATTCTTCAGCCAGGCCTAGGTAACAGATTCCTCGAGCTCCATTCTTCCCCTCCTTCTGGTTACCAATAGCAGCAAACTCATACGCGGGCTTGAATAGAACAGCTTCTTCGTGATAGAGGACAGGCTTCCAAGTACATAACATTGAAGCTGAACTGCGAAGTGGTCGGACTTGTTGAAAATTCAAGCAATATCGAAGTAACATACGAAGAAAAGGGCACACCGGGAACACACGTGGTTCGAGGTAAATATGCCGTAGGGGCGGATGGAAAGCGAGGCTTCGTTCGAAAAAGATTTTTGGAGGATAAGGGAATCAAGCAAGAAACAGGACGGTACGTTACACCTACATAGTTTCATTCTCACGCTTGTTCGTTATCTCCGACCTAAATACAGGATTGGAGGATCTTTGCCATCATCAGAGGTTCTAACGGGCCGACAGATATAGTTACGAGGCCACATGGGTGGCAGCAAATCTGAAAGTTACCATGCCTACGCCTAGCACCCACCCGAATTTTCCCCTCTGGGATCTCGGCTATGAGCCAGATGAGCTCTGGGACCTCTTTTGGCCTGGTGGATTCCAGTACGTGACACCCAAGGTAGACGGCGTGGGTTCTTCAGACATATGGGAACAGACACAGCCTATAGTAAGTGTTGTTTATATATTCATGTCACTAATTACAAGGGCGATATAGCTTCTGCAACCATCCCAAGATGCCTGTGGCTACGGGCCGATTTGGCCCTGCTGGAGGGAAATACTGGAGGTAAAGTGCTTCTCGCGTGATGTTGTTGAACCGAGTTTACTAACCTAGATCAAAAATATAGATTTGAATATGAGCTGCCACCTAATTTCGAACTGCCAGATGATGCGGTAGGGCATCTCAAGGAACAAATGGAACCGCATCTGACTATCCCGCCCTCAGGTCTACGGTAACCATCCATATATGGCCACGCAGTCCGCGTATTGAACCTTAGCTAACCCGCATCAAATACTAAATAGTCGCCAAGGTCGCCGGCCGAGTACTCCAGTACGATTCCCATGGGATTGTGTAGAAGTTTTGCGTTGTGAGCCAGCACAGTAAGTCCCCTGAGCACGAGTCCTTGCTTTTTGCATTTGGCAGAGCTCAGATGCTTTTCTCGGAATAAAATTAACCGCTTCTTCTACACTCATCTAGCTTTGCCCAGAAGGTTGTCGACAGGTGGTTCGACGGACGAGTCATCCTAATCGGCGACGCTGCCCACGTCTTCCCGCCGTTCGGTGCTCAGGGTATCGCCAGCGGGATACGCGACGCACTTGGACTGTCGTGGCGTTTGTCTCTTCTTGTTGGCGAAACCGAGACATTCCGAGACAAAGAGGGTGCGTCTTTCGACAGAGATTCGCTTTTGTTGACCTGGTCACGCGAGCGCCGTCAGGGTGTCGACGACGCCGCAAAGCTGACCGCTGCCAACGGAGCCCTGCTGCAGACCAAATCACAGTTGCTGCGTTGGGCTGCTTGGTGTGCGGACACTGTGATGAGCTGGATGCCGCGCCTCCAACTCGCCTTGCTTCGTAACCACTTTTCAGACCGCGACGGTGTCCACGGCGTAAAGGACGGGTTCTTCCTCGAGCACCAGGGCGGAGGAACCAAGACTGCTCAGATCTTTATTCAGAGAGCCGATGCCGGGTCGGTTGGGCTATCAGACCACATGTTTCGAAACTCCAACGCTGTCTTAACATTGTTGATTCTAAATCATCCGGAGAGCGAGCAAGAGTGGACGGCTGTCCAGCAGGTATCAAATCGACTTGATCTCCCTGCTAAGTTCCTCGCAGAGAAAGCTATTTTTTTGAATGACACGACCCCGGCATCCTTGAAACAGCAGCCTAACTCTACGAAGATTCAGAGCTCGCAACTGTTGACGCCTGCGAAAGAGGGGGCTATTTCTGGCGCTGGACACAAGCCGCTTCCTCTTTATGACCCTTGCGCGTTTCGGAAGAGATTTCAATCCAGTGCCAAGTACGTACTGGTCCGCCCAGACTTTATCATCTTTTCGCAAGCGCAGACATTGGAACAGCTCGAGGATCAGATCGGTCGGGCCTGGAGAATGGCAACGAGTAGAACGAGTAGCTAAACCTTCCGACTCGCCAAGGCTTGTGTATATTATAACTATCAATAGAGCAGCCAATCATTATTACACTTTGATCTTCTCTCCTTGATTTCTCGTGACATTTGCGTAAGTTGGTTATGTAAGTACGGAGTCCCAGTCTAGGGACGAGCCGACCTCTCCAGGGATTGCATCGGGAAGATCCCACGCGAGCTCGAGCTCGTTATTAGACCAGGATTCCCAGCTCCTGTCGTTTTGACAGCTTTCTTCTACTTCTGTTGTGATCTCGGACAATGATAATAAATCCATGGAGCCCGGAGAGCCACCGTTCATTGCCGGGTTGGCTGCTGAGAAGTGAATCTGTCTATTAAGCACGATATCTAGAAGAAAGTCGAAGGCCGATTTATGGGACTGGCACAATGGGGGGTTGGCCCAATATTTCTTTAGTATATCTGTAGAAAGTTAGCTTCGCATCACAAAAGACACAAGGCGGTGTCGTTTAGGAGTTTATTCTAAGCGTGATTTATACCTGCTAATTGATTCGCTTAGTTAATGTTAGCTTGTAGTTCCAATAAGATAAAAGCCGATCCAGATCTGAACAGAGACATACCAAGGAGCCAATGCCGGCCTATTTGGGCCAAGAAAAGGAATAATAGATCCATGTGGTGCGACGGTCGTGCACTGGATGACGTTGTAGCCGAATGGATTGCCCCGTCTAGCGTCAACACGATACCGGTAAGCAGGATGATATACGCGCTCTTGGAATCGATGGCCTCGAAATAGTCCGGCTTCCAGTTCTGGACAACGCGGAGCACCTCGTTCGCTCGCGCTATCACGGTCTGCCACTGCGCCTGGAATGCTGACTCTGAAGTTGAGCTTGTGCCGTCCAATTGGACAGCCAAAGCAGCATGTAGCAAACATGCACTATGCGTTTGGCAAGCCCGTTAGTAACCTTGACCAGAAACGCAATAGAATGGGGTGATTACCCTTGCCAGACAATCAATGCCTCCAGTCTATCCCGGTGTTCTGTTTCTGTCTCCCCAGTCCCCAGGTTCCGAATTGGCTTGAAGACCCAAGCAGGCAGAGAAAGTGTGGTTGCGGCGCAATCACTCTCCAGTTCTTGGAACCGAGCTTTCCACGCCGGTCCGCACCCTTGTTTTAGTGAAAATCGGAGGTCCGTGACTGATCTCATCAGAGTACAGGTGACGATGTATAAGCACCTCCCTCGGCATGGCGATTTGGAGAAGACAATAGCCATGTTTTCCCAAAGCTTGAGGTCGGGTGTAAGCAACAGCTGTGAGTCTCCGATATGATCTAGCTTTCTTTGCTGAGAGCCAGGGGGTTTTGTCAGATCAGGCACTGGCGTGACGGGCAGCGTCATATTGCCCCGAGTATGGTCGGCCATAGCATGCGAGATGATCCTGTCTCCTCACCGTCAGGCTTTTCTCCATGCAGGGCTTCGAGATAGATAAAAGCAAGGCATGGGTATCCGGGTTGTTCTTACGCTATTGCACTGAAACATGTGTCCAAGGAATAAATACACCACCATACGGTCCGCAGCTCTTCAGCCTCGTATTCGCACCGTGAGCATCTTGAACTCTTGTCTTGGTCTGCAATGATGCGGTAGTAGAGTTCTGCCATACGAGTGATCCGTGCCATCTCAGCCACGGCATCCCAGGTGACTGCCGAGGCGATTTTGTGCAGGCAAAGCAAAATGGACGCCTTAAGCTCGTCGATGCTTAGTTTGGTAGTATTCGCGTAATGCCCTGCCCTCATGGCGAAATAATCAGGAGATAAAAGCCATTCTTGATGTTGAGATGACGCATACCGAGAAGCGATAGCATAGATGGACATTCGAAGCCGGGTTGACATCCCGGCGAGTCCATATCTGCCGGAGGACGATGCGGAGAAGCGCAGAAGCGGATAGATTGGCTGCACATGTTGGATGTATAGTTCCAATCTAGTCGTTCCGGTCAGTCTCTCTCGTAGCATATATGGATGTATATTATGCTGCTCATTTCAAGTACTCACAAGAACTCCTCTGCTTCCAGACTCAGATCCGCGGGTCCGCGAGGCCCGCCCGAGACAGTTTTTGACGAAAGATGGCGAGGAAAACTTGGTGTGGGCGTATCCATGAAGGGTACTGTGACATTAGCTTCTCTCGCCGCGGAAGAGCTTAGCAGACCGTCCGCCCATGACGCATCGTCGCCGTGGAAGAGTGCCTCTAGAAATTGATCGTTACCGGTCAAGTCTGATTCTAATACGGATGCGGGATCAAGAGCCTGCTGCTGGTCGTAATCTATCTCTGGTGCAGAGCTTGTCACCAAGGCCGCAGTGTTGACGAGTCGTTTGGGAGGACCTATGCAATAGGCGAGGATTCATTAGCTAAGATGACCGCTGAAGGGAGGCACTTGTGGCAGACGGGCAACATACCTGGCTTCTTTCTGTACCTGCCGTACTTGCACATTACATGCCTAAGAGAGCAAGCCGTACAAGACGGTGCCTTCATATCGCCTGAAAAGATAATACAGGTCAGATCAGAGCTCCAGCTAGGGGGGTTACGAGAAAGTGGGATGACTAACATTTAATCTTCTTCCTGAAAGAGGAGGTGAATCAGTATTGGAGCCAAATAGCAGATGGATGGTTGACGATTATGCACACATACACTCTGCAATGGTCGCAGACGCGAAGCTTCAGGCGGCCAGAGCCATCCGTCTGCTCTCGGCCACTCGAGGCCGGACCAGATGGGCTCAGCCGGTCAAGAGATTGCATCTGGGTTATAACCAGGATATGAGGTTTCGTGGATTTCAAACGCAGCAGTTGTTGTAATGTGGTGTATTGAAGAGCTTTCCGGGGAGACCGGGTCAGAGAACGAAAAAGACGGGGTAGAATGATGTGGACAAGACATCTCTCTCTCTCGGAACGGGAAGTATTAATAGGCCGAGTCCACCAGGCAACTCCCGCCTATTGCCGTCGATTGCGGGGTAGAGCCTCTACCCTGGCCGAGGCCCACCGCTACAGTTGGTGGCCAATAGTTACGACCAGCTTAGAATGGCTTACCCTAAACTCGCTAATTTCTTTCAACCAGGTACTCCTCAATAAATAATTTGGAATTAATCTAGATTACATTTAGAGTGATAAATAAATTTGAAAAAATTATAGTTCAATGCTTAGATTATTTAATTACAGTTATCTTTTTAATTGCTCTTTTAAGAAGTTTCTCAAGACGAGGCTTATACTGTCACTAGTTGGTGCGTAGATAGTCGGGTTGTCGAATACATCTGTTCTGCAAATATTTATTCTTGTCATGGACTTGGCAGGGGTTGCACATGTCTCATATAGCATGCCTACCGCAAGATGCTTTAAATCAATCATGCAATCAACTACCTACTACAAAGCTGCCTTTTCCAAGCTGACTTGCGAATTCCGTGATCGCTCTCGGAACCGCACGAGCAAGCCGGTCTGCTTGGCAAACCAAAAGGTTTCAACCTTCCAGTCCGGCTCATTCGACGCCCACTCCAGGTCGAACTGTCGAAGTATCTGCGGGACGAGTTTTCCCATTTCCATGATAGAAATGTTTTTCCCGATACAGGTTCTCGCTCCCGCCCCGAACTGTCATCAAATTAGCCTGATTTGCCGGCATTAGACGAGACGAGATACCACGGCGACTCACAGTCAGTAGGTGACGATCCATGACTTTGGCCGTCTCCTCATCACAGAGCCATCGCTCAGGCCGAAATTCATCTGCGTCTTGGCCAAATATTTCACGATCCCGGTGAATGACTGCAGCGTTTACTCCCACTATGGTGCCCTCTGGCAGAAAATGCCCGTTGATGTTGGCACCTCCGTGAGGGACCACCCTCTCGAGGGGATACTGTACTCCTGGATGCATTCGCATAGCTTCCTTCAGACACAACTGGCTGTTCGTGGGACTCTTAGTTAGTGGCTTCTACCTGTGCCTCTTCAAAAACTCTTCGCGAGTGAGTATGTCTTGGAAGGCCTCGTCAACTTACAGATAGTCCATCTGGAGACTCTCGGCATAACTGATCACTGGCGAGAGTTTCCCTGCATCGTCCAAGTCATCGATCTCCCTCTGAAGTTTCTTATAGCTATCGTCATTCCGCATGAGATAATAAAATACGGCCCTTAGGGAGATACCAGTGGTGTCGCTCCCAGCCAATCTGTGAAATCACTCCGTTAGGGCAGGTAACCAGCATGGGTCCGAGCTATCTCTTGAGTTCACTTACAAGTTATTGGTCAGATGATTCATCAACTCTCTGTCCGGCATGACTTCCCCTGTGGACTTTTGTTGCTGTCGGAAATACGCGAGGAAGTCGCCTCGACTATCTGTCGTGGATGTTTGTGCATCATAAGACTTGATGGCTTCCAACACCATCTGTATACCTATTAGAACCCATGCACGGAATGGAAGAAGGTGTATTGAAAAGGTCCAAAGTTGAATACCAACCTTCGTGACGATATCCATTGGGTTTGGAAGGGACAGATAAGACAAAATATTGTGGAACGTCTTGCTTCCCATCGAGAAGCCATTGAGCATCGGGACCTGCCCGAGGACCCCGCCAAGTCTAAGACCTAGATCGATGCCAGAAAGGACATTACTGACGTCCTCACGATGTTCCATGAATCCGAATCGTTTCGAAAATGTTATAGCGCCAATAACATCGAAAGCGTACCACTGCAGCCAGACGCCGAGGTCGACCACCTGACCCTGCATTTCCTTCATGGTTGCTGTGAAGATCTCGCTGCATGGGTCGACAAGATATTCGAGGGTCTTAATGGAGGTCATGCTGAATTTCTGTGCCACTGGCCGCTTGAGTGCCTTGTGCTCTTCGGGGGATCGAGTTGAGAACATGCTCGCCATGGCCTCTTCCTGGTACATGACATCGAAGAAACGGTAGAAATCAGACTATGTGACTTATGAGTCAATCTTCCCGTTATTCAATTCATACGCGAGGCCTGATTTGGGGTGGTTACATACCTTGATAAACTTGCTGCCGATCCCGTAAATCAAGGATATAGCAGACGGATCTGAAATGTCTACTACCTTAGGGGCCGTCCGCACCATTTGACCGTGTTTTGCGTGCAGCTTCCGATAACCCTCGGGCGCCTTGCCGCTGAATACAAACACGATACGCCATAAAGGAGTGTATCGTGCGAGCCAGGGCCCGGGCAAGTCACGAAGGCCTGGGCGAAGAGATACGTAAAGTATCTGGATCGTCCAGACCAGAACTGCGAACAGCCCTAGCCACGCAACGTGCTGAATAGAAAGTGCCATCATAATCGACGTACGAGTAAAACTAACGACTGCTTTGTTTATGTTAGAAGAGTGCTTTGTGGGGATCCAACCAGGCCTTCTAGCTACATAGCTAGCTCCCTTAAACCATTTATACACTCCTAGATTATTTAGCCGTCGCTCTTTTGCCCCGCCCGATACCCCAGACACAAACCAACTGCCGTCTCTCCCTCCCTCGTATTACAAAACAACACTATCGCAGTGTGGCTTGGGTCGGCAGATCTGCAAGGTGGTGGGGAGTTCGGATGCACTTGTCATGGAGGTTTGAGGATGTTCCGGGGCTGTAGGCGGCCAATGATCATCCGGCATAGCCTCCCGGACTAATGATACCAAGAACATTCTGCACTGAGAGTACCCATGCCCCATTAGTTCATTGCCAAATATCTTAGAAACGCATGGTGCAAATATCACAAACTGGTTAAAAGCGGTATTCCCGCTTTTGTGAGCCCCATCCCCCTTAGCCAAGTCAGACTTTCGCATACTTTTATCACAAGCACTTTAGCAATCATGGCATCTACTCGCCTCCCAGAGATTCGAAATGACCCTTCAAAGGTCCAGCTTGAACGGATTTCTCACGTCTTGTTCGAGCATCCAGACCTTGACAAATTCGATGGGTTCGCTCAAGACTTTGGTTTCACACGGGTCCAAAGCCATGACGAAAGCCTAGCCATCTATCGTGGCTATGGCAAAGATCAGTATTGTTACGTAGCACGCAAGTCGGCGACTGGGCAGCCGCATTTCGGAGGCGGGGTCTTCCTTGCGCAGACCCAAAGTGATTTTGACAAGGCGGCGTCTATGGACGGTGCAGAGATTACAGACCTGTCTCAGTTCCCTGGTGGCGGCCGGATGGTTACTCTCCACTCGCCCTCTGGGTTCCCCATTAACATTGCGTACGGTATTCAAGATCGAGTTCAATCCGAGTCTGAGTCTGTACCGTCCACTCAGGTGGAAAATATAGGGCCCTTCAATGGCAGTGTCACGAAGAGAAGACTGGGTACGTTTGGTTACGCGTACTCTCCCCGTAGGTGTCGTCCGTGATCTCTAACTAAAAAAACTTCAGGAAAGTTCCAACGTTTCCATCCAGGCCCAGCCCTCGTGCACAAACTCGGTCACTATGGCTTCGTGCTCGCGCGGTGGGACGAAGAAGTCGCCTGGTATACGGGAAACTTCAACTTCGTCCCTTCTGACGTGCAGTTTGAGCCGAATAGGGAGGATTTCGACGTCATCACATTCCTCCATCTCGACCTTGGAAAGCGTTTCTCAGACCACCACACACTGTTCCTGTCCCGCGCGCCGCCTGGCGAGCACGACCGGATGCATCATACGTCCTACGAGGTCGAGGATTTTGACACACAGCTTCTCGGACACGAGTGGCTGGCTAGCAAGGGCTACACAAGTGTATGGGGAGTTGGCAGGCACATACTGGGGTCGCAGATTTTCGACTACTGGAGGGACACGAGTGGGTTCAATATCGAGCACTATGCGGATGGAGATCTTGTGAATGAGGACACTGGCACCAAGAGGAGCATGGCAGGACCATTGTCAGTTTGGGGGCCGGAAATGACGGGAATCATGTTTGAAGATGGCACGAAGCCAACTGCTGCTTGATTTGAGATTAGTGGTATCACATAAAGACAATTTTGTATAGCAACGCTACCAAATCTGCACAGTGTAGACCTAAGAAGTTGCATCATCCATAGGGATGGACCAAGCTTTGCTCTTGTGACCTGCTAGTCTTCAATCTCGCCGTTTGGGGATGCCACCTTTCGCAGGTGCTGGCGGGCTAAGCTCCCGGAAAATCCTAAAATCACTTTCCAGCAAGAGAAGACGTAAGTTTGACGGGAGAACAAGGCGTTTGAGTTGCTCCAGGTCTTTCGGAGCATCTTGCCAAATGTTCCGGGGGGTTACTCCGGTGAGGAGGTGGCACGACATCCGCGGCCGACCTGTACGTACTGGCTAGCGGATGACTCGGAATACCCATCTTGGTGTAATGTGAGCTTGAATGGGATGAAACATTTCTCGAATGTACGTTTTTAAAAGGCTATCACTGTCTTGCATTGCTACTACATTGAATCTGGAGGACAAACTAGACCTGTCATCTGTCTCTCTGTTCCGCCACGCACCACCTGAGCTAACCAAACCCAAGACCATGGCATCCTGGACACATCTCGCTCATTTCGAGGCTGAGGATGGTAAAAGATATTTTGCGTCCATCAAGTCTCAATCAGATGTTGCCCGACTATCGGGCTTGAGTGTCACCGGCTTCTCATCGTTCCCTGAACTTGTTGATAACAATGAAGGACATCTCGTTACAATAAAACAGGCACGTATACTAAATTCTTCCTTCCCTCCGCATAAAGGCGCTCTCTTATTAAGTTTCTGAGACATTGAAATTAAAGCTAATTCAATGTGGCGTATAGCTCTTGGCTCCCGTACCATATAACGGAGACATTATCTGCATAGGGCTCAATTACCGCAAACATGCAGAAGAGGCGAACGTGAGGAGTCTAAAACCAAACTTCTTTAACTGTCTTCTTGGCTAACTAGCCGTCTATGTCAACCAAGTACAGCTTACAGTACCACTTGACCCCGTCATGTGGTATAAGCCCAGGCGAGCCCTTCGTGGACCAGGACAAGTTGTAATCCCCAGAGTAGCAGCGAACAACTTTCCCGACTTCGAGGTACTCCGCGCTAACGTCTTGTTATCTTACCTTGTGCTCAAGAACATGCTAACTCGTGATGCAGGGAGAACTCGTCATCGTCACATCCAAAGACGCCTTGAATGTCAGCGTTGAGGATGCTCCGGGATACATACTGGGTTACACGGTTGGTAATGATCTGACAGCTCGTGGATACCAAGACCCCAAAAGAGGAGGGCACCAATTTACTCGATGCAAAGCGTTCGATGGTTTCGCTCCGTTGGGACCAGTGTTGGCGAATGCGCAGTCGTTTGGCGACACGGCCGGCAAGCGGATCGTTACCAAGGTCAACGGCAAGGTATTCCAGAATAGCGACTGTGACTTGATTCACGATGCAGCTACGCTAGTGAGCTTTCTTTCGCAAGGTGCGTTTTCTCAGGACTAAGCTATTGCGGTTATCCTCCCTCTCTGCATCTTTCTCACGTTCTGTGATATATCAGAAGACTGACTCCAACTAACCGCGCCAATAGGCACGACGTTACCTGTAGGGTCTGTGATAATGACAGGATCTCCCCCCGGCATCGGATACTTTTCCAATCCCCAATATCAGCTAAGGGATGGAGATGTCGTGTCCGTCGAAATAGGCGGAATTGGCACTCTTCTGAACACCATGGTTTTTGAGTAGAAAAGAAACAACTCAGGATCTGATAACGACTAGATTGTTAGTGGAAACAGAACTTAGATGACGTTTCGTGGAGTGGTAACTTCTATCTATTAATGTAGTCTAACAAAGCTCCATTTAATGTCATCGCAAGGTATGGTCAGCCATTAGTTTCTCTGTAACAGAGGGGGGCTTGGTCAGTCTCTAATCCTTCTGGCAATGCTCAACAACATGCTCGCTGTAGGCCGCCAGGATATAATGTCGCGGCCGAAGTCGACCGAGTCGATGTCTATGCCCTGCTCAACGGCCCGGTTGTACATCGACCGCATCACCGCCGTCACTTCTTTATCTAAGTAAACTAAGAAAGGTTGAGAAGAAGCAATTCTACTCAAAAGATTTAAAGAAACCACATGTAGCAACTTTTTTTTTATTAGAGATATCTACTTTTCAGAAGATATACCAACAGAATTTCCTCACTGAGGTCATTTAAAGCGTGGCTTTCGATGCGAAGTTTTCTCAATGTCGCCGACAGATGGCTTCTGCTAGTGGGGACATACTGGGATGACCTCTTGGTGTCGGATGGCTCGATAACCGACATGTCGTGAATGGCACAGGCTCCTGGTTGGATGTACTTTCCGAGCACTGACGGCCTGCCCGAAGTCCAGCTGTCCTTGTTCGATATGATACAGTCAAGCGGCCGACCAGTGGCAGAGAGCTAGGCGAGTGAATCTTCAATGGGAATAGATGCCGACGCAAGTTGCCCTCAGCGATGGAACGAAGCTATGTACTCTGCATAAAATATTGAAGAACCACATAAGCAACATAAAAAGACTGACTCATCTCTAATTACCTACCTACATAAAGGAGGAGCTAGATCCATGTCATGTCATCAATAACCACCGGAGCAACGTTTCTCAGAGATCTCACGTTGGTATTTACGAGTCCCTTTACCCATCTCTAGGAACTCCCAATAGAAGTACTTAAACAGCCCCTTCAACACACATCTGACTGGCTCTCCTTAACCTCCCGATCCATCGTAGGATCGTCGACCAGCGAATAATCATGACTAGTATGACCATGACTAACGCAGAGATGGGAATGCAAATAGCCCAAAACTGGCCAAACCCATCCTTCCCTGGAGCCCAGTCATCTGCCATGCTGAAAATCGCTGCAATGGTACTTATTGGAAGGAAGAAGCCCCCCACCACTGCGAGTGCCAGCACAATCTTGCTCTGCGCGTTGGCTCTCTCGACCTCTTTGACATTGACCTGGCCATTGACATAGCTAATACTCTTGTCCAACCTCTCGTTAGTCTGTGTAATCTGAGTCTTGATATCCTCAAAGTCCATCACCAACTCTTCGGAAACCAGGTCTGCGACTCGAACTTGCTCCAGACCCAAGCTCTTCCCATTCCATAATGGCTTCCCTTTAGAACGGCACGAATCTAGCTGTTCCTTAATGAGTCCGCAGTACCATGCAAGCCGTCTGTCTATTGAGAACAAATGCTGCAAGGCTGTTCGATACAACTCCTGGTTGTTCTCATCCGACATGCGGTCCCCTCCTTGTAGAGCCCAGTGTATCGAGTAGAGGTCTCGAGTGACGAAGCCAACGATCCTAAGCCAATCGTAGCCTACAATACTGCGAAGATCCTGCGTGACTGTGAACGGAGCTGGTATACCGGCGTTTCTCAGATTCGTATTATTTTGAAAGCAGTCCATGATTAGAGATCGCATGGAAGTATGCCCCGTGTACACGTGGGCGCCAACAACATAACGCGACGGACGCTCTTGTCCAGGGAGCCCAACAAAAGGCACCCGTTTGTCGACAAGTATCACACCTACACCATTTGACAGATGAAAAGTCAGCCGGGTTTTTCGATTTGATAAGTAGGAGTAGAGAGGCTATGACGCACAAGTATTCCAGGGATCACCATCAAACCAAATAGCTAGACTAGCTCTTGTGATGGCAAGCGGTGGGAAATCGGCATCATCGGGTGTCAGCGGTGGGCGCTGCACTGGATTCAGTGGCCCATATGCGTAAGAGCCTCTGAGAGCTCGAGACTCGCGCGCGGAGTTCTGAATCTCAAAATAGCTCATCTTGAAAGGTCGGTCCAATTCACGCAGCTGTATATGAATGAGCAATTCGTGCTGCTGCTTATTCTGCACAGACGGGGCAGCACGAATTCGATATTCCACATCAGTGAAGTTGAAGCTCGGGTGATCGTGTAGATACTCATCCACGAAAGTAAGAAAGGACTGGCGCTGGGCATCATTGTGAATCCGCGTCGCAAGGAACTCTCTCAAACACTCCGGGTCAATCTCCTCGACAATGATGACCTCAGCTTCCTGCTGTGCATGAGGGCCCGTCGCAAAGCAAGAAGCACTTGAACTCCACTGCTCGTCAAACTCTCGTTCAAAAACGGGCTTTTTATCTTTGGAAAAACGCACACGATCAATCTTGGCTACACGGCGATGAGTTAGTTAGGGGCTCATACGTAGTGTAATTTGCTCATACCGTCACGGTTGACATCTGTCCTGTTTAGAAAGCGGTAAATGTTTTGATATTTTTGTCTTTCCTCCTGGCTGTTCAAAATACTATGACCGCCGTTGTGGCCCGAGGTTCCTGTATCTCGAGGCTTCGAATCGATGGCACACATTGCGACGCGTGTATACAGCAGCCAAAAAAAAATCAATGAACATGGAAGAATGGCCACTCTGTTAGATGACTACGAAGAATAGACAGCAGATTTAGCATCCAGCTCCCATCCAGGTGCAGCGTGGCGGTGTGGTGGCTGAGAGGCATCCAAAGTTCAGCTGAGGTCTTTTGCCAACCAGCACCTTCTGTCAGCCTAAACAGGCCAGGGTGAGGAGACGATTCTCTGAGGGAACGGGTTCACATGACCAAATGGCTAACAGGGGAAGCGCTGTTATGCTGTCCCACTCTCAGCCGCAGCGACAACAGAGTTGGGTAAAATGGCCCATTTAGTCAGCGAAACTCTTGACAATGGCACCGCCTTTGATATGTCGAGGATAAGAATCATAAAATTTTATGGGCGATTGAGGTACTGGTATGATGTCTTTGGCGTTGCCTTATTATTCCTTTCTTTCAGATGTGACCTCGATAGATTCTCGATTTTAGATCACACAGCATTGCTCTCGTATCATAGATCCTTCCAAGTCCTAGTATGGAGCCTAAATTAAGGACTAAAGACCCAAAATCTGGTTAACAGGCTGAAAACATCAATCCTGTATAGTCGGTGTGAATAACATCTACTATGTTCCTCACCGCGACAACGCTAATATGTTCACCTGCATGATTTGTTCTGACCCCTCTGGTAACTTGAAGATGCCACTAAGCTTTCAATTATGATTAGCCCCCTACGTTCTAAATTCTCCAAATCCTTCTCCTTATAAGTTTATCCTCTTTTAAATAAGTAGAGGATGAAAAGAGAAGAAGAGAAAAAGCGAGAAAGAAGAAGAAGAAGAAGAAGAAGAAGAAGAAGAAAGGGTGAGGAGAAAGAGGAGAGGGGGGGGTACCTTGAAGAAGAAGTTCAGCCGCCAAGTAAGCTATTCGCCATTTTCTTATTTCATTAAACTCATGGGAGCAATGTTGCTAATGTTCAATTAGTGGTGGGAGAAAAAGGTGACAGTAAGTTGAAATTTCCTGACATCAAGTTATTAAGTATAGTGATACTAACGATCCGAGAAGAGCTATGGGGATAAGATTCAGGTGAGTGAGTGTCATCTTGATAGAAGCTGCATATACTTATCACAACATACTGCAGAAGAAGAACAACCAGCTGCGGGTGAGCTATTCACTCTACGAGCGTTTTAAACATACCACGATGCTAATAAGCGAATAGAATGGACAGGCCATTGTGCAGGTAAGACCAACCATAGCCCAAGTATATAGGACGTACTGCTGACGAAGGCGAGTTCAAAGGGCTAAGAAGCTTTGAATCAGGTAAAGAGACTTTCTTCGTACCGTTGAATCCGTTACAGTATTAATGGACCTTCAATAATAGCTTCTGCGTGATGAAATCGCTGTAAGTTCTCATAATCGCTTGTCTCCAGAAGATCGACTTAACATGATTGATATGTAGGCCTTTGATCGATTCAAAGAGGTTAGAATGGCCACTTGATCTGTACTATAAGACATAACTGACATTGGAATCAAATGAAGACTGCCGAGCAACAGCTTGAGGTAAGTATTCACTCTTCACCAATCTTATACATTGACGTTCTAATTTATACCAGGCTTTGGGAGGCCCTCGGGCCCCGCCGTACTCGCCCCTCTCCGAGGTAAGTGTGTTTCTCATGTGTACAGATATAGCCTATAATTACTAACTAGATATAGTAGATGTGATCAAAAGTGAGTCGCATTGGTACTAGTATTAGTTGGTAATTTCTTTCTAATAACACTGCTTAGGGAAGAAAATGTACCATAGTTGTCGGTTGGCGTTTGTTGGGCGTCCGGTTATGTTTTTTTTTGGTCCTTTCTTTTTCTTTTTGCTGAATTAATTTTCTGTTTTACGCTCGAAAATCTGCCCATAGGTGAAGTGATGTTCTTGCTATCTCTTTTGATTGTTCAATCTAGGACTGTACATAGTTCTCATAAGAGGACATCGAGGTGATATTTACCACTGCAGTCTATCCAACCTTTTTCTATGCCCAGAGGGCATACTAAATTCATGTCCAGTATATTTGCCCTATAGTTGGTATAATGTGGAAACAGTAGTGAGTGCTTCATCATATGTCAACCAAGATTTGGTCAATTGCGAAAGTGCTTGCAAGCAAGATAAGTTGACCCTGAAGCATGGCTACAGCTTACTGTAGGCTCCAGCTATAGCGAGCAAGAAATACCTTCTCCTCGTATTTTTCGCTCTTATTTCTAAAACGATCTACATATTATTCTGCTTGTAATATGGGCAGCCTCACTACTATATGTCAAGTCGGCGCACCCGTCCAGGCATGGAAAAAGGTTGAACAAACTGAATTAGAGGAAAGGAGCCAATGAGGGGAAAAGGAGTCAATGGAGGATGTAGAGGAGGAAAGTGGAGAGATTAACTGTAATAAATGCTTTTAACCTTTCAACATGTTGGAATAATGGTCTTCACAATCCATAAAGAAAGTAAACAAGAGTGTGAGATAGAAAGAAGGAAAGAAGGCTTCCATAGCCGTAGTCAAGATTCAGGCTGCAAGCAACCGACCAAGCTGAAAAATCATAAATCCTTATTTTATGCCCTGACTAGCTGAGAGCTGGCCCAGAATCCTGAGGCAATGCTCTGAACGCGTTGGTAAGTTATTGTGATAATTGTCGTCTTTCCCTTGTGGTCGACAAAATTTATTAATCTTCCAGATGAAGTCGCAAATAGGTGACTTGATCCACCAAAACGGAGGATACCAAGAACCAAACCCAGAACAAGCATCAATAAACTGGTGTTTGCCATCGAAGAAGTAATAATCTGGCTTCCGCTTACAGTTGAAATCCGCTCTGTAAAGACGGTCGAAGTCATATCGGTGATCTTTGCTCCGACGAAAGGTTGGGCGAATTGGGATATCCTTCTTGGAGGTGACAAGGTATATTCGAGTCCAAAGAGGGACCTTACCAATAGACCAGGACCAGTGGAGCCTCATGATAAGACCTCGGACTGAGGCTTCAGAAAGACAGCCACGCACTGACTCTGCTGTGCGACCTAGGCCCTTTTTCCAATCATCCTCAAATTCAAAGGCAAGATTTAAATCTGAGTTGTAGGGAAGTTGAAAAAAAGGCAGACGAGTGAGCATCTTGTCCCATTCTAGGAAGACACAAGCAGCTAAGTGTTCTGCCGGGAATCGAAAACAGATAATATCCCTGGGACAGAAGTCTATGAAGATGGTATGCCGACCTTCCTTAATTACAGCCTTTAAACACCCTGCCGCGATTTTCCTCCTCCTTAATGAAAGCTGACGCTTTGTAAGCGGTTTTTTTCTGGGTCGTTTCGTCGAAGCAAGCTTCTTCTTTGGTTTTTCTTTCAACTCGATTGCTATTCTCCATTTTTTACAGCATTCTATTAGAGCATGCCGAGATTCCCAGCAAGCAGTTCGAAGTCCCGCGTTCCAGTAGTACTGGAACCGATTGGCCTCAGTCCAAGCGAAGTTGGCGCGCTGAGTTCGTAATACACGACGGTCCTTTAATGGCAGCGGTTCTTCATCTTGCAATCGGTTGGGTTCGCTCTCTAATTGAGGGCATTTCATGTGAGCCCATAAAAGTAAAGGAAGATAGCTCTCCCTATATTCTGGGTGGTCTTCGTTGAACAGAGAATAGTAATGAAGCTTTGGTAGCCGGGGTTCAATGAAACCCATTTTCCAAATCATTACACGTATTTCGGCAGGAAGCCTAGGAAATAAATGGAAATGTGTCGAGGGCTTTGGCGAGTCCACTCTATGAGCTATGCTGCTCGTCATCTTGTCCTTCACGTGGCTGCGGCTGCCGTGTCGTTTCTCCATTGCGAGGTGAGCTTGGCCTTCAATCTGAAGCCTTTGATTTTGTGATTGGAAGCGAGAAATGGTTCGGATGGTCTTGGTGTGACGAGACGAAAATGTCTTTTGAGTGTGGGAAAGGGCCCTGTCAAATAGGCGAGAGCAATGAGGGGTTATCGCCACTCATTAAGAACTAACTTTTACACCAAATGCATGTTATGAAGCCTATTTGGGGGCTTTGGTGTCATCTCGTATGTTGGATCCGTAGATGATCCTTGTGTGGGCTGAAGTATCTCTTTAAACTCACACTGCTAACTATTTTCACAGGGTGATACTGTCTCGGGGGTGCAGTAAAGCAGAGGCACTGATTCTAATTATCCAAACGTGGTTATACTCAGGATATTTGCTTCAAGTCAAAGTCTAGGTCGAAGTCCTAAACCAAAAAGTATATTTGCGACTAGTGGTTTCAAAAAAAAAACTACGTACGAGAGTAGAAGCTGGCTGTAGACAGCGAAGCGGCATGTGGAAACCCTGCAGTGTGTGGCTGCACTCTGTTCAATATACATACATTTACCCGCATGCGGAGCACAAGGAAATAGTAACTAATGTGTTCCACAATATGTGAACCAAGGTTTGGATCATCTACGAAAGTGCTCGTGAGCGAAATAAGCTGGCCCCTACGTGGCAAATTCTCTCGAGTGGGTGTCAGAATAACAGCGGCTGTGAAGTGTTTTTATATCTTAACTTTCTTGTACAATCAGAAAAACAATATATTAATAGGGTACAATAATAATAATAAACTATTTAGTAGTTGTTAGACGCATTGTTTATTAATACACAAAGGATTAGCTATTATGACACAATAGGCAGCAAAATTATGTGACTGCAACAATAGTTCTGTCGAGGTGTCTCTGCGGTCTCTGTTTTTATGACGCTTCTATCTATTAATCTTTCGCGCCATCAAGGGCCATATTTTCATGCCATTACTGATACCTCGGTACCCAGGGGCTTTTTGGAATGCTCAGCTCTTGCGTCTTCAGTTAATATCTGAATCTCCTCCGTCTTTATCACATGATTCTTCGTCTTGATGCCTCGCAGCTCCTCCTCGCTCTCAGCCGCACCATCCTTAGTCGTACCAGGACCGCTGTAAGTCCTCCAGTAGACGCCTGAGCCCTGGGTGTGTGTTGGCTTCGATCGGCCGGTCTTTGTGTGCAAGCCGGCAGAGGTCCTTCCGTACTTGTAGTCGCTGTCGCTGTTCGTTGCGTTGATCAGACGAGCTATCTTTCGGAGCAGCGGTCTCAGAGCTGTGAGTGCAACAACCATAATCGAGACACACAGCTCAGATGTAGCCCATAAATCTGTTTGAGATTATTAGGGTCGACTGCGCCCAGTCCGTCGACGGAGAGAGGGCAACACTTACAATTTGAGAAGCCATTGCCCACAATGGCCATATTGACAAATCGGCCGATGCTGACAGCGATGGTAATTATGCCGAGTCCCAATATTGCAGCCAAGCCAACCTTCTCTCTGAACTTGGGGAGTTTGAGGTCTCGAATCAGAGGGAAAGGAAATATGACGTCTAGTCACAGCGGTTAGAAAATGGTGACTCCGAGGAATGATAAAAGACCTACTCAATACTTCTGTGGTGAAGTTTAGTGACCAGTGGATGCGCATCATGACCATTGAATCGTAGGCTTTGCAAGAATCGGGAGCCTCTGACCTGTATTCGAGATATTATAGCATCAGCGGGCCAGAACCTCCCCCGGGTCCTGCGCATATGCAGAAGAGCGTACCAATTGGATTTTATATTCGTTCCGCACCAGAGCGTCGCGTCGAAGAAAGTCACAAGAGAACTTGCCACCGTAATGGCTGTGAGGGCATATAGCGCTTGTCGCATTCGAGGTTGTGTGCGCGGGACGAGCGTGTAGTAAAAGGAGATGATGCTGAACTTGGGGAAGTACATCCTAATCTCATGCGTCAGAACTGAAACTCGCTTTCCCTTTGGAAGTCGTCACTCACCCAAAATCAAACCAGTAATTCACAGTAAACCTGATCTGCGTCGAGTCTTTAGCGAAGGTGGCTAGTAAGGATGATCCAAGACAGCGTACTAGTAGCGTATATGTCCCCGGATCTTCGAAGTTGTGCATGGTGCCGACATTGTATACCAGCTGGTCGCATACAACCAACGCCAATGCACAAGCGGACGCCACTAGGAGGAAGATATCGGCGAGATGGAGTTTGTCCTTGTTAAGGTGTATGCGGGCAAACACACGAGCAGCAACAAGGACCAGGGCTAGAGATAGCAGAGCCCATTCGCCCGCCTGCAAGGATCAGTATTCATTCTGGGCATGCAACGGTTGATTGAGGAAGAAAGCTCACAATCACCGACGTTGATGTTGCATCGGACATCGTGTGCGGTTGGGCGCTGCCCTCCAAACCGATGGGATGGCTCTACCACCAGAACCTAAATAGATAAACTGGGAGAAGGATGAAGAAAAAGCAAAGGCGAAAAGGTGTGTATGAATAGCTCGCAGATAACCAATGTATAGGTCCCTGGAATTCGCTCAGCAGCGGGAGAACGACATGCTAGTCGCTCTCTACCTTTCCTTGATGGTGTTAGCTGCATAATGTAAACCTCAGCTCAGCTATTAGCGTTTGTCATGATTCAAGCGCAGTGCTTTCCCGTGATAAAGTAAGCCCAAGCGACACTTGTAATATCGCCAAGGCTGTTTCTTCTCAGGGGCACCACCCAATCTCAGTGACGATTTCCCCCATTCGTTCATCTGGTCTCCCCTTACAGCCTGTACGCAGTCTAGCGTGGTATTATCAGGACGCGCCATGGTTTTGGCCCTTAACGCCAAGATGTAAAGCAGGGGATGAACAAGCCCCGGTCCTGGGGAAGTGGATAGGAACAATTAGCCATAGGGCAAGACTCCAAAGGTCTCCAATATTTTACATGGGAGGGGGACCAACGCGGAATTTCCTGTTGGCTAGATTCACTAGAGCTTATCGAGGGTGGGTGGAGAGAGGCAATAGCCTTGCTAGTAACAGCCCGTCCTTGTGCTATTCCAACTAATGTCCAATAATCACGCCATCCTAATCATGAAGATCTTCAAGCAATTGCAACTGGTTGCTTCACTCATGCTTACCAAGGGTCCAAGATCACAGCCTCCGCTCCATTCTTGTCCCTGCATAACACGTGTTTGGCGTCCGCAGATCAAACCAGACGATCTTTACAGATGGCCCAACCCTAACGCAGCATTGCCAGACTACATGCGTATTGGGAACGATCTTGTTGCACTCTTCGCGACTGGAACAAGGTCTAGGCGACCGGAGAGAGGCGGCAAAATGCAAATTGGACAGATTGTCTCCTCGGGCAACCTACCTTCAGCCCACACCCTCGTCAAGGGGTATGGAGGCTGAATCAGCTTTGGGCACCCTTTTTAGGCTTGCTATTTCTGAGAATTTTCCTTTGGGCAAATGCCCACCTTCGAGCGTTATCTGGGATATTGAACCCAGATGAATGAGCCACTGAAAGTGAATTTGTACTATAGTAGGTCATGCGGAAGTTTTCCCGAGACGACATATCGAAGCTAGACGTTGATCCAGCAGTTCAACGTGAAGAAAAACAACAAGTGGCGCCCATCGTGTCCCTTGTACTAAAGTAATGCCATGACGGTTGCCAAAGCAGCCCGGGCCAGTCGTTCTTAACAAGCAAAAACAGATTCCCACAGCCGAAGCCAGCTCTTTGGCCAGCACGAACCTGCTAGTTTCTGCTTATTACAGTGAAATAAATACACGATCACCATTAAAACTGCCACGACAGAGAATTATAAGTACACTAGACTCTACTGCGCCTACAGGTATGACTCATGCTCCCATGTCAAGCGCTAAACTGATGATCTTCCGGGCCCAACGGCGGCGATTATGGGGCTCAAACGAAGAATCCACATCGACGGATTGTGACGAAATGTAGGATCAACTGAGCAACTGGCAATAGGAGTTTTCCTCTTGTCAAGCAACCAGCTCGTTAGAGAGATGATCGTAGGAAAGGCACCGCTCATACGGCATCAACATCAGAGGACGTACAGCAATGTTCTTTGGTGCATTCGCCTTTCCTATGATCAATGGCTGCCACATCGTGAAGACTCCCCAGGGCTTCACGTTCAGGAAGGAGATTACCGCGCGACCCAAGCCTCAGAGATATGTGATCAAGTACGAGACGTGAGAAGCAACGCCATTGAGCAGATGTTGACTCATATAACTAAGTCAACCAAGATCTGAAGCAGAGGCAGTCAATTGGCTAAACTTCATGTTATTCTTCTAACCACACAGATGGAACTATTTTTACTAGAATTGGTACTAGAATTAATTTTCATATAGCAAAAACTGAGAACAAGAGATTATCAACATCTTGGAATCGTTCAAATAAACTGTGAAGTTTAAAAAAAAACATCAATGCCGCGAGACACAAATGCAACCAGATATCTCACAACAGAATAGCTCGTGATAACCAACCCAAACACCATCAAACACTATGCGAGGCCCATCATCTAATAACATGAGGAAGAAAGAGATACTTCTTTACAGCCGTCCCTTCCAAGAGTGAAGTCGTTGCAGAGTATATTACAAGCTTGGCCAGGCTCAACGAACACACGCCCTTCTTGTGATATCGGAGTAAACCACGGTAGCCTCATCTGGTTCTGTTCCAAGGGAGCCCTGAACCCGGCTCGGCAGGCACAGTAGTGCTTGCCCTGGCTTGCTACCGAACCGCCTTCGATTAGGATACAGCTAGTGGTGATATCGCACGAGTTGGCGTCGTTAGGGTTGCATTCCTTAAGGCACGACCTCTTCTTGCAGTCAGGTGTACATGTGGCGCTTCCACTAGGACCGTCATCGCATTCCTCGCCGGAATCCAGCTGGAAGTTGCCGCACTTGAAGCTGCTCTCAATCTTGCAATATTCCGTACAGTATCCCGAGGGGTCGTAGCCGGTCGGACCAGGGTCGCACTCCTCGTAGTTGGATGGAGCGTAAATACCGTCGCCACAGATTCCGCGACACTCATCTGGGTACATTTCGCAGACGCGAACGAGGTCCATGAGCGATGGTCGGGTCCCCCTGCCAACATAAACCTTACTGTCAACACCCATCAAGGGCTTCTGTGTGAAGCTCTTGCCGAATTGCCACTCGAAATAGTGCATGACGGAGTTTGTATCGTAGGGACCCTCATAGTTGTACACCAGAGGGTTGGTGATTGGTGCAAACTGGCATCCCCATCCTTGACACGCGCTTTGGGAGCACTGGGCAGGGATGCCGTTGAAGTCGATGACGTTTGCGCATTCCAAGTTGAAGAAACGATATCGGTCGGGCCGCTGATGCTCGTGATGGAGTCCAAGTACTTCAATTGAGGTTAGCATGATTCAGAAGGGCTGCTTGGGACAGAGAATCAAGGGGCTTACTATGTCCTATGCCGTGAACATAAAACGAATCGTCCTCGTTCCCAAGCAAGACAACACTGGCTTTCTGTGTGTCGGCCATCCCGACGGGCCACCAAGATACGTCTGCGTCCACGAATGTTATGGTAACTCGAGTGGCTGGCGTGCTTGCACCTTTGTCGTAAGAGTCGGTCAACTCTGGAAATTCAAGCCACTTGAGTCGGTTCGACCACCGTTTTGTAGCGTCTCGAAACCGTTGCTTTCTGTCCTCTATTAGAGCAGGTGTCAAAAACGTGGCGCCAGCGGTGTCGAAACTGTATCCTATAATACCACCTGGCCATCTTGAGTTTCGAGATCGTATGGAGAAAGCCCGCTTCTCGAACTCTGAGTCCAATGAGTCCAAATCGGCCCGTCTCTGACTATTGGAGACAATATCGCGCTTGATATCGGCTTCGGTTCCGTAGACTATATCGCCATCGATCGTCGCCATGCCATTGATGACGGAGTACGCAACTCGGCGCTGAACTGATGTCACATTGTCGGAAGAACCATACGCTGAGTGAACCTGATACTGAATGTCCACTGTAGTGAGGCCGTATCTGGAGACGTCTCCGGTATTAGTGTTGTTTTGGGCATTGCTTGCCGTGCTTTGAAGGAGGAAGATGAAGTATGGCAGTAGGCTCTTCATTGTGGCTTATTGTAAAGAATAAGAACAGACAATGAATCTTTGCTTTCCCCTGCTCTGTGGTAACTTTTTAACTTGCGTTCAAATATCATCTGCCCACCATGGAAAGTAAATATATATTGGCTGGGGCAATCAGGCTTGTGAAATCAAGAGCTAAGCAGGTGACCGATTGAGCCCAGACGGACCCTTTTCAAACTGCATCGCCTCGACCGGCGCCTCCTCACCTCCATGATGAGAACTAGCGCCAAGAGCTGAAGACGAGCAAACAGCCACTAAAGGCCTCCAGAGTGCGGTCCATGGAGTATAATTAGAAGTCTAAAGCTATGCTTCATTGCTTAGGACTGTAGGGCTGAGTGAAGCTGAGAATTTAGACCGTTTAGAGGAATTTAGGATCACCATTTAGAGCTAAAGTCTGCCGCCATCTTTGTGGCTGGGTTCACTTCAAGGCACGCTATTGAAATCCAGACCAAGCCATTACACTCGAAAGCCAATTAGAAATAAGCACCAGGTGAGTGTTCATACCCAAAGGATAAAGACCATTCCGCCTCAGCTGCCCAATCTTCCCAACCCAGCAACTACTGCGCCTACTCACTTCTCCTCCATTGCCAGATAGAGCACGCCGGCCAAGCTTAGAATAGAGACTGGCGTCTTTAGAGCCACAATGGCAACTCTCATAGGTCATCAAGTCTCATGATCACACAGGACTTGCACTACTGCAAACCTAAAGCCACAAAGTAAGACACAAGGCAGACCCCCGCCAGCCGCATTCTTTATCACCTCGCCGCTGCTCAGCCAAGCAGAATAATCGATCCATCTGCCAGGCCGACTTGGCAACGGCCACCCAAATTAAAAGCGGCTGCCCCCCTTCCACCGGTGCAAGTATTGTGCTACTTACTATCATAAGTCATACTAAAGCTCGTGGAATTATATTACCAACTCGAAACATCCCCGGCATCGTAGCACTGTTGCCGCCATGCCAGCATTCAAGCTACCCAAGGGGGTTCTTCCCTACCCACGTTTTTTGTTTTACCTTGTCAAAGCGTTGCAGATAGCATCTTCTTGTTGCATCGCCGGCATCATGTTTTTCTTCATAGCGCACTTGAATAAGGAGAAGTCATCCATTCCCTGGATGTTCTACTTCGTGAGTCACCTGTCTATTGGAAGAGGGCCGCGACAGACGACTGACCACACAGCAAAAGCTTCAAGGATCAGCCATGTTGACGCTTGTCACTAATTTGGTCATGGGACTTTGGATCTTCTTCCGATCCTGGATCCCAAAAATCAGTGCCACAGTCAACGGCATCTTGGCCGCGACTTGGGCGGCCGGCTACGGTCTACTCATAGACGCAATGAAGTCGACCATCACAACGCCATGTTCTGTTGCCTACTGGGGTGATAATCGTGGAATTCTCGTTTGCAGTCTTTATAAGACGCTACTAGCTGCCGGTGCTGTCGGCCTGTATGAGACACTCTCTTTTATAAGTTTATGGATGCAAGAAGCTGACAGCATTTGAATATAGACTCAGTACGATTGCCATGGTCGTCTTGGATGTTCTCGCCGCTCGAACATTACGGAATTCCCGCAAGTCTCGCACTGGAATGAAGGAACTTCTGTTGGGGAAACCAACAGAGACAATCTACGAACCAGTTTGGTCCACTCGAGATGATTTCGCCGTTAACCTGGAGCCCACAGAGAACGAGAAATATGAAGGCCTGCGACGCAACAGTGACCCCTAAATGGGGCATAAATAGCCAATCGGGACGCTGTTCTCCTACATGAATTAGGCCCGGTGGGCGTGGTGAGCCGTCCTACACATATTAATGTTATCCCGAGGGTACGGGTTGGTTTCCGGTCTGATTTGGAGTAATAAATACTATGGGATATATGTCGTTTTATTATCTACCCATGTTGCCTAGCAAATTCTCATTCATGTTGATCCATACATTTATCTATGGAAAAAATGTCTCCTTCTCTTGTAAGAACCAACAGAAACATCAGGTGGGAAGTGCCCAGCCAAGTGGTGATCCGTTGGCGTCTTCCAACATCATAGCTACCAACATATGAGTGCATAGCCCGTGATAACACAGACATTTCTTTCCTTTCAGAGGCTATCAGAAGGGTGGTGTAATGTAAGGTGAATTTAGGGGGGCTCGTTCATCAACCCGCTGATATCTTCAGATCCGGATGCCAAGTTAATTCCGGTCCGGGCGGCGAATGCTACCACTCATGTGATCGGTGATGATTCCAGATGCCTACCAAGAGATGTGGTTTGCCACTGATTGGCTCTTCAGAACCTTCTCACTCTACCGAGCATTGGATCCCGAGAGCACACGACCATTGGATCTTCCCCCACACCAGATTGATACTCGGCTTCCCATACCGATTAGGGTGGCCCGTCTCGTGACACTGCAAACCTAATCTGCATCCGAGACGAAACATTTCACTATTTTCAAGAAGCCCCTTTTCCACCAAATATTTGCTAAAAAGAAAATTAAAAAAAAGGACCATGACAATATTTGACGGGAGATCAACAACCTACTACCGCTGTAAGTCAGTACTAGATCAATCATTCATTAAATGTCGATTACTAGAGCAATGGTTTGATTCTCACGGTGATAGTCATGCTAGTCTCAGGGGCCGGGTGACAGGGTTCGGGAACCGTTACCGGAGTCAACCAGCTATGGAGATTTCTCAAACTCTGGATATGCAGCAAGTTCGATAACACCAAACGCAAAATGTTCTAGCATCTCAGTAATTGTACAAATCGGGAAAACGTTTTGCAAGACTAGCAGGCCACAATATTACAATCAGACAGCTCGGCAGCCGCCCCCATGGGGCACACGACGTTGTGGGCTGGGAATGATCTCGGGAGTCGAGCTCCACGATGAGCCTAGTTCGCAGTCTTGAGGTTTAGCCCAAGTATAAAGCTTCCCATTGACATCTTTGAGTTCGTGCTTCTTTCCCTCACAAGACAAGAAATACAAGAAATAAAGCACGACCACAGAGAGCAAACTCAAACTTGACACCGATTCCAATCCTAGGACACCGATTCCATAACAGCAAAATGCCTGGCCTTATCGTTGCTCAGCCTCCCCCGGCTCCCCATGTCATTGGTCCTGCAACCAAGAACGTTACCCTTCCAGCTGAACCTCTACCTCAATATCTCCTCGACCAAGCCAGAAGCACCCCAAGAGAAGAATTCCACGCCCCGAAGCACATCAACTTCCAACCCCCCGCAAACATTGTTTCTATGAAGGAGATTGGACTCGAAGGCCACGGAATCTCGCCCAATGCCGTCTCCGAGCCGTTCCGTCTTTTCACCGACGAGGCCGTCCAGCAAATCCGAGCTGAGGTTTTCAGCGAAGAGGTGTTGAAGGATTGTCGGTTTGCTTCCACGTTCAATAAACAGATGGTCAGAGGGATGGGGCCCGCGTAAGTGAAACCATCGTGTTCGTACCTCAGAAATCAAATGCTAACAACCGGAGAATAGTCGAGCTCCGTTCACTTATGCCGCATGGAATTCGCCCGAGCTGATTGCCGCCGTTTCCAAAGTCGCCGGTATCGATGTCGTTCCTTCATTCGACTTCGAAGTTGCCAACATCAACATCTCCGTCAACAGCGGTGACAAACCTGTCGCGGAGCCCAAAAAGGACGATGGAAATCCTCTTAGCGATGGCCTTTCGAGTGTCGCCTGGCACTACGACAGCTTCCCCTTCGTCTGTGTAGTGATGCTCTCCGATTGCACCGACATGGTTGGGGGCGAGACCGCCTTGAGAACCTCCTCAGGTGAAATCATGAAGGTTCGCGGGCCTGCGATGGTATGATTACTGAAATAACCCCATATAACATCCATGACTAGAGCTAATCAGCCCCTATAGGGCACTGCAGTCGTTCTTCAGGGTCGATACATTGAACACCAGGCATTGAAGGCCCTTGGCGGACGCGAGCGCATCAGCATGGTCACATGTTTCCGTCCCAAGTCCCCTCATGTTCGCGACGAAACTGTCCTCACCGGAGTCCGGGGCATCAGCCACAAGTCTGAAATGTATACCCAGTACACCGAGTACCGCCTCGAAATTCTAGAGGAACGCATCCGCGCCAAGCAGAAGAGTGAGAGGTTGCGAGTGGCAGCTCGTCGCCCCTTTCACACGGAAGAAATCCGCCAGTGGCTGAACGAGCAAAAAGCATTCATTGAGTCGACGCTGGAGGAATTGACTGGGGAGTAAATGTATTTTTATCTATCACAAAGCATTGGAATTGAATTTAATAAAATTATAACCGAACTTGATAATCATGATATATCATCACTAATATGCCATCCTGAAGTCCATATTTGCTTGGATGAAACGCGCGAAATATACCTCGCTCTTGGTGCAAGGCAATTCTCCATGATTTTCGGTGCTATTTGTGATAAAGTTTCGGCACTTTGATCAGTGGGAGCCTCGAAAAATGTTCCATCTAAAGTACCTCCCTATGACACAATCCCAAGTGGGGATCAGAGGGTGCCAGAAGAAAGGAAACCCCATTATGGAGTTCAAATTTCCGGCCCTATGCCTTTTATATCATGTATTGAAACGTGGGCGATTTATCTCCAAGCCTTGCCTTTTCTCTTCTGTCAGGGGCCTGATATCCATCGCTTCCCGTTTCTTATTCACGTGCTTGTAGGCATATCGAAGACCAACTGCAGCAATAACGCCGGCGAATGAGAAACCAAGCTCCAGTCCGTGTCCGAGATAGTATTGAGGGGCGTCTTGAGCTCGGTAAAAATTGGATGACATGGCTATTTTGGATCCTGTTAGAGACCAATTCACTCCGTCGCAACTGATCGAAACTCACCTCCAGCAAAGTTCCCAACTCCAATATGAAGAGCCATTCCGGCAGCTCGTTTATAATCACCTGCCAAGTTGTTACTCAGCCACGTTACATTCCCAGGAAGTGCCGGGTATATTCCTATTTTGACAATTAGCAACAGGTGCCTTTTCCCATCTGGTGTTTCCATGAACTTGATGACGTACCGCATACGACAAGGAAAATGCCAAAGTATACAACCCCTGGCACTGACCTTCCAGCTGATGAGATGACGATGAGAAATCCAATAGATATGCACGAGAGATGTAAAATCAGTAGAGGCGAGCGCTTGCCGATGCGATCTGAGAAGTACGCTGAAACCACCGCAATGATAGCTGCTGTAACATAGATCGGAACCTGGTTTCCCATTTTCAGTTAGACTATTCTTGCAGCACTACTTGCCTGAGCAATTATACTTACTGTAAGGAGCTGGGCTTGTGATGAGGTGTAGCCCAGGTCGCGGACGATAGTCGGCAAGAAGAACGATATTCCATACAAGGGGCAGACCATGCCGTACCAAGCTAATGAAACAGGAGGTTATTCGTCTTACTCAACTGGAAAAACGAGAAGGCTCGGTACTCACTGATCAGAGCAAGCCAAATCTGGAAGTCTGTAACAGCGTCCCAGACATATTTCCACTGGAATTTCTCCGACTCTTGGACATTTCCAGAGTATTGCTCCCTCAATCGATGAAGTACCCAGGCTCTCTCATCCTCCGTCAAGAATTTAGCAGTGTCTGGGTAGTCTGCGATGAAATAAAACGATGAGATGGCTACCAGGGTAGTTAGGATACCCTCTAGAATAAATATCCAACGCCAGCCTTCTAAACCTCCTACACCATCCATTTTCTAATGGTGGATCGTTAGCTTGCCAACAACATATAAGAGCAGAACAATAAGGAGGGTGAGGCAATTTATGCGCTTCTCGCAAACTTACAGCGATAGCAAACGCCAGTAGGCCCGAGAATGCCCCTGCAACACTCGCTGCACTGAAGAACAACGCCTGGCGAAGCTGCGCTTCATGGCGGCAATACCACATCGTGATATAAAAGGCAACTCCGGGGTAGAGACCAGCCTCTAGAAATTTGTAAGCAGTTGTGAGTTGATTCAATAAGAATCCATGTCATACCGGTCACACCTAGGAATATTCGCGAAATAAGCAACCCGTGGTAGTTTCTCACAATCCCCATCAATGTCTAGCAAGGCTCCTATCAGCACCTGGAACGAGCAGTCATAAAAACTTCAAAAATATTCTCACCATGACGATTCCAACTCCTATCATGATAATCGGGAGCCATATTGAAGGTCTGAGTTTTTTCAACACCAGATTCGAGGGTAACTCGAAGGCGGCATACGTGAAGAAGAATACCGTTACTACAAGGCGTCTAATTTTAGCTTTCGCGGCCACTCACAGGGCGCTTCTTCCACGGCTGGTCCACTTACAACACATATTATACTCTTGGCCAGTCATGTCAAGGTCGTCGATGAGGCCTTCGATTTTGGCATTCCCGATGTTGCCTCGATCTAGGAAGCAAAGAAGGTAGAGAACTGTGACGATGGGGATCACATGAAGATCTATTTTCCTCAATGTCCTCTTCTCTTCAATTTTGGACACTTGACCTCCTCTCTCTAGTTGGGTCACTTGAGCATTTTCAGTGTCCGAATCAGATGCTTTCAGCGGCGCTCCAGGGGAACTGGCTGGCTTTTCTGCACTCATGGTGGCGGTATTGATAAGATGAGCGCGAAAGAAACAATAATCTCTGAGTCTGTATGAAACAATAATTTCTGAATTTGTATGCGAGATTCAGTGGAGCGGTTTTCCTTTATTGAAATCAGCCATAAAGAAGTCTTAGGTTAACGTGGTTTACAGGTTCACGCACTTAAGACCGAAGCTCGGAAAGATATTTATGTCTACCCCGCAAACGCCCCAGACTTTTCCCTCAATTCCACATGGATCTGCTGTAACAGTTCAGTCTTATGAAGTAGAATAGGAAGGAGGATGGTCCTTGTGGAGCCGGAGAAGTGGTTTTGTTACTTCGCTGGTTGTAAGTGATGATAATTATACCCGGTGAAAGTCTGTGATTCGGCCAGTTAAGGGTTAGTTCCCCACCCATTACACAGTTCGCAGTAAGCATCCTGATACCCGAGGCACATATTGCCGGCTGCCAGTCATCTGCCTTCGATGGAGCTGTTCAGGATCTTAAGCGGGATGACTAGCTAAGCGTGAGCAAATTTAGAATCCCCCAAGCAATTAATCTGCGAAGAAATGGTTGAATAGACGGAGATAAAGGTAGCTTGGCAGCAGGCATGCGGCAGATGCCGTATTCCTGCCCAAAGCCGAAGAGGGGGTTTTGATACTTATTTCCGCGGCAAGTGGGTGACATAAGAAATGAGACACCTAATAGACGAGTTATTAAAAATAAGCTACTTTCCGTGATGAATAAGTAGAGAAATCTGGCTGAATAAAAAGAAATCGAGTGACAATATATGTTGTATTGTCTCTTAAGTATATTTTATTAGTACTCAATAATTTGATAATACTGCTCGCAGGCTTGAAAATAAGCAGCTTAATGTCTGAGTGTCTCAATTTCAATGTCACCCACTAAGAGTAAGTTCGAGGAAGCATCAATATTGAAATCCTTCCTTCCTTCAACACAAATTGATTGCAATCGAGCTTACAGACTGATATCAGTAAGTGAGTCCATTTATTCTTAGATAATAGAGATAAGTAGGTTAGGTTAACTATGAAAACTACGTGGCTATATAACATATGTCACATAAATGGCCACATGACTGTCGCGGAAACCCGGCGCAAGGGCACAAACACTCAGAGATACATTGATGTGATTGACACCTGAACAAGGTAACATAGTGTCAGTTCTTCCGCGTACTCTTTAGAATCCAAGGACTGCGCCAGCCTGTCCCGGAATAGTGGAAGCAACGCTGCCAGATCCGAGGAGAGAATAACTGTAGGGGATGGAACTGGGAGTCAGGGTTCCGACAGGGGCGTCATTGATACCACCACCCAGGTTGACATCGTAGACTGCTACAGCGCTGTGGGGGAGAGTGTCAGCAATATTTCTATGGGATGAAACACTGTGAAAGTACTGCATACCCTTTTTCGTCCGAATCACGGCTAGTGATAGCCACTGGAGAGTTCTTGAATGCACTGCTCTGAACAAGGATCTGAGCACCCATTCGGGAGTTGATTCCAGAAACGGATACACTATTTTCATCAATCAGTCGCAGGGCCAAAGATATTTTCTCTCTAAATGAATGTCATCATGTCACTTACGTGTCGTAATAGTTGTTGTAGATGTGCCCTGTTCCGAAGCGGAAGAGTGGCGTTCGGGATCCAACATTCTTGTAGTAGTTGTTGGCATATGTGATGCGAAGATGGCCTCTATCCTCACTCGCGTTGCTGTCACTGTGGCCAGCAAGGGAAGCCCTTAATGAATGAATAAGCAATGCTTTCATAGATTAGAGGTTTCAATCAAGGGGAGGGTTCGAAACTAAGCTCGCTCAAGTAGACCACCCTGGCGGGCGGAGCCTAGAAAGGTGGACCGAGGATCAGAAACAACACTTACTTATGATGGTCATGAAGATAGTTGCTAGGTTTGAATCCGTTAAAACTGAATCCCACATATTGTTTCGGACGTGGCCAGGAACACTTACTGAGAGAGGGTCACGTAATCCGATCCATGAGTGACATCAAGAAGCCCATCATAGTAGTCCTTGTCATCCACAAGAGCTGAGTAGAGCTCATTGTGGTCAACCCAGACATTGGTGCTTGCCTATAAATTGTAAGTAAGTTGCCGACGGACCTTATACTGTTCTGTAACCAGCATCAGGTTCACTTACATCAACGGTGATAGCATCCCCGTTAGCGGCAACCACGTAGGATATTTTCAGGTTGCGAATAATGACGTTTTTCTGTCGGCGGACGTAGAGACCAACATTGTTGAATCCTGTTTCAAAATGAGCAAGAGAAGATGGTGGCATGGTGAGACTATGGTGCAGAGACGTACCAGCTCCGGCAAGTCCAATAACAGACTTGTTACTGCCAATTCGAACCTTGGTGTTACCAGAGATAACACCCTTGACAACAACGATGCGGGCAGTCGTGTCCTTTTCATCGACAGCAGCGGTGAACTGAGCCAACGTGGATACAGTTGTCACTGTTCCCCCAGCACCTCCTTTGGTACTGCCACCCCGTTAGCGAGAATGTTTCATATATGCTCATATCTTAGATTTTGTCAACTTACCCTCCATTCTGAGTTGCGTAACCAAGGTTAGCAGCCTCGGAGATGGTAGCTCGCTTCTCAATATTGACAGGGGTATCCTCAATGGTAGGTGTGGGTGTAGCCGCAGCAACGGCGATCAGGCCGAAGACCAACGAAAGAAACTTCATGTTGACGGGCGGCTTATAACAGTGAGATTTTCCGAATTCGAAGTGCTTTATATGTCAGGTCGAAGTTGAAGTGATGTTCTCGTGAATATACTAGTTATGGAATGAGGGCGGGCGGGATATTTATGTTGATCGTTTCGTTGTGTTTCATCCCGAATAGTTTAATACGCCGTTCACTAATTGCGGCCTCTCATTTATGGATATTCTTTTAAGGCCGATGGCAGCATAAAGGAGCCATGAAACGAAATCCGATGATCTAATTTTCCCTGCCACCTCCCATTGGCGTAAAATTGTATGTTCCATGGCGCGTGCCGTCCATTATCCTCCATTCTCCATCTCGGTGATCGATTCCGCATTTTCCTTTTTAGGCAGCTCGTCTCAACGCAGGAGAGGCTGCAGGGGTCTCGGCAAGTAGACAGCCGGGTACCAACCTGATGTGCTGCTAAGAAAAGCTGTGAGGATATTGAAATATAATACCTCTGTCGATACCATTCGATACGAAAGTGAGCTGTCTATTGAGACCATTTAGGTTGGGTATGGCGGCAGCAATCGACCCAGGGTCTGTGAAGTCAATACATGCACTTGTGTCATCCCATGTGTGTATTGCTCTATCCAATATATCTAGTTTGTGTGAAGACGGAGTTTCTCTTTATTTTTGCGGACAGGTATAAACAGCCAAGTATTTCATTACACCGAAACGGGAGCATCCACAAGCCCAACTGCGACCTTGCAAATTGATCCCACTATCACGGCATCGCTTCAGTATTTCCTACATGGGGTTCCAATACGAGATGCATAGCAAATCAATGGTTCAGAGTAATGTGTCCCCTCCTGGATTAATTTTCAAGCCCTTCATCCATAAGCCTGCCAGATGCAGCGAGTCCGCTCATATTTAGTGCACCCTAGGCTTGTATCGGATGAATATAGGATCATCAGGTTTTCGGATCTGGAGAAGCTTCACATCGACTGGTGGAACTGGCTCGGTCCTCAAGCTGCCATCCTTCTCCGAAGGCTCAAAGTCAAACATGGCAAAAAAGTAAGCGTTGCATAGCACCATCTCCAGCTTGGCAAACCTCATACCCAGACATGGATGGCGACCGCTACCCCATCCCAAGTAGGTGTGATTCATCTTCTTGTCTTCAGCTCTATCAGGGAAATATCGAGTCGGGTCAAATTTGTCACATTCGGTGTAAATGTCCGGATTCTTGTGCACATCGTTGAATACGTAGACCGCATATGATCCCATAGGAATCACCTCGCCGGTATTGCCAATAGGGATATCACGAGGGCCAACGTTCTTCCTGAGCCCAGCACCTGGCATTCCAACCCGAATCGACTCCCGCAAGGAGAGATCAATCAGAGGAAACTCGCTCTCCCACTGCTCGACGCTGAGCGAGCTCAGGACCATGGCTGGGGACTGCTCTGGCGTGGATCTATACTTGGTAATAACACCATCAACCTCTGCTTGGACTCTGGCCTTCCACTCCGGATTATCAGCGCAGTGTGCTGGAAGATAGGAGGCATGAAGTCCGGTATTTATAAGTCCTGCAAAAAGAGACCCAATCTCAAACTACCTAAATGTCAGCCATAGCTCTGTCTAAACCTCTACCCGTTTGGTCGAAGAATTTTACTTACTGAAATCACGTCAGATACGCTTGCTCCGGTGTCCAGAATATGCTGCAAAGCATCATCAACTCGCTTCTCAGACTTCTCTCTGCTTCTTATAATGTCGAGAAATATCTTGTACAGCCTTGCACCATTGAACATTCGAAGGATATGGTTTGGCGTGGGTAACCAGGGAAAGAACAACTTGAGGGTACTGGTCCGACTCTCGAATTGCTCGAAGATGCTCAGTGTATGATTTAAAAGCTCGGGGTCGTCGGCAATCTCTCGAGCTCCAATCGTTCTTATCGTGAGTTGGTAGACCAGCTTGAACATAGAGTCGAAGGGGTTCATGACCCTCCACTCTGGATGCGAGTCTGAGACTGGTGCTACCGCAAGAGCCTCACACACGCGCCGTGCATCCGTTGCTAGCATTCCAATGTTTTTGTTGAGGTTCTCCGACTTCAACAGGGTGGCCAGAGTTTTCTTAAGGAATCGGTCGAAGTCGTCGCCTCCCGATTGCGCCGGTAATCCCGCGAACAAGTCGTTGAAACTATCTTCTGGTTAGTTGACTGTCCATATGATTAGCATCCATCAAGTCGTCTTCTTACCCCTCACCTAAATCCAGATCTTTGGAGTCAAAGAATGTCCTCCTGCCCTCAGGCCCACTGACACCCACCACATGCTTTTTTCCGACATAGAAGCTAAAATTACCAGTTTTGGTGGACCGTTGAGCAGTGCGGTACATGTCCTCTCGGTGGGTATAAAACCGCCAGGCGCCGAGGATTGGTATGTCGTCGGGCTTCCAGAGTTTCGGCACCGCATGAGATAAAGATTTTCGGGTGGTCAGCAAATGCAGTAAGAGGGCAAGACCCGTGAGCACGATTGCCCACACGATTGTTGGTCTTGCTGTTAGCTGTAGGAGTGTCTCAAACATGGCCTGCATGGTAGTGTCAGGGCTCAAACAGTGTTTGAAATGCCATTGGGGAAGAAATGGCCGGATATCGAATGGATATTTATGCTCATGCCCCCTCATTCTTTCACTACGTATCGATTTTCATCTTCCAGCGCGGGTCCAATCACAATGACAAGGGGATCGGAATCGACTAACGGGTATCAAAGCTGACGAGTGCTTGTCAGACTGCTTACTTTTTTTGGCTTGTAAGTAAAATTAAGCTCTTACTATTACTTACTTGAGTAATTTTTTCAAGAGCTCAGTGGGGTAACTAGACCAAAGCAAACGAGGTCTATAACGATCTTGAAAAACACACCTCCTGTATTATTACAGCGAGGTTTCGCTACAGTCGACCTTCTAAATCAGGTCCATTAGGATAAATAACTATTAGCTCTAGGTTAGGAGTCTTAGAAACGCTTATAGGTACAAATAAAATAAGGATTAGTCTTGTAAAAGCTTGTAATAGCATACTAACGATCCCTACTAACGAGGCCCTTGAACAAACCAGCGTACTAAGGACGTAATATGTACACACCATTAGGTCCAATAGTGGCCCTGGGTTCGTCAGCTCCTATCCATTGTAGCACTTTTCCATCGAGCTAATGATGCAGGCTTAAGGTCAGCCAGTTTGCTTTCACCGACATGAAATTCTCCACTTGAAACCTGAGAACACAATTCGCTTTCCGTGCCGTTAGACCTAGTAGCATGGGCCACATGTATTTCTAAGTGTTCATCGCACTTTACCACTGAATCACGCTTTTTGCGAGTTGCCAAGGCTCGAGTGGCTGCTCCCAGTATTAATGTACTGCTCAAGCTGTACCACACCCACTAGCAGTTGCATAAAAATGATGTCTCACGTATGAGAGTCAGAAAACGCCTAATTGGCTTCATGTCCGCATAACCAGCATGAATATTGGGGTTGGCGCTCCAAAGTGCAGCGGTTCAACCAATGGGCACTCATCGAGAGGGGGAGTGGCGAAATCACTGTCCAATGAAAGCAGAACACACAAGCAAAGCAAGCCAAAGCTCTCAGCTGGACTTCTCAGATTGGGCACGGCGGTCTCGTCTCTCTTCCATTTCCAGTTTGGGTTGCGAGCACATATGTATGTACATGTGTGACTTGTATAGAGGAAGCTGCCGTAAGCATGTCCAACAACAATGGGAACGGAGGCTTTGATTATGCAACCTCAGACAGCTTCTCCCGTAGTTGTGCTGACGAAATGACCTGATGCGTTACCGTCACTAACACTAATGTCGAGGGAAACCCAATTCCTCCCAAACTGCAGAGCTTCGACGCAATTATGTCACGTATCAAGGAGAAACAAACGTATTCTCTTCCAAATAAGGTCACTCCCCTCACACACCGTACCTTGTTTATTGTTTCAACACGCACTTCGGTTTTGTGCTTTCCAGTTACAGTACAAAACAATTCCAATGTGGTTCCTTCCAACGCTTCAAGCATCCCAATGCTTAATAAAGCAAGAAGTGCCAATGTAAGGCCAGACTCAGACGGTAAGGAGGACTAGATCTTCCCTTGTCATTCTTTCATAAAACGCAGACATGGATATAGTTTATTGCTAAGAACAATGGGATTACAAGCTCTCCTTGAACTTTATCAACCCGCCAAAGGCCACCCATCATGAATACTTTAACTCAAGGCCGCACCATAAGAGACGCGAGACCGAATGTGCACCAATTGGCTATAAGGGGTTAGTAAATTTTCCATGCTTGTCGTCATCTATTAATAAGAGCGCAAACAATGCTCAACGCCCAGTTACTCGGCAACAAATCTTGAAGGGAATCTTGAAAGGAATCGAGGAAAAGATATTTACTCGGTAATGATATCCCTGGTCTAGCCGTGCTTGGATTAAATGAACAGGGGGGTCGGAACCAGGACCAATCCAATGTGTTGGGACCCCAGGACATTTGCCTTGACATGGGTTAGCTTCAAGGTCTGAACAACTCGGATTAGTCGAAACAGTAGGGAAAGCTGCTTAACCCTGCTCATCTGGACGCGCTCTGTCAGAGGTCAGAGACCGTGCTCCCTTATTTCTGCACGTGCTGGCATCATCTACGCCGCCACGCCACCATCTGGATAACCTCGCTTCTAGATTCCGACCCCCCAGACTACTCGAATCAACCATTGCTTGTTTCCTAACTTCCGCATTCAACTGAACTTACATGAGATATGGCGAAGCGTACCCAGCCCAAAGCAAAAGCCCACGCCGGTACGTCTCTAGCCCTCCCTAGCCGCGCAGCTCATCCTGCAGCTCAATGTCCCGACCACTCGGATTGGCGAGGTATGCTTACACTGTAGGAACTTAGGTTGCGCCAGATGCAGGAAGTCGCATGTCAAATGCGACGAGAAGAAGCCTGCGTGCGGCCGATGTTTCCGGACCGATTCGCAGTGCGTCTACTTAACGCCGACGCGGGACTCCAGCAGACAGGACGCAAGGCAGATACTGCCCGCCGGATCGGCCCAGAGCATCCCGCCCAGGCCCCATCTGTTGCAGTTTTCGTGCCGTATGCTAGAGCCAGGTGAGGTACTGTACTATGATCGCTTCCGCGACCAGGTGGCCCGGCAGATGAGCTTCCAGGCCGAGGGCCCGGTTGACTTTTGGCTCCGGTCAGTCCTTCGTGAAAGCACTGTAGACGGCTGTATTCTTGACGCAATTCTTGGGATTGGCGCCCTTGCGTATGCTCAAGACCAGGCCACGGTTTTCCGTCCGTTGTTCCTGGCCCCCCAGTCCGACGCGCACTATTATCAGGCTCTGAGCCACTACAACAGAGCCATCGTAAAGCTGCGAGGCTGCATAGCTGACACCCCGGGGGGCGTGTCCCGAACAATGATTATTGCCACGGTTCTCTTTTCGTTCTTTGAGTACATGCAGGGCAATACAACCGGTGCAGACACCCTGACAGGACGAGGTATCATGCTGCTCAAGGACGACGTCCTCCTGCCGGACTCGTCCCCGAGATCCACCAGGACAGACGATGAAGGGATCGAGGAAGCCAAATACTTCCTCGTCCGGACTGCGTGCTGGACGGTACAGCAGTCACCCATGTACCCCTGCCAGAGAGAGAGCCTGCTCGAGATCGCCAATAAGCACACGTTCGAATTCCCCTCCCCCAACCCCAGATGGGGCACCAGGGAATTCTGCAGCACATTCTGGCGCATGGTCACGGTCGGCAGTCTCTGGCAAGTGCGCGCGTTCGATTACCTCTACAACGACAACCCCACGGCGACACACATGCTGGAGAGCGAGTACGCAGGCATGGTTAGGCAGGTGAGCGCGTGGGAGACGGCGGCAGGGCTCAGGCTCGGCCGGGAGAAGGACATGGAGGCATACGCCATGGTTGCAGCGGTCTACGTCGGGGCCAAGTTCCTCGTCGCGGCGATACAAGGCACCCTTGACCCGGCGGAGACGGTATGGAACACGAAAAAGGAGCTGGGCCTGCATTTTGTTGGTCGGTACACCTACGCGGCCAACGCGGGATGCCGTCTTACGCCCGCGCCATCATCAACGACGCCCTGCTGGCGGGTGTCTCGAGGGTTGTGCTCTCATGCCGGGATGCAGATGTGCGGCACGGGGCCCTGGGGGTGTGGAAGCAGCTTGTCAACCGCAAGTCGTCGTGGGATATCAAGAGCACGCTCATGGGGGCTTGTGCATTAGTCAGTGTAGAGGAGGCAGCGCGAGATGAGGAGGGCTGCATCCCACACGAGGCGCGGTACGACTGGACTTCGGGGACTTGGAACAAGGACCACACAGAGTTTCTGGTCAATCTGACGGCCAGGTATCCGGAGCCTGACAAGCGACGCAGGCAAAAGCAGGTGGTCATGCGACCTGAAGATCTCGATCTTGTGTAGACGGATGCTTCAATCTACAGGCACAGTATCATCCAGCTATGTCTTCTCAACCTACAGAACCCGAGGAAGTACATCAACAAGACTACCTAGACATGATAAAATAGTTTATTGGGGGGACAGAGTCGAGGTTGAAAATTGATAATGAGAGGCGAGGGCAAGTGTACACAACTGGGACTGTTATTACAGGGATTAAAATGCAAGACATGAGATAATATCTACATTAGACAATTACACAAAAGTAAACATGGCCTACCGATGAGGCTTTTTCGGAGCTGATCAGGCGCTATGCCATCGCCGACGGACGGATATGCAAGACGTTGGAGATCGGCAATGAGTGAGCCAACCAGAATCCGTCATAAGCTTCCCCGCTCTCTCCAGAATCCATTCACATGCTCTTCCTTATCGGCTTGGATGAATCGATGATGCGTTCATGGCCTGTTCCATTCTCGCCACTTGCAATTCCAACTACCATCCTCCATATCTTCAACCCCATCTTCTTACACCTGGTGAGACTACTTCCATCTCTACTTTGATCAGCATACAAAGATATCCAAATCTCAGCGACATCCAGCACGAAATGGAGAAGGGCGACCAGCTGCCAATTTCCGGGACTGTTCCCCGCCCGTCAAATTCGCGCAGCAGCCGCGATCAAAGCAGCGCGTGTACGAAGCTCGTAATTCAAATATTCTTTGTGGTCACTGCTCTCTGCCTGGCTTGGAGGATCATGCAGCTCGATATCATTCCCATGCTTGCGGGAACCTATGGCCAGTCTGCAGATGAACCTGCCCAGCCGCTCCAGCCCGGGGAGACCATTTGAGGCGATCGCCACCTCTACGGAATGCGCCCATCGCGCTGCTCATAATATCCGTGATCGCTTGCCGCCTCTTATGGAGATATCACTGAAAATATGCCACCCTGCAACAGACATCCCGCCCTCTGATGTACAACCTCTTCCTGGTACTGGGATCTGGCTCCCCCAGGTTCCGATTCCTCGATCCACTGAAGAACAGGTGCAGAACAGGCAACTATGAGGATCTTCTCCTTACAATGTCACTTCCCCGAACATGGCCGGGCATAGTAGCAGCAGCACTTCTCCAGAGCCCCGTATTAATTGCACCAGCAGCCTCGGCCCAACTTCGAGTCTCGATGGCTAGACGGAGATTGCAGGCGAAGGAACATCGAATTAATGAAAGCACCATTGGCTTATTTAATACTTCTCGG